ACACCAGCCTATTCTTGTAGAGGATAATGCCTCAATTCACTCAGCAAAAGCGACGCGCCTGGCCTGGGAACAGAACGGCATGCTTGTAATGGAATGGCCGGCGAATTCCCCTGATTTGAATCCAATTGAGAACGTTTGGCGGCTGTTGAAGGGGAGAATACAACGCCGGTTTCCTACAACAAAGGAGGAAGTACGGCAGTACGCTGAGGAGGAATGGGAGAAGCTTGAGCCCGAAGAATTTGAAAAGTATACGGGCAATATGAGGGAGCGTTGCCTTGCTGTAATTGCTGCTGATGGCGGCCCAACGAAATATTAGTTACTGAATAAGCACTGTTTTCATGTGGCGATGTGGCGATTGTAAGCACTAACAGAGACGCTTGCAGGGAGCGCCGGCAGCCCGCTCAGGTAGCCCCCTTGTATTAGGAGTGATAGGAGCTTGATTGTAGTGCTGTGGCAACGGAATTTGGTTACGTAATGAAAGAACGCTTTCCGAAAATTAGGCGGGAAGGCGACGATGCGAACGTAATATTTAGGTGGGAGGTGTTCTGAGTGTTCAGCAGTGGCCACAGTACACGACTTATACAGAGCTGTGGGAAATATTGACGTGTGCATAGATTTTGAGTTGCTTGAAGTTAATGTACCTATTGATTTTCTCGTCACGCAGGGTTTCTCGCTACGCAGGGACGCACCTTACCCCTCATATGTTGCGGCACGGTGGGTGTTGCGCCACCCAGGGACGGACGTTAGTCATTCTGTTCTGAGGAAGTGTAGGTAGGTTTATGGTTGTGGAAGGCAGACTTGCTTGCGAAAAGATTTCTAGCTTTGGAATGTTCGAAGTGCTGAAAACTTGAACTTGAGGTATGGTGATGTATAGAAATTCTCAGAGGCCTGATTTATATAGTTCAACGAGTCCGCATTATACGTGTATAACGGAAGTGCCGTGAAGGGCATTGTGAAGGGTGCAGCCTTCACAATACCCTTTGACAGCGCATACACAACTAACCCTTGAACACGGAACCATATACTGAAGCCAAAAGAGTGTGAATATTCGGACATTGAACTGTAGTGTAAGAAGGAGATGCTAGCTAACGATATAGAGGCGGAAGCGGTTCGGGGGTTCGCAAGTACATATACTCTCACGTCCTAGCAGAGAAGAGAACTGATGGAGTTGCACTGCCTAGCGATTGGTTGAGGGGGGCTACCTCAGGTATATACTACAAGGAGCAGTCTACAGAGCTGATCCGTAACATGATGCAGAGGCCAGGTTTGCTTCCCGAGACAAGTCTCTCCTTCATACTAGGTACGTGTGCCAATTGCCACAGATTTCTTCGTTCATTGTGAATCTCTACAGCGCGTTTGCAGCATACCCTTGCAATCGCGTCTTCAATTAGTATTGCGAATGACTTCGAGATATTATTAAACTCATATCCGTCGTAGATCCGTCAAGAACCTATCACAATCATCAATATCGGTATCATAAGTTTGGGGTCACGTCCAAATTCTATTGTTTCTCAAGAATCGCGAGTTATCAACTCGTCTATTCGATTCTAGTTGCTATTGAGAGTTACGAGCGCTCAGCTCGTTGGTTCAAGTTCATGGAGGTAGACTCCAGTTGTCTCGTGGTCCCTTATGCAGACTGATCCATGCCATCGTAGTCATAAGTTGGCAGGATTGTAGGAGCATTGTCTGACCAATCGCATCTGGCAGTCGCATGACTCCGGAAACCGCGCCGCCCTTTAACTTTGCATTTGGAGCATTCTACGGGCGCAAGGCATTCGGGTTGTTGATTGCCAATACGATTGCATCGGGTGCAGAATTTCTTGATTCCCCATGCGGGTGGTTGGTACAACATAGCGGTCTTCATGAGTGAGTTCATCATATCCTGCATTGACTTACCCTCGGCTGAGTTAAGTTCTTCTTGCGGCAACACCATCAATACGGCATATATGAGCGTATATGCCGCATCATTGCCCGCATTATGTAAATGCGGCGTCTCAGTAATGCCCAGCTTGTTGCAAAGAAGCCCGAGGTTGATCGTTGGACCTACGCCGCTGCGGATTCCGCATGCATTCGCCATGGTCTGTGTATCGAGTGTCGTCACAACTGAGCCGATAGAGTCAGCGTTGAAGCCTAGATGTTGGTTGAGGCTTTCTAGGTCTCCGCGAACATCATGGCCGACGAAGACCGCAGGACAGGGCTCCGAGTCTCGCGCATAAGGATCCAGACGCTCAGAGAAGCACTCAATTAGCGCAGCCCTTGCTTCTGGCTTGGTCACCCACTTTGTGGTGCCCCAGTGGAAGTCAAAGGGACTTCCTATGCAATGCCATCTGTTGATCAAGTGCCCGTGCTCTCGAATGCGGAGATGATAGAACCAGATTTTGTTGAGCCAGTTCTCTCCGTGTTTGCCCGGGTCTACGCCTTGGATATCTCGTGTATCAAGCATGGCGATTCCGATTTCAGTAAGCTCTCGGGGCTCGTAGACGTGCCATTCGCAATCAATTGCGATGATGATTGAGTTTGACGCCTCCGTGGACTCCTGCCAATTCCCCAAGGCCCACTGCATTGCAGGAATGCTGCCGAGGGAACTCAAGCGGTCTCTGATTCCAGCAATATCAGCTGGAAAGGAAGCCGAGGCTTCTGTGTGGTTGCTGGTCTTTTCAGACATTGCAGATGTGGAAAGCGAAAGGGTGCTTTGCTGAGGTTGAATGTTTGGGAGCCTCGTGCTGGTTTTCTGTGAAATTTGCTGAGGCTGAATGTTGGGAAGTCTGGAAAAGAAGGGTGGATTTGATGATCTATACAAGATTCGAAATTGGAGGTTTATATAGCCCGATAATTCCGCGTTGTATATGTATAATGGAAGTGTCGTCAAGAGCATGCACATTTCGACCTTGAACACGGAACTACACTATAGTGAAACTGGAAAAATATGACTGTTCGGACGCTGAGTGACATTATAGAAATCGCGTTTTGCCTACAGGCAAAGGTCCTGGTCTGGGCAATGCTGACACCATCGCATATTCAGTGAAGGAGTTTGACCTTGTGAGTCGTGAGGTAGGACACGTCATCGCGGCGAATACGTACACAAAGAAACCTTGAAAAGACGAAGGAAGCCCCTATTTATGTGCATATCATGGAGTAGAGCTCAGGGACCAAGTTTGTCTACCCGTTTGGTGGCGCTAGACCGATTTAGGTAAGGCCATGCGCTTGTCTTGACCTCCGACAAATGACTACGCTTTCTCCATCATTAACACCACAAAGAAATCCATCAAGTCACTCATTAGTAGGTATCGGAGTGTCTCGAGCAGTGATTGAAGATGCAATTGATAATACGGTCGGCGCTCCACAGGATGTAGTCTATTCATTCAAGAAGCGGAGTTCTCTAGACATTCACAGTGCTAGCGGAAATCCCGCAAAAAAAATGGGGGTAGAAGCATTGAAAGCGCAACATGCATGTCACTTGTGAACGTACTTAAGGTGTAGGGAGTACCAATTCCCTACGTCTATGTCTAGTCTTGGCCGAACCAAAATCGTCAACTCTGAAGTCCCTCGTTGAGAGTCTTCTTTGTCGTTTGTTCCCCAATTAACACTGTACGCCAACAAGATGGATGAAGACAGGTCCTTATTTCTCATCTTCTATGAGCTCCATCTATGCAGTTTTGACTGCCTCAACCAAATATCAATTCAACAAGAGACAACCGCCCATTCCATATCGTCAACCGCCACTCGTACTTTATTCGTACCATGACCGTCATGGCCTCTCTAGATGTCGTTGCGGGCGCAGCGTGAAGTCGAATGAGACCGCCAGAACTTCTTGCCGGCATGTTTGCACTTGCTGCAGGCCACATGGGCTCGACAATCCTCCGCAAGGTGAGTGGTGCTCTCGCAACGAGTGCAGAAGACGCGAAGTCCCCAAGGTGGCGAATGTTGAGTAGCTGCGACGTTCTTGGTGTGCTGGAAAGTATTCTGAACCTCTACGCAGTATGCGCTCGCCTCCTTCTCAGGAAGTGTTGCCGGTAGTGCTGGGAAAGGAACTACTCCCATCAGTATCCCTGCAATCATAGTATACGCAGCGTCGTTGCCTGCATTATGAAGATCGCGGCCAGAACCGCCGAGCTGGTTGATCAGGTCTCCTAGATTGATCCAATCACGAAGGCTCCCGGTTTTGGAGTTCCGAATTCCATGTTCACGCACGATATGCTGAGTATCGATAGTCGCCGCCATGGTACCCAATTCTGTGGGATCAAACCCGACATTCTTCTTCAAGATCTTCAGATCATTCTGGAGAGCGTGTCCTAGAAGAATCACTGGACGCAACGGCTCGCCCGGGACCCGCTCGTGCTCGACGCCAGCTACCGGGACAGAGAATAGTTCCACCAAAATGTCCTTGACATGCTCCATCTTCACCCACAAAGACTTGCCAAAGTCGAATCCATTGGGATTCCCCTTGCAGTGGTTTTTGTTCACTAGATGGCCCGTCTCGCAGATACGGAAGTGGTAGAACCAAACATGTTCAAGCCAATTCTTGCACTGCTCGCCGGGGGCCTTCCCTCGAATATCTCGAGTATCGAGAACAGCAACCCCGACCTCTGTCATGCGATGCGGGTTATACTCGAACTCTTCGCAGTCAATAGAATTAATGACATAGTCTTGGAACTCGCCAGGGGCATTCTCGATTGGGGAGCCGAGAGCATGTTGCATCATGTGCAAAGAGTGCAACTTTTTCAACTCGTTCTGGAGCCGAACTACGGCCTCCGTTCCCGGGGGAGGTTGATCCTCGATGTTGCTTCGATTTATGGTAATGTGGAATGTGACATTAGCGCCCGTAACATCGCCAACGGTGATATTGCCGACGGTGTTGCTGTTGCCATCGACGTGGTTCGTGGTGTTGATGGGGCGGACCGAATTGATAGAGGTGGTAGTCATGTTGGGAGAGTGATTTAGAATGCAAGAGATATTGTGAGCTTGGATGATCTGGTGGCTTGGTGGAAATGATCTGATTTTGTAGTGGTGGGTGGTGTGGCAAGACGAAGGGAGTGGTTTGTGAGTGTGCTGATGAAAATTTGGAAACTCCTGCTAACAGTCAGGTTTAAATAGGAGTTCTGGTACTGCTTGCAGTTACTCGGGAAGTGAAATTGGAAAGGTGTGAAGCATTGAATGCACTGCCAAGAGCAACCGCGCCCCTTTCAGTGAATCAGAACCCGCCAACGTAGAGCCCCTAAGAGCGATCACCAGTTTATTGTGTTTACATATACATGATACAATTCACAGCGACTGCTTAGTGTCAATCGGAAGAGGCAACGCGGATGTTGACGGAAGATCCAAAGTTCGAGAAGAAGAATTGGTTAGTGTTGGTTCTTAGTCGAAAATTCTACTGTTTCAGCGATTGACATGCTATTTTTTATAGATGGTTGAGTATAGCTGGACGCTAGGGTGTCGGAGGCTTTGATCGTCGCCTTGACGGAAACGATGTGCTGACCGTTAGATTCAGGAGCCGTGCTCATTGGGCCAACGCGTTATATTGTATAAAGCCATTGTGTTGAGACGAAGATGCTTCAAACGACAAGAAAAGATGGTGAGAAAAGCATGTGAGAGATCGCAAGGAGAGGCTGGCACGAGTCCTTTATTGAGGAATCAAGTGTGACCCCTGAAAATAAAAGTAAAATATCGACCGACTTGAAATCGCGGTGTCTCGACAACAGAACCTAGAGGTGTGCTGAACTATATCAGTGAGCCAGATAGAGTGTAACGTGAAGGTTGGCAATTCCATATACGTGACACTGTATGTAAAAGATAGTGGGAATGTCGTATCGGTAAGAAGGCTCAGTCGGTGCATTGTCGTTGAGATATCATTGCCGAGCACCCTACGACTCCATCCAGGATACGACCGATATGTCAACAGTAAGTAGAAGAAATGTGCCACATGCAGCGAATGGAAAGCAAAGAGACCATTAGGATGAAAGTTTATGAAGGCGTAAAGTGCTTGCCTTGGAAGTGATTGATGGTGAGACAGTTGCTACGTGTTTTGAGCGAGCTGCAGAGTACTGAACATACACAGGCTCGCTTTGGCACCGGAATAAGCGACCGCCACAGGATCAGGCCAATCTCTGGGACGTCTAGCGTCTCGTGTTGGAGCTCTCTGATACCATCTACATCGTGAAGCACTTTTCTAAGCACCTAGCAGTGGATAGAAATCATGACAGAGTGTAGGAAGCAGCACTCGGTGATCTAGTTGGTTGCTCAATCCATGAAAGAGATATGTATGTGTAAACTGCTGATAAGGAAATAACTGATTGTCGTATGCAGGGGTATACTTTTCCCCAAAAGGCTGCATGCACGAAGGAGAACCCATCGAAATCTACCCCTTTGTAGAATGAACCTACGACACCTTAACTTCTGCTCAGGGCATGATTGGAGCTACAGAGCTGCGTATCCCCAACAGGCCCTACACATCACCACACCATAAGATATTTCCTTCTGGCAGCCAGTTAGAATGCTCCTACGCACATCTGTATACGCGTCTCAGCTGGACAAGGGTCACTTCTCAGCTGGACAAAGTTCACCTGTTGTTTGCCACTATTGCCACAGTTGCCACCGTTGCTGCCGTTGCAACCGGTGCCACCTGCAACCCCTGTTCTATTCACTATATAGCCACTCGTTAGCACCTCAATACAACCCATGCTTTCCTACTGATCCTTTGCCCTTCCTACGCCAGCTGCCACCTTCCACGCTTCTCGAATTCTTTACGGGCCCATTCGACCAAGTCTCGCGTGGTCCATACGCATGGCGAGTTGAAAACCACAGACTCCAGCTTCGGACAGGTGAATATTTCCTCCAGGTGGCACTTTTCCCTTAGCTCTTCAAACGAGTTCGCGATGACACAACGGCTCTCGTAGCCGGAGTGGTATAGGACATACTCTCCTCCACCACTGGAGGGCCTCACAATCGTATGGCGAAATCCCACCGTTTGGAGGTTTGGGCATTGCTTCATGAGCTCAAGGTGCTCGCGCATCCGCGTTCCATTCTGCCAGCCTTCCTTCCCGCCATAGATAACGAACTCCACGTGACGGATTGCAGTGTAGCATATCGTATCCCCCAAGCCAGTTCTTGAATTCTTTGAGCTCCGCGTCACCGTAGAAGTAGATGGTCAAATCCTTCAGGAAGTAATGAAGAGCCTCTGAGAGTACTTGGCGGTTGACGTGGCACAAGGCCGGGGTCTTGAAGGGATGGTAACGATTTTTGTTGTTGACTTCCAAGATCGTGGAACCGTAAGATGGGCGGTTTCTATCTGGAAGGTAGGCGAAGTCGTATACCATGTCCCGCAACTCGCGTGGGAGGTCAAGGAATGCGAACTAGAGACCTGTTAGCTACTGAAAGCGGCATTTGGTATGAGGATCTTACCTTGTTCGAGCCCGGGCGGCCGCGCAGCTGCAAGCCGTCAATGGACATGGAAGCGCTGTTTCGACCCTGAAATGGGGCTGTGGCTGCGGCGGACTTAGAGCTATGCTCAAAAGGCATGACTGGGTACCGGAGTCTGGGCCACTTGCTGTGTTAGAGCATTTCGAGAAGGCCGGGAGTACAGAGATCTTATGGACGGCAGAGGATTCTGTGGGCTTCGGAGTGACTCTGAGCAATCTCGTTGGTGAAACCTCCAGCTCCCGTGACATGATCACGTGCTCGCCCGGCCACTGCAAGAACACTATGAGTGAGGTCACAGCGGTCGACTAGTCAGCCTGAGAAGTTCGAGGAAGGTTTAGGACATTTCCGATTCAAACTAGGCTTAAAGCTTGGAATCCGGCGAGTGGGTTGATGATGTTGTGCTTCGAAAACGTGGTATAAGCCACTCTGGTCTTAAGGAAAGTCTCTCGTTGTATCGAATGGCAAGCCTTCACACGGGACTTGAAAAAGGTGGCATTCTAATTCCTAGGACGAGCTGTCGTAAGTATGCCACTGCTTGGAATGCTTCAATACAATTTCAGAAATCTAAAAAAGATAGAAGGTCTTCATCTTGGGCAGTGTGGAACCTCATTGAAGCACTTCAAGCCGTGGCATGCAGGGGTACACAGGGCTGCACGAGAACAGAGTGCTTGATGATTATGCCACTTTTTCCACGCCCAGCGTGGCCATCTGAGTGGCTGAAGTCAGCACTTAACTAAAGTCACGTGCGTTACTGACCCCCAATACAAGGCAGACTTCCCATCTATAGTCAATTCATCGTAGCGATGCAGGAGTATCAGAAAGCTTCTAGGTCAGTTTTTGAAACCAGGGATTTACATACCACTCACTCTGCTTGGAGGTATCTAGGAGTGGAGGCGATAAAATCGATACCATTCCGCCCTTAGAAACAAGACTTACGGTCCGCGCGCCTCCAGCGATGAACAACAGCCTTTCTTCTTAGTCATTTCGTTTGCTCTGTGGCTCCACGATCAAAATGTCAGGCCTTGGACGGCCTTTTCCTTTGTTTTGCAAGCGACATTTACCGGTAGTAACAAGACGTTACGTGGTCACGTGACCATCAGGCGGGCGCACTAGCAGCTAGCGCCAAACGCGCGGCTGCGCCCTTGCCTTTCTTCTCTCTTTGTATCACAACTTCTATAGCATAGCAATACAACCCTTTTTAATTGCTGTTTGCCTATCGAGTCCTCACACAAAATTCATCCATAAAATCACCGTTCATGAACGGCAGCAGTCCCCAATCTAGAGGAGGAAAACATTCGGATGTCACCCTTCCATGCCTAGCTCCATTTTCCAACCACCAACCTATTGTTGTCGATCGTAACACAATACTAAGCACCCTCTCTTCCTTGGCATGACGGTCCTTATGCGATCCAAAACATCGCGTCTTTGACCTATTATAACAGAACAAAGAACCCGCGGCGCAATCAAGCATTTGCCAAGCGGCGCCAACATTCCTTCTTCTCAAACTACATCAATCAAGACCAATCATCTTCCAAGCCTATGATGAAAGCGATTAACTTAGTTAGCCATGAATCTTGGCGGGCGTTGTCCCAATTCGGAGCATCTCGGTACTTGCCTACTACTTCTAGATATCTTCTCGCAAAAGCCTCATCAGCGCTCAAACCGCTGTCCATTCTCTTTTCTCTTCCCATTTATTGGTACATTAGTGCTTGCATGCCATTTTGACATACCTGCTTGTCTCCACTCTCTAGCTCCCCATCTCCCAACCACCCTCCACCCAATCCGAAGATGTCCTCACCTCCCGAGCATAGGTTTTGCATCATAACCGGCACCGGCTTCGCTGGTATTATCGCCGCCTGCACCTTCCTCCGCACGCGCACCCTCTCTTACTCAGACTTTCTCCTCATCGACCGAAACACGAATTACGGCGGTGTGTGGTGGTCGAACACGTACCCAGGAGCAGCGTGCGACATCCATAGTCAGATTTACAGTATCTCTTGGGCGCCGAGTCCTTTTTGGGAGCGCTACTTTGGCTCCCGTAATGAGATCCAAGCATACCTTGAAGGCGTAGCGCGGCGGTACCAACTAGAGCGATCGACGCGATTCGGAGTCGAGATCGAAGAGGCGCGTTGGGATGAGGATGAGCTTCTGTGGGTTGTAGATACTCGAGATGTTGCTACTGGGACGAAGAAGCGGCGGACGTGTAATCTAGTATGTCTCGCTTTGCTATTTTTCTCTTTTTATATTTTCTTGTCTTTTTCTATTCATCTCTTCTATTCATCTGTTTTCATGTCTCTTCTATTTCCATGTCTCTTATCTTTTTTAATGTCTCCTTTTTTCTCTTCTGTTTCTTTTTTCATGTCTTCTAATTTCTCTTCTCTATCATTTTTTCTCGTCTGGGTCGTTCTCTTTTCTCTTCCCCTGTCTCCCTGTTTCTCCGGCCATCTCAAACCCTTCCCTCTGATTCATTCTTTCATTCATTCATCTTTTGCTCTTCATATCATTCCAGTTTCTCACACTAACACCCCCAGCTCATCTCCACAGCCGGCCAATTCCAAACCCCCAAACGCCTTTCTCTCCCCTTTTCCACGCTATCCCCTACCTCCGATTCTCCCTCACACCCACTCTTCCACCAATGGCACACCTCCTCCTGGCCCTCCCACGCCACCGCCACCCTTACCAACGCCCGCGTCGCCATCATCGGCACGGGCCCCTCCGCGGCCCAACTCATACCCAAAATCTATCCCCTCGTGAAATCACTAGTAATCTACCAGCGCTCACCTTCCTTTTGCGTCCCACGCAACGATTTCAAAATGAGCGAGTGGAGGAAGTGGGTATTCGCTCGGGTACCGGGGGTGTTAAGAGGGTGGAGGGGGTGGTTGGGGTTTATCGTACGTGCTGCTCTCATTCCCACCTGCATTCCTCGTTGTGGCTCCGTTTCTCGGGGGATTTAGGGTCATCGTGCTAACGCACAAGCCATACAGGGCGGCATCGTCAGCCGCCGCATCTTCGACCCCACATCCCGCCTCCACAAAGCCGCCATCAGCATCGCGAACACCCATCTAGACAACCAAGTCCACGACCCGGTTACGCGCGAGAAACTGCGCCCGCACGACCCGTTTGGGTGCAAGCGCCCCCTCATTCTCGACGACTACTACCCCGTGTTCAACGAACCGAACGTCACGCTTGTCACCGACCCGGTAGTCCGCCTGGGTTCCCATGGCATCGTGTCCCGAAGAAAAGAAGACGGGGAGGAAGAGGAGCGCGAAATCGACGTGCTGATCTGGGGCACCGGCTACACGCCTAACCTCCCTGGCTCTGCGTTCCCCTGCTACGGCGTCGGTTCGCGATTGCTCGCGGAGTCGTACCAGCCTGAGGGGTATTCGCTCTACGGCGTGGGGGCGGCAGGGTTTCCGAATTTCTTGAACTTTTTGGGGCCGAATAGCATTAATTTTGAGCGGTCGATGATAGAGCTGCTGGAGAAGCAGGCGGAGTATTTTGTCCAAGTAGCTGCGTGGCTGAAAGGGCGGACTAGACGTGGCGACAGAGTCGCGGTAATGCCGCGAGAGGAGGTCGCGAAGGCGTGGACGGAGAGCTTGAGGGAGGGGCAGCGGAAGCATCCAGCGGCTGGAGAGACGTGTCAGAGTTACTATAAGGTGAGAGCAGTGGGGGATTTTGCTATGGTCCTCATTCCTCAGTCATACCCATTACGCCTCCTTCCAAATCCATCTGCATGGAAGCATCCCAGAGAAGCTCTGAAATTTTGGATCTAGTCCCTCGCTTTACAACATCTCAGATTCGATGTTCCTGCTAATGCCCGCAGTTGCCCTCCGGCGCCATTTACTACTACCCGTACCGCATGTCTACCTACTATCGCCTAATCCGCCGTCCGGATTTCTAGAAAGACTGGAAAGTGTTTTCTAATAACAAAGACCTCGACGTGGAGCTGAAGTCCAAGAAACTGAGCGAAACCAAGGACATAGAATTGGGGTTGAAGATAGAGGTTCTACCCATAGAAATCCGGAGCTTGAAGAAAACGATGCTGATCCCCAGGGGCATGGCGATGTTCAGAATAGTCGCTGAGACCTGGGGTGTAGATAGTTACTGGTAGAAAATCGATAAGCTTGGGTTAGTACTAGTGACTAATGGGAGAAATGGGATGCTGAAATGAAACATGGGTATACTATATACAAGCACAACAACTAACTACATGCATTCTCGTCTTGATTGCAAATGATCCCGCCTTTTTGTTTTGAACTCCACCAATCTCCTCTAAGCCTGGCTCATCCCAATCTTATTCTTGACCCAGTTCTCCAACCCACCTAGCGCAATAATCTCTTGCACATTCGGCGGTAGCTCACCAACCTTGACACTCCACGTCTCACCTCCAGGGCCTTCTTGCACATTGACCCTACTCCTCTTGACATCCCACTCGAGCGTCCAGCCCGTGCGGCGGGTCAACTGCTTCGCCTGTGCAGGCTGAGCGACTGGGCCCGGCTTCGACGAGTCTAGCGAATCGCTGTTCTTCTCTGGCTCGGTTATATCCTGCTGGTTTGTCGAGACCTCCTTCTCCGAGAATACCTCACGGAGACGGTTCGTAAGCTTCGGCACCTCAACGCCCATAAGCGCGTTGTTGATGCTGTTGCGGCTGAAGATGTTGCCGAAGCTACCAGCAACTACAAGAGGGATGCCCTTAGCGAGGATAGCGGTAGCGGCCTGCTCTCTGCTGCTTCCGCAACCGAAGTTGAAGCCAGCGACTAGGATATCGCCAGCCTTAGCGGTTGAGCGGAATGTGGTGTCATAGTTCTCCATGCACACTTCGGCCATGATGTCGCGCGGAACGTCGTCCTGGTATGTGTATTTGCCCGGGTAGATGGCATCGGTGTTGATGTTATCGGCATCCACAAAGACGATCTCGCCGCCAATCTTTTCGGGAAATCCGGGGAGGATGGTCGTAAGGCTTTCTGACTCAGGGGCCGTCGGTAGGGTAGACGCAGAGGAAGCTTCAGCTGGCTCGGCCGACTGGATCATTTCGTCGGCTTGTCTGATGACTTTCTCGAGCATGTCCTCAATGGTCAACATGCGGTCTTCTTCTTTTACACCGTCGCCTTCTCCGAGCTGCACGCCAGCCCAGTCAGCGGGAGCTTCGTACCATCCGGGTCCTGAAATCTTCCCGGAAAGTGCGCTAGCAGCTACAACTTCAGGGCTGGCGAGATATGCCTTGGCATCCGTGGAGCCCATCCGACCTTTGAAATTCCGGTTGCTAGCACTGATGCCGACTTCGCCTGGCTCAAGAAGGCCATCGCCAAGGCCAATGCAAGGTCCGCATCCAGATGGTAGAGGTTGCGCTCCCGCTTCAAGAAGAATTTGCCAGTCGCCCTGCTCCTCAGCTGCGCGTTGTTCCTGGAGAGACGCAGCAGCAATATAGAAGTTTACATGGGAAGGGACTTTTGGAATCTTGCCATTATTCGCCGCAGCAGCATCTTTGAACACTTTGGCGGCTGAGGCAATATCTGAAGCACGAGAGTTGGTGCAAGAAACAAGATAAGCTTTGTTAACAGTGATATCCTGGGCTTGAAGGTCCTTCAGAGGCGTGGCGACCTTGACAGAGTTAGGACCGGCAACGTAGGGCGAAAGACTCGACAGATCGAGGAAGAGCTCCTTGGCGTAAGTTGCACCTTTGTCCGCGCTGAGGGCCGGGGTGAATATGGGTCCAGTTTGCTGTCCTGCAATCCCGGTGGCTTTGAAAAGCTTATCGATTTCTGAATGCTGGAATTGCTTGCTCGCACTGGTGTCGATAAGCTGTGACTCGGATTCATACATGGCGGCTTCTGTGGCCTTTGCCCGCAGCCATCCGTGAAGCACGGCATCGATTGGGAATAGGCCAGTAAGAGCACCCCACTCGGTGGTCATATTCGCGATAGCTAGCCGGTGGTCAACAGGAAGACTGCGGAGCGTTTCTTGGCTTCCGGTAAACTCGATGGCATGGTTCAGGACTTGATCATTGTTGAAAAGGCCGCATAGTGCTACGATGACATCCTTCCCTGTGACACCTTCGGGTAGAGTTCCTGTGAAGTTCACCTTGGCCACAGGTGGGATCTGCCACCAGGTCCTGCCTGTTGCCCAGATACTCGCTGCGTCGGTCCGCACCACGGGCGTTCCCAGGCATCCAATGCCTCCGTACATATTCGTATGGCTGTCCGAGGCCACGGCGAGAGTCCCTGGCCAAGCATAGCCCTCCTCTACCATTATCTGATGGCCAATGCCTCTGCCAGCAGGGTAGAATCGGACGCCCTGCTTCCTGGCGAACTCCTCAATCTGCCGGTATTTGGTGAGGTTTTTCTCGCTCTTGTTCTGCACATCGTGGTCTAGAGTCATGACAATCTGGTCCGGGTTGTCGATCTTGGAAGCTCCAATAGACATGAATTTCAGTGCCACTGGCCAAGTATTGTCATGCGTCATGCATCGATGTGGCTTGAGGGAGACATAGTCCCCAGACTTGAGAATTTTCCCAGGCGCGATATCGACAGCATATTTCTGGACGATCTTCTCGGTGAGCGTTTGAGGGATGGTGGTCGTGGTTCGGAAGGTCGAGAGGAAGTCGGCGCCAGGGCCTTCTTTCATGGAAGGGAAGACGTCAGGGCTATCTAATCCATATGTAGTTTTTGAAAGCTGCCGGATCGCAGTCCATGGACGGAGGTGCGAGGCGGCCGGTCGTAGCGGTATGCTTGGCCGAAGCTGTGAATGTTAGCCGGCTCCGAGGGTGCAATTGGGGTTGTTGAAGCATGTATAAAGCATACCAGAGCTGTGCGACGGCTCAGCAGCCTCCCCGCTCGTGTTGTCATCGCCATCCGGACAGTGGCATATGGTGACGGGCTCGTGGCGTTGAGTCGTGAAATTCTTCGCCGGGGGTCTCCGCCAAGCCCCAATTCTCCTCCGAATCGGCGTCAATCTCGTCACGTATATTGCTCCACTGCAATTGGCCCGCGACTTCTTCGTATATTGCCCCGCGATCTGAATGTGGAGTGCACACACTATGACTGTCGAGTATAAAGTAATTGTTTGTCACGCGCATTTACTAGCTCGATGTCTTATGTTTGCATCCCCGAAGTCGGCTTTCGTGACGGAGTCATTCCATCCCGTCACGCAAAATCTACATAAACCCTCATAACCACCACCAACACCTCTGTCTAACTCCAGCACTATCTGTACCCCTCGGACACTAGAATACCTCAATTGACGCCATGGTAGCCCGCTCAGACGTCCACTACTTCGGCGCTGGCCCGGCTCCCCTGCCCACCAACGTACTCGAAGAAGCCGCCAAAGTCCTCCTCAACTACAAAGACAAAGGCATTGGCATCTGCGAAATCTCCCACCGCTCTGCCGACGCCAACGAGATCCTAGCCAACACAAAAACCTCCCTCGCAAAGCTCCTCGATATCCCCGATGACTACGAGATCCTGTTCCTCCAAAGCGGCGGAAGTGGCGAGTTCAGCGCCGTTGTGTACAATCTAGTGTCAATCTGGGTTGAAAAGCGGCGGGTAAAAGCAGCAGAGCAGGAGCTAGGCAGCTCGGGAAGCGTGAAATCTTGGGGTGATGCGGTCTTCAAGCGGCTACAGAAAGAGGTCGCAGAGGAGCTGAAGCTGGACTATCTTGTAACGGGATCGTGGTCATTGAAAGCATCACAAGAGGCAGCGAGGCTGGTAGGGGCCGAACATGTCAACGTAGCTGTGGATTCGAGGAAAGCGAACGACGGCAAATTCGGCGTCATCCCGCCCGAGTCGGAGTGGACCCCCTCCAAGAAAGCTGCCTTCGCCTACTTCTGCGACAACGAGACCGTCGACGGTGTGGAGTTCCCCGCATTCCCGAAGAGCCTGGAAGGCGAAGACGCGCCACTGGTTGTCGCAGACATGTCGTCCAACTTCATTAGCCGCAAGGTCGACGTGAGCAAGTATGCCGTCATCTTCGGCGGTGCCCAGAAGAACATTGGCAACACTGGCATAACGATTGTCATACTGCGGAAGTCGCTGCTCCCACCGGCTTCTGCCGCGGCTGATCCCGAGCTGCTGAGGGCGTTGGGACTGCCTGTGGGCCCGATTGTCTTGGATTGGCCCACCATTGCGAAGAACAACAGCCTGTATAACACGCTGCCGATCTTCGACGTCTGGATTGCTGGTCAGGTCATGTCTGGGCTCGAATCAACGTACGGGGTCAAGAAGATCAGCGGCCAGGAAGAAGTCTCGAATGACAAGGCCGCAATGATATATGGGGTTCTTGACAAATATCCGGAGGTGTACCGCGTGGTACCGCACAAGTCAGCTCGCAGCCGGATGAACATCTGCTTCAGAGTCGGCGGGGGTGACGCGGAGAAGGAGAAAGCCTTCTTGACTGGAGCTGAGAAAGTAGGGCTGCTGGGTCTCAAAGGGCACCGGAGTGTGGGCGGAATTCGTGCTAGTAACTGTAAGTCGCTCAGTCTCATTATTACAAGCATTTAGTGCCCTGCGATATTTCTGGCAGTCCCTCGACTATGGAACACCAGTTCGCCGGATCTATGACATTTGCTGCAACAGTCTCGGTCCCAAGAACACGTGAAAGGCGTCGTCAGCAACAGCAGTTGCGCTAACCCGCTATCAACTCACAGATAATGCCGTGTCGTTGGACGGCGCAAAGAAACTTGTGGCCTACCTCGAGGGCTATGCGAAGGCAGTATAAGTGCAGCAGGGAGCACATGACGGCATGATAGGGGTCTTGGGCAGTAAGTAGGCGTCGGCGGCTTCAAAAATGTTCAACTCGCTCGAGCATCAAGCGATGGGTGAACTGGCATAATGTCCACATTCAACATGATACCCAGGGTTTTGTTCCGTTTTCGCTACTGAGAACATGTCCGTGATGGCGATTGCCAGGCCGGTTCAATAAAGGGGAATCTACTGCATCAACCGGTTGTTTTCTCAAGCTGTGATGTGCGAACACCCATCCGATGTGGAGTGCGGGATGGTGGCAACCGACTCGAGTGGTATTCCAGAATGAATCGAGTCAGGGCCGTCCAATGCATCTGCTCGGATAGCTTCCGATATAGTAGTCTAGTGGCCAGCCCTACCGGCCTTCTTTCGCGGAGCAAGATGCAATGGAGCTACCCGCCGTGGTTGGCGAAGCTTGCCCATGTGGCTGATGCTTCCGAAACGCAGGGGCCTCTCCACGCGAGCGATTGACACCCCCCATTTCTCTGAAACTCCACCTCCTCAACCCTCACACACCCCGCCACGCATCCCACCACCGCGGGCAGCGCTCCGAGAAAACCCTATCGAGTGTCCAGCATGAGCATGACAGGTGGCCTTGCAGCCGTGACGCGGTGACAGCGCGGCATCTTCCAGCCACTGGCGTGCAGGAGAATGCGAGTCTCCTGACGGACATTCACTCTTTGCAACGTCCGCTATCACCCTCCACATCGTCATCCTCGCGGGTCCAAGATTTACGCTAGGCTTCACGCTCTAGATCCGGCGCTATTGTTGCCGCCGCTATGATCGCACCCGGGACGAGCTTGATATGTGGGCCTGGGCGTCTTCGCTCAGACGGCCAGTGGGAGTTTCTCCAGCATCCCCAGTGCCAATTCACCCAATGCCTATCCAGCACGCGCGGCGTTGCTTCTACTTCCTTCTCGTATTTCCGCGCTCTATTATGCATACTGAACAAGCGTTTGCTACCGTCTGAGTCTTTGCCGTTCCGAGTTCTCGCTTCGTCCCATGTCTGCCGTCCCACGCGTTTCACCCTTCTGTCTGCCGCACACCCAAACCGCAAGACGTCTGAAGGCGCTCCCCCACCACCCCTCCCTCCAGTAGTCGCGATCTCTGCACCAGCCGCTGTTCAAACAGGCTTCCTGAGAGCTGTACGACGAGCACTGACTGTTCTACGGATCCCGAGAGGAGCATGTTAGAAGCAGAAGTAGCAGGGGCGGATTCATACACTGACTCCGACCGCGACCGATAACCTCATTTTCATACTATCAGTGCCACCGTATCGTCGCGCGCGGGTAACAGCCTCGCAGCATGGAAATAGCACGGCCCAATTACCATATGGCGGGTGGCTTGCAGCATGCTGCGGCCTTCGGACGGGTCTCCTTCGCCCGCACAGCATGGCTCTCCACCATGGCCAGGACCTGCATGAGCTTGAAACCCTTTCTCGACCTAGCGTCTGCCACTTCGGAACTGACATCACCTAGGATGGACTGTGCTAATGCTTCGCGCGCAGCTACTGGAGTGACGGACGCCGCAGGACCGCTGTCACGAAACTCTCTGCTACCCTCCTTCAAGTCAGGCGCTCCTCATATACCTTTTCCCGTCTCATATGGCGTTGCTGGCCGACAGCCTTCATGCTCTGACGCTCTTTTCGTTCTACTCATTGCTGGCAGATTCAACCAAGCTGGCCTTTGTCTGACGATTGAACGGGTGTTTTTCTCACGTTCATCATCAATCTTCTATCTCCATGGTTTCCTAATTTCTTCACTCTTTTAGCCGCTGCTGGTCCTCAGCGAGAATCCCTTCTTTCTTGTACATTCCTAAAGCGCGGCTACAATATGGAAAAATGGGATGCCGTCGTCGTCGGCCTCCTCGTCGAGCGAGGCCAGAGCTCCGATGCTTCGAACGGAACCGTTAACTCGACGCTTGCACACTCGGGCACTACGTGGCCAGCGACGAACCACACCAAGCAGGTGATCAAGAGCCTCCAGCTCGCTCAAGTACAGACCTTGAGGACAATGCACGTCACGCTGGGAGCGTTCAGTCTAGCTTTGGTATTGTTGATGATCGCACGAATATTGAACGATGCTCGCCGAGTAGCAGCCTATCAGGTTCCTTTACGACCAAAGTTTGTACCCGACAGGTTCTCTATCAACTGAGCTGACATTATTTAGAAAGCTCGGTTTCCTATTGAACGTACACCCCGCCGAAGTCTTTCCACTCGTGCTCGCCTCCGGAATCGCAATACAGGAAATTGTTTTCATAACGGTGCAGAGCACTGCCCTCGATAGTCTTGTAATCAAAGGATGTAGGGGCATTGCAATGGCTACATATCCTGGTAGAGCAGACCCCAAGATACCTCTTCAGCAGTGTTGCATTGCTGACCTATTTCCGCAGCCCTCTTCCTTCTAGGATATCTGCATATAGTTTTCGGAGCAGAGGTGGCCATCCGAGGCCTAAAAGCTGATCGATTTGCTCCGCGTAGCAGATGGACAACAAGAATCTGCCTAGGAGTCGTCTTGTTCCTGCTAATACTCACACTCCTTCCGACGATCATCTGGGTGAGCCCGAATCACTGCATTGGTAGTTTGATTTGGTTCCCCATTCGCTACGAATTCATTACCCTGGTTATAATTATAGTATTTGTCGTCACTTTCCTTATACTCGCTGCGGTGATCAGCATGCAACTCATGAGAAGCATCAATGTGGATCCAAACGAGCGGATTGTAGCTTCTCGGATATGCTATTACCTTTGTGCAACCACGATCTTATACGTGAGTTTCCGTGTTGTTTCGTGTTGTGTTCATATCTAAAGTCAGCAGGCACTCTTTCTTCCGTTCCACATTCAGGTCCGCCGTCATGACCTAGACGAGTCTCTCGCTACTAGCAGGATTGCCGAGATCCCTTTGTTCGCTTCTGGTATCTTCATCTCCTTCATCCACTTATTCCTTCGCGTAAATGCGAGCCGAATGGTCATCAAGCCGGTTGGCGTTCCACGGCAAAAACGTCCTAAGCTGCGTTTCTTCGGACCAAGCGACCTCGAGATGAACATCAGTGGTCCAATGATGCACCGACCAGCTAGCCAGGATCGCCTTGTTCACGAAAAACAACGCATGGACGGTGAACCAGAAGAGATGAATTACTACAACCGACTCGAAAAGGGACCGCAGTCAATCAAAAGCCCAATGACCCCAACCCCCCGTGGAGTCGATCCATCAAAATGGCCACTCCCACCAGCACCCCTCTCAGTAGAAGGCAACCGCTTCACGGCCAACTTTAGCCACAAGCGCGCAAAATCAAGCTACTCCCTCTTCCCCACCCGCGCAGAAGAGATACCCCGTCTCCCAGCCACGATCTACACCCCTTCCTCCACCGCAAAGCAGCCTGCCTTCTCTGCAGCCGACAAACGCCAGACCTCTATGAGCACCGCCCCCTCCGTCACCGACGTCCACGAAGCCTCCCTCCAGTGGTTGAACCCTCCGTCTCCTCTCTTCTCTTCCCAACGCCACCGACGCGACGACAGTAACGACAGCAGCGCCACCGTTCAAATCGGCCTCCGCTTCTCTGTCGCCCCCGCCGCGATTGCTGCAGCTGACTGCATCGCCGCGACACGCATGCCTCAATCACAAAAACCGGGCAACCTGCGCCGCAACGAGTCGAACGACTCCAGCGGTTCCGAATCCCTCGGGTTACCCATTCAAGCACCCTCTGACCTCTCTTCCAATGACAACTCAGACTCAAATTCGGACACAGATCTCCCAAGGCAGACTAACGAGCCGCTCCAAGCGCTCGCTCCCGTTGTGGTGAGCCCCTCTGCGTTCTCGATGATCACGCCGCAGAATAGCGGTAGTTATCTACAAGCAGCGCGGAATAAGGTACTCCCACCTACCCCGAGGGGGAGTGCGGTGCCGCCGCCACTACAGCCAGGGTTGAGTGGATTGAGGATGAATCCGGTTAGTCCGGCGAGTGTCGTTGGGTCGCCGAGAGAGAAGGGTATAAGAAGCCCAGTGCGAAGTCCGACGGGCAAGGGAGTTGGGCCGGGGGAGGGGACAATGGCGCGCAGTCCGCCGAGGGACGGGAGTTGGATATAGTGGAGTGGGAAGGTGAAAGGGAGAGGATTGTATCATTATCACGAAGTGCTTTTCTTCTACGGTGTTTGGAGGTCTTGTATGAGGCGTTGGTTTTGGGCGTTCTGTTGGTATTTCTTTTGTTTTGTTCGTGCTCCGTTCACTTCCTGTATACTCACCGCCACAATCCTTCTCGCACTCCTCCTCCCCTGCCCTCCTCTTATCTTCCCTACTACCTCACCACCATCACGGCGAAAAACATGACATCACGAACTCCCCGCCGCAGACCCTCATTTCTTTCCCCCTGATTCAATCCCTTCCTTCGTTCTATCCATCACTTGTGCGCTTCAAGACTAGCAAAGAAGAGGGAGTCATCCAGCGTGCCACACCTCATTTCAAGCACGAACTTGTATAATCAGGATTCGGTAACCGGGGATGTCATGTCGATGTCAATGTATGTAGAACTATAACGTCCAGAGCATTTCATCGACCGATAAGTCTCGTCTTGTATCTAAACACGTGGTGTCGGTGCGTGACCTCCGCTCAGAGGTAATGTAAGTTGTGCGGTTTTCACGTGCGATTCACGTGCGGGTGACTAATACCGCCCTTGAATTCTTTTGCGAGGGGTATATAACGTCGCCCGCTCTCTCCTCTCCCGTTTTCATGGGCGCGGAAGGGGAAATGGGGCACTGGTTCAAAAGCTCAAGGCAGAGTTTGCGATCGACTGGTCGGAGTTGAACCCACCAAGTGGTATTGATGGTTCCTTGGTTGGTGGTGGTGGAAGATCAAAACAGCGTGCGAACAGAGCTAACATGGAGTGGTGGGGGTGGTGCGGGGTTGAGAGAGGGTTGACGAACACTAATGAAGAAGAAGACCCGAGGGAGGAGTGTAGGAGTGCTTTGGTGGCGGATGATTGAAGAGCTATGGAATGGTGGAAGTGGTGGGAGCGGTGGAGCAAATGGCCTGACGATCACCGTTCATGGAGTGGGTGCTCCCGATGTTGTCGTTGTGAGGGATCAACATCTTCACAAAAGCCTGGTATGGAGTGAGGAGTGGGCGAATAACGGGTGCAGGCGAGGTGAATGATGGAGTGGTGGTTGAACACCCGGAGGTGTTGGATTAGAACAATCACCTACAGCAAGCAATGCTAGTAGCAATCAGGGGCGATGGTAGCAATTATGGGGTGAATCATGTACATAATGTCCGGTTTCAGCAATGGTCAGACGCTACGGTCTGAAATACAACCGGAGGAGGAAAAGAGCGGTATGGAGGAGTGGTGGGAGAAAACGACTACGACCTCAGCGCGATGGAGATCTGGACGAAGCAGTGGGGGAAAGGAAGTGGTGATGACGCGCACTTTCTTCTTCGTGATGATCTGAAGGGGTATGTTGAGATGCTAGTTACTGAAGACTCGGGAGTGTGGTGGGGAGAGCCTTGAGAACTGAATTATGAAGTAAAGCAAAAAGGCGCGATAGGGACCATCACCGTTGCATGGGATTGAAGTCTCACACCAAAAGCCTCTCAGTGGTCATGTGAGTTTTGGAAGGGTTCTTTTGATCCAACGACACTATTGTGTTAGTTTGCAGGCCGAGGCATCTGAACATTGATAGAACGCGACATTATGTACATGATGGCGCCCTGTTTGCTACTAGTATTGATTGCTGTGGGTGATTGTCATAATCCAACACATCGATCGCTAGTGAACGTGTTGTTGAGCTAGAATACCACTTGTAGCACTCATGTCGAGCCAGGATAAGATATTCTGATCCACACCCACACCATGAGCCTGCATTCGTCGACAGTGTGCAGTCTACATCGCCCCAAATACTCCATGAGGAACTCAGAGCCCACAGCCGTCTACACTTTTATTGCATCCTCGAAGAAGATAACTGAGTATCACATCCCGCGACTTTATCTCCTTCCGGTTAGTGCGACCGGCTAATTCTGTCCCCTAAAATTCTCCCAGCTCTTTATTCTACATTCACTGCATAGAAACCATCACTGGCGCCGAGCAGATTAAGAAAATTCGCACAATCAGCCACCCGGCCTTCAAAATGCCATCACACTCTTCCGGCCAGATGTTCAGGCCGGTCGCCAGGATATGCTGATGTCAGCTGCGTTCTGAACTAGGTAAGTCGGCCCGAGTGAGAACTGTAGAATCGAGTGGGGCAGGGAAACAGGTAACCAGTGGCTATATAAGGCCGGAATGCTGTCAGACTAGAGCTATAAATTCGCAATAAACTTCCTTCATCCTCTAAACTTTGCAATCCCGACCTCGCTTCTTCTCTAGAACTATTCCCAACCGACATTCTTCACTCGTCCCCTTCCATCTATCTTCAACCCTCCGCTTTCCTCTACGTCGAACGCTTCCATCTCCCGCAGCTATGGGCTCTCCCAATTCCTCCCGTCCAAAGAACGTACTCATAACCGGCTGCTCTGCCGGCGGCATTGGCTCAGCCCTCGCCTTCTCCTTCCAAAAGCGTGGCTACCTCGTTCTTGCTACAGCTCGCGATGTCTCCAAAATCGACCCCGCCCTTACTTCTCTCCCCTCAGTCACCACCATCAAGCTTGATGTCACATCTGACGCCAGCATCGCTGCCGCGGTAGTCGCCGCGCGCGAAGCGCTGGTCGCCGAAAAGCACGCCGGTCTTGGCTTCCTCGTCAACAATTCTGGCGTCGGGACTGTGATGCCATGGCTGGATTACGAAATGAGTGAAGCGAGGCGACTATTCGAGACGAATTTCTGGGGCGTGTTGATGGTGACAAAGGCGTTCATGCCGCTCCTAATTGAAGGCCAAGGCACGCTCGTGAACATCGCTAGCATAGCCGCCAAAACCTGGAACCCCTACGAAACCATCTACAACGCATCCAAAGCCGCTATCCAGCAATGGGGCGACACGCTACGACTTGAACTCGAGCCACTGGGAGTGGGTGTGGTAAGCGTTATGGCGGGCATGATTCAAAGTCAATGGTATAGCAATAGTGTGCCACCACTGAAATTACCCGAGGACTCGTACTATCAGCCTGTGTTGAAGAATATACAGGGGAGTGTGACGGGGGTAGCGAATAAGGAGAGTGGGACGCCGCCGGATGTGTTTGCGGAGACGGTGGTGAAGCAGCTTGTGAATGGAAAGACCGGAAAGATATGGGCGGGGGCGCTAAGTACATTGATTTGGACTTTGGGGTGGTTTCCGGAGTGGGTTTCGGTGAGTAGACTTGAGGAACACTGGAAGAGATGTTGCTAACAGGTGTGACAGGACTATATTTTGAGAGATCGATCGGGGTTGGGAAGTATGAAGAAGCTGAAAGATGTGTGATGCGGTCTCGAAAGATACATATCTCAAGATGTCGTAGTGAACATGAAGCAACTACAACATGTGGAACGTACACGCCGCGTCTACCAAGTTCTCCTCTCATGTGGTCAATTCTGTAACTTTTAGCAACCAACTTTCGAGCAAAGCACCTCCGCCCCGTTTCACTAACCCAAAACCGACGGCCTGATTTCGAGCGCCTTGGCCCATCCATCAGAACTCGAAAAGCGCCTACGCCGCGTGCCCTCCGCGTCTACCAAGCCCGATCTCACGCGGTCAATTATGTAACTTTAACTAACCAGCGTCCTTGACGAAGTCCCTCAGCCACTTTTCACAATCCTTTTTCCGTTAACCTGATATCCAGTCTCCTTGCCAGCCAATGAGGTCTCAAAAAACAACCACTTTACACGCACGCCGCGTGCCCTCCACGCCTACCAAAATTCGTCTCACGCGGCCAATTATGTTACTTCTTCGAACTAGCTTTCCAGCAAAGCACCTCTGCACCTTGTCGCTATCTTTTTTCCATCCGCCTAATTTCGAGTCTACTTGCTAGCTAGTGACGTCTCGAAAAACAACTACCCCACGTCCACGCCACGTACCCTCCACGTCTACCAAAATCCGTCTCATGCGGTTCGATTCGTTGCTTTAAGCAACATAAGTGCGCTCCGCCTGTACGGAAACACCTCAGTGGCTGCTCGCTATACTCTTGACAGTGGCTTCATTTGTGGGTGTTAGTTCTAGGGTTTCAGGGAAATATGCTATGGGTACGCGGAGGGTACGCGGCGTCTAATAAGATTTGGTATGTGCGGTTGATTCGGTGAGAACTTGTAACCGACTAGCGGCAGTTCGGAACGGAGAGGCTTCAGATCATGTTCATGCCGGCTCTGGCGACTACCTGATTCCGGCCCTGCGGTCAAAAGGTTGGAAATCACCACACCAGGCACATGCGGCTTAGACGCCGCGTCTTCAGATTTTACTCCTCCACAGTTCATTCTGTATGCACTTGTGGCCAGTAAATACATGTAAAACGTGAGATCCTTCAGAGCATCTGAATGCAGATAACTACGTCAACTCGATTCCAGAGAAAACAGGCCCTAAAACCCAAGACTCCCGCTGCATTGCGCAAAACCAGGGAAGTATTTTCCCTCAGCAGTTTGGCCATTCTCCACCCAATACGACAAACACTGCCACGTGTTCGCCGCACATTCCTTAACATTACTGTTATAGTTCTCTGTCTTGATCCCCATCGACATATACCCTCCGCAGCCGACAAATATGTTGTCTTTCAAGTACTGCATCGAGTGAATGCACATTTGCAATGCCATCTTTGCCGGATCGTCGATCACTTTGCCGTTGAGTCCCGTGTTACCGTGGTCTGAGTACTTCGTGTATTGGTTGCAGAGGTGTGCATTGGGCACGGTGTCGAACTGGTTGTTTGGGGGTGTTTGGTTGTAGACGCGCGGTTTGTCGGGCGAAATAGTCCAGAAAGCGTTTGCGTCCTGATATGTGCCACCCCATTTCAGGCTGCGACGGATGTGTTAGAATAGGGAGGTTCCAGGGTGGACGAAGGATCTGGGGGCAATCACTATCAGGGAACACTCACTTGAACTGGTTCAGGGTATCGTCATGGTCGCAGCCGGCGCTAAGTTTTTTCAGAACCGTTTCGCATTGGCTCCGAACGTCTTGGGGCGAGAGGTTTCCGTTTGAGTAGACGCTAATGGTTACCGCGTTCCAATCGCCATCCCCTTGGTTATACTTCATTTCGCTCGTCCAATTGCCTGTGGCGGGGGGTGATCTGATCCAATCGTTTCCGCAAAAAGTTTCGATGTTTGCGTCGAGCGAGACCTGCTCGACGAATTTCCAATTCTGATGGTCTTTCATACGGTCCGTGTCGGCCTTGTAGCATATTTGCGTGGGCTGCTGGTCATCGCTCTCCTCGGGGAGGTGTTTCAGGAAGTCGAGAGAGATCTGAAGCTCCTCGTCGGTGATATATCCATCGGGGTCCGTAATACTTAGGTAGCAGGGGCAGCTGGCGGAATTAGCAAAAGGGTTCCTTTTAAAACTAACAACGGTGCGTAATATACTTTTTGAAGTAACTGTTCTCATCATCGCTGAACTATGGCCTGCGGTCAGCATCCAGGGAAGGAACGTCCGATCATTTAACTTACTCCTTTGCATTTTCCCTTGTATGTCGTTAAGTCGTCCGCGATAGCGTTTCCGCCGCAATTATCGCAATATGGCGTATAATAGGCATCAGGGCAATTCCCTGTCGGTATCTCCAATTGCTGGTCCAAGAATTGGGCCGAGAACTTCATCTTACCATCGGTAAACGCAATATTGCCGACCGAATATCCAAAAGCCATCCAAGTAGCGAACTCAGAAATGCTACCACGTGCTCCGGCCGCAAGTCCTCCACCTAAGACCAGGTCGTTGGCGTAGTCATCATCCTCTTTCAGTGCCTCGACCAAGAGCTGGTTTTTCGGCTGCGGAAAGTCCTTTGGCGATACAAACATAATATCAGCGGCTGGGCCTCCGACCTGAGCGATTCGCATGATGGCTTGAGCATATTGGACAATGCACTGCATCGTGACACGCTTGTTGAGTGAACGCTTCCCGTCGCGCTCGCAGATGACTTTGGTCCAGCTATCTTTGATCGCCTGATCAAGACCTTGGACGTTGACGGTGACGTCGCCATTGGCCTCCTTTGTGGTACCCGGGATGTTCCTGTGAAACGGTAATTAGCTTCGCCTGTACCTTTGAGGTAAAGAGTGCAGAAACATAAACATAAACTTACTGAGGCTTCGGCTGGGCAGTATCGATAGCTACTGGGAATCCATTACCAGTCATAGGCTTGTAATCGAACGTCGGGACGAACTCGTCAAGTTGCCACTTCGAGACCTCGTCAACCTGGTCTTGAGGGATGTCTATTTGAATTATGTTTTCGAGATTCTCGTCCTTGTCAAGCCATACGTATTCGATAACGATGGGGATGATATAAGCGAGCGCGAGGCCGCCTAATATGGCTAACCCTGCTAGAAATCTTTTTTGGAGCCCGTCCGCGGTTGGGCCAATGCCCATAGTATCATGCAGTTGCTTTTTGCAATTGTCGTCTTGAGGATTTGCGCAGCTGCTTTTCAGGACGTTATGAATCTTGGCCGAAATATCTGTCCCAAATGTGATGGTCGTGCCATCCCCCTCTGATACCACAATATCCCCAGGCCCTGGATTAACAGTAGCCCCCTATAGTGCGTTAGTGAAAGGAGTAACATACTGTGGTATGCGTCGGTATTTACCGTAGTCCCAATATAGGATTTCGGGTCTTTCTGAGTGAATGTAGGAACATCGGCGGCGGCCAGAGAATTCAAACTCAGGTGTAGCAGTAGTGGAACAAGAACGTTCTTCATAGTGAGTGGAGCAAAGAGCAAAGAGCAAAGAGCAAAGAGTGACTGAAGCGAGAGAGTAAAACGAGGAGCGAGACCGATGGGAACCCAGAAGACTGTAAGACTCAGAATACTTATATTGACCATTCACTCTAGAGACCATGTAATCTGGTTGGCGAACGACTCTTGAGTTTAGCTACCAGGGGCTATGCTCCCGTGAGATTTGAGCGGGGGCCATTCGCTACTCCGGCTATTCCGTCATCTTTACCACGTTGCTTAGAACTTGGTGCTTGGAAAACACGGGTACTTGGGGGCGGGATCGATCTATTCAGGATCGAGCCACGAAGATCGACTTGTTGGAGCTAGTTGGTCGCTCGGGTCAACGTTTCATTTGAAGGAGACTATTTAGAGGTTGGTTTGTTGGAAGGCGGGCCAACTGGGGGCGAGATCGACCTATTTTAAAAGTTAGGGGGGGAGATCGACGTAGGGGGGGGTGCGGTTGACCCGCAATCCTGTCTTCCGCCTAACCGTCTTTAGTAAATGGCCAAGAATACAGTAATCGAACTTCAAAATCACATCTATATCCTGGTGGCTCTCACAGCCTCAACCTCGTAGTCATGAGTTGGTTGATCGTGAATAGGCTTTCGAAATTGGAGGGGCTCCAGAGTCCGATATTTGCAGCTCCATGATCCTTCATCAGCAAATTCCCACCCATATTCTATTTCTTGCAGTAATACCGAGGTAGACACCGCCGAAAATGTGAGCAATTAATCTCGGGCAAAATCACTAGTATCAATACGATGTTGGTGACAGCTTGGTGAGGAAAAGCCCTGCAAATCCGCTACTCGAAAATAGAGTTACTTGTCACCATTTCCTCCAAAGCGTGCGCAGCCACCGATACATGTGGATAAGTCGCAAAGACGAAAATTGAACGTGCCTAAGAAGAAATAGAACCAAATTAGAAGGGGGCTGAGTATGGATGTAACCAAAGGCCGCTTATTCTACGGCTTTGGGGTTAATTGGCGAGAAGGAGAACATAAAATCATGTCGAGCAGACTTACTTGACTATACAAAAGGCTTCTGCGCCGCCCTTCAAGTCTAAAGCGCACTTTGCTTTTCCCATTTGATCATCGTCTTTCGTTTTGTGTCTTACACCGTCCTTCCTTTTATGCAACTCAACATGCTACTCTCCGACATCTCTGTCAAATTAGGGATTTACCTCTCTCTTCTTGTATCGTTCGCTGCCGCCGATTTCACATATTGGGTAGATTCCAGCTGCGACTCAAAATTCAAGGTACAAGATGTTCTTGATGAGGTCTTCGACACCGCAAAATTAGTGAGAGATCGGCTCGCACGCACTCCTAAAGAAGAACCTACAGCGTATCTTGCCTTCAAAACCATTTTCAAATACGCACCAGACACCACCGATCCAATGGATGCAGATAGATACAGGCAATTCAAGGGTCAGTATCCGAATGTCTCTGCGGCACTTTGCTTGCTGATCTTGTACGTAGACATAATCGGTGGGTTTCCGGGCGAAGATCAATACGGCGATGGTCTCGTCAAATTCACGAAGGAGCCACTTGCTGGTGAAGCGGGGCGCAAAGCGTCTGAAATACGTATTTACTGTGACAACGACGATCGCTTCAAGCTCGTAGAAGACGATCCGAAACAAAAAGAAGGCACACGAAATTCAGACCGGGACAAGTCCGAGCAAGAGTGGATTGATCCTATCAACAACATCAAACAAAAGGGGACGCCGTCGTGCAAGAAAAATGCGGACCGTACAGATAACAAATATACCATGGGCGTCACGTATGGAGGAGCGGCCGGTCCAGGGATAGTTGATAATGATTTTGAGAACAACTTTAGGCGGGTCTCCATTACGGTTAGTGATCTATTCCACTCGTACCATGAAATTGGATCTTAATTGTTGGTGTCCAGTTATGCGACCATTTGCTCAACCAGCCGAACCGGATCGATACAATGAAAGACCTTCCTTTCAACGCAAACTTCATGCCTAATTCAATCGTGAAATCTAAAGGATTTCCGTCAGTTGAAACACTCCGTGCGGTAACAAGCATGGTGCTATATCACGAGGTCCACCATCATATTCGTTATAAGCGTAAGCCACTCCTCCCGGAGTCTACTTTGGAGCAAACGCAGTAAGGCAAGCTGACTGACTCGAAATCAGGGCGTGATCTACAATATGGATGGGCAGATTGTCAAAAACTCACCAATGTCGACGCGACCAGAAACGCGGATAGCTATTCGCTACTTGGTATCCTGTTCAGAGGAATGGAGAAGAAATATGGCCTTATTGACGGAAAGGATCCAGGTAGTGGTCAGTGGTACAAGGACAAGACGATTCCCAATCGCGTCCCCTATAACGCTCCTTCGAAACGAGAAAGCATACTCTCCTGCCATGATGAGCCCGCCAACGCAAACGAGGCTGCAGGCTTAGTTTGCGTAGAGTTTTCAGCATAGCGTACTCGCATCTGGGAGGACTCATCTCAGTATTGATTGTAGTTGAATCTGCGTAGCTTTCTTCTTTCTTCCACAATAGAAACACGCTTCGGCGTCAGCATTTAGCAAACCCATAAGTCGATGTCCAACGTCCAGCTTCGACTTGCTCGTATTTTTGGTGCCACGAACTTAGCTGCGATCAGTCGTAGCTCGGCCTAAGACCTTGTTTGCTGAGGTGCAGAAGCAGAAGCAGAATTGGAGGAGTCCTGATTCATCAAGGGAAGGTGAAGAGATTGGGAGGGAGTCGCAAGTGGTATGGCGTATTGAAAACGCTCGCTAAGACGTAAAAGGCCTAGAGGCAGAATCAATACACGTGCAATTCGATAGGACACCACAGCATCCATCAAGCACGATAAACAGAACACCCTTTTGCAACAAACTTGGAACTAATCCCAATCTCACTATCTAATATATAGTGCAGCAGTTGCTCAAGCTGTCACGGTTATAGCAGTACGATTTCAGCGCCCAATTACTAGAAGACGCGGAACTCCATCTCAACCCCCCACCTGCATCCATCAATAAACGCGCCTGAGACGGCCCAGTAACATAGGAAACCTCTTCAGGCATAAGACGCCTAAATATCTTTACAATGGCATCCCCAAACCTCTCCACCCTCAGCTCCGACCACGCCGCCTCGATCTCAACCATCCTCAATCACCTCTTCTCCGTCTTTGACGCCCACTCGATCCTCGCCACTGCTCTTACGCCCACCTCTATAACAATCAACTACGCAAACGGCACCCCAGAAACCTACCTCCTACACTCCACGCGCGAGATTCCTTTCTCACCGCCCCTCCTTTCTCTCGCCGACGCCGGCGCCCGCCTCGACCAAATGGCCGCGGAATCTCGCCTACGCCCCAAATCCGGTAAAAGCAGTATCACCATCACCGAATACAGGCTACCCCGCGGTAAGAACCTCAAAGTGGCGCTATGGGGCGCGTTGAAGGTGGTGGTGTGGCCGACGGTGCGGACAATCATGGGCGGGAACCTGTATACGGACCTGCTGGGGCTATTTAGGAAAAAGTGGGCGTGTGGGATACCGGCTTTCTTCGTGATACAAACGATGTGTGTGCAATTTGGGTCAACGGGGTTAGTTCTGGTGCCGAAGTTGCACAAGTATAACGTGCCGTTTGGGTCGGTGCTGTGGTGGAAGTGGTGCTTGGGGAATGTTCTCGGGGGGATGACGTCGAGTTGGACGTTCGATGAGGTGGTTCATGAAGAGGAGGTTAGGAGGGGGGCGGAGGTGAAGAAAGCGGTCTGAGTTTGTATGACTGATCATCCTCTCTAGTGTTTCTTAAATTGTACCCTCGCACCTCTGCCTAGCTATCATATAACATAATAGCCTGTCATCGTGTTCCTCGGCGGTTGCTACCCGATAAATGTCATGCCTCCACTTGCGCTTAGAACACCCCCAGGGACCCATCAATTGGAGAAGGTATGGAATATAATATCGCGATTGATGGCTGAACGGACTTGGAGTCTGTCAACAATACTTGGGAGATGACGGAAGACGCGAAAGTGGGAATGTATCTAGCCTCAAAACTCACGGGGTAGGGAATATGGCCGTGGAGGCATGAGGCCATCCCGAAGCGCGATAATCGTGATACACGTCTCATGGAAGGTTGGTATTCTAGAACGGCTCGGACTGCCCCCAAGCCTGCTAAAGGTGGATTACGGCAAGGTTTCTGGGGATCTAACCGCCGCTATCGTCTAGCTGCCATTTCCTATCATACAGTCGCTAGAGCAACAGTAGCGTTGGCGGCCAATACGCGGCAAGGGTACATTCTAGCCACCTTTATCAGCTGCTCCTCTGCTTGAGAAAGCTTCTGGATCAACATCACTATGGTCGTGTCCCACACCTGTGCTCTGTACCGGTACTTCGATTGTTTAGGTGTGTCATAAGTATCGGGCATCTCTTAACCACGCTTGTCGAAATAATGGATACTTTGTGCTATGCGGTTACAGTCATCGGGCTATTTTGGAGAAGGAGGGAGGACGCGGGTTTCTTAAACAAATCGCTTGAGAACGATATCAAACCAGATATTCACAGATCTCTCCCAAAGATCTGCTATTTCTAACCTGTTCGTCCTCTCCGGTGCTCGATTCAAAGGCCATCTGCGTTCACCCAGTTTCATTGTCATCATGGCACCCACCAAACACTCTTTGGATCCAATTACTCCAACAAAGATCACGCAAACCGTGGAGATTTTGCGCGCCAAGTATTTAGACCAGAAGGTGCGCTTCAAGCTTGTCGATATATATGACTGTCCCAAGGCAGACATCATCCCGTACTTGGAGACCGAACGACTCGGGAAGTCATTGTCTCCCACCCCACCCCGGCGCGCTCAAGTCTACTTTCATTAATCAAGTCCACATTTCCTATACAAAACCCGCGTCAACGTCACGGCTGGGGTCATTGAGATTGTGAAGAGTCTAGAAAGTATCTAGGACCGCATGGACTTCGACGACTGGAGCGAGATTGAACACGATTGCAACACTCATCCTGACGTCCTCAAGGAGATTGAGCTACTGAAGCTTCCAAAAGGGTATGGTTGGTATCAATTCTTAGGCAAGGGTCTGCAAGCTGATTACAATCGCATAGCGCTCGCATAGTAAACGACCCTTGGGCATACGGCACCGATGATTCTGCTGGGCGTCGGCGGCTCTTACAGTGCTATATGTACATTGTTCTTAATGATGATCCCGAGTCCAATCACTATTCCTTGCCCGCGCCCTTCTCATCAGTATTCGATGCCATCACCAAAGAACCCCTCTGGATAGATCACCGCTTAGGAGACGGAAATGAAGTCGAAACGACCACCCCATGGGATCCCGTGAACGCCGTTGAATGTTCCGCAAACTTGTTAAAAGACCCCTTCCAGACCGATCTCAAACCGCTTCAGGTTCAGCAACCTCAAGGCCCGTCATTTGAAGTGGGCGGAAGGAATGTCGTGTGGCAGAAGTGGAGGTTCAACCTTGGCTGAACGATGCGAGAAGGGCGTGTGCTCCAAAACGTCACATATGACGGACGAAACACGTTCTACCGCCTATCCTTGAGCGAGATGACAGTCCGTTACGGTGACCTACGAACGCCATACCACCGCAAGCAAGCTTTCGACCTCGGCGACGCCGGGCTGGGGATGATGTCGAACTCGGCTGCGACTGCCTCGGGGCTACCAAGTATTTCGACGGTTACCGCACCACCGCAGACGGCGATGTGGTTGCCATGCCCAACGTCGTCTGCATGCATGAAGTGGATGCTGGTGTTGGCTGGAAACACAAATTTCCAGACCGGCACCACTTCCGTCGTGCGAAACAGCCAGCTGATCGTGCAATGCACGGCGACCTTGGCGAATTACGAGTACAATTTTGCCTTCATGCTCGACCAGGCCGCCGCCATTCACTTCGAGCTGAGGGCTACAGGCATCGTCTCTACCATGTCTATCCGGAAAGGGGTCAAGGTCCCATGGGGCACGAATGTAGCACCAGGCGTGATGGCAGCAAAATATCAACACTTGTTCAATATCCGTGTCGACCCAGCTATCGATGGCCATGCCAACACCGTCGCCTACGAATCTCATGTGCCCGCCGGTTCCGAGGACGAAGACCCGTTTAGATGTGCGTTCAAGATCGCGGAGACCACCGTCACCAAAGCCGGTGGCTACGCACTCGACGTCGACAAGACCCGGTGTATAAGATCCAGAATTCATCTATGCTGAACGAAGTCTCCGGCAAGCCAGTGGCCCCTCGCAGATGATGACATGAAGCCAAACACCTTCAACGCGAAACGCGCACTCTTCGCGTCCAAGCCGATCTGGGTTACACGGTACCAGGACGACGAGCTGTTCGCCGCCGGCGAGTTCACGAATCAAAGCAAGGCAGATACCGGGCTGGGTGTCTGGGCCACGCGGGATGATGATGTGAAGGACACGGACGTAGTGCTCTGGCACTCGTTTGGCTGGAATCATGTGCCGAGACCAGAAGGCAGGTCTTGCTTGTGTTGCGGTTCTTTAATAAGTGCTGACTCTGGGCCTTTGATTTCCCCGCGATGCCGCAGGAAATGATGTCGATTAGTCCGAAGCCGTCCAGCTTCTTCACGCAGAATCCTAGCAACGATGTGCCGCGCTCTAGCCAAGCGATAAATAAGTCTACGTTGGTGGAAGCGTCTTGTCACAAGCTGTAGGGGCCTCTAAGCGCCGTAGCAAAGGGGAATGGTGTGAAGCGGTCGTTCTCCAAGCAGTAGTCTCACATCGGTGCACCATTTCTGAATCATTGCCTCAATATCCGTGTAGCCGTCTTTTTGACAGTAATATCACAACGAAGATAAATGAACGTAGGATGTCTGTCATGAAAAAGATAGAATACGAAGCCCCTGGTTCCAAGGACGTCGCCCATGACATCCCTCACATTTACACGTTCACGTCTCTATGCTAGAGCACCCCTGACCACACCGTTATTTCTCAAGCTCCATCGTCAGAAGTCACCATGGTTAGTCCCCAAAAGAAGTAAAAGGCAGCACTGTTTGAATGTTTGGCCTTAATCCTAAACTCCGTGAAGTTAATCGGAATCGTCGAGACATTCCACGACTTGGAAGGGATCTCAGTAATGACTGGCCCAAACATCCTGAACTTCTTCAGTGTTGAAGATTGTGGACCGGGGACTCTTAGATTGATTGATTGACAGCTTTCCTAGACTCCAATTCATTTGAACTGCAGCCCTGCAGGCCATATCGAATCGCTTAGACGAGGCCTCTCAGCACTGATCCTGCCAGCCTGGGGCTTACAGAGTTGATTTTTCTGCTTGATTGGGATAATGAGTACTTTGAAGAGCATGGTGTTGAGTGGCTCCCACTTAGGGACTTTGAATGGGAGGCTGTGGAGCCCAAGAACGCAAACATGTCCTCTGAATAGCTCGTTGGGAGCGTCTTTCGTAATTGGCAAGGCCTCATCCCAATTTGGATATCAACCAATCCAGCAGGGAAGAGCTTGTTGCTCGTGCCGTAACGAGCGAACGGGCACAGCTTTTCGCCCGAAATGATTCGTGTAGATCATTCTTCGTTCTAGACGGGTCCCGTCATTCTCCTCCACTTTGTGTGGAGAATGGGGCTAGTTGCTAAGCTCGCGAGACACTGAAGGCTTTTCTTAAGCAGCATGGCCTGGAGGCGTGTTTTGCCACGTCAAAGACGACCTTGCGGGCGGATGGAAGACGAGAGAAAGGCGGATCTAGCAAACCAGGAGATGATGGGCCTGGTAATGGGATCAACTAAGAGTCCGCACTGCAGAAGCCTCTGGACCACTTCGGATAGGCCGGCCTACGATTCAAAAGAGGAATCCAAAGATTCTGAAACTTTCTTGGGAAGCTCGACTCACACTTTCTCATCTCCATCTCGACCCCATGACAAAAGAGATGTCGAATTCCAAGGCGACACCGGCTCTCCCGAGCGACGACGGCGAATCCAGTCAAGAGGTCGGCTCCACCAGTATCCATAACAAGGCCTTCAGCGTCTGGAGTCTGCTCGCCGTTGCATTCACTTGTGGTAATGCACCCATCACGCTCCTGCCTCTCTAGCGGCAGGCATTTCCAATGGAGGGGCTCCTCTGTTCATCTACGGCACCATCGTCGTAGTCGCGGCCTCCGTATGCGTTGCATGTTCGCTCGCCGAGCTTTCGTCCGCCATCCCCCATGCTGGCGGACAGTTCCATTGGATGACCAAATTTACGCCGGAGCGTTACCGACACCCTCTCTCCTACTTCGTCGCCTTTATCAGCTAGGCTAGCGCTGTAGTGACGTGCGCCAAGGCGATGCTTACCGTGCCGCTCATGGTCATTGGAATGATATCCATCAGGTATGCGGATATCGTTATCGATAGATGGATGGTCTTTGTAGGGTACCAATGCACCAACATCTTCTGCTGCATCTTCAACTGTGTGGAACGCGTGCTTCCCAAGATTGCACTCGCCAATCTCGTCGTCGCTGTTGCGGCTACAATAACCATCTTCATCTCAGTCCTCGCCGCCTCCCCAACCAAACAATCCGCCGAATTCGTCTTCGTCACGTACGAGAACATTTCAGGGTGGAGCGACGGAAGCGCCTTCCTCACCGGCTTGCTAGCCGCGAACTGGGGCTTCTCATGCATCGACTCCACGCATCTCGCCGACGAGCTGCCGGAGCCCCAGAAGAACATTCCCAAAGCCCTCATGTGGACCGTAGCGCTCGGTTTCGGTACATGTCTAGCAATCGTCATCGCAGTCTTTTTCTCGGTATCAAACCTGGCCGACATCGTCGCCACACCCACCGGCCTCCCCAGCCTCGAGGCTTTCTACCAATAACTCGGGTCTGAGAAGGGCGCGATCGTGCTGGGGTCGCTCATGGCGTTCAACTTCCTCTGCGCAGGCGTCTCCATCCAAACGTGGCAATCGCGTCTCGCCTGGGCCCTCGCCTGCGACGAAGGCCTGCCATTCAGCCGGCATCTCACTTCAGTCGCAAAGCAACCTTTCGACGTGCCGATCTGGGCCCACCTGTGGTCCTTGAGTGTGGGTCGCGATTCTCGGGTGCCTGTACCTCGGATCGACGGAAGCGTTCAACACATTCATCGGCGGCGGGCTACTCTTGCAGTACTTGTCATACTCTGCATGTGTGATCGCGTTGCTCGTGCATGGCCGCAAGAATATCACGCCTGGGCCGTTCTGGCTGCCGAGGTTTGGGCCGGTTGCTAATGGAGTTACTATTGGCTGGACGCTGCTGACGTTGGTTTTTTACTCGTTTCCGCGGTTATTCCTGCGGCTGCGAGTACTATGAATTATGTCTCGTGTGTTACAGTGTTTGTTGTTCTGTATGCGGCGGTCTTTTGGGTTGGTAAGGAGCGGAAGACGTTCATTTTGTCGGCCAGCGAACCATGATTGCCTTTAGGACATGGATGTGGGCATAAGCGCGGAGTTGGCTGTTGTGAGCCTCGATTGATTTTGTGATAGATAAGGTGGATACATTGGCAGAAAGGCGTTGAGAATCTTTATTCATTGTCATTCTCAGCCGTGTATTATAAGTGAAAAGTATAACTAGATGACGGTCTCGGTGTCTCTCTCCGTTGTCGATATGATTTCCTCTAGAGATTGGAACCGTAGACCCGCAAAGTATTTCTCTTTGTGAGCAGCAGCCTTCTCTTCCGGCACGCGGGTTGATCCGGACGCTGACCACATGCCAAACTGGGCAGCAGTAACATCATCTGCTGTGTGAGATGTCGGATTTGATACGATATCCACAAGTTCCGCCGTTGGACGATAGCTGAGCCTAAGCTGGTGGCCGTGCTTCGCCAGTAGATCCTTGACCTGGTTCCATGTAGTTGCTTCCCCAGAAACATACGTGACGGGCTCCCAAGCCGGAGCATTGAAGAGATGAGCGATAGCCCTAGCACCGTCTCTAGCAGTGGTGAAAGTGATCGGTTCATCACCCGCGCCTGGTATGATCATCGTCTTATCGTTGAAGTTGACAGGATGCGCGTCGTCAATGTTCCTGATGTAACGGTTTTTCTCAGGCACGACATAATCCGCAAGCCAGCCCAGATTGAAAAGCGTCCACTCGATATCCTTCTGCGCGGCAAGCGCATCCCGGATGGGTTGGTGGTTGGCGAAGTAGAACTCCGGCTGCTCTGGGTAGTCGTCCACGTTGCCGATGTACTCGGATGGGATGAAGCGTTGCACTTTGGGCTCTTCTTGCATGCGTCCAACATCGCGAGGTGGGCAGTAACGTTCGTCATCTCGTTATCCTGGATAGCGGAGATCAAGCCGTCGCAGTCGTTTAGGCACTGCAGCAATGATGGCACTGAGTAGTCGGTTTGGCGTAGAGATGCATCGGGCTGCATGAACCATTCTCTCGGTCCGCGTGCTAGTACGATAACCTCATGGGACGCTTTCAGGAACTCTTCGACAAATGTTTTTGATAGATCGCCCGTTCCTGCGATGGCGATGCGCATGATGTGATGTTGAGGCGGCAATGGCCTGTCTTAAGGTGATTCAAGAAGGATTCTTAACTCGACAAGTTTATCAGCGTAGGCTGAGAGATGGAAAGTAGAATATGCGAGAGGATAAAACAACACACATGTGTCTTTATAGATGTAACTTTATATTTGCTATTGAACTTGTAGAGGGCCCCGATAAGCGCGGTTCCAATTGGCAGGGGTTTGTGAACGCTAACTACCTTTAGTATAGTCACGTGACTAACCTTTTACACATTCATCAGAACCCTATATATCTTCAGAGAATTTGAATTTCAGGAGTTGATTAAGTTTGTTGAGTCGAGCATGAGAGGCGGGAGAAAGCGAAGGCGGAGGGAGTGACGGGGAGAGTTTCTCGAGCGGACGGCGGGGGGATAAAGGGCTAGGCTAGTAGTAAGACAGGCAAGAGTGTGTACGCGGATATAGGTATAGTTCCCGTCAGTGGGTTCATTAAGTTAAGAACTGTGGACCTTGAAGCGTTCTTTTTGCTAAGCTTTCCTATCCAATGAACCAATATATTGAAAAGATGATATCCACGAAGCGATTGAACTTGTTCCTAAGGAAAAGTTGGTCGGCAAACTCAGATTAGTGACGATAGGTACTTGTTACTAGATGATAGAAGTTGTCTTCCCTCTTGTACACGCATTGTATACTATTTAATTTGAGAGCGGAGCGTGACGATTTGACATTGAGATGAGGCGCATCCTACGATATGTTTTCGACCGCAGCGCCCTATGACCAAAGATCACTTGAAGATTCTGGCAAGCAACAGAAATGATTTCATCGTCGAGCTCGCCGGCCCTGCACGTAGCGACGGGGCTCGCGATTCTAGCAAGAGTCACGCATCCATCTTCCTCCGGAACAACGACTTGACACAGGGACGAATACATCTCATGTAGATGAGGGCTCCTGACAAACGGAAGAATGAGCTTGAAGTTGAAAGGAGCTGTTACCGCCTTAACAGCCTCAAGCATTACTGCTTCCTGCGCCGGCCACATGGCTTTCCATTCGGATGCAGCCATAAGTTCAACTTGAAGCTTTCGAAGACCGCTAATAGATGCTATAATCGTCCAGACATGATTCCAGTCCTCTGAGATTTCTAGCCGGTATGTTACGTGGAGCAAAGGATTGTTCTGAGCTTCCGTGGGCAGAACGGATACTAGGCTTCGCCAATAGGTATGGCTCCATACGTTGTAGTGGAACTGCAAGGACGAATAGCTTAGAAGCGCTAGGGTAGGATCCAGTCTGACATCCATAATAGTGAATGCGCTTCGGTGGGCTTGAAAGTATTAGCCGTGTAAAGCACCTTCACGGACTCGATGTAACTGAGTTGGTCGTAAGCTTGCGCATTCATGGTACCTTACAAGGCATTAGAGCAAAGTGCTTACATTCTTCTGCACCTGAGAAGTAACAGAAGAAAGCTCCCTTCAGACGTCTTTCAAGATTGGTAACATTGTAAGCTAGAATCTGGTCTGTTGCTTTCCGCGCAGTAATTGCTGCGGAGACGATGGGTTGAAGGAGGACCAGCCTGACCTTCTATCCAAATGTGAAAGATGTTGGTACCTAGTAAATCCGCGTAGATGAGTAAACGGAACTCTAGGGGTAATCTGCTGAAGAAGCCTGATTGCAGCCGGTGCTCTGTCATTGACTGGGAGGATTCGATGCCGTAAAGTGACAATGTACGCTCTCTAGCTGGTCGAGGTCTAGGTGTATCTAAACGCTGTGCAGCTTCACGAGCACACCGCTTTTTCTTCTCCCTGCGTCGGTCATCTACACGACCTGTAACGATCTGGTAGCACAGACAGGGAGCGCAGAGAAGAACTCCGCATATTGTCAGGATGCCGTTACTGATTCGCCTGGCTGTGGTTGAAGGAACTATGTTAGAGTACGTAGCGGTGGTCATTTCTCCAAGGGCTTGGCCGTATTGAATTGATGTTGACTGAAAGATGGCGAGGTTTGAAGAAGGTGAGGGTGTTCCCTGCTCACGAATGGGGCACAGCAGCGGCACAGCAGACCTTATCTGTCCATTTGACGAACTCTCCCGTGCTTTGCAATCCACTTAATCTACTGATTTGAGGCCCCTGGTGGAAAAAGAAAGCGACTTTTGAGTACTCGGCAGTATCTGGTGTTGTTTTAAGACCTCACGGGCACGTGACCTATGATTTCGGTCACGTGCGGAACCCGACTTTTCACTGCTTATATTGCTCCTGGTGAAACTGCATAGTTTTATCCAAGATGTGGTCTTTGAAGAAACCCAGAGTGAAATACCTTGCGACATCTAACTCCTAAAGTGGTCGACCGCCTTGAGAGCTCTTAAAATGTTTGTCACAGTGGAACAAGCAAAGAAAACAGAGCAAGCATTCAGATTCCGTGGCTATCCTGCTAGGAAACGACGACGACGACGACTAGAAAGATGAGAATAGGTAATAGAACGCTGGTGGTCCTTCGAACGGTGCTGATAGGGCGATGACAGAGCCTGTTGGAGGGTGGAGTTGCTATGTTCCCGCTTCCGAGGTCACGAATGCATACAGACGCCACGGCAGGTCCTTGACTGTATATCTAAGAAGGCCTTGATAATCAATCGCCAAGGAACCTATGGTACTTTCACTTGCACCTCATTACACTGTACTACGGTAGTCCAGTCGCCTTTTTTCAATTGGCAGTAGTCGACAGGAGGAGGGGCGCATATCATACTGACGACATCCACGGGATGGCATAACGAGATCGAAGCGCGGAGGGATGACAACCTTCCTAACCGGCTGTAGTAATTCGTCTTCGTGAGTGAGCCATGCCCTTTCAATCCAATTCTCGATCACTAGTTCTACATGAAGGTGCCTGAGACCTCTCATGGAAGAGATTACTCTCCAAACGAAGTACCAGTCTTCAGCACTCCCTCGAATGTACGTGGAAGAGCCGTAATCAAGATTTGCGTAGCCAGGTAGTGTTTTTACGTAGTAGTCGAACTCCAGGACCCGGATAGCGTGGAAGCGTTGAGGTTGAAGACGAGTTGAGAGCCAGAGTAAAGATTGCACATCGTTGGGTTTGAAAGTGTTAGAGGAATAGAGCAAGTCGATGCATTCAGAGTACCTTGGCCCTATGTTAGTCGATGTTGTGTGTGCTACCAAAACAAGAGCGCATGACAGGACGTACATTCTTCTGCAAGAGAGCGGCAGAAAAAGATAACTCGCCAACACCACTCTTCGCGGGCATATGTGATCCGGGTAACTCGAACCAAGATCGAAAGACATATGGCTAGGATGGAGGCAACGTGCCTCGCCGCGGAGATGTGGCGTAAGGGGTATAGAAAGAGGACTATATATCCAAACTTGGAAGCCATGGCTCCGCAAGATCATTTCACATATAGTCATCCTGAGCTCCGCGGGCAACTTGTTGAAGAATAGGGACTGAATTTGACTGGCATCTCGCTGAAACGTCAGCTTTCGTGTCCTTTTAGGCCCAGGCTGAGGTACTAGTAGAAGCTGAACTGCTTGAGATCTGCGTTTGGCTTGTGCCTTCCTTACAGGCCGGAGGACATAGTTTACAGCGAACCTGCACATCATGAGAGGAGCGAGAAGTATCAACTGAAAGATTTCGCATGTAGCGTTTGGATGCATGTTGGGGATGTTTTGGAAATTTTCAGCTGCTGTTCGGAGGATGACGTAGAGTAATCCAGGGACGGAGGTGACACAGGAGCAAGAATCTTTCAATCCGCAGTCTTCCAATGGCAGCTTGAGCTCCCTCGATAGTTGACGCCAAGGTAGTGATAGAAGCTAAGCTGCTTGGTTCTGCAGGTCGACCTGATGACCTCTGAGTTCGGTTTGTTCTTTCTTCCTTCGTTTTTCTAGACGTCTCTCCACAAGGCAATAAGAAAGAAGCCAGACACGCGTAATTCTTGGCAACTACTCGATACTTCGTACCAAGGAATGTCTTGAAGCTTTGTCGCATACCATGTTATTTACTGTCGCGTTAGAGTTGACGATGTTAGGAGGATAAATGGCGAGGACGCGCCGTGGGAAAGATGTTTAATGCGACGCAGCATACCTAGGTAGTTCTACCTACCCTGGGTCATATTCAAAAGGCGTGCAATCCTTGACACGATTCTCTACACCACGCCACTTGGGATTCTTCGTCATAAAGTTAGAGCTATAGAGCTAAAATCAACCTATTATTAGGGACTAGTGCTTTTAGCGTTACCTATCCCTTAACCGATCGACTGAGGTTCAACGATATCGCACCAATCGGCGTTAACTAGTCGCTTATCTTATCGTCCCGCTCCGATAGGTTCTTGGCAGAGAACAATCAAAGTTGAAGGTTTTCGACGGGTCAAGGGATACATTACATTTTAGGCCTTGAATGTAAAAGCCAGCTATAGATTATTAGGTAAAAGTAGAATATCTACCCGCACACCTGCCTAGAGAATACTACTACCCTTGTAACTACACGATAAGAGTAAGACTTAGTAAGAGAACTCTAATTCTAAACAGTGCACATCGCTCCCTACTTAACTTAAGCTAAAATTTGGCGTTTAAATTAAGGACTATATACCTAAGCTTAGGTGAGAATACTCCTCCAAACTCAAGTAGATGTTTCAAATATATCTGCCAAGGATTGCACACCATTTCGAAGACGACAAAGGAACGTGCTCGAGCACTCGATGACCCCTACAGAGGTGGTATCACTCGACCACCCTCTCTGCATCCTTTTCTCAATCAGGAAGTTTGCTCACCGGTAGGGTGGGCTCGTTAGAATTATAATTGGTGCCCGCCCCATCGGGGAGATCAAGTGCAGGTCACATGCATATCACCACTGCATTCTCGACCAATGATTCTTATCTGCTGAAATAAAGTGAAAATGAGTCTTTTAACCAGGGATTAGTTGAGCCTCATCATCCGCGGGAAAGGAGCCAACGGAAAAGGTCTTCATAAGGGCCGCTGAACAGATTGCCGGGCGACCATCGGAATCGTACGCCTAACCAACCAGTCCAAACACTCATAATTTCGCACAAAACATGGCTACCACATGCTTGTCCTACCACCCTACGGAATTAGACGCTGTCCGCTTTTGGGCAAAGCAGCATGGCAAGAAAGCCACTGAGACTGATCTCCCTACAGGTTATCCGAGAGAGCTGCATTCTCCGCTGGCGTGGACGCGCGCCGAAGTCGAAAAAAAGAAATCTGAATGGGTGCTAGAGCTCAGCAAAGAGGATGTCAAAGAAATCGATGCTGCTCTTGCGATGTTTGAAGGTGGGCCACGCTCGAATGCCTGAATCATGCCGGCGCGTTGACTGATGCCATGGGAAAGCTCATTCGGATGAACTGTCCGATATCTCAATTGATACCTTCTCGCTGCCTAGCTCGCTCTCTCAGCGCCTCAAACAAGTTTCGACTCAGTGCTACACGGGCATAGGCTTCAAGATCGTGCGAGGAATCGATCCATCCAAATACACGCCCAAGCAAAACGCTGCCGTCTATGCAGGTCTCGCGGCTCATGTCGCTCCTCAAAGGGGTTTCGTGGATCGCAGCTATGAAGGTGTGCTTGGTAGGTAATACGTGCCTTCAGAGGAGTGTAGTCGCTAACGTTGGAGGGCTCGCTAGCCCATATTGTGAATGTAGCCGGAGAGAATCCCGAAGCAGAGAGCAAGGCACCTGGGTTTACGAACACGCATCTGGTACGTATTCGCATCATATTCGAACATCCAGCTATCTTACCCACTGAAGTCTTTCCACTCGGACAACTGCGAAATCATGGGCCTTTACTGCCTCGATACGGCGTCGGAGGGAGGAAGAACACTAGTTTCAAGCTCGTGGCAGCTGTATAACCAGTTGGCCGCGAAGAGACCAGACGTGCTGAAAACTCTAGCGGAGACTTGGGTCCTGGATACGTACGTATTAACGCACTTCCAAGAATTCGACAGGTACCGTGGTGCATACTGGACTTACCATGTCGTAGCTTCAAAGACTACCAAAAGTCACCACCTCTTTCCGTCCCCTTCCTGGACCGCGTTAGCGGAGAAAGTGTGCTCTTGCGATTTTCGCGCTACCCTATCACAGGTTGGCAGCGCAAACGGAATCCAGCTCTACCCGCGCCCACGCAGGCTCAACTAGAGGCCATAGACGCAGTTCAGTTTACCGCGGCCGCGAACTCGGTCCCTCTGCCCATGGGAAAAGGCGATATCGTCTTCGTTAATGATATGGCAATGCTACATGCGCGAGAAGCATTCAGTGAAGGGGGCGAATACATGAAGCGCCATTTGCTCAAGATGTTCTTCCGTGATCCCGAGCAGAATTGGCAGGTCCCAGTGTCGGCCGTGGCCGGCTGGAAGAAGATGTATGGTCCGAATCGTGCAGATGGAAGTAGGCACGAGACCTGGTGCACAAGGTACGAGGCCGGGATGGAGGAGGAAGCTCCGACTAATGGCTAATTGGGGAGGCGATCTTGAATAACCGGATTGAACTGAATTGCTCACTTAACGATTGTCTATTTGTAGTTTCCCTATGCCTTATGTTTCATAAACTCGTCAAATTTTTGAACGTACACATGCAATGCCATCATATTAGGTCCAAGAGCCGTTTCCCATGGTTGATGATAGATCCTTGAAGAGTGTGTCGATGTTGGCCCGGCCAGAAACAACTATGGCCCTGCTCTCCCAAGCATTTCTCACTAGCTCTATCATGTGTTTTTCACAGCACTTTTGTCTCTACCTCAAGAAGCTGCCACGAGTATTTTCAAGATGTTAAGAAATCCTCTTCTGTAAAGTCATCGATTGGCCCGGCATGTGGCATGTCTGCTCGCCAATCCAAAGACAGAGTCTGAAAGCACCAGTACATCTCAGCCTTGTACATCGGAAGGTCTTTCAGAGTACCAAGCCTTGCTTCTTGGCGAGCGACCTCCTCCTGTAGCCCGTTCAAGTAAGTGAGCTGTTCGAGAGACATTATTTTAGCAGCATCCTGTGGCTTCTTCCAATTAAGCTTTAGGGGAGCTGCGCCGTTGTTTGCGAAATGGAAGTATGCTAGCAGGGTCTTGCATGCATGAACATAGCCCTGGGTAAGAGATGGCCGTCCTCGAGATTTTGCCTGTAAGTGGTTAGCTTTTATCCTTGTACTGTCATATCAGTTGAGAATGGGAGTCTTGGGGACTTCATTGCATACCGTCATGCCATGACGAGTAGTATAGTCAATCACATCCGATAATATCCATTCAACGTTACACATGACGATAAACGTGGCAAGAAAGATTTCGAACCAGTTCTCCCTTTTCTTTTCGTCGATTTTCCGTTTTATTCCCCGGAGAACTTTGTCCTTGAGTGGCAAAAGTAAGCATTTGATGGCAAGTTCGTCGAGCTGAGTGTCCATGATTGGCGTGACGGGGACAATTCCGTTCCACGGGTTTCCCGGCTCTGCAAATGGTTCGACTCCGAGAGTGTCGCTATCACAAATGCGCCATGTTCGCTCGGTAAGGCGAGTAGCGGCCCAGAAGCTCAGCGCATCCGACACAAGACTGCTCTAGAGCGCAAGTTAGCTTATCTCTAGTGACGGAGTCATTCGCGACAGGCCATACCTTTGTGACCGTAACGTAGCGGCACGCTGCCTCAAAGGTCTTCCAGATAATAGGGTTTGTGCCGTCCAAGAGAGACTCAATGTACAGAGAGCAAGAGCGTCGACCGTACTCTTGCATGTTTTTCGATGCTTGAGACATATCGCTGATGTAGTATGGTGGCATACCGAGCTCCCTATGGTTCCCTTCAGGGTCCACCCAGCCGTAGGTAATTGCATCCCCAGCCTCAGGCTGGAACCGCGAAACAGTGACCTGGAGTGTTACTCCGATCTCTTGCGTGAGAGTGATTGTACGCGGGGACCCAAGGACAGTGGGCAGATGGAGCATGCCGTCTAGGTCTCGCTTCCTATTCGTCCACGTTTCCAGATTATTGTTGAGTGTAGAGCCTGGATAGCAATTTAATTAGCCCGGATCTTTATCGGATTAAGGCAGCATGCACATGCCTAGTCTATGCAAGTTGATCCCAAGGATATCTACTCGGATACAAGGATCGCGGAGAATATCTGTGACGAGTCTGGCGCATCTTCCACAAGGCTGGTATGGGTTGTCCGGCATGTCACACTGCGACACATGCGTGAGCTCTTGCCAATCTGAACTGCATCACCTACTTTACTCACCCGTGTTTTATGGCGGCGACACTTGTCGCAAACCCCGAGTTTTCGGGTCAACGTGGTAGCCCTCTGGGATTTCTCGTCGAGTGATGACCGGATCTTCTGGCTAGCACCGTGCACACGGAAGACGCCTTGAAGTCTCCCGCCGGTATCCCTTTTGACCACTTTATTCGGCCTCTGTGGACTTCGTTAGCGTTGAAGAAGTAAAAGAGGCAAGTAATACGTACGGAATCCGAGTTCAAGACATCATGTCTCAAGGCGGAGCCTTTCCTTTTCCTCCCACGAGATTTAGCCAGCTGCGGTTGTGTCGACCCGACTTGCTCCTCCGGTGGCGCTTGTACAGGCTGCTGCTGCTGTAGGGCATTGTTCCAAAGGCAGTTCGCACCAGAAGAGTTGTCACTGGCTGTACTGAACTCGGCAGGAGAACCTTGGATTTGGGCGAACGATGAGTGGAATGGCTCTGAAGGCAGTTCCACGTTGAGCAATGACAAGGAAGGGTCCGAGAGGAAGTCAAGTGGAGAACATAAGGTGGAGACGGCCGCGACCTCGTTCTGTGCAGAAGCAACACCATCATCAGCGATGCCGTAGCCATCAGGAAATGCAGGCCCAGTGAAACCAGCAGATGCCGATTGAGTAAAGCCGCCACGAGGCGCATCATCTCCCAAGTCGAAGAGCAGATCCGGGTCGAAAGGGTCAGGAGGGAGGAACGGATAGCTCGAGAACTCCACGTCGCCATCCAAAGAGCCATGGAGAGGATCCCAATGCAGTGACATATTACACAGAAGACGGTTGAATCTTGGCTGGATGCAGACAAGCGGAGCCTCCAGACGCTTGGTGGGACAGTGCCTTTGTAAGAGGCGTGGCCGCTCAGCCTCCCGTTGCAGCTGCCCGTGAGGCCCTCATGCGAGCGTGAGGTGTGGATGGGCGCGAACACGTGGACGTGGCACGGAAGGGCGATCTAAGCCCAAGGAGGTGATCGGTCGGAAGCACTGTTTCCAAGGTTCGACGGAAGGCGGTCGGACTAAACTGCAACAGGGAGTCGGAGAGAGCCTCCCAAGGCTGCGTGAGATTCGACGCGCTGGCTTGATTGGGCGCCTCCCCTCGCCCAGCACCGCGGCCCATGCGCGCCGGCCTGCAGCCTCACCAGCCCTGCCAGTCGCCGCACACTGTGCACCAAACCCTCCAGATTAGGCACTCGGAGAGGCCTGCAAATTGGGTTTAGTCCTCCAAAAGAAGCAATCGGAGAGTCCTGTCGTGACATTTTCTCCGCCCTCGAAGACTGGTCCTGCGGGTGCACATTCCAGATATCGGTGAGCCCCAGGGCGCCTCATCATAACATTGGGCCTCGATATTGGAAGTTAGGATGCCCTCGCCAGCGCATATCTGCCTCGCGCGCCCAAAACCGCCAGCCCTGCCTCACTTTCTACATCTCCAGGACCTCGAGGCGTCGAGAGACGTTCAACCAACCATGACGCAGCTTCGTAGGCCTGAGGCAAAGCTGACTCTTCGTCTCGCCACCAAGGCAGACCTCGACGACATTACGAAAGTGGCTCAAGCGGGGTTTCCAGACGATCCGGAGTTCGATTATCGTTTCCCCGAGCGCAAGAAGTATCCAGAAGACAACTGGAAATGGACCAGACAGGAGTACGAGGAATATATTGACCAACCAGAGAAGTTCGCCGTCTTGGTTGTCACCGCCCCTGTAGAATCGGACGGCGAAACTGCCAACAAGCCGATATCTCTCGCAGTATGGGATATGTCTGTCCTCACCAACTCGAAAGGTGGAAGTAAGTCGTAGCCGCCCCATGAAAATTTACGCCCATATTGAGTACATGGTAGATCTTGGCATTGATTCAAGGCGTGATGTCAACAAAAGACATTTCAAAGAGTTCGCAAAGACCTTAGACGAAGCTTTCAACAAGTACTTCAGCAAGTATGGCAAAAAGCAATATCACTTGTGGCTTCTTGCTACTCATCCTGACTTCCGTGGACAAGGGGCCGGAACCATGCTTTGCAAATGGGGGATGGAGAAAGCAAGAGAGAAGGACTACATGGCTACTGTTCTGGGAAGTTCAATGGGTAAAAACCTATATGAGCACTTGTGCTTTGATCTTCTTGGGTCTGTAACTGTGCAAGTGGATGACGAGGATGAAAAACTCACAGTATATTGCTTGGAATACAAGAAATCGGACTGAAACGATTCTGTATTCTGTGGGGATAGATCAAGTAAAAAATGAAGTTGTCTGTTTGATTCGATCGAATCAGGAGAGTATCATTAGCACAATCGTGAAGGTATTATGGAAGACAGCGTGGCGCCGCGACAGAGCTATGCAGCGTGAGGAGTAAGCCGACCGTAACCAAACCCGCGCGAGCAATCTGTTGCAAACAACCTCCGAAGTGGACTTAGACAATCCAGTCGGAGAGCAGGCCTGGGATTAGGATGAATTAAAGGGTTGCAAATCAGTGAATTCACTCCGCTTACGCGTTTTTCAACGCGTTATAGGGCGTTTTATGCGTTGTTATAGCCACCAAGGGTACCCCTATTCTACGCATAGAGTGAATAGAGGTCCGTGCCACGTCCATAACCGGTTTGAGCAGCTCCTAATCTTTCCTTAGTGAGCGGTGCCAAGTAATCGATTAGAGAGGGATTGCTCGCTCCGTCGGCTTACTCCCCACACTGGAGCTAGGACATGGTCCCCAAAACGAGGCATCACAACGACTCTGTGCCTGCATCAATCGATAGCGGCAAGGAGCTAGTTACAGGGATTGAGTGACCCTTAAATACTTTTTGGGAAGTCGGACAGAGTCAGATAACCATCACCAATGAGTTGTGTAGACACCATGAGGATGTGAAAATCTCTCCGACCACCTCTTTGGGAAGTCGGACAGAACCAGAGAGCCACCAGCAATTGGTTGCGTAGACACTATGAGGATGTGAAAAATCTCGCCGAGTACCTCTTTAGGAGATCGGAGAGATCCCTTTGAAGACTTTTCGAGATCATAAAGATGGGTGTTACACACCTTAAACTCTTCGCGTCAAACCACGCAAACGGGAAGCAACTTCTTGATCCAGGCATCCAGAACAACTCTCATGGGTTGCCGCATATCAAAAGGCCAAAAAATGTGAGCTAGCATGTCACTGAATGTTTATCAATATCTTACAGATGAATAGGAAGCAAGCTACTGACCCCGTGGTTGACGAGACGAGCCTATCTAGGTCGTGTGATGAGACTTTGAAAGCGGTCGGAACCTGGATAGACGATAGTCAAGATTGCTCGCCCGCGGTGTTCGTCTCTACAGAGGACTCAGGTCCTCAAAGCTCCTGGTCTCTGTCATCGTTGCGTCCAGAGCTCTTTCCTTTTTGGGGAAGAGTTGGAGGGGCAGCCTCAGCGTTGCCAGACGAGCGGCCGTTGGAACGGTTTCTACTCGAGAGAGTGGGGAGACCCGTGGGAGAAAGGCTATATCAGCAAAGTTTGCGAGACATATCATCCTCGTGAGTAGCGCTACAATTCCACCCAGCAGAGCAGGTCTTAATAGGTGAGGTGCGTCCAGTTAGGCAAAGCACCTCTTGAGTGTGGCGACCGCGGACTAGCCTGTTCCGGATGAGCGACATCAGGCTCAGCGCTACAACTGTGAAGGCTATGCGGGCCGGGAAGTTTTTCTTTTGCTTTGGGTTTTGTAAATTTGGATATAAGGAGCAAGATTGTGGCGGACGGGGGCGTTTCTCGTTTCGTAGGCGGCATTGAATCCTCGGCATGTTCTCGTGGGCAAACCACTTGCTTCTCTTATGTTTAAATCGTAGTGCACTGGGCTGGGGCTGTATGTACATGGGGATGCATAGGTGGCCGTCAATGAATCCGGATATTTAGCTGCTACCATTCATGTTTCATGTCTGGGGCTCTGGTCTTTCCACAGTGCCAACAGACCCTGCCGCTTTGGCCTTGCCGTGCTGTGCTTAATGCGACCTCTCCAATGGTGCGTCGATGGGACGTGGAGCCTCGCGTGGTCACAACCTTGAGGTTCCCGTCTGATCGGTGAGACCTGCCCAGGGCGCCAGCCAGGCAAGGCGCCTTTTGGCGCTAGGCACCACCCGAGCCCTCCTCCCGCTCCTTCTACCTACCCACCTGCAACCTCTCAACCCGCAGCTTTGCGGACATATCACAGAATTGTTTCTTGAAGCACATCACAGCGAATACGGCACCTATCGATCGGATCTTCTTGATCAAGGTTACGATAGCCGTGTCCAAGTCGAATCGGCGAAGCTTGCTGCGCTCATATGATTCTACACCGAGTTCAGAAAAGCGTGCAGATGGCTTCATCGGACCCAAGTCCTCTTCTTTCGAGTAGTGACGATGAGCAAAACCAGGCTTCTCTCGGGTGGGAGGCCTCAGATCCGCTCCTAGCTGAACCCGTGTTTTCGAGATCGCGGGAAACTAGCAACCGGCGCCTGTTGCTTTACGCTGGCCCAGCCTTACTTCTGTGGTACCCACCTCCCGTCCACTTCTCTAAACCACAACACAAAGATTGACTAGCATAAAGTACCTTCGTCGTCGGCTTTGACTCTTCCCTCATAAGCGCAAACTATAGTCGCCGCATCGGTAGGGAACTGACAACTCCAGCCGTTCGCAAATGCTGATCCCACGTAGCTACCGCACTCCACGAGTTTCACAACGCAAGTTGGATCGTATTGGGGTTCACTGTTACAGAATCCGCATTCCAACCTTTGGTATGAACTGCGCTGCATGGCTGGCTTCCGATTACTACGACTAACTTGTGGTAGTATGGACATGCCTCTCAGATCTATGGCCATCGGAAGACCACTCTGATTGCTGCCGCTGCTATGGCGATAGGGCTTTTCCTCTGGTACATCGTCTTCTATGCATCCTACGGTAGTTCGACAGCTGACTTCGACAAGTTCTACGAGCTACCACCTTTGGCAGCTCGCTTTATCGCGAGTCGCCGTCGGAACTGGTTCTGCTGGTCTTCAGTTCCTCGTCGTTGTTATCATGAATGGTGCGTCATAGCCGCCTGAACCTGCATTGAAGTTATACTGACTGTCAAGATCTGGTCAAACTATACGACTTGCCGTTATGGAAAAGCACTGTTGTCATTACCGAAACTTGTGCACTCATGCTGGGAGGTCCGCTTGGGTCAACCATAATCGATAACTTTGGCTTCCGCTCGTGAGTTGCTCAGAAAAACACCTTCGAAGTAATTAAAGTCTAGCTTGCTGATAGTCTATGTAGAGCTTTTGGACTGCAATTCTGCTTGATGGCTGTCGCAGTCGTCGCTCTATACCTTACTCTACGGTTACCAGGGACGGACAAACCAAAATCACTACATGCAGCCAAACGTGTGGACTTCCTAGGAGCTCTTCTTCTTCTCTTAGCTGTTGCAACACCCCTGTTTGCTATTAATCTTGGTGGAGACCTCCTCCCATGGAATCATCCAGTAGAGATTATTTTACTTAGTCTCACGCCGTTCTTCGTTTCTCTCTTCTATTATGTCGAAACTCGAGTAGCCACTTCTCCCATTATACCGATGCGATTTATTCGCATGCCAGCTGTTATTGCCGTGTTTGCGTGCGGCCTCCCTATAAACTTTGCCTTTGATCAAGTTCAGTGTACCCCCAAGCACTTGCTGTATCTGTGCCAGCTAACCTAAAGCCCAGCTCCTTTATAGCTTTGGAACTTATTTGGAAGCTCGGTCCTTCAACGCTAGCTCTACATTCAGCGACTGGGCATTAACATGTGTCTATCTCGGTCGACCATTTGGCACTATCCTTGGAGGCATTGTGATTAGGCGTTATCGCAAATTTAAACCATTCTGGCAGATAAATATCTTCGCAAACGTCCTCATCTACCTCTTTTTCGCTTTAGGATGGATCCGTATGTATCAAGCGACACCTATATCCCCCCTACATGCTCATTAATGTTTCGCAGATCCTGAACAGCCGTTGTTTGCTCCGTTTTTGCTGCTCGTTGGGTTCAACGAAGGGTTTTCAGAAAGCTGTTGGCTCGTCTCTCTACTCTCATTAGTAGACACAGAAGGTACGACGTCAATTCTCAATTTGTTGCAAATGTGTCTAACGTGATCTAAAGATCAACCGTTACTCTACGCATTCTTCGACCTTGGACTGGCAGTATCCGGAGATCTCGGCATCGCAATTTCATTAGCCACTACTGGCGCCTTAGTAAAATCCAATCTCCACTCTCGACTCAGCCATTATTCGAACGCGGATGAGGTGAGACACGCTCAAACCCCGCCTGCCCGTCATGTCTAACGGCAATCATAGATTATCCGGAAATGCTTGGAGAGTCTTGACTACATTCGAGAGCTCCCTCCAAACGTACGACAGTCTGTACTAGATGCCTTCATTTCATCCACAGAAAAAGCATTTGGTTCGTAAGATGACACTCCTCATGATAGCAATTACTGACATACAAAGGGATCTCCTGTGGTGTACTTCTTATTAGTGTGGTTGCTACCATTTTCCTTCGCGAAATGCCCCGTTCAATGAGAGAAGGCTTTGAGACTTAAGGTGGAGCATACTCTGAGTGTATCTTAAGGCACTCTAACTTCTAAATCCTGCTGGGCTAAAGAGCAGATAGCATTTCTGGGCCTCGTGAAGCTCCGCGGGCTTTGCCCTTTTTGGCCCTCCATGGTCAATTAAAGAAATCATCTGGAAGGTCGGCCTGACCTGTATCTCAAAGTTCTTGCTATGGCCCTTGGACGTTGTTTAGAGCTGAAGTATCGGCTTTGTGGCTCTAGATACTCGCCAAATACAAAGGTCGGCCTCGATGTAGCTAAAGATCTCCAGGGCTAGGAATCAATCAACTGATTGTCGTGATTGAAGTCTTGGTAGATTGCTTCAATCAATCGGCCATCGTAAAAAGGTCCAATCAATCAGTACCAAGAGGCCTAATTGATCGAAGGTTGATATTTTAAACCGTTGAAACACGTGACAGATTTTTGTTTATCTTTGGTGATATACGATCGGGCGTCACCCGGATTGATATAGTCTTATCACGTGACTAGAAATGCATCTAAGTACAACCTACCTAATTGATTCCATGCAGGATCGCTACAAGGCTATAATAGAGGCAGAAGTAGCGTTCATAAAGTATTGAGGCTCTAAGTTACAAGATGCAGTGATAGAAACACCCTCTGCTGCACCTCCGTGCTCTTTGACCCACCCCAAGAGATAGCCTGCTGCCATAGAATGCATATAACTCCATCGTTAGGTTCGGGTAACTAGTCCTGTCTTGCGCTTTGCTTCATTGTCAAACTAGCCAGCGCTGACACCACGGTGCTCACTCAACAACGCCATAGCCGGCCCTTATCAACTAATCATGTCTGGGCTGAGACTCGAGACGAGGATTGGTCAGTCCCGAATAGGCTTAGTTAATGCTATCTATGGGCCTCTTCACCGTTTTTTGTTCTCCTGGAGTCAGCATAAGCTCAACAAACTCTTTCGCCTCTTAAACACTGCAATTTCATACGTTTCTTCTTTACACGCAACTGCTTTCTTTAAAGATGTCCCTAGAGTCTCTTCCAACAGAACTCTACCTCCAAATCCTCCGCCACGCAGGCGTGAGCGACTTTCCAGTCCAGCTATCCCTCTTAACAATCAGCAAACGCTGGTTCGCAATTGCCCACTCCATCGCCTTCGAACATGTCAAGTTTGTCCCAAGAGAAAATGGCGAATTTATACGTCCCGAAACCAGAGCTCAGGAGAACATTACAACACCGCCAAGAATCCCACCACCAATACTGCACGACCGCACATCCAAAACAATCCTAGAAATCCTTTCAACCAACCTTCGCTCTCTCGAACTCGACCTCCTAGACATCACCTTCAACGCGACACAATTCCGCGGCCACCACGTCCCCGAAAATGGGACTACATACGAGCACACGTGCTGCATACCCAGCATATCCAGCTACATCGCCTTGCCAGCCCTCCTCCGCGCGAGCCCTCACCTCAAAGCGCTCGACATCCGCGTCTCCGTCTCCCGCCCCGCCGTAGTTGGGATCTGGTCCCTCCCACGCGTGCTGCAATTCCCCGAATTCAATGCTCTGCTTTCCGCGCCGCAGAGGGCGCTTACTAGTCTCGTGATTGATGTGCAGTATGAATGTTACCACTACGAAAAGGAACCCGCGACGTGCCAAACGTGCCTCGGCATCGCGGCGCATCTTCCGACGCTGAGGAGGCTGTGCGTCAGGATGCCGTGGATTTGTCCAGACGTCCTCTCCTTATCCGGTTCTACCGCTACTACTACTATCCCACTCCGCGAACTCGTTATCAATCTCACGACGTGGGCCAAGATGGGGCGAGACGGCTTCCTCGATAGTAGTAGGAGCTGCCGCGCAGGCGATCGGCACCAGGTCAATCACGTGAGAGATATGGCTGCGGCTGTTCAAAGATTGAGGACGTGTGCGCCACGGTTGGAAGTTGCGAGACTGATTAAGAGGGAGAGTTTTAGGGAGCCGATGAGGAATCATAGAGGTTTCGAAAGGATGAACGTGGCGCTTGATTGCTTGACGGGAGTAGAGGGACTGGTGGATAAGAAGGCGGATTGGACGAGGGAGTTTGGGATGGAGGAGATGGTTTTTGAGAGGAGAAAATAGACATGTTTTGCTGATATGAATGACTATTCATCGATCGGTAGAGTACAGCATCATAGAGAGCAAGAGGTAATAATCAGTCATAAGGACTTACTTCTTAGACCTCGCCTCTCTAAAAACCACAAAACCACCCACCCTCAACCCTCCACCCATCCCCCCGGTATCAACGCCTCCGCGTTCCCCTCCTGCGCCTTCACAAAAGCTTCTCTAAACAGCCCCGCCTTCTCACTATTCTCAAACCGAAGCGCAAGCGTCAAGTTCGTTGGCTTTCCCTCAGCCACATCATCCTTCGCGTTAAATACCCAACTCCGATCGCTCGTCGTATTCAACGATATCTTAGTCCCAGGATCTACCCTATGATCCGCAATCAGATTCAAGGTCTTGTCCTGCCGCATCATCAACCGCGTCACCCCGTTGCTCTTGTACTTTACCAAGACGACTTCTCCGGCGCCACGAGCTTCCCACGTGCTGTTGGAGCGGTGGAAGATGAAGAGCTTGCCGCGGATTTTGAGGAGTTTGGTGAATCCTTCCTTTGAGGGGCTGGCGGTAGTGGGGGAGGAGGTAGGGGAAGGAGAGAACTCCGGGTAGTCTGCCTCCGTGATAGTCTCGCTAGGGACGTGTCCTGACCGGTATCGTTCCCATCTCTTCGCGCTACTACTCCCTTCAACGCTTCGGCCATCGGAGTCAGTCGGCGTAGTGTCGAGTTCTGGACAGCTCATCGTCAGGTACAGCTCCCACGCATTGTTCCCATGTAGCCACAAGTTCGCTGGGAGCATGAGACGCCATGAGTCGGCCTCGTCGCGCAGACCTTTCGTGTAGCATATGCGTGCCAGAATCTCGGCGGTCACGAGATACGAGCAGTATTCTTTCCCAAACTTCTTCTCTTTCCAGTCTAGGGCTCCCCGACATGCGCGCTCGGCAAGGTCGAGCTTGCCCATGTAGAGGTAGCCCATGGCTAAGGCATGTAGGCAATGCGTCGCTACTAAGTCCAGAATGCGGCCGGACTCCAGCATTGGGGAGAGAATCAATTCGGCGGGGTGCCATTTTGCCTGCGCGCAGTATGCTAACGCGAGCCTGGATTGGATGTCGTCGACACCTTCTGGGTCTGGGGGTTTGTTGCACAGTCTGAAGAGCTCGGTAGCTTCGAAGAAGCAGATTTCTGCTTTGCGGTAATCGTGTATTCTTAGATTTTCGTCGCCTAGCCGTTTAAATTCTTCAAAAAGTTCTTTCTCCATTTCGAGGCTTGAGTCTGGGCTTGATGCTGTGGGGGCGGTGGAAATGTCATGTGGTAGCGGTTTCCTCTTCGTTGACGCCGCGTTCGTGTCGACACTAGCATTTACTCGCAGAGCTTCAGCTTGCAGTGCAAGCTTATATAGATTGCTAGAAGCGCGGCTATGGTCTGTTGTTAAGGTTGTCAAGGTGTTTGGGATGGTGGTTTGCTGGTGTAGCGTGATTGCTTCCATGGCTTTGCTGATCTGGGCTTTCAGGTCTTTGAGCCTTTGAGTAACGTCCTGTTTGGGGATATTTTGGGTAGCGCTGCATCTGAGAGATTTGAGTTTAATAAAAATTCGCTTTTTGCCGAAGATGAAAAGTCTCACATTTCGATAGTTAGAAGAGCGAGTGCCAGAGCAGTATGATGTAGTTTCACCTGCTGGTTGAAGAACTGAGTCTCCGTCTCTTTTTCGGAGGGAGTGGCCTTACGGAAGACGCCGACTCGTTCGACATTACTAGGACTTTTTAAATTTTGCTGGATAGTCTCAAGTGTGATGCTACAGTCGTTGATGCAAAATTGCAAGCTCGCTTGGAGGGCAGCTCCGTTGCGAGCACCGGCTAAAACGTTGGTTGTGAGAAGAGGTTTAATCAAACTGAGTACACTGTAGACGGCTTTTATGCTTTTTACGAGCGCTGATGTGCGTGGCTTATCCGAACAATCATTATCGGCGTCGATGTAGACCAATATCGTAGCCTGGAACGAGTTAGCGAGGCTGAACTAGCACCGGTAAGTACGCCGCATGAGTGAAGGGGAGGTGTACGTTGATACAGGCAGGTAACAAGCTAGTAATATCATTTTTTGCAGAAGAGAGGTCCATGTCTTGAAAAGAAACGCCATCATCCCCAGGATGGTGTTCATGAGAGGGGACATGAGCGGTCGCTGGTGTCTGATGCCTGGTGTTTTGCATGAGGGCTGTGGCTGTGCAAAACATCCCCACAACCACCTGCATGACGCACTATCCAAGAAAGACCGAGCTTCGGGAAACATTGCTTCTTGGGGATTGAATTACGGGCAGAATCCTCAATGAGATGTGCGCGGAACTATTGTTTGAATACTGCTTTGCGTGTATTTTCGGAGAATAGCTCGCTAGACGAATCCTGAACCCAAATTCGGTTTTTTCCAATGCCAAGCCCTTCTACTAAAATAACGACATGTAAAGGCTTGCAATACTTTTCTTTACGCGCATAGTCGAGCCTTGATGCGTCGTAGTGGAGAGACTGCGTTCAAATCACTTGTTCCTCCCCTCAACGTCCTTCACCACTTCCTCCGTCGTCTGGACCTCACAAAACTCAGTCAACGCACTTAGATGCACCTCATGCAAGAGCTCCGCATTCCACCCCTTCTTGACCTCCTCTTCCGTGATGAAAGCCGCTGTAGCATCTCCCACAAGCACAATCCGCCCATTACCCGCCCAATCCACCCCAGTTCCATCATAAGGATGCTTCAGCACACCCAAGTTGCTAGCCATCCGCGTCGTAGTGCTAACGCAATGCATCGTCGTGAGACCTGCTATGACTAGGAGGTTGAGGTCCATCGCCCTTAGTCTTTCTTCTAGATCTGTGCCTATGAAGGCGGAGTTCGTGCGCTTCGTTAAGATTGGCTCATCTGCGAGCGGAGTGGCGCATGATTTGAATTTGACTCCAGGGTTAGACGGGTGGAGTGGTGAGTCGGGGTGGGCTGAGACGTGTTGAACGTGGATGATGTGTGCTCCTGCTGCTCGGAACGCGGATCGAAGGATTGGGATGTTGTCTTCGAGGGAGGGAGTTGAGCGGGCTACTCCCCAGTGGGTCGGATGGGAGAATCCCTCTTGGACGTCGATGAGGACGAGAGCGGTGCGAGAAGACATTGCTTTTTGACTTGTTGATCGATGTGGGAAAGTCGTTCTAGATTGAGAGACTTTTGGATAGAATGAGAAGCTTGAAGGAATCTTTCCTCGTTTATATACGAGAGGTGTCAATAGTAGGGCGTGTACTTTCACTCCGGAGGGACTTGACTAATAGGCCTGCTTACCAACGTTGAATAGGGCGGGAAAAGTGAAGACACAGACAAGGGGACTAATCTCAGCGCTAAGTAGGAGTTCAGAGATTGAGAATGTGTTAATTTGGGAGGCTTCGTTGATCTGGGCGATATTTGAAGTCCTGTCGAAGTGCTTCAATGGTATTTCGAGGCATTGTCCAAGGGGTGTTGAGCATTTGTTGAAAGACGAATCTCAGAGATATCTCATTAGCTCGACTAGCGCTAAGACCTCTATGGGATGAAGTTACTAGTCAATTGAGCTAGTATTGCTGAATAACTCCTCTCGATGAATGTGATCATGGAGACAGGAGCTTGGTGTTGAGTGGAAGATGAAACAACACGTGAAAGGCTTCGGCCATAGCCCGGACCCTGATCGGCCCTATTTCTCGTTCAATCAACCGCGGCTTTGGAGACTACGGCAATTCACACCCTCCCTGCCCTCGTGCCCACTGTATGTCGCCATGCACGATTTGTACATACCCAGCCGCGATATTCCTATTGTCGCCGAGCATACTGATTCCACCCTCCGCCGCCATACTGTAGCTGGATGAGTCGGGCCCAGCGTCCCGCTGCCGATTGACGCCATCGACCATGTCAGACTCCGTCGGTATGACAACATGATGCCCTCTACGTATGCCGATAAACGACTTTTGCTAACATTTGTATACTGGGATAGATCGCGTCTTCAGCCATGCTCTCAACACCGTCAACAAGATCCGAACGGGTGCTCAGAAGCCGCCATCCGCCGTCCGCCTCCGACTCTATGGCTTGTATAAACAGAGCATGGGTATGCTTCATCGGAAGTGTTTTCCGACAGAGGCTAATAATTGGTAGAGGGTGATGTGGATGGTATAATGGAGAGACCAGAAGGCAGTGGTGAAGAAGTGCACCGCGCGCGCGAGAAGTGGTATTTAGCCCCACCGTACGACACCGAATCGTATACTGATGAGAAGTCACCAGGGACGCATGGAAGCAACAGAATGGGCTGTCACGGACAGAAGCTAAACGGCAGTATATAACCACATTAATCGACACAATGCATAAGTTCGCCTCCCCGAGTCCAGACTCCCGAGAACTGGTCGCGGAACTGGAGTTTGTCTGGGATCAAGTCAAATCGAACGTCCCCTCCTCATCGTCATCTTCGCCCCTTCAAACTCTAGGTACCATGGGCCTCCACATGCCCCCGCCGTACCCAGGCCTCGGATCCAGTGGTACACGCGACTACCGGGCTGTCGACCAGATACCCTCAGACGCGCCTCTACGAGTTCAAAGCCCTATGTCGCAAGACGAAGAGGAGGAACTTGATGATATGGACGATAACGGCGAGGAGTTCGTAGACGCTCAGGATTCCCAATACAACCCCAATCTGGAACATGAGGAAGGGAACGAGAATCTAAACGAGATGAGAGAGTCGCCCTATGGCAAAAGCCCAAGCCGGACACCTCCTCCCGCACCGAACCCATCAGACCATAAATGGCGCCGGCGAGTTGAGCAGGCGCTCGTAAAGATGACCGCCGAGGTCGCCGCATTAAGGGAACAGCTCGAATCCCGTCGACTTTTCAGTAGCAGTCGGAGATACTCTTTTTTCTCCTGGCTATTACGGACTGCTTGGACTGCTCTGAAGCACATTGCTATCGACTTTGTTATCCTCGGAATATTGCTCCTCTGGATGCGACGGAAGAAGGACCCCCGACTTGAAGGTGCTGTTCGGGTGTTGCTGGGCGACGCCGTTGTTCAAGTACAGAAGGTTGGAGGGGCACAGATGGCTAAGATGATGCCTGCGAAGAAACCGAGCTGAATATAAGTCGTTGGGTTATAATTTTTTGGTGTTCGATCAACAAGACAACAGCAAATATTACTACAATCTAGATGACTGGAACATCTTGGATTAGCCATAGTCAGGCTTTTATTTTACGGTAACGAGTTAATGATGGGATTACAAGTATGAGAATTGGATACGTTGGCTTGAGGCCGACGCTGTAATTTTAGGTAGCGCTCCAGGGAGATGAGATGGATATGACCATTTGAATCCCGCATAGTAGTATGAAACTGCTTTTTACAAAACCTCATCACCACTCTGGTCCGCAGTGTTCTATAGCCCGAGCCATAGTCCTAACATGTGATGAGAGGTGACGGGAGTAAATTGATACAATACGTCTCGGTAATTCAGGGACCACCTCGCCTAATCCGGCCTAGTATGACGCGGGATAAACATTCACAACGCGGGCGTGTTTCGTGCAGGGAGAATCGACGTATTTTAATTTACCTGATCACACAACACCAACACAGGAGCAACCTATGGAACCTCGAGACTACAACAATGTCTTCGCGCCATCCTCCAGCCTCGAAACTGCCCTCCCCGGCTGAGCGCAAAGCCTCAACCTCCACCGTGGGCGGAGCCCGACCCCGCGTTGTATCGTCGTCTTCAAAGCTGGGCGAAAATGAACGACGCGCTCCTGCGGCACACCTAAGGAAGCCTTCGGGGGCAACAACGGGTCCAGAAAGACGGACCGAGAAGAAAGAAGTCCTCACTAGGGAAACTGTGACCGTGCGGCCGAGAAGTCCACTGAAACACACTTCCGAAAGCCGGGTCAACGCAAGAAGCCGGCGCGATGCAGACCGAGTGCCAAAACCAGCGGAAAGAGCTTCTGCGAGTAATTCGGGATCGAGGAAGGGCCTTGAAGAAATCCCAGGTATGCTCGCGCTTCTTCTTTGGCAATGCCCCGCCAACTCGAAAGAACGAGCAGAATCACTGACACTATGCTCTCAGAAATACCATGGGCTCCGCAGGCCACTATTATACCTCATACCGCAGCGCCACTGGCTTCCCGCGTATCAATACCGCCTCTAGCATCGACCGCCCCGCAGGCACTACAGCCACAACCCCTCAATCAGTTATCCCTCGACGCGCAGGAAGCAGCAATTATCGAGGACCTCCTCTTCGTGTTCATGGGCTTTGAGGGACAATACATAAGATTCGTCGAGACGTACAACCCATCTGAAGAGAAGGACCGCTTGATTGGGCCACAATTCCGTATTCTTGCGCATTTGGATCCTAGCCTGCGGGATTTGACTATTTCGATGTTAAAGATGGCCACACACTACACTGCGGTGGAGGCTTCAATAGAAGTGTTGAGCCGAGAAGAGTTTGGGGCTGTCAATCATGCGCTTTGTGCGACGGTGCGACACCTTTTGAAGGACTATTTGGTGCTCATGGCACAATTGGAACACCAAATGCTCACGAACCCAGCTTTCACGTTACATGTGCTCAATCTGCACACCAAACCGACAAGTCATATGCTTTTCCAACTTTATACTATGGGAACCGAGTTGTTGAAAGCAAATGGAGTCCTTGAAGATGATGAGAACTCAGAAGACTCTTCAGATGATAGCGACAATTTGGAGGGTATTCTTGAATCGTTACGAGAGGGAGGTCAAGCAGGACTACCTGCCAAAAAGATATGCAAAGGTGGAAATGTACTGGGATTGATTACGAAGAGATTGGCTTCGATGTCTGGAGATCCCGCTGCGAGGACGCTACTGACGAGGCTGTTACGAGACGCCAGCCGGCCTTATATGGCGATGTTGAATGAATGGCTGCACCATGGAGGCATCAAAGACCCTCATGCAGAGTTTCTCATAAAAGAGCAGAAGAGCATCAAACGCGAGCGGTTAGATCAGGACTATACGGATGAATACTGGGAGAAGCGTTACACTGTCCGAGACAGCCTTGTGCCGCCCCAATTAGAGGGAGTCAAAGATAAGGTGCTGCTCGCTGGCAAGTACCTGAACGTCGTCCGGGAATGCGGTGGAGTAGACGTCAGCAAGGTTGTTCAAGACGTTCCGCAAAGCTTCGACGATCCACGGTTCCTGGAGAACGTAAATGCGGCTTATGCATATGCAAACTCGTCACTCTTCAATCTTCTGCTCACGACACACGCTCTTCCAGCACGTTTAAGATCACTGAAGCACTACTTTTTCTTGGATCGCTCAGATTTCTTCACATACTTCCTCGAGCTTGGAACTTCTGAGCTCAAGAAGCCTGCCAAGTTGGTAAACATCGGCAAACTCCAGTCTTTGCTTGATATTGTTCTACGACAGCCTGGAAGCGTAGCTGCGGAAGATCCCTTCAAGGAGGACGTCAAAGTACAGATGAACGAGGTCGGCTTGACGAACTGGTTGATGAAAATCGTCAATGTCACAGGTCTTGATCAGGATGCTGCGACTGGCGCTATCTCGAACTACACTACTCCCGCCACTCAGGCACCAGTAACGGACGACAAGGACATTACCGGGTTCGACGCGCTTGTATTGGACTATGCGATGCCATTCCCTCTCTCACTGGTCGTCAGCCGTGTCACACTCACACGCTATCAACTTCTATTCCGATACCTACTGTCTCTTCGACACCTGGAGACCCTCCTTGTGGGAAGCTGGACCGACCACAGCAAAGTGCTCAGCTGGAAGCATCGCAGCAAGAACCCACGAATAGAAATGTGGAAACGAAAAGCATGGACACTGAGGGCCAGGATGCTGATTTTCGTTCAGCAAATGCTGTACTACTGCACTTCGGAGGTCATCGAGCCGAACTGGGTGTCCCTGATGTCTAGGCTGAATGAAGGCAGTGAGGACGTGCCACACAAAGCAGGCGAGCCGGCACAGGTCAAGCGCACGGTGGATGAGCTGATGCAGGACCACGTCGATTTCTTGGCCACGTGTTTGAAGGAGTGCATGCTTACAAACTCGAAGCTGTTACGGGTAAGTAGTCGCCTCCCTTATGCCGGCGCCCATCTACCAATAGCTAATCACCCCGCAGATCAACTCCAAAATCCTAGCCACGTGCACCATGTTCGCCAACTTCACCTCTTCCCTCTCACGGTATCTCGTCCAAGCCGACCCCGAACTCGCCAACGCCGCGACAGCAGCAGCCTCGGCAGCGTCAGCTCCATCCAAACCTACGCATGGCCACTCCAAATCCGCCTCAACTTCAATCACATTTGATCCTGCGAAGGTGGATAAGATGTTCGACATCATGCACAAGTATGAGGATAATTTTTCAAGGCATCTGAAGATCCTACTCGATACGCTTAATTATCTAGCGGCGACGGAGACGGTAGTCTTTTTGAGTCTTTGTGCAAGGCTGAGTACGGCGAATGAGGGGGGGCCGGGGCAGGGAGATGTGTATTGATGAGGTTAAAGGTGCTATTGGGGTTGTCTAGGACGGGTTACGAAGAGGAGCGCGCACGTAGCTGCAGTTATGAGGAATGGCGTCAAGGCGTCTCTGTTTGGTGTATGCTAATACCCCCTTGTCTGGATGTTTTGGAGCGTAACACGCATGCCTGCCGTCGAGTCGGGCAAGTCGAGTAGGATTCAGGCGGCTTATTGAATGAGGCGTCAATGTGGCATTCATCAGTCATGACAGGCGACCACGTTGCATGCGAATGTCAGTTTGTGCAGCTATCGACAGCTATCGACAGCTATCGGCAGCTATGTTCATCGGTGCCAGTGAATGCTGCTTAAGCCCCCAGTACCATGCAGCTACCCTAGATTCCCGGACCGCGGCGGGCTGACTGATGGCATATCTCTACTACTAAGAGGCTCATAAACAGCCCCTCTTACTCGACGAAGGACCTACCTACGAAGGTAGGTATTAGTGATTGTGTGGGGCCTCGGGGCGTGTAATTGCTTTCCCCAACGGCGACCAGGATGCTGGAAGGATTCGCGGCCAGAGCCCCGCGGAGGCACCAATAAGTGCTTTTTCCGATCTTTCGATCAGTTCACGATAGGCAGAGGCGGAGAGGCTTGCAGGGCGCGGTTCGCATATTCCTTCTTCGAACGAGAGGCGGGACATATCTCGGCCTTCGGTTCGACAACGGCGACTGAACGAACCTGGCGGGGTCAGCGATGAGGTATGCACGCAGTTCTACTGGCTGCGCGGCGATAATTATGACGACGGAGGGTGCAGATTTTAGTCTGGCTGCACACCATCTCGCATACACGTCGAAGGCCAAATAAGCGACCCCGCGAAGTTTTGAAAGCTGCACATTTTTCTCAGGTGATAAAGAGGAGAAGTGCTGGTCTGGCGTTTCCGTGCGTCCTTTTGGCCGTTGCTTGTGTGAAAACGGGCCTGGATTGGATCCTCGGCTGAAGACGTTGGCTGTCCACGAGCGGCGACGACATCCTTGTCACGACTTCCGACTCCCACCGACTGAACTGCGGTGCATCCGCGATCGCATCTCCACTCATAAACACCGCAAGCGCCCTCCTTAAACCCTTGGGAGCCTCCGTATAGGGACAAGAACTACCACGGCCGCCGCACACAACCCACGTTGGCCTCTCCTCCGCCACGGCACGACTCCTACGACACCACTACGCCATCTCTTTCAGATCCAGGGCACCCTCCAACCAACCCTCCAACTCCACATATACATGCTTCCGACCCTCCGGTAGCCTGTGGGCCCCAACCGCGCGAGTGGACGTTGCTCCCACTCCTCATCTAGCCCCCGTTGCGCCCAACCTCCCCAAGAGCCTCCCCCCACGGGTCTTGATGCACGACGACACCGCAAACCCTCACCCACCCACGCCCGCAACCATGTCCACAAACAGACCCTTCCTCTCCAACTTCCTCGCCGCCTTCCGCGCGCACTCCGCCATCCAAAAAGCTGCGACCTCCCCGCCGTCGTCGACCGCACACAACGTTTACGGCTCCACCTCCGCCGCCTCCACAAACCCCTCCACATCATCAACAACGACGACGACAAGGACGATCACTACCACCGCGAAACCCGGCAACCAGGGCGCCACCTCCGCCGCTGTGCAAGCCGCCGGCGCCCAGTTCCAGCCCACCCGCCAGCACGCCGCGCCCTACCACCGCTCCACATCCCCTAAAGCCGGCGCTGGGTTCCCGATTCCCGGTGCGGGCGCGCGGGAGCGCCGGGGGTCGGACAGCTCGAACGAGGGGTTCCGGGAGGTGATGGGGAGTGAGAAGTGGTATATTGGCGGGCGGACGGCGGGGGGCGAAGAAAAGTTTTATAAGCTCGGGATGGTGAGGAAGCAGCGGAGTATTGATCGGTTGAGTTTGGATCGGTTGAGTATATGATTTTGGGGGTAGAGGAGAGGCGCGATTTCGGAGATTCTGGGGAGACTGCGAAGGTACGATATAGAGTAGAGGTGGATGGGGGAAGGTGAGTGATTCTGGGATCTGCTATTATAAAAGCTGGGACGGTTGGGTTGGGACTGGTGCTTTGATTAGAGCATCAGAATGGCGTTTTTTCGTTTTTTGGGTTGCATTTGGGGGGATGACTGGGTTTTGCGGGCTTTGTACTGCTGGTAGGACGGTTATGGATGGATGAATATTGGGGAGTTTGGCATGGGATTCGCTGGACGGCAGCGAGTGCTCATCGTACATATTTGGGATCTTGTGTGTATAGTCTCTAGAAAAACTTCGCTGATCTATCGACATAAACTACTTCCATGTACAAAGTGAATTCAGTGGTGAATGTGCTAGTATGAGGTATGTTAAGTTTTACAAGTTCTGGAACGGCTTTGTGGGTGGATATGGTTGCTCGTAAGTGTGGTTCGTTAAAGTATCCTGCACTCTCTGCTTGCCCATAACTTCCGAATGTAGTACCTATAGATACACCTTGTAGTTCGACCAAGGTGGTTGAGCATGCATCTCCTCAATCATCACGCTAGCCATTTCCAGACAAGCGAGCCTCACTAGCTTATCTCCATCACTTCAGCCTCGTAGGCATCACTTCCCTTTCTCCCGACATCCTTCATCAATATTTTTGGATTGTCCTACTAATATCTCGGATTTGAATTCAGTCAATGTTTCATGTCCATACTTTATTTTTTCAGTTCCTCAGGATACCCCTGTCATCAACTACGACGTCTTGAGTACACGAGGCTGCTAGTACGCTTCGTCACTGGAGCTGTCAGTATTTCTTGCATTCTACATCTTCATCCATCGTTTCCGATGAAGATATGTTCTCTCGATCAACCCAGTTCGGAGTATGGCTTGAGGAAAGATGAAAACTATCCGGCCATGCTAGCGTCTTCACACCAATATACTGAGCCTCGTTACTTTTCTAGCAGCTTATATCAACAAGCTTCAACTTCCATGGGCCTTAACTCCAGGCAAAACGGCAGCATAGACTAGAGCTATGGTCAGTAACCCGCGTCAAGTCTTGCGCTACAAGCCGTTGCAACCCCACCTCAAGGAAATCCGCCTCTTCCGGCTGAAACCGAGAAACTATCGGCCATCCTCATGTCCGTGGTTTCTCGTCAATGTAGCCATATTTGGCGAACTCGAGCACGTCTCGAGAGATGATAGCGTCATGTACACCGCACTTTCATATGCGTGGGGTGATGGTGTCAGAAATCGTATCGGCGTCGGACAGGAAGAGTTGTACATCAGTACCAATTTGGAAGACGCTCTGCTGCAGCTACAAGACGATAACGAAGATGTGCTGTTATGGGCAGACCAGATTTGCATCAATCAACAAGATAAAGAGGAAAGGAGCGAACAGGTGCAGCAGATGAGAGAGATATATGCTGAGGCTGAACGGACCGTTGCTTGGCTTGGGCTGGCGGCTGATGAGAGTGACTTGGCGATCAATCTATTGAGCAAAATGAGCAGAGGTATAGGTGAAGAGGAAGAATTGGAGTTACTATTGCTAGACACTAAGGCCGTCCACGTTAACTTCTTCAAAAGCGTCATCGCCAATAGTCTTTCCCGTATTACGGATCCCGTAAGACTTGCCATCATCTCTACAGCATTTGATCGACTATGCAAGCGGTCATACTGGCACAGACTCTGGGTTATTCAGGAGTTCGCGGTTGCACGTCAAGTTGATGTTATGTGCGGTGCCTCAAGCATTCCAAGTCACAAGCTTCACTACGTGCTTGACGCTTTCAACAGAGTTCCAGGTTATATTTTCGATTCTGATGAATACAATCTCAAGAGAACCGACACGAACAGCGAGGAAGTAAAGACCGCAAATGCCGTATTTAAGGATTTAAGGTCGGCTACAAAATCTTCCTTGGAGAACATTGTGTATCACCGACACGCGTATCAGTGGGTGCAGCAAAAAGGGATGTCCCTCTTCCACATCCTCACATCGACTCTTGTATCAGGACCAAAGTACGACCCTCCACAATGCTCCGAGCCAAGAGACAGCATATTTGCGCTCCTGGGACTCACTGATGACGCCACAGAATTCAGCGAATTTCCCAATTATACGATAAGTTGCAAGGACGTCTACACGAAAACAACGATAAGGCTTTTAGAGCAAGGCCATATCGGTTTTCTCTCCTACTGCCAATTCCCCATGGACAAGCAGATAGGCGTTCCTAGCTGGGTTCCGGACTGGCGTTTGAAGATTTGCAGACCAAGTATACGAAGCTTGTTGACACGAGATGGGCCATTTTCGGCATCAGGAAAGAGCGTCTTACGGCAGATGGTATCTCATAGAGACTCTCATTTGCTTACTTTGAGAGGCATCCGCGTTGATACTGTCGAAGAATTTGGAAGTGTTTGGGTTCCTGAGCAGATGAAAGGCTCTCGGCCTCAACAAGAGAGCGCTCTTCAATACCTCGCTGAAATCAGGGCTTTCGTTGCTCAGTCCCCTCGAATCAGTCCTGGAGGCGAGGACTTCCATGCCTCACGAATTGCGGTGGCGGACTTCCATGGCAGTGCCAATATCCCACAACTTTGGGAAAGAGCCCATACCGGGTGTCTCCAACTACTTGGCGAGTCGAAACTAGAAGTCTTCTATGAGAGGTCGCTGAATGCTGTCCATTCAGTACGGCCGTTCATTTCGACGTCTGGATTCGTTGGGCTTGCGCCGCTGCGCGTTCAAGTTGGAGACGTGGTTTGCATCCTCCTAGGTGGAGATGTTCCATACTTGTTACGGAAATGCGGTGAGAGTTATATTCTAGTTGGTGAAGCCTACGTGCATGGTATCATGTACGGGGAACATACGGCTGGTTCTCCCAACGTTGAGGACTTCACACTGAAGTGAATTGTTTGGCCGATACGGGAAGTGATGCATTAGATTAAGTTAGTAACTCTACGGTGTTTCAAGAGAGGGGGGGTCCTTTCTTTGAGGGTTCTTCACAATCTGAATATAGAGCCATAGCCTTCTCTTCCGGCTTAGTGCGCAAAACTTTAGATCCACGACCACTACAGCTAAGCTGCAGCAACTTCGTAGTGCAGCCGTGTTTGGCGAACTCGAGCACGTCTCGAGAGATGACAATGTCGTATATACCGCGCTATCGTATGTGTGGGGTCATGGCATCACGAATCGTATTGGCGTCGGACAAGAAGAGCTGTACATCAGTGTCAATTTGGAAGACGCTCTGCGACAGCTACAAGATGAGGAGGGAGATGTGCTGTTATGGGCAGACCAAATAACCCTGAGGGCGCAGTCCGACAATCTGACTTAATATTCTTTGCTAAGGTGAGTGCGCGTGCTGGCGGGATGTTCAGCTTTGATAGAATACCTCGCACGATAGTCTACTTAGCTCGCCAGAATTATAAAAGAAGGAGACTTCTGAGTCTCTCTGTGCTCGCGTGCGTAGGCAGGGGAGTGCGTTGCAGTGTGCTGGATAGGATGAGTGCCCTGCCTCGTATCGCGACATCTCCAGGCATGCATTTCGACCAGCCTATTCTCTCGCTTTGATAATCCGTTCTTAGAGAAGTCTTCGCAAAACAGAAAGCAGTGATATATTTGATGTTGAAAATGATAGCTTGTACGCAGGAAAGGAGGGCGCAGAGAATGGGTTTGAGGGGCCATGGACTTGTCTAGCTGCATCACGATAGGCTTCCAAGCGCTTTTGTTTTTCAAGCAGACGCCGCTCGCTGGCTTCTGCCAACCTCGCGAACGACATGTATGCCTTAAAGCTAAACGATTGGTGCCTATTCTAATGGCTAACGAAGAGCTACGTAACTATTGCCGCAATGGGGCTAAACAGCTGGCTAGACGCCGGGCACCAGACGAGGCGGTTTCAGGGCAAAAGGGATGCGTGATCTCCCAGCACCACATACAATGATTCAGGTCGTCCTGAATTCTACTGCTTCTTGTGCCTCAGACTGTGGCCTGAAAAGTGCAGTGGACATGGATTTGAGACCAAAGGCGAACACCCAGGCAGTAGGCAACAAGATGCATTGGTGGCTTCGCCGATGTTTGTTGTCGGCCCGCAATTCGTCAAAACCTGCACCTGGCGGCTGTACGTAGCTGAACACGGCACACACTAAGCTCCACCTGCAGAGATATTTAATCCCAAACGTGTACCTTTCCGCACACGTCTGCAGATGCGCCAGTTTGTCGTCGTCATCATGCGTTTCAGTCGCCCACCGCTTTCTCAATTGAATCACTTAAAGAAATCGTTTTCTTTCAAACGCAAGTGGATTCTGCAACCCCCTAACGCTCCTAGGAAGTATGACAGGAGATTGAAGTCATCGCCCGAATGGCCCTCGCCCGAAACATCATCGGAAAGCTCACCATACTCAACAGAACCGCCAAAACGACCGCTATTATCAAGGTCACCGCCTGCTGGATCACCGTCATCCAAGAGCTCATCATGTGGTTCACCATGGCCAGAGATACCAAGTTGAGGATTTCGAAACTGAGGCAAATGAAGGTACGAAAGATCTTTAGTATGAGAATGCAAGATTATGACTGACTACGTGCCTACAACAAGGCTATGTTGAATGTAGGTTTCCTAGATTTCCCAGCAGAAATCCTCATAGAAGTACACGGAGCGCTACCATCATTGTCTTCTGGGTCTGTCTTGTAGCCGCAGTTGCCCTACAAATCGGGATTCTGGTCGCCACCGTGTTCTTTACGAGCACGGATAACACAGATTTTGAACCCGAAAGCCCAAGCTTCCCACTCTGTAAGAACAGTCGATTTCGGGAATGTTCAGCTGCCACTTCCAACGCTACTATTTGTACCGAGATCGAGGCAATGTTACACAACAACGAACACGCCAGGCTCTTTCTAGACCAAGGGCACCGCCTCATAGATATGCAATTGAACGACATGCCGAACGGGGCCTCTCACGTGACGAGCGGAGCGTTAGGAGGTAGGCACGTGGACGGAACCGTATATAGTCTACTATTGTCGAGCCTTACGCTCGACGACTCGAACAATGCAATCTTAATTTGCGACAACACGCTTTCTGACGTGCGCGTGCCTCTGCGCGGTGACGTACGCATACGTCCCTCACAAGCTGCCTCAATGGATTCTAGGTTGTCCCAGCCTTTCCGCGTTCCTCCACGATTGGCGTAACGGCATTTGCTGTGTACAACATGATGAATACCATGGCAGTTATGTCCTGTTAGACATTCATATCAAGGAATCGTGCCTTGTACAAGAATCAACATAATTGCAAGGGTAGCCTCAGAGAACTGGGCATCGTCAACTGGATCCTTATATCCTAGATCTTTTGCGGGCCCTTTCTCTAGTGGTGGATCTCTTTCTTCCGGTTCGTCCTGGACCCAATTCCGAATTCATCAATATCAGTAGTGGCATGGGCCACCATGTGGCAGCTCGCCTCTAACATCCATTACCATTCATATTCACGTATCTTGCGCTCACGACCTGGCCTCAAAGGGGCTCCGCCTTGGATCTTGCCCATCCTCACTGTAGCTTAGCGGTTCGCAACCATTCATGTATTGAATGTAGGATGGCGGGGCATTTTCCGGGCATATTTAAGAAGATGGATATATATCAAGGCTACGACTGCCTAAAAGCCATGATTCCCGGAGCACTTGGTTTCTTCCGCTGCACACACAAACAACTGTATTCAAATGCTACACTTTTCGGCGACTATCAATTTTGCTTATGAGGCAACTATAACGTGACTCCAGCTTAGTAATAAGAAAACCTTCGACCGCGACAACCGGATTGGAACGTATCGCCTAATCTCTGGATTCTGAGTGACGATGTTAAACACAGGTATGAAGATGGAGACTAAACTTACCACCTAAGGAAAGGCGAAACAAGGATGGACGAGCTTTAATCAGGAGATTGTGCACTAACAAAGGTCAGCAAAGTAGAAGAAAGGAGCTGTTATCTCTCACGCGTGGCTTTCCGGATTTAGATTTGCCAGAATTGGTAGACGTGGAAGCCTCTGCTTGTATCATATCTTGTAGGCTCGGGTTGTCCCTTAATGCCTTCTCCGCCCTGTACTTGGCGGTATAGGAATCTGTTTGCCGCTTGCCCTCCGTGCTGAATTCGTTCAACTCCTTGCCCTTCTTCTTTGGAGCGGTTGCGCCGGACATTATTGGTATGGATGGTAACTCGACTAGGTTGTCTTGAGAAAAGTGACTACCTCGATGATTGTGGGAGGGCGATTGGTCTTTTATACGTAGAAACTCCTATCCGCTTATCATCTATGTTCGCTGTTGTGTCTGCATTGGCTGATGTGTCTGCATCTGATTTGTCAACTGACATTGCTCCTGCAGCTTTTGCATCTGCTCTTCGGCTGGTTGATCAACCGACATGTCGGTGGGCGGGCCACCAATCGTGCATGAACCACCAAGTCATTGGACTGACATTGAACGTCGTTAACGAACAACGTAATCGACCACTGAATGCCCTCTAGAATTCTTGATAGCAAGTGTCTTGTAGGCCTTCTGGTTGATCTCGTTCGAGGAGTGCTGGGTCGGGAGATGATCAATGCTCGGGGGTGTCGCATTTCCAGCAGCAGGGGGATTGAGGCAAGCGATCAAAGAGGTATAGGCTCGGCGTTTGTCCTCTTATGTCTGTTTTCCTTGAGGTGCATATAAAAACTGGAAAAGGGCTCTGCGAGCTTTGGGTGGGAGGACGGTTGGCTGTGGCTCGGTCCTGTCGTTACTCCACGCTCTCGAATAGCGCCTACGCTAGTAAGCGTGCGATGTGATGTGTAATATCTAAAATCTAGGCATTCCTTTAGTTTGAAAATACGTGCAAGGGAGTATGTAGTTGATTCGCGACGTACTGGACCGGAGGCTAATCTCACCGCACCGTTCTCTCCTTGACGGCGCCGCAGGGACTGCCGGCTATTGATCGAGACGAACCAAGGCTTCATACTCCAAACGATGAGTATGACATATTGAAATAGAAGAGGTAGTCCGAGAAATGCTTGGTTGAAAGGGGCTGGCGGCACATTCGGAGTGGGTCGGGATGGTTGCTAGGGAACGGCAGTCGTTCGAAGGGAATACATCAACACTGACAAAGAGCATTGGAGACAGGATCGTCGAGCAGTGTGTAATGATTGTGTGCGTCGGATTGAGTAGTGAGCTTCTCTGATGGCTCTGTGGTGAAGTTTATCACTGTCTCACCTCAATCCGTTAAGGTATGCGCTAACATGTGTAGGGTACCAGACTTCATGACCCAATCAGCCAATGAAGCTACTGCCAAATCAAGGCACTTCCTGCTGAGCGCTTGGAGAGCATCGGCTGCAAACCGTTCAACAGAGGGTATGGTGTCCTTTCTACGCATATTGCTCAAGCACTTCTTAGTGTTTGGTCTAGCACTAACGCTGACTACGAATACGATTTGTACTTCCATGTTCGCATGTCACAGCTACGCGTGCTTCTTTGGGTAGATGCTAAAGTAGCGCGTTCTTGTGTTTGGGCTCTAGCCTGCGGGGTGTTTCCATGAGGAGTAGCACGCCCCCTTCCCACCTTTGCTGGCCTGTCTCCTCTCCCTTCTTGTTCTTCAGTGCACCTTCTCTTAAGTACTGTCCACATTGCCGGCATCAACATACTACCTGAGCACATCAAAGTTGTCCCTATCATCGTCCTAATCGTCGTTCTCTTGCTAGTCGCCCTTCTTAACTCAGTCAGTGGACTACTTGCGGGTGGAACAGTCACAGCATCCAGACCGAGCAAGGTTCAGAGTCTACAGATCAGTGGAGTAACTGTCTCGGTAAGTGGCTTCGTACAAAGCGTTAAAATCATCCAAGATGAGATGGCAACAAAAGCTAATCAACAAGAGCAGTGTCTGTATGAAGTACCAACATGTCAGATCAAGCCCCCATCCTCGACTCCGAACTTGAGGGAGATATCCTACGTATACTGAAAGCATGCGGCACCCACATGGCGAGCATATCAGTGCGCTCTCTAAGCAAACCCTCGCACTTGGAGAGGACGACAGTCCAACTACAAACTTTCATGAGGCTGGGCGACTCGATTCGGCCTGGAGCTTTCGAATATAAAGTCTCCTCCGATGGCAAAAACATCTTTCACATTGCTTCAATAACCAAGATTCTTGTTGCCGTTGCCATCGTAATTGCCGTCGAAATAAAGGCAAAGGAGCAGGTCGTTGAGAACCCTTATGCTGCGTTTTCGAACGTACCCGAGGAGTCGCTCACCACTCTATACAACGACCATAGCAAGGATAAAATGCCGAGCTTACCTGGGAATCCAAGTTTGTACCAGCTTCTTGTGCATTTCAGGGGACTTCGTTCGTCCAATCATTACCTTCTTGCGCCAGACGGATCACCGATAATGACCATGGCGGACCTTCTACAAGATCTGACATACCTCAGCAAACGCGATGCGGGCCGAAGTAGTGCAGAAGAACTGTGGACAAAATACAGCAACATCAACTACTCGCTTATCGCCATAGCTATCGAAGCTCTCTGGAAAGATACTCTAAGCACATTCATGAGCAAGACCCTGTTCGAGCCGCTTGGCATGATGTCAACCACAATCGGCTCCCCAACGGATAGAGGCATTCGCCCGGAGAGATATGTAGTGGACTCAAATGGTACACTTCACTGTGTGCGGAGCCCGGAATATCAATCCACTGGAGCAGAGGCCGGGGCGCTGGGAGCATTCAGTAGTGCCGAGGACCTTGACAAATTTTTCACATTCCTCATCACGTCCCTCCACGGCAAAAAAGTCATAGAAGGATTCGACGTCAATATCATCAGTAAATTGTTCAAATTAGAGTCCAGAGAAACAAAGGAGAATGTTTTCACAGGACTGGGGTTATTGACCACGCTGAACTCGTCAAAAATCGGCTCAATGTCCACGAACGCACTCCTTTTTCCTGATGAAACCTTTTCCACTTACCCGGTGAGCCCAGGATCCAGGGGGAAAGGTATTGAAGCGTACTACATGGCTGGCTCAGCACTCGGCTGTAATTGCACAACAGCGTTCCTCCCCAGTGTGGTTCAAGAAAGTTTTGCAGTCGTGGTATTGACGGACACTTCGGGTCCCGTCGACGCCGCTGACCATATCTCGCGGCGTATACTACAGACGATTGCTAAAAGGAGGTGTCCTCAAAAACTTTCGCTCTTCCACCGACAGCCAGAAAATGTGATGGAAATGGTCAAAAAGGCATGGGATGCATCGTCCAATGCTTGGAAGCGCACAGAGAAAAAAGACGAACAACTAATAAAGAACGCCCCCAATGTCTCTAAAAATATTACGGGAGTTTTTAAGGGAAAAGGTTTCAGTCAGTGGTTGATCATAACCACAGCTGACTTAAAGACATACATCACTGTCTGTGGCTCCAATGACTCCAGAACCTCTTCTGCCTCCGGATCATCCTCTGCCTTCAGAACTTCCCCGGCCCAGTTTCAACTAATCTGGGTAAACGCAAATTTAGTCAAGATGTGTGTCCCGCCGCATCTATCTATCGATACTCATGGCGATGGCGACTGGTCCGAGCTGACATTTGAAGTACATTGCTCAGGAAATACGGTCACAGAGCTTATCCGCATGACCGCCGTTGGTAAGGACTGCTTTGAAAGAACCGAATCAGGCACACCAGATTGATACGCTGTCTTTATACATCATGATATCTGTAGGTTGGTTTCGACCGACTGGGAGAGGTGTCAAGTCCCTAGTACCGTCTCATCTGATTATATAACGTCTCACGAGGCTCCATTCCGTCACTCCTTTCTTGTCCAAATGTAGTCTATGGTCGATACGGCTGTCAACCCCCATATGTATGTAGTGATTATTTTGTCGCGTCTATGTTGCTTTCCTGTTTCTCCATTGCGCGACGTCACTGCGCTGTAGTTAGCAGCCAGTAACACGTCTCTATTCTCCCTTGATTTCTCTCCCGTTACTCTATATAGTCCCACGTTACATCCTCAATACAACTCATGCTTCCTTCACTGATTCTTTGCCCTTCCTACGCCAGCTGCCAGTAGTCTCTCTGTAATTTCAATCAGCCTTGAATTCGGAAAATAATGAAGATAATGATTTACCAGTATGTACAATGAAATCATTCTAAGAAAATAAGGTCGAATATGATTCCTATTTCGCTCGGTTGCGAACCCATGTTCTAGTGATTTTGGCTAATAAAGACCACAATGATTGCAGAATAACTATTTAACGGTTAGCGGCTGCTTTTCTTCTGCTCTATGTATGTTGTGAAATCAAAAGAAAAAGTTGACGTACGCAGCAACCGCTCCAAAATTAGAAGCTCTCGCAGTGTTCGCAAACAACGCGTTCAGGAGAGACACGATGAAAATAAGGATCAAAACTACGGCGATTCTCACGGTATTGTCCGTTACTAAGGTCAGCGCCATGACTGGCAGAAGCTGCACCAAGCAGAGACTAGCAGTGACTACTCCGAATTCCGTGTTCCTCAGTTTTGACTCCGAATACTTCGTCATGAAAGAAGATGTGTTTCCTTTCTGTTAACCCAAGTCAGCTATGGATGAATCTTGGTGAAGCGGGTCTTACTTCTTTGAACACGCTACTCAAGCATTCATGCCTATCGATGTATCTATGGAGCCAGCTTCTTTGGGGGGTTGCTATAGAAAGCAAGCGCGGCGTGTTTGATCCTTCCATCCAGTTGGGAGAGAGCGCTGTTAAGAGAGAGGGGAGGACATTCGAGAGTGCGAATTTCTTCAAGCTATCCGCGACATGCTCAGCAGGCGTTTCAGTACTTTTGATCCGTGCTAATGAAAGAAGAGCATCATCTAAAGCGATCGTTCAGCATAATCAAAAGACTGGAAGACGAGTGTCTTACCGTAGGCTTTAACGACGTCCTGGATTTCCGCAAGAAGAACCTCTGGAGATTTCTCAGGCTTCGGGTATTCCTGCCCTTTTGCTTGAGACGCCTCATAGTTGGAAATACCCATAAGATCCTGCTCTAACTTCGACATACGCTGCTGAAGGGCTAAAATGTTAATTATGTGAAGCATTTCGTACCGACGAAACACCCAGAGGTCAGGATCGTTTGTCATGAAGTGTGCAATCCTGTGAAGTTCATTAAGCCTGGTCTGCGTCGTCATGGTTGTTGTTGTGGGTATTTCTGGTGGGTAGTTTTGGGCAGTTTTTGGGCGAGGTGCTACACGACTATATACGTTCAACGCCACAGGTCTCGCAGTACTCTTCGAACGTCCAGAGGGGATGAAACGTGGCGCAGAAGCTAAGGATACCCAAAATACCATGGTAGGCGCGCGGCTCGTGAGGCGTTTTAGAATGTAGCATGGAACTTCAGCCAATGAAATCGACATTGTACACACGCTCTGACCGTTTCGTGTTGCAGGCGGCTATAGATGCGTGATAGTTTTAGGGATTATGGATATTCCGCATGCGACACTGATCAGTCGTCCCTGCGCTCCCACGCGCCGAGGCTGCGACTGAAGCTGGGGCGTAACGCGAGGCGCACTTGGGTCTCCCGCCTGAGCTGCGTGGCCCAAGGCCCACTAAAGTATATTCATAGCAATTTATTGTCTTCATAGCTTTTCCTAAGCATTATAAGAGCGACTACCTGTCCGAACCCACGGTCCTAGAAAGTGGTTGCTTCTGTAACACCTGACTCATCTGCCGCTGCTAGTAAAAATAGAAGCTCCTCATCTCGCAGAATCTAAGGTCCCTATAATCGATAAATGCCCACGTTGCCGGGCGACAGGCAGTAAATAATCACATCTACTAGGAACCCAACAACTAAATAAGGCCTAAAAGCTTCTTGGCTGGGGCAGAATCCTTTCGCCCAGCGTAGGCATGTTACGAACACAGACTAGGAGATATTCTAACCACAAGTATCCAATCTAGATCCTAACCGGGGTCTAGGACGCATGACCTAGGACAAAGGAGCAAGGACGGGAAACGTTCCAGGGCAGGTAACCAGGGAAACCAGTCACGTGATCAGAAGATCACATGACCAATTCATAATATAACTCCTACCTCTATCCCTGAGAAGCATTGCGCATCACGGAGATAAACTGTTTAGAAACAGAGAGATAGAGTAAAGAGCTATGTAGGCTTTAGAGAAGTTCTTGAATTGCTTAGCACGCGTATTAGCTATTATGTGTTACTAGTTCTTTCCGGCACCATGTTACGTTACGAACACCATGGGCAGCAACGAGACCCCATCGTTCTACTCCGCGCCATGGCATCTGTGGATAGACGGGAGTTATCACGCGATAAAGAGGGTCAGGGGACAAAGGTGAGTGGTGGAGCTCCCATGTCGCCGGACTTGGGAGTTAGGATCTTGCTAACCACTCGACTCGCAGATTTGGCGGCAACGATCGTGACCCAGCGTGACCTCCACGTTGTTAGATCTAACTGGCTGTAGATGGCACCGACACGGCCTACCTGATAGCCGGTGCCCGCCCGTCACAGCTATATAGCTCGCGCTTCCATGATGTCTACGTTCTCTGTCTATAGCCTCATACAACACCACCACCTCAAAATGACCTCTACGAAGAACTAGACATCCCCTACACACTAACCCTGCACCCACGCGCGCCCCTCCTCGCCCCGCAATCCATCAAAGACCTTAACCTAATCGGCCAGGGCCCCGTCATCCAAGACGGCAGCCTCACGCTCGCTGAATCCGCCGCCTGCGTTGAATACATCATCCACAAACACGGCGGCGGGCGGCTCGCGCTTCCCCCTCGCACAAGGATTATGCCGACTACCTCCACTGGTTCTACTTCGCGAACGGCACGCTGCAGCCGCAACTGATGATGCTGATGCAGTCATTGGGCTTCGAAAGCTCTGGGTCCGCTGGTCCCTACGCCGCGGCCCAGGCCGGGCGCTTCGAGTACATGCTCAAGCTGATGGATGCGCAGCTCGCGAAGAACGACTGGCTGGCGGGTGACGAGTTCGCGGCGGCGGACATCATGACTGTGTTTACGTTTACGACGATGCGGCCATTTTATCCGTCAGACTTGACATCGTATGAGGGCATTCTGGGGTATCTGGGCCAGGCGGTGCAGAGGGAGGGGCATAAGCGGTCGAGGGCGAAGGCGGACCCGAAGCTGGAGCTTATGGTTGATGGGGAGCCGCCGCGGTCAATCTGGGAGCGGTTGTAGGTGGAGGGGAAGAGTTAGGGGGGTGTGAGGGTTAGGATGGCGTTGGATGAGGCTTGTACGATTATGGAAGAGCTTGGCGTCTAAACTCCTTTTTATGCGAGAGTAGCTAGAGAAGAGACGTGGGAGAAGGAAGGAAGTCGCGAGTAGTGTTCGATGCGAGACAGTAGGTCATGTTTCTTTACAGCTGAGAGGGCACTAGCGGTAATGCAAAACTGGGTGCCTCGAGGATCTGCCATAGGGTCGACCTGGTGGCACCTCTCATGGATCGTTGCAGTCTGCATCAATCATAAAGATGAAGTGGAGAGGAGTGAGCAGGTGAAGCAAATGAGAGAGATCTATGCTAAGGCTAACCGGACCGTTGCTTAGCTTGGATTAGCGGCTGATGAGAGCGATATGGTTATCAACTTACTGACTAGAATAGCCAGAGATATTAATTCGGAGGTAGGATGGAAGACACCAGATCTAGACGACGAGGCGTTCCGCGACATCGTCAACAGCATTCTCTCTAATGTTCTTCTCATACTATGGATTCCTCCAGTCTTGCAGTCATATGTGCAGCATTTGATCAATTTTGCAAGCGATCATACTAGTGGAGACTTTGGGTCATTCAGGAATTTGCAGTTGCGCGTAGACTTGATATTATGCGCGGCAGCTCAGTTATCCCTATTTGCAAGCTTCGATACGCAATTAAGCTCATTGAAAAGATTCGTATCTATTCTTGCAGTCAAAAGCTTGAGGGAACAGAAGCGGACAGTGAGGAAGTAAAGAATAGAAGTACCATAGTCCAGGCCTTCAACTCGCCTGCAACAGGCTGCATGGAGAAGGTCCTGTCTCACCAGGTCGTGGATCTTACCGCAGACCCGAAGAGACATCGCTCTTTGAAGCTCTTATATCTGTTCTTGCATTCGATGCGATTTACGACCGATCGGAATGTTCCAACCCAAGAGACTGTGTATTTGCGCTCTTAGGGCTCGCCGATGACGCCGCCGGATTCAATGGACTACCGGATATACTATGAGCTACAAAGATATCTACACGAAGGTCACGAAAAGGTTTATGGACCAAGGTTATATCGATATTCTCGCCTACTGCCAACATCCAACGGGCTCAGAGTGTGTTCCTTCTTGGGTTCCGGACTGGCGCTCGACGATTTGTAGCCCACCAATATGGAAACCGGTCAGTAACGACCCTGCATTTCGGACATCGGGGAGTAGCCGCTTACTTCAGAAAGTATCTCATGGAGTTTCTGATTTGCTTACTTTGAGGGGCGTACGCGTTGATACGGTCAAAGAATTCGGAAGTGTTTTTGGGGATACCGAGCGGAGGAAAAGACTTCAACCAAAGGGCACTCTCCAGTATCTTGCTGAAGTTAGGAGTTTTATGGCCCAGTCACCTCGGTTTAACCCCGGAAGCGAGGACATCCAGACCTCACGGATCGCAGTCGCCGACTTCAGTGGATATGTCAAGGATCTTAAAACGCGGGCAATATCCTCCTATGCTGGCTTTCGCCACGTACTCGATGGGGACACTGGGCATGATGGCTATCTTCAAAATCTCGATGATAGCACTAAGGAAGTCGGCTCGAATAGAGATTATATATTGAACGCTAGCAAATCATTTGCAGCGCTACGTTTGCTTCGTTCAGTACGCCCTTTCATTTCAACATCTAGATATGTTGGACTCGCGCCGGTATACGTGCAAGCTGGGGATGTGATCTGCATAATCCTAAGTGGAAATGTTCCGTATGTGCTACGGAAATGTGGTAAGGCGTACATCCTCATTAGTAAAGCCTACATGCATGGTATCATGTACGGGGAACATATGGCTGGTTCTCCCGACGTTGAGGATTTCACACTAAAGTGAATTATTTGGCCGATGCGGGAAGTGATGCATTAGATTAAGTTAGTAACTCTACGGTGTTTCAAGAGAGGGGGTTCCTTTCTTTGAAGGCTCTTCACAATCTGAATAATAGAGCCCCAGCCTCTTCCGGCCTAGTGCGCAAAACTTTAGATCCACAACCACTACAGCTAAGCTGCAGCAACTTCGTAGTGCAGCCGTACTTAGCGAGCTCGAGCTGTCTCCAGAGATAACCATGTTCTGTAGCTATACGGCGCTCCCACATGCGTAGCGGTGATGTCGTCACGAATTGTATTCGCAGCGCCGGGCAAGAAAAGAAATGAATACCAGTGCTCGGTTTTGCAAGATGCCTTTACTATGACAGCTGCAAGATAAGAAGGAAGACGTGCAATTATGGGCAGACTAGATTTGCTCATATTCTTAGGAAACCGCAACGTAAACATCGCGTAGCGTCGAGGTACTATATGCACCTCGAGATTTTTTATGGGGTTTCACTCTACGTATTCAACTGGTTCGATTGGGCAACACAATCTTCCGTGCACTGAAAACTAATCGGCGTGGTGATATATACGAGGGCGGTTAAGGTGCTGGAGCTCGGCCTAGGAGGAGCCGTCTAGAAGAAGTAGTGCCCAGCCAGGAAGGTTGGTGCGGGATAATGTGCAAGAATAGCGATAGATCAGACTAATGGACAAGCTGTGTTTCGACCAACAGAGATGCAAGAAGATAGTGTATGGGAGTCAGTGAGATACTCTAATTGGACACGCTTGGTGAGATTATTACCTGACCTGCTCGAAGCGTCTTCGCAAAGGGAAAGATGCCATGATGACCGATACGAAGTACTCCACAGCCTCAACCAACTCATGACACCTCCGTTACGAGCTAGTCTTTAGGAGGTTGTCTATGTCTCACTCCAGTTTCAGAACTATCTTAAGCTTTTTTGTTAGTCCCACTTTCGTCGTTCTCCAAAGCCATCTTTGCAGAATCTGTAGAGGCCCGGGAGTCTCTGAACGTGCTCTTAATCAACGCCACATCATCGACAATGATGGCATCCAGGCCTGCTGTAGCTTGAATCTAGGCTATGTGAGCATACTGCCTTGTCGTGGAGCAATAGAGTAGAAGGAGATGTCACGTACCCTCGCGCTCTCTGGATCATTATTCAGCATTCCAAAAGACAAGCATAATAATCCTGCATCCTTGACAAACCACACTAGCACAGGACTTGAGACGAAGGGCTCCGATGACATGACAATTCCTGGAAGATTCCAGTGGCGCGCAAAGTGAATAGCTTCTTGCAGATTACTGGCACGTACGTCGCCCGTAGGAAAGAGGTTGGATTCGTTTAGGAGCATCACTGGGTATGTTTGTTGCTTATGGGAGAGCAGGATGCAAATTTCCGAGCTGAATGTTGTGAAAAGAATAGGTCGGGCTTTGCCATGCTTGTAGACCAGGTCCAAGATTGTATCGACGTAGAGATTGAACTCCACTCCATAGAGGTCCATTTTCCAGTCTTCGGCTTCCCAGAGCATTGGGTATTCTGGCACATGGGGTTAGGGAATCGGGATCTGAGTTTGAGTATTCGAAGCTTACTAAATTCAAGGTCTAGGGCAGCATTCTCAGGCAGAGCTAACAGCAGCTCTTCCAGAGTGACAAATGGGTCGTGGATATGAGCGCCTCGAACATTCCCCTTGAACCCTTTGAGTTTGAACTCATGGGTGTGTTTCAAACGATTGAGAAAATCCCGAGCTCGAAGGTCATCGGAGTTGTCGAAAGATTGCGATCGATGACGACGGAGTAGAGAGGTTGGAGATTGATACGTGTACGCACCAGATTCTATGTCCTGCGATGGGGGTACTGGCCGCTGCATGTCGCTAATGTTCATGAACTGTGATCATTGATTCGTAAGCGCCGAGCCTGTTTCTCGTACGACATAAGAACGCCAATCTGGTCAAGGGTAAGATTATGCGGAGCAATGTCCGCGCCGCTCTCACTCAGAAGGAAGTCGTGATATATTACTGGAATATGGTCTCGAGTGAGTTGCACATCTAAAGCACAATCAATAAAGCTATTTTATTTGCCGTATCAGCAGACAGATATTCTCACCGCACTAGCATTTATTAGTGATATCCTTCTCGGCGTCAAGTCCACGACTTACCTCAACAGAGGGTACGCCCAAGTCGATGGTGCATTTGAATGACTGCAAATAATTAGCCGACCTTCAACAGCTTAGATCAAGGCAAACTCACCTGTATAGTATTCTCTCCAACCTGTAGGCGTTTGAAGGCGGGTGAGTTCATCCCTAGGCCTAGAGAAAGGTTACAATCGGAGCTAGCACCGTATCTTGGAAGCGCTACCTCTATGTCCTATAAGCCTGGTTGAACCATTTGCACTCCATGGTTCCGTATTTTGAGTGTAGGGCTCGCGCGGGTCAGGGAACGGTTTCACAAGGAGGAAGTTCAGTGTCAGAGTCCCGATGATGTCTGGCGTCTCACATCCAATAATGGGCACCGTGTGATCTCTGTATAAGCTTTCACGACCTGGTCCTAGCGCGTCCCTAAGTTCCTCCAGAAGGGCAATGGCAGTACCTACATGAATAGGATGATCCGGTGATTTCGAGATTTGGCGTAGGATTTTGAAAGTCAACTTTGCGTTTCGCGGATCGGGTGTATGGAACAAAAGAGGATAGTTTGTAGCATCATCAAGCACTGGTAGCTCTACGGTAACTTCTGGTCCTTTGACTCCTACTCCCTTTACTTGGACGGAATATCCAACTTCTGGATAAGGATTGTGCGGATATCTCGACAAAAATGGTGCCAAATCAACAGGTTTTCGAGGCCTGCGAGTGTTCAGTGAACCAAGGTTGACGAAGATACGGGTCAGGTCTAGGGGGCATGGTGCATGTGCATTCGTTTTTGGCAATGGGACCTTGGGAATGCGTGATGAAGAGCTCGAGATAGACGGTGGTAGGAGCTTCGATATCTCCCAAAAGCCTCGAAAGGCAACATAATCCAGGGCTGTCCAGCCAAAAATGTCTTTCTGATTTGTGTCAGCACCCAGCCTCAGAAATTTCTTCACCACCTCTAGCTGCCCGTAGACACAGGCCACTATCAGCGGCGTGAAACCGTAGGAAGGCTCAGCCACACTAGGATTCGGGCCATCGATGGGAGACATGTCGATTAGCATTTGGATATGCTTTGCAGAACCTCCACGAGCAGCGATGAAAAGGGCAGTCTCTCCATTAAGCTCCCGATAGTTAACATTTACACGTCGTGTACCTAACAAAGTCTGGGCTATGCCGGTGAAGGAGTACAGCAAAGAGATTTGTAGGAGAGAAGCTAGCGAGTCGCCGAGTACTGAATCTGTATCGATGCTCAAACGCGACAACTCGTGCGAGGCCGACAACACTTTGACAGCTTGCTCATGACCGTTGATGACAGCGAGATGTAGTGGTGTCTTGCCGTCCATATCGGCAAAATTGGTCTTGGAAGAGGTTGAAAATGGGCGAATAATATTCCAAGCGTCCATTGTTTCAAGAAGACTACAAACATCTGCAAGGCCGGCTTCTGCTGCGTAATGTAGAGGTAAACGGCCAGGAAAGTCCTTTTGCAAGACAGCGGACCGTTGATTCTCGCTGAGACAACCCAACGCGAACCGTAACATAGTGAGCTCATCTCCATCCCCGTCAAGAGCAGCCAGCAGAGCTGCGTAGCGATGGTTGCAGCCAGCCAGATTCCACAAGGCCGTCCGTTGGGCAGCTGAGCCTACTAGGTCATGCAATATATTGCGTTGTGTACCGAATGCGAGATCCTGTAGGTTTGCTCCTAGGCATTTGACTACTGTCTTGAAGCACCTAGTTGTATTTTGGAGAGCAGAAAGCCGCAAGAGCATCCGAAGCAACGGACCGGGCTGCTTTGATTAGTTAAGTGTAGACTCCAATTCCAGGTCGTCGTCATGGGAGAGGGCATGGGAGACGGCCGGTAGATCGATGTTGATGCATAACTGGGCACATAGCTTCTCCAATCGCGAAGGATAGGACTGGACTGGTTGCTGGCCTGGGCATAGGAAATTAGATATCACGCGATCAATGTTTTCAACTGCCTGCAGGCTTCCGCTTTGACAGGCAAACTCAAATGCGGAGATTTCGATATTACGAGGGCGAGTGTTGACAAGAATCCGTTCGACTTTCCGAGCCAGACATAGGAAGCCATCACGGTTAACCTTAGCATACCACCTAAGTCGCCGTGAGTCCAGGCTGTATTCGAGACAAGTGGCGAATGCATCTCTTTGCTCGGCACGGTCCAGGCTCGACACGCATATGGACGTCGCATCATCGAGGCCATTTTCCTGCTAGAAGGCTTGCTGTTTGGTTTGAACGAGGCCATGTTGGTGCTGGTAGAAAGCCTCGACCTTGTTTGATTCCCGCACCACGGCAGCGAAGAAGTCTGTACGCATCAGGCTCTGTGCCACAGGCGGGGACGCTCCACGAAGTAGTACCTGTCAGATCGGGTTTGCTCGGCCGTCCCGCTGCGTCGCGGACGGCTAGTTTGAGGCGTCTTTTCAAACCGCCATAGTCAAGATACGACGAGGCCCATTCAGGAATCCGATGCCGATGGAGATTGCGCCCAAAGCGCATGTTGGAGGGAGGCGTGGAGCCGCGGAACTTGAATGCTGGGAGTGTATTTGTAGGCCTTCACAGAAGCCGGGCGTAGATAACCGCGCACGAAGGCAACCAGCTACCTTTTCCTGCCGCACGCTGCCACGCCCTGACGCTCACTTACATTCGGTGCAACGCAAAAGGAGCCGCCAAGGGCGCTTAAGCAGCCCGGCACACCGGTGAAGGTCCACGTACACTGTATACACAGCAGGTATTTTGCTCGGTGTGGTACTCTGGAGCTCGCCGCCAGTTGCCGAGACTCAGGAGATGCTGCCACCCGGGGCTGCGCAGATGCCGTGTTCTTCGCACAGAGAGCGGGTGGTTGGCACAAGGCTTGTCAGGTGAGGGTTGATGAAGCTCTTGAGGCCCCTTGGCCCGTCAAGCTTGGGATCATGGGCCGGGGTGCCACTTTATAGGGTTTGCGCTTCCCGTCGCTCCCGCCGTCCGTCGCTTTTAGCGGCTGCACCATCGTGGATCCCATCTCCGTCACCGCCAGCCTCATCACGCTCGCAGGGCTCGCCGCAAAGACCTGCTCTGCCTTTAAAGCCCTCCGCGATATCTGCAACACGCTGCCCGGACGGCTCCATGCGCTGAATAACGAAGTCGCCGACTTCCAAGTCGTTTGCCACCAAGTGCTTGCCGTGCTGGACGATCGCGCTGCCAAGGCCTACGTCGACACCCACATCGACAGTCCCATCCGCCACCTAATCCTGCAAGCAAAGGACAAACTACTAGAGCTGAAGCGCGTCGTCAGCAGCATCGTTACTTCCTCCCGGCGCTCTCGCATTGTCGCCGTCCAGGCGTGGAAAAAGCACCAGACACGCCTCGAGAAGCTGCAAGAGGATCTCAAGACGGTCAAGTGCTCGCTGAACCTCTTGCTTGGTGCTGCACATTCGTATGTCTTTGCACGTCGGACTCCTATGACTCTACAGCGAACTGACTCATGCAACTCTGCTCCGTAGGCGCGACCTCACTCGCATCTGCGTAGAGCTGGAAAGCATCTCGACTGTGACGTCCCATTCTGCCGAAAACCAAAACGTTATCCGCGACGAGATGCGCGAGAGCCTCGTAGCCCACCATGACAGCGTTTCAAATTCTGTCTCCGGCATGTACCAGCAGGTTGATGAGAGAATCGGCCGAGTGGAAGAAATGCTGAAAGAGCGATCCGAGCGTCTGCGGACCCAGCAGAGCAACCAGTTGTCGCCTCTTTATGGAGCCCCCCCACCTCCGTATAGAAGACGGAGATCCTCCCAACAGTCGGTTTCGTCCCTCAGTCCAGCCAAAGATCCGCGCACCGACGCAGTTAGCATTCGTGTGAGCCAATACATCTGTCTGTCGTCCTGGATGTCCATGTGCTTGCCATCTACAAAAGAAAACCTATACGCCTGCCGTTATAGAACGTGTACTCGGCAAACTCTTCGTTGGATACTCTGGATTACCTCTTATTAGCCCGAAATGCAACACGACACATTGCGACAAGGCTCAGTCTGCTCGTGTCAGGATGGAATACTGGTTCCCGATGAGCTTCATGTCCCAGATTGTTAGCTTTCAGTTGGTGTTCGAAAACACTGGCCCCCAAGTTGCGCTCAACTTTCTTCGGCTGGTACCAGATACTGCTCAGTCCGTAGGTTTTGCGCAAGCCGGAAACGTCCATGGCCTGAAAGATCTGTTCAAGCGTGGCCTCGCTTCTCCTCGTGATGTTAGCAGCACTCGGGGGTAGGGGACTCCACCTCAGCGGTAAACTTTTCCTAATATTTATAGTGGGCTGTTTACACAAAGCAATGGGACATGTGCAAATTTCTAGTCCTTGCCGGCGCAGATTCAGACTACAGGTATAACACCTATAAAGTCTCCTATCATCTAGAAGATGTCTCTAACCCACATACTCACTAGACCAATTGCTGCGTATGATAATAGCCCGAGAAATAAAGCATGCGACTTCGTACTGCAAGGATTTCTTTCAAAAGAAGCAGGAAAAACGCTTATGTGCCTTACATGAGGCAGCGATTGGGTCGAAGAACAGAACTTTACTATCCTGCACAAGATCGCGACGGGTCTCTCGTACCAGGATTTAGAAGAAGCACTTATCCTTCATCATGACGAGATTGACGCTCTGGATGCCATGCACCGCACCGTACTTGCTTGGGCCTCCGCAAGAGGGAACGATCGAGCCGTGGCACTCCTTTTAGCCCACGGTGCTGACCCGAATGTTTTGGATATACAATGGACCAATGCTGTTTCCTACGCTGCTGAGCGAAGCCATCTCGTTTGCGTGCGCTTGTTGCTTGAAGCCGGCGCAGAGCCCGACCCACAACTACCCAAAGGCATCAAAGTTGGAAGTGCCTTGAATTGTACCTCCCGGAATTGTTCGGATCCTCTTGTCTTGAAGACTCTTCTTGACTTCGGCGCCAACATAGAAGCCAGCGGCGTCGATGGGATTACCCCATTGATTCATGTGGCTCGTACGGACAACGTCAACTTTGCCATGGTGCTCTTGGAGTATGGTACCAATCTCAACGCCTCGACTGCAAATGGCTAGACGCCTCTTTCTACGGCTATTACTTACAACAGCCATAAGGTAATCCGGCTCTTACTTGATCGCTGGTTCGAATACAGTACATGTCCGCGACTCCAGGGCCCTCACCTTCTCAGAACTGCTGCGCTGTTCGCCGACCTTGAAACGGTGAAGATCCTCACTGCTACTGATCACTTCAAGCTCAAGTACGACAAGAATTTCTTACTCTCTGATTGCCTTGACCAGTTGAAGGAACGATTCGATGCCACAGATGAGCTTATCGCGGCATTTCAAGACTTGCTCAGCGTTTTTAACGGAGAGCCGGAAGCTATGATGACCAAAGAGAAGATACTGGAATCAGGTCTTCTTTCCTGGGGAAAATGCCCAGGAGACGGTAACGAGACCGATACTGATGGATCCTTCGAAGACGCATTGGAAAGTCATGGCACATGCAACAGAGGAAAGGCTGGAGGACATTCACTCATTGATATCTGACTTGAGAGGAATTCTTTCACACGTGACATAACATGAGTTGGCCGCTTGTCAAATTCCTTTATTGCGATTTCTGACGGTGCTGGATCTGTTTCTTCTTTAAGTCCGTTATCTTCGAGTGTCAGAAAACGCACTTGTTTCGGTTTGTTTCACCTTTTTCAATTTTTTCCGATTGTCATAAAATGAACTCGTGTTGTTTCAAGGAGTCGTTTCTGTCGATATATAGAAGAGGAAGCTTGAATGAATTGCTTGTTGAGTTGATTGATTGTTGCATTGTACGATGAACGTAGGCTATATGTATAGACAAAAGGAGGAGGCTGGGAGGGGGCTGGGAGGGGGCTGGCAGCCAGAACCAGGTGGGTCAAATTCTGGTCTTTTCTAGACAACAAGGTCTGCTTCATTGTTGCTGCTGCTGTAGTCTTGCTACACTATTGCTGCTCATTTCTTACGTTCTTTCTGCCCTACATTCAGAATCGTATCCCCCTACGTCCATTCGTTAGCACCCCAGTACAACTTATGCAATTCCTTACTTGGTTCCAAATCTATGAAGAGGGCTACAAAGAATAGGTTATTAGTTTAGCAACAGTTACAGAACGTGGTTGTGATGTGCAAGGGCCGTGCTTAACCGTATATTGTCGTTAGTGAAGCCAGAATCATGTAGGGGGAACCCATGGCCAGTTCTCCCAACGTTGGGGACCTTACGCTAAGATAGAACCTCGAGGCGATTAAGATGGGAGACCTCTCTTTACGTTTCGACGTCACGTGATTAGAAAATGAAGCCAAGCCTCTTCCGGCTTAGTGGTAAAACTCTGGATCCGCAACCACTACAGGTCCAGCTGCAGGACTAATGCGCTTTCTCCTCCAATCCGCAAAGGATATGCACCCATCCATGCCGATTCCATCACCGCAGAGTTATTCCCGATGGCGGCATCGCGACCATCTACACCGAAGCTGCTCGGCTTTCTGTCCGAACATCGGCGCTACCTGGTTGCGGGAGTGGCTTATCGGCTCCAAAGAACCCTACGCTGCACGGAAAAGCTTACCTATGCGGCTATGACGGCAACAACAATCCGCTCCGCGTACGTAGCGGGCCTAGGAATCAATAGTGGAGATCCACCCAGTTGCCAATCGCGGTGTCGACGTTGCAAATTTTGCTGGGTCTGGAGATGCCACCGTGGGAATATTTGACTCACGATGCCCCAGATTCACACGGCCCCACCGATCTTCGGCGGTTGGGAATCTTTCTCGTTGAGCTTTCTGCCCCGTTCCTTCAATTGTAGCAAGCTATCATCCTCTCAATTTATTTCATGACTACAATTCGCGCTTCTTGTTTGTCCAGCACGTCTTCAGAAAAGTCAATTGGCGTTCAAGCTCGCCCAGCATGGCAGCAAGTGACGCCTCGTCCGACTACTCACACCGGGAGTCACATCTACCTCACCCAGAAAAGCAGATCCCAGCCGTAGCTCCCCTCTCCCCCGAAGGCGACCCTCTCGAGCACGCAGCTACCTCCGTCAGCCACCATGACATGCCCGCCGCTACCTACGTCGTCACGGGAGACAGCGATATAATCTACAACAAATTCTCCCCGGCTCGCAAAACAACTATTGTCCTTGCCATGTCATTTTGCGCATTTCTGGCGCCGATATCGTCTACGACGGTGCTATCTGCAGTACCCGAAGTTGCAGCAACGTACAATTGTGACGGAGCAATCATCAATTTGAGCAATGCGATTTACGTGTTATTTATGGGATTGAGTCCAATGTTCTGGGGACCTGTTTGCACAGTATATGGGAGGAGATATGTATGCTATCCCAGTCTCAGTCCAATCGCGACTTTTATTCTACACATGGGGAGGATGTGATCGCTTCGTGCCAAGCTGGGGGCGGACATTCTTTTCGATGAAAACTAATGCTAATATGAAAAATGCAGCCCTCCCTCATTAGTGGCGGCCTCTTCTTTGCCTTCTCCGTTGGAACAGCTCTAGCGCCGAATCTGGCATCTTTCTTTATATTCCGGCTCCTGACGGGGTTTCAGGGGACGTCTTACCTGATTATTGGCACGAGTGCTATTGGGGATATTTATAAGCCCGTAAGCTCCTAATATGCCCCTACTGAATCACTTCGACTCAGTACTAACCCCACCGCAGACCGAGCGAGGAACGGCCATAGGGTGGTTCCTCACTGGTACTCTAGTCGGTCCAGCGATTGGCCCTGTTCTAGGAGGCATTATCGTCACTTACCGCAGCTGGCGCGTGATATTCTGGCTGCAGACCGCCCTGGCTGGAGTTGGTTTCTGCCTCATACTCATCTTCTACCCTGAAACAATCCACTACAAGCGCTCTGTCGAACTACAGGGACTCAGCAAAGGCCAGAAGGCGCATAAAATGTGGCAGTGGCTGAATCCATTCAGAATCATCCAGTTGTTTTGGTATCCAAATTTGCTTGGAACGGTACGTGAACCCCTGTCAAACCCCTCGAAACCCTTCAAACCACCTGAATGCTGCATTTACAATCGCAACTTCTCCAGGGAAACTCTAGGAGCTAATCATCTCTCCAGGCCCTCGCCTCCTCCTCCCTAACCTGGAATATGTACTCCCTCCTCACCCCGATCCGCTACGTGATAAACCCCCGCTTCGCTCTTACTTCCCCTATCACCTCCGGCCTCTTCTACCTCGCACCCGGCGGTGGGTACCTCCTCGGCACCTTCGTTGGCGGACGCTGGGCCGACCACATCACGAAGAAATGGGTCCGCGTCCGCGGCCGCCGCGTCCCCGAAGACCGACTTCGGTCCTGCATTGTCTTCCTCGGAGGCGTCATCCCTGCCTGCATGCTGATCTATGGCTGGAGTCTCGAGAAGCGCGCCGGCGGGATCCCCCTGCCCGTTATCATGATGTTCGTGCAAGGGGTAGCGCAGCTTTTCTGCTTCCCAAGCCTGAATACGTATTGCTTAGATGTTATGCCGGGCAGGAGCGCCGAGGTGGTGGCGGGTAATTATATGATAAGGTATTTGTTTGCGGCGCTCGGGACGGCGTTGTGCTTGCCGGCAATTCGGGGCATTGGGATTGGCTGGAATTGTACGATTGCGGCACTGTTTTTGATAGCAGCGGCGGCAGTGGTGGCGGCGATTACGAAGTATGGCAGTGGATGGAGGGAGAGAATAGATCAGAGGAAGGTCGACAGGCAGGAGGCTGATAAAGAGGCGCAGGTTGGCAGGGGAGGGGTGATGGAGGAGGAGGAGGAAGAGCATGAGAAGCCGGTTGAGGAGGTAGAGAAGGAGAGAGAAGGCGGTGAGGGAAAGGGTAAAGAGGTGGCAGTTGGTGGGGCGGAGAAGGGGACGTAGAGCTGATTTGGGCCAGGTGGGTGCTATAAAGCCAGTGAATCACTGGTTTCTGGTGGTTCGAGATGGAAAGACCAAAGGCGAATGGCGTTTTCCGAGCATGGTATGAGGGGTTTGACGGCCAAGGTACGTTCTAAGCAGGTCGACCCCTTTATATTGATGTTGAGAACTAACACGGTTACATTAGGAACTCTAGAACTCAGAAACGAATAGTCTACGACCTCATGATTACGATTCCCAATGCATACTCAATTATACTCAAACTTTCCAATTTTCACATTTCAAGGCGTCATTGAGACCCCCAGAAAAACTCCAAAAATAACTTCCCAATCTAACTGACACTTCCCAATCTAACTGACATTCTATCCACAACTCAGCAGCCCTCCAAAAGCAGCTCCACTAGCCCTATAAAGTCAACTCAACACTTTTCCTCTCGACTCCACCTTCCTCGCCCCTTTCGTAGCTTCCTACCTCACGATTTTAAGACAGCTGGGCCTGAAACAGGCGTAGGAGACGGCGATGCCGACCTCACCTGCCTCCGCCTCGCAAACCCCCTCGACGCAACCACCGGCAACGCATCATCCTCCTCCTCCTCAGAACCTCTCGAAACAGGACAGGGAACCGGACTCTCCTCCTCTTCCTCCTCAGATTCCCCATCCTCAGACTCTTCACTCCCCTCACTCGCCGACTCCTCTGACCTCGAACTCAAGCCCGAGCTCTCGCTCTCCGTGCTCTCATTCGACGCATCTCCGTCATACCCACTCGACCCTGCCCCCTCCTCCTCAGACGACTCATCCGACGAGTTCGGCAGCACGAACCCGCTGTCGTTGAAGTAGTTCTCGTTATCGTCGTCGCTACCGAAACGGCTGTCTTCGGAGTCAGAGTTCAGAGTGTCGCCTTGGAGATGGTCCTCCATGTCGCTCGCCGAGAGGCCCGAGGAGTGGAAGGAGCGCGCCGTGGAGGTGGACGAGGCGGTGCCTTCGGAGGCTTCGTCGTCGAGGATTAGGCGGGGGGTGCGAAGGCGGGTGCGGTGGGGAGGTTTGGTTATGCGGGTGCTGGAGGCAATGGTGAGTGTGGTGATTTTGGGGACTGGCTTGGTAATTTTAAATGTCACTTTGCTGCGGGTGCGTGTGTAGATGGGGCTTGAGGATGGTGCAGGGGAGGGAGTGGGAATTGGAGAGGGGTTAGGGATTGGGGCTCTGCGGGCGGCGAGGCGCGCGGAGCGGCGAGGTGCCATCTTTTTACCTTGGATGGGTTTATACGCTTGGGTATGGTTTATTTGAGGTTTGAGATCTAGAGTTGATGTTTTTGGGATCTTGAGGGGAGAGTTGATGGCTGAGTTGGACGTAGGGAGTAGGAAGACGAGGACAATGGCATTGTTGGCGTCATGGGAGAAACAAGGGGACAAAGAAATGAAGTATGGAAGAGAGATGGTTGTTGAGGGGGGCTTTGTTGGCTGGTAGACAAAGGTCTGTTATTGTTTATTGCTGCATGTGAGTAGGACTGATCGTGTGTAGACGTAAAGTTCTATCTCAGCTTTTAATGGATAAGGTCTTTTGCTCTAAAGAATCTAAAATACTGTATATGGGTAATCATTATAAGAGTTAATGATTGGACATGGTCTTGCATGAGGCGCTTAGGAAAGATTCATATGTCACGTGATACCAACCAACTCGATGAAACCTTTCAGGGCACTTTCGAGTTCCTGGAACCCGCGAAGAGTATACTTGAAGGCTCTATAGACACGCTGTCTACTAGCCTCTATAAATAAATAAAGTTGACTAACTTAGAGGACCTTCAAGGTCCATTTTGCACCCCCTTTGGGATTAGCTTCGTCTGAGCTCCGTGGAGCTTTTGAACGTCATGCAACGTCCACGCATCGACCTCCTGGACTTCCACGAATTGAAGCAAAAGCACAGGTCCTCCACATGACATACCTGGTTAAGTACTTCAATATGTTTCGCTCAGGCTTGGAATGCTGGGTTCTACGCGGAGTTGCAGGTGTTTGATTCGAGTCAGTCCACGATAGTCGAAGTATGCGGAGTTTTGTTCCTTCTCCACCTTCTCCAGGATACCTCGGCGTGCGTGAAGTCTGTTTACCCTTTTAGAACTGCCACTGCCAAAGTGCGGGGTGACCGTCATAGCTCATGCTACTGTGGGGTGCCTCATATGCCGCGACCTAGCGCAACAGTAAAGGCTCAAAGCTGCTCAACTTTCCCTTGACTCCTCTTCACGCATTTCTTCACCTTTTGAAAGAAGATTTGGAGCACAGCAAAGATGGCTGAACCAAAGAATACATCCAACCAGCGATTGACCCAGATCAAGGACTTCTTGACAATGAACAAAACAGCCACCACCATTCCTTGGGACCCCGATTGCACCAAGTTCCCGACGCGTCAGGAGCTTCCCGTGATTCCCGGAGCTCCGGAAGGAGCTGCTTGGGTGTGGGGAGATAATGATTATGTAAAGCTGCCCGAGGGACACTCCGTGACTCGTCATTAACAGTTGGACTAGATTGGACGTCTTAACCTGTTGACTCCAACCCGCGTTGCTGCCGCTTCAAAGGAGATCAGGACTGGAGAAATCGTTTCCGTGAAGTCAGTTCGGATGTGCCTGCGGCGGTGGTTAGTACTGACGAGTAGCCTTAGCTTGCCGCTGGATACGCCAGCTCAGCCCGCTTTCAACCGCGAAGTGTTCAAGCATGAGATCAAGATCAAGGCTGAGAATTTATGTTACGATGATATCTATCATCTGAACACGCAGAGTGGCACGCAGTGGGATGGATTCAGACATGCAAGTAGATCATGTGCGCTTGATGCGACTTTGCTAATATTTCCTAGTTTGCTCATCTGGCATCCGGAACGTTCTACAACGGTGTATGAATCCATTCTGATTCACGAATATTGGTACTAACCGCTAGGAAGACCAAAGGATCAGACATTGTTGGCCCTAAAGCGAACCACAAGTGCTCCATTCATCATTGGGCCGAGCACGGCATTGCTGGGCGTGGTGTTCTCCTCGACTATAAGCGCTATGCAGACAAGAAGGGAATAAAATACGACTGCTACGATCATGTGAGTCAATACACTATTAGATTGCCCTGTAACTCTCTAATCATATATCAGTATCCCATTTCTTGGGAAGAACTCTCCCAGTGCGGCAAAGACCAAGGCATCGACATCCGCCCACAGGCCCAAGGCGGGGACATCAAAATTGGCGACATACTCTTCATCCGCACTGGCTGGACGGAAGCGTACCACAGCAAACCAGAAGAGGAACGAAACGCCCTTGCACTCCGACCACATAGCCTAGGCAAGGATGACGGGCAGCGATATGTCGGCGTCAGTCAGGAACCTAAGATGATGGATTGGCTACATGATTGCTACTTTTCAGCAGTGTCTGGAGATGCTCCGACGTTTGAAGCGTGGCCAAGTCACGAGGGTACGTCCTCCGTTAGCACTTATACAAGATACCTGCTTATGCTTTCTCAGAGTACTATCTCCACGAGTACATTCTAGCATTATGGGGAATGCCGCTCGGTGAGATGATGGATTTGGAGAAGCTTTCTCAAAAGTGCCTTGAGCGGAATCGGTACACTTTCTTCTTTTCTAGTGCTCCTGCGAACTGCCCAGGTGAGTTTTCTCCGCTTTCCGTGGTTTGTGTAAGATTTGATACTGTGAATAGGTGGTGTCAGTTCGCATGTGAACGGAACGGCAATTCTATGAGATTACATTGTCGACGATCTCACAATTGGCCCGCAAATTGGCACCGGGGGGGTACACTGTCACGTGCAGCTACTTTAGTGAATGGCAACCATAGATTCTTCATGTATAGCTACGAGTGTGCTTTCCAATATGAAAGTATCTACGAAGGAGTTCGTTTTGGGCGTTAGTATTCGTACACCCCCTTTTCGGTATTCGTACACCCCCTTTTTCGGTAAACATACACCCCCCTCCCCCTGTCGTTTCACCACCTTCTGATTGGCCCGGAGAGGTTCGCTATAGCCCTTCTGCCGCCACGGCTAGCGTTCTACGCTACGGCGGAGGAAGCGCATACTGCTATATAAGCGCACGCCTCATCGCAGGGCTACAGGTTGATTAAATACCGTAGCAAACCGGACAAATACAATAGGACACGAAAGATATAGTATCGCTGCAACTTCGCAGGCTACGGCACGTAGGCACTTCTAGAATAGAATTTCTATTCTATACTTATACTTATACTTATACTTATACTACGTGAGCTCGTACGTAAGGCTATACAAATCGGCGAGGCTATATAAATCGGCGTGCAGCCTTTCCAATTCGTGCAGCCTTACGTGATGTATAGGTGAATGCCCGGAGCTCCGGCGTAGTACTCCGGACCAATCAGAAGGCGGTGAAACGACAGGGGGAGGGGGGTGTATGTTTACTGAAAAAGGGGGTGTACGAATACCGAAAAGGGGGTGTACAAATACTAACGCCCTTCGTTTTTTTTGAGCACTAAGCGAAAACGCATCACCAAATTCCAAGTGCCCTGGTGCACGCGTAGACCACCCACCACTTGAAATAAACTTCTAATGGACCTGCGGGATGCAGTTTTACATGCTTTGAAAAGTTAGACTCTTTGAAAATATTATTTATCTTTGTGGTGGCCTTTATTCGCTGCCGAATTGGTCGTATCTTTTTGGGTGATTGCTCAAAAAAAAACGAACTCCTTCGTATCGAGAAACCTTTCCTTTTGAGTATTCTTCTCATCTAATCTTCTTCTAGAGTCTAGAAACTCAAGGACCGCGAGATCATGCTTTCAAGATGTTTAGCCAATGACTATCGCATGTCGATAGTGTCCAGGATCCTTATCCGAGAAAGCCATTCCTTCCCCGTGCAGCAGGCAACGACATCTCCAACATCATCAGCTCCAAAAATTTCATGACCGATTCAACAGCCTTTTTACATGGATTCCACTTTCCAAATGACCCACCTGAACAGATCAAAACTTCGGCCCACTCGCACATGACATTGTCTTGTGCTGTGGTTTTCTCCTCTGCATTCCTTGCTGCGTGTGAAATTACGAAGACGTGTAGGCAGAGAAAGCAGCGAAAAATAGAACGCACAGCTCTCAAAGAGACTCAAATCGGATCCATCGCAAAAAGGCGACCACATCTCTCTGGCCGATAACCTCAAATAAGGAGAGATAGATCACGCAGCTGCTGCCGTGCGCATACGTGACCAGGCAACAACAACTTTGATACCTTCGACATCCACCCTCGATTCTAATCCTCATCTCCCCTTTACCGTCTCCTATCGTCCATACTTCAAATGTCTTTCATCAAATCCGCCCCCCGCCAAGCCCTCGACGCCATCCTCATCTCCTTCGGCCTCTGCCTCTGCATCCCTTTCCTGCTACGCTGCTGCGACGCGCTGTCTGACACTGTGAATAACCGCGAAGACCGGCGCCAGGTACGCATCACAGAGAACTCGGCGCAAGTGATAAGCCGGCCGAGAACTCGGCTGTTCTTAGATCCGCCGATATGCCCATCCCCCCAACTTGAAGACGAAGCGGTACGAGATAGCGATGACCAATCGAGTTTCCTAACGAAATTACCCCCGGAGGTTCGTCTACTGGTGTACGAGTACGTATTCAGCGGCGGCGTTCACGTCCGCATCACAACAACGGGGGGCGAGCATCCGAGGCCGCTGCTGAGGGGGCGGTGGTGTGGCCAGCCTGCTGATTACCCCGGGGTGTGTGAAGGGGGATGTGATGGACTCTCAAACGACTCGAGCATTCTCTCCCTCCCGCTCACGTGCAAGACAATGTACGTTCTCGTTCTACCCCTCCCCTTTCAGCCATCCCCTCCTCCCCCCCCAATCATGCTATAGCTATATCAAAACTCACAAACTCGGGTGGGTGATTCAGATACTCCGAGTCCATCGCGCTGTTGTACACTTGGCCCACCTTCCACCCCGCGGATGCCAACACGCTGCTATGGATGCGGGCGCGATTGCGTCCAGACCGGTTCCAAGCCATCCGCGCGCTGCGGCTGCGGTATGAAGTAAAGGCGTATATGCATAGCTTGTCGTTTCCTCGAATTACCATCGAAAACGCTGTGTGGGCTAGTTACGGCCACGAACTAGGCAATGCGCACGACTGGCGTCATGTGTGGGCCGTGATTGCGTCTATGCAGAGCCTCCGGCAGCTGTATGTTGCGGTGGTGCTGATTAAGAGGTATGAAAGGATTTGGAATCGTGAGGAGGCGGAGTTGCTGGAGGTTGTTGGGCGTGTTGTGCGGCCGGAGGAGTTTGTGCTTGTGCTGCCGTTCGCGAAGGTTCCGCGTGGAGTTCGTGGTAGGGATCTGGGGGCGTCGAGGTGTAGGGTTGTGGTGCCGCAGAGGGATGGGTGTGATGGGGATGAGCCTGAGGCGGGGATGTGTAGGATTCCGGCTACCGTATACTCTCGTATGTAGTATCGAGTGGCCGGTAGCATCGGTCCTCATTCTCATTTATGAAGAGAAAGGCTAAAAAGCACAACCCCCTCCCTGGTAATTCTCCTTCATCTCAGATTGGGCAAGTTCGAGCCGCGCACCTTTCATACGCCGTCTGAAATCCGACTACGTTGCTTATCAGACAGGTGATCCCGCTAGGGGTGGGTTTAGCCCACTTAGTAAGAGCATTGAATCAGCAAGATGTTCACCGCTAGGAGCAGTGATTGGAAAGACGAACATAGTAAGTGCTGAGTTAAGGAGAGTGAATCAAGGGCAGTGAGTTGAGGGGAATGAATTAAACGATTTACTTCACAAACTCGTTTGCAGTCGTGAAGTAAGTCGTGTAATTACGTACTGGCGTAAGCTATATGTGCCAAATAATTGAAGACGTTTAAGATGCGTTGGAGGTAGAAAGATGCATCTTGGAAACGGCGAGCGCTCATTGTACTCAATTTGAGCCTTCCCGGGGTATCTTGGTCATCTTTCAGCCGGCCAGATAGCTTGTTTGCTAAGCATAGAGAACAATATGGAATACGAATGCGTGTTGACTTGATATTCGAGAAGTGAATGCTGAGAGAAGTCGCAGCGGCCTTGACCACGTCATTAGCAGTGAATTAAGAAGAATCGAGTTATAATAGAGCATCAATATCTCAACTGCTGATACACGGACCTTATTAGTCTGAGATAGCTGGTAAGCTGGCGAGCGATAAAATTTGGCAAAAGTCTCGAAACTGGTGCGTTATTCGTTTTGATGCAAGATCGCCAACGTCCGGGCTTTGTACACTAAGAAGCTTACACACCACTGTGATAATAGCACTTAGTATCAATAATCCGAAAAGGCATGCCCTCCAACTGCAACCCCTCAATATCAGGATAGAGGATACTAAATAGTGCCTGCACCCCCTCCATATCTTCCTCTTCCTCCTTTTGAGTGAACCGCAGCCACGGCCACGGAGCCCAAGCCGTGAGATCAAACCTCCCCTTCGGCTTGATATCCTTCATAGTCTGTAGCAGCTTCACCCGTGACGAGATCTTCTTGAAGTAGCTGGTTTCAGTACTCAATTCGATGTCCAAATCTACCAGGCCCTCCATACCAGCCAGGATATCGCATGTCTGCTGCCAAGTCGCGAGGTCGTGTGGTGGCTTGGTCGGATTGGGGAGGTCTTCAAAGATGTCGATGTGAAAGAACCACAGGAGACGCAGCGTGGTGATGCGGTTGAAATGGTGTGGGAGAATGAAGGTGGAGAAATATGTGAGGGTATCTAGGTGTTCGATGCGGAAGGCGGTCTGGGAGTAGAGGACATCAATTGCTTCGGTGTAACTATCTCCAAGTCAGCAATTACTCTGGAGCTCTAGCTTCGGTGTTTGGCGGTTTGCATATCTTACATCTGCCTGCAAGTCTTTACCAATTGCGACAAGTTTGCGCCCGGTTGCACTTCAAGCGCATTCCCATAATTTCCTTCATATCCTGTGCACTTATGGAACCCCGTGTACACCGACAGCTGCTCTCCAGGTCCTCGGTGGTTGCTGCACGGCATGTTGCGTAGCCGTTTCTTGTACTGCAGGATATGTATCGGCCTGTCCTCGTCCGCAATCACGTATTCCCATATTATCTGTCTTATCTCAGCCGGCAGCTTGTTGAACAGCGCCGACTGTTTCTGGGCGTTTGTCTTCTGCCTGCGCCGCGCAAGGAAAGTCGGGGGTGGGAGGGGGATGCTCAGGGAGCGTTCGCGTGGCGGGCGTGTGAAGGAGGCGGCCATTCTTTCGCGCGGTGAACGGCCGCGCTCCTGGCGCTTCTCTTTAATGAATTTGAACATGATGGCTGGGGAATGGAGGGAGTTGATCAAAAAGTCAGGAAAGGTACGGAGAGGACGCCAAAAGGAGTACGGAGGCCGCCAAGGGGCCAACATGGTAGCAGCATAGCGGCGACGATGTGACTAGAGTCATGAACTGTTTAAGGCGTGTTTTAGTCCCATGCTGGATGGCGCCGGGAAGGTAGAGGCAACTCTTATCAAGAACACGATACATCTGCTCTCCAGGTGTAAGATCTCCATGATATACTTTTTCTATAGAAACAGGGTGCAGTAGGAAGCGAGAGTTGAGGTTGGCAAATGGTCCTCGACGAAGATCGCGGCAAAACCTTCCATTTCGACCCCTCCGATCTATCTATTCCGAGACGCGTCTCACGTCGCGTCTCTCCAACTTCTTCAACGTCTACCCACACACAAACTCAACCACAACACCAAAAACATGGCCGAAACAATGGAAGACACCATCATGGACACCGCCGACATCGAGCAAGAAACCCCGCCAGACGCCGTCTTCATGGCCCCCTCAATCCACACCTCCGACGTCCTGATCGGCCGCTCCTACGCCCACTACTCCCCAATCCCCTCCCTCATATCCGCCGACATGTCCACCGCCTGCGTCCTCGGCGTCGACGAAGCAGGTAGAGGCCCCGTCCTCGGTACAACCTCCCCCAAATGCCCTCCCTCTCCCACCGACCCCCAAAACTAACATAATAAACAGGCCCAATGGTCTACGGCCTCCTCTACCTCCCCCTCCCCCTGCACACCTCCCTCCTCGCCTCGACCCACCACTTCGACGACTCCAAAGTCCTCACGCCCCAGGTCCGCTCCGCCCTCATGCGCACCCTCTGCACGCCCGCCACCGACCTGCACGCCAGCTGCGGCTGGGCCGCCAAAGTCATGTCCGCGCGCGACATCGCGGCCGGCATGCTGCGGCCCGCCGGCGCCTACAACCTCAACGCGCAAGCCATGGACGCCACCATCGAACTCATCAAGGGCGTGCTCGCGCAAGGCGTCAACGTGGCCGAAATCTACATCGACACCATCGGCAGCCCCGCCGTGTACCAGCGCAAGCTGGAGCGGATCTTTCCGATGGTGCAGATCACGGTCGCGAAGAAGGCGGACTCGTTATATCCCTGCGTGTCGGCGGCGAGCGTGTGCGCGAAGGTGACGCGGGATGCGGCGCTGGAGGTGTGTGCGGAGGCTGTTGTTGGGGCTGGGGGGGAGGGCGGGTGGGGGAGTGGGTATCCGAGTGATGCGAGGTGTAGCGGGTGGTTGAAGCGGAGTATGGATCCGGTGTTTGGATGGGGGAGCGAGACGAGGTTTAGTTGGGGGACGGCGAAGGAGTTGTTGGAGACGAAGAGTGCGCCGTTGCGGGTGGAGTGGCCGGTGGAGGGGGAGGAGGATGCGACGAAGATGACGGATTTCTTTGCGGGGAGGGACGAGGAGGGGGAGGGGGATGAGTTGAGTAATTGGTATGGGAGGAGGGTGACTGAGGAGGTCTTCTAAGAAAGCGGCTTGAGATCGTTTTTGGATTCCCCTACTTGTGAGACTACGCTTTGAAGCATCATGTTGGGCTATCGCTGACGTATCGCCCACAGACACACGGCCTTCATGAGGGCGGTCAACGCCACTCCGTGCCAGCTCCTACCCGCAACCCGTGCATCCCAGACTCACCACCCCCTTCATTTCCATGTCTCACTTCCACAAAGAGCCAAAATACACTCACCCACCTGGAGCTCTCCTTATCCCCATTCCCAGCACAGCTTCTCAAAGTTCGTCAAGAGCCTCACGAGTCATCGAAGCTCGAGATCACTCACATCAAACCCAACCATGTCCGCACTCACATCCACCCTCCTCCTCCCCCCACCCAGCCGCCGCCCTCCCTCCCCGCCACGCATCTGCACCGCCGTTCCAATCTGCCACACCATCATCCCCCAATACGCCTGCGCGCACAGAGACCCTGTCAGACGGTACTGCGCTGCGGCGCTCCAGCTCTCAGATCCACCGACCCTCTGTGGCGTCCCTAAGGTGCAGACGATCCCGCTCCCGAATCGGAAGTGTCCGACCTGCGTTGCGAAGGCGAGAGCGCAGCGGCAGAGAGCGAGGGAGGTAGCGAAGGCAGAGAAAGCGAGATGCGAGGAAGAGGAGCAGGCGGAGAGGTTGAGGAGGGTGGAGGAGGATAAGAAGAAACGGGATTGATTGATTGAGTCATTCATTCGGGATTCGGACAGAGTGGAGCGTAGGAGACCAGGAGTTCAGGCGTTGAAAACGGGTTGGAGGTTGAAAGACTGGACCTACACCTCTAATCCAGGCCACAATGTATCCAATAAGAAGCTTTGAATGGCACAGCTTGAACCCTTATCCACCGCACGCGACATATTCCGAGATGCGGCGCCTGCATGCACCAGCTGGCTACGGCCAGCAATCGCGGAAGTACGTACCCAGGGCCGCCTAACCCAGTTGGGGGAGAGTCTCCTTCGGACCGAGCTTAAGGCAAGGGCCGGGTCGTCTCGTTGTTATGTTAGGTAGGAGTTGCGGGCGCTAGATAATGCAGCGCCGGTGAGCTGTTGGCGGGGGAATCTGGGGTTTGGGCGATCTCTTTTCACGTGCCGACGCGAACGACTCGGCTGTTGACGGTAAACAAGAACATCGAGCAATGGTTAAGCCGCAGACATATATCCAAAAAAGTGCAGCAAAATGATGAAGAGTGTGTCAATTGTCTATCCACTGCTCTTTCTAGTTCGTCATTTGATCCTATGTATCACATTTTCGTTCATTCCATGGCCAGAAGTAGAAGAAATTCGGCTGGTGATTGAAAGGGGGGCAATAAAAAGAAGAAGCTGCAACAACAAAAGCTAGTCCTTTGGTCACCCACTCAACTCCCCTCACTCACCCCTGCAAGCAGACTCGAGCTTGGAGAATTGATTCAGAGGTTGGATTTTTATCAGCCCTAGCTAAGAATCTAAGCGTTACCGTCGACCTTGGCAATGTAGACCAAGAGGTCGAGGACACGGCGGGAGTAGCCCCACTCGTTGTCGTACCAGGAGACGAGCTTGACGAAGTTTTTGTTCAGGGAGATACCGGCCTTGGCGTCGAAGATGGAGGAGCGGTTGTCGCCGCAGAGATCAGTCGAGACGACTTCGTCCTCAGTGTAGCCGAGTATGCCTGTGGTAAGTTAGTATGCATAATATAACAGGGGGTATAACATGGCGTACCCTTGAGGTTTGTCTCGGACGCCTCCTTGATGGCGGCCTTGATCTCGTCGTAGGTAGCACCCTTCTCAATGCGGACAGTCAAGTCCACAACCGAGACATTGGCGGTCGGCACACGCATCGACATGCCGGTGAGCTTGCCGTTGAGGTCGGGGATGACCTTTCCGACGGCCTTGGCGGCACCAGTGCTGCTGGGGATGATGTTTTGGGCAGCAGTGCGGCCTCCACGCCAGTCCTTGGCCGAGGGGCCATCGACGACCTTCTGGGTGGCAGTGTATGAGTGGACGGTGGTCATGAGACCCTCGATGATGGTGAACTTGTCGTGGATGACCTTGGCGAGGGGTGCCAAGCAGTTGGTTGTGCAAGAGGCATTGGAGAGGACTTCGATGTCGGACTTGTACGTCTCGTTGTTCACACCCATGACGAACATGGGGGCGTCGGCGGACGGAGCAGAGATGACAACCTTCTTGGCGCCACCCTTCAAGTGAGCCTTGGCCTTCTCGGTGGTGGTGAAGACACCGGTCGACTCAACGACGTAGTAGGCGCCGGTCTCGGCCCACGGGATGTTGGCCGGGTCCTTCTCCATGTAGAACTTGATGGTCTTGCCGTTGATGACGAGGTTGGAGCCCTCGACCTTGATCTCGCCCTTGAACTGGCCGTGGGTGCTGTCATACTTCAGCATGTAGGCCTAGAACGGTGTTAGTGCCATTCTGTTTTTGATCACCGTGAAGAGGTTTAGGTCTTCTTCTCCATTCTCCCACCGAAAGCGTGTAGTATGAGGGTGCTTACAGCGTAGTGTGGCTCGATGAAAGGGTCGTTGACGGCGACGATATCGACATCATTGTGCTCGATGCTAGGAATGCGGGGTTAGTTGGAGCCTTCTAGTTGACGACCGGGAGATCGGATCGTGGAGGGGATAGACAACTTACGCATTACGGAAGACGATTCTGCCAATGCGACCGAAGCCGTTGATTCCGACCTGTGATGGGTGTCAGAGAAGAAAGACGTGGTGAAGATTATCAGGCCATGTTTACCTTGACAACCATGATGGCTCTGGAAATCGGCTGAGAGAGCTGTTAGCATGTGAGGGACAGAGGGTGGAGACGAGCGTACCAGTTATTAGGGTAATTGGAGGAAGATGTGTGTTTGAGAGTTGCAATTGGGATGGTGGATGGGAGAGGAGAACGAGAGAATGCGTTGGGCGGCTGGTGGGGTGTATAAGTAGCTTCAGACTATTATCGGCGGGGGAACCACGTGATACAGTCACTGCGAAACAACCTGGGAACGGCAGAAAAAGCAGCCAGATTGGCAGATAGAGCGCCGCGTCGCAGGCTGCCCGCTCTTCCGGCCGTTCTGAAACCTTCCTTCATCCTCGGACGAGCGTGGTGCTGTGCAGGATGCCGACTTCACCCGGACAGCTTTCCGGACCGCTGTGCTCTTAACAACTGCATTCCCGAGCATTTGAGCTGTCGGCAATGTCCCATATTCCACACATATTCTCCTCTCCGACTGTGTGTCCCCTCAACTGCAGCGGCGGCCTCCCCACCAAAGCGCTGTACGATGATGCAGCTAGCCACGGCCGCGCGAGGCAAAAGAACATCAGCTCAGGCTTACGAAGTCGGCTTTTGCGCGTCGCCTGATCGAACGCAACGTCGCATGCGTGGGATGCTATGGCAACGATGAGATATTGCCGCAGTGCTGAGCGCGGGCGAGGCTTTCCAGGCCGGTCAGCAGAGACTCGGCCAACGCAGCACTGCTGAAGAAGCAACTGGCGCGCAGAAACAAAACCCTCGCGCCAAGTGGGTGTACTGCATCGCGGCGAGAGACTGGCCAGTCCGCGGCCGGGAGGGTTGATATGGCCGCGGCGAGTCTGGGACTGCTCATCACCGCCTTTGTCACACGACGGGCGACGGCCGAGGGCGCTTCAGGCCAGTACCTGCGTCGGATCTGGTGATGCCTGTAGGGCTGCTCGTGAGACGTTGAGGATGGGGCTGGGAGAGTTGCGCAAGGCTGAGGACAAAGTGGCGTCAGACTCCACCGCGCCCAAATTGCGGCATGCCGATTGGTCGGGCCGAGCTCCAGCTCCAACGTCGAGTCCCAGCGAACGGGGCCGAGCGTGGGTTGAGCAGCTTTCACTTGGGCGTTCCCAGCTATATGGATTGAGCCCCCAGTGAGCTGCAGCTGCTCCTGTTGCTTTCAAGGCCGCGCTCCTCAATACTATGCCTTCTTTGACCGGCAAACGCGCCCACTGCCTTGCGGCACTGCCGAGCTGCGAAGAAATGGGGGATCTGTGCAATCTCCTGCCCCTGATTGGCGGAACCAGCTCCTGGTGGTTCGATGCAAAGTGTCACGTGACAGCTCCGTTTTTTGCCAAGGTGCCGGCTTTCCCTCAACCTCACCACACCTCGTCCTCCTGAGCCCCGTCACCACGTCCCCCGACACCAATTGGCACCAGCAGTGCCCGCGACCGGCCCTCTCTTCCTTCCTTTAGCTTGTCTCTGCCCCTCTCCACTCCCTCGCCCGCTATGCTGCGCTCCTCGCTCATCCGAGCTTCGACGAGCTCGGCTGCCGTCATCCCATCGGCCGCGACACGTCAAGCCGTGCGTTTCTCGCGCCCTGCCTCCCTCGTGTGCATCAAGCAGCAGTCTCGCAAGGTCCATGCCGTCTCGAACCCGACACTCGCCAATATCGAGAAGCGGTGGGAGGACATGCCGCCGCAGGAGCAGGCCGATTTGTGGATGACCCTTCGGGACCGGATGAAGGCCGACTGGAACGAGTTGACCCTGCAGGAGAAGAAGGCTGGTGCGTAGTACATTTTCTGGGGGCATTGGGGAGATGCGGATGGTTTTTGGCGCGGGGCGTCATTTTCGACGTCCTGGTGCCTGCAGCTGTTCGGCAACTACGTGCCTGGAGACTAGAATATCGAAAACTCACCATTCAATAGCCTACTGGATCGCCTTTGGCCCCCACGGCCCCCGCGCTCTTCCACCTCCAGGCGAGACCACCAAGGTTGTTCTATACACATTCCTCGGTGTTGTTGCATCAGGGGTCCTGTTCTGGGGCACCCGATACTTCGCTAACAATGAGGTACCGCGGACCATGACCAAGGAGTGGCAAGAGGCATCAGAGGAGTACCTGAAGGTGCGATATATCCGCTCAATGCGACAACCCACGAGAAAGCGAAAATTAACCTCCTCCAGGCACAAGGATCCGAACCCATCACCGGCTACAAGGGCATGCTCGTCCAAAGCAAACCCGGCCCCAAGGGCCAGTTCGACGAGGACGACGAGTAGAGCGGTATTAGTGGATTTTTGCAACACACAAGCACCCTTTCCTAGCGTCAACTGCCCTTCTGATGATGCGTGTATCAAAGGTGGGATCCAGCGCAGGCACACACCCCTGAGTGGCCTTTGTCATATTAGTTTGCCTGTGTACAGAATCTTAGAGGCTTTTTGGAGTTTCGCTGCTCTCTTCTGCGTGCGTGTTCTGCTGTTCAGCCTCCCCGCTCTGATCACCAAAGCCTGTACGTCAGGCGCTAGCAATATACTCACATGTCATCTCAAGCTCGGATATCCCATTGGATTCTTGCGATCTCATCACTCTAGGACCGTTCATCTCCGAGAATTTTATGAGCCCGGACACAGCATGGACGTCAGATGCTGTCAATACACTCACATGCCAATCAAAGCTTGCACTCCTAGTTACGCAAATGGACCCCTTGACGCGAAAATCTCCCCCAAGCGATTCCTCTCCCTCCTATCAGCGTCAGGCAGCGTCGAATTCAGCTCGCTATCACACATCTACTGAAGCCTAAACGTCACCATGATATTTACACTCTCGCCGTCACCGATTTTCGTCCCCCTCTTTCCAAAAAACTGACCAATAGATAAAAAACGTAGGCATCAGGTATCATTCACATCGTCACATGCCCCCGAAACATAGAACGCCAAATACCGCGAACTCTATCACACTTGTCTAGAAGCACAGACATCAAAATCATCAAGCCTGTCACAGGCCTCTGAAAACCGCCCTCCTGACCCTCCCAACCCCTCCGTCTCTCTCGTTTCTAGCCAATCCGCATCCTCCCTTACCACCGTCCCCCCTCCGACCACCGATCCTTCCCTCAGTCTTCCGACGCGGAATCCCACCGCGCCCTCACCGCAACATCTCAACGTATCAAAACCCTCCCCTCCGCCGCGTTGGTGCAACACAGCTCGGAGCTTGACGGCGGGAGCGTCATACCGCTCTTTCATTCTCCACGAAATGGACACGAAAGTAGGACTAGGTAGGGAAATACCGGAAGAGGTAGGCATGTGAAGGGGTTAGTCAGCGGAGGCAGCTGGGAGGGTGATGGAGGGTATAAGAGAAGGGTCTCCCCCGAGAAGTTTGGTTCTGCAGAGGGAGGTGGTTGGGGGAGTTGGGTGGGTTCACTAAACACGACCAGGACACGTCTCCATGGAGTTGGGGACTTGGGGGATTCGGGGGTTTGAACATGTTCGTAAGAGGCTACCATGGTGTGTTTGGGGACTTCGACTCTAGTTGGTCGTCGGAACGATGGGTGGGGTGGGGTGGGAGTGGTGGATCAAAATACAAACAGATGGAGACCAACTATGGTGGGTTGGGGACGAGTGGTGGTGCAAAATTGATGTTGTTGGTGTCAATGAGAGGGGTGGAGCGGTGCACCTCATGTTGATGATGTGGTTTATGGTGGGTGCGGAGTTGGGTCTACGCCAACAACTATCCGACACAGAAGCGCATGGAGCTGGAGGGCTTTGAAGGCGGACGCAAAAGGTTTCTATGGCTGGGGGGGGAGTGGTTGATCAAAACGAAAGCGGGAGAACTATAGGGAGTGGGATGCGGGGGTTTTTTGCTAACAGCATTATGGGATTAGCTTATAAGGGCTGGGCACTTGAAAATCGCGAAGTAATGGCCGATGGCTAGGGCGAGCGGTTGATCAATACTACCCTGAGAAACGTACGGAATGGTCGGTGGGAGTCGGGCAGCTTGCCAAAATGTTGAGTCTGAGCTGTCTATGGTTGCTTAGGCCGTTTCGGCATCTCAACGCAATGGATGAAGGGCTAGGATGGAGTCATCTATCGAAAGCACAGAGCGTGGGGGGGCAATGGTGGTTGCGATTTCGTCATCACTACTGTTGAAACCTATGGCACGATGGCAGGCGGTGTGTGTTTAAAGAAGCGATGTGCTATCCGTACATGGCGCGGTTGGGGACCTCAGCTCTTGAGATATTTACGGATGGCTCGGGAGAGCGGTCGATCAACATCCTGTGGTACCACTCGTAGCCATTGGTGTGGCGTTGGAGTGTTCTTCAAAAACGACAGTATCGAGCCCTGCTTGGCAGTTCAGCTTCGTAGTGAACGATGCACAACACCTGGGGTGGAGCGGTTGACCAGAGAAAACACGTTCGTAAGACTAGTTGATGGTGAGTGGAAAGTCTGAGTGTTCTTCAATACGCGATACACTTCTCATACATATGCTCTGGGACTTCAGCATTGCTGTACCATGGGAGTTTCTCTCGCGGTATTTAGTGTGTCGGTTGATCAAAAGCAAATACCGGGTCCGCTAATGTGGTGTGTGCTCCCAGCAGTAGTGTTTGCCATTTTGGGATCAAAATCCGTACAGCAACCGGCGAAGGGTGTGCCTCCGGGATCTTTGCTCTGTACGTTGACTGAAAACATTGTCGCTGCCATAAATGCCATGGTGTGTGCTCTGGAATCTGGTATTAGCCATTTTGGGATCGAAACTGTGTACTGCAAGAGCTATGAGTATGCCAATTGGATCGTTGGTGGAACTTTTGACCAAGAATGCCACGGCCGGCATTGACATGTTGTGTGATCTAGATCTGGTGTTGGCCAATGTGGGATCGAATGGGTCTTCCAATTTAGGCCACTCGGGAGTGAATTTACCAGATTTTTGGTGGAGCGGTCGATCAAAGATCAAAACGGGGCTGCAGGAAGCTAGTAGGTGTTTCGAGTCTGGTATTGATTTCGTTCTCGAAGGTCTTCGCTAGACGTCAAGTCTATAGAGGATATGTCTCCTCCTCGCCCGGCATCTCGGGAGTACTGATCTAATATTTCAAGGTACCGAAATATATCGTAATTACAGGTTGATGGTATTCTTTTGGAGCCGATGAACTTTCAGTCCATTCGCGGCGTAGATATGCCTCCGAGGAACCAACATTGCCACAACTTCATGACGGCGTTCCTGTAGTTCCTTCGAAAAATATGCGGCCGGATCAGACGATGATGTGCCATGTGCTGTCAGTTCAGGATCAACCGTCAGACAGTTATGAACCATGAGAAGTGGTGGGGCAGTGAGCCAAAAAAAAATCCTTTCCGCACCAACTATGCCATCAACAACTATTATACTAGTAACGGTTTCAAACTCCTAACAAAAGAACCTTCGACTCTCTGAGATTATGAGCTGTCGACTTTTGTTCCAAATCAACTTCACTACTGATTCACAGGCTATGGATTGGCAGCTGTTCCGTTGTCTATTACGCCCTGTCTGAACCTCTGGTTGCAAAAGAGTCGGAGCTCAGGCAGCATGGTGTCGGAGTAATTACTAGCTTCCAAATGCTAATATGTCAATCCGGGAGCAAAGAAGAGGCGTATGTGCATCTCCAATTCGTCAAGAATTCCAAGTGCATGGCATCTGATGATTCTGGATTCTGACAAAGTATCGACAGTCTGACATGAAGGTGTCGTTGTGCTGTCCGGTCCGAACAGTGTATAGATCAGAAATCAGACCCGGGTTTTGCTGTGAAGCTTTTCAGCTCTTGTCAGCATCATAGCTGCATGACTCAGTCTGTTGTTCTTTTGAAAAGAGGCTTCCGACTGGTTCATGCTCTCAGTATCATTTTCGGAGCAACTAGGAATAAATCAAACACAGAGCGACTCAATTTGATGAGAATTTCCAAGGGTTTTCGTGCTCCCGAGCATGGAAATACACCTTATAAATTCTGGCGACAACAGGGTACGGGGTTCGGCCAAACTTTGTTATCTTAGCTGTATTCGAGAAACCTTGTCCATCGAACTAGTCCTGCTTACAGAGACGATGGGTCTTGGGTTCCGGCTCGTGTTCCTGCTTAGGATCATCTCATGGTTTGTGGCCCCAATAGTACTCGTACAAATTTGACGCCTCATGCGAGGCATGGAGGCATTCGAGAAGAGGAGTGATCATGCTAAGCCGCTTGCATCCAGAACGAACGCTGAAACGTTCCTAACACCAGGGGCGAGAGTTACTGGTAGCATTTTTCTAAGTTCCATCTTGAGTATAAAGGTCAAAACTACACCTGCCATCCATCATGTGCGGCTTGGACTTCCCAGCTAAAAAAACCTTTGTCTGAGGAAACCCTGATACCGGTACCTCGTCTCGTCCAGACCAATCGACAAAAAGGCCCACTTTCAAACTTGCATGACCGAGCCGCACTCGTTGAGCTTCAAAACAGACAACAATCCCTGGTATATCATAGTACTGTGTCTGCAATTCCGCTCAGCAATTCAGACACAGTAACTAGTACCTTACGCTGTTGGTGTGGTCTAGTGGCGGAGTCACTTAACAACCTATCCACTACCATTATTATGTAGCAAGTAGAGATCGCTGAGCTCTCTCTGCTCACCAACTGCTCTTCTCTAAGGAGCCATGTGCGCTAATGTTGAATATCGTATTCAAGAAGCCGTATAGGGTCTGCTGCACTCTGATAGCCAAACCCGAATCAGCATTTCCCTTCGCTAAATGGCCTGATAGCACCCATCTTTTTCTTCGTTGGATTATGATTCAATTTGGTACCTTGTCATGGCACTTGGTGTCCTCTAGTTTCCCAACAAGTTTCGAAGTGCTCGCAGACATATGTTGGGATAAAAACCAAACGCGCCCAAACGACCATGGGTGGAGCTTGGTACAGGTACTGCACAGTCTTCAGTCATGAGCTGTCGCTTCTGAAAGATCGTGGGGCTGGATCGTACATGGTTTCGGATTAGTTCCAAGCATAGCAAAGACATGATGAATGCGGCGATCCTCGAAAGTTCCGAAAAGGACTAAAGCAAGCAGACACTGATATTCCTCGCTCAAACACTCCTCGAATCTCACTAGTACCACACGGGAGAGTGCCCAGAGAGTTTGGCCTTCAGGATGAATGCAAATACTTATGTGGCCAAGTCAGAAAGGGATAGACTCGATACGAATGTCCTCGCCGACATAATCTAGGGATCCTGCATGCCAGCTCTTCAGTCGTCCCCTCAACTTCGGGTCTTCCGGTTCCCGTAGCCACGCTTCAAACGTCCTTGTCAAGGTACTCGACATCAACTGATGATCGGAGCGGTCAGCAAAGCACCGCCGCCATGCATATGCCGAAGCGGAAACATCATCGGTTGTCTATCACTGCTGACATCGATCCTACTCCAAAGCGAAAACAGAGCCAGCTTTCCTTCTTTGAGTGTCCTGCATCTGCCGAACTACTTACTGAGCCATGTGGTACGAGTAGCCCCTTGATTGCCTCCATCGACACAATATGAGTTTACTTTTCATGTGTCTTTGCCGCTCTGCGCTAGTTTCGGAGAAATCGTGCCAAAAACTTGGGAAAGTTGAGTCAACCTGCAGACTATACTGCGCATTGGAAGCCCTCTATTCATCAAGCACGAAGTTAAGGAATATGTTCCAGCAGCGGGTCGCGGGATTGATCTGCAAGTTTGTGGCTCGACCAAATTCTGGAATGATCTAAAAATATAAAGGATACTTGTCATGTTCGTTGGGCAGAAAAGCTGACCCGCGGTCTTAAGATCAGATCCAAAGCTCGGAGATTTCTTATGTTGGCTGGAAGGCTTGTGGTCCCACGGCGCTGCGTCGAATTCCCAAGTGAATAGGAATACAAACGCGAGAGTGACCTGAATTCACCATTACCAATCTCCTGGTATTATGTAATAGAAGTCCGGCGGCCCTGGTAGATCTTTTTCTGCACTAGGGTAGCGACAGCTGGCTGACAGTGGTCATATGCCTCGTGCTTCGGCTTACCTTCAACCAAGACTTCTTGCGATAAATAGAGAGGATTATATTGGTATGTCTCCGTGTTTTGGGCAAAGAAGTTTAGGTCGAGGCGCCATGCGGTCCTGTCGCGTCATCTCAATGGCTTTCCTCTCAACATCCCATGGATCCAGGAGTGTGCCAAACCAACGTGATGCGATAGAAATGAGCACTCGCCACATCGAAGAAGCTGGGACGAGATGTAGTATGCTGCGTGTGTCGGTATTGTAGTTCTAGACCGCCTGGAGCTGTGGCGCATTTCCGCATGTCGAGATCAGGAAATCCAGCTAGTAGACCTTTATGGCGTAGCCTTGAGTGTCGGATGATTTAGATCTCACTGAATGGTTCCATTCGGATTCGCCATCGTATAGCACCCGGACAATGTTGTGTGCACCCTTGCTTGCTACTGTCTGAGGTACCCCGGCGCATTGTAAGGAATATAGGAAGAACGCATAATCCTAGGCGGCGTGAATCGAAGCGGATCTAAATGCTTCTAATGGACCTCTCTCGTCGTCGTCTGGGGTATATCCACATATCAAACGATCGGGAAAAGGCTTCCAGAAATAGTGCACAGACTTGTACCCTGGGGCTTTACAAAGGTCGGAAATTGTGGAACATGGCTCTATCCTAGTACGAATACCTCACTCTGTTAGCGATATGTTTGTCTAAAGGTTCGATCAAAACTCGCGATGGGTTTTGTTCTGGTGTCGGAATTCACCTTTGAAGAATCATCGAAGTCTGCTCCAAGATCTTTCTAACGTTGACCAAATGTGGTTGCGTTGCATATAATAGGAATATACGGGCCTCATGCACAATATATCTTTAAACGAACACAGAAAATTAGTGGAATGAGTCTTGTTCCCTGGTCGGCTTCACCCCGCTCTAAATGTTTTTATAACATGGGCATAGCTTGGAATGTGAAAGTCGAGGTAATACTGAGCCTCCATCGCGTGCAGCGACAGAAGCAACATGGACCTCGCTGGCAACACTACATTGGTTGCGATGGTATGGTGAGCTTTGGCCGGAGGGTGGTATCCCAACTAGCCACCCTAAAAGCGAGATCATACTTGAAATGTGCCCTGGCCGCTGGCAATAAAAAGGTAGTAACTCTAAACCTGATGTTCGGGGGAAACATTCTGACATTAGCGGAGATTGCCAAAAATGGGCGCTGGTCTTGTGGCCCGGCTTTGCAAAGAGAATTTCGTTGGGATTCGTTATCCGAAATCCACCTATCATACAACGTATGTGCTGGGGAGTGGTAGTAGCAAATGCCGGCAGCACCACGCGATCTTGACATGTCGAAGAGCCCTGTAAGGTGTAAGTCTTGGGCATCCATCTGGTTCCACATTGCCTACCATATTAAGACCAAGCCACCGAAAGATTATGTCGATAAGCACAAGCTGTTTGATGATCTGCACGAGGAAAATGATCTGTGCTGGTGTTATGCGAGAGGGGAACAAGAACGACCTGAACGCTTGGTTGAGACAACTAATGCTATTGCCCTCGGGTATGACGGCGTAATGTTCAGTGGTCGCATGTTCCTCCCAGCCATCTGCCCTATAGCTACACAAAACTATATCATGACCCGCACATACACACGCATCTCGCCAATGCTTCTGAGCCAAAGCATTGTCCAGTCTCGGTTATTCCTGGAACAATGGTACCTCTTTGCTCGAAGGATGCACAAATGAACAGTAAGGAACTCAATGTTCATCTTGAGTGAGAGCACAGGCTTTCAGGTATTGCTCGGAAGAAGAGGTCGAGGAAGAGGAATGGGTCGGTAGGCGTTGCTTTGTCCGACGCTTCTAGTGCTAAATATCAAGTTGAGAAAGGAGATAAGAGCGCTGATAAGGGAAATCGTAGAGAGAAAGAGAAGTCCAAGGCAACGTCTTAACGTAGTTTCTGATGTAGTAGATAGTTTTAGATGATTACTTAGTGAAGAATTTCATATTTTGAATTCGACCTTTAATGACATGTCGTGACTGATGTCATATGATTGAATCATTATGATCTGGAGCTCTCCCGTATGGAGAGCTGTGGAAAAGAGCTAGTGGGAGTTCCGAAAGAGTCTGGCATGTCGAAAATTTTTTCTGGCAAAGGGGAGATGTCGAATGACTATGGAGGCTGAACGGAACTGCCGTTATGATGTTTAGCGTACCTCTGTAGAGCGCCTCGCCACAAGTCTGTGCACACTCGTCTACCACTGCTTGGGTGGCCTCCACAGGCTTAAAGAACTTCAGATGCGACATGCATCTCTTGGTTTCCCCACTGAATACCATGTCCGCTCTGTCTTTTCGCCAAAAAACTTTATCAACTTTACTACTACTCTTTCAACTCACAATACCATTTCTTCGGCCACCCTTGTCTCCGACTCCAACAACACGCTCCCCGCCCCAGGCCCCAACCTATGTAGTCCCACTGTCGTACTCTGCAAATCTGGAATAACCAAAACCGTCTCCCCATGGCTCAAAAAGTCCGTCTCAGAAGTCAGATTCTCCTCCTGCACTTGATCCGTCTTCCCATCTTTGCCTTGCTGCGCAATGTTCGGCCTAACATCCACACCAGGCAATAACAGATTCCCCGCCCTCAACGGCAGTAACATAATCGGAAACACTCTTACCTCCTCTTCCCGTGCCGAAAAGTGCGCGCGGCGCTGCCCCGCCACAAGCCACACGTCCGGGTTAGCTTCGAGGTCGTAAACGAACTCGATAGGGTCACTGGCATCGAGAATGCGGGCGGCGGATTTGAGGGAGTCGGGACTGCCAGCCCAGCGACGGGTGTGCTTAATGCGGAGTTCGGCCATGAGCGGCTTGCCGACTGCGGAGACATTTGCAGAGTGGGCCACGTTATGGTCTTGGTGGAGAAGGTGGAGGGAGGTGGTGTGGACCACGTGGGTTTGGGGGATGGCTACAGTGATGACAATTGTTCGGGAGGTAAGGGAGAGGTGGGGCGAGTCGGGGTTGGGGTCGAGGGGGATGGATGAATGGGTCTATAAATCAATGAAGTCAGCAGAGTATGGCATCGTAGTGCGTTTATGCTTACATCATGCCATTTCTTCAGCCAGCTCCTCGTGTCATCACGTATTACCATTGGTAAGCTGTCGATATAGTCCGACCATGCCAAGTCCTCGAACGAACCAAGGCTGATTGTACCGAGCAGTGCTATCTTCTCGAATTGACCTGGCAGGATCGTGTGCGACAAACGATCGACGAATGCAGGTACGAGTAACCGACCGAGGCGACGAAGTGGACCTCCTTCTATAGCGGTGGCGAACATGCCCTCTGCTCGAGTGAGGACAGTCTCATCTAGGCAACGGTAGTCAACCGTTAGTCCTAGGGTTGGACTTTCAAGCTTCCCCCGATTATTTCGGACGGAAGTTGCTCCGGAAAAACCTTTCGTGGTAATTTTGTACGTGACTGATGCCGGCTGTTTAGGAAATACGAATAAAGGTGTCGTAATTTTCCTCGGAGCCTGAACGTCAAATACCTCGGAGCCATCCAGCTTTACATTGAGAACCTCTAGAGGCGTGCTGCCGGCTGTCTTGATGTTGAAGCGTGAAAACAATGCGTCTCCTTTGAAATGATCATGAACGTTGACGTCAAGAGGCAACTCAATCGGGATCACCGACGAATCAACCATCTGAAACTGACCCTTTTCAGTGATATAATCAACCTCAAGTCTGATAGAGAGCTCCGGCAGGATATTCTCAAGCTCGTAAGGGATCCGGATCGTAGCGCTTGAGTTCGTTGACATGTCTGCAATATGGATGACCCCGGGCTTCGATATATCGCTTAGGACAATCTCTCCTGAGACGACTTCGGCATTTGCAGTACGGAGTCTCAAGCCTGCGGACGCACTTCGTATTCGGATCTCAGCACTCTTGATATCATTCCAGCCACTAGAGCATCGAATCTCTATCGATCGAGCTCGGTCGATATGTATGAAATGAGATAAAGCAACCTTGGCTTGGAACGACTCCACGCGGGGAAAACAAAGTATACGTGATTTCTTCGGTATCTTCAGCGCTGTCATTGAAGGCGTGGAAATTCCTAGCGGAGTCGTGGTATTCGGTTTAGCGATGGGTTCGTGCATAAAAACGATCTTCTGTGCTTGAATGACGATTTTATCTACAATGAAAGAACCGGAAGTATTGACCTGTCACTTCTTAGTATAGTACAACATTTCAAGCAGACTATGGCTTACATTTGAATCAAGCCAAATCTTAAATAGTCCTTTCTTGACAACTATCGTGTCTTCGAGGTCTAACCACATTTCTTTACCTTGTCCTGGAGTCACATGGATGAGGTGTATCCTCGCTCTTTCGATCAAGATGTCATCCTCAAGAATATGACGAACTTGCAATCGGAGCTGAAAGCCATCTCTATCATCGTAATGGCGCACATAAGGTTCGATTGCAATGTCTCCAAAGTATTTGGACATAGGAACCGTGATGTCATAAGGCAGTTGTTCGGAATATGTCAATAGCTCATGGAACAATCCAGTGGTGTCTGCCTTATCGTCATCAAGCCAGCTGAAGGTACTCTGAGTGTTCTCATCTGGTATTCCTATTGAGTGAAAAGACTTCCTGGATATTCGGATCGACATCTTCTTAGCTGCTGATTTGGCTAGAAGATCTAGAAGGGTGCGCGTGTATTCATCCTTTCGATTGAGCTTCTTAAGACACTGTGCATACATCTTGAGCATAGTAGTCTCGACGAAGTTCCATCGAGTCTCGGCGAACTGCGGGGCCATGCGACTGAAATACATTGCCGCAGCAGCATAATCACCAAGCTCGCTGGTCAAGGTTAGTGTGAGATGAGGCAAGAAGAGCTGCATGACTTACTACTTGAGCGCCGCGAGATCTCCGAGGATACTTTCAGCGGAGTTAGATTGACCAGCCGCCATGTAATGCTTGACAGCAAGATCACTCAGCCTCTGCATCAAATTTATATTAGCCTTGTACAGTAGCGAGTGATCAAGATCATACCTCGTAGAATACTCTAAAATCTCCAAGCGAGGACAGAGCATCCATAAGAGCAACTTCGCAAAGACCGAGTGTAGGCGAGGAGATATCATCAACGCCTCCTCCTTGCTGTGATTGCTCGACTTCCTCGTTATTTGTCTCATCTAGGTCAATGTCACGAAAATCATCCTTCTGGGAGTATTTTGTAGCTGCAAATGCTGCCCATCCAACGGCCCAGCCGCAATTTTGACCGACGTGCTCCAGAACGCGGCGTTGAACAACGTATAGTCTTGCTCTATTTCCTGCAAGATCGTGGACGCCCGACCTCATTGGCACGGCATTTGGCTGACTTATCGGAGGAGGTCGTTCTTCAAAACGACCGTGGTCGAACACAACTTGCCCAGAGGGCGGAATATGAGCATAGGGAGGGTCTGCATTGGAGATCCTCCGGTGGGACAGTGAGGATGACCTACTCGGATGAATCATCGTTTTCGGTTCCGGCACATTCGTTTTTAATTCCTCGGCACGGCCTCCAAATGATAGCATTTTCCCGGAGGAGCCTGACGTGGCGTCGCCCCGGAACTTTGATACAGGCAAGGAAGATGTAGCAGTTTCATCGAGTATCTGTTGTGCTACGGCGAATGTCCAAGAAGACACTAAATTGTCGATAAGGCGGCTCGGGATTTGCTCCGACATGACAGCACTTCTAAGAAATCGTTAGGATATCCTTGACAATGATAAGCAAGATTACTTACCCCGTGTTCAGATCATCTCGTAAAACCCGAGCAGCGGAGGTTACAAAGCTCAGACTACGAAGACAGAGCTCCGAAAGGGATAGCAAGTCTTCCGAGGTTTCTAAGGCCGTGCTTGATTTGGTTCCAACGTTTAGATCATCTATAGAATGCTGAGCAACGGAGGTAGACGGCCGCGCTAGCTTGGCTGCCAGTTCCATCCTTGCGGAATGTACATTTCCTAGCCTTAGTAATAGCGACAGCTGTCGAGAGAAGATGTAACACCGAAAGTCAAATACAGAGATGTTACTGGACAATATTGACTCTCGATAGTTCTTCTTGGTGGCATTCAAAGGCTTTTCTCCAAACACATCGCGGAACGATAGGCGCCCGCCATTCTCTTCTGAGTTTTCGGGGTGCTTTTGAAGGGCTTCGGCATGGTCTTGAAGATCTTTGGTGTATTGAAGAAATGCGCCGCCTTGGTCTTGATTGCTATCATTAGCTTGGTCTCGAATGATTGAGTCAAGCCCGAAGGAGAGCTCGTCATATCCCATGAGAGCATCTTCGACAAGACCCACACTCTCAAATCCTCTTGCCAAGCCTTCTTTAAGGATGAAGAAAGTACAGAAGTTCCATCCAGGAAGTGACCGCTGAGATTCTTTGTCTCGAATATCTTCCTCGTACTGGCTGACGCGTAAATTAAATGATAGCAAGATAAGCGTCTTAAATTTAGCTATCACGTCATTCCAAGCGTTGTTGTGTTCCTGAGGACTCTCGCTGTACGGCGAACCCACCACTGCAGCGCCAGATGGCAGCATATGAGGCGGAACGACATCTTTCTGAAGTCGCACCTGGGCGACACGATCTGGAGCAGTTTTGGAGGCGTGGTTGAAGTCGGCTCGTATCTTCTCAAAGATCGTAGTTGAACCACGTGTCCACCGTGAGGTACTGCCTGATTTCTCGGTGGACCCTGAATTAGAACCAACAGCCCCACTTCCACGAGGTTGGCTTGCGGCCGGTGTATCGGGCACAACAACATGCAGGATGAGCCATTCAAACGCATCATGGTTTTCTGGAGTACTCGCCGAGGAGCTACTTTGCGAAGGTGGTGTATGGGTTCTCACCCATTCCCGGAGCAGCTTCCGAGAGGAAGCCTTGTACGTCTCAGAATCGTCACATCTCAAAAGGTAAACTTTCAAATACGGGGTCCGACGAAGACCAGGGATCTGGTGACGCCTCTCCTTCGTTGAGCCTCTTAGGATTTCTGAGCTGGATGGTGGTCCATGCTCAGAGTTGGGGCGATGAACACCCCCCTCATCAGTAGCTTGGCCGTGCTGCGATAAGTTGGCGGATACATCGGCAGACTCGCTGCTAGGGACGAGATCCACATGCAAAGAATCAATGGACCGTAATGGACGCGACGGAGATTTCCAATGAAGATTGCGGAGCGGCAAGCGAGACGTGAGCTGCGAAGCTAGCAAAGGAAATACTCCTGATGGGTCGTGATATTCGACTAAGAAATTTTAACATTGTTGCTACATTCAAGGCAGCAGGGATGTTACCCGTGACTTTGGAGCTCTCCATCACATCAGCGGTTATGACTTGGGTCTATGCAATAAAGTGAGGTTGAGGTGCATGGCCGACCGCAGCATGCATCAAGAGGCGCTATACAAGGCCGAGTATGCCTTGAGTGAATTTGTGGCGTTTCGAATAATCGAATGTTGAGATAGGAGGTTGAAGGCGAGTGGACGTCGTCTCCGTGAAATCCTGCGCCAAGACATGCCGCCATTCTTGGATTAGTCTGGAAAATCTAATCGCGGGAATAGCGTTGACGGTTTAACCAGCTCCGATTACGTTAGGAGTACTCTCTTTCATCTTCATCCTCTGCCTTTCACAGCCTCGCGGCCATGCTCAAAGACGGAGTAGCCACCGATCTCACTTACCACTCAGTCCATTCAATCGGACTTGAAAGTTGCATAATTTTGCGCGTGACCTTGCATCTTGCCGCCATTCCTGTGCAAGAAACATCAGCCACCTATTCCGTCGTCTCGTATTCTCGTGTCGCTTGCCCTCTAGATTCAGCCTCGCGCAGTGCCTTGTGCGTAAGGCAGGCCAATTGTGCCTTATCGCCTCGCCAAACGCAAGATCTTCGCATTCCTCGCTTTCATGCTTCTCTCCGAATTCATCCCGCGTAACGAGCACCCCTAGCCCTGCCTCTTAGAACATAGCTGTTGCCTTAGCCATGGATTAATGCTAAATCTAATAGTAGACCGCATCGTGATAGGGCCATCAATGAGAATGGCTTTCTGCCTGCGGCGAGTTTCAGACACAGCCTCAGATCCCGATACGCGTCTCTGTACTAGCTAATCTGCTACAGTATATTAATTCAGCAGACCTCCTAGAAGCCTCATCTCACCACGAGATGCGCCGGCTCATTGCACGCATACATAATTGGCCTGTCTTCTCTTTTTTGTACATATCAGCCCTCCGTCCACAGAGTAAAGAGCACCAAATAGTTACTCTCATCTTGTTTCACTAGCACCCTAATCTGTCAAGAACACTCGCCATGGGCTTAGGAGACTATTGTAAGATCCTCTTCATTGTCTACGACTTTACATGCTAACTAGTAACAGCACCTGGAAGCATTTGGTACTATGCTCCTAACAAAGTCGCTCCAATCGTGTTCATCGTCCTCTTTCTTATCTCGGGCATCATTCACGCGTGGCAGACCATGTGAGTTCTCAGCACTGTTCGAGGTCTACTATATCAACTAATCCATATAGTCGCTATAAATCATGGAGAACGACCATTCTCCTACCATGGGCAGCGCTCTTGATGATTTCGGGCTTCATCACTCGCGAATACGGCGCATACAATACGGATAATCTCGCTGTTATGATCGCGAGCGTTGTTTTAATCATGTCTGGACCGTAAGTGTAACCAACTTAATAGCATAGCAATTACTGAATAGGAATTCGCAGACCAGTGTACGCCCTCATCAATTACTTCATCCTATCGCGAATACTCTATTACATACCCTATCTCTCACCCATGCATCCTGGCCGCGTCGTAACCACCTTTGTCGGCCTCGACGCCGTCTGCGAAATCCTCATCGCTCAAGGCGCTTGGCGCATGGCAAACTCCACCATGACCGACAAACAACGCCAAGTAGGCGCGAATCTCGTAAAAGCATCCTTGATCCTGCAAGCTTGTCTCTTTGGAGCTTTCGGTCTCATGGCTGCCATGTTCCAACACCGCGCTCAAAAGGCCAACGTCCTCTCCAAGAAACTCCGAACCGTTCTCTACGTCCTGTACGTAAGCGCGACCATCATCACGATCCGCTGCATCTACCGCATCGTGGAGTACGTTGAAGGATGGCAGGGAAAGGTCTACCAGAACGAAGCTTACTTCTGGGTCTTCGAAGCATCCATCATGTTTGTCAATACGCTTCTTCTGAACATCTGGCACCCTGGAAAGCGGCTCCCGTCCTCCAATAGCCGGTTCCTGGACCGCGACGGCGTCACCGAGCGTCGCGGACCAGGCTGGGCAGATGATCGGCCGTGGATCGTTACCATGTTTGATCCCTTCGATGTGTGGGGCTTGATCAAAGGCAGGGATAAAGAAACGCAGTTCTGGGACATGTCGGACGAAGAGCTCGAGAGACTCAGGGCGGAGAAGAAGGCGAACAAGAGGCCGGTTTGGGCTGGGGCATTGGATCCATTTCATCTTTGGGGTTCGAGGGGCTATATTGGGAAGTATTTGAGTAAGTCGAAGCCAACAACGAACGCAGCGGATAACGCGGTTACTCCAGTCGCGTCACATACGGAGGTGAAAGAAGAAGCGAAGAATGATGAAAATGTGGTGTAGTTTGAGGGAGGATGGTCATCATATGATTGTGGGTGTCTTGCTTTCGATGCTTTTTCATCTCTGAGTCGTCGATATTTGTTTAGAGTTTTTAGTTCTCTACAATCAGGAGATCAAATTGCAGAGAATGGGTGAGTCGGCACTACCCAGGTATGAAGTGTACAGCGAGGTCGCCACCATCAGATATGTTCGAGAGAATACCAACATTCCTGTTCTATGCCCCATACCGCTTCGATTGCAATTTCGGGAACAGTCTCCAGCTGGGCTGGGCACTCATGCAGAATTACTATTGGAATTTTCTGCCTTACAAGTCGCGGAGCGGGGCGTCAACACGCTGTTAGAGTGAGTTAGGCCAGTTTCGCTTTCTTCTCGTTCACCAACTCCTAGTGTCGAGACCTCATTGGCTTCTTAACTTAGATCAGTTAACGGATATACTATACGCCGTTCCTTTCTTCAGTCAACTAGATAGTTGCTCGGCCTCCATCGAACACACGAGTTTTCAACATCAGCCTCCACTCACACCTACTGGACTAGCCTCTCGTCCTTCGACTCCTCTCTGCCTTACGTTCTGCCCTTAGTACGCGAAGCGCCGGCTTCACACATCGGGTGCGTTAGAGGATAAGGGAGTCTTCCACTCACTACCACAAGCCTCTCAAGCCTACAAACGACGGACCTTTTACGCAGTCCACCTCTCTTCGCACTCTGCCACCCACCAACGCCGCCAAACAAGCTTGCATTCTTTACCCACTCAAGCACTATGATCAATGCAAGCGGTTACCAGGTGCAGATCTTCAATGTAGGCACAAACAAGCCATACGAAGAAGCCAATGTCACTACTGGGTTTGACTCAGATGACCGGCGCTTATTTCGGGACGAGTCAATCAGCTGCGGCATCAAGATAGAACTAGGGCAAAGATATGGCATCAAGGTGAGCGTGCCACAAAACAGGAGCCACGCAACCGGAATCCTCGTTTCCATCCTCATCGATGGAAACAAGGGGGATCAGAGACAGAAGCGGGCTTGGACCCTCCTGGAAGAGCGCTTCATTCCCAACCAGATGTGGACCGGTACCACGGCACCACGCAGCATGGTCATCTCTGACACCGTCGTCGAGAGGCCGAGCGGAGAGCTCGCCGAGTCAGCATTCTTCTTCCGGGAGTTCATCATTGGTATGTGTACATGAAATACCTAGCAATAGCAGACGACACGCTAACAGATATTCAGACGAGGGGCTGGAAGTTCCTGATAGGAACATAGGCATCTTCCATAAGCGATACATGGGGAAGATCACAGTGACCCTGCAACACGGGTTCCTGGATGAATCTGAGATTCCGAGGCGCATGTACGGTTCCATGAAGAACGGAAGGGATCTAGACGCCCCGAACCAGTCGACTGCAGAGAGTCTGCATCACCACACTCCGTGCTACACACAGTAAGAACCACCTCATGCCTATTGGACTACGTCAGCCTGACAACCGACAGCATGGAGATGGTGAACGCAGTCACCAGAACCGACAACCACACCGAGAACACCCGCTTCCGGGCGGTGAAGGGGAAATACGGGCGCACATTCGAATTCACGTTCTCATATGACAACAAACCTTCTGCCGACCTCGAACAGCCTGACAACCTCGAACCTTCCGGACAGGCCGGACCCTCCGAGCGTCCGATTCCTAACACTACCACGTCATCCATCGATCTTTCTCCGGCGTCTTCCAACACCGAAGCCTATTCTTCTCACAATTCTTCTCACAATTCCCTACCCGTAGACGAGAACGAAGCAGCCCAGGCTCAGAGGACGTTCCCGCAGAACAAGGGCAAACGCAAGGCGGATTCACAGCCCAATGCAAGCGCCTCAAGAAAGGCTAAGCAAGTCAAGGCTTCCGCCGCCACTACTACAGCGAACCTGCAGATTAGACAAGCTTCCAGACTGACTCGGAGTGCCATGATGCAGCTCCAGAACGCCCCCGAACCAGCCGATGACCTTGCGACCACCATGCAGACTGCCTCGATTCAGGACGATGAAGGCGATCGACTGCTGAATCAGGCTGGAAATCAGATTGCGCGGCGGTCTATGCCAGCGCCGCAGCGTCGAAGCCTCAACCAGCTCCGGTATGAAGCTCAACTTGCCGCGGTCAAGCGGGAGGAGGCTGTAGCCAGGGCCAAAATGTGGCAGGCCAAGGAAGAAGCATTTCGGCACGAGGCGAGGAAGCTTAAGGCGGAACAAGCAGTAGTAGAGTACTTGGAGGCCCACCCGGAAGAGACGTCGTAGGCGCTACATGTAGTAAAGGAGAAAGATTGTGGAAGGTTCAGTAGACGTGGTGTAAGATGATGGTCGAAGCGTGTGTCTTTGACGCCAAAAGATGTACAATAGTTGGTTTTGTAGGAAATAGGTTCTCTAGAGCAGTCACAACAACTCGAGAATGTACTTAATACTCCCAAATCCTCTGTCATGATCTGAAGTCGTAGAAATATGACATCAACCGTATGCTCCCATATCGAGCTCGGTTAAGAAACCCACTGACATCGCTACGCTGCTGTCTGACGTCCCCCAACAGATCAATAAGAGCCAGTAGACGATGTAAAGATCATCACCTCGTAAATCAGGCTAATGGCTGGACTGCCTTCCAACATAGCTTTATCACCGTCGGACGTCCTCAGAACCACTGAAAAACCGTGCATTCACCTCCCATACAGCACAATTGCCCTTGCCCCCTCGCATCCAATCAGCCATCCACGCCAAACCAGCACTGCACTATCCATCCACCCCATCTAATCCCTTTTCACCACTTCCCATCCCATCCCTTCTCCCCTCATCTTCTCACCCTCACCCAAACACACTTCCATCCCCCCATCCCCCCACCCCCTCTCTCCGCGACTCGCCTCCCGAATCGTCCCTAGCCTCCCTCTCCCCTTAATTTTCCGCGGCGTGATAGGAATGCGCACCATCCCCTCTTCAAGCTCGTCCTCCCCACCCCCGGGCCTAACATTCTCTTTTCGTCTCCCGCTCCCACCATCCCCCCCACCTCCCTGCTCTCTCGGCACCATCGCATGCCCCCGCTCAACCTCCCTCCGCATCCACACCGTCGGACCGACAAAAGACGGTAGAGGCGCCGTGCTCGGCAGCGACGGCGGGTTCCTCACCAACCGTGGGAGGTCCGGGCCGAGGAGCGAGAACGAAGAGGTAGAGCGGAAGGAGGGCGGGAAGGCAGCGTCGCTAGCGCGCAGGATTCCCTCTTCAGACTCCCTCACGCGCGAGAGGATCGGCGGCAGCGGAGATACTGGGCTCGTTGGTGGGAGACTGCGTCCGTAGGTTTGGCTCGGCCGGCGATTCTCCCCATTGTCCCAGTTCCTGGCCACGAGCGTTGGCGCGGGCGAAGGGCGGATGGGGGAGGCGAGGGGCCTGTCCATGTGCTTGCCTGGCGACACAATGTCGAATGGGACGGCGGACCGCTTTTGGAGGCGCTTGCGGCGGGCGGGGTTGGTGCGAGGGTCCGGGAGGACGGTGAGTTCGAGGGATTCGTGAGTGGGAGTGTTCCGAGGCACGCAGGGGCGTGGAGTGCACATTTTGAGATGCTGTGGTTGAGAGCGGTGTGATGCGTAAGGTAGGGGTGGGCTGAGATGAGATGAGTAGAAGGGTTTGAGTTGAAAGGGTGTGAGATGGAGAGAGATTGATCGATGACGGCATCGGATTGAAGCTGAAATTGGGATTGGAATTGGAATTGCATTGAGGAGCGCGGTCCTCTTGAAAAAGCCTGGCTCGTGACTTCATCTCACCGCACAACCTCTCTGCTCTATACCTTACGGGTATGTTCGTCACCTCTCATCTATCCCAACGCCGAGACAGAAACCAAGTTCAGCCTTGAATAGACCCGTATGCAGTCCCATTCGATCCCTTCCCATTCCTCACATACTTCTTAACAACCTTCACCAATTTCTTCCTCGCCCGCACCATATCAAACACCTGCGCATGATCCGCCTGTGGCCACCACAGTACATCTAAGCCCTCCCCAATCCACGGCTCCTGCTTCCACCCCCCATCATCATCACTCCAACCGCTCGCACTACCATCAGACGACGCACCAACGAGGTACCGCCCCACAGCCTCAGTATTGACGATCAGATCGCGGCCACTTAGAGACACGGTGACATTGTGGTCTACGATGTCCTCGAGCCAGAGGATGTTTTCGTTCCAGAAGAAGTGACGCGAGAGGGTGTGCGCGACGCCCATGTCTTTAGACGCGAGGTAGTAGAGTTGGTGCTCGTTGGCGGTGCTGGGTTTGCGGGCGGTCTGGGTTTATGACCAGTCAGTCTAATGATAGGGGAAGATAGTAGGAGTGGGAGTAGACGGGGAACTTACGAAGTTGTAGGCCACGTCCGGCAGATGGAGGAGAAAAGTGACAGGGTCGATGAGGAGAATTGGGCCAATTTTGGGCGCGACAATTGGGTTTTGGAGGAGGTGGGTTGAAATGACGGTGCCGTAGCTTTACGCGGGGTTAGTTGCAATTCCATGAGCCACGGTGTTGAGGATTAGGAGACATACGAGTGTGATACTAGAACAAACTTGTTCCAACCATGCTTTTCGAGAATGCTGTTAATTTCCATGCACATGGCCTCCTTCGCTAGAGCTGCGGGCGTGATCCGCATGCATATAGGCATGATTTCCACGGCAATTATCCCGACATCGCCATCTGACGAGTCGTAATCGTCGGACTGGTTGATCTCAGCAACGAATTGCACGTACGGGTATAGTCCGATGCCGATGCCGTGGATGAAGAGCACAGGGAGTTTGGTCTTGGAGGTATGCGGGCGGTACCAGTATGAGGTATGCTCGGCGGGGGAGTGGTGAGTGCAGAGGAGGGTGAAGGGACGGAGGGGGAATACGTCGAAGAAGCGGCGGAGAGACGTGCGGTAGAGGCTGAATCCCCGGAATTTGAAATGCACTGCGGTAGCTCCATCGACTAGGCCAACGATCTGTGTATCATTTAGTATTGACCTTGCGGAAGAGATCTGACATTTGCTGCTTACGCAGTACCACAAGAAACTCCGGTGCATCATATCCACCTCGTCAATCGTCAACCGCAGACATTTCGCTGGCCCTCTTCCTGGCTCGATCTTGCGTCCGAGGAGGTTCTCTACTCCTGTTATATACGTCTCGAGCTCCTCATCGTCGGCCGGATCGTAGTCGGCAGTGTTCAGAAAGGCCCAGCGGAAGAAGTCTTTGATATTTTCGCGTTTGATGTCCTCAAGCGGGCTGCCGAGGAACCATTTCGAAAGGTACAGTTCCGCATCAGGTATCGTAGAGAAGCATCGCTGAAACAGCACTTTGCGGTGCTCAGGGTCCAGAGGCTCAGGATGGTCGGCTGCTTTTTGAAGAATGTGTTTCCGCGGTAGGTATACGAGGAAGTAGAAGGCCGTCTCTATAGCCGCCCAAGCCACTAGTACTTTTCCAACTATGGATCGAGGAGGGCGCACAATGCAGAAGCCGCAGTATAGGACGCTGAGAGGGGTAATGGCGCGTAGCCCGGCGATGCTGGCGCGGATGAACACATACTCGGGAGTCGAAGTTCCAATCATATTGGAGGAACAGCTGAAGATATAGGTAGGTTCATGGTGTTGAGAGGACCCTTGAGGGCAGAATGAGGCGGTATTTACCGCCGCTTGGTGCCTACCTGGACTGCAGTTGTTGGGCTGTGCAGGTGCTAAGTAGCATGTGTCTGCTGGCACGCGTCGTCACGGGTGCTGAGAACTGCGTCGTCTTGTATTTCTGGTACCGACTTGTCCCCAATCACATTCACTCCGCATCTACCCCTTCATAATCACATGCCGAGGCACCGGGTTTTGCTGCATGGGTTTGTATGTGAGACCTGTGCCAAGCACTCAACATATTCACGATGTTCCGAACTAAGATGTCAAAATGGCGGAAGCAACTCCGAAGCGTGGGCTTCTTATCAGAAGATCCACTCTGATCATCCTTTTTTTAGGTGGTATGAGGTGACTCCTCTGGTGGCGCCGTCAAGCAGGATGAAACTGTTCAAAGATATCAAACATGAGGCCAGATTTGGAGGTACGAAGCTCCTATTTTAGTTTCATATCTGATTTAGCATACCAGAGCACTCCATATAGTGGCATACTAGTGTTGAAACCCTAATTCAATGTCGGCTCGAATTGCAGCGTAAGGAGTGTAACACCGCTTATAGATTCTTAAGGAGATAGCAAAGGGCCTCCGACGGTTACGAAGACAACCCAGAAAGGCTCAACAGATGTCGGCTTGATATGCGACGTGATGGCCCTTGCCTGGTGTCCCGATTTTGGATGATATGTTGGGAGACCTCAGACAGTAGCATACTTAGGTCAGTACCCATTTTGATCGAGCATCATATAAATGGGTACATTCAAGGTCACAGTGTTTAGACTTCAAATTAGGAAATGACTTCTAGGGACTTTGCCGAACCGCGACCCATTACCTGTACGCATCTTCCAGGGGGGTTTGTATACTCTTGCAGTATCCCTGGAGCCACAATCTCGAATAATCTTACGATACTCAGATCCTGTATTTCAAGTGCTCGGAATCGAGTAACTTGAGGTCGTATATTGATTAGAGACTAGGCAACTCTTGGGGAGGTGTATACCTCTAAAGTAGCCCATCACCAACCACTTCAAACCACAACATCAGGTAAAGAAATACACACTCCAAATGAGCTCCTGTAATTTTCTCCTGTAATTTTCTCCTATTCGACCTCAATCTATAGAGCAACAGGATAATCCAGCGTCTCAATCTTATCCGGATACTTCAGCCCTCCCTGCTTCCGTATCTCATCCATAGTCTCCATGATCACGATACTCTCCGCCAGATCTAAGAAGCTCCCCTCCTTCCTGCCCTCAAAAATTGCCACAGCAGCTTCATCCGCCTCCCAGAACATACCTTGGCCCACACCTTCCGGCTGTATTGTGTCTCCGAAACCGTTGTAGAAGCCACTTCCTTTTCCAGGGCCTGGCTGCTCCCAATGCTTGTCCTCGACCGTGCCATCAGAGAGAATGACGCGCGTATCGACAGGCCTGAATGCTGGAGGGAAGACCTGGATCTCTCCCTTGTCGCCCTGAATCCGAATAGCAGGGCCCGACGCAATTCCATTCGCCGGATCCGTAGCAACGCGAATAGAACTCATAGCGACAGCGTGCGCATCACCACCCAGCTTCTCAGAACGAGGGAAAGTGAGCAGGACGGTCGTGGATTCGTCTGATCCGGTAACTGAGAAGTGCTTCATGGTGGCCTGCACCTTTGGAGGCTTGCGTTCGCTGGCCGGCTGGGTGTGGTACAGTGTTTGGAAGCACCATGTCAAGGCGTATATCCCCAGATCGAGTTGTGCACCTCCAGCAAGCTCCAGATTGACCATCCGGTTCTTCCCATCGGCGTATGTCTTGTCTGGGTTATCGGCCATGCTTAGATCAGCTTGGACGCGGTAGACGGTGCCGATGCGGCCGGAGGTGATCTGCTCGCGGACGTAGATGGAGAGGGGGAACCAGCGGGTCCAGACGGCTTCCATGAGGACTACGAGGGAATTAGAACACTTTAGCCGTGTGATATCAAGCTTTTACTCACAAAGATTCTTCTCGCGAGCCTTCTCGGCGAGCTTCTTCGCTTGCGCCGCATTGACAGTGAACGCCTTCTCGCAAAGCACGTTCTTCCCCGCTTCTAAGCACAGCATGGCATTCTGGTAGTGGTGGGAGTGAGGTGTTGCAATGTAGATGACATCGATGTTTGGGTCTTTGACGAATTCCTCGTAGGAGCCGTATGCCTTTGCGTTGGGCCAGTTGCACTCTTTCAGGAAGGCCTCGGCGCGTGTCTTGGAAGAGGAGCTTGCGGCTGCGACTACGACGTGCTTGACTTTGGTTACGCCTCGAGTTGTGGGATCGACTGTCAGGTCTTTTGTGAAGGTTCGGGCAATCCCGCCTGTTGCAAGGATACCCCACCGTATTTCTTTTGGTGCCATCGTGTTTAAATTGGAAGTTTTTGAAGTGGAAGTGGAGGGAATGACAGGAGAATATTCGCGGAAGTTGAGCGCTGCAGATGCTGAAAAGCAACGGTAGATGGAATTTAGAGCGGACTTATTGGATTTACAGCGGATTTAGATGATAAATCTTAACACGCGTGTTATAAATGGAAGGCGAGGTCGCCAGGTTTTATGACACCGTGCATGACGTTGAATGAGGTGTGAAAGTGGGGTGTTTAAATCCGAACAAGCCCCAGCTGCAACTACTCAGACCCCACCACTCTTCAGTCTCTTCGTGATAGCCTTCCACTTTGACCAATCCCGCTTGATAATCGCGAACTCTGGAAGCAGCTGTGCAGGTACTGCGAGATCCGCTCCCCGCGCAAACCAGAAGTGGGAATTCTCGCCTAGGACGCTACGAATTTCCCGCTAGCATTATCATCTCAGCGCAATTCAAAAGCACTGTGAATGTATCTCCCAGGATGGAATGAAAACAAGTTTTGTGTTTCTCTATAAGTCAAGGAGTACTAAGGGTGGCTCTCTTTTACTGTATTGAATGATTTGGAACTATAATCACGTGATCTTCTTCCACTAACCGTAAGTCATGACTTTAGGATCCTATGATGTAGTGTAATAGGAGGCAGAGCAAGAGAAAGAGTAAGGAGAGGAGATCTGATCCTAGAATGCGCATGAAAGACGAATATTTCAATTACCCGACTGAAAACCTACAGACCGTAAGCACGTCCGGCGGTCGAACGCCCTCAACGTACATTCGTAATTCACCCCCATCCGAAACAGTTCAACAGAGTCGTATCGCTACCCGCAAAAGTAGCCTATTGTCTAGAGCAGGCCGGGAAACCTCACAGAACCAGCTTGGCGTACCTTCTTGAATACTATAAAGTTGCAACATAGACGGAGAAGACGAGGGGTTTTGGTGATGGGAGGCCTGAGCGGGAGGCCTGCTCATCATCCTCGTTTCTTATAGGCTACATGTGTGTGGCTGTTTCGGGGCACGCCTACCTTGACATTGCTCAATAAGTGTTTTGATAGTAGCAGAGCACTATTGTTGGTTCGCCACAATTAACGAGCTGAGAGAAAAGGAAGCTAGAGGTGTGAGCTCTATGAACATTCACTTTCGGTCTTCTTCATACCTTGTCTCAAATTCAAAGCTCGTTCAAATCAAGTGAATTGGTATTCATCCAATGAGCGTGAAGCGGTGGAAATTCGGGATCTCGGAGGAGTGTGTCCCGTGCGGAGAACCTTGGGATCTGCTTCATCTCCATCATGTTTCGATAACACCATTCTCTCGGCATGAGAGCTCTCCAGTGTCTTTCCAAGCACTTACCACGACACAACTGTCCGTATCGCCGTCTACATGTCGCCCAATTGCCAATTGGGAAAAATTACTGCGCTTTTCGCAATTATGTTACACCTTTCTCACGACGGCCCTTGAGCCCATACTTTCATCGCAATTACCATACTGGCAATTCAAATGTCATTCATCATGAGGACTCTACCATATACGCCCTATCAACTGCTCCAGGGAAAGCCGCCATAGCCGTGATCCGCATATCTGGACCAGCATGCCTCCAGGTAGATCGATCCACCAATCTACCATTAAGCATCAACCATACCCTCATTCTAACCCACTCTCCTCCTAGATATACCAATCCCTCTGCCCTTCCAAACCCCTCCCAAAACCCCGCCACGCAACCCTCCGCCGACTATACACCCCCCACCTCCTCCCCTCCCCCTCCACGATCCTCGACTCGGGCGCCCTAATCCTCTACTTCCCCTCCCCCTCCACCGTCACGGGCGAAGACGTCCTCGAACTGCACCTCCACGGCGGCCCCGCCATCGTGCGCGCCGTCCTCGCCGCCATCCCTTCCTCCCTCCCCGCCTCACACAGCCTCCATACCCCACCTCGCATCCGCTACGCCGAGCCCGGCGAATTTACCCGCCGCGCCTTCACCAACAACCGCATCGACCTCCCCCAAATCGAGGCCCTCGGCGACTCCCTCTCCGCATCCACCGAGCGGCAGCGCCAGCTTGCCGTGCGCGGCACCACCGCCGCCCTCGCCGCGCGCTACGAGCACTGGCGCCAGCTACTCCTCCTCGCGCGCGGGGAGCTGGAGGCGCTGATCGACTTCTCCGAGGACCAGCACTTCGACGAGTCCCCGGCGGCGCTGTGCGCGTCGGTGGCGGGGCAGATACTGCGGCTGCGGCGGCAGATGGAGGCGCAGCGCGCGAATGCGGTGAGGGGGGAGTTGTTGCGGAGCGGGATTGGGGTGGCGTTGCTGGGGGCGCCGAATGCGGGGAAGAGTAGTTTGCTGAATCGGATTGTGGGGCGCGAGGCGGTGATTGTGGCGGCCGAGGCGGGGACGACGAGGGATGTGGTCGAGGTTGGGGTGGATCTGGGCGGGTGGTTGGTTAGGTTGGGGGATATGGCGGGGTTGAGGAGGGCGGGGCTGGCGGGTGGGGATGTGGGAGAGGGTGGAGGTGGCCCGGTGGGTGTGGTGGAGCAAGAGGGGATTAAGAGGGCTAAGCAGCGTGCACTTGAGTCGGATGTTTTGATTGTGGTTCAAGATGCGTCGAGGGATATCGACCCCGAGGTCAAAGTAACAGCCAAGGAGTGTGTGGATCTCGGTATCAACGTCGTCGTTGCTATCAACAAAGTTGACAAACTCTCAAACGCCACAGCAGCTGAAGCACGATGGAAAGAAATGATTCAATCTGCCCTCGACGTCCCATCCGACCGCATCTTCTTCATTTCATGCAGAAACGCCGTAAACTCTGACACCAATTCCTCCGAACCAGACCCAGGAAACATACAATTTTTCCTCCAAGGCCTCATCTCAACCTTTAAATCCATGACCTCCGCCCTGATCCCGGACTCTGATACCACCGACGACATACCCGGCGCATCAATCTGGCAAGAGTCTCTTGGCGCCACAGAACGCCAGCGAGTCCTCCTCTCCGAATGTCTCGACCACCTCGACACCTTCCTCACAGCAGTCGGCGCAGCCGACATCGCTCCTTATGAATCACAACAGCTATCCCAGGACCCGCTCTGGGAAGGCAAACTCGCACCAGAAATAGAAGTAGGGGACGAACCCGCCATCGACATCGTCATCGCCGCCGAGTCTCTGCGCGCCGCAGCCGACAGCATGGCGCGAATCACGGGCCGGGGCGACGCGGGCGACGTCGAGGAGGTCTTGGGGGTCGTGTTTGAAAAGTGAGTCATAGCGTCTTTCTCTCCGCATCACATGTGCTGCCTGAGTCAACGGACAACGGTTTTTTGATTGACCGGTCTGTGGCACCGTTCGGATCCTGCCGGGCCCCGGTTGTTTCAGATCTCAACGTTCGAGAAGGGTTGCGCAATGGACGTTTGCTGATCTGTGTTTTCGCGAGGCAGGTTCTGTGTGGGGAAATAGAAGCCGGGTCGGGCGACACGGGGGTTGGAATTGGATTTGGGATATGGAATGGAGGGCTAAATGCGAATACAACGACAAAGATAAGCGCAAATGGGGAGGCGCAAGAATAGCTGGAAAATGCAGATTGAGCAGAAGGAAAGAAACAGGCGTGCCGTAGCAATGCTCGCTGGGAAACAGGAACAATGCCGGAAGAAACGAAAATAGAAGGAGAAGAGAAGGGGAAAGAACAGGAACGCTGCGCAAAAGAAACCTCTATCCCAGATCGCTGGCCCGCTCGCAATGCTGAAGAATGAGAAAAGAAATCGAAATCAGAACAATGCTCTACGACCTCCTCCTCCCTCCGCCGCCGCATCCACCGCGCTCCCTCCTCCCGAAATCCTCCTTGTCTATCGTCGTCATCGTGCTGGTAAGAATAGGAATGTGAAGGTGCCGCCATATATACAAAGCCGCGTGGAATGTGGTTATAATATCATGGAGTGGGAAATGTGGTAGTGGACCGCTGGAAAACGCGGTCGATGGTTGTTGAGTGGGGTGTAGGGACTCCGGATTTCCGGTCCTCTAGTTGTATCCGCCGCGGCCCATGGTAATGGCTGGGACGGTTGGTGGGTGTGGGTAGTGTAGGGCGCCTCTTGGCTCGGTGCTTTGGTCTGGTCTGATGGTAGTTCGAAGCGGGGTGCTTCTGCTCTGATCGTGTGGAAGGCGTCTAGTTGTAGCCGCCGCGACCCATGGAGAATACGAAGACAGTGATGATGGTAGTTGAGGAGGACGTTATGATTGCTATGCTTGAAGTGACGACGACGACGATATGTGACTGCTGACTAGAACGCTGAGACGAAGACGCGGTGATGTGGATGTAGAGAAGATGTGAAGCCTTGAGGACCGATGGAAGTTGGGATGGATGAAAAGCAAATGACTCAAAGAGAAACGGCTCTTATAAACCCAAAGAACCTGAGAGAAGAGGCGGGAGGCCGCTCGGAAATCGAAAATGACCCCAATGAGAATGGAAGGCAGCAGTAGCAGAGTGGTGAAGGGACGCAGGGATCGCAAAGGCCGAGACAGTGAAACGCGCGTGCGAGGCGTGTAACTGGTGTGTGTGGGATGGATGGATGCTTGGTAGTGGTGGTGATGACTCTCCAGGCCGCAAACTGGGGACTCTGCCTTTATATTCACTGCGCGTGCTTTTCCAGAATCGGTGCCTGGCAACTGGGGGAGGGTGGCCTCAGCGGACGGGCATTACTAGCACCCCTGCCTGTGGACGCACAAGGGTGCTTCTGTGCATGGCGGTAGTGAAGGGGGCACCTGCACCGGCCAAGCCCCGTTCCCGCGCGATGGCGGCGTCGAAGCCGTTGGACAGGCGGTGGGTGCCAGGTGCGAGGGGAGCAGTGGGTTTGTGGCTATGGGAACAAGCCACCCGCTGGAGTGGATGGCGGCGGCGCTGAGGACCCTGGTTCAGCCCTGGCGCTTCGGGGCAGCGTGGGATGCGCATGGGAGAGCTGCGCATCGGTGCGGGTGAGGTGAGCCGTGGCCCCGGACTGTAGGTATTCCAGGTGCACTTCTAATTTCATTCACGAAGGCGACGTGTGACGCTGTGCGAGCACGTTGCGGCGGCCGTTGTGCTTTCTCGTGCGCGGCGCGGAGAGGCGAGAAACGAACGGGAGCCTGGGGGCCATGGAGAGCGTCGGAGGCATCAATTCACGCTCCAGTTCGTTCGCGGCGAGGCGATCTGGCATCGTGACGGCGTGGGATGCATCGAAGGGACGCGAAGTCACCTTGCGCCGAGCAGGGCCTGCTGATCCAGCGCGCTTGTCTGGAGTTTGCGCTTCAGTGAATGGCATTGGCCTGCGCGGCACAGTCATCGCCCTCGAGCCCTGCATTCACTGTCTTCGCGGGCAGGGATTCGACCGTTGCACTACCCACTGCCGCATCTCGCAACGTGGCCGGGGAAGCGTTTGATCGTCGCCGTTCCACACGCTGGGTGCAACCACAGATCCTTCGCCGTCGATGCCTGCCGCGATAGGAATGCGATGAGGAACTCCATGCCAGCGTTGCAAATACAGTCGCGGCGACTCCTTCTCTGGCTTCATCGCCCACGCCGCTCCACCTCTCCTGTCCTATCGACCCCTCGCCGCCGAGTCTTGTGAGAGGGCAACGGGGTGCGCCTGAGGCTGTCAAAGACTCATCGCCGACTTGTCATACCTGCATGAAGCCAGCGTGTGAACGGCGATCTGCAATGGACCAGTGCCATTCATTGCCCGGCGTCTCCTCTCGCACCAAGAACTGCATGATCACAGCTGGCCTCACGCTTTCTTTCAGCACTCCATTATTGCAACGTTGGATCGAGGTTCTGTGCTCTAGACCCTCAGCTCGTCTGGCGGCTCTGCGGTGAGGTCCCGACTGCGCAGTGCTCGGCGACAACCACTCGGGTCGGTGAGAGAGCCTGCAGCTGGTTCGACTCCGCAGGAGCCTCAATCTACCCGTCTTTGTGTTTGCCAATAACCTCCTTGCTGGACCCAGCTCCCGTCTGTCACCGGCGCGCAGCCTTGGAATCGGCTCATGGGCCGTTGCACTCTGCTACATTCCTAAAATAAGGCCGCCTTCCGAGATCCCAAATCGTGTCCCGCGAATCACAGCCAATACTCGGGATCCTAACGAAGCAATAGAGGCTGCGGCCGCCCGCCCAGGTCTCCATCGCTGGCCCCTGGCCAACACGGATGCCAATCGTAGCTACAAACGACTCCAAGACAGTTGAGACACTTTCCCCGTGCCGAAGGAACGCCTTGCTTGTGCGACTGGAGCCACGAGGTGCGCGCTGGAGGTGGAGGGACTGCCCCCTACTTGTGTTACCACACCAGCCCGTAGTGTACAATCTATCAAAGGGGCCAAGTATCGCAGTGAAGGCAGACACGACTGCTCGATTCCCGAAACATAGATTGAATATCGAAAGATGCATGCACGCACGAGCCGCACTCTCAAGCAAGGAGACAGACTCCCGAGCCTCGTAGCATCCAAACAGGGCCACACCTGCACCGGTATGCTTCCCCCGCCCCCGGGTCAAGGCTGGAGCCCGATGGAGAGGATGGGCGCTGCAGGTACCCACCCAAAAATACCCCTTCCACGCTTCGTTCTCGTTCATAGGCTGTAGGAAGCGCGGCGCCCCTGTCCTCTGTAGCGCTAGGGCTGACGTGGGCAGTGCAATCCATATTCCGTTTTGGGGCGTATTAAGGGACGTTTGAGCTCAATCCGGCCACCGAGTTCTCCGCCATTGGCTGGAAGGAGTGGCAATTCGAGCTATTTATGCGACATTTGCGCTGGATGCGGACGGCTCACCACCACGACATCCCACATCACCAGCCACGACGAGTGTCGAGATTCTATTTTGGGGGCCGAAATGCTGTTGTTTCAAAGCTGCTGACTTCTTGCTTGACTGACCACCTTAGGCACACGTCTCCACAGAGATCGGTCCATTCGTTTCTATCCCCTACGCGCGCATTCTATCGATGTTGGTTTTTAGTAAAGCATGCAGTACCGCACATTTGATCATCGTAAGAATATTCCGTAGGGGTAGGATTAATTAAACTGTCTAGTTCGTATACCCAATACTCCAATCTTCTTGGAAAGAGTAGGTAATGCCATCGCATCATCTGTACTCCCTCGTCAACCCCTGTCCTCCCGATTTGAAATCCGTCACACCCTTCCATATTCCGTTCCACAAACATGTTCCGTTCCACAAGAAACCTTGCGCCTTCTGTTCCACAGCAAGGATAGACGATGCTTCCATAACACAGCATACGCGATTGACTCAATTCCAAATCCACCACCCCGGAGCGCTCCATGACTCCTCATACGGACGGCGCCCTCGCCATCGTTAACCGTCATCATCATTCATCATGCGGGGAATCCGATTCGATCGACGCCACCGCGCTCTAGTCGCCGTTGCCACTAAGCAACGGCTCCCGTTAGTCCTCTATCTCGTTTCAGGTCGTCGCAGCGCCCTCGATCAGCAGCCCCGGTCGCGGGTGGTAGATCGGGCGGTACGGCTCAGGTACGGACTGCGGGCGCGGGTGGCTTGCAGCCGACACAAGACACGAACCGCAGCTACGGAAGCGAATCGATTGTTGCACGGAGCGAGTCTGTGGAATGCGACGCCCAGCAGCCCGCTCGGGTAATCTTAATCATTTGCCGTTGTGGGAGGAGCTAGGCGATTTATTGATATACCAAAACGAGGGCATTTGACCGGAAACTCGTTTCGGAGGTGCTAAGGTCGAGAAGGGGGCATTGATGAGGCTGGTGGGTTGTACGGTGACTGCATCGCTCTGTGACTACATTTTTGCCACATATACACAAATAGAGTCATAGCCTCGACATGGAAAATACAAAGAGTGGGATGAAGCAGTAGTGAGTATAGCACAATCGTGTCCGTGCCTGAAACGAACCCGGCTCCAACTCCAACATCTGACGTAAAAAGGAATGCGAACGCGGTGTATGACAAACACCGTTTTTCTACAGCTCAGACCACCGCAAGGCACCCTCAACACTCATCCAGTGAGCCGAATACGAAACGGCTCGGTCCGCAAGCCACGCGGCGTCGTGGGCGGCGTTATAGGTACCCGTCTCTGACGTCCTAAGCAGCTCACTCATCTTCTTCTCGGATGGTGAGGGGAGCTTCTTTCTTCTTCTCACTCATCATCTCCCTTTCAAACTACTCTCTCTCAACCTCCTTTCCTTCTCAAGTTCGTCTCTCCCTCTCAACCTCCTCCCTCTCCCTCTCCCTCAAACCCCCTCCCAAATCTCCCCGCTCCTCCTCCATTTATTACACCCCCTCCCCCCTCACCTTAACAAACTGCAACACCCCCTCGTCCCCGGCTCTATACGGCCCATGCTCCATCCCCGGCTCCCGGAACGCATAGCTCCCCAGCACCGCCGTAATCCCTTTCTTCACATCCGTCAGACTCCCTTTCAGAATCACTACTTCCTCAGTATACGTGTGCGTGATAATCGCATCAGTGATGGACGGGGTATGCGGTTCGTAGTACTGCAGGACCGACTTCTCTTTGATAGGGCTAGCAGAGTGATTGAGGGGCAGCTCCCAGGTCCCCGGCCCGATGAGGCGCCAGGGCGCGTTTTCGGAGGCGGGGAGGAGGGGGTTGGGGAGGGTGGGGGGCGTGGCTGGGAATTCGAGCTGGTGCATTGTGGGAGAGTGGTAGCGTTGAGGGGACTTGGTGGAGATAGGGAGCTATAGACCATGTGTTTGAAGGGAATTTGTATACCTCCGTGAAGATGTTCTGATTTGTAATCCACTCAGAGTTCCGCGGCCGTAACTTCATTTCATCGACGTCTACTGCACTCTACCTAGAAGACAGTCTTCCCATCTCAACATACCTCAACCCTGCGTCTTGCGGCCGGTGACAAAACTCAGCCCTACGCCACCCGCACGCCGCCCATCGCTGGCGCCAGGCCTGCCTGAAACAAGCGACGTTGCGTCAAACAAGCGGCCGTTTCCCAGGATCCGCATCCTTCAGCCTTGCAGCTTACGCCCAGCGCGCGGCCTCAGGCAGCCCTCCCCGAACAGAAAGCCCACGCGGGTCACGCTCCCGGCTCCACCTGCGCGGCGTCGCGCGAAAACAGGGTGTGGCGTGCGGGTTACCCTGTCCCTGCGGCGCTTGATGGGAAATCTACGCGATGAGTGGGCCGTGCTGTGCCGCCAAAGGTCACGGAGTGGTGGCGGTGCACTGGAACCTTGGTTGGTTGGTGTAGTGAACCAGCCACTTGCAACCTTATCGTGACTAGACTTTAGGAGGCTCTTGTGTGCGTCCGTTTATTTGGAGTGTTAAGGCAGACTGTGGGGGCTGGTGTCTTTGACGTCGTTGCGCGGGAGTGTGGCGCGGGTGTTTGGGGGCCGGAATGTGTCTCTACGAGGGCATGCTGGGGGAAGCCGGTGGAATATGCTGCGAAGGGTATGACACTTTGGGGTAGTATTACGCCAGGATGAAAGTAGTACCTTATACTTCCTTATTTTGTTTTGGATATCATTAAGGGTCCTGGACCGATGCCGGCTATAGGTCATCTTTTCATCGTCGTTCCGTCGTTCCATAGATTGGAGAGAAATGCTGCCAAGAAATCTCATTACCTAGTCGTAGTGATTTGCGGCGCTTCGCTAGCTAAGCGCTGTAGGAGCTCATGTAGTACTAAGGCTTTCAGTCAGGCGTATTCGGATTGCGAAAGTGACATATTTCGAAGGGGCTATGAAAGCAGCTCGACTTACCGTCAACACTGACTCGTCCTCCCCTTCATTGTCATTCGGAAGATAGACGTAGAGGATCAATGCGTGTTCATGGCAGAAGCCTGTAGTACCGTCAGTTCGATTGGCCATCATTGAAAGATTGACGGTCTCCAAAGCGGTCGGCGGCAAATTTTCAACTCACATGCAATGACTCTGCCACCCAGACGTCCAACTGACATAACTTTCCCCCAGTCTCGACCATCAATCCGAACAGTTGCCCAACCTTCGTCGCTGCGCCCGTCTGCACTCCCGAGCGCCTTCATCCGCGTGCTGGGATGCTCCGCAATGCCCTCCTCCCCTCCTTGCACCTGACTCGGATCGAGCTCGGGGTTCGTCAACCCCGTCCACACGCTGCTAATGTTCATCGCGTCCGTCCGGATGCTCAGCTTCAAGCACCCGTGCATATTGGCAGACAGCTCTAGCCGCGAGCGAGGCGCATTCGCCGCCGTCAATCCCGCACCTGCCTTCGCCCCGACGGACGCTAGCTTCGTGAACCGGTCACTAATGCCCTTGATCTGCGCCAGCGGGGGTAACATGATGTGGACGTCTGGCTCGCGGCAGCGTGGCTCGTGCAGGCCGGACACCGAGTCGGCGCTCAGCACCTTCACGGGGATCTCTTGAGTCACGATGGTTTCGCGCTCGCGGCCAAAGGCAGACTCCTCGTAGCCATTGCCGAAGGCGCCTTCTTCCTGACTGCTGCCTGTTGTGCTGATTGCGCCGCGTGGGTTTATGGATGAGGTCGTGATGATGGTAAGGGCGAGGAGGGGGATGTTGTCCTTCTTCGTGAGGCGTATTGAGGCAGAGGTGGCTTGGAGGGCGGATCGGAGGGCGCTGGTGAGAGAGGCGAGGGGGACTTCGAGGTTTACCACATTGTTGGCGGCGGATTGGATGTTGTAGACCTCGAAAATGGAGTCCTACGCGTGGGCGGGGTGGTCAATGGGAGCTCTAAGTATTTGTAGGAGAGAATTCCTTACGATCGATAGAACACTGCAAGAATAACTGAATCAGCTAGGTCATTTCAGATGATATGCTAATAACAGGACTTACGCCCAGACTTGTGTACCCTGCTCCGGAATGATCGTGAAGCAGACCTGGTTGTCGCTGAGCTTGACCCACGCAAAGTTGCCCAGCGAGTTCAGCGACGCGGTAAGTTCTGTAATTGACGCGTCAGATGAGTCTCCGGCGTACGGCAAAGGGCTGGCATACTGGTAAATATCGAGATATTTTGGATTGACGCTTTGAAGCGCATCCTGGCGGAGGAAGCTTGGACGGAACGAGGTGGAGAGAAAGTTCGAAGACGTGGGGCCGCTCACCACCACCAAAACACCATCAGAAAGGTTTGAGCAACGACCAGATATCCAGCATGTTTCCACCACAGGTCAGGAAAATCGTCGTGACAACGGATTGCTTGTTGTAGATGATGTATTGTGATTGGCCCGCGTTCATGCAGCCCTCCGCCTCTGCCAAGCTATACACGTTATGACCTCGTTGCTGAAGGCTGGAAGGCTGAAGGTTACAACAACCGTATAATTCGCGCTTCTTCTTCTATCTATACAGACGCGTCGTCACTGCGAGGTTGAGTCGATACTCAATCCCAATAAAACGTCTTCGAAACGTCAGCGCACTCAAACTTTTATCTCCCTTGAGTCTAGCATCTAAACTGGGCACTATCACGATGGCTACGAGGCTCGAAAACCATGGACACCCGCCTGGAACCACCGTGATGGACAAGAATGGGGACGTCTTGTTTGAGCTTGGTTCTGAAGACCTGACTGCACATCTGCTTGTTTCCTCGAAAGTTCTCAGCCTCGCGTCCTCCGTCTTCAGCGCCATGTTCACACATGGCTTTTCAGAAGGCGAGGGACTTTCCTCTAAATCGCCGCGCGTGATTCCTTTACCGGACGACGACCCACCTGCTATGGCCTTACTCTGCCATATCCTTCATTTTCGCACCAGTTCAATACCAATGGAACGCGACATAGCCGCCTTGGCTGAACTTGCTATCTTATGCGATAAGTACGACTGCGCTGGGCCCGTGAAGCCATGGGGTCTTCTCTGGACTGCAGAGTGGCTTCCCCATGCAGGGAGCGAAGGATTCGAGAAGCTCCTTTTTGTGACATACGGTCTTGACCTCCCAGAAGCGTTCGCAAAAGTTACAAAAGCCTTGGTGGATAACCATCCCGGCCCGCTCAAATTCGATGCTTCTCCTGGATATGAAATGCTCCCAGATGGTCTTACTGGTAAGCAGCCGAGCGTCTCCTTCTACGTTGCCTGGACACAGATTTGTCTACACTTGTGTGCGAATGCTTGGAGCACTCCAAATGGTGGTAAACAGTTTGACACAGACCAAGACTACGTAGGTCTATATTGTAGAGGCTAAGACCTTCCGAATCTTGCAGATGAGATCGAAAGTAAACGGAACGATTTACTCAAAAGTCTGTTACGAGCATTCGATGCTACTATCACCCCGTTCGTAGCAGCCTCCAACGTCATCTGTATCCGCCAAGTTGTTGGGCTTTTCTACTACAATCTGTCGACCGTCGGCCTCTGGCCGCTTTCCAAGAAACTAGATGAGATTCCGGTGCCCGAGATCAAGCAGAAAGTCTCGCAGCTTGTCGCACCTGTTCCGACTTGCACTAATCGCGTTTACTGCATTTGTACCAAAGGCTATACTGTCGTAAGTGACATCAAACGTATACTACAAGAGAAGATTGACGATGCCATCAACAATACCACCGGCCTCTGCCTGGACTGTGTGAGGGCAGGGAGAGGGTCGGGTGAGCATCAGAGTTGCCGCCTATCGCATACATAGCCGCACATCTTGAAGCGGATCTTGCGCATGGAAAAGATCATTCAAATGTAGACACTACCACAATAACTCAATTGAGTCAATCATTACGACTTTCGAAACAGGTCACGTGAGCGGCAGTGTCAAATGAACCATTTTTGAGAGTCTCTCCACGTTATTACGGTTCTAGGGCAATTCCCTAGATAGGGGAACCTTTTTGAAGGATTGAACGATGCATGCCTCGCCCTAGGTTCGAGGTTTTGCATGTTTCGGCTTTTTCCCGTGGCGGTGCCAGCATAGCCCACTCCTCAAGGTCAGAAGTAGGCAACAATCTTCCCGCCAACTGATTGAATTCCCATCTCAACCATATCTCCCTTGTTTACTTCAGCGATCTGATTCCGTGTCATTGCTCAATACTTGCAATAGTTGAGTCTGTCTAAGTTTTTTAAAGCCGAATAACGTAAAACATTTCCCCGATCACCTTTCGGTCTACCCCGTCGCAAAGTCATTTACGATGCATTTCAACGATCTAAACGAGGATGTTCATAATATCGTCATTTCGCAGGTAAGCCGCACGGTCAACTCTTTCGAGTCTCCAATTGACCACCTGCGATAGCTACAAGACGAATCACCGGCTTCTTTAAGTAACTTACGTTCCGTATCGAAGCAATGCAAAAAGCTTACAGATCGATTCATTTGGCACTCAATCAAGCTGAGCGATGAGGGGCCGCGCCAACTAGAACGCACTGAAAACTTGATCCAACGAATCCTACATGATGATCTCTTCCTCCACGTTAGGGATCTAACAATTGCCGAGTGGAGCGCTAAATATGACACTTTCGATTCCGCTTCCATAGAGCAGATCATCGGCACCTTCAAACACCTTCAACACTTCCACTGGAACGCCAACAAACCAATACCAAAAGCTGTCATCTCGAAGCTCGAAATGTGCTGGCCTCACGTGAAGCTTCATGTGAATAATACACGCCGTGACAAAGCCGACGATCAGGAAATGAACATGGATATGCGTCTTCTGTTATCCCCGCTAATTTACTCGCTGACATACGAGGTCTTCTACATGTATATGGGAAGCGGTAACGTCGCACACTCAGAGCTACCCAAGCTCAAAGAAGTCCTTTTGAAGAGCCAAAGACTCCGGATCCTCAAACTGGGCTTCCACCTTGGTGTACCAACGTACCCGCCTGGGCCTGAACGAGAGCGTAATAAGTCGACTTACAAGATTGGCATCACGCAAAGCCGAGAAAACATTCATCCCCTAAACTTGCTACTCCAGCCGGGCGACAAATTACCCCCTCTAGAAGAGCTTCACCTACCGATGCAGTACAACTGGAGCCGCGAGCACTGCCAAATCTTCCGAAGTAGTACGGATTGGACCCAGATTCGCCGACTAGATATCGGTTTTGGCTGTCCGCAAATCTTTTTCGAAGAGTTCCAAGGCCAGACACCCGGCCTGAAGTCCTTCCACACGAGCTTCCGACAGGGTCCAAAGAGATGGGAAGGTGCCCCGCCCACTTGTGGCGATAATCCGGGATGCGTCGTTAGTTTCTTCGACGCTATCGATGCCTTGGAGGAGCTACATATCAGCAATCATGACAACGACGCAGGTATCCTCTTTGACGCAATCTTGAAACACAGCCAAAGTCTCCGCAAGCTCCAGTTCTTCACTTCACTGGATCAGGAATACCGCCGCAAACAACCTGTAGTATGGGGAGCTGAAAAGCTAGAGCAGCTTCGTGAGCAAGCTCCCAACTTGCAAGATTTGGGCATCGATATCGGCCTCGTCGGCGAAGACCATACCTGGGTAAGACGCTATCTCCAACCTATATTCTAGTTCTGTTACTAAGCTCATTCCCTCCCTCAAGCCCACTGACACCACCGCCGTCCTCACCCGCTTCAGCCACCTCCACACCCTCCGTCTCGCCCTCCACATCCCGATCGCCGCCAACGAGTTCTCAGTCAAATACGAGTACGACCCGTTTGAAGGCGATGTCAGCCCACCTGCCTTACGTATCGGGCTTGCTCAAGAGCGTGCCGCGAAATTGTTCAAGCAGTTCTTTGTCAACGATCCGAATGCGAGACTTCAAGAGCTGGAACTCACATTCAAGTGTCTGTATATCGGGGATAGGATGGACAGCTGGCCGATGGCGCAGAAGCTGAGATTCAAGAGGAGCGAGCGGGACGACGGGCCGAGGGTGGAGGAGATGGAGTCGTTCGATACAAAGTGGTGGCAGGTGGAGGTTGAGAACGAGTGGAAGGGCGACTACTAGAGTTTAGTTTGAGACTGTTCTTCAACGTTGGAGAATGGTATGGAAGAGGGGAAGCAAGGATAGCGTAGATATATTGGTAGATTTAGGGATCGCTTCAAAACTCGGATAGACGCGACTTGAGGCCACAGCCGCGAAGGGCATCATTAGAAGTTTGAAGACATACCGAATCAACATAACCTTCTCTCGCTACACGCACGACTTTAATGAGATCTGCACCTTTATCCCATCTCTCTACGCAAACCCCGTCACGTGCGCGTGCGGCGGGGTATACCAACACACCAACACCCCTGCCCTCCAGGCATCCATCCCCTACCCCAAACCCATACAACAATGAAATACCCCCAAACACACACCAGCCATGAATCACCCCATATACATCCCCAAACTGCTCACCTGTCTCTACAGCTCCTTCCTCTCCTGTTTCGCCGGCGTCGACTGGCTGGAGGAAGCTTGCCTCGTCATCACAGCAACACTCCTCGCCGCGGTCATGTCAGCCTTGCCCTCCTCCCCCCCGGTTTCCCACCCACGTACTCACCACGCCCATAGAATCGTCCCTTTGTGGTGCGTCCCGGAAGAAATCACGCGGCGAGTGGAGGATTTCGTTGCTGCGCCTTTTGAGCATTTGTGGCGCGTGCCGCAGAGGGAGGACCGGCCGCGGGCTATCTATCAATGCGGGCCGCGCGTGGAGGAGCCGGAGGAGCCGGATGAGGGGGATTGGGGGGATGGGGATGAGGAGGATAGTGCGTATGATTCTGGGTATGCGGATGAGTGGGTGAGTGATCCGGGGTTTTGAGGGAGGGGTTTTAGGGGTGTGAAGGTGCTGTGGGGGATAGAGATCAGGGTGGATGTTCTTTGGAGGAACTTGAATTAATTTTGAGGTATCGTATTTAAGCATTAAAGTTGGATTATGAAAGGTATTGAGAAAGGAGATGAAAAAGGCCCATTTGAGATCGAGGACGCCTGACCAAAACGTGCCTTTAGCCGCTGGCCAAATTAAAGTCCGCTAGTGTCTTCAAACGTTCGCTCTGTTTCGAATGCCCATCTCGAAATCATACTCCGAGCCTCTCGTACTGCTCAAGCGTGTGCTTGTATACGAAATCTGCCTTCCCCTCGTCCTTGTACTTTTTCAGCACCTTGTTCTCAGTCAAGACGCTCGAATCTCCTTGCACGAGGAAAACGCCGCTTCCAGCCTTCCCATCCGTCCCCTTCTCCAGCTCCGCCCCTTCGCTAGCCTCGCCCGCTTGCGCTCTCCTAAACTTCCCGCTTGTAGCGGCATAGAGCACCCGCTCACCAGATTCTTTAGGGGTTTGCCCGATCAACTTCATGAGCGGTACAACGGTCCAATTCACTAGAAACTGCACGAAGCCCGGAAGCCCTCTGATCGTGAGTCCCGTGCCTCCGACGGCGCCTGGGTACAGGTGCACAAGGCTAATCTTCTCGTTCCCAGGTTGATTCTTGTATGCCTCAAAGAAAAGCGTCATGAGGCTTGTGGCTTGACCCGCAGCTTTGATGAGGGAGTAGTTCTTCTCCAGTAGCAGATCGTCCGGGAACAGCTCTCCTTCTTGCCCGCCCGCAAGAACAGACACGACCCGTGGGGATGGCGATTTCCGGAGCGCTGGTGTGAGGGTGGTGAGGAAGTGCATGCGAGAGTAGAAGCGGATGGCCTGGGTGGTGTCGAAGCCTTCGGGGGTGTTCTCGCGATGTAGCGAGACGAAGCCGGGGCTCATGATGAGGAGGTCGAGTTTCTCGATCTTGGAGGCGATCTCGGCGGCCGCGGCTGCTGCATCTTTGACCAGGGTGAGGTCCTTGGCTTGGATTGGGATAAAGGTGGCGGAAGGATTGAGAGCTGAGAGGGAGGTGATGAGAGTGTTTAGGGAGGTCACGGAACGGCCGACGATGTAGATGGTCGGCGAGAGGGTGGTTGTGTGATTTGTGAAGGCCTTCAGAGCGCCGAGCCCGATGCCATTTGTGCCGCCAACGAAGACGGCCGTGGGAGACGAGGGGAGAGCGGTGGAGAGATTGGTGTTCGAAGCTAGAATGTCCTTGATGGCGACCATGATTGCTTCTTTTGGGTAGCAGTACGACTTTGTGTGATATCTTGAAGTGCGGACGGGATTGAGGGTAGAAATAATGCGTTTGATATGAGAGTCCACGGATTGATGTGTGGATGAGTGCTGAGGAATTTGACGGCTTCGAACGAGGGGTGGGATGGCTATTAAATACTCAGCTGGCGTGACGACTTACGACTTCACCTTCGCTTATTGGCGAGCTCTTTCTACTTCGCTCCTGGCTTTCGCCGAGGATGACAAAGACCATTGGCTGGTGATGGGCTGAGGAGTTGTCTCCAGCTGGCGGGCGCGGGGTTGCTGTCGGCGTTTCGCACCACCGGCGTGCCGGCAGATCGGAGCCCGAACATCGGCTGCTCACCAACGATGACGCAGCCGATCACGTGACTCGCTGGATATTATAAAGCCGCTTCTATTGTGGAACTCCCTGGAAACAACGTACATGCGAGGGTTAGAATGGCCTGCTTTACTAGACGCATTCAGTACTCCTGAACACGGAAACCCCGCGCTCGCACTTTGTAAGCCATTCCAAGAAACAAGCAGTGACGTGGGTGCTAGGAGACGAATGCATTTGAGTGAAAGTACAGTGGCAGGCCATAAGTCTGTGCACCTTCATTTACCACTGCTTGAGGTACCTCGATGGGTTTTTTAAAGAATATAGACGCGACGTCACATGCAGCGGTGTCTGAGCTACCTCTTGGCTGGCTGGCTTCCTGGCAACAGGGCTCCTCCCGACAGCAGTATCTAGCTTCCAAAGTGGCACCCAAGCAGTGCTATATCCTCTTGCCCAAGCATTTGGCCTGGCACTGCAGGCATAACACGCAGGTGGTCCGTGGTATATGTAATTAGAGGTACAGTCCATTGTCCAAGCGTCTTTAGCCATGTTCCTTCTCATCTCATATCGTCGTCCGCCTCCTTGATGCCCTCAATTCTTCCCGACACGCCCTTTCTATTACGAAGCATGCCCTCATCTAGTTCCTGCAAGCCCTTCCTTACCTCATGCTCAACGTCCCTCTTGACCCTCTTAAGCGCATATATATTCCCAGCTTTCCACCTCACCCCGTCCAGGAACCGAAATTGCTCAAACACCCTCCCCCTCTCCACAACTTCTCTATACCCAAAATCGTCCCACCAATCCACCGTCACGCTTCTCAAATTCTCTGCGCCGTTCTGCAAAACATTTGCCAACTGCGCCGCCTTTTGACAAACCATCTCCACGCTTTGTTCTGAAGATAGCTCATGGAACATGGCGTCGTGGGCGTGACCTGCCTTAAAGCTCATTCTATCTAGTGATATTCGTACTCGGATGTGGCGAATTCGTGCTAAGTGCGGCGAGGCAGCCAAAATCTCGTAATCTGGATCATTACGCCACCTCCTCGAGTGCGAATTTAGGTTGCCGACCTCGAATACGGCAATCAAGTAGAAGGCGTCCATAAGCTCGGAACGCAGCTGGCGACAGGTGAGCTGCAGGGAGAACGGCGGCGAAGGTGCGGAGACGGAGGTAAAGCCCGTGTGAGGGGTGGGTAACATTGGCGATCGGCGCTTTCTCGGGAGAATGTAGGCATATATCATGTCGCGGATTTCGCGTGGGAGGGCGAGCAGAGGGGGCGTGAGCAGAGGGGGGGCTCGGGTGGGTAGAATGAGGGTCGAAATCCGGTTAACTTGGTTATGAACCTTGGGTTTGCGACGATGGAACAGGGACAGCAAGGAAAAGTCTCTGGAAGACATTGCTGTGAAGAGTTGAATAGCGATGATTGCAAAGCTTGTGGAATGTACTTAGTATCCTAGGAGATAGGGGACGTGTGAGGCTTTTAACATCCTTAAGGCTTGAAGCTATGAGGCTATGCCTGCAGGCATCAGCTTTCCAAGGTTTGAGAGTCTGGACACACCCAGAGCCCCATGCGCACCAATTATAGGAGAGCAACGACGCCGAGGAAACGCCTAATAGTACTTCGTGGACCGCTACCTCTACCCTCGCGATGGCTTTTCTCGACCCTAATGGCAGCGTTGAATGATGATACTTCGAGATGGATTGAGGCTGAATCCTCTGAGGAGACTGCATTTGCCGAACTGGCATGCAGAGAATGCAGGAGGCGGAAGTCAAAGGTTCTTCTCCGTGTAACCCCACTTACCAGGGAGCTCTACTTACCATGCACAGTGCAATCGCGCCATTCCCCTATGCTCCCTTTGCATAAATTTTCGTCGTCGATGCATATACGAGAAGCAGACCAAGACCCCTCTTACGCGGCGACACCTGACTGAGGTGGAGGGAGAACTGGCGAGGACGAAGGCATTATTGGAGAGCCTTTCAAGAGGTTCTTCTAACAATGTAGCCGCCTCTTCCAATGGTGCCCACGAAGACAATGCTACACTTGAGCAGCTCACATCCCCTACAAACCACCCACAACATACCCTTCAAACCCTACAAGCCCTGCCCACGGGCTCAACAACCTCACAAACTGCAGCCTTCGGCGGCCATCAAAGACCAAAGGAATCGCTATATCAAGACTAGTCTTTCCATGTTGGAAGCTACCAGAGCACTCGTAGTGCTATTGCACGACACCGACCATCTTCCTCAAGGCAGACGCCGTCTTCAGAGTCGACCAAAGCTCAGGCTCTAATTCTAGAGACAACGCCAGCGTCGGGCGATTTTGACTGGGATGAACGCACTGGAAGGCAAAATGGAGATCGATCCGTCGATGGCATGGCAAGCCTAACCAGCAACTCTAATGGGGCGGATACCTTGGAGTTGCTTCTGGAGCCGCGCTTCTGCGACTGACAGATTCTCGGCCCCCGAACGAGGCAGATTAGCCTTTCAACAATATTGAATCACATCCATCCACGATACCTACAGCGATATAGTCGCTATCCCAGCTTGAGCCATTTATCGACGCTTATTTCCGCCTTTATCATTTATCTTATCCAACTATTCATGAAGCGACGCTTCGTGCCCAATTCATGGAAGTAATCCTGAGACCGACCACTAATGCATGGCAAGTTCTTCTGTATGTTGTAGCTGCAATTGGCGCGTACTGTGCCTCGACGCAACCGACCGACATTGATCTTGGACTCTTCGAGGCTGCCAAAGCTCGTTTGTCTATCGACATGTTGGAAACTAGTAATCTTACTATAGTCCAAGGATTGACCCTCATTTCAAACTACCTGCAAAAGAGAAACAAGCCTAACTCTGGCTACAATTACACAGGCCTTGTGCGTCGTATCGCTATGGGTATTGGCCTTCACAAGGAGTTCCCGAATTGGGACGCAATGCCGCTTATGCTGGAAATGAGGCGACGTGTGTGGTGGGGCCTGTACATTTTCGATGTTGGCGCCATAATCACATTCTCACGGCCGCTGGACTTTCCGGAAGGCGGGATTGAGACCGAGATACCTCTTAATGTGCATGATAGCGTGAGTCCCTTAGCCTCTTTCTATCTCTCATCGCTAATGCCAACAAAAGGACATTACTGCAGGCACCAGAAACATGCCGCCACCGGCTCAGGAAACGATGGTGTATTCGCACCTTCGAGCACAATCCACGTTTCATCTCGCTACTTGCCAAATATATGCTAGAATCATTTCAACTCCACATCCTTCGGCTACTGAGATGTTAGAGTTGGATGATACGCTCATCCAGCAATGGCTTCTGTCTCTACCGCAATATTATCAAGAGCATGTCATTCAGACTCCACGCAATGTTCTGGTCCATACAATACTTCGCTGCCGATACCGGAATTTCCGCATCCCGATGTATCGGCCGTTCTTAGTGCGACGTACGATCACCCGAGATATTGACCGGTCCAGAATGAACCAACCCGAGGACCACTAGAATGCTGAGATAGCAATCCAAAGATGCCTCGACAACGCTCAAGAATCAATCGACCTCAACGCAAACATGTGGTTCGAAGGACAAAAGCCTATGATGGCTTGCTGGTATGGTCTGTATTTCTTATTCCAGGCGGTCCTCACCCCTGTCATTTGTCTTCGGAATCAACCTCAATCACCAGCCGCCAGCAGCTGGCTTGCCCAAGTCACGACGGCCATTCACGTGATCGAGTCTATGGCGCACCTCAATCCAAGCGCTCAACGCTGCTTGGGCGTTATTTGATCGCTATGTGGTGCATATCTAGTGCCTAACACAGACGTGGATGGCTGGGATGCGACACAGGAATCGCCATAGACACAGCTGAACGGGCTATATCCATTGCTCTGGCCTACTCTGGATACGACGCAATTCGAAGGCGCTGATAATATGCTGTGAGTGGTTTTACTCGATCGCGAAAGGCTATACTGATGTAGTGAACAGGCCAGAATCGACGATCATGGAGTTCATGAATCAAATTCCGGATTTCGGATGAGACGTGTGGGCGACTTCGTTTCCCCCGACCACAATAATACTCTCTACATCAACTAAGTCTAGGCCAGACTAGAACTGAGCTACAGGTTTTCCCCAAAAAAGGACATATAATAAGGCATCTAAGCAATGGGTGAAAAGGTATTTACATAATTATAACCATCGCAAAATGACCACAGTACCATTTCTATTGGGCATGCTCTGTTGTCTTGCGTAGGTTAGCAGAAATCCCAAACGTCGGGATCAGTGTAATCGGGTTGAGCGATGCGGCCCTTCACTCTCAAGCTTTGGAGGTTCCAAGGCTGAGTTTCTGAACTGTACACTTCTTTGCCACGACTTGTAAAATCAGCAAGACGCCCCCCCCACCCAGCGAACCGGTCAATCTCGCATAAGCTATTTCATAGTACGTATACGCACATGCAAGCTAAGCCGCAATCGGGCGTACAAGTGATACAGTTCGTGGTCATGTGGAACAAGCCCTGTGCGCAGAGGATAATAAAGGCAATGACTCTTTTATAATTTATCTCATATTCTAGTCAAGGTCAGGCGAGTTCAGCAAGCATCTCCAACTCACCAAACCTACTTCTCTTTGTCGACAATTGACCGCTTATACCCACTAAGGGAAAAACCATGTCCCATCTAGTTGCGCCCCTCGTGGAGGTGGATGTTTCCAGACACGGGGATGAGGAAGCGCCTGCCGAGGCTGTGCCAAAGCCACGCCTTGGAGGTGCCATTGATCTTGATGAAGCAGTTGCCAAAGGTAGATACCTAAACTCCTATTGAGGCAACAATATTTGATGGACCAACGTAGCATTACCAATTCCTGGGAGAGTGGTGACCTCTGCCCGGAAGTACGGCATGTCGCTATGGGGAACCGCGGCCAAAATCTTTGCTCAACTCCCAAACGGGGAATACAAGAAATACTTCTTGAAGGTAACGAGAGCTCAGTGGAAAAATTTACTTTGCCCTCACGCAGCCCTATAGTCTATGTCACTTGGTGAGACAGGACGATCAATGATTGAGGGCGAGTTTGAGTCCCTTCGAGCAATCAACGCAGTATCGCTAGTATTCGCTCCGGAACCCTACGCATGGGGCAAGTACAGCAGAGATGGACCAGAAACCTACTTCCTTTTAGCACAGTTTAGAGAGGTCGGCGAGCAACCTCCGGATCCCATCAAGTTTACAGCGCGCCTTGCAGATATGCACAAACGTTCAGTATCTCCGACCGGGAAATTTGGTTTCCACACAATAACCTGCCACGCAAAACTTCCACAGGTAACGAATATATGGGAAGGTTCATGGTCTGTTCTGTATCAAAAGCAACTGGCGCACATGATCAGGTTGGATGAAGAAAAGAATGGGATATGGCCCGAATTCCAGCAAATGTGCGAGCTTACGGTCACAATGGTCATCCCACGTCTTCTAGAACCTCTCCAAAGGGATGGTCGAAGTATCAAGCCTTGTTTGGTGCAAGGCGATTTGTGGGATGAGAACACCGCTACCGATATGGAGACAGGCGAACCGTTTGTTTTCGATGCTGGATCGTTCTATGCCCACAACGAATGAGATTGGGAATTGGAGGGCGCCAAGACATCGTTTGAGCAAGCACGTGTATGTGAGAAATTATAAGCGAAATTTCCCAGTGTTAGAGCCAGGTATGTTTTGATAGAGGGGAATCCTTGCACTCGCTGAACATTACCAGAGGAAGAGTGGGACGATAGAAACTTGCTATACTCATTACGGTTTGATTTAAGAACAGCAATCCTGATACCTGGATGCAATCAACGTCAAGTGTGAGTCCAATGTCTGAGCCATCATCCTTGTCAATAGCTAACAAAAGCAGAGTGATGGAGGGTATGACGAAGTTATGTCGGAAGTACTTTCCTAAGGAGTTTTTGGCTGCCAGCAAGCCAAAGTTGCCGTTCGGTTTTACGTCAGGTGGAGCTGAAGGAGAAGAAGAAGAAGAAGAAGAAGAAGAGTAGGAGGAGGAGGAAAAGGAGGAGGAGGAGGAGGAGGAGGAGGAGGAGGAGGAGAAAGACGAAGACGACTAACCATGAATGCTATTCTGGCGCAGTCTTACGGACAGTCAAGGCTTTCACTATCTCATCTTTGTATTTTTGAATCCACTGAACATTTCCCGGCCTGTTTTCGGTCCTTAATGTGAAAAGCCTATTAAGAGGGTCGTCCACTCTGCAACGTGACCGCGTGGAACCCATCCTCCGTCAACACCACAAGCTCCTTTCGTCCATCGCACTATTGACTCAGTCCTGCCCGTTCTGTGAAATGGCCGCTGTAGGAGAAGATGTAGATCATCAAGAAGGTATCAATGGAACAACAGCTGTTACACTGGGGGAACGCTTAGACACTTCTGCTTGCTCAAATTGAGGTTGTCGGATCGGAAGTATCCGAACCCCTTCAAACTTTCAACATGGAGTACTTCGACAGTGTTTTCTAATTGTCAATGCCGTAAGCGCTACAGAGGCCCTTCGAATGTTCTACCAAAACCCATCATTCCGGAACGTCTTTTCTTCAGTTGATCATTTCCATGCCTTATGACGATGCTCAGGTGTGTTGAGTCGTCAAGTGGCTGGAGCATGTGCGGCGCGAGTCAGATCCTACGTGATATCGTCCAGAACGCGGGGACAGGACGCCCCGAATGAGGCGCTCCGCCATGCCCAGACCCGCAGTTTCGAACAACCCCCGTAGGTCACGCAGCGCATTACTTGACTCAGCGGTGGCCATTGCGAGCACGTTATGCGAGTCGCCAGTCGAGGAGTGGATGCGCCGGTCAAGTGAGGGGTTGCGGAGGCCAGAGCGCGTTGTTGCTGGTCCCTGGGAATCGCGGACATCGTGAGAGCGCGCGTGGTGGGGATCTAGAAGTCTCGTGGTAGCTTTGTGAAACTGTTCCTTCCATTAATTACAGACATACAGTCCTACTTCTTTCTCCGATAGCTGGTCTGTTTCTTTCAGCACACTTCTAGACTACTGAGAGATTTCGTGATACCCACCCACTTGCATTGTTAGATTCTGCGTAATGGCCACACAAACAATTGAGAAGAACCGGGCATTCGTGCTTCGCGCCATCAAGGACGGTGCGATCGAAGAGCGTCCAATTCCCAAGTTGAGAGATGCTTGGGATGTGCGAATTCACATCGGTCAAACTGGTATCTGCGGTAGTGATGTCCACTATTGGCAAAGAGGACGTATCGGAGGTATGACGACTCTTATCGTGTGAAATAGACAGTCAGGTTGCTGACCACACCTTAGACTTCATCCTCAAATCTTCTATCATATTAGGCCATGAATCCGCTGGCACAGTTGTTGAAGTCGGATCAGCCGTCAAGAACCTCAAGATCGGTGATCGCGTCGCAATTGAGCCTGGAGTTCCTTGTCGCCACTGTGATTACTGCCGCTCCAGCTCCTACAACCTTTGCCCAGATACCGTCTTTGCCGCCACTCCTCCCCATGACGGAACTCTCTCAAAGTACTACATCGTCGCAACGGACTACTGCGTGCCACTTCCGGACCACATGGACCTCGAGCAAGGCGCAATGGTCGAGCCTGTCGCTGTTGCAGTACAGATTACTAAAGTCGGCAAGGTTCGTGCGAACCAGACGATTGTAGTCTTTGGCTGTGGACCCATTGGCGTGCTGTGCCAAGCTGTTTCGAAATCTTACTCCGCAAAGAAGGTCATAGGTGTGGATATCAGCAAGTCTCGACTTGAGTTTGCGAAGACTTTCGGTGCTGATGGTGCCTTCCTACCGCCTGCGAAGCCGGCGGATGTGTTAGCGACGACTGGAGCGTCAAGCTCGCCCAGATGATCAAGGATGAGTTCAAACTTGAAGAAGGCCCCGATGTTGTGATCGAGGCTACCGGCGCCGAGAGCTGCATCCAAACAGGCATCAACCTGGCAAAAAAGGGCGGCATGTATGTCCAAGCTGGCATGGGCAAGGAAAATGTTACGATTCCCATCACAACGGCTTGCATCCGCGACCTTACAATTCGTGGTTCAATTCGGTACACGACCGGCTGCTACCCTACCGCAGTGGATCTTGTAGCTAGCGGCAAGATTGAGGTCAAGCGTTTCATCACAGACCGTTTCAAGTTTGAGGAGGTAGAGCAGGCGTTTGAGCTGGTGAGGCAAGGAAAGGAGAGCATGATCAAGGTGATCATCAAGGGCGTGCAATAGATACCAGGTTGAACGAGAAATAGAACCGATATGATACCATTGAGATGAGCAGCTGAGGCCATTTGAAAAACTTGACGGTAGGGACGCTCCAAAAGTCTTTAGGTCGATGAAGGGATGAGAGGAGATGGTGTTGTAGCACAATCCCTGCTGATCAAGAACTCTCCTCCTCACCTAATTGGTCTAGCTCCCGAGCCAATCCCCACCTCGCAGCCAGGGGCCGCCTCTTTTGACCACAACCATCGTAGCTTTGGCGTTTTCATGCCTTCAGCTCGTCGATTCTGGACGCATTCGGACACCGGCATCGCGACAAGAAATGGGGCGGAGCATGGGATCTGGTGTTCAGGAGGGCATCTCGTTTACACTTTCAAACAGCCTCGGAGAGATGGCAGGGTCTCAACTCAGCTCGCCGTCGGCCATGACACCCAACCTCATGTCAAGCTAGCCCTGCGGCTCAATATGTGCGTACTATATCGATGCAGTTGGCAGCCTCCGGGGACTTCTTTCACCCCCACGTGGTCCGTGAGGCTGGGAGGGTGTCTGGGGTTGGAATATTGGTTGCAAGATTCAGCCAAGCTTCATCTCCAAAAGAAGCTTTCCACATGGCTCTGGCCGTCCATAGCCACCAACACTAACCCTGTATCTCGCTCGGTGAGCGTATCACGCTCTCAGAACGCCCCATGGGCGCGTCAAACCAAGGCTAAACAAATTGGTGTTGCTTGGAAGCTTGTCTGGTGTCTGGGTAGGGCTTTTACAGCCACCACCATGGGGTACACCATGCGAGATGGAAGCGCTCCAAGGTTGACTTCAGCTCTTCTAAAAACAATCTTCTCCTTTCCCTTTTTCCGTGGTTTCTTCATGTTGCTGTCGCCATCAATTTTCTACCCCTCAATCTTTTTGCTGTCTCCACGATGCATCACCCCCTTCTGTCCAGCCCAATCTTCAGTCTCGCCATAACCCTCTTTGCGATCCCTGCTATCCGCGCCTCCTGTTACTACCCCGACGGTTCATTCCCCACGGACTATGCATACGAAGCTTGCACCGGAGACCAATTCTCATCATGCTGTATACCAGCCGAAGGCGACCTGTGCCTGTCCAACGGTCTGTGCCAATTCGGGAAGGGCGGTTACGTCTTCCGCGGCGCATGCTCAGATAAGAACTGGAACTCACCCAACTGCTTCCAGCATTGCAAGCAAGGCGACTACGCGGCGAACTGGCAGAGAGTAGTCTCATGCGGCGGCAACAGATACTGCTGCTACAGCTCAGAAAGCATATGCTGCAACGATGACACCCAGGTCTTCGAGGTCGCCGACGGGACCGTCGTCAATGATTACACGAGCTTGACGCCAGAAGCAACCCAGCCATTGACAGGCGCTGCAAGCTCTGCCACCGGCGCTGTCGTTACAACTGCTGTGAATGGGTTCCAAACAACTGCGACTAGCCGAACGACATCGTCCACATCGTCACCGACCGCATCGTCACACCCTGCCTCATCAGTCTTCCAAAATAACAAGGTCCCTATCATCGCCGGCATAGCGGGCGGCATCGCCGTTATTTTCGCCCTCACGGTTGGCTATAAGTGCGCTAGACGTCGCTACCGAAGGAGGAACGCAATGCTTCCGGTCCCGCCCTACAATCCCCCGCAAACGTCGTTCAATCCACGTCCAGCATCGGTATCTTCAAGTTCTCGCGCTGTATCGCCCGCGTCACCACCGCAGTGGCAGAACGATCCAGCGAAGATGACGCCTTGGGCGGCGGCCACACCAGTGCCACCGCAAACACCGACACCGCCGCTGCAAGGGAGAACGCCGGAACCAAACCCATATAATCAGCATGGTGGGGTCGTGTACGAGGCGCAGGGCACGCCTGCGCCGACAAGGTATGAGGTTCCAGGACAGACGCGGCCGATATATGAAGTTCCAGGGCAGACGCAGTCGGTGTATGAAGCTCCGGGGCAGACGAGGCCGTTGTACGAGGCGCCAGGGCAGACGCGGCAGATGTATGAGGCTCCATGAGGCGTTGGGTAACCCGATTGTTATAGACTTAACGGTTTCTTACGGCTGGCGTTCTTGTTTTATTGCATCTACTGCATTTATTGTAAATATCTGATGACGGTCTGATGAGTGCTGGTATTACTTACGCGTTGTAAGATAAAGCCCTTCATCTGTAGAATGATTAGCGGTATAAGTTCTTAGATCACTGTCTGTCTTTAAAAATCATGTAGATATGCTGATGACCTAGGAACTGGAAACGGCACCTGACAAAACACCTGAACAGCAAATCTTCAATCAATGCCAAATAAGCATCTCCAAGTAGCCCAAACCCAAAGGAACAGAAAGGTACCGCTTTCCTCCAATGTACCAACTACATTCTCCCAAGCCTGCCAACACGGCACCAAATCAGCCTCGCCGCAAGGCTTTGCATATGCATATGCGGACGCCCACCCAGCCACAGCCTCACACCTCCCACATCACCCACTTCCCTCCTCCCCTCCCCATCTCTCCCTCTTTCCCAACCATGCCTCTCCCTTAAATCTCCTCACCATGTCCATCTGCTTCGGCTTCTCCGTCGGCGACTTCCTCGCCGCCCTCAAACTCACCTCCACCGTGATCGACGCCCCGCGCTCCAGCAGCTGTTCAGGCACCCAGTTCCGGGAGCTCCTCAACGAGCTCTACACCCTCGAAAGCGCCCTGCTCCGCGTGAAACGCGTCGAGCTCCACGACTCGCAGAATGTGGAGCGGGTTGCGCTGTCGCAGGCGGTGGCGCAGTGTCAGCGGACGATCGATGGGTTTTGAGATAAAGCGGCTAAGTATCAGGGGCATCTAAGAGAGAGAGGGGGGGGGAGGGGAAGAGGATGAAGGATGGGTGGATGAAGATGAAGTGGGCGGTGTGTAAGAAGGAGGATTTGGAGAGGTTTAGGGCGGATTTGAAGGGGCATACGGGGAGGGATTGAGGTGTTGTTGCTGACGGTGCAGATGGGGAGTGTGGCGTTGCATGCGCGGGCAGCAAGAGGAGAATCATAAGACGCTCATGGGAAAGATTTAGGGTGTATCTCTCTTGTGGATGGGGAAGTTGACGGCGGTGTCCGATAGTGTTACGACGGTCGTGCAGCAGGGGAAGCAACTTATCGAAGCAATTGCGCAAGTGCTACGGGTGAACATCCAGGTCTTCCAGGCGATTATGGATATTTAGAGGTTCATCATCCGTATCCCTCCCCAGATTGATCGACAGCAGCCAGCGTATCTCATCGACGCTTTCGGCAAACACGGTCCGTTCCACTTGGAGTTCGTTAGGTCCGCAAAGGCCTTGATGGCAGTATTGAGGGCTAATTGCGAGACCCACAATACCAACCCGCGGAAAATTGATCGCGGAGAATTCGTCATTGCCGAGACTGGAACTCAAAAAGTGGATTGGGACTGGGACACGTGCTTTTTCCTTGGCCAAAGAGTCGCGATGAGCATTATTGCACGGGGCATATCATGGAAGGGATCATGTCCAAAGTGTGGCTCGAAGGGGCCCGATGTGGACGACAAGGAAGTCGAGTGGTAAGACCCTCTTCAATTTCTGTATTTGGCTTGGAAGTTCTGTCAGTCGTTGCGTAATTTGCTGCTCTATCAACTGTTCAGTTCTGAACATGCCTGTATTAGTTCTCCTCAAACATCTTCAACCTAATTAATTTTAATTGTTAATTTACACGAATTGTTGGGAGAAGCTGGACTGACATGCCCCTTTAGCGAAGCATGCTGTACATACTTCCGAATAACGAAATACATCGCCAATGGACCCAACGCAAATCAACCGCAAGAAGTCTGCAAATCAAATTTCACGGGTTTATCAGCAAAAATCGGAAATTCTCGTCACGTAAGAGTGTTTATAAGGGGGCATATGTTCATATGGCCGGCAGAAGCGCTAAACAACGGTTCATTAGATTCCCAGCAAGAGGGAAGGGGCAACGGCCAACCTTAGAGTACTTAAGTAATGTTCGATCACTGCCATCAACAAACTCAAAACCTGGTTTGATAACGATTTGTGATAAGAGAGATTCATGGTGGAGCGATATGATGATTTCACACACGTTTCTGAGTCGTCAAAGGATCGGCGAAACGACGGAATGCACTTTCGGCGAGCTTTCGTTATAGGGAAAGATATTTAATGAAGTCTAACGAGCTCAGAGGCTCTTCCCATCTAATTAACTGCCTCGTAATAATCTATGAGACACGTCTACGGGGTATCTTATCGTACTTTTTCCCAATTAACAACGTATGCATTCGCAATACCAAGCCAGAAAACGAACCGTGATGACCAAACCACTCATATCCCTCCTCAGTAACGGAGCTCCTGCGGTGCCAAAACTCCGTTCTCAATGCTTGTGTCCTTGAGAATCACTTCTCAAGCTTCCGTTTCCAGCCTTAGCCATCCACCATATCGACATCCGTGTCATTGCTCCCCTCCACCGAAACCTTGGGGGTGTACGCCGCCTTCGCCGCCAGATATTTCTCTTTTTCCTCGGCAGCATGCTTCTCGTATACTTCGCGTTCGGCAGCTGGCATGGTTTTCCATCGTTCACCCATCTTGGCTCCGATGTCCTCTGTGTGACATGTTAGATTACACGCTTCAAATAGGGCAGACGTAGAAAACTTACTGAACAACATCTCCGGGTTCTCATCTTTCAACTTCTGCCGATTCTCCGTCGAATTGAAGAAAATGAACGCCGATTTAGGATGCTTCGGGGCATCTGGATCCTTCATTTTCTGGCTCTTCCGTCTATGTTTCTTTTTCGCGTCCGAGGCTTCTAAGTATACTGGGACCCCGCTCGTCTCTTGTGCTGTATTGTGTCTGTTATCCACCTTCTTGCTGTCGTGCTTCTTCACTTTCTTCGGCAGCTCCTGGCCCTGTGCGTGTGCATTCGAGCCCACCACATCATGCAGCGGGAAGAATCCCATCGGCGGCCCATTCGAGCTCCCGCCCTCTCCACCCCGCACGCCCTGATGTCCACTCTCTTTCCTCCTATGCTGACCCTCCCCATTCCTCTGCAACTTCCCCCCCTCCCCACCCACACTCTTCCACTTAACCCCATCAAACAACCACTCCATCTCTTCCTCCCCACCCGGCCTCTTCGCCTTCCCACTTTTCTTCGCCTGCTGCGGCTCCACCTGTGCCTGCGGCCTCTGATACGGCGCCCCCGTCCCCATCTCCCGCCCCTCCGCCTCCGCCACCCAATCCCACCCAACATCCCTCCGCGCATCCTCCCCCGCCCGCTGCCACAGCCCGCGGTACATACTCTCAATCTTCTCATGCAGGTGTATCACGCCCATGCCAAAGATCTTGAAGTCCGCCAACGCGACCGCGCCCTGCGACTGCACCCCCGGCGAGTTGCAGATAGTCGTGTACTCGCGCATCAGGCGCAGCGAGTGCGCAGGAATCGACTGCGGCCATTGCAAGGGCGGCGGGCGAAAGCCTGTGTTGTAGATGGCGGGGATCGGGGCAGGGGGTGTTTGCGCGTAGGGCGATGGCGGCGGCGGCGGCGCGAAGCATTGCGGCGTCGGGGTAGGCGCGGGCGAGAAGTGCGCGTGCTCAGGGCCGCCTTGTTGCGGTGCGGGAGAGTTGTTGAAAGGGACCGGGTCGCGTGGCGAGAGCGCGTAGGTTTTGAGATATTGCGACGGATGCTTGGAGAGCTTCGTTGGCGGGGGCGGTTTGTCCATGGTGGTGTGGTTTAGGACGGCGGAAGACGCGTTGGCGCCGTGCGCGAGGTATTTCCTATGAGATGGAAAAGATCACGTGGCGCGCTAGTGGCTTCGCATAGAGTAGCACGTGAGTAGGTGTAGTGGGCCAATCATAGGCTGGGATTTGATCTATGTACAAAACTTTGGGGGAGACGAGATGAGACTCCTGGGAATGCGGTATGCATGTTGAATAGATCTATAGTGACGCTTTTGGAAATGGTCTTTCGTACTCACGCATCGTCGGTATCCACCTTCTTGTAATACTTCCCCTCTGCTTTCTTTGGCAACCACCTCACGGCTGCTGCATACAATAAGGCCGTTGCAATCAGTATTAGCCAGAAGAGATGGCCAGCAGCGATCTGTTTTCCCACACCAACAGCATAGATACTCGTAGCTAACGCGGGTGCGAAAGCACGAGTACCACTCGAAGTTGCCAGAGCGAGCGCATTCAGCGTCCCGAACTCCTTGTGCGAGGGCGAAATGTCATTGAGAGCAAGTTGGACGGCAGCTATGCGGTGGTAAACACATGGTGTATGGATAAGCTGGATTGAAAGATGACTGCAAAACTTACTGAAAGCCATAGCAACTCCACTGCCCAGGGCCAATCCAGACGGACCGAAGACCCAGAAAGGCACCATGGCATCATGGCGGCGGAAGGTATTCAATATCGGACCTAAGCTGAAGAAAAAGGGCCAGACATAGGCGCAGAGTCGCATCACGCCGACCGTACCAAATCGTTTTTGGAGCGGAGTGAAGATCAAAAGCAGGTAGACTGCTTGGGCTAGACCACCGACACCCATGACGATAGAAATGCCTAGTGGTGGAAATTGTAGACCTCCTAGTTTGATGTCTGTGAACAAATATACAGGCAGTACTGATGATTAGAGCGTCAGTTGAGTTCATGCCTCGAGGGGTTCGAGGTAGGACTCACCAGCAGTATATGCGAATGCCATGAGCATGGTGAAGCCATACAATCCGAGAACTATCGCCACACCAGGGGCTTTAATGATCTCCCATGTCGATTTAGGTGGAGTGTTGTCAGTCGAGCCTTTACTCTCGTGTCTGTGCAGAGTCTAGCCCGAAATTAGCATGAGACATTGAATTGGGATTTTGAGTCGAACCTCTTTGATAAAGAGCGCAGAAATGACTGCTGCGACGAATCCAAAGGACGCTATAGCAATGGTGGGCAATGCGTACGGAAAGTCCTTGAAGAGTTGGATGTTTTTGAAGAAAGCGAACTTCTCTGCTGGGTTCTCTAAAGTGCCGCCTATAAACGGTCCAAGGGATATACCAATATAGCCCGAAAACGCAAACCAGCTGAAAGCTTGTGCTTGAGTCTTTTTGGTGCTGTTCTCCGAGATCATCGCCCGAATAGTTCTATCACTCTCCTCAGTCGCTACACCTCACGAGTTTTTGAAGAATACTTACACGATAGTTCCGGCAAAGACGCCTGCCAAACACCGGAAGAAAGCCATCTGCCAAAAGGAAGTGCTGAACCCAAAAGCCCCTGTGGCAATTGTAACGCCACACAATGAGAAGACAAGTACTGGTTTTCGTCCAATGCGGTCCGCAGCCTATCATGCCTGTCAATTCATCTTTCTCACAAGTCAAGAAGAGAATGATGAAAACGCAACATACCCGTCCCCATGCAATCATGACACACACCTGTGTGAGCGAAAACAAGCTTTCCTATATTAAATCAGCTTCTCGTGTATTTCCGCACTTGGTGAACCACTCACAATCAACCCACTATAGAATCCAACGTCCGCCTTGTCTACACCTCCCGTCTCATGAATCATCTTATTGAGGAATGGGAAAATGCCGAAGAAGGCAATTGGCTCCATCAGCCTTGCGAAGCACAGAAGGAGAATCTGCCCAATTGGCAATGGCTCATCTTCCTCTTCGATTTCGTCTTGATGTTGTTCTTCAGGATCGTCGGTTTTACCATTACTAATGGCGGCGGTTGCGCTCTCGCCATTCGGCTCGGTGGTGGGAGCGACGAGGAGAGGTGTAGTCTCGTCTGCAGCCCGGACGCCGTCCGGGCTTAATGGCTTTGCGGGAGCCATCGCGTCGTTCTTGTGTTTCGTACGTAGAGATCTTTGTTGTTGAAACGAAGTCGAGATGTAAAATAAGCTCTTTAGACAAGCCTCGCTCGCTCTAGCTTCAAGCAGCCCTGTTAATGAAGATCCCGGAGTGAATTGTAAGCAACGAACAAAGACGACTATTCAACTGGAGGGAAAGTAGAAAAGAAACCAGGCATTCGCTGTAAGATATAAGTTTGTTCCAATCAGCATACGCAATTTCGATGCCTGACCGGGTGCTCGCTCGTTGGTCTCCTTTCGAACTAAAGCCGATCTGCTAACCCGGGTAGGAAGTTGAAATTGCTTCAACGGGAGGGACGGCAGACGGCTATGCGCGGTCTGGGACACAGTGCTATCGTGAAACACAAGAAACAAGGTTTCCTATTTGCGGCTTGCAATCATCGGTTGCCTGAATGTGAGGGTGGGAGCATGGGGTTTGATTAAGGTTATGGCCAATGCTTGTTTTTCTCCAAGATAGAGATCTAGATACTACATCTTCAGAAGACGCGAGCTCAGGGCAATTGCATTTTACTTTCAATAGACTCATCATTATGGAGTAATTGGATGTAATTGTTGCTGTGTCTCTTCCGCTTTTCAATATTGCTGCGACTACTTATGGCCATCTAAGGAAGGGGAAGCTACTGTAAGGCACCCAGCGAGACTGCTAACCAGCGTATCCCTTGAGACCATCCCAGCCGTGTTGCGAGACGCCACATGCAGTGGCAGGAAGAATAAGCAGAAGCACTCTCGTTGAATTTCATACCGGCCAGAAGCCGCACATGAAGCCGCACAGAACATAGTCTCGAAATAGCCAAAAGATAAGGGAGGGAAGGAAATGCTAACGACCATGGGAATTGGGAGCAGTTGAAGAAAGGGTGAGTGTCAGGATTTCTAAGCTACAATCTTTCCGTCCCCATAACTACCATGCACCACACCCCAGTTGGCTACACGCTCGCCCGATAACAAAATCCACCCAAACTCTGGTCAACCTCGCCATTTTGTGAACAATTGTCATGTGAAAAGCCCTGACACAGCGAGGTTGCTCCAACACGTTACCTTCGCTAGTAGGCTTAATCTGATTCTGTCGATATTCGCATAGACGCATGCGCTTCGAGATGTTAGAATCAAGTGTCTGAGTGCGACTTATGGAAAGATCTCACCTTAGAAGCACTTGCGGTGGACAATGGAAGGACCGCTCTCGTCGTATTCCTGCTTGGAGATCCACATCTGCTGGAAGGTAGACAGAGAAGCCAAGATGGAACCACCGATCCAGACGGAGTACTTTCGCTCGGGGGGAGCGATGATCTTGACCTTCATAGACGACGGGGCGAGAGCAGTGATTTCCTTTTGCATACGGTCGGAGATACCGGGGTACATGGTGGTACCACCAGACTAAGAATCTGTTAGCCGAGAAATTTCAAAGACGCCCCATGGTTTGACTTACCATGACAATGTTTCCGTAAAGATCCTTCCTGACGTCGACATCGCACTTCATGATCGAGTTGAAAGTGGTGACGTGGATTCCACCGCTCTCCAGACCCAAGACGGAAGGCTGGAAGAGCGCCTCAGGAGCACGGAAACGCTCGTTTCCAATAGTGATGACCTGCCCGTCGGGAAGCTCGTAGGACTTCTCCAAGCTGGAGCTCTGGCTGGCAGTCTGGATCTCCTGCTCGAAGTCAAGGGCAACGTAGCAGAGCTTCTCCTTGATGTCACGGACGATTTCTCGCTCGGCGGTGGTGGAGAAAGTGTAACCACGCTCGGCAAGGATCTTCATGAGGTAGTCGGTCAAATCGCGACCGGCCATGTCGACACGCGAGATGGCGTGGGGAAGGGCGAAACCCTCGTAGATGGGGACAACGTGAGTGACACCATCTCCAGAGTCGAGCACAATACCGGTGGTACGACCGGAGGCGTACAGGGAGAGCACGGCCTGGATGGAGACGTAGAAGGCTGGTGCGTTGAAGGTCTCGAAGACAATTTGGGTCATCTTCTCACGGTTGGACTTGGGGTTGATGGGAGCCTCGGTGAGGAGGACGGGGTGCTCCTCTGGGGCGACACGCAGCTCGTTGTAGAAGGTGTGGTGCCAAATCTTCTCCATGTCGTCCCAGTTCGTGACGACACCGTGCTCAATGGGATATCGCAGCGTCAAGATACCACGCTTGGACTGTGCCTCATCACCAACGTAGGAGTCCTTCTGGCCCATACCAATCATGATACTGTATATCCATCAGTTGCTGTGTGCCAGTGGCGCGAGGCTCGGAAGGGGAGGAATGTACCCATGATGACGGGGCCGACCAACGATGGACGCTGCGATTGATTAGACTCTGCTTCTTGCTTCAAAGTAGCCGCATGGTGGAGTCTGGTAGCGCGCTGGTGCAGACTCCAGCCATGCTGACGGGGCAGGTGTACTCACGGAAAACAGCCCTAGGCGCATCATCACCGGCGAAACCGGCCTTGCACATACCCGAACTGTGAAGAGGTCAGCTCAGGCCATCTTTCCATATGCCATAGCGGCAGCTCTCGTTTGGGCCACTCCACACTGTTCAGCGTGGTGGCCGTGGCCAGCGCAGATACCCCACGACAGGGATGCGGCGGCTTGAATTTTGGAGGGGAAGTCTTACCCATTGTCGATGACGAGGGCGGCAACTTCTTCTGTAGATGGTGAGGTATAGGTCAGTATGGGATGGCTAGACAGCGAGGCGCATGGCCGAGAAGCGCAATGGACAGGTGGTGAGAGCGGGTGCGAGCTGACCTTCCATGGCTGCTGATTACGGGGGAGATAGGAGGCGATGTGCGGGGAGCAGGCGGGTTGCAATTAGGAGTGGCTGTAGGAATTGGCGATTAGCTGGGGAGAGATCGGAGGGCGGGAGATGCTGCTCGCGGTGGTGAGGGAGAGAGGCTTACGGCGGCGATGAGGTTGTAGTGTGGGCGAAGGTGCGAAGGCGAGGTTGGGTCCTGGTGTGCTAACTAAATACGCACAGACAACAGGCGGCCCCGCTAGAAATGGGCAAGAGCTGTGCGGTGGGTGACGATGGCGGCCGGCGAGCAGCAGCAGTGTCTATCGTAATCAAGCAGCGGATTCTTTGTTCTTATATGGACTGCAGACTCTGCCAGGCTGCACTGTTTCTATTTGCATCCTGCTCCGCTGCCACGCGTTCTCGCCGCCACAGCATGATGAAGCTCGAGTCTCAACAAACACCAAGCAGGCAGCGCCAAAATGCACTGCCGGCGCCAAGAGCACACCGTTGTTCCACTCCTGGCGCTGCAGAGACGCCGTGGGAGCAGTAGTGCTACGTGTGCCGCTGTCCTCGAACCCTCGCCCTGCTCGCAGTTCCCCAGCCATCGCCAGCCAGTTCCCACGGTTCACCGCCATGGAAGAGCATCACGTGATAGTGGGGTATCGAGCCGCTGCGAGAGCGGAGCACCGTGGAGTGCGGATTTCCGCTGCAGGCACCAGTCTTTGTGCGCGGGATTGGAGATGGAGCTGAAGCCGCATGCTGCGAATGCCTTGCTAGGCTACAACTGTGTCTGCTTGGTGAGAGAGGTGTGCTCGCTGACGGAATGCTAGAGAAGGTTGTGGCTCCTTCTCGGCTCTCGCGAAAAGCTTCCCTAGCTCCAAACTTATTTCATGTTTCGTGCAGCTGGCAGCACTTCAGACGAGTATAACTGACTATCCTCGCGCCTCGACTCCTCCATTTTGCAGTCCTCTTGTCTTGCCTTGATATTTTCGCATTTTGCCTTGCATCTCACGCTCTCAAAAAACGCTCGAAATGACTTCAGCCGCCCTCCCAGACCTCCTCAAATGGAGCGTCCAGAATTCCGAAGCATCGCGTCAGAACGCAGATGTGCCCATCGCAGCTCCGCCCTCTGAAGGACTGGCCGCGCTTCTTGGCTTCCATGTCGGATCGGACGCCGAGAGGATGGCGGACAATTTGCTGATAGTAAAAAATGCGGCGGGAGATATCGGCCTCGAAGATCGCATCAAAGCATTCGAAGACTTCCGAATGTTGGTAGAGAAGCTGGACAACGCAAATAATCTTCCGAACATTCAGCAATACAAAGGAGGACCTCGAGGCCTGTGGACCCCGTTGCTGGAACAGCTGAACAGCGAGGATGTCGAGATCAGGTCGCTGGCTGCCTCTTGTTGCCATGCTGCTGTACAGAATGATATTAAGGCCCAGGAAAAGGCAAGCAGTCCCACATCTAGGTCAAGCTATTTATTCGCTAACCCATCTCAGCTCCTCACTGTTGGTGGAATTCCTACCCTGGTCCAACTGGCAACCACAGACCCTAACAAGGATGTACGCAAGAGAGCCATTCGTGCGCTCAACTCTACCGCCCAGAACTACCAGCCTGCCCTCGACGATATCATTGCCCACCTTCCGGATACCCACAAACCGAAAGACAAGATCGATGCAGCTGACGCAGACTCGTTGCTATCTTGGAGGACGGCCTTGGAGTCCCAACTGACATAATTGAGATGTGCTATAACAACCACAAGATATTTCAAGCTGTGACTTAGAATGATAATATACATGGCTATTTTAAGAATGCATATTCATTCTTTTAGATATTTTAAGAGCCCTGTTTAGCCGTAGCAAAGTTTTGGTTTGTTTTGGCCCCCAAAATTAGGTAATACCCATAATCTAATTGAATTATGCCTCTATATTGCTCTAAACTTTCTCTTAGCTATTAGGAAGAGCTAGATAGTATATAGAACCTTAAAACTGTACTTTACATTTTATAGATTTTAAGATTGCTGGGGTTCTAAAGCGTCCAAATTGTACCAATAATGGGGTGGGCAGCTCGCATACAGACTACGTTAACGACGGACAACAAATGAATTGGCGTTACTGTTAAACTGGAAAACAAATACCCTATCAAGACTCGTCTGAACTTCTCAAGCAGGCAGCAATGATTTTACAGGTGGAATGCTGAAAGATGGGTTTCGAAGACAAAATTCTACAACTGCTATAAATACTCAGGAGGCCTAATGGTCTAATTTCACTGAACTTGAATCCAACATGGGATTCTTTGATCGAATAAGTTACTCGATATGTCTTTCAAAACGCAGCCTATCACAATGCCTCTCGCATATCCATGTAGGTGCTGTGCCGCACTCCTTCGGGTACGACCTGCAGGATGACACGCGAAGCACGGCGCCTAAGTTTGCAACAACTTTTTCTTTTTCTCTTTATCAACCTTCGCATTGTCTCAAACAACAAACACACCTATTGCCTTTCGTGCTGCTATGATCAACGGTCTTCCATCCTTATTTCCGCAGCCATGTTTCCGTATATGAGTTTCTTTTCGCGTTGCGGATAGACCATAAGCTTTGTGATGATGCCTAGAAACTCTGTATCTGCAAAGTCTGTCAACCTTCATTTTACCTGCCGTCCCTAAGTCGTCTCTTCTCTACTTATGGATCAAAACGGGTTCTTCGCCGAAGGTGCACGCCAGAGCTCAAAAAAACCTCACCAAGACAGCACATCAGTCGAACCGTATTCCTTTACACCTTCTCCGACTTTGTTCTCAGCTGAGGACGTATGCAAGAGCTTGCAAGCTATCGCTCTAGAAGGTCCATCCTTGATTTTCTCGATCCAACACTTGAAAACATCTGCGATGAAAAAAAGTTGCACATTATGCAGCATCACTTACGACGCTCTACTGTTTTGGCCTGAAGGCGCTTATCTGTTTTCTGATTTGTGTATTGTAAGCCTCCACCGGTCAGGGCTAGAAGTGAAGCTTGGTGAAAAACGCTTTGAGATTTGCGCTCTCGAAAGTTAGTGTGGATCAGTTCCTTGATTCGCTTCTCATACCCAGGGAGTCTGTGAATAGGGACGACTTCTCACGTGTGAAGAACAAGAGAGCTTTTTGACCTAGCAACTGATTTGCTCCAGAAATTTCTCGAATACCAAAGACCATCCCGCGAGTTTGTCTCATGTCGGACCACACGAAGTCAGAGGAAAGCTTACAGACTGCGAACGAATGGATGATCGATTGCATCACGAATCACGGGTCTCTATGCGGCCAAACCACTAGATCGATCGAAGTGACCTACCGGGTCCTCGATGTAGGACTAGGGACTTCCGAAATGGACACCCAAATTACTCTAAAAGATATTCCCCCAGGAGTCAGCTGCATGTACACATGTCTGAGCCACTGTTGGGGCGAAAGGCCGCATTTCCAGACAACACGGGCAAACCTTGATAATCACAGGAAAAGCATCCCGTGGAAAAGTCTACCTAAGACTTTCCAAGAAGCTATAGATTTCACCCGCCGCTTGCAGTTTCGATATCTGTGGATCGATAGCCTATGCATTATTCAGGGAGATGCCGACGACTGGAATGAGCAATCTACTATCATGGGGACTATCTATCGCAACGCAGCTGTTACGTTGGCAGCTAGCGCCTCGCTTGGGTCTAGAGAAGGTCTTTTCCGCCCAACCAAAACACGGAAGTTATGTTTCGGACTGGAGAGCGTCTGCAACCAACCCAACTACAAGGGAATCTTTGTTCGAGAAAAGCTAAAACTACTGCACACTCAGCTGGACCACCCTCTCACGACTCGAGGCTGGGTTCTTCAAGAGCGCCTTTTGAGTCCCCGCGTACTTCACTTCGGCAAACACGAGATGATGTGGGAGTGTATGACGCACAGTACGTGTAGCTGCACGGAACTGCCGAGGGACACATTCTGGTTGCAACCCAAGCAAAAGTACCAGAAGTTTATATTGGACCAAGCCAGCCATTCACAGACTGCTAAAGCCTGGAGAGATATGGTCACCGACTACAGTCGGATGAGATTCTCGTACGAATCTGACATCTTCCCTGCTATATCTGGCGCTGTTAAGGTTATGGAAAAGACGATACAGTCTCGATATCTTGCAGGATTGTGGGAAAGCACCCTAACCCAAGATATGCTGTGGACAACCAATGAGCCAGTATCGTTCTGTCGGCCGTATGTCTGGAGAGCGCCGACCTGGAGTTGGGCCTCTGTCTCGAATAGAGAGGCAAAGTCAGTTCTTGATGCAATTAAGTACCGCTTCCAGGGCACCATCGACAAAATGTCTGAAAAGGCTCGAGATCATGATCACGGAAGTCCTCTCGTCCTTCGTACCAAGCTACTAAGTGTCGATGTGTCTCTCGCAGGACCAGACTCCACGGGAGCTCTCAAAGGTAGCCATATCATCTTGCAAGGCCAACTTATCTTTGGCACGACCACGGAGGAATCCGAATCAGAAATCTGCGATATCAACATACCCGGTCGATTTCGAAACCTCTATCCTAGCCATTTCTACGCAGACTACGACCTCCTCGCAGACGGCGAGCATCAAGTCAGCCTCAAAACGCGAATTGCCTGTCTCAAGTTCTTGTATTTGAACGCTGCGTCTTGGAACCAACATTATCTCTTCCTCCTGGTTCTACGGCAGGTAGATGACGCATGGGAACGCATCGGCCTGCTGGTATATCAGCAACGCCAGGACCTACCACAGCCAGCTGTTGACGACTGGTTCAAAGACGCCGAAGTCATCAATGACGCCATTGTAAAGATCATATAGCATCAATCTACCTCCTTTATCCTCTTCATATCATTCGTGAAATCTGAGCCTCTTGAATTGCTTTTGGGTATATCAACGCTATGCAACTGGAACGCCGTGCTATGCCATATACTCCCCTTCCCTTCCCATCCCAACCCTCCCACTCCCTACAATACCCCCAAAACCAACCCCACCACCTCCGCAAACCCCTCCCGCCCCCGGCCTACCAGCCCCTTATCCAGGCCCAACCCCACAACCACCATCCGCCTCTCCGCCGCATCCCTTGTCGCGATCGCACTCGCTATCTGCGTCGCCAGCAGCTGGCCTAGCGTATCTAGCACTGGCACCGTGCCGCCTAACACCGTCGTCGCGGTAAGATGCGAAAGCGGTAAAAGGTCTGAGGGTGGACCTGCGGAGTTTTCGTCGTCGGGGGGGTCGGTGAAGGAGGGCTCGAGGGGGGCTTCGGAAGCGGGGGATTCGGTGTCGAGAGGGACGTGGAGCTGCCGGGGGTGTTAGTTGAGTTTGCGATGGGTGGAAAGTTGGGGGAGGGAAGGAGTTTTTATAATATGGGGGGAGAATGGATGTACCCAGTGCGCTAATCGCCCAGCTTGTGTGACCGTGAGCACGATCTTGTCGGCGAAGTAGATCGATGTCGCGGTGGTGGGGATGCTGTTTATGCTCGCGGACGCGGTTTTGGTGCGGGCGGGGTAGGGGGAGGATGTTACGGTGTAACTCTCCGCTTCTGCCATTTTTTACGAGAATCAAGCACCTCAGTCCAAGTGTAGAATTTGCAGAGAGCTTGGAATTGTGTGATGGTGAACATCCTAAGCTCAAGGCGGGGAGTTGCAAAAGTCTTGGCGAAATTGTTTTCTGCCACCGCCTTTACGATCCCTGTCGTCCATCTCGAAATTTTGAACCTCTTCAAATGAACTCTTTTTGGCAACTTCGACGACGAGAAGATGGCGAAATTTGTCCCCCGGCAGAGGAAACACAAAGCCATCGCGCGCCAGAAAGCACAAGGGACCAGCCATGCGCCCGAACCCACCGAAGCAGACTCGAATGCGACGCTCATCATCCCCGCAGAGAAGCTCGAGAGGGAGGAGAAGCGGAGAAAGCTGCGGGATGAGTTGAAGGGGGCACAAGAGGGGAAGATGTCTGGGAAGAAGGCGAAGAGGTTGGAGAAATATATCGTAGGCCTCAATTCAATTCTCAGATTTACACCTCTCGAAATGGAGAATTTTTGGGAGCTTGTGCTGTTGGGTGAGGAATGTGCTAATGTGGGTAATTTGGGTGTAGGACACGAAATTGAAGAAAGAAGAGAATCTTGTCCTACTCAAGAAACTTGCGGAGCAGAAAGTCGATACCTCGCTCTACCAGAGCTCGAAGAAGTTGGGACGGACGACTGAGAGCGCGAGGGAAAAGCTTAGTAGAGCGTTGAGGGAGCGGCAGGCTGGGATTGATGTGGAGAAGAATGAGGCTGTTATTCTGGAGAAGAGGAAGACTAGAGCTCCTGAGGACAGCGGAAGCGACAGCGAAGAGGACGACGAGGACCAGATGGAAGACGCAGAACAACCCCAGGCAATTACTACGAAAGAGATTAGGGAAGAGAGCCAAGAACGCCCGGTCGAAAAGCCAGTGGCTAGCTTTGGGAGTGGCTTGAAAAGACCTCTGGAAGTCGACGAGGAGGGCAAGCCGATCATTAAGAAGCGGAAACGGACAAAACCGAAGAGTGCCATTATGCCGGTCGTCGAAGAGCCAGAATGGGAAGGATTCAGCTCTGGAGAGGAGGATATGGCCACAGATTCCGAAGATGAGCGGGTACCAGAGGATGATCACTCCGAAACCCAGGATGAGTCGGAAGAAGAATCTGGACTCAGCGATTCTAGCTCATCATCCGAAGACGAAGATGAGGAAATGTCGTCTAGCGAAAATGAAGAGACGAAGGCATCTAGGAGAGAGCGTACATCAGCATTCAAGGCGTGGGCAACCCAGCAGAGACATGAAGCAATCGGCTTCACTCCTTCGTCCATTGTAACAGAAACTTCTACAAGACCTATCAGCTTCACGCCCAGAGACCCTGAAATGGACCCACTCCCTCCTGAGCTAGAGAGTAATACGGCTACCGATGCTACTAGGAAAGCATTCAGCGTGCATGTTGAGCGGCCACCAGAGATTCAGGAGTCTCGTTTAGCTCTACCCATAGTGGCTGAGGAGCAGAAAATTATGGAGGCAATTCATAACAATGATGTCGTAGTGGTCTGGGGTGCGACTGGAAGCGGTAAAACCACCCAAGTACCCCAATTTCTGTTCGAATCGGGATACGGAGCTCCAGATGGTCCAACCCCTGGCTTGATTGGAGTCACACAACCCAGAAGAGTGGCAGCGGTGAGCATGGCCAAACGAGTTGGCGACGAGCTTGGAGAGGCTGGATCAAAGGTTTCATATCAGGTGAGATTGAACTGTGGTGAAGGCTAAAGGATTAACAGCTAATTGACCCCAGATTCGATTCGACTCCTCGGCATCCTCTAAGACCGCTATCAAGTTCATGACAGATGGTGTTCTTCTACGTGAAATATCGCAAGACTTCGTCCTCACCAAGTACTCAGCTATCGTTATTGATGAGGCACACGAGAGGAGCGTCAATACAGACATCCTGATTGGCATGCTAAGTAGGATCGTCGACCTTCGGGCGAACATGGCAAGAGATAATCCGAGCAATAAGCCCTTAAAATTAATCATTATGTCAGCAACACTAAGGATCTCAGACTTCACAGAAAACCGACGGCTTTTCCGGCATGGGCCTCCGCCATTATTGAAAGCTGAAGGCCGACAATACTCTGTCACCAACCATTTTGCAAGGAGAACGCAGAGAGATTATGTCGAAGAGGCTTTCGAAAAAGTCAGTAGAGGTCATAAGAAGCTTCCTCGTGGAGGTATGCTTGTGTTTCTCACCGGGCAGAACGAGATCACGCAATTGGCAAAGAGGCTCAAGCAGGCTTATCCTTCAACTCAAGGGCAGGAAGCAAAATCTGCGCCGATACGAATATCAGCTGCCGATGCCCCTCTAGAAACCGAAGATGTAGACCTCGGCGGCAAAGCCGATGATTATCGGGACGAGGACGGATCAGATGATGAATCAATTGTCGATGGCTTCGACGACGAGGACGAGCAAGAATTCAACATCGGAGAAGAGTCTGCCGAGAGTACAATCATGAAAGTACATGTACTCCCATTGTACTCCCAACTACCTACAAACCAGCAGCTGCGAGTCTTTGAACCACCGCCAGATGGGTCGCGGCTCATAGTTCTTGCGACCAACGTTGCTGAAACGAGTTTGACTATTCCAGGCATCCGATATGTATTCGATTGCGGAAGATCAAAGGAAAAAAAGTACGACCTGCTTACAGGAGTCCAGAATTTTGAAGTCGGATGGATCAGCAAGGCTAGTGCTAATCAACGTGCTGGTCGTGCTGGTCGAACTGGCCCAGGACATTGTTACCGACTATACTCGTCGGCTGTGTTTGAAAGAGACTTTGAAGAGTATGCTTCTCCAGAGATCATGCGCACACCACTCGAAGGGGTCGTTCTACAACTCAAGAGCATGGGAGCACCAGTGTCCACCTTTCCATTTCCAACACCTCCAGATCGTGACAGCCTACGCCAAGCTGAGAAACTGCTCTCGTATTTGGGAGCTTTATCTGCGGATGGCAAAGTCACCAAATTGGGACATGAGCTATCACTGTATCCTCTCAACCCCCGCTTTGCGCGAATGCTAGTCATGGGCATGACGCATAAGCTCACAGCCGAGACTATTGCCCTAGTCTCAGCTCTCTCCGTTCCAGAATTGATCATTCCCGAGAATAAGCTTGGTCTCAGGGAACCAGTCCAAGACCTTGATGCAATCCGAACTCAGCAGGACAACATCGAAGCTGCGGAGCGATCAGCGCTTCGCAAGTCATACAACGCGGCACTCTCACAGTTCTCGAAGAACGCGAAACAGAGCGACTGTATGAAGCTCAACAACGCGGTTTGCGCCTATGCATATGAGTCTAACACGGATGCTTTTTGCGACAAGATGTTCTTGAATGCAAAAGCAATGAACGAAGCGAGCCAGTTACGCTCCCAGCTATCAGCGATTGTGCGCACACATCGCCCAGCGTCAATTGGAGATTACAAGTCCAGACTACCACTTCCAAGTACAGAGCAGCTAGAACTTCTCAAGCAGATATGTGCTGCTGGTTTCATCGATCAAGTTGCTATGCGTGCAGACCTGGCACCAGTCCCACCAGAATTGTCACGGAAGCCCAGGACGGCAATTGAGGTTCCTTACGTTACGCTTTTCCCTTCCCACGTCGGTCGACCGACCACTGACGACCCCGCGGAGCAATTCGTTTATCTTCATCCTTCTTCATTGCTCGCTCGCGTTTCTATACCCAAGCTGCCTGGCTTCATGATCTACTCCCATCTGCAGCGCGCCGCACCTTCTACCATCAACGGAACGAAGGTTCCAAGAACACGAATGCATCCTCTGACACCTATTACGAGACCCCAGCTCGTGAATCTTGCTTTGGGCACACCGCTGCTGGGAGTATCGAAACCGAAAGGCAGGATTGTTGAAGCACATAGAGCAAAGGGCGGACAAGAGCGGAGAGAGTGTGAGGTGGAAGTCAGCCTAGTTGGCGAAAAAGGGGGCATGGGTTGGAGTTTGGGTGTGCGGAGAGTGATTCAAAGAAAAGAAGGCGTGCAAGGCTGGGTCATTGAGAAGATCTTAGGATAATGAGCGTGAGATAGTGATACCCTATTGAAATTTGGCGCGAAGCCGATGTCGCAAGAAATCGTATACGCTATGCAATCTACGCTACTCTCGAAACTCTTCTCCGTCCAGTCTTTTTCACGACTATCAGTTTGATACCCCTCTTGAGTGTGTCACCGAGTTAGATCTCCTTTTCGCATCCCCACTCTCCTGGAACTTCAACGTCAAAAGAAGTACACTCAAGCTGTTCTCCAATATTACACTTCGTCGTCTCCTTTACCTCCATCAATCTCTCCCTTCTCATCCATCTTCCTCGCCCTACCCCCAACCATCCGAAGCAAAGCCACAATTACAGCAAGCACTCCAAACGTCGACCATGGCACCACGACAAGCGATATCGCAAGGAAAGCCAAACCGATTAAGAAGACATGGAATCTGCCGCAGCGATACCCATAAAGCAATGAAATCTGTGCGAGCGACGCAGCAAAGAAGCATGCCACCAATTGGGAGATCTCCGAAACGACGAACGGCCAGAGGAGTCCAGCGTTCTGAACAAGGCAATGTGTGAGTGAGCATTTTGAGGATATGTGGGAGGACTTTACTACGCGTGTTTCATTGATGCGTCTTGTTGCCCTGTCTTCGTGGCGCCGGACCAATGTGATTAGCGCGTTCGCGCTGGTGACGGTCCTTAACTCTTCGTTGGCGGAGAGTTGGATGAATTTGATTAGACGCACGTAGTGGTCTGCGCATGTGAAGATAGCAGCACCTAGCGCGAGTAAAGATAAGAGGACTAGGCCTTGGAGGAGAGGGGGGAGTTGAAGGCCGGCTAGGGGGCGCGCGTAGGATGATGTGAGAACGGACATTTTTACCGATGGAGAAGATATTGATGGAAGAAATAGTTTGGAGGGAAATGGTGGGGTCATAGTATCTAGATGAGGCGTAGTCGGGAAGAATGGGGCTGAGTTGCGGCGAGAGTGGTCCACTGTGCCACCTTGGCAGTCACTACATAGCGATGAGGCTGAGATAAAACATGGGAGTCTCATGTAAGTCGATCCCTATTTTGTTGGATTTCAGAATGTTACCTGCGCGGGCCTTTGCAACCCTCTGAGCATATGAGCTACAAATTTCCGCAAAATATATCTTAAAGGTGTCAAAAAAACCCCCCATAGCCTAGGTAGCTGAAGCTTTTTTGATTTCTGGATGGCAATGACGACATCCCTTCCATCCCCTCGATTCGTTAGGCGTCATTCTTCCGAGATTGTTACTGATAGGCTAAGCACTAGTTCTCACAAGTCGAGAGGGCGATAAAGGGTGGATGGAGGGTGGGCTAACAGAAATAAGGAAGGTTTGTGCAAACTTCGCGACAACTTCAATCTTTGAATTAAGAGACAAAGGTTCGGAACTTAGATGGCCCGAGCGGAGCAGAATACCAGTTGTGGAGCCCTTTAGAGTAGATCAACCAACAAGGACATTAGCCGGTTATCACGACACAGCCAATTCTCAGACAGATTATGAATGGTACTAAATGACACCAGATGTGACTTGTTGACAAAACTGAGTGCAGTATGCACGGTGAATCACGAGGGTCACCTAAAAAAGAATGGTGAATGCAAAAGCATTCACTCGCTCCGTGATTCGAACCGGGATCTTCAGGAGGCAAAAAGAAATTGGTCACTGTGCGATACGGTTTGGAATAGCGTGAGCTCTAACACACTGCGCAATTGCTTGCGTTGTTGAGTGTGCTATGTCATCGCCCGGCATCAAGCATGGATTCCCAATTTCTGAAATACACCTAAAATATTATGAAATATATACCCTTAGAACAGTCGCGTACTTTACTTAAGGCACGTGCCACCGGCCAGATTTGCGCTCGTTGAATCACATGTGCCCGCCAGATCACAGTCCGAAATACTTGGAGATTCACCACATCTCAAGGGGAAGGAAATTACTTCTCGGAGACAATTGAACGAGATACGATGCTCTTACGATGGTTCGACTCTCGAACTTGTAATATCGAACTTGAAGAGATACCACTAGGAATAACTGCTCTCTAAGGAGCGGCCTCGGTAGAGATAGTCCGGGTCCGTGTGCTTTGTACGGCTCACAGACATAGATATCCTCTTAGACAGAACTTCAATACGATATGCAAAGAGAATGAACACCAGTGCTCTCGAAGGACCGCAAGGAATGTCCAGCGAAAGAAAACGGAACCCGTTTCGTTAGGGGCATGATTTATGAGGTACTGTAAACAGAGCATAAGGACACTCGATTGATAGATAATAAGGTACCTAGAAGCCTTGACCGGCACGAGGGATCATTAAGTGAGGATGGGGAACGATTCCATAAGGTATTGAGATGGATTGTGATGAAGAAGAGTCCTCCGAAGAGGTGAGGTTGTGCCCATCCCGTCCCGCTCGCTACGCCGCATCAGTACTAGACGCCGTTATTCTATTCATCTCGTCTCCACTCTTCCCAACCTCCCCTCAAGCCATCTTAATCGCATTCTTTGATACGCCACAATCATGTTTTCGCGCAGACTAAAACCAGTCACAGACGAACAGCGGCAAAGGTACTTCAAGAAACAAGAACCTCGACGGCGGTCCTCACGACGTCGCGATATATCCAACCCACCAAAACAGAAATCCAGACTCCTATCTTTTAGGGAAAGACCTAAGCCACGGACGTGCTTGCTCCTTGCGCATCTCCCTGCTGAACTTCGAATCCTGATATTTGGCTACGTCCTGGGCTGTTCAAGCGACATCATCCACATCCTCTGGATGCCCAAGCGCCTCGCACACAAACGATGCCCGATTGCGGCGCCTGGAGAATCCACCAACTTCGACCGGTCATGTTTCATAGGAACATACCCCTCGTTTCCGTACTACGGGCTCTACGACAACTTCACGGAGGCGTGGCAGGGGGCTTCCAGAGCAGAGTTAGCACTTCTGCAGACCTGTCGACAGGTCTACACCGAAGCCGTTGATATGCTCTACTCCAAACCTACGTTCGACTTCGACTCCGCTACTTCCTTCATGTACTTCGAGCGCGCTGTTCTCCCCCAGCGCCTCCACGCCATAACGAGTCTCCAAATAAGCTGGTCATTCGAGCCACCGACCGTCAGCTTTTACGATATTAAGAAAGAAGAGTATTTACCCAGTCATTGGTGTCCAATGTGCAAGACTATCATGAGTATGAAGAGGCTTCTGCGATTGAGATTAGTGCTCCACTTCATCAAGTGGTCTCAACAGGACCTTCTACTCGAGCCTCTAGGGAAGTTGAGAGGCCTAAAAGAGTGTTACATTCAAGCTAGGAGTGGGAATTTTGCATCTTTTCCCAGACAAGGTCGTCGAGTTATCGCCCTTGGGTAAGAAAATCATGTCACAGGCCACTCTGCCCCGCGAGTGAGGCAAGTCTGGATCTTGGTGCTGTCGATGGCCGATCACGTGACTGGTCTTGGAGCCCGGAATTCTTCTCTCATTTTTCGAGACCAAGTGTACAAAGTAGCTGCTCCTCAACGCAGTCCGTCTACTCTACTCCTCCTCTCTCCTCTCTACTCCCCCAGCACCACTAGCCCCACTCCTAAACATCAAATCAACCCTCATCTTCCGATCCCAAACCACCACCCCATCACTCCGGCGCTTGAAGTACAGAATCCGATGCTGCGGAATGAACTCGTCATCCGTCTGCTCCGTCTTCCACCTCTCCAGCGCAATCTCCTTCGCCCCCAGGAACCGATCCTCATACCCAACGATATAATTCTGCGAATCCAGGTTCGGGTCCCAACGCAGCCGTGACAGAATATCAGCCGCTGGTCGTAGCTTCGCCGCCGCGACAGGCGTGATGCGTGGCTCCTGTAGCGTTGTCGCAGCCAACTCGCCAGGAAGATCGTCCTCGGATTCGAGATCTTTGTCTTCAGAGTCGCTGTCCGCCTCGTCGTCGGCGACGTAGACGCCCCATTCGCGGGTGTCGAGTGCGAGGTCGCCGAGGGCGGATTGCTTCACGTGGGTTACCTGGACCCAGGAGGAGGTGGGATCGTAATAGCGGTCGTCGCTTCGGATTTGTTCTTCGAAGCGGTCGAGGGTTGATTTAAGGGCTTCCTTTGACGCGGTACCGTCAATCGTGGTATTGGAGTCGATGTCCTTGGCTCTGGTGAGGCCAATTAGGTAGCAGCCTTCGTAGTCGGATGTTGCATCTCCGGCGTCGCGGGTCGAGAACCTGGCCGGCCAGATGCGGGCGTGGATGTGCGGAAGTTTCCTGTTGAGATCTATGTGGTGTTAGCGGCTGAAGAGTTACGGGAAAGGCATAACTAGATATGGTACATACCAACAAGAAGTAGCACGCACTTGGACTCGAGCCAGCCCACCAGCCCGCTACCTTTCTTCAGAGACGGACCCCAGTAATTGACGCCAATCTTGATATAGTTTTGATATGTCTGGAGGAAATCCTGTGCGCCTGGGCGAGACTCTACGGCATTGACGTTGTCTCTGATGCTGCCTCCTAGAAATTTGGACCAGGTCATCTTTTCTTCGCATAATATTGAGTCTGCGCGTTTAAACTCTTCGATCAACGTGTTGACAGATGGTACGGATGCTGTATTCGCAGTGTTGAAGTTAGGAGTGTGGAATCCAAGGACAACCATGGGTTCTCTGGTAAGTCGTGAATATCTTGGAGCTTGCTTGTCGAAGAACGGGTCAAACACCATGTCGGACTTCCAGTTGAATTCAGCATAGTGGTGGAAGAAAATGCTGACGATATCTGCAGCAGTAATCCCAGCTGTGCCACGGAGGACGGAGACGAGTTTGCAGACTCGAGATAGCATCAGGGTGATATGGATACCCCCGAGGTAACCAAACTTGGCGGAATAGATACCTCGTTGCTGAGCCCAGAGCTTAATGCTTCTGTAAGCGGTTCGGAATGCAGCAAGGTCGGGAATCGTGCGCTGGAGATAGTCTTGGTCTCGGAACGCCTTAAGCTTTCGAAGTGACTGCATAGCTAGGCTGAAGATAGGATCGGACGAAGGTCGCCGAATCGACTCTGGCCAGCTTTATGACGTTAGCTTACGCAATTTACAGCATCAAAGGTTGAGCAAGAATACATACTTTTCGACAATTCTCGCAGCAGGGCAGTACTGTATGTCCATTCGGATACCTCTGACATCAATTTCTAGCATAGTGCCAGTCTTCGCATCGACTTTCCTCAGGAGTCGAACTCCTAGGCCCGATGCTTTCCGAATCCTCTGGCGAGCGAGAGCGAAAAACGTCTTCGAACTAATCTGCCCAAGAAACATGCAATCAATGTCGGAGGATGTAGTCCATACTCCAAGGCCGTAGGAACCAACGGGAACGAGGACGAATGGAAGGTCTGAACGGGTATTCAGGATAGTCTCTAGCAACGCGAATGCTTCCTTTCGCTGATAGATTTGGCGTTCCGTAGGAATCATGTTCGAGGATTGGAGACAAGCGTGAAGTGCTTCATTGTCGAGAATAGCAGATGAGGTCCTCGATACTGATACTGGGCCTAGGTCATGAAGGTTCAACGTCGGTTTTGGATTGCCAATACTCGTGGACGCCGTGAATGTGGCACGAACACCCCAGTGATCACTGGCACAGATCTCCACCTCGTCATCGTCATCAGGCTGACCAAACATGTTAAAGGAGGACACGTTCCAGGACTCTTGACCTTTAAGAAGAACCCTGTCATATCGTTGCGGCCGGTTGTTTGGGCTCCCAGAGGTTTCTGCAGCAAGAGGGTTTTCTGTTGGATCAAACGTAGCTCCCTCCTCGCCTTCAAAAACAGCATGAGCCTCCTTGCTTGCATATCTATCCGTAGCTTGTCCGAGCTCAACGCGTGCAACGGTCCATGCATCCGAAAACTCGGCCTCAGAAAACATGGTCTCCAGAGAACGAATTTCGGTCTCGGTATTAGGAGATATCTTGTGGTTCTTAGAGGCTTCGTTGATCGTGCATGTAGAAGTAGAGATGTTGAAATCACCAGCAATGATGCATGGGCTATCTCTATAATTGTGGGAAAGGTGGCTCACGGTAGTTTGGGCCTGTGACCGCTTCGCCGCAACAGATCCGTCGGTGAGTCCGCAAGTAAGGTGGACGCCGGCAACGACCAGAGGATGGAAGCTGGAATCTTTTGTGAGCCCAACGTGATCGAATTTCAAGACAACCGCTCCTTTGTGCCGCCGCTGAAATGGAACATATTCCCAACCAAAGGCCCAGCGGCTTAGAACGACGATATTTCGAAGGCTTGACATTGGACCAATGTCGGCTTGCTGAGCCGGTCCGTGGGTTGTGAAAGGGTAGCATTCTCGGATCTCTTCAATTTTTAAAAGGTAAGACAAGAAGTCATCCGTAACTTCTTGCAGCACCAAGATGTCAGCCTGGGCGGAGGCGGAGAGCAGAGTCTCGACCAAGAGCGGGTATCTTTCCCGTGGAGGTGGATGCATCGAATCGACCAGCACGTTGTAGCTCGAGATTCGTATGGACGTTGGCATGTCCTCTTGGCTTTCTGGTGAGACGGATGATTCGTAACGAGTCCATGAATTACTCTCCGAAGAAAAGCGGTATGTAGATCCTGGCTGAACTGTCTTAGTTGCGATGGTGCTCTCTACCGTTTCGGCCTGAATTTCTTCTTCGTCTGATAGTTCCTCTCTCTCGAGAAGAGTGTGGCTGGAATTTAACGGAATGGTACCCCAGATCCTCATTCGATTTGATACAATGCCATCTCTATAGGTCCGCTCCCGAACAAGTATAGCTAGTTCTTGTACTGTCCAATCGATCGGAGGGAGTAGTTTGGCCTTTTCAAGTAAGAATTCTCGAGAAGCAGTATCTCGGGTTTCACTCCGGCCAACAGTAAGATGGTAATGGGGAGGGTTATTCTTCTGTCCTAGAGCAGCCATTACCAAGCCTCGAGTTGCAGATAAGGATTGGTTGTGAGCGTCATCACCATCAGCAATGAATATAGTGTTGCTGTGTGGCTGAGAGAAGACATCCGCGTGCCCAAGGTTGAGGCGGATTTCTTGAAGCTCGCCTGCTGCCTGCCCCTCGGCCAAGGTAGACCGAATTAAAGGAGCGACATGGGGAAGATCTTCGACGGCAACGAAGGGATAGACGACGTTGATATGGGGAGGCCATCTCCCATGATGCTTGTCGTATACTGAACGAAGGCGGTCCACGTCGTGGCAGAGATCTGCCGGGGGTATAATGCAAAGGGCAGTTTCGTAAGAGTCCACACCGATACTTGAAGAATCTGAAGCGCTCTCGGCGGCCGCCATAACTGAAAGCTTTCGATTTCGGACTGCAGGGTGGGTTTGATGAAAGAAAGTCGTGAAGAGCCGTAATTGATAAAGCTGTGTAATTTGGTCAAGCAAGTGAATCCAATGATGAACACAACACCGGAGAGGAAAAGGACCGACGAATCGAAGGAAAGTGCAGCTTTGATACCGTGTCTATTTGGACGTTGAGCAATATATACACACCGACAGCTCCTGCTTCAGCTCAGCCACGCTACGAGAATGCACGGTTGAAGTTGTGACTCCCAGGTCTCCTGTCGGGTGGCTGTGCGCGGGGTAGGTATGAGTGTGTTGCCCCTAGGCGCACTGCTACCACTGGTACAAATCGCGTCTGCTACGAGGCTATGACTATGATGGCTATGATGACTCAAGAGAGGTCGGTCCAGGGTTGACTGCAGTGAACGGCACCAGGGCACTCTGCGAAGGAGCTCTAGCACACGGCCCGTGCGGGCCGCAATTCCAAGCTGCTAATTGGCTAGCGTTTTGCTCGCTGTACATACCTGTGTAGGTACGTCGTTGAGTTTCCTTCGCGGCGTTCAAGTCGCCGTCGTATTAATACGTTCTTAAATACTAAGAACGAAATCTTAGAATGCCGCTCGCTGCAATGAATAGATATTGCTAGCGAATTTCTTGATATCGCAAGATTGTACTAGGTAGCATGCAATCACTTAACCACTTAGGTACTGTCAACTAAGATTACAAGCCTGTCAAAGATTTAGAAGCAGTTACTGGATGTGAGCTCAAATGAAATTTGGCACGCCAGGCGCCCAGTTCGACATAGCTCGATCTACAAACCTTTCATTAGTCGCCAACACCACAGAAACTCAATATTCTTTGCCCGAAATGCGGAATCAAGCTCAGAGATCTCGGCATAACCTATTCTCCCACGCCCCATCCTCATGAAGCTCACGTTGACCAATTTAAGATTCAGGACTAAGATCTGCAACTCTCACTACTTGAGCCACACTATCTTCGGGAACACCACTCAAATTCAAGGTGATGATAGATGGCGGTAGGACGTCTGAAAGGCAAGGGTCCTCTAGAGCTGGCCCGACTTCTTCATCATTTTCTGGACTTATGAGATCTTCGTAGCTTGTCCATAAAGTCTCCAGTTTTTCGAAGTCAACCAATGGGCCCATGAATAGTTCATGTGCATCGTCAGATGCCGACGGATAGAAAAATAGAGGTCCTCCTGCTCCAAATCCCGGAGATCTGTATCGATGTTCAATCCTCAAATTCTTTAGGGAATGCCGCTGTGATTGAAGCATTTTTATGACAGATCTCGGTTGAAAGCTTGCGTCATCCATAGCCTGTAATGTCATTCGCTCATAATGTTTGTGGCGACTGAATTCAAATGTCTCTAACGCTTTGCAACCGCTTAGCAGAGCTTTTGCAGCTGCGTCTGTCAGATAAGAGTCATCTTAGTTGATGGTCTTTAGGTTTGATGAGGAAATATCAGCGGCCCATCCTCTTCTTCCATCGACATTTTGACCGTGAAAGTATGGAGTGAGGGAAGCGTAAGTAGGCGCCCAACGCACTCCAACGAACACCCTTTAGATCCCACATTGATATTGAGAGTCTGGAGACACTTCAGACTATCCGATGACTCTTGAACGAACGACTTCCAGCAAAGAAACGGGGTGTTCGGTATTCCATCTAGTTGGAGCTTTTCAAGCTTCGGAAGCAGGGCAAGCAATAGGACGAGTTCTGCATCTTCAACGCTGGTGTAGAGCATTCTCGGCCAATCTGCGTCCCGCCTTAGCCGTACGTCTGCCCATCGCTCTCTGAGATATCGTGCAGCCCTGATTCGGTGCGCTTCTTCGTCCGTAGGGTCGGGGCCATCCTCATCATCCGAGTCGTCTGAAGGCATGTCTACCACATATGCATCGGCCTCCAACTTGGCATCCGAGTCAGAAGCGGAGTCATCTGAATCGGAGTCCTCGTCGGTTCCATCACCTTCATCGCCGCCGTCGTTCTCATCTTCGTCATTGTCGCCTTGCTCATCTACATTCTCCTCCTGCACTTCCGCAACCTCCTCTTCACCAGCATCCGCTGGAAGTCCTCCCGTATTCGAATCTTCTGCGTCAGAATCCGCCTTATTGAAGTCATAATACTCGACTGCAATGTATGCACTATACCTAATTTCTGTAGAATCCATATCCCACTCTCCGGTATCAGCGTGGGCGTCAATGAGGCCTATCTGCTTCGCCACATTTACAAACAACACCTGGTCCTGATAAGAAAGTACGTCCATGAAGGAGGTATCTGTGCCTTGTCCTCGCGCGATGCCGAATTCCGCCTCCGCCTTGCATCGCTCCGTCATCCACCTTCGAACACGCACATCCTTCACAAGTAAAGCCAGATCAGGACGCTGTGCAATGGTCCTCAAAAATTGCGTGAACGGAAGCCAAGGGACCTTGTCTTTGTTGTCATACATCTTGTAAAGGAAAGAAGTCACTATGGCGTTCATAGTGCGAAAGTTCGTGATAGATGGCAGAGATCGGCTTGATTAGGAATATAGGAGATTATCTCCCCGACAAGCTCAGTCGGTGGGTCCACGAAACCGGCCATCCTGACAATTGGAGATTAGCTGCGTTGGCGTCTCGGTATTTGAAGTGTAACGAAGGATAGAACTACGCAAAAGAGGAATTCCGAGGGCAATGTATGGATCTGTTTGCTGGGAGAAAGTAGGTGAGGACTAGCGTGGAACGCGAATACACATGAAGGTTCTATAGTTCTACGTTGCCCAGGCGTGGTAGAAGAAGTGGTATTCTGGAGGCGTTCGTCGCTGACTCCTGAGGTCGGTGCTCGAGTCAGTCCCTTGCCCCTCAACAATAGGACGGAATTCGCCGAAGGTCAGCTGGCTTTCGCGACCTGTTTCCGGGCTTCCTTGGATGTGACGGATGTGATAGAGGCTTGGAAGCTGTGATAGAGGCTTGGAAGTTGTGATAAAGGTCAGGTGTGGTGGTGAGGGTTCCGCGACACTGATTCAACTAAACCACGCGTGGCTTTTCTCTCACATTCTCGACGTGCGCCTGACCTCGATCTCGATGTTGCTCAATTCATATCAGGGACGCCGTGGCTAAGGTAGGAGGCGTACTTCTGGCTGTAGATCGACGTTGTTCAGATCCGAGTGGAGATCACGGGTTCTCGCGTTGTACATACATGTACCATCGATTGGCGTGATCGGCTCCGGCCTCAGCCCTTCCTCTCAACCGGCGCATCCTTTTATACATCCATCGCCAGTACGACTGTGTGACAGAAGCCCATCAGTTGCATCGTATCTTGATGCTAGACTCCACCATTGGTTTTCAAACGCTGAATTCGCGACTAGCTCTCGATTGCCCTACCCCATCCCACCTCCACGTTCTCCAGAGGTGGCCCAGCCTGGCATCTGATCCGCACGAGCTCCGAAAGCTAGCCTTGGTATTCCTCTGAACACACTTGTACTCTATCTAGAAGTATAAAAATACGTAGGGTACGTCCAGCAGCGATGGCGAGCACACAGACGAAGAAGCTAAATATCCGCCATCATAGCAATATGGCGCGCATTCACGATCTTCCCATCGAACTTCTTTCCGAGATTACCGGCTGGATTCCCGACCAGAAAGACCTACTCCAACTTTCCTACGTCTCACAAAACTTCAACGCCGTAGCCAATCCCCGTCTCTACCGCATCTACAATAACTCGGTTCAGAACTGGCAGCCTTTCACGTCTTTCTTGAGAACCATCGCCAAGCGTCCTGATTTGGCACGATGTGTTCAAGAAGTTGAGCTTCGTCCGTGGCGGTCCGAAGCTTCCATGAAGGCTATGCGAGCAGTCATAGATATCGCTACAGAAGATGTGGAGCTATTTGTAGCTGCTGCAAAACAAGCCAGGGTGATTGATAACGATGCAGAGCTTGGGGACTGGGACGACCAAATCGAATGGAATCGTTACCAAGCTCTTTGCAAGGAATATCGAGGGGACGTAGATGGCGAAGACGTGGATGTCATCAATACAGGGAGGTTAGCACCCTTCGATACTGTAATTGCCGGGGGACAATTCTACACGCATGCGGAATACAGTGAAAACAATTCTGGCGACGGCGAGGACGAGGAAGACGAAACGGACGGTTCAGATGAAGACGACGAATTCGACGAATTTGGCGATTATTCTGACTATGACCTTGACAACGAGCTTCTCCAGGCCTCTATCTCTGGCTCTCGACAAGAGCGAATCAATAGTAGCAGTGTTCACCTTCGGCGAGACGTTGACTGGCTGAGAATGATTCATGCAGGGGTTGAGGATGCCGAAGTTGTGCTAGTACTTGCTCTGCTTCCAAAACTTGAGCGCCTCATCACCCAAGGAGCACCGGATCTTCCACATCTCGACTGGAAGAAATTTATCCTGAACTCGGCGAACCCTTTCCCAGCTTTGCAGTCTTTCTATATTCATCCAGGACCCGAGGGGTGGTCATTGCAACAGTTTGCCTGTCTATTCGATCTGCCTTCGCTACGTATCCTTCGAGGCTATTATGGTGAGGATCTGATGGAGTTTAAGCCAGGGTGCTTTTCCAAATCTTCATCACGTCTAATTACTATTGATCTGGATGAATCCTACATAAGCGAAAACGGCGCCAGACAGCTTGTAGAATCATGTACCGCCCTCAAGACCTTTGGATATGGACTCGAATCCGTAGAAAGCGGGGAAGACAACCCGCCCTTTGCGCCCCGACCCATAAAACGAATACTTCGCTCCCAAAAAGATTCCTTGGAGCATCTGAGGCTGCTGAAAGTAGAAGAGGTTCCCCCTCTTGAGACAAAAGACTCTTTCCTAGGATCTTTGCGAAAGTTCGACAAACTCCAGACGATCTGGATGAGTTATGAGGTTCTAATGGGTCCGGGGTACCTTGAACATACAGACCCAGGACTTATACGCTCTTGTCTTTCCGATAAGTTGCCGTCTTCCATCGTATCACTCAACCTCAGCTTCGTCATTCCTCGTGGCTTCACGCAGTTACTACGCCTAGCCTCTCGCTCCGAACAGTTCCCAAACCTGAAGTTAGTGAACATAATGTTGTCGAGCGAAGACGGCAGGTGGTTCCACGACGAACCTCCAGAAGAAGACAATCCAAGGGAAGCTTTAATCAGGACTGCATTTGAAAGTAAAGGCATCGAGTTTTTGTGTTGTCCCGAAACGGATGATGACGTGTTCACGGAGAGGGCGCGCTTGAATTGGATCGAGGCTACGGCTTCTGATGATGAGATTCTGCAAGAGATGGACTGGTAATACATTATCCCGATGCAAACGCTTTCCTTGTAACGAGTTTCGGGAATCTGGTTGTGTATATTCAACGCATTCGAGCTGCCATAGCGCTAATGACAACCAAACTGGCGATGCAATTCGCATAAAGGCAAGAAACCCAACACAACGCCGAAATACATTTTCTTGATCCATGCTCTACCATTTCATTATTCCTGGCCTCCTATCGAGCTACTCCCTCCCCCACTCGCCTCACTCAGAACTTGCGTGCGCAGCACTGCCCCCGACTCATCCACAAACACCTCGCTCACGACACTAAGCCCATTAAACGGAACATACACATACTCCAACCTCCTCGCCGCCTTCCCATCCGCAGTCGTACTCTCATTATACCCATTGAACGTCATATCGCTTAAATAATGCCCCGTAACCGTCACCCGACTCAACTCTCCATTATCATCCAACGACTCCGTCACAATATCCCCATTCTGCGCCAGCACGCGGTTCGTGTGTGTATGCCCGCTATAATCATTGACCGCATACAGTATATTATGCTCTAGGTTATAACTCCTCTCCTTCAGCGTATTCGAGGGTGTCGTCAGCCCTCCAACCGTCGTGTTCACGATACTCCCCACGTCGTTCCCAACGGTAGCGAGGATGGGGTTCAGGTCCAGCGACGAGAGGATGTCGTTGATCATGAGCACGAGGTTGCCGAGGCGGGCTTCGAGCGAGACTTTTGCGGAGACGTTTTGGATTTGCAGGAAGACGCGGTCGATGTGGGCGATTACGCCGGCGTTGAGTTTGAGGAGCGAGAGGACTTGCGCGTCGAGGTTTATTTTGGCGGTGAGGTTCGAGACGGTTATGTCGATCTCGCCTACGTGCACGGTGGCGTTCAGGTAGACGTCAGGCTCGGGGTCGAGCGTCGAGACGTTAGCGTTGGTGTTTGCGGTTTCGTAGAGGACGTCGTCGTTGTCGCCGCGTTGGGTGAGGGAGTAGCCAATATAGCCCCCATCATCGGTGGATTGGGCGTTTACCAAGAGACGTCCACAAGAGAAGGAGGCAATCAGGATGAGCTTGGTGATGAGAGACCGCATTTTGGTGGTTGTGCGGTTTAAGCAACGAGGAGGAGGAGGTCAGTAAAGATGGGCATACGGATTTTGCAATGACAAACACAAACACTAGCAAGAAAGAAATGACCAATTCATGCAGCAGCAGGGAGACTGATTGCTTTAGAGAGATCGCCCGTTGACGGAAGCCGCTTACCCGCACGGAAGCACGCGAGATATCACTAGGGACATTTAGATTGGACGCATGGCGATTAAGGGATGGGATTTTGAGGGGGACCAGGATACCGCCTTAAGAGGCGTCTTTTAAGCATCTCGAGCTGATCGAGAATCCGGTTTCTACCCCAGATCTACCAGGGTAGGACCCCAGTATATCGGGATCCCCCTGAGTCAATCCGAAACACGGCACGGCCTGTACCATGAGAACTGCACGCAGCTCCGCCCTCGTGGCCCAGAACATTCAGGTTTCTCCTCCTAGAAATTTCAATGGCTAACGCTAAATGTCATTCAGCCGAAAGGAGAGTAAAGAGCCATGTCATATTACGAGCGGGCATCTGTAGAGCGCTTGGGGGGATTTGTTTCTCGTGAAGTCTAGGTGTTCAGCCCTTTTTCTCCTCTTCAGTTCCCGTCTCTCTTTCTGCAAGACATGTTGTCCAACTCAATTGCCTTTGGGCGTCTTGCCTGCGTCTTGCTAGCTTTCGTCCCACACGGCTTCTCCCAAGACTCCCCAACAATCTCCACCGCATTCCCCGCCCCCGCCTCCTCTGCATCTTTAACCACCCCGTTTTCAAGCCCTCCTCTCACACCCGCCTCCTCCGCCTCCTCGCCCTCAAGCCTCACCCTCCCAAGCTCCAGCAGCTCCGCAACCGTAACCCCGCTGTCCGGCCCCCCCGACGTCCTCCTCAACGTCCCCACCCTCTCCGTCGGCCGCATCGAGCTGGACGTCGACAACCTGCAAGCCGACATCAACCTCAACGCCAACGTCGCGAGCATCGTCTCCATCAACGCTGGGGTGCAGCTCTCCATCACCAAAGTCAACCTCACCATCTCCGACGTCTCCGCCAAGCTCGAGCTGATCGTGCGCCTGGGCCACCTCGTCGACATCGTCAACCGCGTCTTCGAGTCCCTCGACCTAAACCCGCTCCTCGTCAACGCAATCAACAACGTCACCGCGGTCGCGACGCAGGTCGTGGGCGCGGTGGACGGGCTGCTGGGCTCCGTGACGCAGGGCGGCACGACGCTGTCGTTCGTGGTGGACAATCTCGGGAATATCGTCCAGGAGGTGGGCGGCGTGAGTACGATCGTAGGGAACTATATGCAGAATATGACGGAGACGGGGACGCCGGAGCAGCTGGGGAACGGGCTGGTGCAGAAGACGTATAGTTACTCGCCGCTGAGTGCGCTAGTGAAGATTATTTTTAATGCGGCGGGCCAGGTGGTGCAGGCGACGGTGGCGAAGCAGACGGCGACGGGGACGGCGAGTACGGGTGGACCGACGGGGACGGCGGGGGCGAGGAAGGTTTGAGGGGGTGGAAAGAGATGGGAGGGTGGGATGGCTAAGCTAGATGGTTAGTTGGTTAATAGCTTCGAATGATACATAGCAGATTTGTTTCAGTGCGCTGATGGGCCGCAAGCGGTCGCATGTGAGTGTAAACAGGTTCATGTTGATCAGTCTAGCTGAATTACACGAGGGTTTCTCTAATTTCTCCAACAAACCTGGGAAAGTGGACAATAGAAGAACTGTGTGAGCCATGAACACCATCCAACACCTTACCGTGTATTAGGATGACCGAGAACTTCCCAAGCTGGTATCTGGCGTTGCACGCAGAGCTATTCCTCATCAGTTCCCTCGTAGCCCTCCATCCATCCCTCGAAGAAGACAACCCAGTGATCGAGGTAGTCGGCGGCGAGAACTCGAGCGTCTCTGGCGTTGTGGAAATGCAGGCACAGATGAAAGAAAGCTTCTTGCATAATTAGGCCGAGTGCCTTCTCGTCATTTTCGATCTTCTTCATCGCAGCCATGATGTCACTCATAGCTTGCTGGATATCATTATGCTCGCCGCCAGCCTCAGCTGTTTCAGTACCGATCACCTGAGCATCCGCGTCCAGAGAACCGGTAGTCTGAGGGTCTGTAGCCGTAGTCTGAAGTTCCGTAGCCGCAGTCTGAGGGTCCGCAGCCGCAGTCTGAAGTTCCATAGCCGTAGTCTGAGAGTTTGTACCCTGGGAGGCCGTAGCCTGAGAAGTAGTGCCCTGAGCGCCCGTAGTCTCAGAAGCGGTCATCTGAGAAGCGGTCGACTCAGAAGCGATAGCCGAAGCAGCGGCAGTGTGAGATCTCGTAGCCGCAGCATTCATCTTCGCATTCGAATTGGATTTCGTCATTTTCTTCCAGTGGCGGTTGGAATAGTTGACGAGTCTTTTTGGGGATGTCAACGGATCTCATAGCTAGAGCAAATTGTCTGGATGCTCGACTTACGGTAGACCACGAGAAGTCAGCATATATGAGGCTAGGTGAACGCGGACCATGTCTCCGCGCTTTGGGTGGACGTGTTTGGCCATGATGTGATTGAACAGGCCGTTCACATCACCGAACCAGACCTGGTAACCCTTCACCGCGCAGTAACGACATTCTCGATCGTTCTTTTTCAGGATGAGCTCGCCAGAGGTCGGCCAAGCCTCCTTGCTGTCCTGGTCGATGTCCATGTGGTCAATGTTCTGTGTCAGCTCTACCATATCTGTGTCAGCCATTCTGCATATAGGACCTTCTGCGCGTAATTAATAGGTATCAAGTTACATGTACCAGGATGAGAGGTGAGCGATTGGTGGTCAGTGCGGTTGCTAGAGCGTGAATTATCCATGTTTTCTCTTGAGTGTGGATGTCTGAAGGTAAAGCGAACCGGCGCGTGTGGATGTTTTTATACTGCTGCCTTGCGTCATGGCTTGGCGAGTTACCTAGGCAACCTGACGACGATGATAATAATCATCATCGGCACTGATGGCTCTCTCTCGGCTCATGTGCAGTACGTTAGCGCTGCTTGAGGTCCTCTGGTGTGGTTTTAGCAACCATAAACCTACAGTTTTGACCAGCGTGATAGCTTGCCAGGGCACCTCAGACGGTGTGGAATTGCTATACTATATTCAAATGGAGCTGTAAGTTGACGAGAACTCGCAGATGATCTTCATCATCGCCGCTAATAGGACAGTAGCCAGGCATACGCTCTCTCTGGCCACTGTTTGAGGTTCTCTGGCATGTTATCAAAAATCGTAAACCTACAATTTTAATCAGCGTGATAGCTTGCCAAGGCACCTCAAAGGGTGCTGGACTGCCACACAATATTCAACGGAACCGCAACCTGACGACAACTCGCCGACGATCTCCCACACCGACCACCAGTAGGATAGAACCCAGATACACACTCTTTCCGGGCTTGTGTACACTAGCTTAGCACCGCTTGAGGTCCCCTGGTATATTAGTAGCAATCGTAAACCTACAATTTTGACAAGCGTCATAGCTTGCTGGGCCACCTTAGACGGTGCTGGACTACCGCACTATGTTCAACGGAGCCTGCCACTTCGCATAATAGTGGAATTTTGCAGTAGATTTTTAATTATCTTTCGATGATATGATGCGCATATCTCGTGAGTTCGCAGTCGGAGGCTCTATCATAGCTTCGCCCTCGCCTTCTCCCACAAACTCGGTCTCTCAAGACTAGCAGGTCCGTCGTAGATGTCGCGTTCAACGGAGCGAGTGTTGATCTGGCATAGTTAGCAGTGTTTCTACAATGTTTTGCCAAAAGCCAGGGCATATCCTCTTGTGCCACTGCCTGGGGTAGGTAGCCCGACAATCTCTTGTGAGTTTGAGCCCAATGTAGCAGTTGTTGCGGTGGGAAATAGGCTACCTCTTAATTGACTGATTATTTGCCAGCAGTGGTAGCCCCTCAATACGAGCAAGAGCAGAGCACACGCAGTGGTATATCCGTGTGCCCAGACTTGTGACATAATACTGAGCATCATAGAATGAAAGGTCTTGCTTACATATTGCATGCCTAGATCTTCAACCTTGGCCACACCGAGAAGGCGCATACATGTCTCGGTCTCTGCCTTGAGGACTGATGAACGTCAGCATCAAGAAAATTTATGGATACGACAAGAAGGACAGAAACGCTTACTCTCTAGCACTCTCGCCACACCCTCTTTTCCTCCAGCTCCAAGCCCAAATAATGCGGGTCGTCCAATACCAACTCCCCTTGCACCCAGACACAGCGCCTTAACGACATCTGTTCCTCGCTTGATGCCGCCATCTACCCAGACTTCGATGCGGTTGAAGACCTCTGGGCAGTACTTCCGGATTTCTAGTAGAGTATACACAGCGGGCGGGGCCGTATCCAGTGCTCTTCCGCCATGGTTTGATAGGATGATGGCCTTGACCTGCGGCGCATGCAAGCTGGCAAGATATGCATCTTCATGTGTCTGCAAACCTTTGAGAACAATTGGCAGATTGGTATGCTTCGCGAGCCAAGTAAGGGTAGTCTTCCACGTCAAGTCTGCCGCAGTACCGGCAAACAAGCTCTGGCCAATACCGCCTGGTTTTATTTCTGGATTGAAGTTTGTCTGGGGCGATGAGCTTGTCTGGGATGTAGATTCGCCGCCTTGTACTGCTGACTTGACTGGCAGAACGGCTCCGATGTTTTTGCTACGCTCGTCTTCTTCTCGCTTTCCAGGAACCGGTGCATCAAGTGTCAGACATATAAACTTGATCGTATCAAGCTTCTTAATCCTCGCCAGCTGACCCTCGCTCTTCGCACGGTCGTTCTGCACGTATAGCTGCCACCCAAAGAGTTGTCCTGGTTGTGCATCTGCTACTATTTGCTCGACCGTCATCGAAGCGTTGTTCGAGATCAGCTGCATGGCCCCGAACAAGCCGCAAGCTTGCGCAATCCCATGCTCGCCGTCCGGATGCGCGAGTCGCGCCATAGCTGCGGGCGAGACATATATTGGGAGAGAAACTTTGTGCCCGACTAAGGTTGTGGAGGTATCGCAAGCGGTGCAATCGACGAAAACGCGTGGCCGGAGCAGAATCTGCCGGTAGACTGTGTTGTTGAAAGACTTGGAGGCGAGATCGTCGGCGGCGGAGTAGTAGTATGCCCATGCCTTACGGCTGATTTGTTTTGTTGCCACTTCCTCTATCTCATCTACGTTCAGCAGGCTTTCTAGGTCTGGTGGGCCACTTTCATCAGGTGTCTCCTGTGCGGGGGATTTCTCGGAGGAAGGTAGGGTGGAGGCATCGATAGTTCCGAGCTTGTTCTCAGGCTTCAGGGTCTCTTCTAGAATACCGGGAGGATGTATGGGGTCGTATTCCTCGGTTGCGTCTGTGCCAGCGAGCTGGAGGATCACTTTCGAGCCGCCGGGGTGATCGGGGACGAATTCTGTGACGTCGTAGACATTGCCGTAGAGAACCACCCAGCAGCTCTCTGCTGTGTTGTGCTTGGCCACTGTGCACAGCTATTAGTACCTAAGCAAACAGGAGCTCTTCAAAGGATCACACCTTCCGCGTAATCAAAGACTTTGGCCATGTTACTGGTGGGATTGGAGGACCCCACCCTTGAGCTCTGAAGGTTGGGTAGTGGTGGTGATACGATTGTCAATTGAAGGGTGAGGAAGCTTCAATGGGGAGGAAGATATGCAGAAGAGACCGTCATAGAACTTAAGCCATCCATCATTTTATCAAGAGTGCATGTTCGGTGCCTCCATCCGGCAGCGTGGAGTCTCGGTGCAATGTCGCCGAGGGGAGCTCCTGAAGAGGCAAGAGTTTCCGATGGCTAGCAAAATCTGTGTATTGCGGTAAATTCGACGACGTCGGGTCCTTTTGAGTTATCCATGAACACCATCATCCCAAGATTCACTTGTCAATTGAGGAACCTACAAGCGACTGATCCGCCTAGTATATGATCTCAACCACTTTTGGAATTTGTGAACAGACTCCGAAGGACAATTGCTCCCAGTTGAGTCCAATAATGGCGCTCCATGCAAAGTCTGCCATGCTCTGTTGAACATAAAATAACAGTCTAACACTGTACCGTCTGAAGCCGAAGAACTATTAGCCTTGTCAAAGTTGACAACATTCTACGGTTTTTGGTAACGTGCCAGAGGTCCTCAAGCAAGTGCACACATGCCTAAAGAGAGTATTTATCCTATCTTCTCAAGAAAGAGCAACCCATCATCTCAAATCCAACAGCATCGCCTTCCAACACGAAACTTATGAACCTCAAAAAGTGAAATGAAAAGCCGATAGGGTGGAATACTTCTGACGAGACAACGCTCTCAAGCCTCATCGGCCTTTCGTTTCTTGCTTTTCTTGACGGCCGGTCTCTCGAACTTCAGTTTCTCGTACTTCCCCTCGAAGCGATCCAAGGCTTTTTCAGCTACCTCGATGGGATCATCAAGCTCAGGACCTCCTCCATATTGTTCGACTAGAATCTGGTCCTCGTATACGCCATCTAGGAGCTGCCTGAACTTGTTGATCTCGGTTCTGAGGTACATTAACTCTTTGTCGCGTTCGTTTTTCTCCCAGCGCTTAATCTCAGCATGAGGGATCTCGATTGGTGTGACGTAATTCTCTTCAAGAGCGGCTGCGGGAAACTCGTTAGTAAAAAGCCCAATTGTTCATTGCATTTACGCAGTCTTACCTGGAGAACGGAAGTTGATCTTGAACATCCGGTACGGCTTTTCATCTGGCTCTCTAATGTCCACAGGGGCGAGACATCGGTTCTCGTAACCCATCTTCACGATCGAGCCAGCTGGCCCACCGATCAGTTCCTCCGGATCAAGAGCCACCAGGTGGCTCACATGTTCTCTCTCCACGTCCACAGCACTGATACTGGGAACCTCGTCCCACGAACGATGCTCCGCTTTTGTAAGCTTCAGGCTGCGTGGCTTTTCTTGTGCCTTCAGCTTTGCGCGGAAGACCTTGATTGTGATTGTGCCGCCCTGATCATATCCTTCCCAGTTGGTGTTATCCAGATTGAACTTGGTGATTGGAGCGAAGTTGAACTGTCGGATACATGGTTTGTTTCGAGACTTGTAATACTCGATTCCTCTCATCATCGGGGATTCCCAAACGCGAAATCCGGAGTTCGCAATGTCCATGTCGTTCCACAAATCGAAAGTTTTGCCGTCCATAGTGATATATCTAGTACGCAACGGTCGTTAGCCTCTTTCTTCTCAATGGCTCAGCCGCGGAAGATCTTCGGAGAAGACTCACATGTGGGCACTATGGTGGCGGAAGTTATGCCAGGTAAACTTGATTCCGAAGTGGCCGTCGTGTACCTCGACATTTGCCTCTTCACCGCGCAGCAGGACGCTGACGAGGCGCTCAGGCGCCTGAACCCACGAGCTCTCGTCCGACGCATCGGGAGAATCACTCGTCTGAGCTTGATTGGGATCGGGGGCTTGTGGCTGGTAGACCCCGACTTCTACCGATCCATAGCGAACCATGGTGGCGGTAGTTGTTGCGGTGTTTGTGAAGGTGGACAAGCAGGGAGATCTGACGGGGGCTTTAAAAGGATGGATGGAAGTGAGGAGGTCAGTGCTCATTGCGTCGCGCGTCTTGAGATGTGAAGACTTCGCGTGAAGGCGGCGGGCGAAGATTGCGGTGAATTCAACCACACCCACCACGCCCGAATTGCGACTCCTTCAGCTACATCACCATCACCTCGCAAGACAACAGACTCCACCGATTGACAACAATGCCGCCAAACTTCCTCGGCTCGCTCCCGGCTGAGCTTACGCTTGAGATCGCCAAGTACCTGGAACGAGGTGACCTGAGTTCCTTGATACGGACTCAGAAGTACCACCACGAAATCCTCCAACAGGAGCTCCAGAAGCTAGCTATCGCGGAGTGGATGGAGTACCGGCCTTGGAAGCTGCAATTCTGAGTCGGGATCCCGTCAAAGTTCACTACCTGGTATCCCATGAGGCCGACGACTGGGTTGATGGTGCCTAGTGGGAACCATTGGCCGTTGCGCTATCTTGCTACAAGCAGCTCTCTGGTTACTACACTGGTGCAGATGAACGGCACGTAACAGAACACGAAATCAAAGCAGCGAGATTAGCAGAAGTGCTTGCTGTCCTCTTGAAACATATCGAGGGAAAGCCGAAAACCTGGAGTGGCCATGAAAAGCTCATGAACGAGCTCACCTACATCTTCGTGTTTGTCAGCATCGGTTCGGATAACGGCTCTTCTATTTTTGAGCTTCCTATGCATCAGGTTCTCAGGGTTACTGAGCTGCTCTTTGGAAATGGTGGAGATGTCAACAGTATGATGGAGAATGAGCACACTGGATCAGCCTTCCTCGATCTGGTTGTAGGCTCCTGGAAACCTAAGATTCTAAGCCTCTGCTTCACCTATGGCGCCGATCCTTTGAACGAGTCAAACGGACGAACTCTGCTACATAGATGTATCAAATCATCCGTGGAGTATTGAGTGGTGGGCAAGGACACCGCTGTGGAGTTCGTACGTCTCATGGTGGAGGCCGGGACGCCAATAGACAAGAAGGATGTCATGGGCTACACACCATTTCTGGAGGCAGTGAGATCACATTCTCATGACATAGCCAGGCTTCTAGCCAATCGGGGTGCCCATGTTCATGCAGAGACCAAGGATGGGTCCAATGCCGCAGATCTAGGACTTCAGTAGTTCTGCAACCGCTATTCTCCCAGGTACCGCGAAGAACTGCACGACATCTATTCATTCTGGCGCTGGGGCATTGAGCACGGGATCGACATTGTTCGCGCCCACAAGGTCTACCATTTTGGTAGAATTTCCCAAAGCCCTGCGACTGAGTTGTTGCACCTGCTATGGTATGAGAAGCTAGATCTCGGACTTCCCCAGGAAAGCCAGGAGTTCTTGACTTTCTTGGTGAACCATCTTCACGGGAAGGAGTACGACAAAGCAACGGCACGGTACCTGAAATACTTTGCTGAACCTTTCAGTAAGAGGAAGGCGAAGTGGTAATGGCGACAATGCCCTGGCGAAATCTACATATCGTCTGCTCCGATTAGGAAACTTGTTGGGCGCGCGAGATGGGAAGAGTTTATGGGGAAACGATTGGGATCATGGGGACGAGATGTAGGGGACGAAAAACGGCACAACTGGGATTCGGCTTCGACGCCACTTGTAATATTCGAAGCACCACTATGGTATAGAAAGCCTAATACAGCCGGTTGGTAAATCGAGCTAAATTGTGATGCGAGAGGTGCGATGCGTGACTGAAGATCACAAGCTCTGAATTCTCACCTTGAGGACTTCTATGTACCAGTAGGGGACTTGTAGAGGTTGGATCATGCGATCACATGGTGTACTTATATACGCCACTCGAATCAGACCTTATGACTTTACATGAGGTTAAGTGGTAAAGCGCTTCTGGAGTACGTAGAGTTAAAATCGGTCGGTGCAATATCCATGCTCTCAACCAACCTGATACCCATTCAGGCTACCCTGGCATCTTTCAGTGACTATGGAGTACTTGATACTGCATATCGCAGGCAGGTTTAAACCAGCCCGGAATCAATCGAGGCGTGATGTAGCATCAAATCACGACGAGTCCCGTACTACGCCTACCATCATGCTGACAGCCTAGATATCGAGTGAATGCACTCCGGAGCTAACTGAAAAGACGGACCTTATAATGTCAAATTCTGAAATGTTTAAATTAGTTCGTAATCTATAGAAGCGCGAAAGGGCATCAAATTGCCGATTAGAGCGCTGACCATTCACTCGTTAAACGGTTCACAAAGGTGGCTCGTGCACGCTCGATGATCAAGCTCCGCGAAGCTTCAACGACAGAGCCTCATCTACAACCACCGCCGTCCATCATCCTCTCCTCGCCGCCCACGTATAGCCGCTGAACCCTCTCCGTCCGTCCGGTAGTCTCATCTCCCCTTGCTCCTCGCCCCCCATACACCGCAGCCATGCCTGCCACCACAGCAGAGACATTATCGCTGGTCACACGGAACGTCTCCGTTGCGCCTCTTGTCCTCCTCTCCGCCGCAGACCACTACGGACGACAAGCAAAGGGCACGCGGAAACGAGTAGTCGGCGTGCTCCTAGGGCAGAACGACGGGAAGAATGTGCGGGTGTCGAACAGCTTCGCTGGTATGTCTACGTGGCGGCTGCTACCTAAATACCAGCCTGTACTTTCAGGCCTACGGCGTTTATTGCTGAGCTCGGGCTAATACCACTATGCAGTTCCTTTCGAAGAAGACGAGAAAGACCCCTCAGTATGGTTCCTGGACCACAACTACGTCGAATCCATGAACGACATGTTCAAGAAGGTGAACGCGCGGGAGAAGCTCATCGGATGGTATCACACGGGGCCGAAGCTACGGTCGTCGGATCTGGAGATCAACGAGTTGTTCAAGCGGTACACACCGAACCCGCTGCTAGTGATTATCGACGTGCAGCCGAAGGAGGTGGGCGTGCCAACGGATGCGTATTTCGCGGTTGAGGAGATCAAGGATGTGAGTTCCATTGCATTTCCTTCCCCGGACTTCTCCTATATACTAGAGAGGAAATATTGCTAGAGTAAGACGATCAGAATGCTGACCTCGCAACGAATCTAGGATGGCACCACAACCTCCAAAACCTTCGTGCACACGCCCTCGATAATCGAAGCCGAAGAAGCCGAAGAAATCGGCGTCGAGCACCTCCTGCGGGACATCCGCGACGTCGCCGTCGGCACCCTCTCCACCCGCATCACATCGCAGCTGCAGTCGCTGCAAGGGCTGCATCTCCGCCTGCGCGACATCGGCACCTACCTGCAGAAAGTCCTCGACGGCGATCTGCCCGTCAACCACGCCATTCTAGGCAACCTGCAGGACGTCTTCAATCTGCTGCCCAACCTCTCGACGCCGAAAGCGAAGGAAATCGGCGGCGCGACGAACGGCGTGGGGCCCGCGGCGGGTGTCTCAGATAACTCGGAGCTGGCGCGTGCGATGAGCGTCAAGACGAATGATCAGTTGATGGCGATCTATCTGTCGAGCTTGATCAGGGCGATAACTGCGTTCCACGATCTGATTGATAATAAGATCCAGAACAGGCAGCAGGCGGAAGAGAAGGAGAAGGCCAAGGAGGAAGGGAAAGAGGGCGAGAAGAAGAAGGAGAATGGAGCGACGAACGGGGAGGCCAAGGAGGGGGAGAAGGGCGAGAAAGGCAAGGAGGCGGATAAGAAGAAGGGCTGATAGCAGATCCTCGTGGCTGGGTTGAGCAAGGGCTGGGCTGCATCGAAGTGTATTATACCACACTTTTGGCGCTGGTTGGAACGGCTGACGGATGGATAGGTTCGTGGATCTGGTCGGGGTGAGACCGGGTCTGCATTCTATATAATCTGCACATGGCATGGTATAGACATCCAATCGAAACGACGGCACGTTCACCCTCTTGAATCATGCCGTATGTCCAAACAGAAATTCTCAATATTTCTTCGCTGGCTTTAGATGATATATCCCCATTTGATTCTCAATCTCAATCCCCCCATCCAGCAGCCCACCCAGCCGCCTCCTCAACACTAACCTCCCTCTCCTGCACACATCCCTTAAACAACTCGCATCTCTCCACTAGCACACACGCCAGCAGATGCTTGCACACAGGCGGCGTCTCAGCCCCCACGCTCACCCCGCCAAACCTCCACCCATCCTCCTCCTCCCCACCACCGTCCCCTTCCCAGTCACTCCCTCCTCCATTCCCACGACCCTGCCCAGCCCCAGACGGAAACGCCGCAAACGCAAACGCCGGACACGAGCAGTTCCACGCGCGCAGCCGCACCTCATACGCCGTGGTCGAGTCGATGGCCGCGCCGAAGCGCGCCGCGCGGGGCTGCTGCGCCGAGCGGACGTGGTAGATGGGGCATGCGTTGGCGTGCTCGCGTGCTCGTGCCGCTCGGGCTGCTCTAGCCTTCTCTTCGCAGTTGGGTGGGGAGGGGTGGTGGTGGTGGTGGTGGTGCGGCGACGCCTCTAGCATCTCTGCGTCCGCGTCCGGTGTTGGGGTTGTGGCGGTGGGGAGGGTTGAGGGGGGGTCTGGGGCTTGTGGTTGGGGTTGGGGTCCTGTGCCGGCGGTCTCGCTGTCGCTGGGGCGAGCTTCGCGGAGCCGGAAGCGCGTTACCAGGCTGCGATCGAGGAGGTCGAGGGCGGGCAGGAACTCGGTCGGGAAGAGCACGTGGAGGGTTAAGAGGAGCGGTTTCGCGGCTGTCGGGAGTGGGGTATTTGAGGTCGGAGAGGCGGCGGCGGCGGGGATGCTTGCGAGCAGGTCCTTCAGGAGGGCGCGGGGGGTTGGAGGTGGAGCTGGCATGGGCATTGCTGTGGGCGGGGCATGCTGGGTGGGGGGTTGGTTCTAATTCATTGGAGGCTGAAGAGACGTATGGAAGTGCGGAGAGCTTGGGGTGTCGTTGAGGTTGGATTTTGGGTTTTTTTGGGTCAAGCCTCAAGCTTCAGATCGGAAGCTAGCGGCGATCGATCTGGGGGAAACACGCGATAGCGATCTGCTTTTGGGACATGCGTTTCTACGTCGGAGACGCAATAGTTCTGAGAGTTGGCGCCATGATTCTTCGGGCTCGATGAACTCAAGGATTCACATCTCGTATAGATAGATTGTTGAAAATATATCGAAGCATCACAAGTGGAGGCTGAATACTTCGAGCTTGAACCAGGCAGCGCAAGTAGCACCTGTCTCTGTCTTTGCTGCTTTGCTAATTTAATCATTCTGAATTGCTCGCCTCCGACCTGATTTCGCTTCTTGTTCTATTCTACATAGCAGCCTAACGCTGTGACGGCTTGTAAAATGGTCGAACTACTGCCTAAGCCTTACAGCAGCATCAAATGATATCTAACAGCTACAGGGGCGCAGTACGTCAGAGCATTTACGTTACATGAAAGCTGTAGTGTAGTGATAGCAGCGGCGTATCGCTCCGCTGTAAGTAATGAAGACGCGGCGCTAAAGAGTGTCCATTAGGATGTCGTATGAGTCTCTAAAGGAAGGCTTGCGCAGTGAGGCTTCTCTGCAGGAAGTGTGGAAAAGCCGCAAGATGGCGTGGCGTGACGCTAGACGAAGCTCTTGACAAATGCAATATAGCAACACGTACCCTTGCTGGCTGGTCGTTCGTATCATAGGCTACCATTCTACCATTCTACAGATCGTCTAATGCGCAGATTTTACGTCTCATTCTAATGTACAGGAGTGAAATGGAGCCTCTCAGGTGGCAGCAAGATAGTGTATGCAAATTGATATCCTACCGCTGTGAATCATGGTATTCATTAGTGAATCTGAAATACGTGACAACTAGTCTTCTTTTTTTTGGGGGGGGAGGGGGGTTGTGGTTTGCCATATTTTCAAGACGACATGAAATACTTATCGGCTTACAATCTGTCTATACTATTCTAGTAATTCAATTGCTCTCAATCATCCCTGATAATCTACCTGCATTAGTCAATTGAAGCGTCAAGTTCGTGAGGCGACACGATCTCCCTTTATCCAGGAATGTGTTGTACAACCACTCCCTACTCTGTGCTGTGCCACTGACAAAGGACGCACTGTGCAGCGTTCCAGAAAGCACACTACCATTGGTGCCGCACCGACCTCTCACACCTCAACACCTGGCCCTGGCGTCGAACACTCCTTCGACGTCTGACGTGTGGCGCCGTCGTCTCGTCTCAGCAGACGCCATTGACGACGTGGCCCATGCTGTGATTGCAGGACCGGGGCAGCAACTGCGTCTGCATCGCCGTCGACAAGATTCGAAACAGGGCAGACGAGCTGCAGAGTTGGATGAGAGGCGGAGAGAGGCTGCGGGCTGCTTCACGACGCAGGGACTCCCCGCGGGCAGCGGCAGGCGGCCGGGTTGAGGGCGAGCAAGGCGCCGGCACAGGGCAAACAGGCGAGCATTGGCCTATCGGGGAGATCCAGTCATGTGCGGCCCGGGCGACGTGCAGATCTGGTGTCGTGCATGGATGCTGCCAAACAGAGGGGGTCCTCGACTTGCTGCACCATGATATAGTCATGGATGCGGCACGGCGAGCAGATGATTCAAATTGGAGGGGGGCATCGTGACCTGGCAGCTGGCGGTGCTGTTGTCGAGACTTTCCGATATCAATTGGCGAGAAGATATGGCTTTCGGAGGAGGCCGTTCTGGATCGGTCATCTGAAGGGCCCGTCATGCTCACATGCACCCGGGATGAAGGAGGTGGAGCGCGCGACCCGACCGCAATTCAGGGAGGTTGTAAAAGGGATCGTCCTGGCGAGCTTATGTGCCAATTATGCACCAGTAGCGCTGGACACTATACGCAGCCCGCAAACCGTGGAGAGAATGTACCGAGTTCTTGGTTAGCTTGCCCTGGGCACCCCACACAGCGTTATCCTGCAGCAGATGTGACTGGGCTTATGCACGCTAAGAGGCGTCAGCTTACAGACTCCCCGATTCACGTTCCCAGCACGCCAGGACTACCCCACATCTTCTCTTATCACTATCGCGTTATCGATACGGGCACGTAGCGTCCCGCCTTGTCCCAAAGCGGCTGCTGGGGACATCGCGGCGTGACCCCCCTTGGGTCGCTGATGGTGTGACGGGCATCTGGTGAGGCCTCAGGTGCTCCATCCGCGAGGCCAGCAATCAGAAGAGGGCGGCGTGGGGGCGACCTCACAGCTCAGCTGAGGCCTGGAAACGCTTTCACATGCGACACGGGGGAGGGACTGCACGACCTGTCAGATGGGCGCCAGGAATAGACGCGATGTTGGAACCCCTCGCGCAGGCCACAGCTGCACGACATGTTTGACCGGCCCGTGATGCCAGGGCTCAATTGAAGCCGGCGACGCGTGGCTGTGGCGATGGGAGTGCTGCGCGTATCACAAGACATCAATGCGCCAGCCAGAGACACATGGAGGCAGGATTCGTGTTGGTACTCCACGTCTCGCACTCGACGGTCCCCGAAAGCCAGCCTGGGGCGAGCAGTCGGCGCAATTGATGCGTGCCAGCCGGCGGACATTACGGACGAGAGACAGCGGGGACGAGTCCGGCATAGCCGCCAGAAGCATTGCGAGCAACGAGGCCCGCGAGGAGTTGGGCTCGGTCCATGACATCAAGCTGCGAGTGGAGTGCTTTGCCATCCCGGCGGTCAGTCGTCAATTCGTCGCCCGCGCGCGTGAGGGTGCTCCATGGCCGGCTGCACCCTCAATGCCCGCTGGAGGGCAGCCTAGGAGTCATCCGTCGGCTTGGCGCGGGTCGCAAGCACAGCATCAGGATCAAGAGAGCCTGGCTGAGGACCTGGGCGGGCGGTGCTCGACACGTAGGCGGCAACGCGAGCCTTGCGGCCAATTGCGCGCCAGCAGCAGACAAGGCTGCCAATTGCGGCGCGCTGAAAGCCTCGCGAGGGACGGCGGGCCATTGGGGGCGATGGAGGGCACTTCGCAGCGCAATGGGAATGCAATTGGGAGCAGATGCGGACGGAGCGGGCGCATCGTCGGCGTGGCCTCTGCTCGCTGGGCGTGGTGGAGGAGCTAGTGGAGTGCTTCGGCGGCAACCGTGCGGTGCGCCCGTGTGGAGAGAGAACCAGGGCTCTGCAGCAACCCTCATCCCCCTTGACTCACGTCTCTCTGGCCCATCGATCGCCTTTCACCATACCCGCCGTCCGCAACGCAGCATCCCGCTGGAGGCCGCGCCGCAGCCAGAGCGCCCGCCCCCAATTGCCCGCTCCCATTGGCGCCGCGCCCCAGAGGCTGCCACGCTTCGGGCCTCTTCCATTGCCTTCCTGGCCACTCCCAATTCGTCAGCAGAGCGCGCGTAAGACGATGTTGATGATGCCTGAAGGCTGTGAGCTGTCGCAGCTGCCCGGCGAAGAGTCCCATTGATCAAGCGATTAACCATGAAACCAGTCATCTGCCCCGTGGTCATTCTTTGTTGGAGCCTGGTTCTTTGAGACACAGCCCGACTGACCACCCTTCTTAAGCCGCCCTTGTCCCCTCCTGCTTCGGGCCCTCTCCCACTCCCCCCGTCCTACTGCACACCCTCACGGTAGAGCCTGACCAGCTCGCAATTGACTAATCCCACGGCCAGCCGCCTCTGCTGTAAGCATTGCCGGCCATTGGTTCTGTCCGCGCTGTTGCACGGTCACGCCTTACCTATTGTCACGCCTCACAATAGCAACGTCTGCTACAAGTGCCAGGCTCGCCACCTTCACCCACGGCTCCGATAGACCCTTAACACCGCTCTCCCCGCGCTCTGATTATCTTTCCTCTCGCTTCCACGCTTCAATTACTCACTCTCAATCATCAAACCTGCCTCTGCCTGCACCGAGACTACTTAAAGAGCCATATTCGCCATCTAGCAAAGCCACTGTCACTCTCACACCACGCCCACACCCTCTGCGCACGACCGCCCCAGCAGTCGCCAGAACGCCCCAGAACGTCTACCGCAATCCTCATCCGCTCCTCGCGACAATGGCGTCGTTTTCGCACGCTCCCACCACTCCGGCCAAGAACATGTCGTCGCTCGGCCGCAGCATGCCCATCTCTTCGCTCCTCTCGCCGGAAGAGACGAAGCCCGATTCCTTCACGTCTCCAATGGCTACGACCATGACCCGAACACCCGCTTCCTCGTTCTCTTCCGAGCGCAACCACTCCTTCGTCACCGGAATGTCATTTGCTTTCCCGACTGGCGACGCATATCCTTCTCCGCCGATCGGAGACTACGATCCACACTCCCAGAAGGAGAACAACAATTGCAATGAGGAGGATGGAGTGCGCGACCCGCAGCTCTTCAAGGCCAGCGACCCTGTTGCCCTGATCCCTTCGGACGAGCCACTCTTCCCACCCGGCGAAACTGTCGATCTGGCCGCCAAACATGCTATCAATGCGCATATGGCTTCTCCGCAATTTGCGAGCCTCCATGCAAAGCCAACCAAGGAGGAGTATGAGCTCGCCATTACCTGTTTCTCGCAAGTCTCAGTCGTTAGCCGTAAGATGGGAGGCCGCGAGTGGTATCGTCAGGAGCGAGAGTTCGACAATTGGTACGGCTCAAGCGCCAACCGTGTCGCCAAGTCGAAGTCGGCCGCCTCCAAGCCCCTCAGGAAAATACTACCCGCACCTGCGCCCAGCTCGAGGAGGCAGAAGACTCACCTCCCCCGGCCGTCTGTGACGAAGCCAAAGCGGACTCCCAAGGCCCGCGTCTATGACTCTTTCGTGCAGGGTGCCTCTCTATCGCCAAAGCCGGCGAAACTTGCCACGAACCGCGACGACACCGACTACAAGGCCTTGCCAGATTTCTCGCCACCCAACACTCTCGCTTCGAACAGCAAGATGCTGAACGCTGACTGGAAGGGCCAGAAGCTCGACCTCTCCAACGATCCCGACCGCCATCTGGTCCACGAGAATGAAGTCAACCTCGCTTCGACACTTCGCCTGTCTTGCGCCACCTACCTCTGCAGCAAGCGACGCATCTTCCAGGCCCGCATCGACGCCCTCCGCATCGGCAAAGAATTCCGCAAGACGGATGCCCAACAGGCTTGCAAGATCGACGTCAACAAGGCTAGCAAGCTCTGGACTGCCTATGAGAAAGTTGGATGGTTTCGCAAGGAGCACTTCATGCAGTTCATGCAGCACGTCTAGATCAGAACGCAACAACATCGCTGGCCGACTTCTGGATATGATTTTACATCCCATTCCAATTTCGTCGACAGACCATTTCTTCTTTCCTTCCTCATATGATAAACTGCTCTCATGATTTCCCTTTGTATCTCCCCAGCATTATCACGGCGGCTACGGATAGGAATTCCCCAGTCTCACGACGGCGTTTCACTACTCATCATCGGCGGTATGGTTTATACCCCACTCATTATGCATAAGCCGTCTATGGCTATAGCATCGGTCACGATACGGAGTTTGTTCTGATTTTCATTATGGCTTGCGGCTCTCGCGCCAGGTTGTGTGTTTGATACCCCCCATACCTATACCCACGTTTACGCCCCCAATTGATGTTCTCATGTATGGCATCTTGGATTTCTACGGGCCCGCTGGATTGTTGTTTTGCACTACACGTCGTCAGTAAAGACTGATTGGTGCCTTCATTATCACCTCTTGCGTAGTCAGCTATCAGATAGAACAAAGGAATTGGCCACCAAGGCTTTAAATTGGAGATAACAATTGCGCGACTGATGTGAATAACGAGACGTGACGCGTGAGCTATTCGTGCCTTTGAGTTGGCACCTTCGTAGACTCCGATTGATAAGATTCGAGGGGATTGAAGACTAATCATCAGTGAGTAATCCCGTTACAGCACTGGCCCTTAGCCCTGGGGCGGATAGGTAGAATATTTCACTGCTTGAGTGCCGCTTTTGAACGCTAGATACCAGTGTCAGCAGTTTCAATGGGGCCAGGTGGCCGGTCAATTGAAAGGTAGCTGAAATTCTCCCATATCAGATTTTAAACCGCGTCTGCGCGGATGATTCAATATGCAAAGGAGACAGCTGCTCCCATGAGTTCGTAACGTTACTAGTGAACACAGTGTCTTGCTATAGGCCTGTGCACACTCGGTGCACACTGCTCAAGGTGCGTCCGCGGGCTCTCAATTACTCATCCAAATCATCGCTTCCTCTACTCGGAGTTACGGTGGCCGCGGTCGAGGGTGAAACGCATGGTGTTGCCGTGGATGAGGTCAGCAGCTAAAAATGGGCATGGGATGGCGCAGCCCTAGGACCCTGGGCGGCGCAACAACGCTGGAGACGACCGACCTCCCTCATCGTCAACTATCTCCCTCCAAACACCCCACGTCTATCGGATGCGCGGAATAACGCGGCTTTGACGACATGTCGCAGACACAGCAGGTCCGCCACGAGGACTCGATTGAGACGCAGGATCCTCACAACGAAGACGCCAAGAAGACAAAGAGCAGGAGGCCCGCCAGTGCGACGTCTCCAATGCCCACTCGAGAGAGCCCATACTCACCGTGATGTAGATACCGCGTTCCGGCAACAAAGGCTAAAGGCCTGGCAGTATGTGCTTGCAGCCACTTCGTCGCCTTCAAAACCTCAAGCTGACTGGACCTTAGACCCATTCTCACCCCGAAAACCGTCCTCCCTCTCTTCTTCATCGTCGGCATCCTATTCGCACCTATCGGTGGTCTTTTGATATGGGCTAGCTCACAGGTCAGTCCGATACACAATTCTACCGCTTTTGGAGATGCTAGAGGAAAGGCGCTCATGCTGTGGCTCGGTCCAGGTGCAAGAGCTTGCCATCGACTATACCGACTGCTTCACAAAGTCGCCCGAAACCCTAGCCAACCGTGATCCTAATAAAACAGATACCACCGCCGTAATGCCCGCCAGTCGAGTGACATCGCATTTCAAGACAGCGGGAGGACAACCACCCAAGTGGGGACATGCCACTGAGAAGTACAATTATTCGTCGCAGGTCTCGCTAGATACGAACGTCTGCGTACTCCAGTTCGACATTCCCAATGACATTCATCCTCCGATCTTATTCTACTATCGCCTCACAAACTTCTACCAGAACCATCGACGATACGTCAAATCCATAGACACTGATCAGCTGAAGGGAGATGCCAAATCCGCAAGCGCAATCAACTCTGGAGACTGCGATCCGCTTCAATTGGACCCGGAGACTAAGCTGCCCTACTACCCTTGCGGATTAATCGCCAATTCCCTTTTCAATGATACTTTCGATAATTTCACCGCTCAGACTCAGGACGAACACGGCAAATTTCCAATATATAACCTAACTCAGAAGGGCATTGCTTGGAGCAGCGAAGCCGATCTATACGGGAAGACAAAGTATACTGCCAAGGAAGTTGCAGTGCCGCCGAACTGGCGATTGAGATACCCGAAGGATGGCTACACTGATGAGCGGGGCATTCCGGACCTTCACACGGACGAAGCCTTTCAGGTCTGGATGAGGACAGCTGGTCTGCCTACCTTCAGCAAGTTGGCAGCGAGGAACGACCACGACGTCTTGAAGGCGGGTACCTACCGAATCAAGATTTGGGAGAGTACGTTACCGTCTCACCACTCTTTGCAACGCTGGGCTAACACGAAGAAGATTTTGAGGTCTCGGAATACGGCGGCACGAAATCCATCCTGATCTCAACGAGAACGGTTATGGGCGGCAAGAATCCCTTCCTCGGTATCGCCTACGTTGTAGTGGGAGGCATTTGTATACTGCTGGGCGCGCTGTTCACAGCGACTCACCTCATCAAACCAAGGTGATTCCCCAAACCACTATCGGTTATGACGCGACTTTCTGACTTCCCTTCTCTTAGGAAACTTGGTGATCATACCTATCTGACCTGGAATAACGACCAGCCTAGCACTGCAACTGCAACCGGGCGGAGTGTCAGGCCGGGTGACTCGGCATGATGACAAGTGCCGATCTGCGCAAGGTTGGATGGGAGTCTCACGAAAAGAGGACTTAAGACTTTTATTTCTGTTTCTTGTCTCTGCTTGAATTATACCGTTTCCTGGGGTTTTGGTGATGTACTGTAGTATGGGCATTCACAATCGGGCGTTTCGGAACTTCCTTTGCACAAATAAGACCAGTATTGTCATTTCGTCTACGAAAACGTTCACGCAAGAGTCTAGGTGCTTAAGTCAACGCGAGGAGGAGGTCGAGACTCCGTTGAGAGGGATCGAGAGTAAACAAGGGCCTTTGTTGCTGAAGGTTTATAAGACATCGTCAAGAACAGTACCGTTTTCAGACGATGACCATGTGGTCCAGAGCACCGCACGGCGACCTTCTAGAGTCCTTCCAGAATCTTACCCAATTTGCCTCGATCAAACCAAGTAGGTCCAAGGAATCCAGGCCATGGTGATGGCGTAGGTATAAATTTGCATTCTGTCCCTGGCTTTCCAGACGTCATCAAAATGGCAGCTTGAGAAGCCTTTCCTGTCCTTCCCTTGACATCAACCTCAGATAAACAATCTCAAGTTTGCGCGTACATTCTTCCAGACCTTCGCCCCTGCTCATTCATCCTTGCGCCGTCTCCATCACCAACCCCTGTCCCGCACCCCTGTTATTACATACCATGTTATTCCAACCGCTCCTCCTTGCATCGCTGGCCCTGGCCGCCGCAGCAACGAATTACAAGCACTTCGATTGCGGCACCAACGTCGACGCCGCCACGAAAGAGTTCATGTCCACCCTCAACGACCTCCACACCGCCGACAAAGCCGGCTCCCGCGCCGCCCGCGCCGCCCTGCTGGCCCGCGACGGCGCCAATGCCGCCATCAAAGTCGACGCCGTCTTCCACATCATCGCCACGGCGGCCAAGAAAGACGACATCACGCCCGACATGCCGTCGAAGCAGCTCGACGCGCTCAACACGGCCTACGCGCCGTACCAAGTCGCCTTCAACCTGCTCAACATCACCTGGACCGTCAACGACACGTGGGCCGTGGGCACCGCGGGCGCCGACGACCGCGCCATGAAGCCGGCGCTGCGCCAGGGCTCGTACCGCACGCTGAACCTCTACTTCCAGACGGACCTCGCGGGGTCGGTGCTGGGCAAGTGCACGCTGCCGTCGTCGATTGGGCCGGGCACGCCGAGCCCGGCGGTGTACGCGAACGACGGGTGCAATGTGCAGGCGGGCACGATGCCGCCCCGGAGGGGGGGGGCGGGTATGATCAGGGCATGACGGCGGTGCATGAGACGGGGCATTGGCTGGGGTTGCTGCATGTGTTCGAGGGGTACAGTTGTGCGGGGAGTGGGGATTTCATCGATGATACGCCCATGCAGAGTACGAGTACGGATGGGTGTCCGACGGGGGGGCCGGCGAAGGATAGTTGTCCCGGCAGTCCTGGGGTGGATGCGGTGCATGATATTATGGATTATTCGACGGATGCGTGTTACACGGGGTTCAAGGATGGGCAGGTGGCAAGGATGAGGAGTATGTGGGGGATGTATCGGAGTGGGAAGTAGGGGGGTGGGGAGTGGAGGAAGGGCAAATTAATAAAGGGGGGGTTCTTGTGTATTTGGTTTGTGCTGGTTTGTTGTCTTTTTTTTTTGTGTATATCGCTCTTCAGTGCTTGTTTTTCTTTTCTTGCTTTTGGTTAGATGAGGTTGTATGACTTGTAGATTTCGCGCCGAATGCTATGTTTTCTTCTATCTGTCTCTCGATCTATGCTATCCCTGCGTACTGTGAGGTGAGCAACGGCACAGCCATGTCAATCAATATCTTTCCCTTGTCTAAAGTCCGCACTCATAATCCTCGTCGCCTTGCCTTGCCTTACATCGATGTACGCCTCCCCGTTGTGCCTGCATTGCGCATCTCGAGCCCGCCCGCCCATCTCATTACCTTGCCCCTTTAGAGGTACGTCTGTGTGTACGTCTGTGTGTCGCCAGCACGTCCATCTCCGCCCATCTCTTCCTATCCCTCTCCCGGCTTCCCATTCTTCTTGTGCAGACTGCGGAGAGCGACACGTCATCGCTGCGCACGCATTCCATCGGGGTGAGACATGCTTGCATTCCTATGATAAGGCGGGATGAGATGGGCGTGGTGACGTCGGGGCTGAGATGGAGGTGGGCATTGCGGCTCCCATGGGGGGTGAGTGTGGCGCTGGGCGTTGAGTGCTCGGTGGCGATGCTGGCGCTGGGGATGGTCAAGATCTCAGGCGCGATGCCGGCGCCATCGTTGGGGACGGTGGTAGTATCATAAGCGACATATGAGGCTCAGGGGCGGCGGATGTCGGTGGTGACGTCGCGTTGAGCTTCAAGAGCGGTGACAGCGGCGGATGGCGGAGGTGAGATGGCGCAGGCGATGGCGATGGCGCTGGTAGAGGACGGAGGATGGCTCTCGTTGTCGCAACAGCATCCAGCGAGGTGAGATGAGCCGTGGCTTTCTGAGAACCTCGCTGACGTATCGCAAGTAGATCCCCAGGCGCCGCTCACTGGAAATGCTTATACTTGGGGCGCGTTGAATAAGGGTACATAATTTAGGTTATTTTGGGTTCCTCCCAACTAACTCGACCAGCAGCTCAATTGGTCTCCTCCCCCTCCAAGTCGAGCAACCCGCCAATCGAACCGACCGACGCCGCAAACTCGATCGACCACCAGGACCGCATTCGAGCCCCCCAGTGAGCGTTGGCTGGTGGGGTTTAAATGTGGACCCCAGTACTTTCGGGAATTGTCCTTACGACATGTAGCTCTGTTTGGAGAGCATGGCTTGGGCACGGAGAAAACTCTAAGAGTCTTTCTACACCCTCCGCGGGAGGGTGGCGTTTTGCTGATTTAATCTTTTTTTGCTCCATCTATTTGTCCAGCGCAGAGGCGTTGTGGTGTTGCGGTGCTGACGCGATAGGTAGGGATGGCGATTGTGGGGCGCAAAAAGGGCGTTGTGATAGCCGTCTTTTGCCTTTTTGCCCTTTGGCCTTCTTTTGCTGCCACCGCTTTACAACAGCAACGCCCTGGAAAGCGAGTGCGTTTGCTCGTGTAACAGTCCATAAGATATTATTTGCGTAAGTGTAGGCATGAATGCCGTAGTCTTATAATGAATTGCTCATATCCTATCTATCTACATACATTTTTCCATAGGAAAAGAAAGCCAAGGTGAGATTGCTCTCTCTCGCCTTATTCTCACACTATGTTAGACCGCCCGCTCTCACGCAAGTCAAATTCCTTGGGCCTTGGTCTTTAAAATTACGTTATTATTAGTCTAAAAATGCGTTGGCAGCAGCAACCACGGCCTCAGGAGAGAGACGCGACTTTAACACCACCCAACCTGGCGCAGTCTTTTCAGATGTCCACAGCGAAGCTCGACACTTCAGCAGCAACCGAGAGCAGAGTCGCGCACTCTCTACCATCCAAACCCCCCTTCCGCGGACTCCCCCTACGTCGTCGCCCGAAACAAGACAGCATCCCGGGAAATCTTATACCTACACGAGGTCGAGACAAGGTTCCCACAAGGCCAGAATCCACAACGCAAGACACGCAGAACGCCTAGATTTCCAACCCAAAACGCAATGGCCAAGCTCGCGCCCTCGCTTGTTCGAGCAGCAAAAGGTCAGTGGTGCCGGGACAAAGAACCCACCTTGGATGCGGAAGCGTAACCTCGTTCCCTTCGCACCCCGCAGCTACGAAGACTGCGACTGCGGGATGAAAGAGATCAGTGTCGATAAAGAACACGGGTGCCGATAAAGCGTGCAGCATGTCTCGGAAGTGCCGCACAGCTCCGACGTCCTCCTCCTCGACCAAGTCAAGGCGACATCTTGCGAACTCACGATAGTGACACGAGACAGCTGTTGTTTATTCTCTTCTCTACACGTGGGCAATAGATGCAACGGCCCGCTCTATGCACCGCGATCCCCACCACCACCACCCTCAGTGCCCGCCCTCCGTCCTTGCCTACGTCTACATCCTCATCCGCGCGAACCGCAAACCCGCCGCTCTAGCCCAAGAGCCCACCGGAGACCCGTTCGCAGACCCCGAAGATCCGCAGTCCCCGAAGATCCGCAGTCATACCCTCACCAGCATCAGCGCAAAACACCAAGATCGCTCCGCCTCCTCCGAAGCATCTCCCTCACGAAGCGAACCAGGCCCGCCCGCCGTGCACTCAGCGGCATCCGAGCGCTAGCCGCACTACCGCGCCTACCTCAATCCGTCAGCATGATCCTCACCTATCCCGACCTCGAGCATACAATGCTAGGATCCGTCAGCGGCATTCTCCTCGTGCTCTTCCTCTCCTGGCTCAGTTTCGTAACGGCGCGGGAGATGTGGCGGGAAGCGAGAGCCGCGTGGAAGGATGGCGCAATGCATAGTGGGACGGTGAGGCGGGAGGCTGGGAGAAACGGCGCTGTTGCGGGGTGGTATTATATTGCTGGAGGAGGGAAGGGGGATAGGGATGAGGAGGAGATTGATGTGAAGGATACTTGCTGCGTGCAATGAGATCGAGGGCAGGACACCAAAGAAAATGACGGACTGTTGTTGGTTTTGGAGGAAGGCGCCAATGAAATGTTGTAAGGCGCTTGCAGACTACTACGATGCCAATCCTTTTGCCTAGAAAGGCTCTTGTACGGTCGTGTGAAATGGTCGCAGGAGAGATTGTTAATGTGCGATGAAACGCCCTGGGCCACAATTGCGGATGCGGATTGGGCATGATGAGTCTCCTGGACTTGTCAGTTCGATTGATGCACTTGATTGGAAAACATTCAGACGAAAGCGGGTCGTAAGTCAAGCAACAAGGGGATGTGCGTATAGTAACAGGGGTGTATGATCAGTACCACCTTGGTTCAATGCTATCCAGATGTGCCTACTCATATCCAAGCCGTTCTTATAACAAGCCATCGCCGCCAAATAGAGCGCCTATCAAATCGGGCCAGCCGGCCGGTCCGCCCACAGCGAGTGATAATAACTCGCGAGGTCGTTGAGCTCGTCGCCCAGAGTCGCATTTTCGCCGTCGTCGTGTCCTGCTAAGCTCAAAGTCTCCATGCCTCTTTCTTTCCAGGCCGACCGCTCGATGTCTCTTCGTCCTCGAACGGGCTCGTAGCCCAACACTCCGATATCCCATCGCCGGTCACACTTTAAGCACCACAACATGTCCGTCTCATGAGCGACCACAGCGCGGTTGCCACAGTGAAGGCAGTCGAAGCTGCATCTCTCGCACAGAGCTTCAGCATCATCGTCGATACTTGGCCGCGCAGGACGGCCACAATGCGAGCATTTCGATTTGCCAGGAACAACTGCCGCACCTGAACCTGCTTTCCACGCCTCGCGAAGCGAGTCTGGAATACGATCTTTGCTTCGGCCCGAGTCTCCGGCCTCTTCCAGTGTTAGCTTCGTGATGGAGTTTACGCAAGCAGCGATGTCGCATTGTGGTGTATCGTGTCGTGAGGACATCTTCTGCTGGAAGGCGTCAGATTGTTCGCGGAGTGCGGTGGCGTCTTCTGACGTATCATAAGGACCAGAATACTTGGTACCTTGGACCGCTTGACGAATCGGGAGACCACCGAGAGGGACAATGTTCATTTGGCGAGTGAGAACGAGATCTTTCGCGATGGCAACACCGGAGGCGGGATCCACTGCCGAATTGTGCGATGCTGTGATCGATGGCCCATTGGCGGGGATGAGACGAAGTGGCTCTACGTCTTTAGCACAACGATCCTCTCGGCCAAGCTCGAGCACGTTGACGGAGCCATTAACCTCACCAACAAGCAGGCTCGTCTTGTCAGGGCTGAAAGCGGCAGACATGACGCCAGTGTTCAGAGTGACTAGATCACTGACAAACACGTCCGCTGGAGCACGCGTTATGTCCCAAGATTTAACAACCCCGTCCGAGGAACCGGTGTAAAGGCGCCTTGCACTGTCACCCCAGGAGCAAAATCGAACGCCGGTGTCAAGCAGTTCGCGAGGCTGATGCCCGTCCAGTGGCGTCAAAGGCTCGCCATGGGAAAGAGTATAGATCCAACCATCTGGACGGCGGATATCCCAGACGTATGTGTCACCGCTCGTGCATCCCGCTGCGAGGTAGACATCATCGTAGGGACAGTAGACAACGTCATTCATGTCTCGAGCTGGGCACTCGAGTTCCACAAACTTCGAGTACTTCGTCCGCAAGTCGTACAAGCGGACCACTGAGTTAGCACTTCTGTTAGCATCAGACCCGGCGACGCATCCCACGGCGAATAGGCCTCCTTCTTGCAGTCTGGGATTAAACGCTAGGTCGAACACGTTGCGATTGCCTCCATAGACCTCAAGTCTCTGTTGAGTCGAAACGTCCCAGAGGCAAATTTCGCCAACGGTGTCTAAGCCATCGTCCTTGGTATTGGCGCCGAAGCCTGCCAGGAGGAGGTTGCCTTCAGTAGGTTCGAATTTTAGCGCTCTTGGCATTATCCTCAAATCTTGCCGCTCGGAAGCTTTTTGGGATTTGAACGAGATAGGGCTTATTATATCAGAATCAAGGCGTAGTACTTTTATAGGGTTCTGGTCTCGTTGACAAGCTGTAGCAAGAAGTCCGTCCTTGCTTGTTGCAATCATGTCGACGGGCGCCTTGTGGTTTAAAGAATGGGAGAGATCCAATTCGCGTTTATCATCTCTGGTTTTGTAGACACGGACAACTTTGTCGTATCCTGCTGAGAACATGTAACGGCCGTCGTCAGAAAATTCTACCATTGATATGGTAGTGAACAGGCGAGGGTCCTGTGAAACGTGCATAGAGTGCCGCGAATTTACTCCGCTTTCGGCTCGTGGTCGTGTGACGTGGTGATGTGGGATTTCTCGAAGAGTCTTGTCCAGCGTGTCTCCGATCAAGAGATTATTGGGCCTATTGTACTGCATGCTATCAGCATCCACCACGCAGGCTGCACCGGCGGCAAAACGCTGTCCATCCGGATGCCACGCGACGCTGAGAACGTCATGACTCATTCCAGTAAAGCTATAGGCGGGACCAAAGGTGTCAAATATACGTTGCCGGATGTCATCGGAGCCGGGTTTGTCATATTTGGCCCAGCGTTGTCTGGAATCTGAGCCTAACTCGCGTTGCCGAAGTAAAGACGACATTGAGCTTCGGATCCGTTTGGGAAGAACGTTTCCCACTCGTTCGATGTGGGAGAAGGGCTCTAGGCGCCCAGCCGCAGCGTCCATGAGGAACGCTTCCACGCTCTCCCGGCTTCTAGTTGTCAGTCGACGCCCCCGCCTAGCTTCCCATGAAATCTGGTACAGCTTGTTATCTGGAATGCCCATGAGCATCTGTTGAATCCTCTTGCGAACCGAGACCGATCTTGGCACGGAGGTGCCAAGGACGTAGATTATAGCCTTCTCCAACACCTCCATCTCTGCGACCTGGAAATCGACATGAATGACACTGCCTGACCAATGGCCGAATAATCGGGGGTTCCATTCTCCGTTGGTCAGTCCCAAGCGCATGGAACTCCGCTCTACACTGCTGAGATATGGGTATTTCTTCATGTTTCCGTCATCCGCTTGACCAGCAGGCCCTGTAGTGCCAATACTAATCAGTGCAGCCTCCCGGTGATAATCAACCTGGTTGGGTAAACCGATCACTTCGTTGGTGAAGAGGTCTTCGGATTGCAAGTCCTCTGACTCTGAGGGCATCCGAGTTAGCCTACTGGGCGATGCTGATTGAGTATCGTCTACAGGAGTGGAGACCTCGGAAGCACGTGGAGGTCGCAATCGCTGTTGTGCCGCATAGTTCACTTCCTGTGTGACTCTTCGGGGTCTGCCCCTAGGTCTCACGGTGGGTTTATGCTTCAGGGTAGGCTCAGGCGTGCGAGAGCGCGTACCACTGACCACAGAACCCTTCAAATTCTGTGTAATAGTTACAGGTACCGGCGTATAAGAAGGCGTGCCACCTAGGACTGAATCCTCCGAGCTTGGTACACCGTCCAAGTCCATAGGAGTCGACACTGAATCTGATACATGGTCAACATCGTCTTGAGCTGCTGGAACGTATCTAGAGGCCAGAGGCGTGGCTGTGTGGTCAACTGTGGCATGTGTAGTGACAAGACTATATTGTGCCACCAGTTTTTGAGAATTCCGAAGGTTCGAATACCTGGTGGCTAAAGCTCCGGGAGTTCTCTGAGGGAATAGCTTCGCCGCTTCGGGCCAAGGGGTGTTTTTGACGGTTCTTAGGTAAATTATCTGGCGGTCTTCTTCCTCGGTCCAAATGAGCCCCTTTCCATGCTTAATAGGTGCGCTTGCTTCTTGTACGTCTTTTGGGGATGAGACATGGAAATGCATGCTAAGATCGATCTCTGTTGGCGTAAGGAGGTCGTTAACATCTGCGATAGGAGATTTGCTCGCAGGAGCTAGCATCGGCGGGTGCTTCTGGCGATGTAAACCTACTTAAGGGAGCAAATTAGAATCTGGGTTCGGAACGTTGGTAAAGGCAGCTTACTATTAGGATGCGGGCGTGGTGCCACATTTCTTTGCTTCGGATCTTTTGCTCTTCCTTTCGGTGAAAGCATGGAGGTTCCTAAGTCAAGGGCTTTACGAGGCCGTTTACCGTCACTGGAAGTTTGAACTCGGTCATCATCCTCGCTGGTAATAGGTTCCGACTCAAAGGATCTTGAGCCGGGAGGTACTGATGGTTTCACGAGCCCCCCAGCCTTATGATGCCGCTCTTTAGATCCGTTCCCTCGGCGCTCTGAGCGCGGCTTGAAGGCCTGCAGAGCGTCTGTTGCTTCGTCAGAATCTGATGATTTTGTGGATAATACAGACGCAGACACCGCGGCCGGTCTTCTCGGTTTTGGTTTATGTGGCAGACGCTCACTTCTCCTTTCCGATCGAAAACCAGCTGGAGCAATGAATTCAAGGCCTGTCGCGCCCATGTCTGCTGTGCTCGTAATTATAACTCTATTTTGACCGTCATATGGCCCAGGACCGTTCGAGTGGGTTATTCCGTATCCCCTAGAACTGCTGCCATGGCTACGGTCCCCCGTCTGGGGTATGCTAGGAGTGTTCAGCCGGTCTGGCGACCTTGGGTTTGGAGGGTGCAGTCTTCGTCGCTTCTTTGCCTGTGTCTCCCGAGATCCATTCTGTCCGACCGCCTTGAGTCTATGCGAATCGATTGAACTCTTATGTTTAAGCGTCTTTTTGGAGGTCGGGCCAAAAGTGCCTTTCTTCGGAAGTTTGGAGGACGTTGGCGTAGCGCTCGGTGCACTGGGTACTGCGTAGGGTGGGAAGGAGCTTGCCACATTACCTCCTGTGCTAGAGGAAAGATTTGCTGTGCGTGCCGGAAACGAATGGCTGGCGTTCACAGCCGTTGTTTGCGCTGGGGAGGGTTTAGGTTTATGGGGTGATTTTAAGAATATTTCAACAGGTGGAAGCTCGAACTCAGAATCCTCAGTGGTACTGAGATCTGCGGTGAGATCTACCACATCACTGGGTCTGCAAGGCAGTCAGTATCTATAGTCGGAGTAGGCAGGCTGGCGCAACGCTCAGAAGCGCGTCGCGCCCGCAAACAGGCCATAGAATGGCGAATGTAATATGAGAAGACTTACTTGTATGCCATGGCGCGCTCCGAAGTATAACGCGTCCATGAGTCTTCTAGTGTCTTGCCAGCGCTCGGAGTTTCGAACGAAGTGAAGAGTTGGGTTGAGGTGGAAATCGAAAGACGTGAGGCTGATGAAGGGTGGCTGAGACTAGCGTGATTTCTCCCGCTCATCACGTGAGCCACCCACTACTTCGTACCACCTACCTTGGGGAAGTCTCGACTCAGGTTCTAAGTTTGTGGTGGGAGCAGACATTGCTGGCAATAGTATTTGTTTTTGTATCTACCATCATACGTGTAGGTACAGAGAGCACGCTTGAAGAATCACAAGATGTAGCAAGTCACACGCGTCCACGCATTGAAACCGCACTGTCAGACCGTGATGTAAAGATTTGAACAATCTGTGTCGAATCTGCGCATTGGAAGTCTACGGGGAGCTCATGTTTACGATTGGATCGCCCCTAAAGCCCGAAGTTCATGCGGTATACAAGGGTCAGGGGTTACTTGGAGTGTGGGAGTGAAGAGTCGTACGGACCGAATCGAGTCTAGAACTATCTAGTCAACAGCTTTAGGGGTTGATTTACAGAGAGTGCTGGCGTGCCCCTAAGATTTGTATCAGCTTTATGATAATTACATAGAGAAAGCGCACATGCCATATTGAGTCTGTAATATTGCGGTTCCTTTCAAGTCACCAAAAGGTACTTTGAGAGATAGAACAGGAGACCTTTTTAATATTATGAAATGGCCTTTTTGATTGGCTGGATAAAGTATGAAGCCTTAGCTCGTGATGTGCGATGTCGGTGAGAAAGACGAAGGGCGATGGAGAACTCTTCGGGCAACGTTATCGTGAATTGATCGTTCGATGTTCCAAACTGCAAAGAACTACTCCAGATGTGGTAGCTGTACCCCTGCCGCTAGTGCAGCGGGATGACGAACGGGCGCTCCTGCGGGTGCTAACCCTCGCCTTGACAGCACCGTCTGACACCGGACTTTTTCTAGACATTCTGCAGAGCAATGATCCCCACGCTACTTCGATAACGGCAGCTGGAGGCTATGAGAGCCAAGAGCCGCAATGCTGGGTATATAGCGTGAGCCGCCTGTCGTGTGGCCCTCGCGAATCTTGTGCTGTATCGTCTTTTAAGTTCACTCTCCATTGCTGGAGAATCAACGTAAGTATTTCCTTTCTTTCGCCTGCATACATATATTATCAAGCCTCCTCAAACAGCGACGTCTTCTTAACCTTGAGCAACGCCAATTGACCAATTCTAGAATCAATACACTGAAAATCTCTTTCCTGCGCATTTGTATTTCTATTCGCATTAATTCGCAACCATGAGGAAGGAATCCTTAACGCCGCGGACTGGCTCCGTCGACGTCCATGCCGATGCCGCCCTAGCAAAGATGGGCTACACTTCCGAGCTTCCGCGTAACTTATCGATGTTGAGTGTTCTAGGCATGTCCTTCGCCATCATGGCCGTTCCCTTCGGCCTCAGCACTACCATGTACATCACACTTACCGACGGCCAATCCGTTACCATTCTGTGGGGATGGGTGCTGGTTTCGCTCATCTCCCTTGCAATTGCCGCGTCACTGGCTGAGATTTGTGCCGTCTATCCCACAGCAGGCGGAGTGTACTACTGGTCGGCCATGCTATCCACGCGCAAATATGCGCCCGTTGCGAGCTGGATCACTGGATGGCTCACTCTCGTGGGCAATTGGACCGTCACTCTATCCATCAACTTCTCTGGAGGGCAGTTGATACTCAGCGCGATTACGCTCTGGCGTGAGGACTTCGTCGCCAATCAATATCAGACGATTCTGATGTTCTGGGCAGTCATGCTAGTGTGCATGGCAGTCAATATCTTCGGCGCCAAGTATCTCGACCTGATCAATAAAATCTGCATCTACTGGACGAGCGGGAGCGTGATAATCATCTTGGTCACTGTCTTGAGTATGGCGGACCACAAGAGGAGTGGAGAGTTCGTGTTTGCGCATTACGATGCTTCGCAGAGCGGCTGGTAAGCTAGAACCTATTTTCTCGAGATGTTGAAAACGTGCTTCATTTACTAACCAATCTCATAACAGGCCTTCCGGCTGGGCCTTCTTCGTTGGCCTCCTACAAGCTGCGTACACACTGACTGGATACGGCATGGTCGCGTCCATGTGCGAAGAGGGTACGTTAAGTTAAACGTAATATGAGTTCCTTTTTAACAACAAATTAGTCCAAAATCCAGAGCGAGAGGTACCAAAAGCCATCGTCCTCTCCGTTGCCGCCGCGGGCGTCACCGGCGTCATCTACCTCATCCCCATCCTATTCGTCCTCCCAGACGTCCAATTGCTCCTCAACGTCGCCAACGGGCAACCAATTGGCCTCCTCTTCAAGACCGTGACAGGCTCCGCAGGCGGCGGCTTCGGCCTCCTCTTCCTCATCCTCGGCATCCTCTTCTTCGCCGGCATCGGCGCCTTAACAGCCGCCTCCCGCTGCACCTACGCCTTCGCGCGCGACGGCGCGATCCCCGGCTCCCGCCTCTGGAAGCAAGTCGACAAACGCTTCGACATCCCGCTGTGGGCGCTCGTCCTCTCGACCGCCGTCGACTGTTTGCTCGGCCTCATCTACTTCGGCTCCTCGGCCGCCTTCAACAGCTTCACGGGCGTCGCCACCATCTGCCTCTCCACCTCGTACGGCATGCCCATCCTCATCTCCGTCCTCCGCGGCCGCGAAGCCGTCAAACACAGCTCCTTCTCGCTCGGCAAATTCGGCTACGCCATCAACGTCGCCACGCTCTGCTGGATCTGCCTCGCCGTCGTCATCTTCTGCATGCCCGTCAGCCTGCCGGTCGAACCCACCACCATGAACTACGCCAGCGTCGTCTTCGCCGGGTTCGCGGCCATCAGCGTCGCGTGGTACTTCATCCGCGGACGCAAGGAGTTCCACGGCCCGCCCGTGCCGCAGGATGTCTCCCCCGGAGAAGAGATCCTGGTCCCGGGCGTGGCGGTGACGGACGCGAATCGTGAGCGGAACGGGGATCTGGAGCACAAGCTCTCGAATGGGCATCCGGGGAACAAAGAGTTGTGAGGGGCTGTGAGCGTAGGGCTGAGAAGCTCAGGGGTGCTTCGACGGTGTATATAACCCCCCCAAAAATACAACGCGCTGTTTTCCGATTTACGCTATTCGGTTCGAGCCATCGTGAGGTTGTTTGGAAATGGAGGGCCAGGGGTACCCCAGCATACTACCCCCAACTCCCAAAATTATAGCAGTACGAGGTCTAATTTGAAAGCCTTAGATCTTTGCATTGTAAGCTTGTTCAAGGTCAGTAGGCCGGAGAGTGCCTCAGCAGGGTGAACAAACTCCGGAATCATACTCTCATATCTCAGCAGTACACAGGTCTAATCCGGAGGATCCGGAATCTTAAATCCAGACTTCTTTAAAATTGATTAGGCCACGGGTACCTCAAGGTCGTGCGTCCCCCCCCCCCCCCCCCAAAAAAAAATTAAATTGGGGGGGGGGGGGGTTTTTTTTTTTTCCTTGGGGGGCCCCCCCCCCCCCCCCAAAAAAAAAGCACACTCTACAAGCCCTAGATCACATGCTCATGCCACAGCAGTATCATTATGTTAGAAGCAGTCATATTAGTTACAAGTAGTTCCATTTAGGTCAGACATAGTGCCGTTCACGCTATCTGCCTAACTACTCGCAATATCACCAAAAGCAACCACTAACAGCCACTAACAGCCCCAAAAAGCACCCACCCAAAGCCCCCCCCGCCACCTACGCCTTGCCTTGTGGCATAATATACCTCTTCATGCACTGATCGGGACTATTAACGTCCAGGAGGTGTGCGTACTCACCCAGCCACTTGCTCATCTTAAACGTGTGACAGACGATAAAGCGCCGGTAATGGCTCGCCTCCGAGGTGCAGATATCGTCCGCGAACCAGTCAACAAGTTCATCAGTTGCTTTTGCTGGATTTTCCTCCCAGAGCGTGTGGTAGTCCGGCCAATTCGTAGGGGCCCAGGAGATCACTTGTGCACATTTATTTGGCACGTATTGGTCCCCATACAGCGGGTCGATGTACTGTGCGGGGACAAGTTCGTTCCGAAAGGCCTCGGAGAGGCGAACGCGTCTACGTTTACGTCAGATAATTGGCCGTGAAGGGTAAAGAAGGGGAACTTACGCATCATGGACTTCTTTGGCCTCCCCTTTGTGCTTTTCAACCAGGTCTTGTAACCAGTTGATTAGGCCTGGGCGTCCTACCAGCTTGTGGCTTAACGGGAATTCCTCCGGCAAGTTCTTCAATAGCCTATGCTTCATGAAAGCTTGCACTAGGTTCCAGGCTTCTTTCGGTAGGTGCGCGAATACGTCGTCAGTTATCAACATGAGGGAGCCAAGCGGAAAGAGTTTGATGCAGGCGAACTGCCCCGGGGGTATATCGTTTGGCGTGAGGATGGCCCAACGACGTTTCTGCTCATACTCCTCCGTATTGCGTATAGATTTGCCGATTTGGAAGAAGTTGTAACGTTTGAAAAGGAAACGTCGAAGCTGAGGTAGAACACGGTATTCATAGACGTCGGGGTGAAACTACGCTTAGTTAGTATTTGCCTTAAAGCCCTTAAATCATGAGCACTTACTATGATCACCCCACTCTTGGTGTTCTTGTCGAAGTAATCCCAACTACCTGGCGTAACGTCCTGGAATACCTTTGCACCCATTCCTTGGAGACACATAGTGACAAGTTCCATTTCTTGCCGGTTCTTTTCGGTAAAGAACATGAACACATTCTTCTCAAGCTTGGTGTCTATCCAACCGAAGAGTAGGTCAGGATCGAGTTTGAGTCCCAATTGAAGCTTTGTCTGGATATCTGTCGGCTTGGCTATGTCCTTGGTTTGGACAGTGGCCCCAAAGCGTGGCATAGATGACCTAATGTTGAACCTGAGCTTGCGGGTTGAGGCGTTCGGCGACACCGCAAAGCCGAAATTGCTGAGAAAATTCCAAACCTCTTGACCGGCTGGGTACACTATGATTGTGTACTTCTCGCTGGAGATGACCCCAGCAAGATCACCATGACGCTTCAAGCTGCGGGCGTATGTTTTGAGCAGAGCGTCATCTGACGCCGAAGACGGCATAACATCTCCGACAGTCACGCGAGGGGGGATCGCCGGCTAGCTGTTGTCAGTAATTGGAATAAGAGGCCTCCTTAAGGTGTACTTACTTCGAGGCAATACGCTTCCCAGTCAACTGGTGAACAGTTGTGTGTGATTGTCAAACGAGGGTTAGCACCCAATGCGGCTCTGAGTTCATCGAGCGTAGGGACATCTAGTCCCATGAACCGGACGTCGACTTCGTTCACGCCACCATCCTTTGATGTCGGTAGCACTAATCGCACCTTGATATTGGGTAAATCTTTCAAAAATTGTGGCTGATGTGCACCGAGAGGCGCTGACATGGCTGGCGGAGGTGCTGGCTCATCGAATCTGACCCGACTAGTCGCGGCTTTGACAGAGCCAACAGCATCTTTGGGGGCCCGTGGCAATGACTCCCTAAGCTGCATATGTTCTGCAGGACTTGGTTCAGTGAATCTAAGTTGGTTAGTCGTATTTTTGACTAGAACACCAGCAGCATCCTGGGGAACCCCAGACAGTGAGATCCGACGCTCAAAGGCATGTCCTGCGGGACCTGAATCAATGTGACGGTGCATGAACGGAAAGTGATCAACCGTAAACTTGCAAATCCCCGAAGCCCAATATCGACAAGTTCTCGGGCCATTAACGATAGCAGCAACCTCTGATTTTAGAATGCGCCTAGGGGGGAGATCGAATTTGTCTACATTCATGAGAGCTTCGGCACTTCCTATACCTGCTATTGTTCCAGTGTTCCAGTGAGCGAAGAGGCATTCCTCCGGGGGGTTCATGCAGCCTCCTTCCTGGTTCCACCAGAACCAGCAGGTCCGTCCGATTCCAGTCTTTTTAATTCGAAAATAGTCGTTTGAGGTAAATTCGACATCTCGGTGAAGGAACTGGCATTTATCGCCAAAATCACAGCGTCCACATCTCCAGTCAAAACAGGTGACCTGCTCTTTAAACTTTTCATCTTCACGCGCGGAAAGGATGTGCTGAGTAGGCTCCTCTTGGCGAGTTTGCTCCCCTCGGCTCAAGGCCGCAATCTCATCACCGCGCAAAGAGTAAAGATTCGGAGTAGCAGTGGAGGACAGCTTGCGGGACGACGCCCCTAAGGTTCCGCTGGCCTCCGTACGCGATCCAGTGTTGATGAATTCCAAGGCATTAGGGTCTGGAATGCCTTCCTGTGCTGCCTTCTTCTGTGCATTATAGCGATGGCTTAGACTAACATACTCGCGGGTCGAAGGCTTGCGCTCTTTCTTTGGAGGGGGTATTGCAGACATGTTCATATTGATACCACCTCCGGTGGTTTTCTTTACCATTGTTGTTGGAGGGTTTTCCGGAGACTTAGCAGCTTGAGCAGAAGCCAGTGCGCCTCCTGAAGGCGTACGGGCACTGGCTGCAGAAGAGCTTATCGGCTTTATAGCAGTACTAGATACCACAGCCTTCTTTGGTTGAGCAGGAGCCGGTGCTTTTCCTGGCGGAGGACGGACAGCGGTCAAGGAAGAGGCCGTCGACTCTTTGGAAGGAGGAGCCATGGGAGACTTCTTCCTTGTATTGGAGTTTGTGCCAGCGCTAGCCGTGGAAGGTGGCGGTGGTGGCACACGCGGCTTGTCTGTAGCAGGTGGAACGGCGAGAGGGACGTTGGAAGACGATGATAGCTGCCGGATGACCTGAGTTGCCATCTTCTTAGGTTGATCAACGGTATCAACAACGGTCTTTCGAGTCTTTTTACCTGCGTGGTTGGGTACGAGAGGAGTGTCGCTATCGGTAGATGACTCTCTAATACCCGTAGTCGATGGTTTACGGGTTCTCTCCCGCTGTGATGGCAGCTTAGAGCTCTTCTGCTTTGGAGGACGGGTGTCAGTGGAAGCTGACGAATGCCCACTGGCATCAGCGGACTTTCTCTTTGGAGTCTGCCGGGTTGGCTCCTCTTTAGACTTCTGCTTCTTTAGCTCGCCCATTAGCGAGTCATCCGTGAGGTCAGCCGGTGAAGAGGGGCGAGATGGAGGCTTCCGAGGGCGCGGGCGTCTCACACCTCGGTTTCCGTCGTCATCATCACCACTACTTTCCTGGATGAATGGTATAGGACCTTTCCTGACAGGCTTGGGCGGGGGAACGCTCGTCGTGGGAACGCTCGTCGCAGGCTTGGAGTCGCGTCTTTTCGCTGCTGGTTGGGGCTTCGGTACAACGACAGGCTGAGCATCGGACTCATCGTCTTCGGCTTCCGACTCTTCTTGCTCGGTATCAGACTCAGTTTCGACGGGCAGGCCACGTTTAATGCGCTTCGCGCGTCTCCTGCGGTGACGATCTTTCTTCGCCTTTTGCCACTTGGCAAAGGCATCTTCAAAGGCTATCATGTTGCTGACATTATAGGCATGCCAATTCTTATACTTCCTGCCCTCCTTGTCTTTTAGGCCTCTCAGGATTTGCATCTTGGTGTCCTTCCAATCGTTCAAAACAAGCTTGTCTGAAAAGTTGGCCGCAGGCTCCCATGTGCAGCTGATGGCGTTGTCAGTCTTCACCGGCCCCGATGCGAATGCCTGCAAAGGCAACAGGTAGATGGATGACTTACTCATGCATTCCATAGTCCGCCCATTTAATGAGGTACTGGAGGCCTTCGCCTTCGCCATCGTCTTTCTCGGCCAAGATTGCTTCAACAGGGTACTCCTTCTCAGGATCATTCTCTTCTACAGTCGACGTGAGAGATATCGTAGAAGCGACTGATGTCTTGTCCGCGTCGCTGTCCCCGTCGAAGAGGGGATCCGGCTGACTGGAAGCCATGGTGCCAGCGTGCAGGCCGGAAGTAGCTCGGCGGAAGCGAGCCTTGATATGTTCCGAATCGGGCTCAGCTACTGCAGGAAAACATGTTGCGCGCGCCCATGGACGAAAAGTGAAAAGCGAGGTCGGGCGACTGGCCGGCTAACGCGACTAGACGTCGCAGTTCAGACGCAAGCAGCCGCCGTGGCGTGGATGCAGTGAAGCTGGAGCTGGCCCACGGAGAGAGCTGTGTTGTTGTTTGCTGGTTGGTCGTTCGAGCTGAGGCGCTAAGCGAAAAGGCGCGGCGAGGAAGTGGGCGGTTTAGGCGGGGCCATGGCGCACGGGCCAGGCACCTGGGGTCTCGACGCCAGCTTTCACGACACCACAGACAGCCGCTTTATCCCACGTCTGGCCCGACCGCGAAGGCATCCAGATCCTGCCCCGTCCTCTCCCACGCTCACCACGCCCCCGTCCCGTACAGCTCCCTCGCCGCACCCGCCCGCCGCAGTCCCTTGGGCACTCCCGCACCGCTCGCGAAGCATCACCGCTCCTCGAACCCCTCTGCTCACCCGGCCGCCTGCCCACCGCAACTATGGCGAACGACGAGTACGATGTAAGATCTCCACCACAAAGCCTTCGCGTGCTCCGATCGTGTGCTGACCTGCTGTGCGCTGCAGTTCCTATTCAAAGGTATACGCCGCCGGCGGTCTGCTTCCTGACGTCCTGCTCACACCCAGCGAACAGTTGTGCTCATTGGAGACTCCGGAGTTGGTAAATCCAACCTCCTGAGCCGTTTCACCCGCAACGAGTTCAACCTCGACTCCAAGTCCACCATCGGCGTTGAGTTCGCCACGCGCTCAATCCAGGTCGATGCCAAAACCATCAAGGCCCAGATCTGGGACACCGCTGGCCAGGAGCGCTACCGGGCCATCACCTCTGCGTACTACCGAGGCGCTGTGGGCGCTCTCCTCGTCTACGACATCAGCAAGCACCAGACCTACGAGAACGTCACCCGATGGCTGAAGGAGCTTCGCGACCATGCCGACTCGAATATTGTCATCATGTTGGTGGGGAACAAGAGCGATCTGCGGCACCTCAGGGCTGTCCCAACGGAGGAGGCGAAGCAGTTTGCGAGTATGTGTCCTGCCGAATGAGCCACATTGTTATGGCCTTGCAGCATGAATGCTAATGCTGTCTACGCAGGCGAGAACAACCTCTCTTTTATCGAGACGTCTGCCTTGGACGCCAGCAACGTCGAGCTTGCTTTCCAGAACATCCTCACTGGTATGCCTCAACTGATATTCTCTACCATTCAGGCTCCTCCCTCGTATGATAAACTGCTCTGCTGGCGGGTTTCGAGAAATACACTGGTGCCTAGGAGTCCTCGCGGCTCAGTGTCGATGACCGCCGCTAAGCAGGTCAAAATTGGCTGCCTTGCGGTCCGTATACGTAATTTAGAACAATGCTGACCATACCAGAAATATACCGAATTGTCTCCAGCAAAGTCCTAGACCAAGGCGAGGGTGGACAGAACGTTCTCGGCGGCGACCGCAAGGTCCTCGAAATCAGCAAGTCACCAGATAGCGAGTCGAAGCAAGGCAAATGCTGCTAGAGTGCCGTCGCCTCCTACACGACGCTCCAGCATCTTGCCCACCACCAAGTCGATCCCCCTTTCATACGAAATGACTGTACTCTGCTTAACGGAAATGGTATAACAAGTGGTACGAGCAAGTGAGTAACGGCAGCAGCGGTTGAGGCATGACGTTTCACTCACGTCTCTCTTGGCATAACTACCTTTCTCGTTCTCAACACCCGCCCCATCTTCTCTACCACGTACTTCACTTCTCAATGCAATGTGTCATTCATGCGAAGGTTGGCGTCTGAGAGAAACTCCTGGCCATCATTGTTTTTTCCTTTTGTTGCTTCTTCTACGTAGTTCCTTGTATCTGCTTGATGGAGGCAGGGGTGGCTTCCCGGAATGCATGCTGGTGTCTGTCTGGGCTACGAGTAATTTTGGCTTGGCTGTATGATCATGATACAATGAGCAGCTAAAGAATTCCTTCATTAATCACTGCTTAAACTGCTATTGAACAGGTTACGCCGTGTAGAGTGGTCCGATCATACGGATTATTCAAAGTAGTTACTGTGAATGCTGTTTTATATTTACAAAAGCATCGAACGACTTCAAACACGTGAGTACCATGTACGCAGTATTCTCTTACCTCAAACCTGATCCCCCCAGAGTTCGTTCCCGCTTTCATACAAGGGTTTTGAATTGGGCCATGACTAAAGCAAACCTCCCGAATCTAAGATGCGGGATATTCCAGATTCGGCCCACCCCATGCGTAGGACTACTCGGGATACGCACCACCCCACCTCATCTTTATATCTAAAAACCGGACTTATCAATCCACAGTCCCTTGTCTTTCCCAAATAACACCACTTAGACGTTCCCTACTCCACACAGAACAGCCACCGGAACTAAATTCCAGGAACCTCCAGCATCCTCCGCTGGCTCGCCCATGTCAGCTAACGGAATTTGTGCATAGACATACGGGTGTCCCCCCTGGACAAACCCCGTGCCAGCAACGGGGCTTCACGCGGCGCGTCGTCCTCCGCCGCCGCCGCCGCTCCCAACGCGCCCACAAGATCGCAGAGAGCAGCAGGCACGCCGAGCGGACCGCCCAGCGCAACGCCCACGGTCGTTGTAGAGCTCGAGTCACAGTGACAGTCGGGCGCACTTCACGGCTGGCGAGGCAGACGGCTGACTGGTCGCCGCCGCCGACGACTACGACGACAGCGACAGCGACAGCGAGGGCGAGCCGGAAACCCCGACTTTGGGTACCGTTCCCGGGCGATGTTAACCTGCACGATAGGGCGCCGACGTTGTGCGCGAACGTGAGCGACGAGGTGTGCTGCACCGGTCATTTGCTACCCGCACACGAATTGGCTAGTTTGTCGGCGCGGTACGAGCGGGTTTGGCAAAGCGGCCTGTTGGCGTTGGGACAGTTGCGCGGGGTTGGTTTAATGTACAAAAAGTTGATGTTCTGGGAAGGTAAATTGGGGTCATGTAGTACACGCACCTGCGTTCAGTCCAGAGCCGTTGTCTGTGCATATCTGCGGGCAGGAGTCCACCCCCCCCCCCCCCCCCCCCCCCCCCCCCCCCCCCACAACTCCGGTCCGTATACGCGCCTCGATGGACGACGTCGTGGGAGCTATAGCGGAGTTTTGCTTGCGGGCGCTGTAGGGTCGCAAGGGGCGTGTTTGAGCGGGCTAACGTCGTTGCCGGTGGGGATCTCGTTAGGGAAGAGGCAGACCGAGGCGTTTGCCAGTGCTCCGGTGAGAGAGTGAGAGAAGTGGGAGAGGTGAAAGCTGGTTCGCGAAGGCGAATGGGATGGGTTGTGGATCTGGGCTTTGCTGAATGTCTAACTGTGCGTCTCCGTCCTTCAGCCTTGTGGTACGTTATGTGTGGCTCATAGTTTGCTAGCTGTGAGTGTGGGAGCGAAAGGCGCGAGCCGATTTCTCGTGTGCTGCAATAACGTAGATGTATATGCAGCATAGCCCCTCTGCACGATGCTTCCAGCATATACAGCATATGCTCATGTCCGGTGAAGCAGCGCTAAAGTCAAGCCACAAAATTACCGTATTCTGGACGCCTGTAATGGGGAATAGCAACCTCCTAGCCAATCAATCTCCAGGCGTGTTCACCATTAGCCCAGAAAAGGTGGCTTGCCGAGGTCGACTCAGTTCCCGCGCTAGGTCACCGGACGTGATGATATGCTCTAAGTGCAGCTGTCAAATTAGAAAGGAACCAAGAAAGCTATTTGCATGTACACCTGGGAAGAATACATCTGCAGCGCAGCCCCTCTATGCCACATGCGTAAGGGTGCAGTTAGCAGACCGAGAAGGATATACACATCTACTAAGCACCCTGCTATGCCTAGCATAATGCCTAAATGTACGAAGAAAAATGACACGATTACTTTAGAAAGCGACTGTAAGTTGACCGGGATATTATATTATATAAAAAGGGGGTAGTTCTCTTATACAAATTGGGCGAGTTCTATTTAATGCGATTCTATGCCTGCTGCGTGGCCCGTTTAAGCAGGACTCCTCTGCTTCGCTCCGTAAGGCGAACGCCGAGGGGTGTCCGTGGGGCGGAAATATCTCGCCCTGCACTTCTAGCGCCGTGTTGTTTTGGCCGCTGCACCTTGGATTACTCCTCTTTTCTCCTTTACAAAGGTACCTTTTTACCCTCTTCCTACGCCGATCTCTCGGTAAGTCTACTCCTATTCCGCCGCAATGGAGGTACTGAAAATTGAAGCGCACACCAATGGCCTTAAAGCTTACCAAGCGGGGTATATCCATAGCACTGGGGACCGAGAAAGTTCGCGGAGTCGAATGTATAAACTATATCCAGCAAGGCCTCGTAGCTGGCTATCGCATGATTGATTCCGCTCAAGCATACCAAAATGAAGAAGAAATCGGGCAAGCCGTCCGAAACTCGTTGATACCTCGCGAAAACATCTTTGTGATAAACAAGATCTCTAGTGGATTTAAGAAAAATCCGCGCAGCGTCAAGGAAGCATCAGACTCTGCGCGAGCCTCTATTGACAGACTAGGACTGTCTTACGTAGATCTATTCCTCATCCATCAACCTGGCGATAGTGCAGACGATACGGCAGCAGATTCCCGGCGTGTAACCTGGCAGGCCCTGGAGGATCTGGTTGAGGAAGGCAGCATCAAAAGCATTGGTGTTTGCAACTACACAGCGGAGCACATCTTGGAACTACGGCAGTTTGCGAAGATTTATCCACCAAGAGTCAATCAACTAGAGGTATTTAGTCACAGTTCTACCAAAGGTCCGAAGGCTAACGGATATGCAAAGCTCCATCCATGGTGCCAGCAGCGCAAACTTGAAAGCTTTTGCAGAGATCAAGGAATTGGTATTCAGGCTTATAGTGCAATTGCTCGGAACAGCCACTCATCGCATCCCGAACTTTGTGCATTGGCAACCAAATACAACAAATCGACCGCCCAAGTTCTCATTCGGTACAGCCTTCAAAAGGCATGGACACCAATCGTGAAATCGACAAGCCTCGCTCATCTCCACGCCAATTTGCAAGTGGAAAATTTCACCATCTCTAGAGATGATATGAAAATGTTGGATTCGTGGGATAAGAAGATGGAGGGATCTATACGTATGTGCTTGGAGAGAATTCAAATGCCGAAAATTAACAGCCCGCCAGTTCCATGGTTGATAAATACGGCCGAGGAGTAACACTGATCATTTGCAGCTGGAGCTGCGTCCATACTGTCAATTTCCCGCTCACGTAAAGCTCAAGACAGTTTTACTGCAGCAGAATGGTTACAATTGCAGGCTGGAACGCCAAAGCGCACTCGCCCAAGGATTTCTTCGTTCTCCACAATAATTCCCATTCCATTAGGAACCGAGTACTGGTATGCCAACCCTGGAATGAAAAAGAGTTGGGCTTGAGTCGTGGGGTTCTGCCAAGTGGTGGCTCTGAATGCCGATCTCTTGTCACAGCTTGGACAAGAAACAAAAATGAAGGTACACTCTGATGAATCACACAGTCGACTGTACAATTGGAGGCGTCTGATGTCCGCAAATGGCCCGGAATTTGATATCGGTGGTGACGTTGATAGTCCGAGCAACGAAATGATGGCATCACACAATAATGTGAGTTCGGTGATATCATTTCTGCTGACCGCGTCGATGTATCGCTCGAGGTGGTTCTCAAGCGTGGAGTGTACCATCTTTGGCGGAGGTACTTGATATTGTAAGGCTGGAAATTGATAGCTATTGTCAGTACTCTCTGTCCAGAAGAACTGAGACGGATAGATGCATTCTAGACTTTCGATAAATCCTGCCGCAGATCCCCCAGCCAGCTTGATAAGGTATGGAAGCACCTCGGAAAAACCGGCGCGCTTGTCTTCTGCTCGCCATTCCCACGAGAACATATCTGCTATATTCCCAGCGAGCTCCAACTCCAGTTGTATAGCATGGTCTTGAAGTCGCGGCGCCACACGAGCCGGCTGTGTCTGAACTCCCAAGCCCCACATATTCGTAGTCATCGAAGTGTGGCCCTTGAGCCATCGGGCCTTTCCGTACTTCAGCTCTATGGACGGACGTAGCAGTAATGGACTGTAATCACTGCATTCCAACCGTCTTTCTGAAATCCAAAGACAAGCATCCTTGGAAATTGACGGTAGCAACGTCGGGTATCCGGGAACTTCGAGTAGCTCAGATGCACCGATGAATTTGTCGCGAAATGAGCGACAGCCTCGATCAGATATCATTTCGAAGACATATCCAAGGCATTTGTTCTTTTGTCTTTCCCTGACGAAAAGAGGCAGCTCTTCGATCCATTTCAACGCTGACCGTGGGCGTCGTGGGTGGTTGGTGCCATATATTTGCATTATCCCCTTCACAAACGAAGAGAATTTGCACGGCATTATCTCGTACTTGCTGCTCATGATATACGCCTCTCCAGCCCGGTCAAATTCAATCATCGGCCACATGCGACTGAACCAGTGTGCATTGAAGAAGTGCTTCAAGCCAGACTCATTCTCGATGAGGGTTTCAAAGGTGGGTGTCTCCATCATTTCAACAGGCGGGTGAAGTCCCACATGCATTATTGCACACCCGCTTTCCTTGAAGATGTCGAATATTTGGGGTAGAATGGCGGTTCCTCGGAATTCATCCTGCCACTGGGGGATGCTGATATAGTCGTGCCAGAGGTGCACGTCAGACCCGAAGCGCTGGATGACTGCCAGCAGCGTCCGAATGGGAACTTCATAGCATGCTTGAGCAGCGCTAGGACTGGAGACACGAAGCGCGTAGGCTTTGGCGATAGACTGATGCCATGCGTGGGAAACGGGAAAGTATCTGAGACAACTGGATTTCAAACACTTTAGATGATAATTTGTGATAGTTAATGGAGGGAGGACTCTCGTTAAAGGATCGGTTGCTTGGAAGTCTCCGGCCAAACTCAGAAGCCGTACGGGAGGTGCTATAGCTATGTTAAAGTCGCCGTTGCAGATGGAACAAGGTGTTTCGAGGCCAGTTGTCCAGCATGCTTGCAAGAATTTGTCTGGCGGGTAATCGATCTTCGAGTCTCCCAGATATATTGTCATTGTGGCATGAGGATCATGGATTACAGAATCGAATAATGTCTCCTCCTCTTTCCCTATTCCATGGAGGTATGGTGTGTCCCATGATAGCTCTGCCATAGTGAGCCGAGATCCAAAGGATGATCGCTTCGTTTAGTCCAACGGCCTGGCACATCCCCAGAGGAACGCAAGTTTGGCGACAAACCAGAACGGCGCAGAAGATGATTCTTTGATATTCTAGAGGTGGAAATAGACAAAGGTCGTCTTGTCTTCATTCCTGGCGCGAGAATCGATGAAGATGGAGATGGCGAAGTATTGAGGTTGGCGACCACAAGGGTCACAGCTGCATAAAGCTCCTAGAAACTGCCCTTCGCTAGGGTGGCCTGGTGGGCAGCTACTGCGGGGCAGGGGGGGTTACCCAAAAGCCCCATTGTGGCAACCTTGCGACCCGCCTGATTTTGTCAGCTGATCACAGCCGTGGCGATCTACGAAGTATGTACCGCTAGATTTTACTTATTTCAGTTCCAAGGTTGACTCGGCCGCTCCGCAGAGGAATCTGGAATATGGCTGCACAACTCAGCACCGACTGCACCCCCTGCAACCCATCACATCTTGTGCGAAACGTCTGAGAGAAACAGGCGCAACTTTAGTATGTTGGGACCGTTCTTTAATCCACGCCCGGGTTTAATCATTCTATAACAACACAACAACACCACATGGCTGCAAGGCAATTCCTGGGAACGAGGTTGGACGGCATTTTTGCCAGTGACACATTGCTGCCTGCGCGTGATGTTGGAGGCGCAGCCAGGCTCTCAGCCCCCGTCTGATTGAGGAGATTGGGGCGGAGCCTTCAAGATGCATGCATAAAGCAACTTGGTCTTTCTGAGTCTCAGCGTCCTTTCGCGATGTTGTCGACATGAACAACATCCTTTCCATCAATGAAGTTCATGCCTGCCGATCAAGAACGACATCGGAGGTCGAAGCCAAAGCCAGTTTTCGGCTGCGCAGCATTCAACAGCACAGCTGTCTTTCTACATTCTCCGCGATATGTTTCCAAGCGTCCAGAGGTCGATCCAGTGCTGCATCCCCAAAGGCCGGTCCAGTCTAGAACTCAATCGAATCCGCGTTTCGAAAAAGGAGCGAGTCATCGCACAGCTCAGCCGCCAGAATATTCAGAGCGGTGTTGAAGAGTTTCACAGGAATGGATTTGTTATTCTAGAGGATGCTGTCGGGCATGGGGTCATAGACCATGTCCATCAAAGGATGCTCCAAGACTTTCGCAAACATCGCACGTCTCCAAATGTTCACTGGAATCAAGGCAGATGCTCTGGAAATATGTCCCAAACACCTCCTCTACTCCCAGAATATCTCCACGAAGAAATATGGGCAAACCGTCTTGCTGTCAATATACTAGAGCATATTGTTGGGCCGAGACCCCAACTTTCCTTTGCTACGTCTAACATCGCCTTACCGAGGATGAAGGGTCGTCAAGCGGTTCATAGTGATTACTACTGTACTCATTTCGACTTTCCAGTATTCCTGGAGGTTGGCGTCTACCTCCAGGATGTGGACTCTCGCAACGGCGCCACGGAATTCTGGGTAGGAACCCATGAAGGCTACAATAAGGAGAATCACAGTTCGCTAGACACAGGATGGATTAAGCAAGAAACTTTTACTGCCCGAGCTGCGATATGTCCCCCCATCCAACCTGCAATTTCAAAGGGCTCACTGTGCATTCGCGATCTCCGGTGTTGGCACGCAGGAAGGGAAAACTCTACCGATGTGCCACGGATTATCCTAGGATTCATGTACAGTCCCCGATGGTTTGGGTCGCACATGCGGCTGAGGCTTCCATCAGAAGCCCGGAAGTGCTTGGAGACGTGGGAGCACATCGATTGCTTAGGCACAGCAGATTTCGTGGAGAGCGATTTCAACTATCTTGACTTCAATCAGAACATCAATCTGACTCAAACTCCATCCGATCCAGATGCACCATATGTGCCAAAACACGGATCTGGAAATGTTACGCGCAAGGATTATTGGACATCGTCAATGAATGATGAATGCATTTCTTTCAATAACGAAGCAGGTAGAAAATGAGGTCTCCACAATCCAATGTAGTTATTTGCATCGCTATGAATGAGCGGATGCCTTCAAATTACTCCAGCAGTTTGGTTTGACGTTCTAGAAACAGCAATGTTGGCCGATCATGTTCAAAGGTAACTTTCTTCTCGGCCATGTTGATCTCCAGATCTACTGGAGCTTCCCGAAAGACTCGTGTTCCGCTGACTTCATCGTGTGCATCCTCGAACCACATGTGAAACTTGTATGATCTCCGTAGCGTCTGCATCATCATTACCTCGATACAGCACCATGACCGCTCATAGTAGTGGTCGTCAGTAAGGCTGATCATAGCACTGCACTGTGCGAGTTTCAGGGGCAGTGAAACAATACCAGCCGCCTGCAAATCGCCGATACTTTGATCAACGCAAGCATAGTCCTACAAATAGTAAGCAGGAGGTAACATTGCGAAATTTGCCCCAGGACTTACTATCCAAACGCATAGCTTCTTTTGGTCAATGTGAGGACGAGCCTGAAGGAACTCATTCAGCGCGCGGACCATACGCTGATATTGAGTATTATTATCGTCGTCCGGTGAAGCGCCAGGTTGCCCTAGAAGACTGCCAATCCATCTGTATGAGAAGAATATGATGAACTCGCCCACACTAACGCCACCGGCGTTGGAGATGATTTCTTTTGTGAAGCCATCGCCATATTTAGGAATCCTCCTGGCCCTGATGAAGTCTGAATAGTACACGACTTTAAAGCTGTCGAATAGAAGCTTTTCCTTGTTCACATCCTTGAGCGCGTTCGCATATTCGGTTCGAAGCTGATCCAGGCCAGAGCTGCCCTGTGCTTGTAGTAAGACTGGTCGCAATGTATCTTGGACGAGCTGCCTATACCCTTTCCGAACATGCGCCTCGTAGCGTAGACGATCTAGTCTTTCTTCAGGTGTGAGGAGCAGACTCGTGCTTTTGTTACTTGTAGCATCACTTTGGGCATGGTCTGTTTCTTCGAGGAACTTCTTCCGCAGGCCTTCCTCGATTACAAGTTGTGTGGCAATATCGCCACAATATACTGCACATTCTAACGCAGAGTAACCTTGCTCATCTCTGAGTTCCATGTCGGCGCCTGCCGCAATCATTTCGCGTATGTAACTACGATGTTCGTCGGAAGACTCTTTGCAAAGGGCGATTGTGGGCGTACATGTATTGGGCGGATTGAATTCAATCTTTGCTTCTTCTTTTCGACCGGAACGAAGTAAGGCCCGACCGTAAAAGTATCTTGAGAAAGCAATCTTGGTGGGATCGCTCTGAGTATTACGTTGAATGTCAAGAGCTTGACGCGCTGCGGTGACGGCTTTATCAAGCTCTCCCTTCTCCGCGAAACATAGCGATAAGCGGGCAAGGGCGATCGCTTCTCGCTGTGAACAGTATTCCCTTAGCTCCTCTTGCTCTTCCCCGTTGAGCGACTCCAATTCGGGAGCCGCTTTCACGCGTCGAGCAATGTCGATTCTTTCTGTCATCTGATTCATTGCAAGATCCAACAAGTCCGAGTCTCTGGTGTCTAGGTAAAGCTGATAATTGACCATTCCCCAATCGCCAATCGCGCGGCACATCTCTTTCTCCAATTTCAACTTTGCTCCAGGATCTTGAGTCGCTTCTGCCGAAAGAAGTTGTTTGGCAGTCTTGTATGCGTCTGCACTGCAGTGCTTCGAAGCTTCCAACCTATTCAAGTGTCGGTATACCACTGACAATTCTCCCATGAGCTCGATACGCTGAAGGTTTGGTGGCATTTGTTTGATGGCAGTGTCTAAAAGTTCAATCGCGTCACTGTTTCGTCCAAGCATTCGATACGCGTGTCCAATTTCTCCTTGAACGGCCCATTTATAGCGTGGAGCATGTTTGAGGGGAGAATGTGATTCTCCATCAAGAATGATGCAAAGGCGCTCAGCCTTTCGGAGTGCGCGTAAACCTTCTTCCCACTCAGCGTTGCGGACGTGCAGCTTCCCCAGTGCAGAGAGTACTTCCCACTGACGTAAGCAGTCCACAGTCTTTGCAAGTTGAGCCGCCATCACGCCTGGAGCAGTACGAGGCAAAATGAGGCTCGACCCATGAATTGGACCTAATGCTGGGGCATCCACTTGAAAGCCACGGCGGGAGTCGAAGAAGAAGAGGGTGGCGTGCAACTCGTCAGGACCGACGTCCAAGCTATGATATTTTCCGGCCGGAACGGTGTAACTCATCCCTCGGGAATGCGGTCGCCTCGAGCCTGCAACTGCACGAACTAAGCTTCCCGTATTCGTCATAGTGGAGGGCGCGGACTGTTGAGTAATTTTGTCGTTGGCTTCCGATTTGTCCTTATTCCAAGCTATGTTGAACTCGGTATGAGTAGCAGTGCTCATATCAGCTGACTCGATTTCATGAACATAGTCTGTACCTAGACCTGTTAAGATCCAGCCTTGACCAAAAGCCTGATGCGTATGAATGTTAGATATTGGGGTTCGTTTTTCGTGGTCATCCGGAATCCAAACGTGGAGGCGGAAGAGTTCATCGATATTCCCGTCCTTCCCATGACTCCAAAGAGGCACGGAATGATAGCCTAGTGCGCTACGATTCGCCTTAAATTGAATCGAATCAGAAATTAGAGCGCCGTAAATCAAAGTCCACACAAAATCGAGGTCAATCGGAGTGACGCTAATGTTCTCTCGTCCGGATTGAATTAAGAACGCGAGGGCAATGGCCAGATTGATAGGCTGCCGTATATTGACATCGAGATGGACTTTCTCGAGATCATGGCACCACTCGCGCAAAGTCATGGAAGTATTGTCATGGAAGTTGATCGGTAGACTGGACTTGATCCGCTCCACTTCGTCAACATGGCCACCTGTTGCGGCAGCAACTCCAGAAAGCCCCCATAGTATCTGCTCGCTTGCGATTTTGGGTTCTGCCTCCAAAGAAGTTGTCCCCGTCGCGTGTTCCACATGGTTGGAGCTGGCTGCGGTAGGGGCGGCAGTGTTCACGAAGGAGTAAGAAACAACGTTGCTGCGCCCTGATTCCATGATAAGTAACCATGGGACTCATCAACATGACAGTATTATAGAGAGTAAATGGGTGTACAAGGCGAATTTCAGCGTAAGCTCATTGTTGTTTGAAGTGCAAATTGCGTACTCGGTCAGCTCAGGATGGGGGTCAGAATGCGGGGTATCGTCTCACACGACATCTCTAAAAATAAGCAAAGAAAGACAATCAGCCTGTCAGGCAAATGTGACCAGCCTTGCATTTTTGTAGTGGCTTTGGCATATGCAGCAGAAGCGCAGAAGTGCAGAAGTGCAAGACTCATGAAGGGCTAAGAATTACAGCAACGTGAGGCACAAAATGCAAGCGCCAGGCCGTATAGTCACATCCTCAACAACTCCTGGGTTCACGAGCTCGGAAGCCGTCTGTAAAGATTCGGTCCTATCTCCTGGCAGGGTCGTTTTGCTTTAGAACTATCTTTCGCGTAGAATTGACTAATGACGGATGGCGCTGCTTGCAGTGCTATTAGACCAGCTAACGGAGTTTGAATAGAAAGGTGAGTTGAAAGTGAGCATCCCGAGTTGTGGCGGTGCGACCTAAGTAGAGGGTGAGTTGAAGTTGAGCCGGGCGTAATTTTGCTTACGAACAGGGGATACGGCGCCAACTTAACGGGGAAGTGGGAGGAGACAAATTGCTCAGAGGTATATGCAGAGATACTAGGCTTTAACAGATGCTTCTGTTCGGATAAGAAGATAGAGCTGACGCGTGCAGAATACTATATTACCCCTATGCACCTACCTATCCCAACCTTTGTATGCACCTTGCCACACTAGCCTGGCCCTAGATCCAGTACGTTCGACCCGTTTCCCATACTCTTACTCATACAAAACGCCGGCTTCAAAGGCCAAAATCAGTTCCGAGACCCAAACACTGTATATGACTAAGAAAACAGGCTATAACGTAGCAGTCGGGAAGTAATACTGGTCCCACAGGAACTCGTAGTCTTCAATGACGGTCCCCACGATATCGAGGAGGGGTTTGCCGCGTAGTTTGCCAGTGATGGAGTGGATCCAGGCCCTGATGCTTGTTAGCAATGCTTCCGCAAGCAAACTCCAGAGGTTGAATAAATACGCACTTCGTGATGTTCTCATAAAAGGCACCCCTCATCATCCACCACCCAAGCGCCCACCCCCTCTTCTTCAACTCTTCCCTTTCAAGACCAGTCAGGCCCCTCAGCCCGCCGGCTAGCCGCTCCTGGAAGTCCTTCTTCGCGAGCTGGCGCGCGCCGTACTCGATGCTCAAGCCCAGCAACCACGGCTTCCACGTCTTTCGGTCGCCTCTCCACTGCTGCATCGCCAGCGCATAGACAACCGGGCGAATAATATAGAGGCACTCCGCCAACTCCCCTTTCCCGCTCACACGATGCAGCAGCGCCTTCGGCGGCTTGATGTCATCCGCCGTCAGCACCTTCGAGAGCAGATAACTCGAAATATCCCCCGAATCCGGCAAGCTGGGCAGACTCAGCCCCGTCCGCGGCATCGCCCAATTCTCGGCCTCGACCTCGCTCTCGTTCGGCGGCGTGTCCATCCCGTCCGGCGACGCGGCGCTCTCCTCCAGCGACGAGGGGTCGACTTCGCGCTGCGGCAGCGGCGGGCTGAGCAGCGGGCGCGAGTTCGTCAGGCGCAGCAGGAGCAGGCGGCATAGAGCCTTCACGGCTTCGAGCACGACGACGACGCGCCACCGGACTTTCTCGCCGCGGCGCTTGGCGGCCATTTCCCAGAGCAATTCGGTGTACTGGATCATCTGGAGCAGCAGCGCGATGCGCTTGTAGGTCGGCGAGGTGGAGATCCAGAACTTGGTGTAGCGGTTGTGCGGGGAGGGGTGCTGCTTCGGGGTGCCGGGCAGGCGCGCGATGGCTTTGGCGAGGAGGGAATCATGGTAGAGGGAGAGGAGTTGGACGCCGCTGTGCACTGGGAAGGGACGTTAGTATTGTTGCGCGGATAGTGTTGAGGGCTGGAGGGGGCGTACGCGACTCAGATGCGATTTCTGATTCTCTGAAGCGTCCTGCGATACACTTAGCACATGGCAAATGGTGGAGGGCGCGTATAATATCGCATACCGGGAATGATGTAGGTCAGCGAGCGCAGCGCAGACTCGATTTGCGACACGGCACTGGCGTTCTTGGTGATGAAGTCGCCGTACATGCCCAGCCATCCCGGCGGCTGCGATAAGGCGTCGGGCAGGCGCTGGGTGGCCAGCTTCGCCTGTTTGTACATGGCCATCACATCAAGCCCTCGGGGATGCGCGATGGGATGGGAGCGGTGTTGTCAGAGACGAGGGCGGAGGTGGCTGGCAGGAATCTGGGGATACAAGCACGTCACGTTCTCGTGCCGAGGTTGCGGAGAGTGCCCCTTTGACAACGACCGTCTTCGATGTCCATGTCGACTGCCTTCTCGAGATTGTTCATTCTTTCTGAAACCTCCAGCAAGGCCTTCTTCACGTGGGAATCATACGTTTCCATGAGTAAAGAAATGTGAGGTTCTCGTCTCAATTCACTGCTGATGAGCCTTGGGATTTCACACAGTCCAGCTTCAAATCATCAATCCAAAGCACACTCAATCCGGACTGCAGTTATATCCCAAGAATCTTACTTCGATATACAACCACCACAGAGTTCTATAATGGCTTCATTAACTCCTTGATCTCCATGGAAGGCCATGTGACGTCGCGCAATCGCGATCTACGAGAAAGGCGCGTGTGGAGACAGAGAACGCTTTCCTTCGGCCATCTCCGCCTGACAATTACAAAGCACTGTAGCACGCATTCCAAGCTATGACTCCTTTCTCCCACTGTATTGGGTAAGGCGCAGCAAAATCCCGAGCTTCAAAACCTCACCGCTTGCGCCAAGCATTGCCTGGCTGCCTGGCTATCTGCTTTTATATTCACTGGTATAACGCCGTGAAGCCACGTTACGCGCTCGACATTCACTTCTTCGTTCGTTTGCGAGTGCGACTCAGATTCAGCACATATAAAATCCCTCCTTCAATTTCTACTCCCTCGCCTTCATTCTCTCATTGTCGAAGGAACACCACCCCGTATCAGCACAAAAACCACCACGTTCGCTTAAATCACATTTTACGCCAAAATGGAGAACGCACTTCCAATTCCCACCGAGAAGAAGGCTCTCTTCGCGAAAGTTCGAGAGTTCGTGGAAATCTACATGTCCGCGTACGACTCATCTCACGATTGGTCGCACATCCAACGCGTGACCTCGAACGGCCTGCGCATTTTCCTCGGTGAGAAGGAGACAAATCCTTCCTTTACTGCTACCCTCGACACTACCGCTATCTTTCTCGGCTGCCTAATACACGACGTTGGCGACTATAAGTATGTCACCGGCATACCCAACCCGAACGAGATCTCCGACGCCCTCGTCAAACTAGGCGCCGACGCCGAACTTGCGATGAAGGTGCAGGAGATCGGCACCTGGGTCTCGTACTCTAAGGAGGTGAAGAATCCAGAGATCACAAAAGCGATGCTCGAGAAGCATCCGGAACTACGGATCGTCCAAGATGCGGATCGATTGGATGCGATTGGGGCTGTGGGAGTTGGTCGATGCTTCACATACCATGGAGCCAAGGGGACGGGTTCGATGCAGAACTCGATCGACCACTATGACGAGAAACTGCTGAAGATTGAGTATATGATGAAGACGGAGACAGGCACGAAGATGGCAAAGGAGCGGACAGAGATCCTGAGGATGATCAAGGAGGCTTGGGAGAAAGAGACAGAGTTGGCATTTTGAGGGTTTCAAGGGTTGGGAATGAGAGGACCGCGAAGGGATTCATATTGTCCAAGTAACAATAGGGACTCGTAGTCGGGCTCTAGATAATGGCTATGCTGAGTACACAGTCGTAACAAACCAGCGCCCGTAGTACTATTTGTTCGCATCCGTATCAAACCTTGCCAGAGAGTGCAGTCTACCATTCTGTTGCTTTCCCAATCCATACATAAACCGTGCGTGCCGCTCCCTTTATCATCTCATATTCTTTGGAAGTGCTCCGTACATCTATCCTACCTCTAGTACGTCTCTTGAGACAGCATACTACTTCATCACCATACTTCAGGCCATCTACCAGGCTCTCGTGGCTCTTGTGGCTCTGGATCTGTAATTTTTTCTACAAGATGACAAGAGTAATCCTGGTGATATCTCTTCAAGAGCTCATACGAGAGTTCAGCGATTTTTTTCACGACTGCCTCTATCTCCTTCTTATCTAGAAGCGACGAGTTCTTCAGCAGAACATCCACTATGGCGTCTCGAAGACCGAGGTCCATCTCCGGTGTTGTGTCGTAGACAATACGTATTGCGTCGGGAAACTCTTCATGCGACCAACCCTCTTGCACGTCTCCAGTGAATCGTACCTTTGCAATGAGCTTCAGACCCTCGATGTTGTATTTGTCCGCCAGGGCATACATGTGGGCGTGGAAGACTAGGCCTAGGTTGGCTTCGCTTGGGCGTTTCGAGATCTTCCCTCCGTTTTCCTTTTTTTGCTTGGTCGTCGTCCAAGCCCCCCAATCACCAAACTCTTCCGCTAGAAGAGGCGGTGGAGGAGTGGGCTCTAGCGGTTCATCGTCGTAGGAACGCTGTGGAGCTTCATCCCCCTGAAATTGGGCTGGAGCTATGTCATTTTGAAAAGGCGATGGAAATGCCTCAAAGAAGCCTCTCGTGTTGATACTCGATGCACTAGGAGCCGGACCAGGAACGACGTATATTAGATGGTAAAAGTAGTAAACCATAGCCCTGACATGCTCAGGTTGCTCATCTTGCAGAGTGATCTCGCCACTCTCAGCTTCCTGTGAGTCGGAGAGCCGTTAGTAAGGGGAACCAGATTTCGAGCATGCCCTTACCTTGCCGCCAAATCTGCAAGATGCAGCGAAATATTCGCATTGCGGGAAGACGATAGCTTTGTGGACGCGATGTGTCTCAGACCCACAAATGATCTTGAAATCGGAATAGTCCCCAGATTTGAAGAGACTAGGTGCAGAATGCCTCAATACGAAGATCTCATTCTGTTGGGACTACGGGCAGGGGACTCACGTATCTAAGGACGTAACAAGCTGATCTTGTAACTTTTTCTGTGCTTTATCCATGGTGGCTAACGGACGGCATAAACAACGACGATGAGAAATTCAACTTGGGAGACCACCCCTACAATTGCATGAGTGGCGTCTTTTTTGATGTGGAAGGAGGGAGGAAAGCAAGAAGCGGAGATGACATGGCGGCGAAGAAAGTTGTGCGCGAAGACAGCTGGGCGGCTACCAAGCTGCAACCTTGAAAGGCTGAAAGTGCCCACCAATCACTCTAATGTGGCACTGCAGCACATCTGGCTGCCTAATTTCGATATCGAAAGAATTAGATAAGTGTTTCCTATGCCCTAACGTCAATATATGCTGTCATACAGCAAAGACCGGCATTTTGCCTAGAAATACTCGTTCAGCGGTAGATGTTTACGTGGCCAATGGTGTGGGGGTATTGGCTGTCAACACCCGGCATAAGGGCCTCATTGGCGGCTCTGTGGAGACATTTGGCATTCTTGCGAACACCTTCCTGGCAGCCATGTTGCTAGCCGCCCATATCATCCAAAATTGTGAACAATACCATATATTGCTTGCTGCGTAATGGATAGAATACCGTGCTCAGTCTAAGCCTGTTTCAAGTCTAGCTTCTCGCTCCTATAAACTTCGGGACTGTCCACCACGACGAGATCTTGTCAAAGTCCATCGTTAGTTAAGGCTACTCACAATATACATTGTCACACACAAATCTGTCCCTCGAGGTGCAGCTTCGCTGAATTTATCTGGCTTGGTACGAAGACGTCGTGAGAATAAACCCCAAATACCAATATAGAATCCCGTTGAAGGAAAAGCAACCCGAAATAATGTATCTGAGCGAGAGAGTGTGACAAAAGTCGAAAGACGAGATTGCCCATTTCAATAACGTCCTCCCAACCTCGACACCGAGTCTCCACTGCGGTGTCTCTTCAAGAGGTCATAGGCAAGACCGGGAATATCCTTGACAACTGCCTCCACCTCTGGCTGGTCCAGGAGCGCCGAATGCTCCAAGAGAACTTTCACCAGAGGCTCCCGCAAACCCACGTCGGTGTCCAATGTAGTCTCAAAAACGACGCGAGTAGCAGCAGGAAACTCTTCGTGCGTCCAGCCAGTCTCCACCGCAGCGGTAAATCGCTCCTGCGCGAGGAGCTTCAAACCCTTGACGTTGTATTTGTCGGCTAGGGCGTACATCTTCGCATGGAAGACGAGGCATGGGAAACCTTCTAAGGGTTTTGGGAAGTCTTGGGACTCTCGTGCTCTTGTAATACGCTTTGTTTTTTTGGATCCACCGTAACTTAGTTGTTGTGTGGGTGGATGAGGAAATAGCGGGTATATGGGGCGTCGTTGGTAATCCGATCTAGTATTGACGTCGAAGTCATCCCACGATGGAGGAGCTGCATCCATTTGGAGGAGAGGCTCCTGCGCTTTGTTGCTCATAGGCTCTCTTGGAGTTGCATTGGAGACCGAGTAGTCCAGATGGTAAAAGTAGTATACCAAAGCCTTAACGTGTTCGGGTTCATCATCATGCAATGTCATTTCAGCGTTTTCAGCTTCCTGAGTTTTGACACCGTTAGTGTATAAACCTCAATCCTATCTTACAAAATTACGGAGAGACCTACCTTGCCACCAAATCTGAAAGATGCAGCGAAGACTTCGGACCGCGGGAAGACAATTGCCCTGTGGACATTGTGTGTGTCAGATCCACAGATGATTCTGAAATCGGAGTAATCTGCAGACTTGAAGAGACTGATTGTGGTTTCGATGAGCACGACAGCCTCGTCCCATAAAAACCAATAACTTACGCAGCTAAGGACTGGAGAAGATCAGACTGCAGCGATGCCTGTAGTTCAGCCATGATAGCCGGAAAATGCTCAACACAAAATACAGCTCTAGAGAAGGCACAAGACGACGCCGTTCTATGATGATGAGAGAGTGAGGAAAGGGAAAAAGTGGGTTTAGAGCCTACGAAGGTGCGCTGCTCGGAGCTGCAAGGCTGAAAATGACAGCCAATCATCGAGCTATAGCCGCCGGAGTACTGCAGCACATTTGGCTACCTGCATAACTTCGATATCGAAAAAATTCGACGGAATGAAAATAACGTTTCCTGCACTTTGAGGTTTGTCATGATCCGTGCTGTTATCGTAGTTAAAGATACATTAGTTACATGCTAAGATATGTCGAAGTTGAGGGGTTGAGGCTGAATAAAGAAGGCGTCTTGTTGAGCAAACCTTGACCGGTATGTCAGCCAGAGATACTTGTCCAGCAGTAGATATGTTTCCCCATCGATGTGAGAACAGCGGCAACCAACGCCCGGCATGAGGGCCTCGTTGGGGATATCATGGAGATATTTAGCATTCTAGCGCACCGTTCTGGCAGCCATCTTTGAGGCCGCGATTAAGACACCTGCTGCAGGGCCGTTAGTCACGTGCTCAGGCGTACTTGTCAATCACGTAGGACCTGGACAGAAGCCTGTGCACACTTGCTCGAGGCTCGTCACTGTCTGAGGCGCTTCAGGGCATTACTAGAAATCTAGATGAGATGTAAAGTTCTAGCCATCGCAAATTGGAGAGGTCTCAAAGGCCCCTGAATAACCTATTTCGCCGTTGTTCGGGATGATCCAGGATATTATGACGAATTAGAAAGCGGCATCCTCCCCTTTTCGAATATCAACCGCACCGCTGACTTCAATGAAGTCCTCCAACTCCTCACTCACTGTCTTCAGCTTCTCCTTTACACTGGTAACGCCCTCCGATCCGACAATATGCCTTGCGGGGGGGTTATCATGGCCGCCGATGGCTGTGAGAGCGTGCACGGTCTCAGCAACCAAGGCACTCTTAAAAGCCTGCGACAATGGCGGATACAGGGATGTAATCTGCGGAGAACTCAAAAGATCACCCGTGTATGGCATGTGGACATCCATATCTGTGCTGGAAGGGGACTTTTCCTGCCCTGGTGACATTTCGGGGTATGGGTGATTGCTCAAGTCGATCTTGTCCAAGATGCCGGAGAGGATCTCGCGGGCGAGCGGTGCTGGATTGACGTCTGGTGAGTACTGTGGAAGAGGCGGTACGGACGTGATTCGGTTTGTTAGTACGTTGACTTCCATATTCGGCTGAACGATTGACATCTTGATATTGAAAGGAGCGATTTCGTATGCAAGACTCTGAATGAATTTGGGTGAGCCCTTTCCTAGCAGAGCGATAGACAAAAACCTACATCGCAGTATCCCTCTATAGCCCACTGAGATGAACAGTACATCCCAAGACCTGGTGTGCCTAGATGGGCAGCTAGATGATCATTCAGTCAAAGAATCGTAACAGGAATATCAGCCAAACTAACTGATTCCAGTCAACATAATGACATGGCCGTTCCGCACTTGTCGCATGTTCGGTAGGACGGCTTTGATAACATTGACGTTCGCAAAGAAGTTTGTCTCAAATTGCTCTTGGACGAGACTAATGGTACGAGAGGACTGGGCAAGCTCCTCAACAGTGCCGACCACCGCTATAGAACAAAGATGACAGTCAGCAATGCAGCGCTCGGGATTCCAAGATGCAATCTGGAATTTGAAGCTATAAATACCAGATGGGAATATATACCTTCGCTTGTGCAACCGAGGAGAACGTCTACTCTTCCAAATGCTTCGATTGCTTCTGCAATTGCGGCCTGGCATTGTCCAACCGACCTACTCTCTCTCATCAGCATCCGTGTCTACACTTTCATACACCGTTTTTGCTATTCCAAACCTTACCTCCCGTCCAGTCCCACAACACGTAGTCTTTCTCTCCACCGCTCTGTGCGCTTCACGTCTTCCAAAAATGCCCGAAACTCCTCGCTTCGCCCCTCATGCTTCTCAAACTCGATAGGGAGCACCCCAGCGACAACATAGTCGCCATGTTCGAGTACTTGACGAGCGAGTGCAATTGCAATAGGGGAGGTGCCCGTCGTAATGAACCAGACGCGGGGCGCGTTGTGGGGTGGGAACTTTGGAGAGCGCGGGCGCTGGGGTTTTGAAGAAGAAGTGGCTGATTGAGGAGGTGTCATGTTCGGGGGAGCTTAAGATGAAGCATCCTCGTCCAAGCTGGGGAGAGTCCTGCGAGTCGTGGCATGGTTGCGAGGAACGAATGAGGTTGGTCTTTAGACCCTGGATTTACCAACTGCCTATCACCGACTAGGTAGGTTTAGAGCCGCACAGTCCTTGCAGCAGATTTAGACGACAAAGCAACACCCATTCATCAACAACGCCTGCATCTGCAATCGTGAGCGCTAAATGCGATCGTAGTCTTCAGGGAAAATTATTTGCGTACAGGTCGAGATGGCTCCGGCCCAGTTGGAGCAAAGACGTTCGCACAATCTTCTACTGATCTCAAAGCTACTCAATCAGCGGGATGCCTCCTCACCTTTCACCTTGGTCATCGATTCCCTGGAGCAGTCTGCACGGCCGCTGGTCAAGGAGTATGTCCGGAGGGCCAAACTGTCAAAGACCAAAGTCTTATTCGTCTCCTACGAGACTCTAAAAGCACCTGAAGGCGTGGACATCTTCATTCAAGCTATTAGGAAGCCAATTCCAACTCTTCAAAAGGAGATATCTGCTGCTGCATCAGATGGCAAAACTCTCTTAGTCTTCGACACCTTGAACTGGATCGCTGGAGACTCAAATCTGAATCTCTCGTCCTTTCTGTCATCCCTGATCTCTCCGAACACGCCCTTGCTGGCCGTATATCATCAGGATATACCTTTGTCACGTCCTCTTGAGTCTTCACATGGTCCTCATCCACTTACACTATTGAAGTACCTCTCAACCGCCATTTTCTCAACACATTCACTCCACCACGTCCTCGCGCAAAAGTCCGCAAGAGGCCGCAGCCTTGCGGAACCTGTGTTCGGACTGGCAGAAGAAATTGAAGGGATCGTCCAGGGAATAGGGAGCAACGATCCTAGAGGGGTGGTCCTGGAAATGGAGTATAGGCGCAAATCGGGACGGGGTGTCCATGAATGGTACTTCTTACCATCATTAGCACACTCTAGTGCCACGTCACAGGCTTCTAAAGGAAAGGAGATAGCGACTCTACTCGACGATCACCCCCTCTATCGACAAACTCCGGCGAATGAAGGGGGAAATGGTGCAGAAGAACTTGGGATAGACTCGACATTCAATCTAGGGCTCACTGAAAAACAGAGGAGAGACCGAGAAGGAGTCGTGCTTCCATACTTCGATGCTCAAAAAAGTGAAGGTGGTGAAGGTGGACGGATTCTCTACGATATGGGAGAAGAGGACGATTTTGATGAGGAGGAAGATGAAATATGAGTGAAGGCGAAGAGACCAAGCCTAGTGCAATGGTCTATTCATACTGAACAATATATAGACTTTCTAGGTCTCTCCGACACGGGGGTATGCGTGTACACAGGGCCAGCAATGGTCGCTATAACCTTTGCCAAGACTTGCCAAGACTTCCTCGCGCCTTCCAGTGATGTCACAACAAGCTGAAATAAAACCTTCTCGATCGCTGCTCTCACCCCGAGACCTGTCAACTACACTCACGGCACTGATCGCGGCTCGATTCCACTATTGTGAGCGTGCTCTCGTGGAGAACTGCAGTCACTAACAGCTTACCTACTCACACCAATCACACCAACCGACTCACGTGCTCGCTAACAACCATGGCTCGCAAGGCGTTCATCAAGCTGACGACCGACAGCTTCGTCAAACCTGTGAAGCCCGTCAAAACTAAGAGCAGCTCTCCAACTACTACCGCAACAGACCCCAACGATCCGATCTCTGCCGATCCGAACCAGCTTCCCTCTGCGCCAGCTGGACTGCCCACCCCGCCCTACGAGAAACCCCAAGAGACCAACGCCCTGGCTTCGAATCTCGGCAAGCGCAAAGCCGCAGACCTCACTCCGCCACCCTCCGCTCCAGCCAAAGCAGTGGGAGTAGGACATATGGCAGAGCCTCCGACCAAGCGTTCTCGCCCGGACATCAACGACCGTGGCAACAAGGTTGATGCGAAGAACGGAGTGCGCGATGGCGACCGACGTGACGATAGAGGTGGACGCGGTGGCGACCGACGTGACGACAGAGGTGGACGCGACAACCAGCGGAGGGAGCGCAGCCGCAGCCCAGGTCGAGGAGGCCGACGAGGTGGTCGACGTGGCAGATCCCTCACGCCGCCGGGCAGAGATGCGAGGAGCGGTGCGCGCAACCGATCTCCGCCGCGAGGACCCCGTGGTCGTGCATCATCTCCGCCTCGCAAGCCATCCAGCAAGGCCGCCGCCCTTCAGTCCCAGGTTCCAATCAAGGTGGAAAAGATGGATATCGACTCACCAGGCCTTGACGACGTCGAAGCACAGGCCCAGTACATGCAGAAGGTCATGGGCTTTGCTGGATTCAAGACGACCAAGAACACGAAGGTGCCTGGAAACGAGAGACTGTATGGTGTCAGAAGGGAGACCGTCATCAAGGCCCGACAGTACATGAACCGCACTGGTGGTTTCAACAGGCCGCTCAGCCCCGGGTAAAGAGACTCAGCCCTCCAATTCCATTAAAGGCACACTTATTGACTGAATACCCTAGTCGCTAGTCGCGGTTGAGATACCATCTGCCTCCGATCGGGTTCACGGCAATATTCTGAACTCCTGCATGCAGAACTACGAAGCTATACAGACTCACCGGATGCGGATTGCCAAAGACTTGCTCAGACGGTACGTGGGTGTGCATCTGGTGGCGCTCGGCGTGTTTTGCTTTTGATTTCTGGCGATTTGCTGTTATGGTGGCTGGTATGAACTGGTAACTGGCGGGAGTTTGGTTGGAGAATGGCTGGAGAATGGCTGGAGAATGGCTGGAGAATGGCTGGCAATTGGCAAGTGGCTGTTCCCTGGACTGGCAACTGACGACACACGACCGACGATTGGCGATTCCAACACTGCTTCTGCTTTGCACACAACTTACTTGCGTTTTCGAGGTCATGAAAGGCTGCATCCGTATGCTGCGACACCGATGGACAAATGCTACATCCAGGGCAGTCTTCGAAAGATCAAAAGCTGGGTATGCTACTTCATCTGATACGGAGGAATCGTTGGTGAGAATGCTGTTTTGTTGGTTGCTCCCGGTTTTGCTAATCTTGATAGTTTTCATACGGGCAAGGGAATACGCGTAATACTGTGGAACATGGGCTCAAATGCAGGGGACAATGCACTTTGGTACTTGAATGTGGTACTTAATAAACCCTATGGAATTAACATGAACTGCTTTAACGTGATGATCTCGTGTTTGAAACCTATAAATACTGTGATGTACTTCGTACGCGCACCCCCGAAACGTGTTCTCTCGCCGCAACCCCACCACCAAAATTCCCAATCTCACCAGGAAGCTCCAACGCCAGCCCCGGAGCTTCCCCCACTCCCAAAACATATCATGGAGCCCTTATTACGATGGCCTCTTTACATCGTCCTTGTTGGTGCTCTTTTACTGGCCCAATTACCCGCTATATACGCCGAAGCCTCCGCGTCGACGGTCCTCGAGATCGAGAAAGCGTCCAACGATTCGCTGTTATGGGGGCCCTACAGACCGAATCTATACTTTGGAGTCCGTCCGCGTATTCCAAAGAGTCTTATGACAGGACTACTTTGGGCACGAGTGGAAGATTATCAGAGCGTACAGCACAGTACGTTGGTTCTGGGTTTCGAGACGACAGCTTGTTTTTCCACTCCAATTGGACTTTCCCGGCTGACCTTGTCATCTTTGCTTCTTTTCAGACTTCAGACACACCTGCGAACAGCATGAACTTGATGGCTACGGCTGGGACGAGTATGACGTACGAACCGGCGGCCGCCAGACCATCCACGACCCTTCCAATCGACTCGACCTGACTACCGAATTCGTGAAAGTCCCCGGAGGAGCACACGGAGGAAATTGGGCTGTGCGAATCAAAGGAACTCCTCGTGCTGATGCCTCTCCCAATCTGAAAACAACCGTGGTATGGTATGCGTCTCTGGAAGGGCTAGGAAGCTTAGAGGTGGTCGACGACGGAGAGGATACGGGATTCGATGGTGATGTGAAACTCAAGGGCCAGACAATAGAGCTTGGAGATTTCGACATAAAGATTACGGAGGGGAGTGGAGAGCATCCGCCTCCAGGCCATCCGAGCTACGATGAACAGCCTTTGGATCGCACGTTTGTGCATAGCTTCCAATTGCCAGAGGATGCTCTTTGGCAGACGAAACGTGAGTCCATACTGCATTACGTGTCTTCAGTGTGCACTTTAGCTAATAACGTACGAGGAGTGAAGCTATCCTCTTTGCCCACCTGAAGACTCAGATTGAAGCTATGCTTGCCAAATATGGCGAAGACAATCCGCCGCCGCCAGCCCAGGTCTACACCATCTCAAATGAGGTGGCAAGAGGCAATTTGCACATGGTGCAAAAAGTCTTCGAAGGCCCCTTTGAGGTACAGATACCGTTCTGTCTAGAAACGCAGCGCTCGCTCACCTCTTTAGTTTGACATTCTCTACTCATCAGCATCTGCACCTGAACCAATCACTTGTAAGACAACTAAGTGGAGTATTTGTATCGTCAAGCTAATCCCTTCCCAGCAGAAGATCTGGCCAAGAGGATCAAGACGGTGACGAAGAGCTTTTCGAGCCGGTTTTCGGAAATCTTCACGCCTAATGCTCCTTTCCTCAAGGGAAGATACGACGAGTTCTCCAAATCACTGTTCTCAAACTTGATCGGGGGCATTGGCTACTTCTATGGAGACTCTCGAGTAGATCGCTCTTATGCCTCCGAGTATGAGGAAGACAACGAAGGCTTCTGGGAAGAAGCTGCCGAAGCACGCGGAAGAAACGTAGCCGAGTTCGAAGGCCCATCGGAGTTGTTCACCAGCATTCCATCCAGGCCATTCTTTCCCCGAGGATTTCTTTGGGACGAAGGCTTCCATTTACTGCCTGTGCTCGATTGGGATGCTGACTTGACGTTAGTTTCCTTTCCCCCCAGAAACACTTTGCAAAATGCTAACGAACTAGTCTCGATATTATCAAGAGTTGGTTCAATCTAATGGATGAGGATGGATGGATTGGTCGCGAGCAGATTTTGGGCGCCGAAGCCCGAAGCAAAGTACCGCAGGAGTTCCAGGTCCAATACCCTCATTATGCAAATCCACCGACCCTTTTCATGGTCCTCACCGCGCTGACTGACAAGCTGGAAGCACTGGTATCTGCCAAACCAACAGATCAGAAGGTCATTCCGAGTGGATCTTACACTTCGATTCTGTCAAATCGCGAGGCCTCGCTTCAATATCTTCGGGACCTCTACCCTCTTCTAATGCGCCAGTATAAGTGGTTCCGAAAGACCCAAGCAGGGGACATCAAATCCTACGACCGAGAAGCGTTCTCCACCAAGGAAGGCTATCGCTGGCGTGGCCGCACTCCACAGCACATTCTGACCTCCGGTTTAGACGACTACCCTCGCGCTCAACCTCCTCATCCTGGCGAACTGCACGTTGACTTGATCAGCTGGGTGGGAATGATGATCCGTAGCTTGAAGCGTATAGCTACCATACTGGGCTATGCAGACGATGTCACTGAGATCTCAGGCTACGAGGAGGCCATCATTCGCAATATCGATGACCTTCATTGGGACGACAAGGAAAAGACATATTGCGATGCAACGATTGACGACTATGAAGAGAGTGTGCACGTATGCCACAAAGGCTACATCTCCATATTCCCGTTCTTGACAGGTCTATTGCCACCTGACAGCCCAAGATTGGGGGCTATTCTTGATCTGATTCACGACCCAGAAGAGCTCTGGTCTGAATACGGATTGAGGAGTTTGAGCAAGAGCGACGAGCTTTACGGGACTGGCGAAAACTATTGGAGAGGTCCTATCTGGATGAACATGAATTTTTTGGCTGTGAAGCAATTGCTGGTATGTTTCCTGGAGCGGTTGGGCTACTCAAACTGAATGCTAATTGCTGATTCACAGGACCTCGCGCAAGCCGCGGGGCCACACCAAAAGCGCGCGCGGAAGATATACACGGAGCTCCGCGAGAACCTTGTAGATACCGTGTACGAGTCCTGGAAGGAGACGGGATTCGCGTGGGAGCAGTATAATCCTGAGACCGGGAAGGGTCAGAGGACACAGCATTTCACTGGCTGGACAAGTTTGGTCGTCAAGATTATGGCTATGCCTGATCTTGGCAGCCAGACGCGGGAGAAGGACGAGTTGTAGAAAGGTTTCAGTACATTGCTTAGAGCGAGGATAAGTTAGAAACAATGCTCATATATTTCAAGAGTTTGAACTTTCTTGGGAGTTTCAGCACACCTATAGTGACAGGTCAAGCGCGCACTTCGCACGACCGGTTTCCAGTTTAATACAACTGATATTGCACCGCGTGTTCGATTGATACGACAAGCTAGCCAACCTGAAACACGCCTAACGCTGCCTGGGACACCCTGGGCGAGACTTGAATGCGTAGGCGCAAGGAGGGGGGCTTGACCAGGCTTAGAAGAATCATGAACTTGAGAGCTGAGGATACGATATCTTTATAGATAGTCTATGGGGCACGAATACTATATCATGAAAACTATATGGGTATGATATAGGGCCCGAGTAAGACTCTTAGACTTTAGGACTCGTATTGACACGATGGGCAGTCTCTCTTCCTAATCAACTGCGCCTTGGGAATACTGAAAGAGTAGCGGAGGACGGAGTGTATCCTAGTTTCGGCTCGGGGCGTTTTTCAGAGTGAGGCGAGGACCTAGGTGGGCTGGATGTGGGGGAGGGCTTGTGTTTGGTAGGTTTGGTGGATTGGTGCGTGCTGGGAGGTCTTGTGGGAGGGGGGATGCTCGCCGGGTGGGCGTGTATATGTGGAGTTAGCTGAATGATGGAAGAGATTCTTGTCGAATGGACGCGATGAGGTTATAGGGAAAGCGTAGCAGGTAGCGCCCAGCGCTATCCGAGGGGTGCGAAGACCGCGGCTTTGGGACTATTGGGGATGTAGTAGAGGGCTGAAAGCAGTGCTGGGCAAGTATATGCGAGCTTGGGGAGGGTTCATTTGAATGCGTAGAGTAGCGCTTTATGTCAAAGGGAGGTTGGGGGGGACTTGAAGGGAGGGAGGGGAAGGGGAGGGGACGCTGAGAGACGTAGGATATAGTCTACACATTGGAATTTTTTTTTTTTAGGGGAGGAAGATATAGCAGATATGGTATAGGTAGATATTTTTGGATATGAAGGGAAGTTTCCGAGAAGTGGCAAGATTGTAGTAAGAGGGAGAGATTTTCCACTGGTTGTCCAGAAAATATATCTCGAGGCCACATCTCATATCTACGTTTCGAGTCAGAATATACTCCTTTTACCACGCGTCATTCTCACTTCCACTTCGTTGACAACGACCTCTTCACTACCCCATATCAACACTCCCGTATCGTGCGCTACCCTCTCCCATAAGTCCTTCAAACTGGACCCCGTCACCCTCCTCGCTTCCGCCCTCGCCCTCGGCGCCTCCATCGCTTCGGACATCATCGCCGTCACCGCCACCACCGTCATCCTGATCGCTCCTATCCATCCCACCATTCGCAAAATTTGGCATCGACTCTTCGGGAACTCAGAGGATTGGGGGCGGGAACTCGTTAGTGTCCTGTTCGTCTGGGGCGTTCTTTTTGCGCACTTTCTCAGTATGGTGGATGTGAATGGTCGTGAATTTAGGGGCGAGCTCGAAGGGCAGCCGGCTTCGGTCAGAGCGGTTCATAGTTTTACCGTGATTGGGGTTGTGCAAGGGGCGGTTTTTGCGATGGCGGGGGCGCTGATTGAGGGGCTGGGTTGGATGCGGTGGGTGGTTTTTGGGGAGCAGGGGAAGAAGTGTGCATGTGGGGGAAAGAAGTAAGGAAAGTAGGCCGCGGAGGATCGAGGAAGCTGGGAAGCTTTTGGGAAGGGTGCGAAGTGGGGAGGGTTGGGTAAGGGGTTAGCGGAGAGGGGGCTTGTATGTACGACGTACAGTGCCTTGTCAAAGAGCCTGTATGTACTCTCTCGCTGCTACTTGTGGTGATTCGAAGCATAGACTTGGGTCGGGACTGGTGGATATAGCTCCAGTCTGTGTAAAATTCCTTACTGGTGTCGGGGGTGGCCTCGCAATTCAACCTGGTTCGGATCTCTTAAGTTACTTCAGAGCCCCTTAAGCAGTGTCGAATGACTATGCACAAATTTATGACCAAGTATCCTGAGGCGTGATGGTGATTCTGTGTGAATTAGATGAGACGAGAACAATACTGGCCAGCCAATACCGAAGAAGAGAATAGACCCTTTCCCTGAAGACCAGTGACCTAACGTGTCCTCGACTAGATCCTCTTCAGCACTCACCATCACATCACCATCACCACCGCCATCCTTCAAACTAACACTACGGTCGACCGTCGTCTGGCATGGCATCGCCCGATCTCCTCATCCCGGCCTTCAATATCGCCCTCAAAATCACCACCTACATCGCCCTATGGGCCCTTGCCCTCGCAATCCTCATCGAAATTCTCTTCGTCTTCCTCCTAATGACGTTCCGCCAAATCTTCGTATATTGCTCCGATGCCGCTGAAGCAGCGCTCATCGCCACGGGATTCGGCTCCATTTTTCTCTGCGTCTGCAACGTGGTCGGTACATTCTTGTACGCGATGCAGAACATTGAGCGGAAAGAAGTGGCTTCGCTGCGTATGGCCGTCTTGAAGAGTGCTCTTAGTGTTGGAGCTATCGCTGGGATGATTCTTGTGGGCTTCTGGACTTTTGGGATTCTGTGTTGGTTAGTTGTGAACCTGGTTGTTGCGGTTAGTGGTAAGCCGGTGGGGTTTAAGCGGTGCGGTGGGAGTGCGGAGGAGTGGGATTGTGGGGAAGAGAGGTGGGGGAGGTATGGAAGGCGAGACAGGTATGGGAGGCGGAAGAGTGTGTGAGGTTGAGAAGCGCGTACGGCACGGATTAGTAGAGGAAAGAGAAAGGATGCTGTCAGGATAGAAGGCGGAAATGGATAGACCAGCAAGGATGGAGGGCTTCATACAAGGCTAGATAGAGGAAGAATAAGACGAGGAGTTATACGTGTGTTTTATTCAATGGAAAGGTGCGATGAGAATCTCCGCTTTTGCTGTAGTGGTCAACTGGTATCGAAGGGTGTGAACCACGGATACGTACTTCACTCAATTATGAGCTACGATGAGAATCTCCGCTTTTGCCGTAGCGGTCAATCGGCACCGAAAGGTGTGAACCATGGTCGTAACCCCCCATGACATGCCCACAAGACCTCGATCAGTACAAAAGCCCAAGTGCAAAACCTTTCCACTACTTTTCACACAAACCTCTACGTTCCGAGCTGCCACCACATCCTGACTTCCTCATCACTTCGCATAATGGCGCCACTACCGTTTACCACCCAAATTCCTTTTGGCACCCAAGGGGTTCCTCGACCAGTCACTCGCCTTTTTGAGCCCTCGAGATCAGCTCCCCGTTGTCGGGATCGCCTTTCTCGCATTCCTCAAAATCACCCTGGCCATCTCCATAATCCTCTTCCTCATCCTCTTCCCCCCGTTACTCCTCTTGGAGCTTTTCTTCGCCCTCGCCTTCTTGATCTTAGATGCTCTCACCCTGAGTGTGTCTACCGTGGAAGTAGCTTTCGCCTGCCGACCACGCCTTCGCTGGATCACATTCATGGGCCACATCATCACTACGGGCTTATACGCAATCTCGGGGGAAAATATTGTCAAGAGTATCCTTAATAGCTGCATCGTGTTCGTCTGGGCGCTATTAGTGCTTGCTTCTGTTGCTATGATCACGATTGCCGGCTACAAGGACCGGTACCGTGGGGTTATCAAGCTCACGGATCCCGAGTGTGGAACTACGGGGTGTGAGAAGAGGTATGACAAGGAGTATGAGAAGGAGCAAGAGAATAGATATGGGAAGAGGTGCAAGGAGCTCGATGAGAAGCTGGAGAAGATAAACAAGAATTACTACACCTTGCTCATGAGTGACGATTACGACACCCTACTCGAGAGCGACGATTACAACCCCCTGGTCATGGGCGACATTTACCACACCCTGCTTAAGAACGAAGAATTCTCCCTTCTCATGACCGGCGATTACAAGACTCTGCTCAATGGGGCCAATGACGAGAAGCTTCAAGATCTGCAGGACAAGTTGAACCAGATGGAAGAAGAACAGAAGGCCTGCACTGAGGTTTCCAAACTTGGTTTCAAAATTAGTCGTCGCGACGGCCGGGAAAGTGAAACTGAGAAACGTTGGTAGGTCGGACGAATGCCGCATCGCGCATGGGAGTCCTGAGACAAAGACTACGGTGTGAAAGACCTCTGGACGAAAGCAGTGGTATGAGATAGAAGCTTAGGCAAAGCTGGACGAGTTGAGAGAAGGGCTAGGAAAAGTTTGCATATGTTTCAAATACACTCGAGAGATGTATTCCAGAGGAGCTTTCCAAGTTGTCTGTTCTTCTTGTGATCTTGTCTCTGTCTGATATCGTTACTGACCCTGTGAATGTGCCCATGTGTATCGATCAGCATTGGCAAAGATGCTGCCTTCAGGCGCATCTCGGTGTCTCGGGTTCTCGTCTTTTCTTCTAGATCCATATCAACCGCAACCGTGGCCGAAGAGGTAAGTTGGGCGCTCTGTAAGGAACTGTATCTGTTCGCTGGAGATATCCTCGGATAACGTCATTAGCGACCCCACCACGACAGCTTCACCCCACCTTCGTGCTACGGTATTTTGATGGCGTCAATCGGATTGGTAAGACTCAAGACATAGCCTCTTACTTTGCCTTCCCGAACTGTATGCTCAAAGCTGCTCGACCTATCCTCTTTTTCTCTCCAAAGCAATTGGGCATTTCTCAAATCTTCGGGCCACCAGTACCTACCAAGCTCAAGCCGAAGAGCTTCAGCTTATCTGCAAGAATGGCAAACATCCACACCCCGATCCCGGCACTGAAGCTGAACGATGGGACTTCAATTCCAGTGGTTCGTTTAATCCCTTTCTCCTCTTCTTGCCCCAAGAAACCGCGCTTCGAGCATTGCCACAGGCTCTTCTCGTGCTGTTCCAAAGACATTTAGGTCTCGCGGAAGGCTAACCGAACTCTATTGGAATAGCTAAGTTATGGCACCGGCACGGCGTGGTACAAGACTGGCGAAGAATCCAAGATCGACCGCGCATTGGTTGAGAGCATCAAGACGGCGATCAAGCTCGGATATACTCATCTCGACGGTGCAGAGGTCTACAAGACAGAGCCGGAGCTCGGCCTCGCGATTAAAGAGAGCGGCGTCCCACGAGAGAAGTTATACATCACAACGAAGGTGATTGTCAACATTGCGGACATCGAAGGTGCCATAAAGAACAGCTTGAAAAAGCTGCAACTGGACTACGTGGATCTGTAAGCATCCACTTCTCCGTACATACCTTCTATGAACGTCCACCAGCTTAGCTTGGTATATGTCTTCTAACACTCAAGCCACAGATATCTCATTCACTCTCCCTTCTTCGCCAAATCCGACGCCGAGCTCCAATCCGCCTGGGCAACCTTGGAAAAGGTTCAAGCTGCTGGTCTCGCCAAATCTATCGGCGTCTCCAACTACCTCGTCCCGCACCTTGAAGCTACGCTTAAAACAGCTAAGGTCGTCCCGGCTATCAACCAGATCGAGTTCCACCCCTACCTGCAGCACACAGAGCTCTTGAACTTCCACAAGCAGCATGGCATCGCGACATCCGCGTATGGGCCGCTTACTCCAATAACAAAAGCGAAGCCGGGCCCAATTGATGGGTACCTGGCGGCATTGGCGAAGAAGTACGCGGTTAGTGAAGGGGAGGTGCTCTTGAGGTGGGCGATTGATCAGGATATTGTGGCGATCACGACGAGTTCGAAGGAACAGCGTCTTTCGGACTACTTGAGGGCGGCTACATTCAAGCTGACGCCAGTGGAGATTAAGGAAATCAAGGAGAAGGGGGAGGAGAAGCACTTTAGGGGCTTTTGGAACGACAAGTTTGAGGAGAGCGATCGGTCTTGAGCATGTTTCATGGTGTAGACTGTCTTCCATTACGTGAAGCTATTGAAGGACACTTGATATAACATGCTGCTTTGAACTTAAGATCTTGCTCCATATTTTGGACAAACTCTTAGGACACAGGGCATAAAAGAAGTAGCACTCATAGTTCGAACAAGCCACCACACCGCCGTCGGCGTGTACACATGTATACCACTGCTTAGGGTGCTTCAACGCAGTTACGGGTGATGGAAGCTCTTCACCTTGGTCTATTTCCAAAGTCGCTGAAGCACTCTAAGCTGTGGCAGACAAGCGTAAGCGTGTTTGATGATGGTCAGGCTCCTTTAAACCGAATCTGGCAGTCCACGGTTTCGTGGTTCTGGGTTAGAGATTCCTATTTTTGATGTACGCACTATTTCTGTGCTTGTGTACAGTTGTTTACCTGCGTTTGAGATTCTCTGGTATGTTATTGTCACTCATAAAATGCCAGCTTTGGCGCGCCTGATAGCTGTCCGAGCCACCTCAGACGGTGTTGAGCTGCCACTTTATTCACCGCTTCTTTTCCGCCTAGCGTGCCTGCCAAGCCCACCCGGGGAAACCTCGGAGCGTCGCCACTTTCCGCGGTTCGCAACATCTTCAACCTCCCCTGCTCCTTCGAACAACATCCTCGACAACATACTCCGAATAAGGCCTTGCGCAAGTCTGGAGCGACCAGTCTACACTGGTATTCAGGCTGAATCGCGCCATTACGATTAGCTTGCGACAATGTCGACCAGTGTGGTGAAGAAGGCCGCGTCCAAGAATGCGAGACGTCGGGCCTTGAAGAAGGAGAAGAAGGCCGAAGTTGCAGTAAGTGCATCTCTCTGTCTATCGAGTAGATGGGGGTTTACGCAAACACAGGCGACACCGACTCCAGCACCAGAGGTTGTTGATGAGGCCCCAGTACCGGAAGGCTCCAACGACGCGACCGATACCGAGAACGCTTACCTTGCCCTCATCGATTTCGACCCTGAGGACCCAGTTTACCAACAATTCAAGGACACTCTAGAGAAGTTCGACAACGTTGCTATCGAGGAGAAGTCAAAGGAGGCGGAGAAGCCACAGATCTACTATGGTGACGATGACGACGAGATACAGGATGAGGAGCAGGAGCAGCAGACAGAGGTCAAGCTGTCAAAAAAGGCGAGGAAGGCGCTGAACAAACTGTCGATTGCTGAACTGAAAGCCATCGTCGACAAGCCCGAGCTGGTCGAGTGGACCGATACTTCCGCTCCAGATCCTCGACTCCTCGTCGCCATCAAGTCCCAACGGAACGTTGTACCTGTCCCTAGCCATTGGTCACTCAAGCGCGAGTATCTGTCCTCAAAGCGGGGCATAGAGAAGCCTCCTTTTGCTCTTCCCAAGTTCATTCTGGAGACGGGCATTGCTGAGATGCGAGATGCAATTCTCGAAAAGCAGCAGGATGCTTCGTTGAAGCAAAAGGCACGAGAACGGGTCCAGCCAAAGATGGGCAAGTTGGACATTGACTACCAAAAACTCCAAGACGCCTTCTTCCTACGCCAGACGAAGCCAGAAATGACGCGGTACGGCGAGGTCTACTACGAAGGCAAGGAGTACGAGACAAACTTGAAGAACATGCGACCTGGTGAGCTGAGTGAAGAGCTGAAAGACGCGCTTGGCATGCAGCCGGGTTACCCACCGCCATGGCTGATCGCCCAACAGCAACATGGGCCGCCGCCGTCATATCCCACTCTAAAGATTCCTGGTCTGAACGCAGCTCCACCGCCTGGTCAACAATGGGGATTTCAACCTGGCGGATACGGTAAACCGCCGGTTGACCAATTCACCAATATGCCGAAGTACGGAGGCGATATCCTTGGCCTTGTCGAACCGCAACAACAGAAACTGCGTTCTGGTGAGCCTGTGGAGAAGACAATCTGGGGTGAACTGCTTGCTCCGGGAGTGGGCGACTCAGACGATGAACAGGAGGAGGAAGAAGAAGAAGCAGACTCGGACGATGAAGATGCAGAGGACGAAGGCGGCGCGGGCGATGGTCTGCAGACTCTAAACGGACTCGCTACTCCAAGTGGCATTGCTTCTACTGCCCCATCCGAATTCGCTGCTGAGAGCATTGCTGGTGAGTTCACACTACGCAAGCAGCGTAGAGGTACCGAAACGGAAGACTCGACGGCACCTCGTAGCGCCTATCAAGTCCTCCCTGAGCACAGCATCCGAGCCCAGGGTTTCTTTGGTGGTGACCGTGCATATGACCTCAAGAGTGCGCAGGGAACTCGTAATATCCCTATGCTAGGAGAAGAGCCAAAGGGCAGGAAGCGCAAAGCGGATGATGTCGATATCTCGGTCGACCCTGATGCGTTGGCAAGAGATGACAGGCTGGACAAGGATGCACTCAAGAAGCGTTACGAGGCTGAACGCAAGGCAGAGGCAGCGAAGAAGTTCGGAGGTATCGATCAAGACGACTTGAGTGCTATGATTGCTGAAGAGAGCCACAAGAGGCAGAAGAAGGATGCGGAGAGGAGGAGCAGGCGCTAGGGCTCCGGAGTGCAAAAGACTCCCGTAGGACTATGCATAGGAACCGAAGGGATAGGCTTGGTGATTGTAAGAATATTGGGTTTGGAGATTCACACTTGCGGTATACACACCAGCGGTATGCGCACTAGGGAGGATGTCTGCATAGGGATACCAGGCTTTTTCCCATATGCGATCTTGGGAATAGGCCACTGCGATCCCAATCCTCGGAGCGTCGACGGTGCAACAAGCTCTATCGAAGAGAGCTTTGGAAGATGATAATTGAAATGGAAAATGAAGTGCTTAAAGAGTATCTCTGGAGTGCCCTAGAACTTGAACCGATGGAACAGTACCACGTCAGGAGATGATGTTATAAGAGATGAGTGTAAAGATGCTAGGAAGAGTTCCCCGTCGGGGGCCGTGACTACGGGCATCACACTCAGACAGCTCAGCGCCATGAACCCAATCGTGCAACCACTTCAGTACCAGGACATTGGTTTGCTGACACTCGCATGCCGCCCTTTGGAGTGGATCGATGCATTTGCAAAAGTCCGGAGCAGATATAGGACATCGGATAGTGCTTCTGGGGCACGCTGCCTATGTAATGAGGATGCATGACTACTACTAACAAGGCATTCTAGCGTACTCTTTGTTTTGGAAGGTCTGCAGGTCTCGAGTAGCTTGCGTGTGTAAGTACCACATATTGCAACGATCAGTGGATCTCCAGTCTGAACTGAACATCTGCAAGCCCCTCCTCTTCACTGACTGCTGATCTCACCAGGGCATGCCATTCAACGCCATCTACACCTGGCTCATCTACGCTACGTGTCGTAGACAGATCTCACCTTAGGAACTGGTCCCACTAATATGTGCCGAATCTGGCTTAGCGCGTTTTCGTCAACGCTTGAGCCTTGACCTGCGCGCCGTTGAAACCTTAGAACTTCCTTTCGCGAAGTGGACAACACCACCTCCAACATCTATAACTTCACCCGCCCTCAGCCGTCGCCCCCATCTCGGGTACTCTCGACATCAATAAGGGCACCGCGCTTTCCCGTCGCAGGGCTCAGTCACCATGGATAGAGACAGAGATCCAAGGTTTGCTTCCCCCTTCCAAACTCGTTCCAAACGTCACCACACGACAGACCAGCAACGAAGCTTTGCTGTGCGCTTTACCCTTTGGCAGCGCCTCAAGTCATGTGCTGGTAGACTGACTCGTATTCAGAGACGATAGATACACCTACCGCCCTGGTCGCTCGCCTCCGCCACGCGACAGTTATCGAGCGCGATCACCTCCTCGGCGTCCTTTGCCCGTCGCAGACACCTATGTTCCTGGAAATAGACCTGCTAGACCCCGAAGCCGCTCTCCTGGATTCCGCCGTAGATCAAGAAGCCCGCCGCGGGGCGAGAGTTGGAGAGCGAGGCCGAGATCCCCGATGCGACGTGCATACTCGCCGAGACGCGATGACTACAGAAACGATACCCGGGCCAGATCTCCTCCTCGTCGCGAATATGAGTCTTACAGGCGCTCCCCTCGTCCTGTCAGGGAGCGATCGCCTCTACCCCTAAAGCGTCCACGAGACATCTCGCCCGCTCGGAGCCGTGGCATGCGCTCGCCACCACCCGCCAAGAGAGAGAGGATAGAGTCACCACCTGCGCGTGGTAGATACGACGAGCCGCGCTCTCGCGCTGCAACGTACGTCGATTTCGACGCTGTGAAACCCGCCGAAGGGCGTACATGGCTACCGACCAATCCTCCCGATACTGATCTACCTTTCAGACCTCCTCGTCGAGCATACTCCCCCCCTCCACGCGACAACCGAGACTACCGTCGTCGCTCGCCCTCCCCTCGTCGCGAACCTCGAGCCGACCCTTATGCTGCGGATACTTGGAGGAGACGCTCGCCATCACCTGTTCGACAAGCATATCCGACAAATGACGCCTCCGGTCGCGGATCTGCAGCGACTTCGCGCCGTTCGTCTCCTCCAGTGCACCAGAGCAGAGTAGCGTTGGTCCCTGACGAGCCCCGTGGTCGGCCGGAGCCAATATCTCCGGCGCCTCGCTCCCCATATCGTTCTGTCGAATCTGAGCCAGTGCGTGAACGACGGTCTCCCCCCACTGGACCGCGTGAGAGAGAGTTCTCAAATGGTGTGCCTCCCACCGGCCCGGCCTTCCGCAATGGTGACGGCTTCTCTCGCGCTCCGCCAACTGGTCCAGCTCCGAATAGGCCAGCGTCAAGAAACTACGGACCACCAGCTATGACGCCTCCCATGGGGCCTTCTTCAAACTCGATGTCTACTGGTCCCCGAGCACATAACCCTGTGTTGGCTCCTCCAATGCGTCCGCGCGGAGGTGGCGGCAGAGGAGGCTATGCCGGAGATTATGCTCCTCGAGAATACGGAGGCGGACCACCACCAGCTAGACGTGGCTCAGGCCACTGGGCTGGAGGCCGTGGTGGCCCTGGAGGTGCTCCTTACTATCCCAACAGCGGTCCGCCATCTGGCCCACCAGCTGGTCCTCGCGGTGGCGGCGTCGTAGGTGGTCCTCAGCCTTTCGCTCCACCGTTTCGCGGGTCCAGCAACAGCACATCTACGACCTACCCACGTACTCAGCGGTTCCAGAACCATCTCGCCGACTTGCCGAAGATTGTGGATGGGGGTAAGTTGGCGCCGGAGCTGTTCGATAAGAGCAAGCTCTCGAAGCTGGAGGAAGAGGCGCGGAAGTTGCGTGAACTAATTGAGATTAAGCAGGCGAAGAAGCGACAGACTTTGAGAGAGTGGGAAACAGGCGAGCGCGAGTGCGACAACAACACGCTCAGGGCGGAGCTGGCCGAGCAGCATTTGAAGTCATTGAATGGCGAGAACGATGTTGGTGGTGCTGCCTTCTAGGTGTCGAGTCTGGAGGTTCTTGGTGCTGCTGTCTACACAGGTATTCTCGCCCCTGGTGAAACGCCTTGGCTAGCTATGGTTGCTCTACTGATCATAATTGCGGGGCCTGGAGGGTGAGGGGATAGGTGTCTGCGAAGGTCCGACGGCTGGTGAGAGATTGTACGATATTAATTGGACCATTTTGGTGCTTTGAGCGGTGGAGCCTGGAGTCATGGCTTGCAGGTTCTTTGATGATAGCTCAACCACCACTAAAAAAGCCTTTGGGTATCAAAATGCAGATTGACTAGTGAATAAGTGATCATTCTCCTTTTCTTCCGGGACTGTATCATGTCTTTACTTAGAAGCGGTTGAGCGCTTCATTTTGAACACAATGTAAACCTGTAGAGCCACTTTGGACGGCATGTTCTCCACAGAGTAGTTTGATTGGATCATAAATTGGAGGCTGGTGAATTGCGGCGAAAGGCTTATCGATAACAAAAGTTCGTTCGACCGAGTCATTCGCGAAACTTCAAGCCCACCACCGCCTCTCACCTTCTCACCAAACAACAGCTCGAAATGCCGCCCCGCCCAAAGAAAACGGGCCCGACGGAGATTGGAGATGGGGCAGCAAAGGTCGGTGTACACGCTGGGAGCTCCGAATTTGAATAGCCTCATTGACTATGCGCAGGGAACGCGAAAACCCCGAGCACCCCGCGGTAGCAAAGCAGCAGACGCCATTGCTGCCGATGCTGTAACAACAGGTCAATCAACTGCCGCTGATACCATAAATGTTAAAGCAGCAAAACCCTCTGCTGCTGCCGAATCCTCTACTCCCGCCGTGCCTGCTCCAGGCGAACTCGCTCAAGATGCGCCTCGAGATGGAAACCACACCGTCGAAGAAACATCCTCACGCCCGGCGAAGCCTGCGCGGAAGAAAAAAGAGCATCCTGCTCCTGCAGCTAAGGACGACTTCTCAAACCTCCTCGAGCCCTTCTACTACGGCAAATCTCTCACAGACCCCATCAATACCGCCACTGACAAATGGAATCTGCTCCCTGCTTTTCTCAAAGTCAAGGGCCTGGTCAAGCAGCACATTGACTCGTTCAACCACTTTGTAGATGTAGAGCTCAAGAAGATTGTGGAGGCGAACCGCGTTGTGCATAGCGATGCCGACGACAAGTTCTTTCTCAGGTACACCGATATTCGAGTATTGAAGCCAAATCGTATCGATGAGGATATCAAAGATATGAAGTACAAGGAGAGCAACATCACGCCGAATGAATGCCGGTTGAGGGACTTGACTTATGCGGCGCCTATTGTTGTGGACATCGAGTACCGGCGGGGCAACAAAATGGTACGCAGAAAAGACATCAAAATCGGGAGACTGCCGATCATGCTGCGGAGTAACAAGTGCGTGTTACATGGACGAGCTAATAGAGATATGGGCCTGCTCAATGAGTGTGAGATTGATCCGGGTGGATACTTCGTGGTGAGAGGCCAGGAAAAGGTGATTTTGGTTCAAGAGCAGTTGAGCAAGAATCGAGTCATTGTGGAGAGCGCAAAGGGAATCATGCAGGCGAGCGTGACTAGGTAAGTGCTGATCACGGCGATTTTCTAAGAACTATTCATTCGGCTTACAGGGACAGTTCCACACACGAGAGGAAATCGAAGACGTATGTGATCCTGAAGAAAGGACGCTTATACCTGCGGCACAACATTCTCAACGAAGAGATTCCTATCGTCTTCATTCTCAAGGCTATGGGAATCCAGTCCGATCACGAGATTATCTTGCTCGTGGCTGGAGAAGACACAGTCTATCAAGACCAATTCGCGCCAAATTTCGAGGCATGCACGAGGGAGAACGTGTATACTCAGCAACAAGCGTTAGACTATATCGGCAGCAAGATCAAGATGACGAGGAAACCATCCGGTTACCAGAAACGAAACTATCAGCATGAAGCCATCGAATGTCTGTCGACGATCGTCATAACTCACGTCCCCGTCTTTGGGATGAATTTCCGGCCGAAAGCTCTCTACGTGGCTTTCATGGCACGAAGGGTTCTGATGGCAATGCATGACCCAACTTTGGTTGACGACAGGGATTACGTTGGTAATAAGCGATTAGAATTGGCTGGCCAGATGCTATCGATTCTGTTCGAAGACCACTTCAAGAGGTTCAATCACGAGTTCAAGGTGAATATCGACAAGGTCCTCAAGAAGCCAAATCGGGCCTCAGAGTTTGACGCGTACGACCACATGCATATGCACGGCAATCACCTAACTATGGGTATTGAACGAGCCCTGTCGACCGGGAACTGGAATTTGAAACGATTCAAGATGGAGAGAGCTGGTGTTACGCATCTGCTGAGTCGGCTGAGCTACATCAGCGCTATCGGCATGATGACAAGAATTAGCAGTCAGTTCGAGAAGACGAGGAAAGTCAGTGGACCTCGGGCTTTACAACCATCGCAATTTGGCATGCTTTGCCCATCGGACACTCCCGAAGGAGAAGCTTGCGGTCTCGTCAAGAACTTGGCGCTCATGACACACATCACCACCGAAGACGAAGAAGATCCTGTCCGGAAGTTGGTCTTCATACTCGGCGCCGAAGACATTGTCTCTGCCAGTGGTTACGAGATACACGGTGTCGGTGCCTACGTCGTTTTCGTCAACGGCACCCCGATTGCCGTAACACGAACCCCCAAGAAGTTCCTGACTGATTTCCGGAGATTCAGGCGGATAGGGAGAATGTCCGAGTTTGTGAGCATCTACATCAATCATCACCACAACGGAGTCCATATTGCAACAGACGAAGGGCGTATCTGTCGCCCACTCATAATCGTTGAACGAGGACGCACAAAAGTCACTGCTAGATATCTGAAAGCTTTGCGTAAAGGCACGATGAACTTTGACGACTTCCTTACTCGCGGACTTGTTGAGTATGTTGATGTCAATGAGGAGAACGATTCCAATATCGCCGTCTACGAAAAAGACATCAACGAACACACCACTCATCTCGAGATTGAGCCTTTCACAATACTAGGCGCGGTAGCAGGATTGATTCCGTACCCACATCATAACCAGTCGCCTCGAAACACGTACCAGTGTGCTATGGGTAAGCAGGCCATTGGATCTATCGCATACAACCAATTTACTCGAATCGACACCCTCCTCTACTTGATGGTCTATCCCCAGAAGCCGCTAGTTTCCACCAGGACGATCGAGCTGATCAAGTACGACAAACTCCCCGCTGGCCAAAATGCGACCGTAGCCGTCATGTCTTACTCTGGCTACGATATCGAGGACGCCCTCGTCCTCAACAAAGCCTCCGTCGACCGCGGCTTCGGCCGCTGCCAAGTATTCAAGAAGATCGCAGTCCAACTGAAAAACTACGCCAACGGCGCCAGCGACATGATCAACGCCAGCGCGCGAGACCCTAAGAACCCCAACCACCTCAAAATCGGCGGCGACGGCATCGTCGAAGTGGGCATGGAGCTCGCAAAGGACGACGTCTACCTCCTCAAGTCCACCCCCGCCAACACCAGCGTCTCCTCCTTCAGCGGCGGCGCAAATGCGTACGGTGGCAGCGGCGAGTGGCGCGACAGCCACTCCACCTACAAGCTGCCAGACCCTTCCTACGTCGACAAGATCATGGTCGCCGAGAACGACAACCAGACCCGCATCATCAAGATCCAGATGCGGCAGACCCGCCGTCCGGAGCTTGGTGACAAGTTCAGCTCTCGCCACGGGCAGAAAGGTGTCGTCGGTATCATCTCCCCACAGGCCGACATGCCCTTCTCCGACGACGGCGTCACGCCCGACATCATCATGAACCCGCATGGTTTCCCATCCCGCATGACAGTCGGCAAGATGATGGAGCTGCTGAGCGGGAAAGCTGGCGTGCTAGATGGTAGCCAGCAGTACGGCACGGCCTTCGGCGGGAGCAAAGTCGAGGACATGGCGACGATTCTGCTGAGTAAGGGCTTCAGCTACTCGGGCAAGGACTACCTCACCTCGGGCATCACGGGCGAGGCGCTGCCCAGCTACGTCTTCTTCGGCCCCATCTACTACCAGAAACTCAAGCATATGGTGCAGGATAAGCTGCACTCGCGCGCTCGCGGGCCGCGCGCGACGCTCACGCGGCAGCCTACCGAGGGTCGGTCAAGGGATGGCGGACTGCGGTTGGGAGAGATGGAGCGGGACTGCCTGATCGCGTATGGCGCTTCGCAGCTGTTGTTGGAGCGGCTGATGGTTAGTTCGGATGCGCACGAGGTGGATGTTTGTGAGCGGTGTGGGCAGATGGGGTATCAGGGGTGGTGTCAGGGGTGCAAGACGGGCGAGGGGGTCAGCAAGATCACGATGCCGTATGCGGCGAAGCTGCTCCTGCAGGAGCTGGCGAGTATGAATGTTAAGGTGAAGTTGGGGTTGGGGGAGGAGTTTCCGAGTGGGTAGAGGGGGGAGGAGGGAGGGGAGAGAAAAGGGTTGCATTGGGTTGGGCATTGATGGTGTTTTGGGTGGATCGTTTGCGGTTGATTTTGCGGCACGGTATTGGGCGTATCTGGGAGAGTGGAAAGCTCTGCTGATATTTGATAGTTCAGTTGAACGAAGCGGAGACTGTTCGTTAGCACGTATAGTCACTGAATGGTTTGGGTATCGAAACCAAAATCAGAAGCCTAATATTACAGTGCCTCGCCATAGATATTCGTACATTTTCCTGCCACTGCTGGTGGGACTCTAACCTACTAATAGAAACTAGTAGTAGCGGCTACGTTTCCGATTTGCGTACATTTTGCTGACGCTGTCTGGAGTAGCCTCGCGAGTTTACAAGGTACTTCTCATCCAAAAAAAAATACTATGAAGCACTGTAGCTTCTGCAAGGGCGAGGTGACGGGCAACAACTCCGACTGCGCCGTATGGCCGCATGCATGATGCGAATTGATACGTCGACACCCCACACTTTCCTGCTTTCTGCGACTACTAAAAGAAACAGGGATAGGCAACTATCCTAAAATTCGTCTCCATGCACAAACTTCTTAGGCAGCTATCATCCTTTACTTCAGATGGCGGCCCCGACCCATAACCACGCGAATTATCAAGCCCGGCTTGATTTCATACAGCACTTGCTGCACGACCGACTGGAGCTCAAGGTAAGCCTGGTTAGGAATTTGTCTATTTTTCCGCCGAGACACTAAACACGCATGCGTACTAGGAAGATGCTGAGATCACTCCCATCCAATACGACCCCGAGAGCCCCTTCAAGTACAACAACTTTGTGTATCGCATCTCTCTACCTTCACCTATCCCCTCGGAAAAACCGGCCAGCGATGAGCCTCGACAGGCCGGATGCGCCACCATTCCCGCCGGCACTAAGAGTCTAATTCTGCGCCTGACTAACCCCAATGCCGAAGGCATGAATCCAAAAACGCGTATCGAAAATGAAGTAGCAATCATCACTCTCGCCTCGGCGGCTCTTCGTGACTTCCAGCCACACGTGGTACCCTCCATCTATGCCTGGGGCAGTGCAGCGACCTCCTCGTCGCAGGGTTGGATTCTCCAGGAGCTGATGCCCGGCACGCCCGTCGACGAAGCCTTCGACACGCTGGACCTCCCGCAGAAGCAGCAAATCTTCGCTCAGATGGCCCAGCTGCTGAAGGCCTTGCAAGACTACAAGCTTCCAGAGAGCATCACTGGATTTGGCGGCGTGACCTTTGACGAGACTGGTCGCATTGTGAGCACAGCCATGACGAGTGTCGGCCTCGGACCGTGGCCCTCGTACGAAGCCTCTTTCAAAGACCGCCTAGAGCTCGCTCTCCGGAAAGCAGACGTAAACCCCTACATCCAGGGCTGGCGTGCCAACAGCGTTCGAGACCGTCTTGATCGCTTTGTCGAGCGCGGTGTGCCGGCGCAGTTCGAAGCTCTGAATTCAAAGTGAGACAGGGTCATCGTACATGCTGACTTTAGTAAGTAGTTCAACCAGTTGGCTCTTTCGTCCCAATCCGCGCACCCATTAAGCTAATTCCCGACAGCCGCCAATAATCTCCTATTCGATGCGACGTCAGGACGCATTACGGCACTAATTGACTACGATTTTGCATGCATTTTACATCCGTCGTACGAGTTCTTGCGCTCTTTTGACGGCGCTGGTGGCCAGTTTCGAGGCTGGTCTGGCGATGAGGCGAGCGAGCAGACGGTATTGAGGGAAGCAAAGCTTCGGGGCTTTCCGTCGCCGCTCCCGCCAATGGTCAAGAGCGGTGTCAAGTGGGATGTCGTGAAGGCCTAGGAGGACGTAAGACGGCCCAGCACGATTGAGGGAATCGACAGCGTGGCCGATGTCGACACTATCCTCCGCTCGACTTTGCCGTGGCGGGTGACTAATTCTGATATCCTGCGGCTGCAGACCGAGGAAGTTATAGTGAAGTGCAGAGACAAGAACGAAGAGCAGTTGATCACGCTACTTAGTCGTTTGGGGTTCTAAGTGGATTCGGAGATGTTATTGGACTGAAGCAATTTGGACGTGGAATGGATAGAGGAACTCAGAAAGCATTGGACTGAAACTAAATTTCTACAGGAAAAGCTAGGTATACCGTTCATGCTATATCGTTCAAATCTCAATATACCGTTACGTTCAAAGCTCTCTCATACAAGAACGGTATATCGAGCGGATATCGGCCGAATATTAGTGCTAAGAAGCCCGATTGTTAAGGTGATTTTGGGGGAATCTAGGGCCCGGGCGGGCCCTCCACCTCCAATTCCTCTTAACCTCCTAACTTCCTAACAACACCTTCTAGAAGACCTTAGTGCTCGGACTACTGCTTACTCTTTTGCCGATAAAGGTCTACCAGGGGCTAGCTACTTTTTAAGAAATCTGAAGGTGACTGTGGAACGCCCCCAGGATGCAGGATTGGGGTTTAGACGGAGGAGGTGAAGAGAAGGGATGCTGATGCGGAAGACCGATAGCTAGGACTTCTCCTCATCGTGCTCTTTCGGCAATCTAATAATCTCGACTTTCTTCTTGGTCTGGTTGACGTCGATGCCTCTTTCTGAACACATGGCGTGAAGAGAAGTGGTATAGTATTCTTCATATTCAATCTCCCCCGTCTCGAGCCACTTAATCATTGCAGCCTTTGGTGCCCCGCTGGCATGTGGCATACCCCGATTCTTGGCGATATCCACCAGCTGATGCCTGTTCCGATCGGCCCAGCGCGAGCTGCGCCAGTCGTAGTCAACCATGTGTTTGACCGGAGGGTCATCCTTTGGGGCGTTGCGAACTGGATCGCGTTGGTGCAATTTGCTTTCCGCATTCAAATCTTCCGAAACACAGAGAAGAGGACGTCCTGTAGCTTCTTCGAATTTTACTCGTAATTTCTCCCATTCGGACCGTGCATCGTTGATGCGCTTTTCGAAGATGCGTGTCGCGAACGGCGTCGCCCGGCGCGCATCGTCCTTACGCAGCCGTTCCATTTTCGTCGCGATGTTCCCAGATTCCGGCAGATTGCGCTCATGCAGAAGCTCTTTGAGAGTTGATGCGGGCCGACAGAAGCTCCTGACGAAGGAGTAATCGCCGCGCAGCGCTCTGTCTTTGTCTCGCCGAAACGCGCCTACAAACATCTCCATTGCAGAAATGGCGCCATACAATTCACCTTCCGGCGTATTTCCCGTATCGCGCTTCAGTTCGTCGTTCATGCGCAACCGCGCAATCTTCACAGCCTTCGGACCAGTGGTGTCCATTCTCATGTGTCGCCGCGACGCCATCGCCGATAATTCGTCCGTGGTGTATTGCTCATAGTCAACCGTCGGGTGCGCCTCCAAGCGCTGGACTGGCGCATCCCGTGTACCATAAGTAGATAGCTTGCGCGCTTCTAGCATCGACCGGAGCTTGCTATTGTCCTTTGAGGCAAAGTCGGTCTGCTTCTTGAGACTGCTGGCCTCGGCGTTGCGAATGTCCGCTGTAGTTGGCGGGAAGTATGGCGGAGTGTAAGGCGGTACATTAAGTTCCTTTGCGGTTGCATCTGCTATCTCGAGACGCATGATCATCACATCTCTTTCATCCGTTGTACCATAGGGAAGCCCTCGATCTAGCAGGAGCCACCCTAGTCGATTGTTTGATGTGTTGGCGTAGTCCTCGAGCCCTTCATCTTCCTCCACGTGTTTCGTCAAGGATTTCAATCTCTTGCTGTCCTGTTTGCTTGTTCTCTTCGCTCCTAACACGGTTTTGTTTTCTTTGCCCTTGGGTGCGTCCAATTTGGCCACTTTGGAGCGTGTCGTCCGGCCAGTAGAGGCGTTGGGATCAGTTTCGGCAAGTGGGCGTTTGGCGCGAGGCATCTTGGGAGGCATTGGAAGTTCTGCAGGTATATATGGTGTTAATAGAGTGGCACGGAGTTGAAATGCGTAGACAGAAAGTGAGGGATGCCAGGCGGTGGTGATGTAGGAGTATGTAAACAGTGCTACGTCATTGGCCCAAGCTTCAACAGCTTGACGCGTTCACCGCGTCGCTTACTATCCCACCACTACCATCATTGTGCATTTGTATAATATATGTAGTTCGCGAGGATCTTCTCAACTAAGATGTGGTGCTCCATATTGGCCTTTTAAAAATCTTAGATCATAAAAGTCCATTATTAGGATACTCGAGGCAGGTTCCGCAGCGCCCTTAGCAATATCTAACATTCTTCAATGTCTATCAAATATCAGCACTGGGTATAATTTGTTTAATATCACGAGCTATAATGATGCATAGTTTTCTACCCTTCTTTCGTGCTTCTAATCATGTACTTCCAAACAAAGCTTGTATACTGAGATATACATATACACATCCCGGTGATGATCAGGGCAGACCAGACATGCATAGCCTCGCTTAGTGGCTTGAAAATGGCCGGGATGCAACTCAGGTTCCAAGTGGTCGATCAGGAAGCATGCGAAAGCGATGGCAGCCCGAAAACCAAAAGCAAGATGCGATGGAACTTAGATAGTAAGAAGCATGAAGAGAAAACTGTGTAAATCTGGCAAAAAATAAGCCAAATTCCACACCCATAAACCCAAATAACCTCGCTTATTTTGCAATTGCAATGTATTTGAAGGATCGGGATTGGAGTTATGGATATGCACAAAAACTGGAATGATGTGGAAACGCCAGCATGTATTTCGGACGGCTTAGAGAAGAAGACAAAAGAACTATTATGCAACGCAAGGCTTTGATTCAATCTCAGAAAGCTAAGTGCCATTCAGATAGATATCATTAAGCATCGAAGCTGTACTCCCAACGATATCGCTAAGACACAACGCACCTACTAGACAATGACAGACCTCGCTTCTAAAGGTACGGGAGGAGTGGCAGGAGCGTAGACGAGAGGCTTGTAGATGTGATCTCATTCAGCGGGGTTTTTGTGCTATCCCTCAGTGTTAGGGCACCTATTACACTTCTTTAGCGCCATGACCTGTTCTACAACCACCGTCGCCGTTACAGTCACCTTAACAGCCGGCCCAGGTAAACGTAGTAGATGTTAGCTAAAGAGAAGATGCCCAATCTATCCTGTATCGAATCTGTATGTGTTTCAGCTGAATAACGCGCCAACGTAGATTCAAGCTCAAACATCGTAGAGAGCGATTTCCTATTCACCGCATACTGCATCCCTTCCGCGGTGTCATTTAATGTGCTTTGTGTACCTTTGCAAGGCTAATCGCACGAGACAGCAGACGTATCGGGCCGTTCCTATCCTGACTACGTTTGACATGGACAAACTTTCGAAGGGTGACAAACGCAAGGTCGAGTATGGTCACGGCGAAATCGCGTTAGCGCCTCAGGGACCGAGATTGGATTAGCTATACAGCCGCCTGGTATGATTGTGGAGCCAGCGTAGATACCATAGAAAGTTCCAAAGACTAGGCCACCTTAAAGGTCGCACGTCCTGTAAGTTTGAATAAATAGCATTCTCTCAAGATGACCTATCGCTGAATAATGCCCAGGCCACTCTTCCTTCCCGTGAATAGAAGGAAGAAAATCACTGATCTGCTCCATACACCTCTTCCCAGTGAATGATTTCGTACAAAAGATTTGTTTTTCGATATCAGACCAGCACGGTGGACCAAGATTTAGCATCCTTACCACCACCCCGTGTTATCATATCGCCAAGAAAGACAGAATCGCCAATGCCATAGCATCTGTACCAGCTTGTAAGGTAGGCTCACACTGGGGGGCAAAAAAAGGCGAATGGTTTGTTGCGATTTCGCCCTTTGTGGTCGCGCTTCCGCCAAAATTCCAGTAGGTATAGGGAATGTCATGCTTCGCCCCGAGGATAGAAAAATCTTCACATGCCCTCGTAAGCTCCATTGGAACGCTATCAGATCCGAAGTATGATGAGAATATGGCCTGGATTTGAGCGGTGACATCAGGATCGTTTTTTGTCAACGGCGCTCGGACGGAATAGTTGAATACCGGGTCCTTCGGCGTCTTTGCCGCCCTACAATCATCACGAATCTTTCTCTCAACAAGATCCAGCGCTCTAAGTCGAATCTCCGGATCTATTGTTTTGACGTCCAACAGGAAATCAGCGAATGCGACGTAATCATTTCCGGGGAGTCCAGCGTGGAAACCCCAGCACGCAACCGTAACGTCGTTCTTGTGGCCGAGTTCTTGGTGTACAAAGTCTTCCAACTCTGCTATGATCCGCATTGAGAGAGGAATGGGGTCGACGCATAATTGTGGGTTGATGCTGCCTTCGCAAGGTCCTCCGATAATACGGACATGGATGGATTCTGCCGCAACAAGCACCTCGCCAGATTTAACGGCGACCTGCCCGCTTTTCAAAGGTACAACATGCTGGCCTAACATGATATCTGGTATCGGTATTTTGGAATAGAGGCCATCATCAACCATAGCTTGAGCCCCTCCAGTCTCTTCTTCGTCTGGCTGAAAGAGTGTGATCAGTGTACCCGACCAGCGTTCGCGCGCAGATTTCAATAAGGCTGAAGCTCCCAACAAAGCTGCCATATTCATGTCGTGGCCGCAGGCATGCATCACCGGTCTCTCATTGCCATATCGATCGATCATTCTTTTCGTGCTTTTGTAAGGTAAATCGGTTTGCTCTAAGATAGGCAAGGCGTCGAGCTCGGCTCGAATCAGAATCGTTCTCCCAGGACCGTTTTTGAGCACACCAGCGACCCCATGCCCGCCAATGTTGATGTGAACATCAAAACCTAGCCGACGGAGATGCGACGCTACCAAATCGCTAGTCTCTAACTCGAGCCCAGAGACCTCGGGGTTTTGGTGGACGTGTCGATAGAAGTCCTCGTACTCCGTTAGATTAGGGCGGAAGTCCTTGACGATGGTCGCAAGCAACGACGGATCCGGGGATGTCAAGGGCTGCTGCCCAATCAGGGGAAATTGAACAGCCCAGGCATCTAGCACTAAGGTAGTTAGATAATAGCGGGATCTAAGATGGTACAGCAACGTACGGTTCACTGAGAGGACAGTGAAGACGAGGAAAGAGGTAACGAGAAGGATGTCTCGAAGAATAGACGAAGGCATGATAATGGAAGTACTCCACAGTTATATGGGTGAGTTGTTAGTACTTCAAAGCACGCTGACCAAAAGGCAAAGGTCACATTCAGTGGGATGCGGGGGCTGCCCAAAACCCAAGTCGCAGAGCCTCTCTTCGAACCCCGCTGTGCAAGGAGCAAAGCCACTCATGAGATGAAACCATACTCGGCCCCGGCTTTAGGTCTGTTAAGTGAGTGGTAGGTGTGGTTGTAATTACCAAAAAACACCAGTAATTTCGGAATGTAACTTCCAGCGCGAGCTTTGTTACTAAACCATACACCTCAGATGGGTACTCGGAACTAGTCACGGGGTTAGCCATGGTCACCGCGTGGAAGAGAGGTGCTTCTAAGTGGCTGACAGCACTGCATTTATACTACACTCAAGGCTAGCCTCTTCCTTGCTGGGCTATTCTTGATTTTGATTCTCAGCCTTGTGATTACATTACTGTAATTATTAGTGGAAAGGCTGGGGTTTCTACTTGTAGGGGGAAAACCCACGCCTATGTCTAGCCCTCGTCTCAGCCCCCAAAATGTACGTGCCGCATTCCGGCCACTTGGAAGCCAATTAGACGCGAGGACGCTAGGTGCGTGCTCCCGCGTTTTTATCAGAACCTGGAAACGCGAATACTGAGCTTTTGTTGTCCGATCCTACTAACATCTACAGCCCCTTTGCGCATTCTGTGGTCAGCGTGCAGGCGCCTGCAAGAGTAAATACGGTAGGTACTGGAAGCTGATGAGAGAGCCTTTGCAGGGTTAGAGAGCCTTTGTTATGCACCAGGTCCACCGAACACGCTCTTAATGATAGGGGCTAGACATCCGCAAAGCGGAGCCCAGGCGGAAGTCGTGCTCTAAATTATGCTGTACAACGGCGCCAAGCAATGAGGTGCAGCAAAGCTGTGAATTGAGGTGCGTCGAGGTTGAGTACAGTTGCCAAAATGTCTTGGCCGGGTGGGATGCAGGGCGTAACAAGATCGGGATTGGACGCTATTCTAGCCTAGAGTAACTTTGTAAGCTGTACATGTACAGCCGTTTCTCGGATCCTGTTGGTGGGTGTTGACGAGAAGATTAATCGGCCACATCAGCTTTTGCATTGTTACACAGCGTATGAGATACACTGACCACAGGATGCGCGAAGGGGCTGCATAGTTGTCCATTTACTGCACGACCTCCACCTCCATCTCCTTCTCCGCCTCCACCTATACCCTATTGTCGAGAAATGGTGATTAGTGTGTCCTGCGAGAATGGGGGCGCCCTCTTTCGATATACGCCTTGTGATCATTCCGTTGACATTTAAGGTAACAGCTGACAGCGGGCACACATGCCGCCCGTCGCATATACATCGTTCTCCCCACTTGAAATCCAATTGTATCGCCTCCTGATCACATATCGCCCTAGAAGGCTTTAGCATTTTCGGTCCACGAATTGACTCCGTATCTCCTACCATCTATTCGCTTGATCAACATGGCCGTCAGCTCCGAAGCGTCCACCTCCTCGCCCTCCCCCCCAAGCCATGAATCATCTCCATCTCCCCTTTCGAAGCAAGAAATAAAGGCGGAAACTGCTACGGTCGGTGCCGAAGCAATCGACAAAGAGCAGCCGTGGAGGGGCCTTGTCCAGCCCGACAAGTTTTCTCAACCTGAATTCTTCACCAGCAAGCCGACCATACATGCGTCTAGCGACAAGCAAGATAGCGACAAGATTAGGCTACTATCGGAGCTTGACTCAAAGAGCCGTTAGTTAGTGTGATCATCCAAGGTATATGGGTCTAAATGATTGTTCCTTGCCGCGCTGACTTCGTATTTTGATACTTCAGCCCCGTAACGGTCGACTATATATCTGAGGTTGAGGGCTTCGTTGGGGTAAATGAATGCTATGATTTCGCTCATTCACTTTCATCAACAGACCATGCACGGTACACGATCAATACCAATTCGGTCATTTTATCTAGCATTGATTCGATTCTTGAGTACGTTTGAAGGAAAGGCTTGCCCATAAGTGCTAAAAGAGCAATCTTATTCAACGTGCAATTTACTCTACCTAAGAAATGCAAAGTTGATACAGACTATTCCGCGTGACTATTACTTTGTATCACAATCATGCGAACCTCAACGCTTTCCCTGGGGTCTTTCCATTGATCCGTCTGGGAGGCGCCAGCACCGTGAGGACTGCAGTCTTCAATCGTGTCAGCCTTCATTTATGAGTCTGAGACCGGATGGAGATATACATACCAGCATGCTCTCCCCCGTCAGACTTAGATGTCCAGGTTGGGAAGAGGAAAACTTCATCGGACCGCTGATTTGCAAGGTAATACCACTTATGATAGTCCCGGTGGAACAGAAAGTAGGACTTCTCTACCTTATCTTGCAACACTTTATCGACCTCAATCAGATCTGTTTTCTGGATCGTCCGTTTGTCGCAGAAGAGTAACGGAGTGTTCTTCACGACCTTGTTCAGAGGACGCCAAACACTAAAGCGCTGGTCAAATTTCATATCAGTCCATCAGAGAGCAGTATATTACTTATAAATTGAAGCAAAGTGGTTGTTCGTATGCATCTTCTCAAGCTCTTCAGGGAGAAGAATCATTCGCAGTCGATCTTGGCCACCCACGGCAGAGTAGTCTGGATGGTCATTCAGCGCTCGATTTCGGGTGTTCGATAACTTACCGCAGTGTGTGACATCGCCACTGGGAAGTGCCCAGCTTCGAATGTTGTTTATATCTCGGGGGGGTATCTTCCCAGCGACTTTTGGATCTCGGCGCCGAAACTGAGCCATACTGAGTCAATGTTATCTCTAACGGGGAACAAGAAAGCCAAACCCTCCAGTCAAAACAGATCACATCTACCGCATCTAGCTTTTTGCGAACCATGTCAATGGTTTCATAGAGGTATTCTTGAACGACGGTTTTATCCGCTTTCACTTCCTCGAAGTGTTTGGAGTTGAGATCGCATTTCGACTCATGGTGAAAGTATGTGAAACCGTGCGTCTCGATTGTTGTATTTCCAAGCTCTCTGATGTCGCGAGTGGACACCGGCTTGGCTTCGAATTGGCAATTAGATTGCGTCTCCGCTTGTTGTTCAGGGTAGCCATAAAGGTCGTAGGGTTGGACGCTTTCGTACAACGGCAATTTGCAGAGAAACTTTAAGACGTCCTGCATACTTGTGTGGGCGTGCAGAGTGCTTCATCTGGGGGGATTGCTTTTAAGCTGCGTGAGTAGGAAGCGGGCGAAATCTTGGTTGGCCGCGGACTTGCACCCACCCGGCACTTGATCACAGGATCGAGGCTTGATCATCCCACGGAGCATGACCTTTAGATACTATGTGATACGGTGTTCACATTAGTGATGATGCACATTACCAGGGTTGGAGAAATAGGGTCACTTCGACGCGCGTTTTGAAAACCGAACCCTAACTCTGTACAATGTACATACTGGCAGCTGGTGAAAAGTGATGAGAACTCTGGTGTATTCCTATGTAGGAGGATGGGTATATGTAGGCGTAGAGGAGCCAAGCCAGCCGAGAGAAGGAACCCTGTTGAGCTGAAAGGTGACGCATGCAAGCTGAGGAATGGCGCTAAGGATGCGCTAGTACAGTAGCGTATGGACGGCTGCCACATACAGGGGAGCACGAGTACGTCCATGTCGACGTCCACCAGGCCACGTCCCCTTGTTGAGCAGAGCAGTGCAGCATGAGCGAACGCATCTCCTCGGCCCTGTTAAAGTCTAAAAGTCAGCAAGCGGAGAGGCTCAATCCTTGATTTGCGATATGTCTCTCCTGTTCAAAGAGAAAACTGTCTCTCAAGCCTTACTACGCGTACTTTACCCATCACAGACTGCTTCCAAAGATTTTCGACTCAGGTATGTACTAGTGGCACGACTTCCCTTCAGCTTGGACCCCGCATATAGTGCGAGCTGACGATGCTTCAGTATCATCATCGTTCCAGATCTTCCCTCAAAAACTCCGAAAGCTACGTTGGACTCGGCGTGGTCACAATTACGGGACGCCCTGGTTGTTAATTCTGCAAAGCCACTCATTCTCGGATTCGAATATGGCCTTCCTCGGAACGTAGTGATATGGACATACCTCCAAAGTCAGAGCGAGATTTTGGTGAAGCTCATCCTTTCCCAGGCTAGTTCGCTCCAGGTATGCAGCATACCCTGACGAGGCCCACTCAACACTGAATGCGAGAAGCTATTTGCGCGGCCAGTATTGTTTGTAGCTCATGGTCTTGGTGGTCTTATCGTAAAGCAGGTGAGTACATGGTCCCCGTCGAATGGAAGAGTCACAGGTGTCCCTGATTGCTCTATTACAGGCCCTTATCAACGTCAGCACCCAGTATCCTTCTGTTCCAGACAATCAAGTTAGAGAAATCTACCGGGGAATCATATTTCTCGGCACGCCCCATCCTATACGTACCGAAAAGGACGAGTGGGTCAAATTAAACCATATCCTAAAGATTGGACCAAAGATCGAAAAAGTGAAGCTCATCGAGGCCGAGCTGGAACGTCTCATAGTTGCGAACCTGTCAGAACGCTTCAAGCAGGCAGCGACCGACGTCTCAATTCTCTCCGTCTGCGAGACAAAGGAGACGAAAGTTCCGACCGGCTTGTGGAACAACCCCCGATACGTAGTGAGTTGGCATGCTCCTATGACGGATGTGAAACGCTTGTTACAGTGACTAACCAGAATTATTCCACCATCTCAGCTTGTCAACGAATCATTTGGCGCCACTCTTGCTCCGTACGAAGACATCTTATGCGTCAATCTAGACCATCACGAGCTTCTCCGCTGCCCACCGAAAGACGAAATGCTTAAGCGCATTCTCGGACTTGTTCAAGCCATATCTTTGCGAAAGGTCAGCCAGACATCAGGTACTGGAAGCGGTGGTACAGATCCCATCCTATCTTGGGCGAACGCGCTTCCAAATTGCTGACTGTGAGTAGGCCCCGCTGCCGAACAGATTAACGATGAATTAGATGACAGTAGTGGTTCCAGCGGTGAGCTGGTGGAAGGTGAGTCGTTCTGTCAATTGATGGGCAATGGCTAACTCCCACCGGAAGAGCCAGAAGACCTGGGCCCCGAAAGTGACGAAGCTGTCATAAATTCGGTGACAGAACGGTCTAGTACTGAACTGCCCACGTTATACGAGTTCGCGTCTCAAGCAAAAACCCTGAAAGTGCCTCTGTACATTCTCAAGCCCGCGGTACAGAATGCGAGCTTTTTCGGCAGAGATGCCATCCTATCTTTGATTGATCAGAAGTTACTGCCGTCAGATTCTCTAGACAGCCAAACACAAAAAGTGTTTGCACTGTGTGGGCTTGGTGGTGTCGGGAAAACCCAAGTTGCAATGGAATATGCATTTTCGAGACGCGACAAATTTGACGCCATCTTCTGGATCGATTCGGATCAACAAACGCAGTTCTTTGAGGGGTTCTCTGCAATTGCCTCGCACCTCGGACATACGGAGACACTGGACCAAGATCGCGTGGTAAGTCGTGATATTGCACTGGAATGGCTCTGCAACCCGCGTAAACGAATATCTGCAAACAGTCCCGCACCCGAGGTCAACGCTACTTGGCTTTTGATATTCAACAATGTGGACGACGGCAACCATATTCAGAGCTTCTGGCCACAATGTAGCCTTGGTTCTGTTTTGATCACAAGTCGGGATCCTCTAACCAAGAGGGGAAGAGAGGGAGTTGATCTAGAACCGTTCGAGCCGGATGAGGCAGCAGAGCTCTTGCGCAAACTGTTGAAACTATCTGGCACTATAGACAACATAGACGCATCTGTAAGATTGGCAAAACGGCTAGGAGGGCTCCCACTCGCAATCACTCAAGTCGCAGCGCTAATAGAGAGATGGGAAATGACACTCGAAGAATTCATCAAGCACTTGGAGAGTCAAGCTTCGATCGCAAGAGTCGCGAAGAACAAACCTTCAGATACAAATGATCATTATAAGCATTCCATCTTCACTGTTTGGGCATTAGATAGCTTGACCCCGGGCGCTTGGGCGCTTTTGCAGGTTATCGCATTCCTCAATCCAGACTCGATCCGGGAAGGATTGCTTCGACGAGACGGACTGAAGACTACAGTGGGTTACCCAGGGTCCGACGACGACTTTATTGACGCTCGCACCGATTTACTAAAAGTATCCCTTATCAAAAGAAACAGGCCGACCAAGAATGATCCAGAGCAAGACGGTGAGCTTACGCTGCATCGTCTTGTCCAGGACGTTGCAAGGGCCCAAACGATTGATGCGGATGTCCCAGAGATGCTGAAATTCATATTGCGTCTTCTACTTTCGTCATGGCCAACTGCATTTCTGCAATTTGACCATGATTCGGCGATTTGGGCGAAATGTGGCGAACTCCTACCCCACATCTTACGAGTTCAAGCGGAAATTAAGAAGCATCGTGTCTTCGAGTCTTCGATCAACGATCGGAAAGACTATGCAAGGCTCTTGCTGTTTGCTGGCTGGTAAGCAGTAGCCTCGCTGAAATAAATCTGATGAAAACTTATCTTTTTACAGGTACCTTTTCGAGCGAATCGATTTCGAGAGCGCCAAGCCACTTTACCTGGATGTACTTCAACTATGTCTCGTGGAGCCAGTTGAAATGGCTGAAATACAGGCGGATGTGCTTTTCGCCTTGTCAGCACTCTCCGCCCAGATCAACGGAAAAGTTGAGAAATCACTCTCCTATGCTCAACAACACTATGATGCACGACTCGAGCTTCGCGATGGCAGTGAATTAGGCGAGGCTCGCATGGCGATGGCTTACGGTGAGCTGGCTCATATACAGATGATTGCTGGAAAACATGACGATGCCATCGAAAACGCCAAAGAAGGCATTAACATGACCTGGAAAAGCCCTCTTTTCTTGGCTGGAAACGACTGGCCGACATTTGCACACAGCCACCAGGCCTTTAGCCTGGCGGCTCTGGGCCAGTACGAGAAAGCTTTGGAACTGGTAAACGCTACGCTGAAGTATTGGAACTCCCATTCAAATGAGACACATGCATTTGCGTAAGTCAACATACCCCAAAAAGGAGCACAAAGTGACTTTCTTTAGGCTGGGAATAACGTATCGCTGTCTCGGGTACGTGAAGAGGAAACAGGGCCTGCAAGACGAAAGCAAGGACGCCTGGCTCCACGCTCTTGAGCACTTTAAATCCACCGTTGGTGATAAATCGCACTACACGAGCCAATGCTGTCGAAATCTTGGAATTTATCATTCACAAAACGGTAACTTTGAGACCGCGATGTAGATATACTGATATGCAGAAGATTAAGCTCTAGTCTAATATATCCCAGTACATATTTCGAACAAGCTCTCCGGGGTTACCGAACGCATCCCTTCTACAGGTCGGAGCTAGCATGGACTCTCTTTTGCTTGGGTGAGACAAAGAGGGCAAATGGTGATGAGCTGGGAGCAGACATCGATCTCAAAGAAGCGTTGAAGCTCTATGGACAAGGTGTCGATAGTATACCGGAAGCACCTCTTTCCTCTGCGGACTTCGAGAAATGTGTGCAACTGCCATCCCGATGATTGTTCGCTTCTCTAGGAGGGTTTGGTGTTCTTTTTTTTTTGTGTTTTTCTCCAAGGCATGTAATCCTAGATACAGATGATTAGAGATATCGTCATTACTCCAGCAAAGACAGCGACGGCCGAAATAACTGCTTTCCTCCAGTCTTCGATTTCCACAAAGTTCATACCAAAAAGTGACGTGACAAGAGACATGGGGAGAAAAAAGTAAGCAAGTAACGTCAAGCGACCAACCTCCTTGGCCTGACTGATGGATCGCTCGGAGGTCAATAGCATGGCATAGTTTCGGATGAAATTAGTACCGTCTATTGCTCTTTCCGCAAGTGTAGAGCAGCGATACAATAAATGCTGAACGTCTTTCCTCAGGGCTTTCGCAATATCATCTCTCGTCCAGAATTCGGGCCCTTCGGTTACTCTTGGCCACCCGTTATTTTCCTCGTTCTCCAAAAGAGCAACCATTTCGCGCAAGCGGTCGTAGTGCTCATCTATCAAGCCTTTGCAGTACGACAGGATATCGATACAATTCTCCTCTTGGCCATGAAAGGATCGAATAGCCACATTGATCTCAGCCTGGATCATGTTCAAGAACTGGTTTTCGGAGCACAATGCGACGTTAAAGAGGTCACTGAACGCGTACAAGGCGTCCATTTTCATCAGCTTCCTATTGAGTGACATGCCGTATTGTTCCGGAAGATTGCTCAAAGTCTGTGATGCATGGAATGTGTTCCGAGACTGAGCACTCGTGCTTCTTGGAATTTGCGACATGTCGAAGACTTCCGAGTTGGGAGGATTGAGAGCCATCTTATCCAGGTGTTGGACTATCGGCAGGTAAGGATTGTGCGAGCTGAATTTGGCTTTATAGTTTTCGAGCCAAGGAGCGATGGAGTTATCGTCAAATGGCTTTCCATTGTCAAGCCAAATGAATCCTGAAGTGGGTCAGCGTGTTTCAAGCAAAGCGAGACCTCCATGTCAAGACGACGCTTACCAGTCCATCCACCCGATCTTCTCTTCTGTACGCAGAAAGATATGTCCTGTTCGATCACGCAAGTTGTTTCGTTGATTATTGCATGCCTTCGTACGATGGAACTGCCGATCCTTTCGCTGGCTCTCAAGGCGTTCAGGAATTTGTTCACGCCTTCCAAATCGTCTTTCCGCTGCTTCCTGACCTCTTCCGCACTCAGAGGGTTTACTCTATTGCAGATTGTGGTGACCCGAAGCCTCCACAGGTTCTGGCTCGTCGAAGGGAGTGCTGGAAGATCGAAATAGCTAGCTGGCTCTAGGAAGTCTAGGTGTCGGCGGAAAAATTCGGGGTCGACCTTGCACTGCGCTCCTAAAGTTCGAACCCAGTCACGAGGCTGCCATCCCCTGAGGATCATGAGCTGGGAAGCTTGTGTGTCTGACGGAGATGCAAGGTTCGTTGCTGTAGACCGCACGTCGTGGGACGTGTCGTAGGCAAAGATCTGTGTTTTCTCCGCTCCAGGCTTGTTGACGTGAACGTAGAGGGGAAAGAAGCCTGTATCTTGCCCAGAATATGTTCTCCATCCATGTGCGGGTGGGGCTTGCTCAAGAAACTGGGCAAGCGGCCGGTAGTGCTCTCCAGAAAATACGTGAGTCTCCTTTACGCGCTCTGAGTAAGTTTTCACGAGCTCGGCATACTGCTTCTTCGTTGCGCCTTCGGTAGATGGTTAGTACTGAAAGAACGATGACAGCCCACATGCAACCTACCATCGTCCGTTGCGGCAGAGCTGGATTGCTGCGCGGGCAAGCTTGGACAGCTGGCCATCTGGATGAATGCACAATGCAAAGTTAGAGTCACTCATCACACGAACGGGATGTTCCACTGGTGGCATTATATCTAGAAGGCTGTGAGATACAGAGGGCGTTTCCGTGTTTCCGCTCGGGCAAACGTTGGCCGTCGATGTGCTTGCACAATACACGAGGACATTCGTTGGATGGACGCGAACACGATCTCATGCAGTGGAGCACTCTAGGCACGAAAAAAGTGGCAAACTCGTAAAGCACTCTGCCCGTGTGTACACCTGTGTGCCACCGCATGGAGTGCTTCAACAAATTTCCACATCGTCCAAGGCGAAGAGCATCTATCTTCTTTAGATTCTTGAAAATGCATTGAAGCAACCCAAGCAGTGGCAGACAGGTGTACACACAAGACAGTTTGTTCTAGAATTAGTGTGCTGTGCCACCTTTTCCATGCCTAGCGGGTGGAGGTCCGTGTGTGGCGTTGTGGCACAGCACCTTAGGCAACTGTGGGACGCGGGCGGCAACAACCTTACCAAACCGGAATGAATGAGTTGTCTCATGATAAAGCCTCGGCAACTCCGAGTACTGCTAGCTTCAAAGAGAGCATGCCCCTTCTCGCTAGGATTGTACCTCTGCCTCTTCGCTGTTTACACACCATGTCTACTAAGAACGTTCTTGTTGTCGGCAAGTACACAAAACGCCCTCACTTGTGACGGACACGCGTCGGACCAGGCTGACACCTGCTCAGGCGCAAATCGAGGAATAGGCCTCAATCTCGTCAAGGCTTTCACGGCGAAGTCCTGGAACGTCACGGGTTCTATCCGCCCCCAATCGAGGGATGATGTCTCCATTGGTGATGTGTGTATTCTTAACGGCCTACCACGGCACGCCGGGCATGGAAAAGGTGGCACACTAATTCCAGAACAAGCTGTCTCGTGTGTATTCTACACCTGTCTGCCACTATTTGGGGTGCTTCAGAGGATTTTCAGGAATTACAACGAGATAAAAGCCCATCACTTTGGACCATGTGGAAACTTGTTGAACAGTGGCAGACAGGTGTACATACGAGACAGAGCACTTGCTGAGTGTGCCACTTTTTTCATGCCCAGCGTGTGCACGGCTATTAGGTCAAAGCTAACGTCTCATAGCTCCAAGTGACAGGTGCGAGCATCATCGAAATCGACCTTCTTGACGAAAGTACCATCGAGAAGGCGGCCAAAGAGTACGGGGATAGGCCTCTTGATCTTCTGATTAACTTGGGAGGTACGTAGATGCGACGCGGCTGAGAAAAAGAAAGCATGCTTACGCGCACAGGGTTGCCTCCTGATCCCAAGCCATGGCAAAAATCAAACGGGCGAGATGTTCACTGAGAAGTTTCAGACTATGGCAGTCGTAGGTCATCATCTTCTGCTTAACCTGACCTCCACTTAAACCTTTCAAAGGGGCCATTTCTGACTTGCAAACACTTCCTTCCCAATCTCGAGAAGAGTGCCGAGCCGAAGGTAGTGAACATCACTTCAGCCTTCGGATCTGTCTCAGGTATGGTGATAACGCATTACCCACAACCGAGCTGACACGAAACAGACAACTCCTTCGGCACATGCATGGCGTATAGGGCGGCAAAGGCCGCGGCGAATCAGATCACGGTCACTTTCGCTCGAGAGTGGGAGAAGGAAGGTCGCAACATCACCGTGATCGCAATGGAGCCTGGCTTTGTTGCCACACGTCTGACTGGCTGGGACTACGTGGATGACATGGATACTTGCATCAAAGGAATCGTCAAGGTGATTATAGGCTTGAAGCACGAGGACAACGCACGGTTCTTGAGATGGGACGGGACCAGCATCCCATACTGATGTATTGGCTAGCCGTGGCTCGTCATTAACCATATGCGGGCAGTCTTCATCCTTGCAGGTCTCTTTAAGGAAGGGAATTGGAAGGATCTTACGGGAACAAGATTAGCGAGCTCTTCTAACCGCAAATCCGATGCCTCAGATACTTGATCATGCGCGCGGATCGGCGTATGTTAGGATCGTCTGTCCTCTCCTGCGGCGAAGTGATTTCTTTCTCCCGCTCCCTCTCCTCCAACACTCCCAGGACCAACTTCTCCACAACCTCCGTTACCCCTTTCCCCTCCCGCGCCGAGCACTCCCCAAAAGCCGCACCCACTTGTTTCGCCCACGCACGTTCCTCGTCAATGGTAACTTCGCCCCCATCATCCGATTTCGCTGCCACAACCTCTACCACCCTGCACTTTCCTCTATCGAAGTACCGCTTTAAAGCGGGCCATATAGTTTGCAGCGCCTCTAACGTGTGGCGCCCGCTGACACTATAAACGAGCATCGCAGCATGCGGAAAGGTTGTGGCACTCTCCCACTGCCTATAAATCTCCGTCGGGTCGCGGATCCACGATTGGGGAATGCCAATCTCGACGAACGTGAGCATGCATCGTGTTCCTGCTATCGTGCGGTCCATGCGCGGATCGGCTGACTCGAGAAGAGGGCAATGCTGCGTTTTGTACTCGTCGAGCCAGTACTGGGGGTTGGTGAGACGTGTGTGCGGGGGGAACTACTTGCAAATTTACGTACCCGCTCGATTATGCGAGTCTTGCCGGTGGAGTTTCCACCAAGGACAAAGATGGTGATTTCTTGGGGGCTGGCAGGAGGGGTCGGGATGCGTGCAGTCATTGTGAGGTATCTGCTAATGGGTACGAAGTGGTAACAGCTGGCAGCGAATTCGTTGACAGCAAGCTGGAATGCTTCGACGTTATCACAGCATGGTTGGCGGAGGAACGTACACGTATTCTTTTGGAATCAGTTGGAACTAAAGTGACGAAGGATCTTTTGACGTTGCGGCACAGCAGATTGAAGCGAAGTTAGAATTTGCAGGTGCAGGCGCATGGAGGGGTCGTGAATTCAACTTCTCCTCAACTAATATCTGGTGCTCCACATTGGCCCTTTAACAATATTAGATCATGGAAGTCCATTATTAGGATACTCGAGGCAGGCTCCGGCATTGACGGTGTTTTGGGTGGATCATCTGTGACTGAATTTGCGGCATGGTATTGGGCGCGATTGGGAGAGTGGAAAGGCTCTGCTGATACTTGATAGTTTGGTCTCCTAGCCGATTCATTTTTCTACCAGAGCGCTCTGTGCAGAGATGAAGACGTGTGCAGAGATTCGCCATCTTGGTGTCGCCCTACACATACAATCAGACGATATCAATTTTACAGACGGGATGTTCGACACCCAAAGGATGCTACTCTCCGACAGTCACCAAACCAACTCGCTCATACGTCTGAGAGCCTGGGTCCACACATCGCAAAACCAAATACAAGGACACGGCCCACCAGTTGCCGCCCGACAGAATCTTGAGGCAAAAGACCTCCGCCCCAGCCTCCATCCACTCATCAGAATCCCAAAACGGGATATAACACAAGCCATCGAACTTCACCCTCCGTGGCTATAGTTCCAAGCGCTTGTGGAACCGCAATCTCTCTCTATGAAGGCCTGTTGTCCGACTCAGAGTGACCGCCACAGGAACGAGCTCGCCGGAGATAAGCAGTCGGCCTCTAGTGACACCACCGTGTGGATCGGAGCTGGACAGTGGCTTCGGCTCTGTATCTCGATATGCCGGGTAGGCGGACTAGAGAACTGACAGCCGCTCATGACCAAGTCGGGTATAAAGTCTGCGGACGACGGACTGGGCATGCGGAAAAAGCGTTCAACATCTTGCCCAGTACTCGTTTTCTCCTGTTGGAAACGCTGCGCAGAGGTTCCTAACAAACTGCTGCTTCTACCTCTCCAACTGCCTGTGAACTTCTAGCCATTTTGACAATAGTACCCAGCACAGTTCGCTCCTTAACAACCTTCGCCCGCTCAAAATCAATCGCCATCGCTTTACTAATTTCCTCATTCCACAACATGTTGCGAGGCATAAGGTCATTATGTGAGACGCCAAGGTATGGATTGCTGTGCTCAAGCAGTCAATGGGTTGAGCAGTGTACTGCGCGTTCTCAGTAGAGATACGCTTCCCTCCGAAACTGACGAACATCATGTGAACGAGTTCCGCAATGCCCTCGTAGAAATAGGGAGTATCTAGATCTATGTTGCCGAAATGAACCGGTGCACGAATACCCTGGATCAGGCGGAGGTGTTTGTAGATAGTAGCCTCCCATTCCAGACGATAAACGAAGTCAATAGGGGTGGCTTTAGCGACTACGGTATATCCATGCGATTTCAATTTAACTCGGAATAGGACACCACACGCTCCGTGAGCACCGATAGGCTCGTAGTCGGTATCCAGGTCTTCTGCGAGCTGTTTCCGAATAAGTTCAAGGAAAGCAGGTAGTCAGGGAGTCGAAATTCCGGGTGGGAGGCAAAGGAGAAATGACACAAAAAGATTGATGGAAGAAGGCTGACATCGAAACTTAGAGGCAGTTTGAGAAGGCCAAAAACCTCATTGAGTGTGCAGTCGAATTTTCGACGTCTCACGGGACTTTGGGTAGGACGCGATTGCCGAATTCGGGCATCACCCACGTTGCTTTCGCCGCAGATAGATATAGAGGGTTTTATATCTTCGAATGTTACCCGCGTTTTCTTGTTCATGTACTAGTCATAGACGGTCTGCTGGATCACCATTCCCTTTCTTACGACTTCAAATACCGGAGCTCGACTCCAACAAGTTTCTCGGTCGAACTTGCAGTGTTGCAATGTCTCGATGAATGATAGCAGGCAACCTCGGATCGGGCTCATATGGCGCATTCTATCGCCTCTGCTTCTTGTTCAAAATGACCTTGATCTCGTCATCTCCAGCCCGTGGAGCCGGAATCGACGCGGCGGCCGACTCCACGCAATCCCACTCCGGCAGCTTTGTGAGTTCAACCTGAGTCTCGCGCATGTCTGCACTTGCGCCCGAGCTTTCCCATAGTTGGATTGTTACTCTATCGGATGAGCGTACCACGCCGATGCCTTTTGCTCTTCCATCGGCGGCCACAATGCTGGAGTTCTTGGGTATGAGGCTGCCAGAGCCAATGCCTAATCCCGCAAGAGACAAATTATTGTTACCGAATTGTATCAGGTCCCCTCCCTGTGCAATCTCCACGGCCCCTTGTCTAGCGCGCGGTTCACCCTCTGACAAGAGGCGGCGAATACAAGATGGGACCGGCAGGACTTGCGAGGGGGACGAGGAGCCTTCCCGTATTACGAGGTATGACCCGCACTCCGAGAGATCAATCAGCCTGCCCACTGGACCGACGGCGTCGTGGCGACACACGAAGAGTTTGGGCGACTCTATAAAACAATTGCGAAACATGCATAGTCCTGTTTGGAATCGAGCACTCACCAGACTTGAAAGGCCAGAGAAATACTTGGGCCTCGAAAGATATCGCCGCCAAGGGTTGAGTTTGACAAAATGACAGGCTCACCTGCTTCCCAATTGGCAGCACCCGTTGGGTCCACGCGACGAGCGACCAAAATCCCTGAACCGGGTCTTGAAGTTCGAAGAGAACAAGACTTACGAAAGCCCGCTCCTCTTCATCCCGAAAAAGAAGGTAACGTTCATCCGGGGTAAAGGTTAGGAAATAAGCATATGTTTCAGCCACTATGGGGATAGCGTCTTCTGTGCATCCCCATATGAGACTTTCCATTCTTTTGGCGAGTCTGGTTGTGAAGTAGGACGTTTGCCATCGTTGAGCCACATCCGGGTTGAAGTCGAAAGCGATGCGGGATGCCGTGTATGATCTATCGAGACCAGGATTATCCTGAGCATGTATCTTGTATACATCTCGTAGCACTGTGAATGCGTCAAGAGATGGTCCGATTGCAACGGGAAACTGAATTTTGAAAAGAGAGCCCACTTCTTGTGGCGATTGTGGTATACAAGTCCCAAACCAAAGCGATTGGTGCATGTGTAAGAAAACTTCGTTCTCATCCAAAGTAATGCTTATGTCCATGGTCAGATGAGGCTTCTGCTCGGTAGTGAAGATCTGGTAATGAGTCAGCCAGCCACTGCACGCATCCTTGAGTTCGCAGAGCGATGGTATTTCCTCACTTTCACTCTGTATCATAAACAAGCTGTAAGGTTGTCAATCACATGTTCGATGAGTCGAAAGCAGGAGAGCAATGCCTACCTTGAAGGTACAATCCGGAGAACACCAATGTGAGACCCGTCTGTCATGCCTCTGAAATCTCACACAAGGTCTTCGTGCTGCGAGGACGCCCTGGTGTATAGTTCATTGAATCCGATTTGCCGAAGTATTTATAGGATGTGAAAGATGTGCATTCCAACCATATGGACGACGGAGACGATATCGGCTGAGTACCCCAGTCATCGATGAGCTCTTGAAGCTCTTCGCAGAACCTAAAGCTTGTGTCAAATGCACCATTTTGATCATCATCTAAGGATGGATTCCGAGTTCCCTTGTGATTAGAAGACCATGCTAGAAATTCTTTAAATCGGGGACCTTTCTCGAATAAAAATGTCGCTTCGATCTATGTCTTGAGGATGGCGTTTTCGGACAGAAATCCAAGTAGCAGAGCCAACAAATGAGACCAATGCTCGGTTGAAAGGCATTCGGTGTGTGACTTGTTTTTAGACTTGCTCATCTTGACGTTGCATAGATGACTCATCCAGTTCCTAGCGGCGTACTGGGACAGCGGCAACTTGTCGATCACCTCGTTGGGGCAGGCGTCCTCTCCAACCCTTCCACTGAGCGACCTGTCGGGAAACCTCGTCATGATGTATTCCAGACATACCCGAAATATGGTGTAGTGCGCATCAATCGGCGTGGTATACAATGGGTTATTGCCGGAAGATGCCAGAATGAACTCCTTGACAGACTGATGAATGAAGCGAAATCCTCGAGCTTCGTCCTTTTGATACGCCTGATTCAGTAGTTCAAAAGCCTCAACTAGGCAGGCGTAGCTCGGGAGAACCGAGCGCTCAAAGTCCGGCTAATCAGAATTACCAGACCAGATTGCCACGGAATCTTTCATTGCGTTAGTAGTGAGCGCAACTCTTGAATACAGGAGCCAAGTAATGATAAAGCGTGTGAATTTCCGATCGTCCTCGTAGCGACTGCGAATTCGTGTCATGATCCGTTGATACATATCCTCCAGGCGCTCTGGGAAGGTAATATTCAAAATAATCCCGACCCGCTGAGAGGGGGTTAGGGAGGATGCCCCGTTGAGGTAAGCGATCATGAGAAAAGCCCATAGAAACATGCCATCGGCGCCTTTCACTAGGTGATTGACTAGCTTAGTGAGGTTGGTATCCTGTGAGAACTTGCGTTTGAGCTTTGGAAACTCGTTGTCGAGATATATGCGTATGTCTGACTTGTTTTGTTGACCTATTGGGTATTTTCGGTGACGTAGTACAGCGTCAGGAAGTAATGCGTGTGCGGTCGGCTGAAAAGGAGGATTTTTGTCGTTGTTCCGTTGCGGGTGACGCATAGGAGGTCCTCAATAAGCTGCCCGCCGTGGTGACATTCATCGATCCCATCGAGGACTATGTAGGGCGCTGTAGATTTCCTTAAGGAGAGACAGATCTCAAGAAGTTCCAGGAGCCGCTTCCTCGAAGAGACTTGCCGGCCCCCTGTAGGTTCATGCATGATGAATAGAAACTTGTCGAGCAGGTTTGCGTTGTTCTTTTGTGGCGAGAGATTTTGTGAGAGAAGAGCTCGGTAGGCATCAAAAGCACCATTCTTCCCTTTCTCGTCCAATCTGAAAAAGAAGTATGAGACAGCGCCGCGTGTTTTTAGCTCTTCAATGCTGGAGTAGGCAAGAATCGTCTTACAACACCCCGGATTGCCTGAATATTCGTTAGATAAAATGATATACTTCGGAGACGACGGAGAGAACGAACCGTGGACCCAGAGTACATTGTCATCAAATTGGCCTGGTCTCCGAGGCGGCCTCGTAGATTGGGTTGATACCCACTCGTGAAAACGCCCAGTCTCAAACAGCCATCGTGCTGTGTTTGGTGTCCGTTTCTGGGAAGCTATCTCGAATTCGAGGTCGAAATCCGTAGCCGAGAGCCAGTCGAGTGCACGCGAGAAAGCCTCATCTGCGAACATCAGAGATCAGCAATAGTCTCAAAAGTGATACGTTTAGTTTCACCTTTATGGCGGTCTCCACTTGCTTTGCAGCATTCTTCCATCCTCGCCACTGCCTCTCGTAACAGCCTCTTATCTTCTCCGTTCAGGAGGAGACTGCCGGTTACAGTAGCACCGAGCTTCAAGGTCTTGTCAACCGTCACCAGTAGTATCTCCTTTTCGATTATGTCACGATGGATCAGTAGATGGTCTCGAAACTCCTGGAATCTTGCGTCAAAAGGGCGCCAACCGAGCTTGGCTGCTACGAGAAGTTTGTGCCGATTCGCTATGAGTATTGTTAGTACATTTATGAAGGATAAAGGGCTCAAGATTGTAAATCTTACAATTGTTTTCTCTGGTGAAGATCCTAACGACAGTCTTCAAGAATCGAAACAGTTCCACATAGATTTGAACAAGAGATGACTTTAGCCTAGGTGAGGGCTCAAGGCTATAAGTCTCCCACAGTTTAACCAGGGCATCGTACTGTTGCATTTCAGCAGCAAGCCGACCGAGTGTATACGTCAATCCGTCGAAAAAAGACACGAAACTTCTCGAAAATTACCCCGATTTAGTGCACCGAAGGTTTTTATATTGAATGCGAGCAAATAGACTTACTTGGAACATGAGGAATATCGAGCCCTATTTTATTGCGGCGAATGGATTTGCTTGCGAGATGAACCCGATGGCCGCGAAATATGGCTCTAAGGCTTTGCGATTGGACATGGTCTAGTGATGTCATATTATCGCCTTGGACCTAAAACTTTGAAATTTCTTTTAAGAGGCTGCTCGCCGTGTCGCACGGCATAAAGTTCCTCTTCTCATCGTCCGGAAGTGATCCTAGGAAATCATCCCGAGCCTCTAAGAAGATGCTATTGTAGTCGTCGAGTTTCCGATTTGTCTGTTGGGTGCTCGTCGACTAAGCTGTCAGGCGGCTCTGAAGCACGTTGCAGTGCGACTGCTTCCGGTGTCGCGATCAATCCGGGAGGCGTGATATGGGTGTCGCGCTGCCGACGGAGCCAACGTCTGAAACCAGCTGCTCTTACCGGCATCATAGTGCCCAGAACGAACGAGATTTTCGCCGTTTTCAAGCCCCAAGTCAACTCGCTCCAAGGAAGAATCGCTCGAATTTTCGAACCTTAGCTGGTCGGTCAGTGTGTTGGAGGTACCTTATAAGGTTGCCTTGGCACCTGACCTTGTCAACGACACCCTGGGATATGCCTTGCCGCTGCCTTGTAGATTCTGTGATATCTTTCTCCTTACAGTCTATAATGTCAACGGCGCAAATAACCTCCTTTCAACCAAAATCCCCCCAGTTACAAGTCTTGTGTCCACCATGTTTTCCAAAAGGTGGTATCCGCTTCTGGATACCCTAGGAGAAGAAATACTACGCAAAAGAGTACTCGAACATCTATCAAGCGTGACTTGGGCAAGTTGGCGTCAACCTACAGACGATTCTATGGGCTGATGAACCCCTTTCTTTGTTGCCATAATCCGCGTGGATCTTTCGCTGTGGGGCTTGCGAAAACTTGAAGCTCTCGCCAAGAAGAAGCACCATGCCCAGCATGTCAGAGTCTTGGAATTGAGCGCACCTAGTGCATCTAGCGATGGCGATCTACTCGGTCTGTAATTCCTCGCGTTGCGCCTTGTTACATGCTGATGGCTTAGCGAGTAGCAGAGGAAGAGTGTCGGGGTTTGAGAATGGCAATCAGGTCGTTCTCGTCTCTTCAATATGTTAGGATATTCTTGGCCTATGATGAGAAGGATCGTGGAGTATCACTGCGTGGGCTCATAAGCTCTGACAAGCCCATCCTGTATGAGGAACGCCCCCTTTCCGTTGTCTCAGGGCGAGAACACATCATCTCCGCGATGTTGTTGACTAGGTGTCCAGCCGTGGGATTTTCGTTCGAACACCCCGACCAACTTGATCTAAATCCAGGTATTTCAAAGTCTCTTCTCTAGTATACGTGTAAACTCTCCGTCGTTCTTGTTCTCTCCTATTCGCTTCTTGCAGAGAAGCTAACGATCGTGACAGTACCGCCGGGGTATTCTAGGAAGCATCGTCCCTCTTCCTTCGAATTAATCGACGACCGGCAGAAAAGCGACTGGACATAGCTGGGAGAGTTCGATTTGGAGATATCTTCACGCGATGGCTCCAACGGCATAAACACAGGCTTAGGATTATTATGTGAGGATATCGGTAACTCGTTGGAGAATGGCCACGCGTATCATGGGTTTATAGTATGGAAATCGTTCTGGAAGGCCAAGATCGTCGTTTTCGCATAGTACTCACCCGGGGGTCGGGGGGGTATGGGTCGGGGGGTGGAGGGTCCATTTTCCGCGTGTGGATAGGAGCAGTTTGGGTATATTTGTTGTTGCTTCTTACCTGGAACGAGTCTTGCACAAATGCAACTTCTGCGGCGATGCTGAACTGTTACTATGTTCACATCTCGTCCAATTCTCCACGGTGGAATTTGCGGGAGGTTGCAAGGAGAAGCAGGTTGAGGTGGCGTTCAAAGGTGGAGGCTGTCTATGTCTAAGCCGCAAAACGGGGCTATGCACTTTTGGGGTTCGCCCTGATCCTCACCGGATGTGTAGGTACGGGCAAGCGTAGGTCCCAGTATACACGCTCTGAAAACACATATAGGTGGGTGTTAAGGTTCTAATATCCGATTGCACTTCATCGTGGCTAGCGATCGCTACTAGCATTTCACGATTTTCACGAACTTGGTGGTGCAAGTAACCAGTCTCTGACTCAATCGACAAACCTTCGAAAGACAAAATAAACTTGCAGTTCTCACCATTTTACATCTCTCTCAGGTTTCTAGCAACGTCTTGAGATACCCTACGCAACAAGATTGTGAATAGGGTGTAAGAAGTTGAGGAACATTGCAAAGTCGCTTTTGGGCCGTTAATCAAGGACTTCCCCTCATACCGTTCTCGTATCTGTCCGGGCGATTGGCCGGATCCGGCGATGGGCATACTATCACCATAGACTGGGAAATATCTCGTTGCCGGAAGGTGTATTCTCCAGGACACGATCATAGGATCGCCAATATCCGTGAAGTCTTGCCAAATTTTGAAAGAGAATTTGTTGCCCCTGAACTCGACACAATAGTCCGTAGAACAGCGAGAGCAAGATTTATGTATACAAGTCCAGTCTGACTCATACTGTGTTGGGTTTTGCCGGTACAGGGAGATCCCTCGGCAGATCTGAAATAGAGCTTCTAAGGGGGCTTGACCGCGGCTGCTCGGGTGTGGGCAGATCCTGACTTCGGGAACACATTGCGGCGTAATAGGTATCCTGTGCCCCATTCCGAAAACCCATTGGCTACGGAAGATGAAGGTGCTTCCACATATTTTTGGCAGGGCGAAGAAGGCGGCAGCTTGCAGTCAAGGGTTACCCTCCTGGCCAGCAAGAAGTCTCATGTCTTCCAGGTGCTTTGGCGTAAGCTCAACAAGACGGGGTGCCATCAACATTGCCAATGCATCTTCGTACTTTCTTCCAAGCCGGGTGTACATGAGGGCAAGCTGCACATGGTGAGGCCTTAGCCAGTAATGATAGCCATAGTTGAGAGGTTTCGGTTCCGAAAACTTCGAGTATGCTGGACAGGCGTGGCGAAGGCCAAAGAATGGAAGGCGTGGGTTGTCGGAGGCTGTATTCACAGTGACCAGTTTGTAGCATGCTGAGCATAGCCGTTTGTTTGACATGATAGGATCAAGCTTAACACAGAGATCTATGAACTTCTGCGGGGGAAGCTTGCTCATGGCCCTCGTACAGGCCATGCTGAATTCGTTCTCCATGGCTGTGCAAGACTTAGACAGCAGGTATTTACTTTCGAGAGGAAGCTCATCGAATATGAGCTAAAGCACATCGACGGGCAGCTGAAGGAAAGGAGGATGTGGAGCTGTCGCAGGCAAAACCGGCAGTCGACGGGCGATTGGAGGGAAGGCCCTGGCAGGATTTCCGACGGCCCGGTAGGTACAGTCTTTGCTGAGGCATCTTTAGTACGACATGTAATCTGAAATAGCGTATCCATCTTGTTGAATAAGGTAAGGTGCGACGTTCACGAGCTGTGAGGTTGAGTGTTTGAAATAAAGAGAAGATGAAACGGCACGTCTCAGATATTGATGAATATTGGAGCTCTCGGGGTTTTGTGTGTGTGTGGTTTGATGACAAGTCTTATGGTTGAGATCCACGAGTCGTAGGATTATTCACCCATGGTCGTCCCAGAAGACCGGGTGAGGCGTGCAAGTGTAAGAGGACCAATGGCAGTTAAAACCGTCTCGGGCCATTGAGCGTGCAGTTCCAGATATTCTAGAATCAGATCAGTGCTGGAGTTGGGATAGAGAGTTTCGTGTTTGGAGCGGACGGAGGCATCTTTTTGACGTCTAGGACGCCAGAAACATAGGCCAACCTAGGCGATATTTAGCTAGCGCATTACCTGTTTACGTTAGCGCTACCCGCCTTACCCTATATGGATGCCATCTTTATATTGGCCCTGACTTTTGCCTCCAAGCTGGATAGAGCGAAGCAGAGTGAAGGCTTTAGCGGCTATAATCCCGTCCGCTTCTTCACTGTGCAGCCGCTAGAAAGGTATGAGTGAAGATTTACGAGATTGTAGAAGCCTCTACCTCGTTTGCTACTTGAGTGATGCATTGGAGCATGGTAGATAATTGAAAGGAGCGGTATACAGAGTTGCGTGAGAAGAGGATAGACTGATCGACAGACGCAGAGATATCAAAACGAGAGACAGGGAGCCTACCTTACACATCACGAGTCACCCTCCATAGAACACCGACTTCCTCTTAACAGAGAGCGTAGAAGCACTGCTTCACTTTTATTATACAAACATTAAATGCTCAGTACCTGCTATGCATCCCATGCTCGCTCTCCATGCAAATACCATTACTCCGATGCCCAGACATCATGTCGTCTATGCCTTAACAAACTCTCTCACAACATCCACAGCCTGGCAACTCGGATTCTGCGCAGGCGCCTTCCCCATCACCCACGCAAGGGTATAGTAGTCATAGCCAGCATACGTCTCGCACACGACCCAGCGATAGTAGTCCTTCGCCTTGTCGAGCCCGTCCTTCAGCGGCGTGACTGTGTCGTCCACATACGCCTCGATGAACAGCTTGTTGTCTGCGTCGAAGCCGACCTCGGTGTACGTGGTGTCCGGGTAGAAGAGCGGGACGGCGACGTTGGTGGAGGGGGTGTAGGAGAGCGCGAAGGGTTCCGAGACGGCGAAGTTGGAGCCTTGCAGGAGGTAGGTGAGGACACCGACGGCGGAGGTGGTGGAGGCCGAAGTGTTAAAATTGTAGGTTGAGGCGCCGGCGGAACCGAGATTGATTGCGTTGGCGGGGCAGAGGCCTGGATAGTGAATTAGTCTTGGTGTTGGGCGTTGGGGGGTGAGAGGAGGTTTGATGTACCTTCAATGGCGGCGCCTTCGTGGCAGGCGTAGAGATAGTTGCCGTTGAGGGTTTCGTTCTCGGATTTGATTTGGAGCTTGAAGGGGGCGGACTGGTTGGTGTACTGTGCCAGAGTTGTGGTGGCGGCCGCGAGGGCGATGATAGTAGTTGATGTCTTCATGTTTGCGATGTGTGGAAGCGTGTGAAGAAGAGACGCTGTGTGCAATTGACTCCGGTTTTGAGGAGGAAGAGAAGGATGCGAAGGATGGGAGGCGAAGGATGGAACGAAACAATAACGAAGCAAGGACGAGGTTATGTACAAACTTCAGGATTCACCTAGGCAGCATGTTCTTCCAGCCGAGGGCCGAGAGTCACGGGCACACAAACCGTGCTGGGTGTGCTGAAGAAGGCACGATCACCAAATCACCAGATCACCAGATCCCAATGACGTTAAGACTGTCGTGTTTTTTGGTGTTGTGGCAGGGATGGCGCCCCACTGATCGGCAGGAGAACACGACCGCGGTGATGTAAGTGGAACAGGGCAAGTGGTACCGTGGTACCGCTCGTGTCCTAACAACTGCACTTTCCGTCTTGGGCTCTGGACGCGTGAGAAACTACCGCAACTCGCCAGTCACGATGGCACCATGCCAAAAATAGATGCGGCGACTTTCTTTGCGGCCGCTCTTCAGCTTCAATTGGACGCTGTACGACAAAATGTGCCAACGGCTTGAGAAAACGCTTCGAACTAACGCTTGTAGTTACCTCGACACAGCAAGGTGCTGGAGCTAGCGCAATCGGCGGATTGGATTGGAGCCTTGATTAAGTGGGATTGCGGATCAAGTTGAAACAAGAGAAACAGGCGGAAATGGAGGAGTGTACGAAATAGCGCATGGCGTCACTGATGGTAGGAGCTTCGAAAGAATACGGGTATGTGCAGGCTGTTTAAAGTGTTTCGATACATTTTCACATGCCCGAAAGAAACAGTCACCAGCCGTATTAAACCGTTCCTTACCTTGCTGGGCTACTCTAGGAGACTCCGCGAACTATCGGAAGGATACCTATCCCCGTAGACTTCTCAAATACGTCGAGCCAAGCCGGCCGTTAGTCAAGAAGTGTGTATGAACTAGCTGCAAGGAGCAGGCAACTGCCATTAATGCCTATCGTACATAGCGGCCGGGATATAGTCAGTATAACTGTGATTTTCGAAACAGAAGGTCGAGATTACCGCCCTCGATAGTGGAGAAGACAGTCCCTTCATAATCATCAAGACGCCCAAACGGCCTCGCAGGAACGCAAAACCCATGTTTCCCCACAAAACCCTCACTCAGATTCCCCTGGACAAGGCCGCCTGCGCCGCTCGGGCCCCGTTGACAGCCAGGGTGTCCGCTGCGGTGTTTCCGGGGTTGTTCGCATGGCCCTTCACATACACATATTCCGTTTTGGCGTTGCATTGGGTCCGCTCTGTCATGCGCTTGATGACGGGTTCGACGATATCGCGATTCTCCACCACCTTGCCGTCTGACGTCTTCCAGCCGTTGGATTGCCACTTTACGCACCAGTTGGTGACACATTCGATGCTGTATTTGCTGTCGGTATATATCCTGACGTCGCGGTCGATGGGCGCAATGTCAAGCGCACGTTGAATGGCGGTAAGTTCTGCGCGTTGGTTGGTTTGGCGGAGCCCGTTCAGTGCTTCGGAAACATTGCTGCGAGATGATCGTTAGTATACAGTAGATATTAGTGTGTAGACAAAGAGTATACCGAGTATCGTCCTGGCCAAAGTAGACGCCGACGCCAGATATTGCTCCAACTCTGCCGTTGCCTAATGAACTCCCGTCCGTGTATACCTCAAGCCAGCCTCTGGGCTCCGTCGCAACCAGCTTGGTAGCGTTCAACTGCCCTTCCTTCTTGCGTTCGACCTTCCCTGTCTTGGGGTTGAGGAACACTGTCCGATCAAATCCATCCTCTGCGTCTGATGGGAGAGGGCCCGTACCTGGCTCTTCGTCGTCCTGCCGAGCACGCCTATTTGCATTTGTGAAAATCACAACCTCAGGGGATCCCTCACGACGCCTTATCTTCTTTGAGGATGGCGCAGTGTCTCCAACCTTGCATCCGTTTCGGCCGTCTTCTACTGACATCTCCGACTCCAAGTCATCCGCCACAGAGCTTTGTCTCCTCTCAGCATTTGCTTGGCTGCCCTCTGCAACGAATCGCTCCGCCTCCGCTCTAGTTCCGAAGCTTTTATGTTTTGGGAGTTTCCATCCGGTGATCTGCTTCTGCGCTGAAGGCCAGTCGGTGTAAACTCCTGGGACCCTGCCATTCTGCACAGCGTAGAATTTCGAGCCCAAGGGTGACTTTGTAGGCTTGCCGTTGATGAACCCTTCGGCTTCGATGAGAGAGGTGAAAGACTTGACTATGAATAGTTGTATTAGCCTGTGCTGCTCCACATTGTTACATTCCCAGGAGAATGGCTTACATTCGGCCCCCTTGACACCCCTGACCTGATCAAGACAGTCCGCCCAGCTGTGATAGATGCCCGGCTCCTTGCCCTTCTTCACAGCATAGAACTTCTGCTCTGCGGCCCGCTTGCGCTTCGTGCCCGAGGAAGCGGTTGTTTGAGCCGACTCAGATCGCGCATCGTCCTGGCTGGTCGGGGAGGCCGCCGATCTGACCATGGCGGCGTACAGGCGTCGTTTCGAGCGAACTGCAGAGGGAATAAGACGAGGAAGGTGTGCTTTCTGATAGTGAACACTCCACGCGGGAGTGCCACGACGGCGATGCCTGGGCGGGTTTCGTGCTGGTGCAGCGGGTAGGAGGTTGGCAAGGCTAGCGCGGAGGAGTCGTTTGAGAATTGTGCTTTGTGGAGAGCCTGGAGACCGGTGGAAGGTCTCTTCGATGTTATATCCTCAGGTGGGGGCTGGAGTTTGTGGTAGATGGGGGGGTGGGGGGTCTACGGCCTCTTTGCTAGATGAATCGAACACACAAGGCGGAAGAGGCAATGCGGACTATCAGCAGAGCAACCAGGTTTTAGGACGCGGGGTCGGGGGATTGTTAGACTGTTGCAGGCGGGGATGCGAGGGACCTTGTTGGTGATGGGTGCCGCGTCTGCAGGTGGAGCTCTCCTCGTTGGGTAGGTACATACAATGCCTGGTCATGTACTGGCGTGAGGAGCCTCATATTCTAGTATGTTCAGCATTCCGAATGAGACAGAAGCTCGGCATTTTGGACGACTGTTGGGCTCGCGAGGCTACTCCAGACAGCGTCAGCTAGATGTATACATACTGGAATTGTATCCGCCGCCACAGTGGCAGGAAAGTGTTCGGATACCTATGGCAAGGCACTGAAGAACTACGTACTTTCTGCATTCCCACTCTTCCTATCAGATGTCTTTGTATGGAGCAGTACTATATAGAATCACGTGTACATTCATAGTGAAACCTACATTGCTGGAGCAATAGTCTCTTGGACAATTGCCCAACTTTCCCCAATATGTGCCAAAGAGTGCCCAAAGCGGTACACGTCTGAGTTGACTGTCCAGCATCCCCCACTCTCACGAGACGCGGGATGGTAGAGAATCGTCGCGCGCTCTCCACAAGAACCCCAATGCCCCACACAGCTTGAACGATCGAATAACAAGCTGCCGGTGGTGTTTCTCTGCATCACTCCGATTAAGCTCGGTACAACCCCCCCCCCTCAGCCCAAAAGGCGGAGGTGGCTCTCGGCCCACGAGATCCGCGCTCCCGCTCCCGTCCACCCGAAACACAACACCACGTCTTCTGCCTTTCTCTCTGACGTCCTCTGCTGGCTTCTCTTGGCCCTTTTGCTCCGGAGACATCCAATTGATCCGGCGTGCCCTTTTCACAAGCACAGACACCCTTGTGCTGTGTGGCTTCCGGCGTCATCACCACTCGGCTCCCGAAATATAGATCGACTCCGCTGACAGGCACACGTGTAGCTTCAGGACCTTGGGGAGCTTGGCAATATTCGACGATGTTTGAGGTGCGGAATCTCCTGGCGTAGCGTTGCTTTTGCCTAATCAATATTGCTTTTAGGGACGCCATGCCTCCGACCGCTACACGCTCCGCCTCCACCGTGCACGCTCAGTCGTCCTCACCCCAGCGGAGCTTGTTGAGATCCGGGCAGCACAAAGAACTTTCGAGGGTGCATACATGCGGACGGCAATTGGGCAGTTCTCGTTCGCACTCATCGTGCTGAAAATCTTCACGTCCGAGTTCTACTCGATTGGAGCGCTCTTCGCCGTGTACGGGGCGGGCGTACTATTCACCAGCCTCTTCCGCCGGCAGCAAGGGAACAAGCAGTTCTTCTCCGAGGTGGGCGAGGATGGGTTGCACCGCAAGAAGTTCAGGACCAGCGGCAACGTTGTATCGGTGCTGACGGCGCTGAGCATCGCAGCCTACGTGTGCCTGCTTGTCCTCACGGTGCACCTCAAGTCCTGAAGGAACAGGCACATTGCAGCGACCACGACGGCCAAGAGGCTTGGGAGCAGTCTTGGAATGTCGCACGCTGACGCTCCGCCGCGCCAGTGCGACCCGGGAGGAAGCAGGTGAGCGTCGGCTCTCCAGGCGGGAATCTCGCCGTGCTCGGACATGCAGACTTGAGATATCGACTCGCTGGAAATCGCACGCGGGAGCAGCTGCACGCCTGGCGGGCGCTGGCAGCGTCTGGAGGCCTCCGGAGAGCGGCAGACTGCGGCCGGCTGTGCAGGCGAAATGCAGAGCCCTGCCTGGCTGTACGATTGCGCGTCCTCTATCTGTCGTCGGTGAAGCTGGCGGCGTGCGTGGATGATTGGCGATGTCATGCCCGCGGGCAGTGGGGGTGCCTCTGCGTGCATCACTCCGGGGTGCGACAGCCAAGCTGCTACATATCAAGTCGCCGCCCGGGAACGGACCAGGCTGCCCTCATCAGCACAGCTTCAATTGATGCCGCCGTTGCGCGACGCTCTGCTCTGCCGCCCGCTCTGAACCACCGCACCGTCAGTCAGAGCGGGCGGAGGTCTCCATAAATCCTGCTGAGCTGCTCCGACACCATTCCGATCCGCCTCGCAGCTTCTGCACCCATTCACCACCGCTCTGCCTCCCACGCCTCGCTCCGCCTGCTGCAGCCTCATTATCGCTCAAGAGGCCCGTCCCACAGCATCAACACCACCAGCACACCACTATCGCCGTACCTGGCCAGCATTTCACACCACCGCAGCGCCGACCGGCCCGATCTCTCAAAGCGGCCAAGCCGGCCTCGGCGGTTTAACGAGCCGCAACACCATCATGCCTCTCATCACTTCCGACCCGCAGCAGCTTCGCATGCAGCACCCCCAGCCTCTACGCCGCCAAAGCCAGCACTCCGTCTTCGCCAAATCCGTCCTTATGAGCCAGATTCCCATCCACGGCTACGAACGAAGCAACGACATCCGCTGCGAAAGCGGCGGTGCCGTGCGCGCGTTGGACAAGACGCCCGTCACTGATCCTGCATCGCTGCCCGTCACTACCAAGAAGGCTATCCCTTCTCAAAACCGTGGCGACTTGAAGCCTCTTCCTTTTGTAAACGGCCACCATGTGCCAGTCATCGCCAAGGATGGCGTTGGAGCTGCCCTCAGCGACACTCCTGCGCCGTCAGCTCCAAGCAGCCCGCGAATGTGAGTCATTCTCGAATTCATGATACTCTTCCTCGTCTTTAGCCAGTGTACACTACCTGTTGCTGCTTGGGGGGCCCGGTGAGCTGTCAAGGTTGTCAAGACCGTACACCCCCACCTCATGCCGCCCTTTGAAATCCATCGAAGCATGCCCGGCGATGAAACCCAGACGAACGTAGACCTCTGCATTCATGGAAAACTCTACAAAATCAATCGAATACTGATTGTCTCGCAGACCCGCGATGACCCGGACCAATTCCATGGGCACCTCCACGGCCTCCACTCCTCGCATCCGCCCTACCACCCTCGACATCCCCGGCTTGACCAAGTCAAAGGTCTCCCCCGACGGCCGCATAGCACAGCGAGATGTCGGGTCCAAGCTTGTCATCGTCATGGTGGGCTTGCCTGCCCGAGGCAAGAGCTACATCACCAAGAAGATGGCGCGATACTTGAACTGGCTGCAGCATGACACCAAGATCTTCAACGTTGGCGAACGTCGTCGGGTAGCTGCTGGTGGACAAGCGCAGACTGGTGGTCCAACTCGCTCAAACTTCTCTGGCGCAGAAAGCAATAGCTATTCGACTATACCGGACAAACCTAGGCCGAATCACCACCAGATTGCTGCCCAAATCCTCATCAACGGTCACCCTCAAGCCGACGACGGACTCGCGCCACTCCACCTGCCAAGCCCCGTGCACCCCCACGTCGAGGAACATGACGATTTTGCCGTAGACGATACATTGCATGCGCACTTGGAAGCTAAGTTTCCCGAAATCGAACGCGCATCTACTCCAGACGATGACCAGGACACCGATGCGATGGACCAATCCGCCAGCTTTTTCGACCCCCAGAATAAGAAAGCCGCTCTAATAAGAGAGCAATGTGCCATGGAGACTTTAGATGATCTTTTGGACTACATCCTCATTGGAAATGGCTCCGTTGGCATTTTCGACGCCACTAACAGCACGCTGAACCGACGCAAGCAGATAATGATACATATCCGCGAGAGGGCTGGACCTGAGCTGAACGTTCTCTTTGTAGAGAGCGTATGCCAGGATCAGAGGCTACTGGAGTCCAACATGCGTCTCAAACTTTCTGGACCTGATTATGACGGCAAGGATCCCGTGGCAGCACTGGAGGATTTCCGGAAGCGTGTTGCAATCTATGAGAAGAACTACGTACCATTAGGCGACTATGAGGAAGAGAACAACATGCCGTTTGTGAAGATGGTCGATGTTGGCCGGAAAGTCATCTCGCATCAGATCAGAGGCTTTCTTTCTTCAACGGCCGTTTACTACCTATTGAATTTCAACCTCACGCCACGTATGATCTGGATTACACGACATGGAGAGTCCCTGGACAATGTCGCCGGCAAGATTGGTGGCGATTCCGATCTGAGCGCAAATGGCACTCGATACGCCAAAGCGATGACCAAATTCATTGACCAACAGCGCAAGGAATGGGACATCCATCAAGCGGACAAATTTGCCCACACGCATTTCCCACCGCATCCTGGTGACCACACTCCACCCAATCCGCACTATGGACCTCACCTCGATGAACCCAGGAACTTCTGCGTTTGGACCTCCATGCTCAAGCGAAGCATTCAGTCTGCGCAGTACTTTGACGAAGAAGACTATGAGACGAAGCAAATGCGAATGTTGGACGAACTCAACGCTGGTATCATGGAGGGTCTAACCTACGATGAGATACGATCTCGATACGAGGAAGAGTTCTCTCGTCGACGAAAGGACAAGATGGGCTATCGCTACCCAGGACCGGGTGGTGAGGGATACCTCGATGTCATCAATCGGCTCCGACCCGTTATTGTCGAGCTGGAACGCATGACCGACCATTGTCTTCTAGTCGCCCATCGCTCCGTCGCTCGCGTTCTACTCGCTTATTTCCAGAACCTGGATCGCAAAGACGTTGCCGATCTGGAATGTCCACTTGGGATGCTTTATCAGCTCGAGCCGAAACCGTACGGCGTCGAGTTCAAAGCGTGGCGGTACAATTCCGAGAACGATGGCTTCGATCTTCTTCCTGACTACAAGCTGCACCGAGCGACTTACGCTCATTAGGGCCTAATCTTTCCACATACCCGACTGTCCGAGACTCTCTTGGTTTCTTCTTCCTGTACATGCATTCCTAGGCTTTTAGACGGCAAACTCCACGCTCATTCCTTTCACGACATAATTCGAGTTTCCATGTCAATCCATCTCCCATCACGGCTTCTTCCTTTTTTCCTTGCAACGAACTCTCCTAATGCATACTATCGGCGTCTTTACGGGTCTTCAACAAGGAAACACTCTATGAGCCTGTGCATGATGGGTGGGCTGGGCTTTGATACACTATTTTTACGACAAGGGTCATGTCGTGTGCTTTCCGGCGTTCTGTCTAGCATGGTATGCTATGGTATGGCGGCTATATCTCTGTCTTTGTCTCCAATGCGGGTGGGGGTGGGTAGGCAGGTTTATTCTACAGCTGGACCGACTGAGGCGTGTCTTGTGTTTTCTCCTCGGCGGTGTTCCTGGTAGATTGTTGCCTGCTTGTTCTTCAGCTCTCTACTCGACTTCGCGAGAGAGATGGTGGCTGCTTGAAGGCATTTGAATTGTGCAGCTATGTTCTACGTAGTCAAGCGCAATGAAAGAATATGCCTGCATGGTATACTGCATGATGCCTTCCACTCTTATTTCTTAATTACTGAAGTGACTGGTGATTTCTATTTCCTCATTTCCACGTCTTAGTATCAAACCAATCGATCACCCTACATTGTCATGAAAGCAAAAAAGGAATAACAACTCTCTTCCCTCACTCACTACGATCCAAAAAACGCCATACATTCATCCTCCACCACGTGCTTACCACGTGCTCACCACGTGACACCCCCGAAACTGAAAAACCAAAAAGAGAGTCTACGCGACTCGAACCCCAGCTCAGAATACTAATTTTTTCCGCACGTGGATAGATTGTAGACTTAACAGGTAGTCCAGACCTGGGGCCCAGCGTCCATTCATTTTCCGCACCTGGATATGATAGGCCATCTGAGCTTCGGTGCTCTTTCTTGGAATGCTTGAGGAAATTGAGGCGTATGTAACCTCATGGAATACGATTTCATCTTATATCTCTGAGCCCTTGTGGTATGCGCGGGATGGTCATTCCCTAAATCACGGAATGAAGCAGAGACGGGCTCGAGAGTAAGTAATTACGTGGTGACTGCGATACGATATGGATGAAGGGATTCAGAGTCTATACATACATCACTCGGAAACATCATCATCATCATCATCATCATCATCATCACCACACCGACACCACACCATCCCTTTCCTTTTCTGCTCCTCATTTTTTTCTTCTCCGCCATCTCGATTCGCTGTCCCCTTTACCCGCCTGCACATCTACGAAACCACGTTGTCGCTCCGCGAACCCTTCAACCAACGCTCCCAATACCTTCAAACCCCATTCGAACCCTCCAAACCGATCCTCCGCCGATCCCAGCCCTGCCCCGGAATCTCAAGAACTTAACAGCGTTCGCTGAGGCGTCGGGGTAGAGGCGGTAAGGATATAGCCGCTAGTAACTAACGCTTGGCCCATCCCCTTCCGTCGCTCAACGCCCCGCTAAGGCACCGTTCTTACCATCTTAGGTGGGATACCTCGAAGGTGGCGCATCGGCATCATGCTCCGCAGGTGAACGATGCTGAAGAACCACGACTTCCCATCGTTTCGTTGAAGCGGGGCATGGTTTTGCTGATGGTGAGGTGGTGAAGGGAGGGTTAGGAGCGGGTGAGAGAGATGGGGAGAAGAAAGGGGAGGGGGAGGGGGAGTTGAGGAGTGAGTATGCGGGTATGAGTGCGGTGTCTTTTCGATCTTTAGAGCGGGTAGGGTGGTTAGAGTGGGCAAGATCGGGGGGAGTGGAACGGTGGTTGGGGGAGCGGGTGTGCTGGGGGATAGTACGGGTATGGAGCGAAGCGGGGAAAATGGGGGAGGTGGTAAAAGATGGAGTAGACTGAGCTGAGAAGGTGGTAGACAAGACAGGGTTACTATTACTGAGAGATTCTGCGGATGAGGTGGGTGCTGGCGGAGAGGAAGTGGTGGGGAATGACGGCGTGGTGCTGGAGACTCATACGCATGCGTATTGGGACGGCGAGATAGGTTGGATGTTAGTGTTTGAGGCACTAGAGGGGGTGATTCTACAGAAAGGGGTGGCGAGAGGTGAAGTAGTGGTTGATATTGAAGCGTGGTCTCCAGGAAGGGAGATCAAGTTGTTTGCACTGATGCGCTGGTGATGCACTACCTGTCACTTCCTCCTGTATCAGCATGATTGCTTCTTCCTTTTCGGTGCAGCGGCACTGGTAGCTCTAGGGGGTGTATCACCTCTTTCCTCTATTTATACGGCCCGTATGGCCTCTACAATGGAAGCTGAGTTTTCATTCCCATTTACCTAACACGGGCCTCCTCCTCCTCCATCTCTTGGTTGCAGATCGGAGTCCGAACAACCCCCTCTAAGTTGTGGGTCGTCTCTGGATTCTTTCTTAGTATTCCATATTAGAGGTGCACCCTGACAACGTACCGGCCACATAATGCATCATGCATCTTTGACGCTGATAATCGCAAATATATATATCCTTGCACTTGTATCGTGATGGTCGCTCGAGTCTTTTATTCGGGAATAGGAAAGATAACGATATTGTGTGCGTACCTAGGCCAATATATAAAGAACCGATGGCATTCATTGAGTCGGCCTGGGCGGATTTGTGGGCTTAAAAACGGCTTGGGCTCTGACATGCCCTTCTCGCGTCTCTCTAAATTTAGGTCTAGGCAGATTTCTCATGGTAAGCCTGGGGGTGACACAAGGCTGAGGTCTGCCACGTCGAAAGCCTCATTCTTTCAACCACTCAGATTAACATTCTGCTCCCAACAAGATATGCCGCAGCGCCACGTGTTGAACAGGCTTTCCCTAAGGCGGGACCCTACTAGTAGACCTTGCCTTCTCTTTTCCTTGGAAATATGGAAATTCGCCCCTTGATTTATCTTGCATTTCAGCTCAATCTAAATCATGGAACCCATCAGTGCCGTTGCATCTATCGTAACACTCATTGCGCTTGCCAAAGAAATTTCCTTTCTCACAACCGATTTGTTTCGTGGTCTGCACTCTGCGCCTAGAGAGCTAGCACGACTGCAAGAACAGACCAACCTCATTGTCAAGGAGCTCCAGTGTTTAGAAAGCAATGCAAACCAGTCTGGAATTGACCAACTGCTGGATGGCTCTGAGATTCGCACCTTAGGCGAGGCTCTCAAAGTGGCCAAGTGCAATATAGGTGCTATTCACAAGGAATGTGGAAATCTCGGCCAAAAGTCAAAACGGCGGATAATGTGGGTATTGTTTGAAAAGAAAAAGGCGGAGGAGTATCTGATGCATCTTCAAAAAACGGAGATTAGTTTGAGCGTCGTTTTGCAGCTCACCAATATGTATGATGCGATCACTCCGAACTGTATACAGGACTCTGACCATACATAGGAAAATGACTTCGACAGCCTATGTAGAGACAAAACAGCACTTTAAAAAGACGCAGGATGCCATCGAAACACTCCGCATAGAGCGACAGCTCCAGACGCCTTCCGCGCTTGTTCGACCCAACCAAAATACTTCCAAGACTGCCCCCAAAAGCCAGCGATATCTCAATGCACTCATGCTATCCGAATTCTGGAAGTGGCTTCTAGCCTGCGAGCTGATTATCTTGACAACTACCGACGGATCTCAACTGCGGTATGACTGCCTTGCCATATTCTTACTTCCAACTCTGGCTAGGCGACTGGCAGTTAAGATATCACTCAGCTTTCAGAGACCTTCATCCACATGGAGTAACATAGTTCTCCTTGGTGGTAGGCTCAGCATGGTTAACTATGTGCCCAACGACTCTGAAATCATCATGGCCTGCAGAAAGGGTGATCTTGTTGCGGTCCGCGACCTCTTTCGGCGGGGTAAGGCATCTCCAAACGATGTATCTGAACGATCAAAGACTCTGCTTTGGGTATGTATGCCCATTCCTATGATTGGAGAGTATTAATAGATACAGCATGCTGCCGCAAGTGGATCGACTGAACTTGCAGAATATCTAATCCACGAAGGCACACCGGTTACTTCGTAAGAATTGTTGCCTTAGCTCCGTAAATATAATACTAACATTGTAGATAGAAGCATCCTTCTGGCCGCCGCGTACTGGAGACAACCACAAATTGCGAGACTGTGCTTGAACAATGACGCCGACCCTGAGGTCATAGGAGTGGAAGGATACACGGCAGCGATCCTACTATTCGGCTCCTCTCGTAAGCGGGAACCTCAGACGGAGTTCATTGAGATCCTTGCGTGCAACTCCTTCAGCATCTTTGACGCTCAAGATGATTGTGGTTGGACTGCTCTTCACAGGGCAGCCGCCTTTGGTACGCATGAAGATGTTCGATCTCTTTTGCGACTCCAAGCTTCTGTTGACGTTCGAACTTACAACTTAGAGTGGACGCCACTGTTCTGTGCTGTATGCTTTGGCAACTTGGAGACGATGCAAGAGCTGTGGTCTTGTTACGACAATCCAGGCCAAACCAGAGATCTGCGAGAGTGGAACTTACTTCATGTTGCGGCTGGTGCGGGAAGGTTTAATGTCATGCCTTTCCTTTTGAAAAATGGTGTTGATCCACAGGCTGTCAGCCAGGCGACGTCTCGGTTTGTTCCTCCTTCCCTTGTTGATCGTAGTGTCACGCCTAGCGATGTTGCAAAGAGCTGTGGTGAGGACTCGTATAGGAAGTGGACTGAGATCCCGAAAACTACTGGTTTTAAGTCAAAGGTATCGCCTATAGACATTGACTGGAGTTTGGAGGAGATGCAAGGTAGATATGGGGGTTGTGAGTGCTGCGAGACATGGGGTTTCTCGTTATAGACTTTTGAAATAGAAGACGGGTTTGCAGTTCACTGGGAGCGTGGTTCGCTGGGGTAGGACGTGAGTGGAGGGTTGGCGGATGCCTAGAGGCCTTAGAGCTGTAAAATTCGATTTCAGAACACCATCCTGGCCTGAACCCTCACCACCAAAGATCAGAGTACGATATACAAGATGCCGTACCATTCTAGTGCTGGTGGTTGAGGGGTTTGATAGAAGAAGCAAACAACGCACGGACCGATCAGATAGGTGTCCCGGCTCTGAACTCGAATTACATTTTTCTTGAATGCTAGATGGTAGAGATAAAAAATTTCGATGAGGTTGGTGATGAAGGAGAGAGAAAGTGGGAAAGGGGACAACGCTTAAAATGTTGGGTTGGGGGTCAAATGACTGCTACGGGTAATGGCTTTTGTGAAACGCCTCCATCGGGCGGCTGTGCCTTGTCCAACTACATTCGTTATCGCAGGATCCACTCATGGCAAAGGAGCTCAAGGATTACTTGAAGGTGCAGCTGTTTCAACTTCTCAAACTTTACGAATTCTATTAGAATTTGTGATATCGGCTTGAAAGAGCCTTGGTAGTGGCAGAAACCTCGACACAGGCTTCTGCCTTTGTGTTATACAAGTGTATAGACCGAGAAATCTTCATCTACCACTCCCAACACCCGATTGGTCGTTTTGAGGCCATCCAGCTCCACTTAAAGCAAGGTGCCTGCATACCCAGAGCTCACTCCTAGCCAATCGTTCGCCTAGGCTTTGCGGGATGCGACATCCTTCGCCACTTGCATGTCGTACATTGCCATGAACCTCTTGCCGTCTTCATACTGTTTGTGGCCAGGCGGGTAGACGAACATATCCATTCTCGCCAGCTCCATCTCCCACTTGTATCGCTGAACCCACGCCTCTCGAGTCGGGCGTCGACCCGCCTTGCCAAGGATGAGGGTCAGTTGGTCCCAGAGGGCAGTCGATGCAAGCCATACGAACTTGAAGTCCACTTGAGGAAAGTCCCTCTCCAGCAATAGCTGCGCCAAACGGTCCATAGCCCGATGCATTTGCAGGTTGCTTACCATCGGATCCTTGCTGATCTCGGCGAGAGAAGGAGCATATTCCCCGATTCGCAGTTTGGCCGCCGTTCCCATCGCCGTTGCCAGGCGTTGGATCTTATGCTGACGAATCTCGAATTTCCGACTAAAAGCTGTTGTCATATCGCATGCTGCGCACGAGCAGATGATGTCTAGGTCTGCAAGCTCTTTCTTGCGTTGTTCGAGGGTCAGAAGTGGTCCAGCGTGTGTCTTCGTGAACTCCTCACCAGCCGCAATATCTTTGAGCACAAGCACGGTGAGCACGCCCTCGCCATCGTTGTGTGGCAAGATGTTTGGAACGCATGAGTGCTTCACATGCGCGAAGTCGAGGCGTAGAGCTTCACCGGGGTATGGTGCGAAGTTCTGCGCGTTGCGAGACCACTTGGAGTGTAAGTCTATGACTTAGTCGAGGTATTTGCGCGCTTCGGGGCCCGCGGCGTCGTACGAAGCTTAGGGGTGGTCTTGCAATTCGCGGATCTTGGCGGCGTAGGTGGACAAGGCGAGGAAACGAGCCTCGTTGACGGGAGACAAGGCTTGGAAGACAGGAAAGATATCGCCAAAGCTAGCTCCTCTAGGTCCAACCAGTATGTCTGGCTTGCCGCAGGTGATGCGAGTGCCGGCCTTGATGAAGCACTTCGCGAAGACGCCTTTACCTTGGCCATTGGGCAGGGCTTTGATCTTGCAGAAAGAAGCTAATTCCCTACGTGTAATCAGCGTATGTTCACATTTCTTGCCGCAGCCTGTAGTGCTTCAGGAGACGTGCGGAAGTCGGCAAGATATGACTGTATGAATGACTTACCCTGGGGAAAAGAAGTCGGGAGACCGGCGGCATAGTAGGTCTTTGCTCGTCTGATTTGCGCGACGATCGAGATCACATTCCGCATTTGCGGGGAGTTGAGATCGTTCTCATCCATTGCGTATCCGAGCTCTTTGCGATTGGGGGATTGGGTGGTGGTAGGTGTGGTTGCGGCGGCGGAGTAGGTGTGTCGGAGAAACTGACCTAGGCACGTTGGCATGACGAAGACTCGTGAGCTGCCTTTAGTACTGGTCCTGTGTGGTTAATTCCTAGCGGTCCTTTAATTTCACCTTCCCTTGAGGAGGACTAGACATTCTCCTGCGTCACAAATCATTCAATCTAGCAGTTCTTTCCCATGAAACGACTGAGAAAAAGGGCACGAGTACCTGTACACCCCCCTATAGTATCCGCACACCCCCTTTTTAGTACATGCACACCCCCCCTTCCGTCTGATCTTTTGATTGGCTAGAACGGCTCGGAGCTTCGTCCGGAGCTCTATTCTTACGTGCATCCGTGCCGTACGTGAGGCCGTACGTGAGGCCGTACGTGAGGCTGCTGCAGCCTCTCTATTTTATCATGCATTCTTTCCGTTTCCTGCATACTATATACAGCCGTACGTAAGTGAGGCCGTACTAGGCTCTGCGTATAGCTACACGTAGGCTGCGCAGCCTCTCCATTTTAGTAGCTTTGTATACGTAGCCTGCAGTGCACCGCCGCTAGAGAGGTCATCGCGAATGATCTTCTTCACCTCCTCCGTGCGCTCAAGGCGGCGTAGGACTACGATAGCTGACGCTTTGAGCACAGGTTCGTGGCCGCAATGAGATGCCTCCACCGTCTGCCATATCTAGGTGCCCTCTGGCTGTCGGGTGAGAGTTCCGTGCATAGTACAACCGTTCTTCTTGGTTTCTGTATCACGTACACGATTCTGAGGTTCATAGTAGCCTGCGAAAATACACTGATACCATATCTTTCGGGTCCGCTTGTACTTGTCGGGTTTGCTACGGTACTTCACCAGGCCGTAGCCCTGCGCTGAGGCGTGCGCTTGTATAGCAGTATGCGCTTCCTCTGCCGTAGCGTAGTAGTCTAGCCGTGGCGGCTGGAGGGCCATGGCGAGAGGTAGAGGGAGTGTATTGTGGAGGATGAGGATGTGATTGTTTGTGGCCACGCCGCATTTGGAGAGAGCATTTGGAATTGGTGAGCGGGTTAAGCGAGCGAATCGGAGGCTCCGGAGCAACCCTTAGAGCCAATCAGACGATTAGACGGGTTGGGGGGTGTGCAGGTACCAAAAAGGGGGTGTGCGGATACTATAGGGGGGTGTACAGGTACTCGTGCCCGAGAAAAATGCGGAGATGATGTAACGAGAAGTCTTCATACTGAGGGCTGCAAGAACATGTGATAGATGATTCAAGCCTCCCCATCACGTGATATGAGCAAAGCCGCTTCCAGTCGCCGTTCACGATTCGGTAATTAGGGCTATATACAGCACAGAGCAGTTCAAATTTTACTGCCCTTTATAATGGTGAGATATGTGCTCTCCTATACTTGTCTGATCCCCCATCTTGCGAGTAGATTACTTGCACATGCTCGTGGAAACAGGCTGACTAGAAGTCACGAGTAATGCTTGATGAAAACCTAGAGGCCAAATGTTAGTGGGGTTGGTCATAGGATTCGAGGTGTTATCAGACCTCTTCTGAGACACAAGAAGGCGTGTTGATTGCCATAGAGACTCACGTGCTCGTTACATATTGCCCTCTGTCTACTGAGCCGAACATCCGCCTCGAAGCCCGCAGAGCACAACTTCGAACCCTTCAAATTCTCAAATCACCAAAGAAGTAACATCGTCGTCCTTGATTGCTCTTGATTCATGAGTAGTAGATGAAGCTGAGGGTGGACAATGAAAGGCGTCTGCCGTTCACGGACTGAAAGACACTGAAGAAATATAAAATGAAGAAGCCATCAAACTACGATGACAAGCAAGAGGTATTACAGGGCACCTAATGAGAGTCCGCAGTCGTCCGTTATTACATATCCGGAATATCATCAAGTTGACGATAGAGGCGTGGTGTTGATCGACTGGACATCGGAGTGACGTTGTGAATCTTGGCTAGCTCCCGGCGGACGGGCCGAGTGATTCAGGCCTTCGAGTCCGACCTAGCAGGCAGCTTCTACCTACAAACAGCTGTATTGCTATCCCAAACCTCAGCTATCACTTCTCTACGCCTCCATCTCTTACCTCTCACCATACACGCGCCTGTACCTACGTCCTCCGCTGCATCGCCGCCTTGCTAGCCTCTCTCACCGCCGTCTTGGCCACCGCATGCACCTGCACCGCCGTGTCTTGTCCCCGACCGCCTGCCGACTTGACTCAACCACCACAAGGCTGCACTCTGCCTAAAAGGCGTCTTTACGCCCCGGGAAGCTCTATTGGCACACGAGCCGCCCGTCCATATCCCCGAGCACCATGTTTTCCGAATGTAAGTCTTCAGCACTCTTATCAGACGCCCCGCGAAGCAGCTGATGTCCGCTGTCTCACAACACCAACTCGCGTGACTGACGGGCATGCTCTTTCTTTGCAGATGCCTCGAGATTCCTGGCTCAGTCGCAGTCGCGGCTGTCCATCGGCCAGCCGGAAGCCCCCCTCTCAAATCGCGAACGTTTCGAGCGACGTCGTTCCACTCACCGCAACAGCCCCGCCTCACAATCATACCTTCAGCGACGCAATATGCCAAACCCATATCAACCCAGCGGCTCACGGATAGGCCAGTTTGCCTTCGGGTCGAGGACCTCCGCTGCACCGGCACCATTATTCTACAGCGCGACAGATGAGTTCCGGGAGGAGGATGACCAAGACGAGCATGCCCGAGAGATAGAAGATCTCTACGCCCTTCAAAAGTCACGGCGGCATTTTGGATCGAGTCATCTTACAGAATCATCAGAAGGGGATTATGACGGGGAGCGAGCGTCTGATCCGAACGTGGAAGGGCACGACCTAGAGAACGATCCGCCGGATTATGGGCCTAGGAGGGGTATTAAGAGCTCGTGGCGAGGCGAGAAACCGAACACCAGAGGGAGAGCTGCCGGAGCAGAGCCGCTGGAAGAGCGGGATGAGCGGGACAAGAGTGTGCCGCTATCAGAAGCCAGCGAGCCCAGCAGTGGCGGACGCGGGAAACTTGTGGATGTAGAGCTTGCATCTACTATCCGAGGCAGCATGGAAGATCTTAGGGCTGAATTAGACGCGGATGGGCACTTTCTAGGCGATACAAATGACCAACCGCCAGCATTCCAGCAGTTCCGAAACGCTCCCCGACGAGTCCGAAGTCCACGAACACGATTACCAATACATAAAGAAACAGACGAGGAAGCGTTACTAGACAACCCACGGCCAATAAGTCCAGATCGGGAGAGCGTGCCAGCAGAAGTCCAGCCGGAGCCTTTAGCGTCACCACGACACGATCGGTTTTGGGCAGAGGTCTTCATCATCGGCCATTGCGCGCTGATTGGGGCCTTTTTCATCACCCTGTTGCAGACCTCTCCGCCAGATCAAAAGCATCCGATAGGGGATACCATTTACACCGCCCTACACTCATCCTTCCACCTCCTTGCGGTCTACTCGCTCGTTTCGATCGTAGTTGGATTACTTTGGCTGGCCATGCTGCGATCTTTCGTAAAACCCTTGATTTTAGGTATCGTGGTATCCGTGCCTGTCATATTATTTGCCTTCTTCTTGTATCCTCTTGTGTCCAGCTTCAAAGGAACATGGCACGGAGGTAGCGTTCAGGACAAGGCTATGCGCTGGTTCTCTTTTGTGCCCGCTGTTCTTGCAGTCACGTGGGTGTACACAGTCTGGAAAGGACGTCACTCTCTGACCCGAGCCACCGAACTCCTCGAGTTCACAGGCCGGATCTTGACAACCATGTCACCACTCCTTCTTGTTGGCTTTGCAACGCTGGCGACAGTTGTACTTTGGACTTGGCTCTGGATCTTGATGTTCACACGACTCTTCCTCGAAGGCCACTTTTCCAAGACTCGGAACCTATTCATCATAGACTTCGGCACCTGGTGGCTCGGCGCAGCTTTTGTCCTGGATTACTTCTGGACACTAGCGGTCATCTCCGGGATACAACGAGCGACAACAGCAGCAACTGTCAGCCAGTGGTACTTCCACCGCAACTCAGTGCCGTCACCCTCACCACGAGTCGTCGTTCAGGCATCTGCCATCCATGCTTCAACAATCATGTTCGGCACGATATGTCTGTCAACGTTCTTATCTCTGGCTGTCCGACTCCCTCTCATCATACTTCCTCGCCGCGTCGCGGGCATCATTTCCATGTTTGCCTACTCTCTCATCCCCACTCCGATCGCCTCCCTCACCAACCCCTTGACGTTGACTTACGCCTCTGTTCATGGACAACCTCTCGGCGTCGCAGCACGCAACCTTTCTCAGATGTCGTTCGTCTCAAACACCTCACCAACGACAACCCTAAGCCCAGGGTCCTTCTCCTCCCCGACCGGGACATCTCTAGTCCCGTACCGCCTCGCAAAGCTCCTCCTCCACGCCACCCGCTTCATAATGTGTCTTACCCTCGGCTTCGGCGGCTGGGTCACCACAGCACGCATGATCGAGGTCTCCAACTCCGGCGTCAAGGGCAGCATGTACGCCTATGTCATCGGCATCATCGCAGGCGCCATCGGGTGGGGTATACTCGGTGCCATGGAGGGCGTCCTCGGAGGCATCCTTGACGCACTAGTCGTCTGCTGGGGCAGTGAAGTTGGCGTACACGGCTTCGGAGAGGTGCGGTACTGCCGCGAAGCTGGGGATTTGTTCGCCGAAAGGCCTAACGGTGGCCGCTTCCGTTGACATCTGAACGTATATAGAAGCAGTGCTTGACTTGTCGTATCCGAGCGGGTGATTTTTCATACAGCGTGGGTTGTGGCTCAGGACTTGAGCTCCCCTAATGGTAAGCGCGGGTAGTTTGGCGTAGGGCTAGTGAGTGTTTGATTTTTGTAGGTTCAACCCCAGATGGGGTTGGCGGAATTTCATCATTATTTTCACATTATCGTTGTGGTGTCGTACTTCTCAATGCTTCATGGTGTGTCGTGATGTGGAACCCCTCTGTCTCATGATCATTTGTCATATGACCTGATGGAGTGCGTCCTACGCACCTCCATACATCTCCACCGTATATACCCATCAATACCCCCACTCGATCGCTCTCTCCAAAGCATCAAAAACATCAAAAACATACACCACGAAAACCTAAAATAAATAGCTCCCTCTCGGGATTGAACCGAGGACCTCGTGATTGGCTCTACTGGTAACCAGAGAGTTGATTGCCACGTTGTTTTATCCACCTAGCCTGTTTCCAGGCGCTGGCTAGTTACGAGTCACGCGTTCTACCACTGAACTAAAGGAGCTGATTTGATGGGGATTGGTGCCGTTTGATCCGTATGTATGGCTTCAGGAGGTTCGAACTTGGGGGGCTTGAGGTGGGGTGGAGGGTGCATGGTTTGCGCACGAGCTTTTGTTACTCGCGTGGCGAGTCGGTGCGCCTCTTACTTTATTACTTCTTACTCACTGATCACTGGCAAAGAAACACCGAAGAAAAAAGCACCCCGCAGAAACGAGGGCCGTCAAAGGACACGCGGAATAAAGCGGCAAAACAATATAGCTCCCTCTCGGGCTTGAATCGAGACTCTTTTCGGCGAAGTGATCAGTACTAGCTACCTCTCCCCCAGTCAGTTAGCAGCGCCAGCCAGACCAGACTGTGCAGACTAGGTACTACCTCAAGTCACGCGCCCTACCACCAAGGCCAGAGAGCTGATTGCATGCCGGTGGATCCACGGGATGGGTAATGGAGGGCAGCGCGTATGCGTCTACTCTCAACGTGTCCACTCCAAGCCCCACCCCCTTCCCTCGTAAATTCCAGTCTACTTAGCAACTGTCCACCAAAAAGAGAAGTCTAGGGGTATGGGAAGGGATGCAAAGAAGAAAGGAGCAAAAAGGTAATGCCGCTTCACGGGATCGAACCGTGGACCTCGTCATGACGGAACGCGGGTGGGCGTGCTGTACAAGTGACGCGCTATACCACTTAGCTAAAACGGCGATTGGTGGATTTGGGGTGGTTGCGGTGGAAAGGAGGTCATAAAGGTGAGGAATAGGAGTTAAGGGCGGGAGAGAGGGGGGGAGGGATAGAAGAAAAGAAGAGAAGGGCTCGGTGAATAAACGAGAATTGAGTAGGAGGTTTGGCGTATATAAGGGATACTTTGGCTTGTGAGGTTGCCGTGTCTGCCTACAGTCTCGGCACAGGTAAGCATATCCTAAGCTCTATGCCTCATGTTTGATATACACCAAAGCTAGCTATATCGCCAGGCGGTCCTGCCTTTTGTGGTACAGTACTCGCCACTTTAGCATTGGATACTACTATGTATGAGCTGTGACTTGCTATCACGCGTCAAACATTCCGACACGATAGGTTCTACCTTATCAGACGTCTCATTTCGCCTTCTACGCTTCCACGCTGCGGTTTGTTTCTCTTTGATTCTCTGAGACCTCAGATTCGCTCTCACGTGCACCATCCCCACAGAGCTTTGACCATATTTTCATATCGCTAAGCAGTGGTAGACGAGAGTGCACAATGTAGCGAGGCGCTGTACCTTAGGCTTCGGGGTGGCGCAGCGGATCTTCCGAGATCTAGAAGACAGGCTAGAAGAGGGTATACGAACGTATAACCTGGTGCTGTGCCTACCTCAGGCAATCACGTTAGCAAAGCGTCACCTTCTCTTCTGCAAATTCTCCCCGCTCAACAGCAGCAACGCCTTCACCGCTCATGAAGCCTTCCACATAGCACTCTCCAATCACCTCCGCGCAACCTCCATCATGCCCTGGGTCAACGCATCTCCTAAGTAGCACTGGCATAGCTGCCCCAAATAGCACATAGACTCTATCCCCCCTTTCCACAATCGCTGGCACCAGTGCCATTTCCCCACTTTTCAACACCGCCAACCGCCTCCCAACTATCGAGTGACTAATATAATATATGTCTGGAATACAGGCCTCCTTTAGATGATCAAGCTTGTTGCCAGCATCGGCAACAGGGAAATACTCCTTCAACGGCTTCCCGCCAACCCGAAACGCGCCCACACTCCGCCGGGCCTTCTCAAAAAATACAAATTGATCTAGATGCGGCTGCGTCCAAGGTGCCTGCTCTACCAGCTGCGTCGTAAGCTTCTCGAACTCTTCCCCGATGGTGAACTTCAGGGTTTCGGCATGGTTGTCAGCTTCGGCGCCGCACCAAGGGATGTCGGCGAGCGCGGAGGTGTCGCTGGCGCTGTTGGATGAGGGATTTTGGTTTAGTGTTGCTATGAGGGTCTTGATTACGGCTTTGGCATTGCCATACGGGTTCAGCTCGGTGGAGGGTTGCGTGACGTTTGACGGATTGGCGGAGACGGGGCCGCCATATACGGGGCCTTCTGCGGAGAAGCCGTCGACTTCGCCGATACAGAAGCCGTGGCAGTGAAGATAGTCTCCGGAGAAGGAGATGGGTCTGTGACGGTAGCCATCTGCTCGTGAGGTGATGCGGCGCTTATCTAGGCCGAATAACGCTTTGCGGGTGATATCAGATGAAGGTGAGTGGGAGTCGTAGTCGAAGCTGCGCTGGTAGAAAAGGTAGCAGCGGTCGAGGGGCTGAGTCCAGTCTGTCACCCATGATGGCTTGGTCGTTTGCCGCTGAGAGCGGAAGAAAATGGCATCCAGTTCGCCTGTTTCTTCGATAAATATTTTCATGAAGTCGGCAAAGACCTGGTTCGCGGTGGCAGAGTAGTCGACATCGATTCTATCTAAGATGTTTTTGGGAAGAAGACCTAACAGGCCGTATATGTGGTCTCGTGGGTCTGTAGCAATACCCATTATCCCTAGACTGAGGACTGGGATCGCAAGCTCGATGGCGTCTACCGCTTGATGTCGCTCTACCGCACGACATACGGAACGCAAGAAGTCGAAATTTTGAAGCAGCCCGGTAATATTGATATCTTCCAACTCATGCCATGGGCCTCCTAATATCCCATCGAGCTCTACTTTCGGTAGCTCCATCACCAAGAATAAAGAGACGGTGCGCCACTGCTCGAGCAGCAGTCTCGAGTTCCTGCAAGCGACGATGATAGGATCTGCGCCGACTGCGAGCTCTTGAATTACCCAGACGCGGTGCCAATATGGGTGAAAGATCAGCCTCATCATTGTGGCAATAGCTTCCTTAAAGAGACCGTATTGGTCGGCATTACGCTTCAGGTCAGCATAAGTCAAGCCTTCGTTCACCGAAGGTGAGAGGTTGCGGATGAATCCAAAAGCTTCATCGCACCCTTCCCAGCCATTTCCTAGAGCAACGACAACGCCCAAGGCTCCAGCGAAAATGCTCCGCATTCGCTTGATCTCGTGGGATCGCTCTATCTGGTCTTCCTGGTTGATGCAAATGGCATCTGCCCATACTCGAAGCGGCCCATTTGAGTTCTGCGTTTGTGCAATCGGATGTACATTGCGGAGTGCTGCATCGAGATTTTCGGTAACTGCAAACGGAACTCCATTCAGGATGATGTGTTTCGGTTTTTCTGGAGAGCCCCACGTGTATGATAACGCGATGTAGTCACCCCAGGAGTAACGAAACCGGGATGGACCGATCTCAAGAGCTTTTTCAATCGCGCCATTCGACCGGACTGTCGTTCTCACATGATCTTTCCATAGCCGTAGTCTCTCGTGTGGTAGCTCTTGGACCGCTGTTTCATTATACCACGTTAGATACTCATGAGAATATCCAGACTGGGAGAGAGCATCTAATGAGCAATGTATGGGCTCATCTGCAGTAGCCGGATAGGGCGGGAGGAGAGTTAGGAGCCGGAGTTCATCTTTCGGCAGAGGCTGATAGGTCATTACTTGATCTTCCACCTGCGAGCATGTTAACTTAGTGCAAAAATATAAAGCAAGAAAAAATAAGGCTTACAGAAGCCGTACCTTCTCTCATTGTGCAAGCGTTGAAGTTTACCGCATGTCTGAGGAGCTAGACCTCGGGAAGCTTTCCTTGCCCCGCGAAGCCAAGCACCCCTAGTCTCGAAATGGTGTTGTAATTCCATTGTTACTATGTGAGAGCCGAAGCATTAGTAGTGTTTATTCACACATATTCGAGGCTTGCATCTGGTGCGGAACTCTAATTAGCATTAGATACTACTTGTCTTTCTACAACTCCTCTCTCACCCCGGCACTTCGTGTCAATGCAGCCCCTCCTTGAAATACCTAGGTAAGGGTGAGGTAGTGTCGTTGGGGGCGGAAAGGAGGATGAAGCATAGGATAGGTGGAAATAAGAGGAGATGGGTGAATATATAGAAATCTGGTGGAGGTGTGAAGTAGAGACAGACGTTGGGTGACGGGATTGCCGTGACAGGCACCTGGGTAAGTGCATCTCTTGCTTCGTTCCTCATGACAATAGATACTACGACCTATAACTCGCTATTAACGGCGGAATCCGTCACTAAAAGCGACACTGCACCTACGTAGAGCTGAGGACAACGTCAATCTCTCACTGGATAGGTTCCATCTTGTCAGTCGTCTCATTCCACCTTCTAGCCTTTTATGCTGTGCCTGGTGTTTCTTTGATTCTACTAAACATGAGATTCGCTCTCACGTACATCATCTACACAAAGCTTTAACTACACTACCATTCCGGTCGCCCTCACAATGACACTAGCCATCGCACTGCCCGTCTATGTACATTAGCTCCGAACGCGGCCGGCCCATTTCGATCCTGTTTCTTTTGCGTTTGGCGCTACAGCCTTGCTATTATATGCGCATCCTATCTATCGTCGTCCCATACCCGACAGCAACCATCCATCAGCTATAATCTCGAAGGGCGTTTTCAACATGCTTACAGCAGATACTATACATCTTCAATCTTTTTCGAAGGACGTCAAAATCAGTCGGCCTTCTTCCGTGGTGGCGTACAACGTGACAATACCAAAAATTGCTATAGTGTAAGCTTGTATGCATTCTTGCTAGAATTCTAGACCCCATGCAATCACATAGAACAAGGCACAAGACAAACTATAAGACATATCGTAGTAAAAGAACGGAGCAAACACCTCGTAGGCTATATTAGTATGCGATTAAGCCCTCTTCAGGAGGTACGTGGCTCCCTCCTTCCCAACTATCCCGTTAGACTTCGAATGCTAAAGTAACGTATCAGAGCCCGTCCGGGTCATTGTCCGAGTCCGCAGTGGTTGTCTCCGTAGGGCACGCTCCCATCGCGATGGGTACAAAAATGGTGGCTCTTCAACCCACGCAACTGGACATACCGCTCTTTACGCTATCAAGCCAGCCATTAGACTAGACCAGGCTTTTATGTCAGGCAAGCGTATACATCCATAGCAAAGAGGCCTGTATAAAAAAATCTCATGTTCTTTTCTTCCTTCATTGTTCGCCGATGACACGGTTAGTGGAAGGCTTTGAAGAAACATTGTTCAGGTTAGGAAGGAAGCATTCACTTGCCAAATCTTTCATTTCTAGATTGCAGCGACTTAGCATTCACTCTAGACGTCGACCAGTGAAAGCACAAGACTTGGCAAAGATTTCCATCGTCTCGGAAACCTCCTCACTCACATCATTGTGCTATCTAAACTATATATTTGTCCTCGATCTTATCTTCAAAAGGCTTCCATCACAATCACACACCATTCTATCTACCACCCACATCACGGCACTCAGCACCAACCTTCGCTGGAGCACCACCTACAAAGTCAATTACCAAGTCAACTACCAAATCAACTACCACACTGCCAACCGATTCTCTCACCCACCATGTCCGTCCGCATTCCCACCGGCTCCAGGGCATTCATCGCAGACCACCTCACCAACCTCGATCCCAATAGTCCCGCAATGATCGAGGACTGCCCAATCTGCACCGAGGATATCAGCGTAAACCACCTCGCCGCTCAAGTCACCGGTATTGCCAATTGCCACCACGTCTTCGGCCGGCAATGCCTGATTGATTGGCTCCGAAGCGACAACCACAATAACAACAAATGCCCCATGCGTCGAACTAGGCTGTTCAGATGCAGGCGGCAGCCCAGAGCCGAACAGCCAGGCCAGGGACAACGCCGTATCGCATATAGAGATGCGGATACGATGACGACTGCGCAATCTGAGAGGCGCCTCCGTATTTACATGGCGAGCCGTCGCCGGTGGAGAGCCCGTAGATAGGGGAGTTCTGCTGCGGTGGCTGTACTGGCGAGAGGTTTTGCTTCGCCTAGACAGGCATTCGGAGATGATAGAGAGATGGTTTCTTTGGTTGCATGTATGAGCCTAAATAGGGACAGTCATTGGAAATCCTCTGGGCAGTCACTGAGTCACTGATTACGAGATTCCGTCTTCAGCGTGTCTTCAGCGTGTCTTCAGCAGCGTCTCTATCAAGCGCTCAGGGGGAAAACGAGTTTGAGATCTTAAACGATTTTGAAGCTACTACTAAGCACTGTAAAGATCGTAAGTGGAAATACACTATAATGTCATATGAATTGCCCCTAAATGAATGGCAAGTGATCTATTTCAAGCATCATCTCACCACAGAGCAGAAGAGTACGATTCCATTATCAATCTTGAGCTTGTCATACAGTCAAATCCCCACCACCTACTTCGTATCATGCCCCTGTTCAGCGTACTTCATCCTCAAAACTCTCCTCCGTACCTATGCAGTGATGCTATCTCATATGCCACCTCTAGCACGCCGCCTCGCGGCCGCCTCGCGCACTTGTAGCGTTACTGACAGTTCGAGGAGAGCAAAATTAGCACTTTCATCTTCCGAGGATGCATCTTAGCATTCCGAATCGTCTATTGTCGCAGGGAAAACCCCCTAGATAGGTTGCTTTCTGAGGCGATGCGTGACCTAGACCATCATTAAAACAGGCTCAAGTTGTAGTCAGAGCTGCTTGAGTAAGTGCAAGGTCCAACTAAGTTATGTATACCAAGCGTTACAAATCACTTCAGATATTCCATAGAGTATTTTGTGACTATAGGCAGGGCCTCTTGTTATGCTAATCGTACACCTCCCTCTCATCTGATCTTCTAACTAGCTAGATCGGCCGGGCTAACTCCTTAAAGCTTCCTCTTGTGGTCTTATACGAGCGCAGACGGCGATACAGGTAGGCCAGGCTTGATGGAACGAAGCCTTCATAAGGGGAGATTTAATTAGTTTCAGCATCCTCCTTAGCACGTAGACACGGCAGGTAGCAATATAAGAAATAGAAAGGCTGCATACCTACAGCTACGTGTACTGCTATATATACAGCTGCGCGTACCGCTATATATACAGCTGCGCGCCAGGCTATATATATAGCTGCGCGTATGTCTGTATATACGCCATCACGTACGCATTATATACGGCCTCTTATATAGCTAGATATACAGCCTTATATACAGTATCACGCACAGCATTCCATACAGATAAGTGAATTGGAAAGGATGCACGTGCGGACGCGCGTGATAATAGAGCTCCGGACCAAGTTCCGCGCCGCTCTAGCCAATTAGAAGATTAGATGAGAGGTGGGGTGTACGTGTAGCGAAAAGGGGGTGTACGATTAGTAGTCCCCCTTGTTCTGGTTATGGCGATAGGCACGCTCTAATAACTGTGACCCTTTTCCTTAGGCGTCCAAATTAATCCAGCGAGCGATCACTCACTCTAGATATCGACTATGGATACCACAAGGCTTGGCAAAGACATCGCAGCCTCCTCGCCGCTTCCGAACGCTCCTTATTCACATCGTGGTGCAACGTAAGCTATATGCACTCCATCTTGACTTCCAGAGTTTCCCATTACACCCACATATCATACCACCTACCATCCACTATAGAAATCGACACTTACTTCGCTATAACTTCACCTACTAAGCCACTTACCAAAAGCCTCATACACTATGTCCTTCAGAGGCCCGGTCGAAGACTGCTCGGAGTTCATCGAAAACTGTCTCACCAACATCAAGGGCAGCACTTCCGCGCTCCCAGACCACTGCCCAATCTGCCATGACCCATTTTCCGCTTCCCACCCAGCCGTCCAAGTTACCAACATCCCCAATTGCAACCACATATTCGGCCGCGACTATCTCGTCAACTGGCTCTCAGGCAACAACCGCAACAGCAACACGTGCCCGTTGTACCACACTACTCTGTACGGAGTTTCGCTGCAGCTCATTTATGAAGCGCTACGACGGATACAACGCCGGCTCGACGATTACAGCAGTGGCATAAGGCCTGCGCGATCAGAGGAGAAGCTGGCTAGAGCCGCACAGCAGGCCAGAGACGAATTGCGACAACAGGCGGACCTCATAGTTGCGAAACATCGTCGCACTGGCGGGACTCTACCCGTAACACCGGCGCGTTTCGAGGAGCTGGTCAGCGAACTACGCCACCAAGATGAGAAGAGAGCTCGACAGTATACAGAGGACCTCGACCGAGCGTACAGAAACCTAGAGCGGGAGGCAGGAGAGCTGAGGCGGTATATAGATGAGGTGGATGAAGCGAGGCAGAGGGAGGAATAGAGGGTTGAGATTTGATAGGTGTGCATGTGTTGGTGACGGGTTTGTCTTCCGTTTGATCGGTATAGACTGTCGATACAGGAATGCCTCTTTTTGCTGCGCTTAGAACCAGTTTAGACATGGATATTGGGATAATCTGGCCAGTCAGTGTCCACGGGACGCTGTCTTCTCGTCAGGTCAAGGTTTTCAGCGGCAGCTCTAGTCAACCTCTACATGAAAACAAGGTTCGAGGCACTGAAGCTTTGTTCGGGAACGCTCTAGAGTACTGCGAAGATCAACGACATGATTATAGACTAAGAAGGCATAGGAAATCTTACGTGCAGAGATCAGATGGGTATCAATCAGACGGCGGTGATGTGTTATTCTATTCTAACGTGACGTGATTAGGGGCATCATATAAAGTCGTCCAAATCCCAGTCAAAGCTGTCAAGAAAGTGCGAAGTCCTGAGTGATATGTATACACCATGCGTCAGAAGCTACCTGAGCTGCTTGACAGAGTAGTGGCCCCCTCCGACTCTATGGCTGAGAAGTATTCACGTGACCAGTACTAACCTATTTTGCCCTAGTTTCTTCAGCCTCAGCCTCCCTCCATCTGTTTTGTGATCCACATTGATTCTACACAATCAATAGGCAATCCCATAACGCCTTTCTAAAATGTGAAACAAGCTAGCAGATCCTAGGAGGATACTGCATTTCCACGGTGACAAGGGGTAGAAGCTCTAGCTGACTCCCAAGGTGACACTCGTCACCTCCATTCCCACAACGAAAGGCCCATTCAATCTCGTTGAATATGACGAACTAAAAATTACCAAGGCAGATGGGTCTAAGCTACCATGTCCAGACTGTTCAAGAGCAAATCTTACCCAGTCGCACCCCTCCCATCGCTTACCGTTGCCGGATATCGACTTCAGTCTCGTTGCCTTCTTTTACTTGGCACCAGTAAACATGCAGCTTCCAACATTCCAGTGTGAAGGCGAAACCTTGGAAATAAAACCGCTAGAACATGTGCTCATTCGGTAGTCCGGCAGTCCGACACTGTGTTAGGCTTGGTACAGAGCAGAGATGTATAAAGCTACAGTCCCCGTCTCTTTGATCCTCCAGATCGATCCTATTTGCCTCACAAGGAAGAAGAGCACTCTATTCTAACCAATTAGACGGAGTTTCAAGCATTTGATTTTTCATCCCCCAACGTTTTACGGCAAAATCCACAGCCAAAGATATGTCAAGCCATAATTTCCCATTCCTACCAGACATGTCAAATACATTCGAGCCAGTAGACGAGGAGATTGTATCGCCCGAAGCTGCTGCTCGTAAAGGTGGAGCTGCTGCTCGTAGAGGTGGGGCTGCTGCTCGTAGAGGTGGGGCTGCTGCTCGTAGAGGTGGGACTGCTGCTCGTAGAGGTCAAAGTAAGTCGTTCGCCCTTATGAAGTTATCCGTCGCAATATACTGATGAGTATACACCCCAGCTCCAGGCGGATCCGCTTTAGACCTAGCAGCTGTCGATTTCGCAGCTGTGCTTGCGTCCAACAGACCAGTATTGGCCATGTTCAACAGTCAGGGACAGTTGCATTACGACTCGTCTTCTCAAACCACTTCCAATGGAAACGCGCCACACGTTCTCATGTTCGACTCAGATGTCCAAGTGAACGTTGGTAGTACCAACCCTTTCTCCCAGAATCGCGCTCGAGCGGCTCGCCCACTTCCCGCTGCGCAACCAACCGCTCAACCCATTCCATACTCGATGAGTGGTCCTCAGTTCGACGCTTCATTTCCCGCTTTTTCATCGTCCGCTCCACCTCAGCAACCCAACGTCTACTCCGGAGCAGAAGCTTCGTGGAGCACGATGGAACCCGCAATGTCTTACCAACAACTAAACCTCTCCACCAAACCAGAGCCAATGTGGGGCCAAACAAAAAACAAGGCATCTTACCAACCACCAGACGTCTTGTCCGGACTAGGAACTGCGTGGGACGCAACGGGAAACGCGGCATTTTACCAACAATCAGATCTTTCCCCCGGACCAGGAACTTCGTGGGGCAAAGCAGGAAGCGCGCCATCTTACCAAGTCCCTACTTTCGATGTCTCAAATTCATGTGATCACAACTTGGGTATTTGCACTGGATTCTGTGCCTCATTTCTTTGACCGAATCCATGTTTTCCGAGTTTGATATCTCACGGGCGGCGACAGGCAGTCACCCACGATAAAGCTGCTTCGGTGCCTGGCCTGCAAGGAGAAACGGGATCCGACAGTTGCGCCGATTTACTTCAGAAAGCTTTGTCCTACATTCAAAAAATTGCTTTAGACGGGGTTATATTTGCATTTGGGGACTAGATGTTTACGAAATATGGGCGTGCTCTTCTAGATTTTCTTTTCATCTGTCATTAGGAAGGAGTTCGATTTGGAGGTTGACTTTTATAAATCCAATATGCTTTGGAAGCATCTCATCCCATCATTAGCGTATAACATGATTCCCAAGGCCATATTTGATGATGTGGACCCACGTTGGCATATACCTCGTGAATGTACTTACACCTGCACAGCCAAAAGAAGAAGCTTAATAGCCCTCCGCATGCGCCCTCAAATCCGCTTCGGATCCGGCCGCGTCTTCCTCTTTGCACAGCGTCCATCAAGCCCTCATCTATACTTCCTTAACCTTCTCCCTAGTGCTCCCTTCAAGAGCCTCTTGTAGAGGTACGACTGGGACCTCGGAAAGCCACAGAAAAATCATCGCTTGTGCGTTGATACCGTGAAGCCGCATGCCGTGGTGCCACCTTCTCCACTTCTTGCGAATCGTCAAGTTCGAGAGAGTTCACGCGTAGTAGAACTTCACGAGATCCTCTTCAGGCTTCCCCATCTCCCACAACGCTGAAACCCCTCATCACCAATCAACCCTCGCAAGCATCCTCCCACTCTAGCAGTGTTGAGATGCTTCAAAAGCACCGGCTGATAGTCCCGCGCTCCGAGCAAACCTTGCGAACTCCCCCTCGCCTTCCAAAAGATATCATTCCGCGTCACAAAGCGTTGCTTCTCACCATCACTGCAGACGGTCGCATCAGCTCCACCCAACCAGCCAACCACCCCCCATGAATCAGGCGGTCACACCGTTTTTGAGGTCGCGCGCCGGTCTTTGGCCCATAGCCTGTTTGCTGCTGCTGTTTTAATCCAACACCACTCCACTCATCAAGCAGCAGAACGCCCTTTTGATTCACCGACTACTCCACCCGATGGGCACGTCGACGGATAGCTGTTGATCCCCACACCAACCTCCACCTCCCATACGGCAGTGCCATGTCGGATTTCCTTTTTACACCCGTTCTCAGTCGAACACCGCTGAGGAGATAAGAGGTTTGAGAACGACCGGCTTTATAGTCGGAGGAAGAAGAAAAGAAGATTAGTCAGCAGAAAAGTAACGTGATCAATACCGGGGACATGTGATTCGGCAAAGGACCGAAGAAAATGGAAACGAGCGGGAGAAGACGTAGCGAAATAAACACTTAAAGTCTAGACAGAACGTCAAGTATACTGCGCGATACTATCGACACTCCCCCTAAATCTCCCCAATCCCCCCACTCTCCTCCTTCTCCCGCTTTGCAATATCCTCCACATTAATCACCGTTCCATTCCGCATACTCGCCTCCAGCTCCTTCTTCGTGACCCGGCACCTCGCGCTGTACTGGCACGTCCCCCTACAGTTATTCCAGAAGCTCTCCTGCACGCACGTGCTCCCCAGCAACTCGACGATCAGCACGACCCAGACCAGCCCCGTCGTCGTGGCGATCAGCTCGAGCGAGTTGAGACCGTCCGCTAGCGGGAGGCAGATTAGGATGATGGCGACGGCGAAGCGGACGGCGAGCCGCTTGTTCTTCAGTAAGCGTTGATTTGGGATGGTTTTGTAGACGTGCGTCTTGGAGATGACGCCCATGCAGGCGAGGGCGATGCCGAGGCCGGCGCAGTAGAACCAGCGCTGGCCGTTGCTGATGTCCGCCTCCGAGCGCGGGAGGTAGGTCTCGTAGAGGGTTTCGGGGTCGGAGTCCGGGGTGTCGTGGGCGAGCACGAGCTTGCTCAGGGCAGCGGACGAGATGACGAAGGACATGATGAAGGGGAGGTGGATGCTCATCCAAGTCAGCGCGCTGAAGACGTGCCGCCGGATGGCGTGGGTGTGTAGATTGAAGCTGTCGATTTCGAAGTAGAGCCAGTTGAAGGCGAAGGCTTGGAGGAGGCCGAGGACGGCTTTGCCGAAGAAGGCGTTGATCCCGAAGGCGGCATTGTTCTCGTAGAGGAGGCCGACGACGGAGTAGCCGAAGACGAGGGTGACAAAGGCGCCGGTGCGTTCGATTTTATGCTCGATGTTGGCGCCTGGGAAGAACTCGAAGCGCTTCTTTGTCCATTCGAGGAGGCGGGGGCTGAAGTTTAGCCAGGCGCCGCCGCGCTGGAAGGCTACAACTATGCTGGCGCCGAAGAGGTCGAGGAAGATGGCGATCCAGATGAGAGCCTGCCGGTTGGGCTCTTCGACGTGGATGCTACCGATCCAAATAATTGAGGGGACGACTAGACTAATGGCATTGGCTATCTACCGAACTATTAGGCTGGTCTCTCACTACTTGAAAATATATGCTTACCATTGCAGCTCGGACCATCGGAATCACATAGCCATGCCACACGTAAGCGCATGCCATGAACAGCCTAGCTGCGAGGTAGAAGCCGATGAGAGAGGCATACGTCTCTTCCATGAAGTCTGCCATGTTAGTGGTGAAACCGAGTAGACCTGTATTATGGTAAGTATATAAGCACCCAACACGATCGGCGATGATACACTAGAGTCGGGAATAAAAGTACTTACAGGTAAGAACCCATATTACGGCGAACCTCCGGAGTATATCATCGGAATCGAACCAGGCAATGAGAACCGAGATATCAGACCAGAACTTCCACCCCAAGATGAATGTAATGGCAAACTTGAGGAGAGACTGGCCGGTCGCGTGCTCGGCAGCATTATCACCGGAGATGGCAATGATGCCGACGTAGAGGAGATCCACGAAGAGTTCATAGCTGGCTACCTCCTGGGATTCCTGGGCACGCCAGAGTAGGCCTTTGTGGAAATATTGCCGGACAATTGGCTTCTTGTAGAAACTGCATCGTAGCGTAAGAATTTTTACCTTGATACCGAAAAGCGGAGATCGGAAATACCTCATGATTTGCCCATGACCCTTTTCTGCGTCCCAGTCCGCTTTTGATTCATGCAGACTACTTGCTCCATCGCCGTACGTGGAGTTGTTCGATGAGCCTTCGGGGCTTTCCCTTGTCCCTTTTCGATACATCAGAGCGTGCACTAGGAATGAAGCGGCCAAAAGCAAAGATGAAGGAAAAGGAAACAGAAGAGGAGAGCAATTAAGAATCACATCAGCGTGTTCATTGAAACCCTTTAGAAGTACGAGAGAAGTAAAGAACTCACTCAAATGCGCCGAATACCCATACTTCGAAAAATTCGCATCCAACTGCACCGCATGCCGCGAAACCGCATGCAGCTCCTCCGAAAGCGTATCAAGTTCCCGAATCACGCGTTCAAACTCATCGACAATATCTCCTATCACCAAATCAGCAACCACCCTCAACTACAACAAAAAACAAAACAAACTAAACGATAAACCCACCATGCTCCTCCCTCATCCGTCTCTGCTTCCCCTCCGTCCACTGCTGACTATCCCTCAGCGCCTCAATATGCTCCTCGGTCCCATGGATCACCAGATCAAACGTCCCCTCCTTCTCGCTAACACTCAGCGTGCGCTTCAGCTTCTCCGCTTCGTCGGGCGAACCCGCAATGTGCACTCGCCGCCCATCAGGCCTGAGAAAGTGCCGCAGCCGCCGGCCCGTGTGATGGAGATGGTGATGATGCTGGTGTTGATTTTGATGCGAGACAGCCGTGGGCGCGACGGAGACGCTATCGCCGGGGGTGGGCGTGGCCGCCATATTGCCCGAAAACGAGATTGAGATATACAGATGGGAAACGGGTAGAGTAACAGGACGAGCTGTCCAGCTCGTTCCCCTTCACCGCAGTTCTACGTGAAAATAACACCTCTCTTCTCCGCCGCGTCACCGGTTACCTAGCCCTAGCGAACCTTCGCGAAAGAAAAAGGCGAAAGAAAAAAGAAACTCGCAGTCACGACACCTTGGCGTATCTATCTCGCGGACAGGGCAGGGCGCTCTTCCGCCTCATAAAAACCCCCTCCGCCCAGATCTCCGCTCGATCGGGCCAGCTGAAAGAAGCGTGGCTGGCCTTGGCGGGGTGCGTTTATTGGAGAAGTGAAGACCAAGGGACCCGCCCGCGCATGAATAAGCATGACTGCTAGTGCCGCGGTGGGCTAGGTATATTACAAAGAAGCTCGGCGGCGCTTGGGGGTTTGTTACGCGCGTGGGGGTAGCCGGGTCTGGGATTCGAGGGGAGGGGCGAATGGCGAGTGGCGGATCTTTGTAAGGTTGGCGTAATGGGTTTTAAAGTACGGGATGGTGATTTTTTGGGCTAAGGGGCCTGGGAGGGGAGGGCTAGTGAGGCCTAAGGCAGTGAGCGGGAGAGATCGGTTTCTGAGCCAGAAAGGTACCATAGTAGTTATGTTATTTGCAAGTGTAGATCTCGCGAGTAGCTTAAAAAGATCATTGTGGGTTCACGAGCATTTGACAAGCCGATAGCGTGGCCGTGTAGATATTAAGCGCCTTCCTTCAACCCTTGATATTCATGGTGGTAGGATATATCTGTGAAACAGGAAAGGAAAAGCCCCTCAGGTTCATGTGATTACCGACAAACTCCCATTTGCCAACCCGTCTATCAATACTTAGAACCAACAGCTTGAACGAACATGCGAGAAAATGCAACTACACTCAACGAAATAACAGTGTAGCTCTGCTGTTATCTCAGTAGATCGAATGTAGACTAAGACATCCAAACGCCCCTTTAGTGTTTTGCGGTGACCTTGTCACCAGTGAGCTTCTCAACAGCATCCTTGGCACTGTTCATCCGTTAGCTATGCTCTCCCCTCGAGATAATGATAGAAACTTACACATCGCCCAAAGCAACCATGCAGACCGTTTGCCAAACGCCGAGAGCAATTCTAGGAGTAACGCCACGATACAAGCCCTTCATGCCGTTGTTGCTGTAGATATACTTCGCCGCCGAGCTGACGGTCAGCTTCTTCGGCCGGTTGGGGTCGACGGTCTTGCTCTGCATCTCCACGCGGATGACCTCGATAGGCTGGTTCCAAGCACTGAGGCCACCACCCACGGCGCTAGCAAGAATCTTCTCCCAAACGCCCAGCTTCTCCGTGTCGCCCTTGCCAGTGATCTTTCGGATACCGTTCTCAGCGACACGTGAAAGACCAAAGCGGGAACCCCAGTTCGTGACCTGGCGGACCGCAACAGCGTTGACACCCTTGTTGATACCGCGGATACCCTCGGCGCGGTAGATGCCCATGAAGGTCTGAAGCGTTCCCGGCGGCTTCTGGCCCGAGGCCGCGACCTTGTGCTTGGTGATCTCCACCGTCTTCATGCAGGTGCAGAAGCCCATTGTTGCGTAGGCCTGGGCAAGACCGCCTGTCATGCCTCCAGTTATCCCGGCGACGAAATCGGGGGCACCGAAGCTTTTGGCGTAGAACTCGGCTTCCGAGGCGACGAAGAGGAGGACGGCGCCTTTGGTCGAGGCTTCAATCCACGCCCAGGGGATAAGACCTTGGTAGACTGTAATCCAGATATTAGCACACGCTCGGTATCGCCTCCAAGTTTTGCGGCCGGGAAACTTACATCCAAGCACCCCTCCACGACTCCAGATTCTCGCAATAGCTCCGGCCATGCCGTCAGCCCGGTTTGCAGCCATCGTCGTCTTGGTCACTTCCAACGGCTGTCATCCCAAGTCAGCTATCTTATCCTCCCAAAACGACTCGAAATCCAGGAAATTTACCTGTCCCAAAGTTGTCACTCTGCAAAAGACGTATTAGCGCTTGCTCTTCTCTTGCGTAGCTTATCGCGCTGTCACTTACTCGAACATGTTCAATCCAGCTCCGACTGCCCTCAAAAAGCACCGGTTAGCTCCAAACTCCCTCAACGGCGATTTTCGGGGGCAGACTCACGCAACAGATTGCTGAACTTGACGGGCTTCTTCTCCAGCTTCTGCGGCGCAGAAGCCGTTCCGGCTATGGGCGCGGATGCGGACATAATCTGTAGAGGTGGAGGTTGCGTACGGGGCCCTGACCAAGGGAGTTGGGTGCTTCTTCGCGGGGAGGAAAAGTGAAAGCTGGAGATAGAGGGATCGGAGCGAACGGACGGGGGCGAGACGGTTTTGTGAGAACCGGGCTGTCAGCGTCGGGGTTCGTGGCTGGAGCTTAGGGACTCGAGTTCGGGAGGTTTGGTTGAAGACGCGGCGGATATGATTGCTTATGGTGACCTTGCCTTGGCAGAATTTGTGAACGTCCTCCGAGGCCGGCGTCGGGCTAAGTTCCACGGTTGAGGTTGGGCCTGGCTTGTGACAGGCCGTTGAATCTAGCAATTCGCGGCGATTCCATCCTCACGAATGAATGGCTTCAATTTCTGCAATACAATTCACTTTTTCATGCATGAGTCTCCCTCAGTGTGACACCAAAACCCCGGCGCCTAAACCTCCCGAACCATTTTCCAATATTTGTTGAGGCTTTCACACCTTCGGGTCCCCAAAGAAACTCAGCTCGCGCATCATTCACGGGCTCGACTGCGCCCGTCTCACACCGCCGCCGGACAATCCACTGCACGCCCACGCTTTTTCTGAGCCCGCGCAATCTGCAGCCCGCGTCTTTGAGGAGCAACAAGGGCTCCACTTCGGTCACCGTACCACGATCCAGGAACAGAGTCCGATCGGCTTTTGCTAGGCCGGCGATCTCCGCGCAGCAGTCCTGCCGCTCTCTGATTGGAGAACTATTCACCATATTTCGATGCCTTATTCACATGTGCAGGCCAGGCAGATGGTATCATGGAGAGAGTAGACATTTCAAGCACCCGCTAAACGACGGTAATATTACAAGTTGCACCCTAACCAAACCAAAGGCAGGAAGAAAAGCCATACCTGCTGTCCTTGCCGGGTCCTGGATGCTCCCTATTCTATCAGTACACAGAAGTCGTTTCAGTCTTAACCACCTCCACATGTCTCCTGCACCTGTTTCGCTCCATATACGTGGAACGATTTATAGCGTTGCGCCGACCAGTTTCGCGTATGCCTCGGTGCTGAACGACTTGGGTCGCTCGATGGGAGCGCCAACGGCACGGTCAATGATGAGTTGAGGAAGGACACCGATCGCGCGGGAGACACCGAAGAGGACGGTGTAGAAGTTCTGCTCAGTGAGGCCGTAGTATTGGAGGAGGACACCGGAGTGCGCATCGACGTTGGGGTAGGGGTTCTTGGTCTAACGCATAGATTTAGCAATTTGATAAAAGAAGTTAGTAAGCGCAACGCACCTTTCCGTGCTCAGTGAGGACACCAGGGGCAATCTTGTAGACCTGGCTGACAAGCTTGAACATTGGGTCATCGGGAAGATGCTTTTGTGCAAATTCGCGCTGGGAAACGTAGCGGGGGTCGGTCTTTCGTAGCACGGCGTGGCCATAACCTGGGACGACTTGGCCAGCCTTGAGGGTAGACCACAGGTAGTCAGTGATGGCCTGGTCGCTCAAGTCGTTGCCGATGGCCTTCTTCATCTTGGTTAGCCAGCTAAGTACTTCCTGGTTGGCCCTATCACGTGTTAGCGAGTCTCTCAGCACCAGATTAAAATACACTCACAACCCGTGTAGGGGACCGGCGAGACCGTTGAGACCAGCAGACAGGGACAGCATAGGCGAAGAGAGGGCGCTTCCAACCAAGTGGGTAGTATGCGCGCTGACGTTTCCACCCTCGTGGTCGGAGTGGATGGTCAGGTAGAGTCTCATCAGCTCAACGAAGTCGCTGTTCTCAGCAAAGCCGAGCTGGTTGGCCAGGTTGTAACCATAGTCCTTGTCCTTCTGGACGGGCGCAACCTTGCCATCCTTGTAAACGTTGCGGTAGATCTTTGCGGCGATGGTGGGGAGCTTGGCAATCAAGTCCATCGAGTCCTCGAAGGTATGTTGCCAGTATTCCGCCTTCTTCATACCCTTTGCGTATGCCTTGGCGAAGGAAGACTCATGCTCGAGAGCAGTGACGGCCAAAGAGAACTGGGCCATTGGGTGGAGGTCGCTAGGGCAGCGGTCGATGATCTCCTCAATGAACTTGGGGACAGCGGAGCGGGCAGCCCACTCAGCAGAGAGATCGCGGACCTGTTGCTCTGATGGCACCTCGCCAGTCAAGAGAAGCCAGAAAAGACCTGGGATTGTTAGCAATGGCCGTGAAAGCACTCAATTGCTATTTACCTTCTGGCAGCGGCTCAGAGCCACCGGGGGCCTTTGGTAGGACTTCCTGGCATTGTGGAATCTACGTTTGGTCAGTACCTCAGATCTTCAGGTAATTTTGGGGGCGACTGACGGTCTTTCCACGGAATCGGATACCCTCCTCAGAATCTAGGACAGATCCCTACCAATTGTAAGCTTATCTCTTCCCATCGACTTGCGCACATGCGAGCGGCAACCAACCTCCCAGACAAGCGACTTGATGCCGCGAGCACCGCCATAGACCTGGTCGAGAGTGACCTCCCCGATCACTGTGTTGCCGTGTTCCCTATCGTGCGAAATTAGTGGGGAGGCCGCGGATGTCCCGGAGTATTTGCAATTCTCACTTGCGGAGCTTTTTGATCTTTTCGATCTCTTCTGGCAGCTTCGCAGCGAAGGTCTCCTTGAGGGACTACAGGATGTACAATTAGCCTCGGACTCGATTCGACAAAGTGCGATCTGGTGCTAGCTCACCGCTGATTTGCTTGTGGAGTAGTTGCGGAAGCCATTGAAGGCGGCGGCGGATCTCCAGGGAGCAGAGGCCGACGCCGTCAACGACGAACGGAAGGCCGTGGAGGACAATCGGAGGGCGGAGGCCATGGCTGATGTGGTGGACGAGGAGTGGGTTGAGGTGGTGAGGGCGAGCAGAGAGTGTAAGAATGACAGAGTGGAGAAAAAAAGAAAGCTTGGTTGAGTCGGTCCCAGCTGTCCCGTTGAGGATCGGCCACGAAAAACGACCCTGGTCAGGCTTTGCGCCGCCGGACTTGTTGACGTCGGCACGGCGGGCGGGATATGACGCGGGTCTCCAACCGCCTGCAGCAGTGTGAATGTCTCAGCCCGGCCAGTAAGATCGTCGCTATAATGTTCGGTGTGCGAAAGGCGCCCAAGACTGATCTTTACATGTCTTTCCGTCCCACCAGAGTTGAGATATCACTATTCTACTACTTATCTACTAACAACGCCCTTCCATTCCCTACAGAGCGTCCCGAGGTACAGTCGGCTACTGACCATCTCGGAATCCAAAGAGGCCATGCGATTGGACAAAAGACGTCGGATGGAAGGATTATCCCTACGATTCGTCTAGAATCAGCCTGGAGTTCGGGCACTCAGCTTGGCAAGGCCATGGAAGATGCGAATGGGGTGATTTGGAGGTGAATGGCTGCGTTCCAGTTCGATCGAGTATTGACATAGAGTGGTTGTCGACGAGTTGGAGTCTCGTCCACGTGCATTTTATTCTCTGAGACCCGCACAAATCGCGAAATTGCATCTACAATGCCTCGTCATAGAAATCCGCACACTCTTTTGCCGCTGTAATATGAAGAGCTTCATAGTATTTTCTACATTCGGAATAAGAGAAAACTTCTGCACTCTGAACAACTAGTAAACTCATGAGACTAGCCCAGACAGCGTCAACAGGGTGTACGCAGATTGAAAGTGTATTTGCTCCGTTAGAACGTGGAAGCCCAATAGTTAGACAGTGAGGCAGGTGTACGGATTTCTGCGACGATGCATTGTAAGCTACCGCTGTAATGAGACTCTGCCAACCACGAACCCCTCTGTACAGCACCTCTTTACGTCCGGTGGTCACTCTCTAATATCAAGCCACAGACTTACCGTATAAGGGAGCAACTCCGGACGCCTTTAGGGAATAGCAACGTTCTAGCCAATAAATCCTCAAGCCGGTTGAGTACTAGCCCAGAAAAGAGGTATACCAGGATGGACTCAGTTTGGCGCTATGTTCACCGCACGTGAAGAGATGCTGTAGTCAGCTAGCACGCTGCACCCCATGCAGCAGCATGGCTTCGGCGCTTGAAGCATGCTCGTGAATGTGATGGAGATGCTAGTGGGCCAATCACGGCGCGCATCCCCTTTCGCTCTAGCCAGGCTTGGCGTGAGCCAGGACCTTTCTACAACTGGCGCGGAGCGGTTGTCTTCGACGAACACGACAGCATCTCCTGAGTAGCCATCGCCACACCCTCTCTCGCATTTCACTCTCAATAGCTCTAGTCCGCGCCGTGACTGTCGCGACTGCCGCGACTGCTTCACTTCACCAGTATTGTAAATCGTGACGCGCTCGGGCTTTCCTCAGCTCGCGGACTTCCTCTTGCAGTCCAGTCCGTCTCCTTGGCTGAAGTATCATCAGCGCCAGCTCTCCCAGTCACACCGTACAACCTAGACCTTTCCACTTCAGATTGAGACTCGGTCGTATTCGCGCCCACAGGGTCCATGTGTTTGCCCCGATCTTCTTCCATCTGCAGTTGACCTTCTTAGAGACTCTGCCGTCCTCGTAGCCGCTCCAGCTCTTGCAGACGAAACGAGCTGAGCTTACTCTAGCCGTCACCGTCGAAGCAGAAAACTTTTCCTTGACTCTCAGAGACGTTCTCACTACAGCGCAACAACAGGGAAAGTCGGGAAATACCTTCCGCTGGTCTTGCAGTAGCCATGCCGCCGCCCATGGAGGAGCTTGAATCTTTGCTGCAATCTCTACAGGCTCTGAAACCGCCTGGAGCAACAAAACCGAAGATTGACGCCATCACCTCACTCTCCATCAACAACATCCGGGTATGGCCTGGCGATCTTCTTGCGCTATTGCGCCTCGTTCTGAGCATTGGCTAACCGCGAGTCACTGCAGGCCGCCTCGACCATTGTCCAAAAGATCAACACCCAATTCCAGAATAGCCCTATCACCCACAAGCTTGGGGTGCTCTATGTTGTAGACTCCGTGACCCGACAATGGGTGGAGATGATTCGCAAATCCGGACAAGCATTCACTCACAATGCCACCGAAGGAACATATGCGTTTGGGGTCCAGAGGATGTCGGACACGCTTCCCTTGATGATGAAGCCGTTGATCGAGTCTGCGCCAGACAACCAAAAGGAAAAGATTGTGAAACTAGTTGATATCTGGGAGAAGAGCCAGACCTTTCCGCTTCAAATGCTTACCAGCTTCAGGGAGCAGTTGAAGACACCAAAAACAGGTAAGGCGCTAAGAAACACAATGTGCACGGTAACGCTAGCATTTCCTCTTCGTCTGATTCTAACTCTTTCCCTCTGTAGTTCCTCCTCCATACAAGCCACCAGGAGAAACCTCAACGAACAACCCAGGATCCGCTGCGCCAATTCCAGCTCAGGCTGCGCCCAGCAACGGCCAAGCAGCTGCTCCGAGACCTGATGTGAATGCTGCTCTTGCTGCGCTAGTCAATGTTCTCAACCCGGCAGCCCCTCAGCCTATATATCCTGCTCAGCCTCAGTATGGCACAAATGGACATGCCCCTGGGCCTGGTAGTCATTATGCGCCTCCTGTCAATTCTTCTGCTGCTCCTGTTTTCCAGACAGCGCTGGGTATGCCTGTTCCCAGTGATTTGATGACGCAGTTGTTCCAAGCTGTGACGCAAGGGACAATACGACCAGAACAGGCCACTCAGATCATAGAAATGGTGCAAAACTCTGCTACTGCCGCACCAGCCCAGCCCTCTATTCCGACTCGGACTGAGGAAGCCTATCAGAATGGTCAAGGCAATGGCCATCAGCAAGAGCATTCGGGTAATCAAGCGCATGATCCAAGACCGGGCGGACAGAACGCCCCCAATGTTCAACAAGGTCTCTATCGTGACCGTAGTCAGTCCCCGCCGCGTCGCCGCGTAAGTCCATCACATAGGAGAGGAAGCCCTCCGCAGCGGCGAGATAGTCCAACATATGGCGTATACGACCCATCGTCTATTTCTCAAGCTAATAACGGAGGTCGACAGCAGCACAGCGATCGCGGTCGTGGGCGTGGTAAACGCCAACGTACTCCACCGGGTCAGCGCCGTCAGCAGAGCCCAACGGTGAAGGGCCCTTCTCGTGGTCCCCAAGCCAAGTTCGTCGAATATGACGATTCTCTGCCTAGAGATTGTATTCGGGTTCTTAGCCGAACTCTATTTGTCGGAGGGGCGACGTAAGTGGGCTCAATTGTCTTTTTTTTCCTAAACAGTCTCTTCGGAAACTAACAAGCGTCAAGTGGTACCGAACGTGAGCTACGTGACATCTTTGGCATGTTTGGCAAAGTCCAAACTTGTATTGTCAATCATGACAAGCGGCATGCATTTGTCAAGATGGTTAACCGGCATGATTCACTTGCCGCTAGAGAGGGCATGGAGCGATCCGAAAAATCTCATGATCCTAGCATCTCAGCAAAAGCCCGACAAGTAAGTTTTCTTTACCGACCAAGACTGGTAGGAGACTTACCTTCTGTTAGACACGATGGGGTGTTGGCTTCGGCCCACGTGACTGCGCCGACTACCATACCGGCATCAGCATCATCCCAATCAATCGACTGACCGAGGCTGATCACAAATGGGCTATGACTGCGGAGTACGGCGGTACCGGTGGTATTCCGGTTGCGCCCGGCATGGTCTTCGAAGAGCCCGACATCGAGATTGGCGCTGGAGTTTCGTCGAAAGGTATGCTCATTGCTAGCCTAAGGATATCCAATACTGACATCCTGAAGCCATCAGCCGTCGTATCGTTCCTGAGACGACGGGAACTAGACGTGGAGGCTTCGGAGTAGTGAATGTTACTCCCCGAGCCGCCGAGCCGCCTAACCCACCACCTCGGTATCGTAAGCCAGATCGACCTGAACCGCGACGTGCATCTCCCAGACTTGAGGCTATCACTGGTGTCCCCCCCCCTGTTCCAGGCTTTGGCTTCCAGATTCCTGGCATGCGTTCTAACTACTAGGTGTCTATAATGAGACTTGTAGGCCCTGTCTTCCAAAAACATAACCCAAAGGCATCATAATGTCTTCGATATCCGGGAGTAGACCACCTTTAAAAGTATGGCCGGAATGCCATTTCGCTAGGTGGAAGAAAAAAGTTACTGCTTTCTATGAAGCTTTCCCTGGCGCCCAAAAATTGGACTTCTAACTTTCTAACGTGCTATCAAAGCCGTTCCGGCAGCACAGGTGTTGGTGGATCTTTTCCTCTTGTACTTCAGCATCGGAGGCAACCTCTTGCATAGTTTGCGCGGATCGGTGGTATTTCCCTCGGATTCTCGCTGCAAGCGGTGCATAGCGTGGCGTTTGGGTTTGACGACTCTTCAAGTGCTGCGGTCCTACTCTAATACCTTCGAGGTGCTTGCAATGGACCTGCCTGGCAATAACTCTTCCTTTCTGTACCAATATGTTTCAGTAGTACTCCTCCGGTATGCATCCTGGGAGCTTCAAAAAAATGCATGCTTTTCAGTAACCAATCCAAACTTGAGTGAAGGGCTATCATTCATCGTGATTTGACCCATCCAAGAGCCGGAGATCTATCTATTTTCTCCCATATATGCAACCAGCCATGCAAACCACCAACCATGCAAAGCGTCATCCCCCCCTCCCCTAATTCTCCTCCCAATCCAAGCCAAACCGCCCCTCGACATTCACATACTCCCGCAAGCACACAACCACCTCCTCCGCGCTCAACGCCTCAACCATAATCCCCGCGCAGTCCCGCTTGATGAACCCCTCGCCCACGGCCTTCTGCACCCACCCGACCAGCCCGTCCCAGAAGCCCTCGACGTTGTAGATGACCACCGGCATCGCGTGGATCCCCAGCTGGTTCCACGTCGTCACCTCCATCAGCTCCTCCAGCGTGCCGTAGCCGCCGCTCAGCGCGACGAAGCCGCCGCCCGCCCCGCCGCGCACGACGGCTTCGGCCATGAGGCGCTTGCGCGTGTGCATGTCTTTTACGATGGCGGTGTGGCCTAAGAGGGAGGTGGGGGAGGGGCTTTGTTGCTCGTGTTTTACGAGGGCGGCGGGGATGATGCCGAGGACGGAGGAGGAGCCTGAGAGGGAGACGAGGGTGCGCGCGACTTCGCCCATCAGGCCGGTGGTGCCGCCGCCGTAGACGAGGGAGAGCTCGTGGGTGGCCATGGCGTGCGCGAGGGCGCGGGCGGCGGCGAGGTGGGTGGGGGAGGAGCCGGGGTTGGCGCCGCAGCTGGAGGGAGGGAGGGAGGGTTAGTGGGGTGGAGGTATAGGGGATTGTATGGGGTTGGGAGTGGGAACTGGGGAATGGGGAATGGGGAATGGGCTTGTGTGAAGGGTGGGGAGCAATTGGTAGAGTGTTGAGGGCGGGGAGTGTATCGAGGGAGATGTTTCAGTGAGCTGGAAGTAATGAATACTTACAAGACGCAAACTACAGGGCCTTTGAGCTTGGGTATAGCGTCGGCTGGGGTGAGTGCCGTGGTAGTGGAAGCCATGATGGTGGTGGTGAGAAGAGAGTGTTTGGTTGTAGAAATATTCTAGGGTGTGCGGGCTGTAGAGGTTTAACTTCAACTGCTCACCAACACTTCAAACGGGAGAATGAAAGCGACAGTATTTATAGGGAGATTGCCTCGATATAACCCTTCGAATCCTTCAGCGATTGACTCACTATTGTATAGTGACTGTCGGCGTGCTCCGAAAATACAGAAATGTGTTGTTGTGGTGCCCCCACTCTGTATCTAAGATGTTGCGTCAGATGCCGCTTGTCCTAATTCACTTTAGCAATCCCATATTTCCTACAGGGTCCCGCTTACCTCCGTCCGTTGTCACCACCACCTGTTTGATATCTTCCTACGGTATATCCTGTTACACTGTCACGATGCCCGAACCCGAGCAAGAAGCCCAGCAGGGCGGTGGAGTAAGTGCCCTCGATGACCAATGCGCTCCTAACAGCAGTTTTCCACGGCTAGGTACTGACACTGCTTTAGATGATGCGCAATGTGCTCCAGAGCATCGGTATCTTCCTCTTAGTCCAGTTTGCTCTGAAGCAATTCGGAGGTATCGGAGGCGCGTCGCCGGCTACTATGACTCCGGGTGACGACGTCTCGAAGGGCAGCGTGGCGCCAGGTCCCAATGCCAACGTACCTATCCCCGCATACTCGATGCGTCCCGACCATATCGATCCGGCTGTGCCATGGAACCCTGTGCCGCAAGCTGTTGCGCCGATTTGGCCTGAGCCAACCGAGCTGGATATATTGATGTACATCTCGCCGTCGTTGATTATGCCGTCGCTGAAGAACATGCCCGAGGAATCGCTCCTCATTGAAGAGAAGGGATTCAAGTTTGGTGACTATAACGAGAAGCGGGAGGTCAATACCGAGTTCCCGGTCCCGAAGGAGGTTCAGAACAACGGAACACTGTTTGCGCACTTCTATGTTGGCCAGTCGGGTAGTGTGCTGGATCCTACCGCACCAAACTATGACAATTCGAAGGCATACCATTTCTACCGGTCCTTGACCCAATACCTCCCGAAGAAGAAGGTCAAAAAGACGCGCAACTTGCTTGCTAGCGCAAATGAGACTGCCGAACAGGACATCGAGGATGCGGCTCCGAAGACCATTGCCTCGTACTACCATTCCAACTTCACGATATCTTTGATTCCGGATGGCGGTGTGCAGAACTACCCAGTTTTGCATCCAGGTGTGCGACAGTATATTACACTTGAACAGACAGGGGCTAGAGACTCGACTGGTCAGAATGGCTGGTACTATCCCATTGTCTTTACCAACACCTTCTGGCAGCTTAAGAAGCATATGACGGAGCTCAATTCGACCGTTACTACACTTCCGTTGAACGTGCACCTGAACCATCTCGCCAACTGGAAGTTCTCCATCATAGCTGCCATGGATGAGGGCTTGAAGGCACAGGCGGCCGCTGCGGCATCAGGCCAGGCTGCCCCAACTGGCGGCGACGGATCTGAAATGGAAATGTTCAAAGAAATCCTCCTCGACAGTAACTCGTACCTCCTCGGCCTTACCTTCTTCGTCAGTATTCTCCACATGATCTTCGAAATGCTTGCCTTCAAGAGCGACGTTTCCCATTGGCGCAAGAAGAAGGACAACGTGGGAACCTCGGTGCGCACTATCCTCGCGAACGTCTTCATGCAGAGCATCATCTTCCTCTACCTCATGGACAACAACGACAACACATCGTGGATGATCCTCTTCGGTCAGGGCATGGGCATTGCCATCGAAGCGTGGAAAATCACAAAAGCCGTCAACGTCCGCGTCCGCCCGACCCCCGCAGGGAGCTGGCTGCCATACACCGTGACGTTCGAAGACAAGCACGTCCTGTCCGAAACGGAGAAGAAGACCGAGGAGTACGACCAAATTGCGTTTAAGTACCTCTACCGTGTCGCAGTCCCGCTCCTCATCGCATACGCTATCTACTCCCTCATGTACGAGACCCACAAGAGCTGGTACTCCTTCATCATCGCCACCCTCGTCGGCAGCGTCTACGCTTACGGTTTTCTGATGATGGTGCCGAGTCTGTACATCAACTACCGCCTCAAGTCCGTCGCTCATATGGCTGGAAAGGCGATGATGTACAAGACCTTGAACACCTTTATTGACGACCTGTTTGCGTTTACCATCAAGATGCCGATGCTGCATCGCCTCGCAACGCTCAGAGACGACGTCATCTTCTTCGTCTACTTGTATCAGTCGTATAAGTACAAGGTTGATCACACTAGGGTCAACGAGTTTGGCCAGGGTGGTGATGAGGAGGAGACAGCGAAGCTGGCCGCGAAGCCGCTTACTAGCGCGGCGGGGGCGAGTGTTGAGGGGGAGAAGAAGGTTGAGGCGAAGGATGCGGCGAAGGCGACGGGGAGTGAGAAGGTGAGTCAGGGAAGGAGAAGGAAGTAGATGTATGGACAAGTTGGCAGTGGGAGTGTTATTTGTACTCCCTTTTCAGCTATCAAGTGCAGTAGGCAAGCCAAGAGCGAGCATTGCCGTTTGATGGATTTTTATATATTTGCGCTGTTGGATGCCCATTGGAACTCAATCCTTTAAAAACAGTAGCATAATCCAGTTATTTGGCACAACACAAACATGATGACGTGGAGATCTCATCGAGGGTATTTTCAATTGCTCCCAAGTCTAGAAATGCAGCTTTGAGGCAAACGTCTAATCTAAATGGACGCTGGCATGATAGTGAAATAGCAGACACTGCCAACGGTATCCATTCGGCCCTCGTCAAGTATGCTTCAACCCCTCTTCTTCCCCTTCCCCTGCGCAGGCTCAATCGCCGCGGGCGGCGTTCCACTATCCGTCTTCCCCGCCATCCACGACGCGAGATCGAAGTTCTGGAGCTGGCTTGCGGGCGTGGGGCCGCCGGAGAGCACGCCCTTGCCGCGCATCTCCTCGAACTCGGCCTTGGTTTCTTCATCCACTGCACAAATAAGCTTGTCAGCACATATATCTCGCAAAACCTGACCGTGCGAGAAAGGTGTGGCAGCGCAACTTACTATTCTCCATCAAATACGGCATGCCAAAGATAATAACCATGGAAAACAGCGCCATCAGAATCATCGGGTTCTTCAGGAAACTCAGCGGGTCAACTACATCACCCCATCGTTAGCATCTCATCCCTTTACTACTACTACCACCACCACCACCACCACCACCATCATCATCATCCATCTCCTTTTCAGGAAACAAGGGGAAACTCACAGCCGCCCCGACTCTGATAAAACTCCTTCACCCCCACGGGCCGCACCTCTACCACTACTCCTCCTGCCCCCTCGCCCCGCTTCTCGCCGCGGTTCTCCCACTCGTTGCCCCAGAACGTCTGCCACGCGTCGACTTTCTGTAGACCAGCTCCCCCGGCGGCGGCGGCGGCGGCGGCGGCGGCGGCGGCGACGTCGATGCGCAGCGCTTCGAAGGCGATGTCCCGGCAGTGCACGACGCCGAGGTAGCTGCCGGCGGGCACGTTGTCGAAGACGAAGGTGTTGGCTTTGGTGAGGAGGGCGCGCAGCGGCGGGCCGGAGGATTGCAGCGTGGCGTGGGTGGAGGGCGGGAGGGCGGCGGCCGAGGAGAGGAGCGCGTTGGGGGCTATGGTTAGGGTTAGGCGGGCGGCGGTGGAGAGGGATGTGAAGGCGGTGAGGGCCGCGAGGAGCGGGAGGGGGAGGTGGAGGCGCATTGTGGGAAGCTGGGAGGTTTGGGAGGGGGAGTGGTGGTGTTGCTGAGGTTGAGGTTGGTGGATGGAGGGGGAAGATTGTATGGCCGAGCGCCGGCCGGAGGTTTGGGATAGAGAGGGAAGGTCGTGGCGAGGTTTGGGATAAAAGGTTGTCGTCGTCTTGGGGTCGGCTAACTATAGTGAAGGTGTTGTCTTGGTCATTGAGAAAAATACGTAAGCAGCAAAAACGAGACAGCCGCAGGTCGCGATGCAACTGACTGTCGTCACGACAGCGTTGAAGCAAGGAAGATTGCAGCAGGAGTCGTAGCAGCAGCAGTAGCCACAACAGCAATAGCCAGGGATAGACCTCAGGAGTACGACCGACCAGCAAGAGCGCCTGGAGCGGTGAATACGATCGTAGTGTTCCTGTTGTATTTCGAAATCGGTCAAATCCTCTATGTACCGCTTGGGTGGTGGAGACTTCCGACATTTGGACGACGCAAACTAGCCTTCGAGGTCCTGTGGGTCTCTTTGGCTGCGGTACATGTTAAACGTGTCACGAAATGGAGAACTATTACCAACCTGTATGGAGGAAGAAGTGGGAGATGCTCGTCGTTCATGGTGACTTCCTGCTTCAAGAGGGCACAGGCGGAAATCTCGATGTATATAAGACTGAGAAGCTCCCCGCTCTAGCCCTGGAGTCGGATACCGCCATATCCACTAACATTGCCATCGACGGTAAAGTTTCTTCACTTCTCAAACAATAATTAACGCCTAAGTATGCTTAAGTCTTCACAAGCGGGAGTCGAATAGAAGTATCCTTTCCATTTTCTACCTTTCCACTCGTTCTATTTACTTCTTTTCTAACTCTTTCTCTTCCATTTCTTCGTAAAAACAGTGTCTATTGAAGAAATACGAACAAATCAACCTACATTAGCACCAGCCCAAACCCCATACACCGAATCCACCATATCCCCAAAATCCTCATTCGGCAACCCAAACGCCTCCGCAACCTCGCCAAGCACGCCCACACGTTCCTTCACGGGACTTCGATCCCGCGGCCCATCGAGCTTAAGAACCAATCTACACACAGCATCGCTAATCGGCTGCAGTATGCCGACCTTGCTCACTCTATCGCGCAGACTCGCATTCGCGGGCTGCAGCATCCAGTCCTGATACGGCACTTGCATGACGACCTGGCGTTGTGCGAAGTCGGCTTTGACTCTACACGTCGTCGCGAAGTACGTCCCCTTGCACAGGACCGAGGGGATGCATGTTGGCCGGGAGGGCAACTGCGCGTGGAGCTTCACGCCCTTCGCTCGCGGCAGCACCACGCCGCCCACGTCATCCACGAGCTCCGCAATGCGGAAACTGATGTTGCGGATGAGATGCCGGTCATCAAAGGCCGTAAACGGGGTCGGCAGGGCGTCCGCGCCGAGACGCTGGCGGGTGAGGGTTCGCTGGGCGGTTTGAGAGCTGTGGGCTGGCTCGCAGTAATGCAGGCGGTCTTGCATGGTCTTGCCGTCCATGCTCAGATAGGGGAGCGAGTCTACGTGGTCGTTGAGGGCGATGGCCATGGCCGTGAAGGAGCAGCTGAAGTCGATGACGATGCAGAAATGTTCTTCGAATAGCGCTGTGATACAGTGGACTAGGTCGGCGGAAGTGGTGCTTCGTGGTCGCGCGAGGGTCTGCACGTGGGCTGCGTATGGCTGGAGAGAGGGCTCGCTGGCGAGGTGTGCACGGAGGGCTGCCGTCGTTTGGAATGCGATGTCAACGCAGGATCCGAATGGTGATGTTAGCTGCCGGATTTCTGTGCTGAGGGTCTCGTCATCCTTGGCGATTGCGTTGGTGTGGCTGATCTTATGGTAATGCTTCCAGAAATGCCAGGTGCTCCAGCGCGTTGATAGAGCGTGCTCGTAGGCGACATTGTTTGCGATGGCGAGGATCTGATGTTGGATTGCGGAAGCGGGGGCACTCATTAGTAGTAGTGACTGCGGGTACGGTTGGAAAACTTCTGGCGAGAAAGCCCTAAAGTTGGTACCCCTCGACGCTATTTTGATCGCCAAACAACACTCGTGCAGCCTCTTTGTAGACCTTGCTAAATATACTTATTACCCACATATATGATCAATACTCACGCGAGATAAAAGCATGGCCATATAGCTGCTTGGTTACATCCAGACTAATAGATTTGTATTTACTGCCCCCAAGCTACTAGAATCATTAAATCTCGCCTGGATGTGACTGCATAGTTCGATAACCGGAGGAATTCTAAGGGCGTTATACACGGCGACACTAGGCTTATTTCCCTTCCTGATAACTTCACTTTAACGGGACGTCCGTGATCTATCAAGTGTATAGCGAATAGTCTCAATGCTACACGATTCTAGCTCCTTCTTAAACACGTATTGAAATTGATATCTTCCGGTTCGCAAGTCCCGCGAAGAAGCATAGTCTCCAAATGCAAGGAGTGCGATGTTCAACCCATCCCAAAGAGAAACCAGGCCTCAGTGCGCAGCCTTGTACGAGAAGAGTTCTGGATGTATGGCAAAAGCTTCGTCCTCGTCTGGATGGTTGTACAGCTCATCCCACGTCGTAGCCAATTGGGGCGGAATCTCCCATGGCGCGTCTGCCCTATCGTCTTTCAATATGAGGCGAAGTAAGTACCTTTGTGATGTGTTCTCGTCCTCATTGCCGTCAATGAATGCATCCCGGGCATGCATCATTTTCAGATTGTTGAAGAAGAGCATGTCGCCGCTTCGCAGCTCCAAACGTTTTGCAACGGCCTGGCCAGCGGCGTGGAGGGCATTTATCGCTTCGACTTGGTGCTGCGATAGGGGCGGCAGCGATTTTGGACGTGGCCGACACGTCGTACCGAACAGGCGGGAACGAGAAGCTTGAACGGCAATGCGACCAGACGGCAATGTGAACAGCAGCGGTCGCTCATCGCAGGCACCTTCCTCCTTGGCACTATATGGTTCTATCAGTGCGTTTCGAGGGTGTCATAGCGGATGATCGCACTTGATATTTAGGAATGATTGGCGCAGTGTGCTCAACACGTCTGGTCTGCTCGCCGCAATCTGGCGCGAGATGTCATCGATATCTGCCAGATAAATATCGCCGCCGGACGCAGCTTTGGACAGAACGTAAAAGGAGAGAATGGAGCCGTAGTCCGTGTGAAATGGCTGACGATTAGCTTGAAATAATAAGATGTATGAATGCTTGACATACCAAAGCAGTGCTCCTGTTAGCTGGTCCGCGATACGTCTCTTTCTCATTTTCCCCAGAAGATTTCATATTAGTAACGTGATCTGTGAATCGCATTAGGAATACTCGCAAAGGTGTGGAGGAAGAGGGGCGCACGGAGAACGTTGGGGTCGCCAGGTGCCAGCGCTCGCTTGGTACCTACATGGCTCGCAAGCCCCGTGAAGATGACGATATTCTTGTACTTGCTAAACCATTGAGGTTTTAAGCCCCGGATTATGAAATACGGCTGAGTCGTTGGTAGTAAAACACGATGCTGGTGAATCCTACGGGAGAGAGTGGGCAGGGGAAAGTGCTCAGCCTGCAGTTGATTCAACGGCAATGCCGTCGCTGCGCAATGGTTAGTACGCGCAAATAGCATCGCCCTTATCTACGCGCTTACAGTTGAAGAAACTGAAAGCATCTTCAAGTTCTCTCAAATCCTCGAGGGAGAGCTGGAGGATTGGGTATTCTTCTGCACGGACTATCTCATGCGAGTCGACGAGGTGAGTCTCAGGAGTCACCCAGGATGCGGTTGGGAAGGACCGTGCATGACAGATGCGAAGCTTTCGTTTCAATTCGGCGATAGTCTCCGACGACGGTGTGTAGCCTGACAAGTCCAAAAACGGTTCTTCAGCATGCGGAGCCATATATGCAGAGTTTGAGCAAAGGAAATTGGCGAGACAAAATTGCAAAGAATAAGGGTTGTGGTTCGACCGAGACGGTCGCAAGAACGAGTCGGAAGGCTAGTTGCCTCTTAACTTGGCCCACGTTTTGAGCCTCATGCGATTTATTTGCCTGAGTCAGCAGAGCGGGGAGACTGTTCCACACGTGAAGTTGATAGGATCGATAAAGCTGCAGATATACCACACCACAAGGCTCGCTCCAGGGGTGTGCAAGTGGGGGGAAGGCTGAGAGTCACAAGGCTACCCAATAGCGCGCAAGAAGCAATACCGTGAGGGCGGGAAACAGGCGCTGCCTTATCGTGTGCCGACTCTACCCTGATGGATTGGCTACAGGAAGAGGGCTTGGTGAAAGCGTTAGCAATTGGATTGCATCTCTCCAATCTTCTCTCGTGTTGGCGTTGAAGAGACTGTGATCATAGAGTGGGAAGATCTTGGCCCCCTCAAGTGCATCCACCAGGTCGGAGAGATGATCCCGAGTACAGATGGCGTCTGTGGCGAGATGCGAAAGAGCTTTGGGGCTCCACATGGCCACCAAGGGCTCTGTTAAACCCTGGCTGTTCTTGAAACACGTGACTGGATCCCTATATTGAGCACGCAGATGCCTCAATTCCGGGGCTGCTAGGAACGGATAGTCGCACGGGATGACCAACCAGCAGCATCTCTGATCAAAACTGAAGGCCGCAAAGATGGTCAGCGCAGGTCCTCTCTGGCGTGATGCCCGCCCAGAGGCGTCTACCGAAAGCACGTGAACGTCCATGTCCGGAGGGATGCAGATAGAAGGCCGCTGGGAATCATCGCGAAGAAGCAAACAAAGGTGCTGGGCCTCAGGGAAGCTCTGGCGAAGCATTTTCAGCCGCCCGAGGTAGAACGGGGTCCCGTCGGCGTCTGGGAGGAGATGCTTGGGAGAGCCCATGCGGGTAGAATCACCACCGGCCAAAAGCGCGATGCCCAGGCCTGGAACTGGGGGTTCAGACGTAGCCATGGGCCGGGGGGCACGAGAGATGCAGAGGACGGACGACGTTGGAACGAGAGGGGCCGCTGGCCAGGCTTACCGGCACAAAAGTGAGACTTTGGAGCACCTGCTGGCGCAGGCTTCTTCTACTGCGACGGAGATGCTTGACGGGACGGCTGTCGGAGGCTCACCCTTCACCGAGAGGCACACCGAGGGGCTGGGCAGCATGCCGGGCGGGATTTCTGCGCTGTGTCGGCGTGCTGACCGAGTTGCTCGGTCAAGGGGCTCGGTCGGCGGCGTTGGCACCCTTGCAATGCGTGCGGGAAGAAGGAGCCAATAATGCCGATGGCGCCAGCCCCAAAGCGGCCGACCCTCATTGCCGTGCTCCCAGACGTCGCTCACTGTTGAACCTCAAGACTGCTATATCGCCTGACGCGCAATGTACTCAGAAACCTCGCCACGAGCCCGCTCGTGTGCATCTCCTCATTATGTCGCCACCGTTCTAACTGCATCGATGCCACAATGCTTCCAACACGCTCTCCGCCGGGCTCCCGCTTCCGCGGGGGCAAACGATTATCTGGCCACCTGTCACCGACGAGTGTTTGCTCACCAAAGCGCACAAAAGCAACCCCAAGGTTGCTGGATTATGACCAAGTGCATCAGTATATTCTGCTCGCGGCTGCCATGATACTTTGTGTGCCCATTGAGAAGCTGCTCGCCTTAGCGCGCTTTTCTCACTCTTCCTCCAGGAACTCCAGCTCCGAACACCTAGACGACTCCTCCAACTCGAGTTTCAATGATCATGCCGACGGCTTCACTCCGCCTCAGACTTCCGAGTCTGAAAAAACCACCAATTCATACGACTTTCCCCTCCCGGGAGGACCACAACCACCATCCGCAGCATTTGAAGGTAATGACCCAAGGCCTGACCAAGGCCTGAAAGCCACGGATATGAACAACAACATCGACCTGTTTGCATCTACAGAACCATATCCGACTCCTCCCCATTTCCAACAGAGTTTCAGCGCCTCCGAGGTTGGTGACATGTTCATGGCCAATAGTATCTGGCAGGAACATCCTGGATCCGACTTCTCTCTACCCCCATTCAAGGCACAGTCGACTGGAAATGATCCTACCGCCTTTGTACCATCAACATCAAGCCCGGCTGAGCTTGGCAACCTTCCGATTCCTAACTATGGAGCCGCACTTCAGCTTGAAGTAGATCGGACTTTTCAGGACTTTCAAGAGCAAAATTACCCGAATGTTGACTGGAGCGTTCTCGCTCCAGATGATGAAAGCACGAGCATGGACTTTCTTGTTCCTACGCTTGATCATCAGGGCGAGCCGTTTCACTTCCACGGTACTCAAGAACTTTCAGAAACGGCTTCCGCTCGTAAGGATGGCGGCGTAAAGGGCAAGCGTCGTGGCCCTTTTCGGGTTGCGGAGCAAAGACAAGAGACAGGATTGACGAGGAAGCTTGGAGCTTGTATCCGCTGTAGTATGCAGCGTGTTAGAGTATATGAAAGCTTTGCTCTCTGTGTAAAACTCATAGCTAACGCCGATCAAGTGCATACCTGATCCATCGAGTCTTTCGGGCTGCTGTCGAACCTGTATCCAGTCTTCACAGAGACCACGCTGGCTACCATGCCTTCGTTACAAGATTACAGATGCAGAACTGCTGGATCATGATGTTTGTCCAAGACCGACATGGACAACGCGATGGAAAAAGATGGAGTTGATAGACATTACCAACTGGGCATCAAGTGCCGTTAAAGAAATTCAGGTGACCCAAGGCGTTGGAAACACGTCTTATACTCTGCAAGTCCGACAATTCAGGCCCGTTGAAGGCGATGCGCTCGCTCGGCATTGGAAGATCGATGGCAATCCGTACACGTATGAATGTGCCCCTTACGCTGTTTCGAACATGAAGCAAGCCGGAAAAACACTGCGCGATTTTGCACAGAGCTCTCTCACAGCAGCCATCCGCTTCTGGGTTGACGATCAGGATCCATTGCTGCGTAGGACTTACAACATGGCGTACATCTATTCGATTAATGCCGAGGTAAGACCCTGTCAGCAGAAAAATTGACATTCCTGACGTTTTACAAGCGCGAAGAAGATCGAAGCCTTCTGGCCGCTACACTGCGTATGTGGGCCGCCTCTCGTATGATGTCTCGGGCCGCACATATCTGTGGCACAGAGACATTGGGCATGCAGGCACGAGACTATGGACCAAAGTCTGCAAGTAGCGGAAAAATCCTCATGCCCCCGGTATTTTCTGCACAGATGGAGGTTATTATCGTAGCAGAGATCCTGCAACCAACCAAGAAGGAAGTTCTCAATCGACTGAAAGCCCTCGTCTACGAAAGCAACCGACGGTCATGGCTTGCCATATATCTTTGCGTCTTCTTGCTGCTTCACAGCTGCGCGCTACTAACGAAAAGAGACCATGAACGAGCTGTAATGCAAGGTGTCCAGGTGAGATCAGCTCCTCTAAGTTCCAGAGCCCGATTAATAAACGAGGTGTGCTAGCGACGCTTCTATCGACCCCGGCTCATAGATGAATTGCACAATGGTGCCAAGATCCTTCTGGCATACTTCCATTTCTGCAATAGAGGTACCTATCCTTTACACATGGACTGGACGTCTGCCGATCAAATCGCACTTGCCGAACTGAAGCCAGAACAAATCGAGTTCATGCGCGGGACGGTCAAGGAGCTCGAAAAGAAATGTACGTTTTGCCAACCCGGGCAATCCCGCACTTCGAGCATAACTAATTTCTCAAAAGCCGCCCACTTCAAGACCGTCCTTGACACGTGCGCTTACGAGGACGAATATTACTTCATCGCCCAGCTTTGCGAGCGCGACTGGAAACCGAGGCACACGGTCTGAATCTACGTGACCAATGAATTTGAGAAAGCACACTTCAACATTATCTCTATCGTTATTAATATGCAGCGAAAAAGGACGCGGAAGCAGTTAATTGGCTCCTTCTAAGGTAGTCTTTACGCGAAATTAACAAGTCGAGTTTCGCGGCAACGATGTGACGACTAAAAGTTTACTGGGTCTGGCCAGGTGCCTGGATCACGAAGGAGGAGAGATAGGTGCCAACTGAGTCACTAGCGGGGGTTTTCCTCCTGGATCGCGTGTAACATGTAATATCTCTGCATGCAATATTTCTCTTAACCTCAATTATGAACTCAAAGACACAATTTTAACTTGTCTACCCTGCCCCCTGCTACGCTACTATGTCGCAAGTGCTACCAGCGGAAGGCTTCTAACAACGGTGAAAAGATATATTTTTCCAAACGTAGCCATTGACAAAACCAACACCAACGTCATGGCAAAAGACGTCCCAAACATAACACCGCTATAGTACCGCAAAAGCACCAACGACCTCGAAGAAAGAAAACTCGATTTAATATGCCCATAGTCAAATCTCAGAAGCCTCACATCGAAGCCGCCCTCCCAAAGCAACAAGTCCAAACACCGGCTCCTCCCATCCCAACCCAAGGAGCACCGACTCTCTCCAACGCACGCGCCTCACGGACCCGAAAACTGCGCTCCAACACCCTGCAAAGCCACCTCGCGGTGCCATCTCGCACCTCTTGTCGCACGCTCGTCTGCCTCCGAGACGCCGTTCGTGGGTTTCGCAGACGCGGCCTGATCCCCCCGGGCCGCGCGGAGTTGGTCGCAGAAAGCGCGGTCGAATTCTGCTCTCGAGCTGGTTACTACAGTGCCAAGGGAGGCTCAAGGGGGGAGGGGGTGCGCCTAACCATTGTGGGAGAGGAGACTCGTGTAGGGTCTACGAGAGTCGTTGTTGGCGTCGCGGTGGGGGATCTGGAGGGAGACCATTGCTCTGACGGCGGCAGCTAGCTGAGAGAAGACAGCGGCGATGTAGAAGATGCAGCGCAAGTTTGGTTAGGTTAATGAGGTGCTGGGATGGAACGACAGAAGACTGGATTGGCGCGTAAGTGATGTGCTGGAACTGATCTTTCAGAACTTTCTCCGACATATATATATACTTCTGGACAGTGCATGCTTCCCGTGCGATTGGGCACATCTACGTCGTCTGCGATGAAAGCCTCGTCTTCTCCACCGACCTTGTTCCTCGGGGAACAGCCCGGCGGGAACGGCCTGATGAGAACAGCTTGATAGAGATAGACGTGCTCGTGATTACATGTAGTAGAACGAGGCGCTAATTAGACGTCGTCACGAAATCTGCCCTGCAGTCGCGTGGTACATGTTTACTGGCGGTAGCAGCGAATGGGGCTCTGATGAGGAAAGTACTCCCGGAGGTCGATACCCTCTTCCGTGGCTGTTTCTTCACCGAGAGCAAGCCTTGAGCCTCGCCCGGGGAAGGGCGTCTGGCGGAGCGCTCACCTGTTTAGTCGGGATTTGTTAGTCTCGAAAATCAAGATTGCCAGATGGCTTGCGCTAAGATTGCAGTCTGCAGGCAGGCCTTTTAGCTTTGCGGAGGCCACCGCTGCCGGGGGCGAACATCGCCAGGTCGTAGGTTTGGCGGTGTATCTGTGAGAGTATACCACCGCCTACCCCAGGTGTTTCTGGCATCATCTTTTTCTACAATACCGCTTCTATTGCGCACACCCGTATTTTCCCCTGAGCCCGGCTAACCATGCTTCTGGATATATGCGTGGTGTGTATCCTCGGAGGCCCCGGCGCTGGGAAAGGAACACAGTGCTCGATTCTCCAGACAAAGTTCCTCTGCGCGCATTTCAGCGTGGGAGACATGCTCCGTAGCGAACTCTCCGATCCGGATAGTCCACACCGCGAGCTGATTCTCAAAAGCATGGAATGCGGGCGTTCGGGCCCCAAGGAGATAAATATTGGAATCCTCCAGAGCCACATTCAAGAAGCGTATGCCAAGGGCGTGCGCACATTTTTCTTGGATGGTAAGCACATATATAGCAATGTTAGATAGCTACCAGCGCAAGTCTGATTTCGAGGGGTTTAGGATTTCCCCGCAGGCTGGATCTAGCCGAGTATTTCGAAGAGCATGTGGCGCCCGTGTCGCTGGTGCTTGTGCTCGAATGCCCCCGCAAGGTCATGATGCTGCGGGCCTTGCGGCGACGGCGCAACGAGAGAGATAACGTGGACAACACAAACAAAAGGATTAACACTTTCGAGGAGAAGACTGTGGACGCTATAAGGAAATATGAAGCCGCTGGAAAGGTTGTGCGGGTGCAGGCGGACGCTGATGTGCCGACCGTTAGTGCGGCAATTGAAGAGACTCTGCGGCAATCGGCAATACGGCTAGATTTACGAACATCGGAGATGGAAGACCAGGGGTGAAGTTTACGAGGGATTTACTAGGTCGATGGTCACGTGAGGAATGTTGACGTTTTTGGCAAGTGTGGAGGTTTAGCTGAACCTCGCTCGCTGATCGATTATAGTATAATACATTGACATGTCTTTGAAACTTGGCCTGGGTCGCAGCATTTAGGAAAGATGAAGACACTGCGTAGTTTTGGTTGCTCATACTAAATCTATGGCGTGGGAAGAAGATATCGGATGCTCAAGTTCTGGATTTAAATTCCTCCCCGCCCGCAAAAATCGGCTTCAGTGTATTAAGTTCACGCGTAGACTTATCTCTTCTATTTATGATATCCTTCTGCTTCTTCTTTTACCTTAGCATTGAGTCGTGGATCACCCACCCGCCAAAGAATGGGCGGGACGAAAAGACACTACAAGAGCGCCACCTCAACGATCTCAGATCCACATGAGAAGCGCGCATTTCCTCTTTCGGACGGATCGTTTTTTTGGCTGGTTCTGCTTGGGGTTAGCGGAACTGTTAGCGAGTCTAGTAGCGAACCAATACAACTCACGTCCGAGCTCGCTGAGGTACTTCGTAAGGGGGAAATATGCACTCAGCCGCACCCTATGTAGCACTGCCACCTGCCCACGTGGTACCTAGGTGTTAGGACATTGCTCAGCAACTCCTGACGTGCAAAGGAGGGGCGCAGCAGACAAAACCCTCGATCGCGACATACGTTTACAATAATGACATGGCGGAGTTAGGAGTTACCGAGCTTATTTTTTCCGATTCAACCCGAGCTAAAGCCCCGGGCAGAGTTAGAAGGTAAAGAGTTAGCCTCCGCCAGTACTTTTCTACGCGTTATGCGCCTAAGAAGCTACACCAGTCGCGCGCATTCATCCCCGTTACAATGGCTGCTTCTCCTGCTGCTCTGGCCCAGGCCGCCACCCAAACGAAGCCCGAGGGCATTGATCTTTACGCTCGCTTCGCTCTTGCTGGTGCTCTGGGCTGTTCCGTTACACATGGTTCCTTCACTCCAGTCGATGTGTATGTTGTCCCATCAGCTTCAGCTCCACCACCACGTACTGACACTCCCACAGCGTCAAGACCAAGATTCAGCTCGATCCCGCGACCTTCAACCGTGGTATGATTGGCGGGTTCCGCCAGGTTATTCAAAACGAGGGCGCCGGGGCTCTTTTGACTGGCTTCGGTCCAACCTTTACTGGTTACTTCATCCAGGGAGCCTTCAAATTTGGCGGTTATGAGTTTTTCAAGAAGCAATCCATCGACGTTCTTGGCCTCGAAACGGCCCGCCAGAACCGTACTGCCGTCTACTCCGTCTCTGCCGCCAGCGCTGAATTCTTCGCCTCTATTGCTCTCTGCCCCCTCGAGGCTACCCGTATCCGTCTCGTCTCTACCCCTGGCTTCGCCAACGGTTTGATTGGTGGTTTTAGTAAGATTCTCAAAAACGAGGGCATCGGTGCTTTCTACTCTGGTTTTGGCCCTATCCTGTTCAAGCAGTACGTTGATCTCGATTACAAGCTCAAGGACGGACGGAAAATTCAAATCTGACATATACTTACAGGGTTCCCTACACAGTGACCAAGTTTGTCGCTTTCGAGAAGATTTCCGAGGCTATCCTCGCTCGTCTTGACAAGTCCAAGCTATCGAGTGGTGGCCAGACCGCCGTCAACTTGGGATCTGGTCTTCTTGCTGGTTTCGCTGCTGCCATCGTCTCTCAGCCCGCTGATACTATGCTGTCCAAGATCAACAAGACCAAGGGTCTGCCTGGCGATAGCACCATCTCCCGTCTTGTCAAGATCGCTGGTGAGCTCGGTCTCCGTGGTTCCTTCACTGGTCTTCCTACTCGTCTCTTCATGGTTGGTGGACTTACTGCGGGCCAATTTGCCATCTACGGTGACATCAAGAAAGCTCTTGGTAAGTCTGTATGCTCTCTTGCTTCCTCTGACTAAAGCTAAATCTGTACCCTTAGGTGCGACCAATGGTGTTGAGATTTCTAAGTAAACGATCCATGATGGACGTTCCAAAGATTTAGATGGTTTGTGTAGAGGGGAGGAAAAGGTCTGAATAGAGAGAGCGACGTAGCCAGATCTGCGGCCCTACTCAAGAGTCAAAGTTGAGTTTGAGACACCTCACTTCCCTTTTGCCAAGACGCGGTGCCCTGCAAAACCCGCTCAATCAGTGTATAATTGCCTCGGGCCGGTGTATCCATAGATCTAAAAGCAATTCTACTACTGATTCTCATGCTTTGAAAAGGCAACCCCAGCAAAATACTTGATGTTTTCTTCGAACTTACATGATATAGTGAAAACGGCTCGAACCCAATAGGATGCCGCGACCAAAAAGCCTTCACACGATCCGACCTGTGTTTCCGCGGTCAAGTTTCTGATAGACCAGGCAGGCAGCGAGGGTCAAAAAATCCGGAGCCAATCGCTTTCCCTGGCTAGTTACTGAATATTTCCGCGATCCTCCTGTGCGTCCAGCTAAGGGTAGCATTGATTCAGTTCCTTGTGAAACGATAGCGGACCGTCCGTTGCCGTGCTGAGTGACTGCTAACGATTTCTCTCATAAAGTGAATTGTATCGATTAGTGCGCCATTCTTACTGCTGTGACTTTAAGCTTCACATATCTAACTCTGAAGACCGCAATGAGAGTAGAGTTAAGGGGGTAAAGGAATGGTGATGCTAGCGTTAGTGAGAGGACGTCTTAATTTGCTAGTGCACTAAACTGGTGAGCCAGTAACTAGCAAAATACGAACTCAGCCAGAAGCAGTCAACGCCGGCATACTCAGATACAACTTCTTAAACGTCTCCACCGTCTTCAGCGGCGCTGCGCCACTGAAATTCTTCGTATCCCACATCTTGAACGCTGAAACACCCTTCCACATGCTCACCACACTCACGGCAATTCCCTTCATGTCTTTCCACTCGTCCGTAATGATCTTAGCATCGTCTTGCCAGTTCATGCTCGGGGCAACGGGCGACCAGGCAGCGTTGACGAGCTTCGGATTCGGGAATACAGGCTCCTTGCCGCTTTCAAACTTGACATCTTGCCCCATAGTGTCGACGACGTTGAATTGAATGGGGACCTCGGCGCTGAATTTGGCATCTGGAGCGTGGATATCTACGCCTGTCATGAGCTGCTTCGTGCCGTTTGACGGCGACAGCATTGCAGCTTGAGAGGCGTCTCTGTGAGACGGATCTGTGGATTGATCATCTGGACGTTCATTAGTATTTCCATCGATCATAATTAACGGAAACTCACACTTCCCCCACAAAGCAGTGGGCATTGGTCTAATGACTCTCTGAACCTTGTTCCACCCATCTTCCTCGTCACCATCCTTAGCTCCTACCGCACTGGTCGCAGTAGTGCTCACTCGATAGATCTTGATCTCCAGCTCCGACTTCAATGGTTCAGTGACTTGCATTGGCTTAGCATAGAACCTTTGGTCTTCTGAGTCATTCCAGGATCTTTTCACCGAGTTCTTGGCGTCTGCTTTTTCATCTTTTGTCGTGGCCGTGACGACGGTGCAGTTCTCGACGACGAATTTGCAAGCGACACCGAATGCGAAGCCTGCACCGCGAACGACCAATGGCGCATCCTTCAGCGTTTCCTGTTTGCCATTCGGCACAAGCCACCTCACCAGCAATCCTTTTCCATCGGGTCTGAGCTGAACAGTACCGAGCTAAAGATTGACATCAAGGGCGTATACACAGGCGAAGTCAAAGATCAGCCAAAAGGAAACGACAGGATCAGAGAACTGCCAAACGATAATCCAACATGGACAAAGGGCGAAAATCCGACTGCTAAAAAGCCACCAGTCTTCTTATGGGGTAACGACGACTCCGACATGCGCTTTATGCTAACGCATAACTTCACCAACCTACTGCATCGCAAAGTGCGAGAAGGCATGAACAAAAGACGGTGTCGTGAACTACGCGGAGCCAGATCCCAGCGCAAGCTTGGTAGCCTACCAGCTCAACGACCCGAACTGACAGCTGAAGATTGTGTTCCGAAAAGATCCAAAAGTGATTCCCGTGGCTTCACTGAGGGCTCCTCCCCCAGGGGTGGCTTCGCGGATGGTTGCGAAATCGGACGCCATACAGCATGCCAGACTAGCATCAATAAAAGCCCCCAAGCAGCCCAGACCTCCAAAGCCGACCTTGCTATCGACAGGTGGATTTCAACGATCGGAGCGGTTGAGACTTGATCAACCACCACCAAACGCCTTCGTAGTTCCCATCACCGTGACGAAAACGCCCAAGGCCGGAAGAGTCACAGCCCAACGAGCTGTAGCAGGACCAGCGGTGTCTTTCCTCTCAGTAGCTGAGAGCTCGCCATCGCCTCCGGCCATGGATCCTGAGTACAAGTTCCGTGTCTTCTCGCTAGACAGCAGCACGTCCGACGAAGTCCTCAGGCCATCAAAGACGGCGCAAGATCTCATATTCTCCATAACGCTGACGAATAGTCCAGCATCTTTCGAGCTGAATACATATCTATTCCCATCCTCTTCAGCGGCATCGACGACAACAACCCGGAAAGGCTTATGGAAGACTATCAAGGATCAGGCGGCTTTATGATCACCAACCTTCGACTCAATGTTGTGTGCAGTTTGATCAAGGAAAGCGCCGTCAAGTCGGGCAAAAAGTCGCTGAAGATCGATCTGTTCCCCGAACGCATCGGAAGAGGGTGTTGGTGAGAGGCTGTGCTGATTTGACGTTCTTGCTGGCAAGCGTTGTGGCGGACGTGCAGGTCTACAAGGAGCTCAAACTACCGGTAACGATCAAGTATTATCTTCGGGATGCGATAAATAAAGAGACCAAGATTCTGAGGCCTTAGCGAGGCCCCATCGCCTGTCTTCCCTTGCGACCTGGATAACGACAACTGGATCGAGGAGGTCGCCGACTACATCACCCACGCACAACCTAGTCGATGTGATTGCGTTTGAGTCCTGGGATTCTGACAAAGATGCGTAGGCTAAGAAAAGCACCGCTGAAGTCGAGGTCGGCAGATACGGAACCATCGTGTTGCCCAAGTCCATGATGAACGGTAGGAAGTCAGAATGCGAGTTCGGAGGAGGTCGTCAAGGAAAACGCCAAGCAAGAAAAATGCGCTAGTCGCCATCACCAATACAACAGGTTTTGGCTACACACCCTGTCTTGATCCGCTTTCCTCTGATTCCGCTTAACGCTCCCGCAACTGTCTGCCCTTTTCGATTACCTCTCTTAGTCTGCGATGACGTAGCTATACTCATTTCAGTAGAAGAACAAATCTCTCAGGCTAGTAAAACTAACACTTAAGCATCTTATCTAAGTGGTTAGTATTAATAGCATTAAGAAGTTAGAAGCATATCGAGATCGTCTAAAGCTAACGTCCTACAACAACCACCGAGAATCACCTACCGCCGAGAATGGGTGGGAATGTTGGTGGCGCGAGCCGCTAGTCCGAAATCCTTCAAGCGTGACTAAATCTGCTCGCTGGTGGGTGATACTCGCTTGGGGTGTAAGACGTTACTATGCGGGCGTGAAGGCGCTGAAAATCTCTCCGTCAGACTCGAGAAAAACATTCCATCATTGGATGCACTGTTGCTCAGCCACACCGAATCCTTCGGAGAATGGCGGGTGGAGGGGATGCCAAGAATTGGGCTGCAGCTAGCTGCGATGGCTGTTGGACGGTCACGAAGCTTCAGCCTTCAGCCTTCGTAGCCGGGAGAAAAAGGAAAGCTTCGAGCAGCGCAGCTCATCCATCCTCCGCTCCCGTTAGGATTCTGACTTTCAGATTCCATTAACGACGCTGCCTTTGTCCTTCTTTTTGCGTACCAGTTCACTATCAAAGCAATGGCTCCCGCGGCACCACCTAGCCGTGAAGAGCAGCTACAAAGGTACGAAAAGCTGTCGATGATCAAGATGAAGCCTTGGTCAATCGTCTTCTTGCAGAGAAACCGCGGCCGGTGCTGAGTACTCTCCACAAATACAAGCTTTCAGAGGGGAAGGTGACGGTCCTCCATATCGCGTGCGGCGTGGGAAATGTCAATATCGCTAAATCTCTTCTGGACCACGGAGCATCTCCAAAAGCTCTGAATAGCGACAACGATACTCCTCTGCATGCTGCCGCAGGTGTTGGATCGATCGCATTAGTTGAGCTTCTCGTCGGAAGGGTCCCGGACAAGGAAAAGCGGGAATATGTCAACTCGCCTGCCGACCTGGGCAAGACAGCCTTGCACGTTGCTTGCTGCGGAGGAGGACATGGAAGGTGTCTCGAAGTTTTGAGGTGTTTGTTGGCGAATGGAGCAGATCGTAATGCAAAATGGAAAGGGTGGACTGCTGCTCACTACGCCTGCTCTTTTACCCACCTTGATGCCATGAAGTTGCTGATAAAACGCAATTCAGATTTCTTCGGCATGCCGATTCTTGGCAACAAGGAGAAGCAAACTTGTCTTCACATTGCCATTCGACGCAATGAAGGCAAGTGTGTTGAGTGGTTGTTGGACAATATGAAGATTGAGCATATCCAACAGACAAACTTATATGGGGAGACTGGTTGGGAAGCGGCGTGTGGTCTAGGGAGTATATCGTTTAAAGTGGCCAGCGCATTTGTGCTGGCAGAAGAGAATAATCAAAGCTTCCACGCAGATTGTTTGTGGGATAAGCTGGAGCTGTTCGGAACGGTTACGACCTATAGCTTTTGGCTGAGCAATGTGAGTACAACAATCTACAGCCACCTATCACTAGAGTTAGTAAGAATAGGTGCACTAACAATAGACAGATACCAGGCTTACTTGTAGGTGTCATTGGACCAACTTGTTTTTGGCCGGAGAATATGCTGGAGGATCTAATATCGATTCAAGGCTTTACTCGGAACTCTTCTGAAAGATAAAAAGATTTCTCAGGCAGCAGTCAAGCTGCTTATTGAAGAATTTTGGAATCTGCGCCAAACTGAAAATGGACTAGGAGTCAGAGATCCGTTGTGCACTTTCAAGTCACTGGGAACACATGTTGTTCACAACTCCGACTTAGTTAACAAGCCAGAACCCTTCATCGGGGACGAAAAGTTGCCCGACTACATGTCTATAGTTGTAAGCAGTCCTTGAGAATGACAACCCCAAGACATTGACATCGATTAGATGCCATTCTTTGGCTTTGACAGCGCCAAGCATCTCAACACTTGGAGGGATCCGGACAATGCCAAGGCGACAGCCTGGCCGAAACTCTCTGAGGGCTGGAAATACTGCTGCTACGGCAAACCGAGAGATGCACGGTGTTACCCATCCCTCACGTTGGATGAGTTTTGCTGTCAATCGTTGTTCCAAGAACGCCCTTGCTCGACGCAACTGCGATCAAGTTATCTTGTCTATCCAGCAAATCGGACAAAAGGCAAATGAGCCAGACAAAGAGACGCTGGACAATATTCCAGACCGAAATGAGCTCATTATTGTCAAGCAAGCTTGGATGTGGAAGATGCAAGATGTCTTCATTGTGTCGGGCGGGAGCGGACGGAGCGATCCACCGCTTCTCTTCGTGGAGAACTCATTCGAAAGTCCTACCACACCGAAGGGCTGCTCAGGTGCATTGGAATGATGATGACTCATATGGTGATATCGATAGAAATCAGCTCAGCTGATCCAAAAAGAGGCAACATCTTCAGAATCTTTGAGCAGGCCATCACAGCGGTTTCCGAGAAGGTGGACACGTACCTTCGTGATGTCAGTATTGCAGGGATCCGGATTGAGACGGAAAAAGATTGCCTTCACCGAATCATCGACATTCAAGATGAGCTGTCAATGATCAAGCGAGTCATCCTTCAGCAGGAGGTGGTGTGGAAATCGTTTGCAAGCAAAGCATGGCCCGACTACTGGCCGAATGGCCAAGATGGAAGTATGAATATCCCCAAAAGCCATTGGCAGATCTGGACCAAGCAAGAAGTAGAGGAGTGGGAGTTCATCCAGAGCGCCGAGTCCAAGTTCAAGGAGTATTACCGGCGTCTTGCACAGCTCGACGAAGATGCGCAAAGAGTCGAGCGATCGGTCACGGCAATGCTGGACTTGAAATCAAAACACGCGACGATTCGAGAAGCTCATACATCTGCCATCATGAGCGCAGCAGTTGTCGGATTCACCATCGTCACCATCATCTTCACTCCCTTGTCGTATATGGCAAGTCTCTTTGCCCTCCCGATCAATACCCTCCAGGACAAACAGTACCCATCACGATTCACAAGCGACGCTGGAACCTACCGCAGCAGCTACTTTGCGAAATGGACTGGTGAGTATTGCTTCGCCCACTTCGAATACACGGCTAATGATGGTTTCACTAGTGACGGCGGAGATTGCAACATTTGCCTTCACCTTCTTTTGCATGTGGGTTGCAATCAAATTCCTCCTTGGCGTATCCATCATACGGCCTAGTTTGAGGTTCATCTTCCGGCCCATCAAGGCGGCCGCTCTTCAAGTTGAAACGCTATACCGCCGCAGTCATCTAGCGGGAAACAATATCAGCAGTCCCATGAAGTCTTTCTTTCAGCGCAAGAAGCCAAATACTATAGACGAGGAAAGGGGCAATAAGTGAAAATGGGGGTGGGGCCATTTTTGCTTTTGCTTCCGATGCGACATTCCATTTATGATAATTTAGTATCACGTGACTGTAAGACGGAGGACAATAGACGTCCGTTCTATATGGGAATCTATCTACCTATATACATCAAGAAAAGATCACGTGTAGGTCACATCCACACTATATCTGTTCTAGGATAGTATAGATCTAGTATAGAATGCTTCCTATACGTCACGTGCACCTACCGCCCGCATAACCACCGAGCTCAAGAATTCCACGCATTGACGTATCTTATTTTCGAATCATCCAAATGGTCTCTTATCAAGATTAAGCTGCTAAGAGTTCTCATAGGAAAGTATGAACAAGCTTAGAGGCCTGAAAGTATGTCAGAATCTGGGTCAGCTATAGTAAGAACTGGGCCACTAAGCAAGGGACTGGCTGCGGAATACGCGAAACTGGTTCGTCCTTCCCAATGGAACTCACCAGTTATACCTCGGAAACACGCTCTAATGTAGAAAGTTCATCGGAGAACATCTTTCCTTTACCGACTTGCATATAACCTTGGATCGCCTACATTTTCCAACATGAAAAAGAAATCCCATCCACGTTTTCTTTGCCCCTTCCTCAACTCGGATTGTACAAATAGATCGGGATCCGATCAAGCTTGTGCTCGCCCTTGTTTTACGCTTGTAGCATTCGCAACGGCTCCACAACTAGCCTCTCAAACTCAAGGACTTCTGCCACATCGTTACTTGATGCCTCGCTGCTACCAAATGGCCCCATCAAACAGGCTTCAACTGCCTTCCTATATGATTGCCCGACCGTGTGCCCTAGGAGCGGAACCTGAGTCTTCAGAAGCCTGTTCTTTAGCTCCGTAGGCGAGTTGCCCTTGAAATTCTCTAGTCTGTCCCATAAGCCAATCTCCACAAGCACAAGTCCAAGGCCATAATAATCGTAGTCCAATCGAAAACGCTCGCCTCGACGTGATGCCTCACTTGTGTATGACGGGTGGTAGTACTTTCGCGCCGTTAGGCTCGGTGGTGGGCCTGTTGTAAATGCTTTTGGCTGGTTGGGTCTGGAGTAGTTGAAGCCGATGAGATATGGATCATCAATGCATGGCCCATGCCTCGAGAAGAAGATGATATTGTGTGAAGAAATGCTTTTGTGTACTAAACTTGCTTTGTGGAAGTCGAGCAGAGTAGTAGCGAGAGCGCTAGCGAGGGCGAAACGGTGGTTCAGCGTAATCCTCTCCAGATTTCCTGCCGTGTCGCGGATGACCTCATTCAGAGTCATTACAGATACACCCGGACGTTGGTGGGCAATATCATAGAGCATACCAAAAGCGTGTCGACTTTGAGAGTGGAAATAGCCTGAGCAGCCCAATATTCGAAGAGGCGCTGACTGCTGTGAAGATATCATCGAGTTCAGGGCCTTGGCAATACTTGCAACCCTATCTATCATCTCTTTTTGAATTTCCCCTTCCCAGTGCATATCGTACTTTATCCACTCTATTAGGACTTGCTTCTGAGAGATCGGCTCTTTTCCAGGTATCAGGCCGAGGTGATGCTCTCCAAGTGTCGAAACGAGTTGTACTGACTGACTTTTCACATACAAATCAGGTTCACCAGAATGGCTGCTTCGAGATGCCGCTTCCTGGGTCCGCTGGTTGATTGTAGCCGAAAATTGTTTGACAAAAGCTAGCATGCCAATCTTGCTGCCGGAAGGTCCGAACTCGTCCACTCAGGTTGAAATTGATGTGAACTCTGATTTCTATAGACGTCTAGCTAGTTGTATATATACTAGGGGAAGGAAGGGGGCCACCCCCAGGGTAGCGCGCTAGTAAGTTCAGATGAGCCCTGCACAGCTGAGGCTTCAACTCGGTTCTCTACAGCTGAGATTTCAGCTGGGTTCTCTACAGCTGATGTTCGGAGAGTAGCTTTCTGGCATATGAGTTGTTGATCCTAGGTTGTAGTGCTGCAACCTGAGTCGTCCAACCCCTGAAGGCTCTTCCCCGGTCTGAAAGTATCGTCATTGCAAAGGAATATATCAAGAAATGATATAGCCTGATTCTGATAATGCACTGGTAATGATTCTACTAGGCAATCGTTCAACGAGCGCAATTCATAGAAAGTTGGAAATGCCATGCTGTCATGTCTCTCTTGGGTCAGAGCAAGCTCTGAACGGACTTTCTGCAGCAATGCAAGGCTCTCATCGAAGTTCGTTCTCAGTGGGTTACTTTCATGTGCCTCGTTCTGTTGCTCATCGATGAAGTTGAGCACGTATTTCCAACTCTGAAATCTACCAAACTCTAGACGCGCCTGGATTGATTTGGTCAAGCTGACAGTATTTGCGTACTTTTTGCTTATCGGACCTAATAGCTCATTCAGCGTGATGAATTGCAACTCAGAAGTAATTTGTGCGGCTTTGGGTCGCTCTTCTGGACTTATTGCAAAGATCTTCCGGATCAACCTCGTGAGCTGTTGGACGGGGCGGCGTAGGTCCGAATCGAGAGCATCGAGAAGACGGGTGACACTGCCATTCAGTATTAGGCCAGGCATGTGAAAGGTTCCCATGTGCCATGGTTTGAATCGACGCTCTTTCCTAAATATTTGCACCCCTTGTTGACCTTGCAGCATATAGACTAGTACCTCTAGCATAATGCATCCAAAAGACCAAATATCACTTGGGCGGCTGACAATGCCACTTCGGAAGCTGTCATCCAAATCTTCACATTCCGGGGCAAGGTAGTCTGCACCTCCTCTTTTGAAAGGCGTCCTTGATAACTCGGTGGCTGGTTTGAAGCTTGAGAAGCCAAAATCACTCAAGATAAACTCATCCCCATCAACAAGGATGTTGTTTGGTTTGAGATCCCGATGAAGTCCAATAAGCCGAAGATCTACCTTTTTGGCAGTAGTGTAGTCGTGAACCATCTCGAGGGCGGAAGACAAGCGGCTGAGTGCTTTGTAGAACGAGAAATGCTCTCGAAAGTCTGAAGGAGGAGGATCTTTTTCAAAAAGCTTATCAAGGTCTCCACCTTGAGCTAACGGGAAGATGAAGTTGCGCCTTCTTTGGTATGTGTAAAACGAGAGTAATCTAGAGATATTGGGGTGTTCAAGTTGATTGAGTAAGCTCAGACTTCGGAGTTCATTTTCGTATCGAGAATCGGAATCGTGCATGATTTCCGAGGTTTGCTTTCGGACTAGGCCCTTACTCTGAAAGCATAGATTCGTCAGATGGTTGGTTACACTACTTGGAGTTGATAAAGAATTACCTCTGATGGCAATATCATGGCCATATTTTGGTGGTCAGGGTGTATGCTGATGCGGAATACTTCCCCTAGACCACCCTCGCCAATTTTCGTATTTTCAGTGAATGGCAACACGGTTCGTAAATCTAAGAAACGGTGTTCCACTCCAGTACTCAGTATTGGCGCACAGAATTCCCATTGCAGTCTATAGAAGTCTTCCGCAATGGATGGCACAAGCATACGAAGGTCCTGCTCAGAGAAAGGAAGTTTGTGATCGATAGGGGAATCCTGGAGATTATCGAGCTCGATGAAACGCGTTATCTCGGCAATTCGGCCGTCGAGCATAACAAGAATTGCGAAGATTCTTCTCCCTCCGGGGTAGATCTTATCGGTTATTCCATCAATGCGATACCATTCAATACTGGAGACGGAGAGCGCATCTCGGACAATGGCTTCTGTAACCAAGGTGTAAAGACTATGGAGAGGGATAAAAAAGTCCTTTCCCCCGGCTACTAGACACCTGATGTCTCGAATTTGGGCCCGTAGTCTGTCCATTGCTGACAAAGAAACCCGGCCTAATGTGTCTGCTTACAGATCGGGTTTTTGGGAAGCGAGTCGCACTTCGATTTACAGGCTTCGTGGCAAAAAAAGGCTATTGTACTGGAGCACTGTCATCGCGGATAGATGAGTGGCAAGCAATAGAGATAGAGTTCCTTGCGATTGCCGCTGATATGGGACCAGAGAATTGTTTGGGATATCTAGGTATCTATCAATGACTCCTTCTCCGCCTGAACTGGTCGTCAGTATTTTCTTTTAGTCAAGTTCTGTTTGACATTTTGTGTGAACTAATAACTTACCTCGGTCAATTTCCTCGGTGCTGTAACGACGGTATAATCTTCTGATCTGAACTGTAGGCGTCTATGTTTAGTAAGAAGGAGGTGTATGTATGCAGATCGAGCGGACCTCCACATCGAAATTTCCAATTCCGAAAGCGTTTTTTAGAAGTTCCAGCAAACGAGCTTTATTGACGTAGCGTATATTGATGACATCGATCTCAGGCATAATTGTTCCAGTCGGGGTTTTGAGCTATCGGTTCGATTAGAAAAGAAACATCCATCAGGATGAAGTGAACTTGTGCGTCCCTTATAATCGGGCAGACTGGGCTTTCAGGCTCGGGCCTAGGCTTCTTTAGCATGTTACACAGCATCTGGCGCTCCGTGCTTGGGTCACGGGCATATGACCGGTGAAGCTTGTTATTCCCCGCCACAATCTGAACTCTACCGAATCATCGCCCCGCACGTGTATGCTCGGAAGTTGAGAAGGTGCATAACGACCGGTGAAGCCGTTACGCCTTGCTAACCTGAATTCTTGACCTGTTAAATGAATCATCGTCCCATACGCGTATGCTCAGCTGAATGAATGCGGACATTCTAACGACCGGTGAAGCTTGTTACGCCCCGCCATGACAAATTTATTGTCCCACACATGCATGCTCGGCAACCGAATAATGTGGATAACGACCAGCGGGGATAATCTTGTTTCGGAAAGCCTGACGAGGTTAGGCAGAGACCAGCCGGCCTCGTTAATCTCGAACAACAATCGCGTGCGAGTTATGATGATAGAAAACTTGACTAACCTCTATTATACCTTTCTGCCTTTGTAGGGGCATCTGGCCAAGTTTTTGAACGTACCTATCAGATCATCGCTACCTTCGTTGTGAATCTATTTCCTACCTCATCGCCACATATACTCACCAATCCCCCATTCTAAGTCCGCAAATAGTACTAGTGAGTGGGCATGGTGCCTTAGCTCTCAGTAGCTTTGGGGCTGTACAATGGGAGACATCTTTGCCGGCAATAAAAGATATGCTTTTGAGTCCTAAATTCTCCAGTCTTCCAACGCAGTGTCACAGTCTTGGTAGAAGAGTCGAACCAGAGAATGACAAATTTTCCACCCTTCACTGGTTTGGACGACTACCTCAGCTCACAACCGGCCCTAGATAGTCAGTTCTACAGCCATAGATTCCATGAAGATGCGACAAGACTTTTCTCCCCCACGAAAGACATCCTTAAAGTGCTTCGCATAAACTCATGTAGTGGAGGTACGTAACCAAACATTCTTCTGGGCACATTGATTCGTTTCCAGAATTTAGAACGTTTTTAAATATCCCTTCAAAACTAACACAGTGGACAACGCAGAGCTCCACGAGCGTACTACAACATCTGACCATGGACTGGACTCTCTAACCCTTGCGAGTAAACCCTTTGAAGCCCTCGCCACAGATAGCTAACTTAGTTCAAGCTCAACGGAAATCCATGCGACACCATAATCTAGTACGTTGACTTGGGCTTTGCAACGGGGAATCTTGGTTGATGAATTCAGCATAATCCAGCAAGACTATTCCTGGGGCCGCTTCCAGATTACTAAAGAAAGTTGTCTGAAGGTTCTACAGGCGAACTGCGTCTTCCTCCCTTTCCTGGATTGCCTTCATGCTTTTGGCTACAAGACTGAAGAAGACAACAGAATTTGGGATGGCTTCTATTCCACTCTCAAAACTGACACAGATGAATGTTGTCAAGGTATGACATGAGCGCTGCACGTCATAGTCGTCATGGTTTACATTATATCCTAGAGATCTGTTATATGATTCGATACATGGAGAAGAATGGTAGGATCGGGTACAATCCTTGGTCTCTGAGGCAAACAGGCGTTTATCAGAAAACCGATCTCCAGACTGGCCACTCGACTTGGGTTCTTCTACAACCTCCTCAAAGTTTCGTGGCCAGGCTACGGGACCATCTGGGCCACCGTAGCACATCCCAAGATGACTCACACTCATTTCAAAGACAGATGCATGGCATGTTCATGTCCTTAGCACTCAACAATATGGGGCACTTCATTGAAGATTTACAGTCAAGCATCATGAAATTGGTAAATATCGGCCCCCAATTGGTGCCGCGAGAGCCTAACACTTAATCATCCCAGAACTATAAAGCCTGTTTCTCGACACTTGAAACTGCTAAAGAGCATGACTTTTCTGTAACCTTTTCGGATCTTCAGCAGGTGCAACATTTCAAACAAAGACTCCGCAGAACGTCCGGGATGCTACAGTCTTATGCCAGTATCATAGGCTCCTTTGGAAAACATACCAGAGAACATAGATCCCCACGAAGCGAGCACTGCGAAAGGTCGGTATGTCTCGAGTCGGACATATTTGGGAGTCAGATCGAGGTATACTCACGCCGATTGGACATGGCTCTGACATATGGCAAAGGCACTCACAAGCTAGTACGTAAATCAAGCTGGTAGATAGGATGTGCACTGATCCTGCTTGCTAGCTGTCCAAGATTCTTCAGTTTCGCCATGATGAGGTCCTGGTTCGCACAGCTACTACGATGGAAGCTAACCTCGACGTTCTGAAACGCATTTCTTTCATCAACGGTGAAGAATCTCGTAATTTGTCCCAGATTAGCAAGCAGGGCCAGAAAGATTCCGAAACCGTTAAATCTTTGACGACGATAGCGACGATGTATCTCCCGGCCAGTTTGGTAGCAGTAAGTAAGTCTATAATGCCTAGAAATTAGTGCTGACTCGATGATTTTCCAGACGCTCTTCAGCTCCAGCCTTATTCAGTTCCAGTATCAAACCACCGCAATGAATGGGAAAGGTCATTTCGTAATTGCACAGGAGTTTTGGCTGTACGTTTTAGTGACCGCGCTTCTGACTTTGGTCACATTGGGTCTAGTAGCTCTTTTGCAGAAGAGATGGCGGCAATCGGAATGCGCGTCCACAACTGTATAGCGGAGTTATGGAACCAGATATCTGGATTGATGTCTACGTGCCACTGCGAGTGCCAGCGCAGGGGATGAGAGCAGCCGGTCTTTAGAGCGTGTGCAAAAGTCCTGACGCTATTTGCTTCCGTGAATGACTTGGACTGGGCTGGGCTGGATGAGTCCTCCAACCCACATGACCCACCAGAAACCACTGTGAAGCTCCTGGCGCTCCAGGAGCTCCACAATAGGGCTGATATAGTATATATTTACCTAAAACAGTTAGTATATTATCTGAAGTAGCTTAACATGGAAAAATTATGAGGATAATTCTTAGAGGCTTGAGTAGGCATTAAGCTTAGGTATGCTAAGTAGCTCTTACATTTATACCTTCAAGCTAAGCTGAAAGCCTATATATACGGAGTATTCTGGCTATTAAGCAGCACGTGACTAATACGTGGTCTTTAGTCACATGACTTTATATCCTGGCTGGACCCGCAAGCCTCATAAATATTATAATACCACTCTTAACATCATATATATAGTAAACCATTGGAACTCCAGGATTGTCTACAGCCTCAAATCCACATGGTCCAAATAGAACCTCAGTCCGATCCAGTGCTATTTTCGAGGGCCTCCATCCGGGTCCAATCCAAACCGATCCAGTCCAGTTCCATCACTGATTTGCTTTTGCTTGACTCGTGTTGCAACTTATAAAAATCATGCAATTGGTGGCACAGCTAAAACAAATGACGGAATGCGACTGTATTTCTTCAGTGGGCCACTAGCTATGAAGGCTTCAAATGCGGGCTGTCATATGTAAAGTTGCGAAGGATTAAATAGAGTAAAATCAAGTAGATCAAAACATACAGCGACGGGTAATAATACTTTTAAGACATCTCAAACCACAGGCATGTCATTGGTTGCCTTGCCGAGTGACTCACAGGAACCTAGGTTGCGTTAGCTGTCCTCAGCCTTTCTCAATCCTCGCGACTTCTCGTACACCTGACCTGATAGCTTGTTCCGAAGAGTTTCCCTTCAAGCGTCAAAGTTCGGAGCCTTCTAGTCTATTAACTCTTCGGATATGGCAGATCTCAGCGAGGACCTTACAACACCCGCATCAGCGTACTGCTTGCAGTACCGCGCTGCGCGAGCCACTTCGAAGGCGTCACCAAATCTGAAACGACTGGAGCGAGAAAAGTTAGCCGATCTGATCACCTTCCTGTCGCTAGCTCACTGTCGGGATGTGGAAATGGCTTCTTTCACTTGGCAATTACCTATGGGGGCCTTGGGGAAAGGCGGAACCGCAGAGGTTCGCCAACGAATACTAAATCTGGAAGATAGTCTTGCCCTGAAGCGTCCTACGGCACCATCAGATGGCCAAAGCAGTAGAAAAACCCCAAAGAATACCGAAACAACTGGAGATCATCGCTCTACGGACGACGAGTATCGCATTGTCATGACCGAAATTGACGTGTTGTCTCTACTAGAGATCAGGCACCATCCAAACATTGTCAACATCAAAGCCATTTGCTGGGATATTCGACCAGAAAGCGGCGAGGTCTGGCCAGTTCTCATTTTCGAGGGAGCGGAAGAAGGCGACCTTTGTCATTTTCTGAACTCCGAAGCAGGAAGAGCCATGGGAATTCAGCAGCGCCTAAAATTCTGCCAGGACATAGCTATCGCTGTCTTATGTTTACAAAGTTGTGGTAAGTCCACTGAATGACACTTAGAATGTTTCTCTTGCAACGACAGCATGTTCACATAGACTAGGTGCTGTGCACGGCGATATAAATCCCCGTAATCTGCTTGTCTTCCGTAAATATAAAAATAAAACCGACCTCTGGGTAAAGCTGTCTGATTTTGGTTATTCGTCACTGTTTAATACAGGTGACAGGATTCCGATGGCAACGACCTGGCCTTGGTACGCGCCTGAGTGCACGACATCGTGGGGATTCGATTTTTACGAGGCTCAAATGACCGATATATACTCACTTGGCCTTGTCTGTCTCTGGATCCTGTTCAACGAAAACTTTCAGGGCTCTGCGCCCCTAGCACAAGACGACTTCAACTACAGCTGGATAGAGAAGTATCGAGATTCCGGTACTCTTAGGACCATAGCGTATGATCAACTCGCCAAGGCCTCTAGTCTAGCACCAGAACAAGTACGAGAGCTTCAGCATTTCTTCGAGTTTTCCTTGACTGAGGATCCCGGAGAGCGAAAGCTAGCGCTCAAGGGTCTCTTCTATGACCCCAGAAAAAGGGAGGACATGGGCAACATATCCTTCCACCCTATCAAAAAAACATTTGACAGGCATGAGCAGATACCATACGCCGCACAGTTCAAGGTACACTTCATAAACGGAACCTTCGAATGAATGGAAGCGCTGATGCTTTATAGTTAAGTGCTATCTGGTATCAATCTATGCTTGGAGATTTCCGCGTCTGGGAGGCCATATCGAAAGCGCTCGAAACACAATCAACTGTTCACCCTCAGCAGAGTGCCCGCCAAAATGCAGCATTTCAGTTGGCTCTGTGTTACGAAATTGGGTTTGGCTGCGCAAAGTCTAGATCCAAGTCTAAGCAATGGCTTACTCTGTCCGGGAAGACGCTGGAAGATGTTGAAGACCAAAAAAAAATTATCAGAGCCAGTGAAAGCCAGTTTGGAAGAATGGGCATACTCGCAGCCTTCTCTACTTCTGCCCTCGCAGCTACTTATCAACAGAATGGACTGTTAGATCATGCGGTGAAGGTATACAAGACGAGCATTGAAAACCTTAAAGACTTCTTACCGAGTCACCACGAGGTTATACTCAATCAAACGGCCATTCTCGCCGCAACGTATCGAGCATTAGGTCGACTCCAAGTTGCCGAAGCTGTCCTTTCTGAGCCGCTTCGACTATTTCCTCAGGTTATCTCCAACTCTGCTCGGCAACAAATTCGACGTCAAATGATCCATGTTTATTCCGAGATGGGTCATACCACCGAGATGGCAAGTCTCATTGCGGAAGAGGATGAGGAAACCAATGTGCAAATTGCTCAACTGCAGTCGAGCCGAAACCCAACAAATGAAAGAAGGATAAAATCCTTCAAAGCGAAGAAGCTTCATGCACTTGAGGATCTTGGCATTTGCGCTTTTCACGAACGAGATTATAGAAAAGCTGAGCAAGCGCTACTGCAATATCTTTCGCTAGCAGAAGAGATGTATGGAAACAAAGGGAGCACCACACATGGTATGCTTGTTCTTGGAGAGCTGTATAATCAGATCAAGCGGCATGAAGAAGCTAAGAGATATCTTGACCTTGCGATCAGGATTCGTGAGAAGGATCCGGACGAGGATTATAAGCAAATATATCATCTCCGAATCGCCCGCCTCTCGGTATGCAGTACCCTTAAAGAGCGGAAAGAAGCAAGATTTAATACAGTCAAGCTTCTTGAGGAATGCCGGGCAAGGTTCGGAGACACACATGATATCACCTTGACTGCATTATTGAAACTGATCGATAGGTTGAATGAACAAGGCCAGAGAAACGATGCGATCAACCTTGGCAGACTTCACGTGGAATTATGCGGAAAAACAGTGGGAACTCAACGGCCGAGAACAGGCTTCGCAAAATTCAGAGTTGCGCTACTACTTTGGGACTTTGCGTGTTGGGATGAGGCGATTGAGATGCAGGAGGAGGTGGTAAGTATTTACGTCAAGGCACATGGAAGTAATCATCCGAAAACGGCGCAGATGAGGGAACAGCTGGAATGGATGAAAAGGGGAGCGTCGCTACGGCGAAGGATTGAGACGCTTGTTCCCGGAGCTATTGTACTTGGAACGGCGAGAATGATTCTCGCATTTCGAGCGTGGCTGACTAGACTCGTATACTATTTCGCGTAGAAAAAACTTGGTTGAAGAAATAGTCCCGAGTAAATACTAAATCAAAGTTTTGAGAATGACATTGCCGAAATATGAAGATGCTACATTATATCCTCCACATGAGATTTGTTCCGAGCACTCGGAGTGGGGTGTGTATTCTTGAAATAGGAACCACTCGCCTAATCTCGACTACCAAGATACGACGATTAGGCTGCAACACAAGGACAGCCTCCAAAGAGCTGTGCCAGCACTTCTTTACGGAGACGTTCAATACGCTACTACGTCTTTCATTCGTGTCTACCCCATGAATCCATGGAGCAGCTTTCCAATAGCTATGCATATCAGCCTCTCAACGCAGCCGCCAAAGACATCCGGGTCTTGAAACTATATTCAGGCCACGATGCGGACAAGATCTCGGGAGAACTTCTCACAACATGTTTAGATTCAAAATCGCCCTATGATGCCCTATCATACCAGTGGGGAAGCCCTACCATCACATCGACGATCTATCTAGGCCAAGATGGAGAGCTTCAACTTACGACATTCCTTCATGAAGCTCTGTCCTTCATTCGGAAGCCCGACGAGGCGACTTTCATTTGGATAGATGCAATTTGTATCAACCAGAAAGACGTCAGCGAGCGGAATCATCAGGTTTCTATGATGAAGGAAATCTATTCAAGTGCTAGAACAGTCAGAGTTTGGTTGAAGCAAGAGATCGATTTTTCGAGTCCGTGTTTCGATATTCTCGCAAGATTGGACAAGACCAGCCCTCCAGAGAGCCTTGGGACCGATGCTACACTGTAGAGACCTATCGCGGCGCTGCTCCAGGATCCATACCGGGACCGGCTATGGATGCAGCAAGAGCTTCTATTTGCCAAAGATATCACGTTTCACTGCCGGAAGACCACACTTCTGGTCAATCCATTGGGGTCCTCCAATGGCTTATTCTTCGCCGTAGGAAGGAAGTAAATGGGTTGATTGACCTCGATCGCAAGGAATGGTCAGATCTCGCCTGGGATATGAAGTTATCGCTGACTCCATCACGACATCTCCTTCGGTGGGAAGAGATGATTTCCAAGAAAAGGCCAATAGATCGCACTACGCTTCTCCCCCCGGGAAATGGAGAGCCCTTTGACTTGGGAAAGATGCTATCAGAAGACCCCCTTATTCTTCACATGCCTTGTTAGCTTCTCGGTGGGTTAAGGAACTCTCAAAGATTAAGTCTGACGGACCCAAGAGACCGGGTGTATGGGATATTGAACCTCATCGCCGACGTGGAGCCGGGGGACATTCACATCGACTATGGAAAGACTATCGCCGAGGTGTATACGGACGTCTGCAAGTTCATCGTTGAAAAGTACCACTTTCTGGCTTTTCTTCCGCACGCGAACCTCCCCAAGTAGGGTAATATCGACTTGCCCGGTCGCCCCTCTCGGGTACCTAATTGGAACGAAGTCGTTGAGCCAGGTTTCTTTTGGGCATCATACAACACCACTCTGTCTCTACAGTGTCTATCGGACGCAATTAGACTCTCCGTTGAACACGTCTTGACGCCGCCAAGAGTGCCCTCAGGCCGTGTCAGCCCCCTCAACCTAGACTTCTCTCCAACGCCCTCATCGCCACCAACGAGCCAGCCCCGCTCCTCCCCACGGGCTACGCCGGCCCTCTGCACCCACATCACCGCCCTAGGCGCGGCCCCAACCGGCCCTGCCACCGCTCTGCGCCACGCCCACCCCCGCTTCACCGCCAAAGAGTCCTTCCTCTACCCCTTCCTCCTCCTGCGCGCTGCCGCCCTCCACGCCCTCCTATCCCAGCCCCTGCATCTCGCCAGCTTCAAGTCGCTCGGCAGCGAGCCTGACGCGGGGCTCGATGCGTGGGTTGCGAATATCGGCCGCTTGTCGGCAGCGGATACGTCGGTGCTTGGGGTGTGGTGGATCTGCAGGATATGTTTCTGCATGGGTTTGAGCTTATTCATGCCAATTTCAGGGCGTTTGTAGCGTTTATGTGCGTGGCGGTTCGGGAGTTGTGTGTGGTGGCGCAGCGGGTGGAGCTGTGCGAGGGGGATGAGGTGTGGGTGCTGTTTGGGTGTCCGACGCCGACGGTGCTGAGGAGGGGTGAGGAGCGATATATGGTCGTGGGGCCGGTGTTTGTGGAGGGGTTTATGAAGGGGGGAGGCTGTGGTGGGGGTGGAAGGGGGTTTAAGGGATGGGGAGAGGGTGGGGGAGTGGGAGGTGCAGACGGTTGAGATGCGGTAATGTTGGGGGTTTGAGGTGTGGCTTTTGTCTTGTTATAGATATTAGTACACTCGTTTACCGCTGCATGAGGAGCCTCATAGCATTTTCAGCATTCCGTGTAAGAGAGAAGTAGAGCATTTTGGAATACTGGTAAACTCGCGAGGCCACTCCAGACAGTGTCAACATGGTGTACGCAGATGGGAAGTGTATCCGCTGTTCCCGGTTTCAGGTACTAAGTGAGAGCCCCCACAAATAGTGGTAGGGAAGTGTGCGGATATATATGGCAAGGCGCTGTATATTGGACTTGAGATGTAGGATTGAGGTCCAATTCTGACTCAGGGCATAGGAAAGCGGGCTTGTTGTCGGGGATCTTGTGCGGCCTAAAGAATATTGCGGGTGTACCGGGGTTGCTGGGCTTTCCATTGTCAAAACGCTGGTCGAGGCGCAGCTGAAGAGAGCGTACAGATACCGATCGTGATTTGTCGACAAGCTTCCTTCCGCATATTCTATCACATGTCCCCATATCAATCACGTTACCTTCCCGCTGACTAAGCCCTTTTTCTCTTTTCCTCAGACTACAAAAGCCCAGCCCCCCTCAGACCTCCGACCTCCTCAGCGGGGTTCGACAGGAGTGGACCAAAATGGTGGGTGGATCAAAATGAGACCGTGAAAAGCCTGATGAGTGGAGAGGTGGGCGCATGAAAACTCAACCGCTGCCTAGATCTATGCGTGGAGCGGTGGTCGCTGGGGATCAAAGCCTTGGGTGGCTTCAACGACAATGGGCGGCGTGGTGGTCGTTGGGATTAAAAACCTGACCAGTTCCCAAGGAATGGGTGGAGGAGGGTGCGAGTGTTTAACAGCCATTACTGCGAGACCGCATGGAGTAACTGGATGGAGTGATGGTGGATCAAAAGTAGGAGCGGCAGCTTCAAATGGGCAGAGTTTGGGTGTGAGTGTTCAAAATCATTACTGCTGAAGCTCAATGGAGGTGGGTGGAGTGATGTGAGACTTCTGCAGTAATGACGAGGAGCACCGCTTTCTAGTGTCGAACTACGTCTGCTAGAAGGGAAGGGGTTTGGTATACTTGATTAGAGAAGATCGTTACCATGCACGTTCCCATGCACGTTCAAATACTCTCACTATCACTAGTGGGAGAAGAGGTCCGTTCAGATCGATCGGTGATGATGGCTTTCGGTGTTATGGCAGATGAGGACAAGGAAGGGGTGGGGATGATGGAAATCATTGACTTGATGGATTCCAGACGACGCTCCGCCCATGACGGTTTTCGAGTGCGAATTTTTGCTCCAGACTTCGAACCCACTCCGACGCCATGGATTGCCCATGATCATGTGTTGATGGTGCCACATTCGATCGTTTCCGCTTCCTTTTTGAACACCTCCCCAACCAAGTCCTTCTACTACCGAGCTAGAAGCGGAGGAGGATGGAAGTTTTGTACCCCATCCCCAACTCCAAAACGTGACCGTCACCTGACCTGCGTTGAACGACACGGGAACACCCTCCGATCCTACCCGTTTATCTTATCTCCTGAAATGTTCTCCTGAAATCCACCTACTGATTCCTCGTATTCCGTAACTTCTTACCGCCACGTCCGCTTTGCTAGCAAGGACCCTAGGGTCGCCCGGAGGCTAAGGCTCTCCTTTTGACTGAATGAGGAAGGGCTCTTGTAGGTTTTAGCGCTTCGGCGAGAGAGAGGTAGAGGCGGTCGGTCTTTGGGCTTAGGAGTGATGTGTTGATATTGAAAGTATTTCATTTTGGAGATGGAAGATGCGAATCGCGAAGGTTGACGTCGGTACTGGAAGGGTTTACTATAGACAATGCGCTTGTGCGGGTGTAGATCATATATCTGGGGATATAGGGCGGAGGAGACAGGAGGAAGAGATCATCGAGGTTCTGGTGTAGGATGCATCGAATTCGAGAACGCTTGACGATGGAGATTCGTAGCAGTATCGAACAGTCAATTAGGCGCTTGGAGGCATTGCGGAGATTCGTGAATCGTGAGCAAATCGGACCGAAGCCGCGGAGCAGTGCGTTGAGTATGTAAACGAGTTTGGCAGAGCTTGTGTATGTTGAAGATGGCTTACGATGTGGTGTATGCGAAGGTGGGAAACTGGCGTTGATGATAGTCATAGGATGAGAAAGAGGGTAAATGATGAGGGCCGAAAAAGTAGACTGAATCATCCACACTCAGAAAGAGCTTCGTTTGTTTCTGTGAAGTAGTGGTCGAGAAATGACTGTTCAGGCCCTGTACTGCAATACGACTATCGGTGGGCCGAACTTAGAAATCCGTCTACTCCCCTCGGGTGATTGCAGATATTCTCGAACCATTACTCCTCAGTCTCTCTTTCCCGGTTAGCCCAGTAGTCGGGAGACTCAGCCATCATCCTCTTCTCTACAAACTTGGCAGACTTGGTTGATCCGCTACTCTTAATTCTAGCGAGATACTCACGCGTGCAATCGTTCAAGGCCGCATCGCATATTTCGCGCGTCAACTCTACGCCTGGATTTTCTTTTTGGAGCTGGCGGACCCAGGACGAGTATCCCCTTCTGTCACTGGTACCCTTTGAACTATCGCCGCTGATGACTGAGGGTATCTTGATGCCGTATGTCACTGGCCTTTCATCGTCGCTCCAGCCGAACTGTTCTCCCATAAGGTTATCCCAGCTCGTCTTTCCCGGGTGGCCGGCTGCCTGTTGAACGAGCTCACGGGCCCTACTCGAATCTCCGAGCGCTCCGGTGACGGAATTTTTGAATGCATCAACGACTTTGTCGTAGACGAGCAGTCGACGACGTGACTTATTTTGGAATTTGATGGTATCTAGGAAGAGCTTGAAGATGTTGTCGAACGGGCCGTTCAGGTTTTGGCTGGTAAGCCGAGGGTATTCGAGACGGAAAGGATTGCTCGCAACAGTCTTTCTACTTTTCCTTTTTGCGGCAAGGATCAGGGTCGGACGCATCGTGAAGACTTTCGTGGGATCGACGGGATAGAGATTGGTACAAGGAATTGTAGATAATTGAGCGAGGGCATAGCTTGCGAGGGCGCACCCTTAAGAAGGTATATTAAAGGAGAACAGAAGAAAACACCCCTAAACTCTGCTGCCTAGGACCACCACCTTCATATGTAAATTGCGGATGCAGTATGTATGTGATACGTTACATAGATGTGCAGTTCTCGTGTGGCACGACAGACAGAGCACCACCAACACTCGAGTTCCTTAGCACCGTGATGGCGGTTTGTCGAATACCGGCGAACTTTTGAGGATGAAGTAGTAGTAGAAGCAGATGACAAGTAGACTCCATACAGTGAAATAACATGGTTGAGGTTGTTGAAGTCGGAACTCTCGAAGCTGCAGACGATGATACCGATCACTTACCACACCACCGCGGACGTTCCTCCACAACCCCAACCCGCATGCACACTTCATCTTCCCCTGAGTGCCACAGCAGGATATGCGGCAGCCTCTTCCTGATGATATTTCTGGTGATTGGCCCTGAACGCCGCTCATCGACAGTTATTCACCCTAGAAACGCGGACCTATAACAAACCCTCCCTCTTGAATTTGGAAAACCGCCTATGCCTTCAAACGATGCATCCTCGAACACGTAAATCGGCTGCAGCTCGATCCGTAAGATGTGACAACCGTAAACGCCGAAACCAAAGAACGACATCGTGAATCAAAATACTTACCAAATCTACCACAAAGCAAGGGGGCACGTATAACAGCAAGGCAGACCGCACAATAGCAAGGCTGAAACCCATCCACCAACGAATCAGCCCACCGAGACAAGCAGGAAAGTCTGGCGTAATGTTGATGCAACTCGCATCCACGAAAAAACGCGGGGAAGAAGAGAGGCGGAGCCGTCCGTATCCGGTCGCCCTACCGGCACCCTCATCTCAATTAGCCCACTAAACTCCAAGCTCGCAACAACACTCAAACAACCAAACACTTCACAGGATTTCAAGTCCTTGCCATGGAATTGCCATTAATTTCATTTCAACAGGAGTTGGAAACTGCTCTAATCTCCAAACCACCCATCCCTTCGGGGCATCGCGACGCAAAATGCAGGGGATATATCGGTCTACTCTAATCTAAAGCAACCCAAGGACAACTGGACCTAGATACCTTCTGTAACTCATCTCCGGGCCGTATAAGGAGGCAACGTGAGGTATACGGTAAGAACGAAAATGCCGTCATTTTACTCCGTCCCAAAAGCCCAGAGGAAACGGCTATCCTCTCGCAACCCCCATATTTTAGGAAAAATACACTCGATCTACGCAAGATGGTTGGCAGATCATGGGTTTCAGATCATCATGCCAGGGACGCAAGTGTCGTATTGTTGTTGTGTTGTTCCGTGGTGTTGGTGCGCTTTCGCTCACAACATCCTTTCTGTTTCGTAAGACTTCGTATTCCTGTATGGTTCGATTCCATATTATGAGAGACGGTAATCTACTCAGCATCGCTGTCCGGTCCGATGACCATTTTCGCCGCGCTGCCAGCAGTGGGCTTAACCTTGGGGGCCGATAACACTTGTGGCGGGACGCCACGGCCGTTGCGGTTGCGGAAGAAGAAGACGCCCTTGCCCTCACCCTTGGCTTCGATGCTAGGCTCGACCCATTGGCAGACGCGGGCGCTGGTCCACATGCTCTTGAGGAAGCCGAGGGCGCCGCCTTCAGTGTTGGAGCGGTAGTGGCGGCCCATGACGGGCTTTATGGCCTCGGAGGCTTCGTCGGCGTGATAGAAGGGGATGGTCGAAATGTAGTGGTGCAGGACGTGGGTCTCGACGATGCCGTGCATGAGGGTGCGGCCGATGAAGCCGAATTCACGGTCAATGGTTGCAGCGGCACCACGGGCGAAGGTCCAGGTGTGGGCGTCGTAGTGGGGGAGGGTGGGGTCGGTGTGTTGGAGGTAGGTGATGGCGACTATATCTCTGTCAGTGCTCTGTCCGTCACATCACGTTACGGTGAATATGCTTACCGAGCCAATGGTTCACCCATAGGTATGGGAGGATGTACCATACGAGTAGGTTGGTGAAGCCGAAGTTCTTGCCGATCAAGAAAAGGATGGTGCCGGTAATTCCAAGCCCGAGATCGCTCAACAAGATAAGGTGCTCATCTTTCCTCTCGTACAGAGGGCTCGATGGCTGAAAGTGGTTGACGCCAGTGAAGTATCCATTCCTCTTGCCCTTGCCCTTGCCTTCGGCCTGACGCTCATGGTAGTTGTGTCCAGTAACGTTGGTCGAGAGATACACGAGCCAGCCACCGAGTTGCTGGACGATCATGTGGAGTGCGGTGGCGATAGGAGTCTCCTCAGTCAGCTCGGTCAACTCGTGAGCAAACTTCCCAATCCGAGAGGCGTACTCGTCCCGAGTCTTGGGCACGAAGACCATGTCACGCTCCATGTGGCCGGTAGCCTTGTGGTGCTTGCCATGAGAAATTTTCCAGGAGAAGTACGGCACGAGCAGAGCGGAGTGGCAGATCCACCCAACGGTGTCGTTGAGTGTCTTCGAAGGCGAGAAGGCCTGGTGGCCGCACTCGTGGGCAAGAACCCATAGCCCAGTGCCGAACAAGCCTTGAACGAATGTGTATAGCGCCCACAAGCCTGCTCGGACCGGCGTCGAGGGAATTGTTTCCGGGGTTACGAAGGCATGGAAGAGGTAGAAGGTGGCTGCAAGAGAAGCGATGTCCCGGGCCACGTATGCAAGACCGCGAGCACCAGAGCGTTGGAAGCAGTGGGCGGGGATAGCATCGCGGATCTGCTTGATGGTGTAGTCGGGGATCTCGAACTCGTTGCCGTAGGTGTCGAGGAGAGTGCCGCGGGCGTTCTTGACCGGGCCGTCGTCAGAAGAGTCAAGAGACGACAGCGACGAGGCGGAGGGAGACTGGGTGGGCGTGTCGGCGGGCGACGCCGAGACGGAAGGGTTCGACGACGACGGGGACGAGTCCGAGGTGACCGTTCTCCGCAGAACGGGATTCTGGGCTCTCGCTGTGGTGGTGGCCATGATGACGCTGGTTGTGGCTTCTTCAAACACGCTGTCCGAAGTGAAAGGAGTTGGTGGGCGGGGAGCAATTGACGATGTACGTGTCGGACTTTTTTGTTGAGGAGCCCTGGAAGTGTCCACGGTTTGGTTGGGATGCGAGAAATGAAAGGGACCGCGACGGCAAGGGGCACAGGCTGGAGGCAGTCCAACACACTGCGGGCAACAAGGAGAGAGCGTGCAGAGGGCAATTGAGCACAGCGGGAGGGTGGACACGGTTTTAAGGGCGATGGTGGGAAATTTATCTGATGGTCGTCCCTTGTTCCGTTCGCGCTTGGGCCGTTTAGCGAGCCGGCCGAGATCGCGGACTATCTATCGGTGGACAGCAGAGGAATTCACTGATACACGTTTGCCGCACCCTCGGTATTTGAATGTGGCCGCATTCGCCCTTCTACCTGCTCTGCGGGCCCCCTCCCGCTGACGCCACCTCGACTTGCATATTGGCCCAGGCAGCTAGAAAAGGCCTCTTCTCAGACGTGCCAGTGGGCGGCGTGAGATTGAGCTGGCCTCAGCAGGAGCATGCACAGCTTCCACACGGTGGCAGTACTGTGCGCACCCAAAGCAGCGAGTCCCGCCGGTGCAGTAGCGATGTGCCACTCCTCTCGCCCGCCCGTCTTGGCGACTCTGGTGTTGAGACTGACCGCCAGTTTGCCGCCATAGTCACGCCGTGCTCGACATTCCAGCCTTGGGAGCGTCGAGACGGGCCTGGAAAGGTCTGATAAACCCTGGAGTAGCTGGAGCCAGTGGTCCAGCTGTGGGCGCATGTGAATCCGCATGACGGTGGTGCTGCAGCGCGAGCTCCCCATAGGCCTGCAGCGCACCACGAGTCGGGATCCGATCTGGCGAGCCTCAGGGTCAAGGATAGCCGCCGTGATCGACGTCTTAGTTTTTGTTGGGGATGGCCCTGGCGGCCCCTTGGCCCTAGGCCGTTTTTCCACCTTCCCCTGCCAGCCTCCCACACGTGAGCGTCTCCCGAGGTGCTCTTTAGCCTTGCTCTAGACTGCGACCGCTCTCCTGTTCTCCCCGTCGTCGGCCATGCTGACATGTGAAGGTATCAGCTACGTACTGTCCGAGGTTCTCGCAGCCTCAACGTCAATCGACTCTCCGGAACGCCACGAACTTGCGATCGTAGCTGTAAACCCACATTGACGCTGGAAATAGCCAAACTGATCAGCTGCTCTGCTGTCTTGCATCCAGCCAAAAGCAATCTGATCACTAGTTGCCAACACAGTGCAGTAGAATCGTCTTCAGCTGCATGCAACCACCAAATAGGAAGTGCTGATCTCCAGCTGCCCAGATCAGATCCCTTGGATGCTATTGTATCGATAGAAGATTACTGGTCTGCTGGCGCATCCAATCTCTCCACGTATCCAATCCTTTTCTCCATGTCGTCCGCGTCACTGCAGTTTCAGCACATCATGGTGGAGCCAAGTACGTATGTCTCTGGTAGTGGACGACTGTCGCACTTCACATGCAGAGCTCCCACCGGGAATCACTCCGAGTCCCTATCTTTCCTCTTTGTATGTGAATGCAGGGCATATCCATTCGTTGGGCGCATCTTCGGTTCGGACCCCCAAACTGGCATGTCTGGGATTACTCGAAGCCCTCAACACTTTTCCACGATGGTAGTACTTAAAATGACGCACCGACAGCCACCCTTGGTTCAACGCCAGCAATCGGAAACTTCCCGCTTCCGCACAAGCCTTGCAGAGCGGCCCGCAGGCCCGAAGTCATTCGTTCGTGGCACGATGAACGTGCCCAAAGCCCATGCTCGGACAGGATGACCCACGATCCGAGTACCTGTCTCGTGTAGCTGCGTGGTGTTGGAGGGGTCGTCCTAAGCCAGTAGGGCTGTATGAGCGTTGAGACACATCGGAGAAGATATTGAACTTCAGTTTCATTGCCCATCTCTTGTGACGTATTCTTTGCATTCATTAAAGATGTTCTACGTCCTACTTGCTCATTCTATGGTAGAGCTTTCAGGCCGTTTGAATACATACACTACGTTTCTCTCAGTGTTGATATGAATGCTGGAACCTTACTCGGATACACTCCTCGATACGGTAGTACCTACCGCAAGTCGCACTACGATGTCTGTTTAAGACCTAGCATCATTCAGATAAATGTTATCTCACTGTGGTGATGCAACCAATATGTATTTCGACAACGGAACTAAATCTTAGCATTCAATTTTGTTGGAGCATACCTTCATTCTTACCTTTGCATGAGAGATGATTCCAGCTCGATGCTAATGATCTGATTAGACACCGTCACGTGATCAACGTACAGTGACGACCATGCTACACCGGGGTTCGCCAACATCACTCCTAATATATCAACTACCGTCTAGATAACCGTCACTTCATCAGAAATATTCAATCGTGGAAAACGCTACCCCGCAACCTCGGCGGGTGGAATTAGTGTCTTGGCGCCTTTGTATCTTATCAGCTACCTCACCTCACGTCTTTGCAAAATCTTCCCATTTGACAACAAACGACTTCTGTAGCAAGCCAGCTCTCATGTTCGTACTACATCGCTGAGTCACCATCACCACGTCGTCCTCTGGCACTTCTGTCAAACTGGCGTCCGCCTTTAATCGAATGATTTCAGACCGTCTACATGATTCAATAACACAACAGGAAGCTCTGCCCTCTCTCTTGCGGGTTCACTGGCTTTCACCGAGAAGCCAGGATAGGATTCCCTAATAGTCACTACCGTCGCTGATGCGACTCTGCTCAACTGCTTGAGCAACTCGGATTTTGATCCACCCTAGCAATCACAGCTAGACCGCACCATCTCCCAGGAGCTACAACATCTACAAAGATGCCTACCCTAGCTGTCGTCAACTTTAACATCGTGTGTGCTACCCTAGGCGGATTCATCACGCTGTTTGGCTTGGTGTCCTACCTCTGCAAGGAGAAATTCTACCTTTCCGAAGCTCGTACGTCATTACTTCGCCCATCCGACCAATATCTAATTTATTTCACAGTCATATCCATGATTGCCGGGATCGTATTCTCACCACAAGCCACGAACCTTATACGACCTCTTCAGTACGCGCTGGGAGACGAGGAAACGCTGCAGACCATAACGCTGTACTTCACCCGTCTGGTGCTAGGAGTGCAGCTAGTACTAGCTGGTGTGCAATTGCCGAGCAAATACTTAAAGACAGAATGGAAAGCCCTATCGCTTCTTTTGGGGCCAGGTATGACCGTCATGTGGATTTCCACGAGCCTTCTGGTGTATGCGTTTGTTCCGCACTTGAGCTTTTTGCACGCTCTTGCGGTTGGAGCTTGTGTGACTCCCACTGATCCTGTGCTGTCCAATTCCATCGTTAAGGGCAAGTTTGCCGATAAAAATATCCCAAAAGAACTTCAGAAGATTATCATTGCTGAATCTGGGGCTAACGACGGTCTTGGATATCCGTTCCTCTTTCTTCCGCTTTATTTGATCAAGCACATTGGATCGAACGGGCTTGGTCAGGATAATAGCGCCCGCAATGCAATGGGAGACTGGTTTGGTGAGACTTGGGCGTATACAATAATCCTCAGTGTCGTCTATGGTGCAGTGGTAGGGTGGGTCGCCAAAGAGCTTCTTCATTGGGCCGAGGCCCGCAAATATGTGGATAGAGAAAGCTTCCTTGTCTTCGCAATAACCTTAGCCGTAAGTCTCCATTATTAGCATCTGCGGAAATATATATGTCTGGAATTGACCACCGTCTAGCTGTTCATTGTCGGCACAGTTGGCATGATTGGAAGTGATGACGTCCTCGCATGCTTTATTGCAGGCAACACATTCACGTGGGAGTACGTTCAGCTACAGAAACCTCAAAGCTTAGACTCCATGCTAACCTTTCCCACAGTGATTGGTTTCGCTTGGAAACGCTTGATGACTCTTTTCAGCCCACAATTGACATGCTACTCAACGTAGCCGTCTTCATCTGGTTCGGCGCAGTTTGTCCTTGGTACAGCTTCGCCCACAACAATGTCATCCCAATCTATCGACTGATCTTCCTTGGAATTCTGGTACTGCTACTCCGCCGACTACCAATTGTCTTCGCCATGCACAAGAAGATCCATCAGATCGAAGAAGTCCGCCAAGCCCTGTTCGTCGGGTTTTTTGGACCCATTGGAGTCAGCGCCGTATTCTACCTCTACATCAGCCTAGAATTCCTTAGGGGAATTCAAGTCGATGGCGAAATCCGGAAGGATGCTCGTGTTCTCTCCGAGGTCATGAGCGTCGTCATCTGGTTCCTCGTCTGCTGCAGCATCGCAAGTCTACCGCCGCCCCTAGAAGAACTAGATACTAATAATGAGTAGATCGTCCACGGCCTCAGCATTCCTCTCGGGAAATTAGGCCTCTACCTCCCCCGCACAATCTCCAACGCCGTCAGCCAGCAAAGCGACCCCGAGCCCTTCCACATCAGCGGCCCCGCCGACGCTGAGCTAGGCAACGAGAGCAATTTACGCCGTCGCACCGGCGGCAGCAGCGCAACAGGCCTTCCGCGAAGGGTCTACCGCATTGGCCGCAGCGTCATTGGAACTAGCCAGAGCCATATTACGTCTGTGAGCCAGAAGACATCGCGCAGCTCGTCGCCGAGCAGGCTGCAGTCTATCTCTATGCCGAATCTTGGTCAGGGGGGTTCGTCGAGTGCGCCAGGTGGCTCGCCTGTGGACTTGAGCTCGCAGGATCGTGTTGACCGCATTGAGACGGACATGTCCAACCTCCCGCCGATGGGACCAAGGGCGATCCGGTTTCCGGACGAGGAGGGTGTGGGACCGACGAGCCCTGGGGGGAGTGTGAGGAAGGAGTTGTGAGTTTTCTTGCAAGGGAAAACTCCGTATTCACGGTGAGTATGAAGAAGTCCCAGATGTGAAGTCGCGAAGTAAATGAATGCTCAAATTGAACTATAGAAGGTTGGTTAGGTAGGAGACTGTTTATGCTCAAATAGAATTTTATTTATCGAACCGTGTTCACTATGAAACTTATCTCCGCGCAAGGATAAAGTTCTAGAAGATTTTAGGCTCTTGACACCTGCAGTAGCGTATTGGTGGCGTTCATTGCTTCCCTGTCTGTTACCCTCCATCTAGGCGTATACATATAGCCCCTCAGTCCTCTAAACCCTCTAAATCTGCACGAAACTACCTTTTTTCAACCACTATGTTCAAACTTCACAAACTAGATTATTCATGTGTAAACGGCGTATTGAAGATTAAGCGGCACTGATACTACAAGCAATAAGCAACATATAGAAACCTTCGCCTGGCCCGAGGCACGACACTGGAGGCCTTCAAACCATGGAACCAAATACCCCTCTCAACCCCTCAAACAACACCACCGAATTCATCCCCCTCCCATCCCAACACCACCCTCCCGCGCGCCTGAACGCTTCATTCGCAAAACCCACCACCGAGGGCGACACGACCTCCTGGGAACCAGCCGAGGCGTGGGACAACCCCATCTGGGGCTGGCTCCTCCTCAACCCCTCCACCAATGATCTCTACTTCTTCGACCGCGACGGGTCCTTCCACTGCGAGCTTCGCCTAGACGACCCTCAAGCACTAGTTGAGACGTCGCACGATGTCAGCGCGCCAAACCAACTACAACGCCTCCTTGACCATTTGAGGAACGAAACCGCCTTCCGCGCCCTCAGCAACATGCTCGCTGTCGCCGTGTCCGGGAAAGATTCGGACGTTTACGCTGAACTCGCGGACTCGTCTCTCCCTGGTTATCCGTTTGCGTTGGTTACGGTGGCGTTTGGGGTCGAGCTCGCAACTGCAACCCTAGCGCCTGAAGATGCCGCCCACCTCCCTGCGTTCAAGCTGGAGCTCGGCAGCGCCGATAGGAGCTACGACGGCCTCGTGGGCTCATGGCCCTGCCTCTCCACCAACTCCCTCGCCTTCGACTTCAGTAAATTCTGCACCCACGTCGCCCTCCTTTTGGATGGCTCCTATGCTCCAGAGCCGAGTTCAGCTAGCCCCGTCGAGCTTATCGCGCCCGCCAATTACCCCTCCCTACCCCCTTCTCCTCCCCCTCTCGCCACCTCCACTGAAGCACCCGCAACCGCGCAACGCAAGAATCTCACGGTATTCGGCGCGCTTGTTGACCCTTCCACACCCCTCCACGCCGCCTGCGAGGGTTTGGAAACGAAGGAGCTCAACCTCGAGCCGTGGGTGCGGGAGCGTGCGGTTGAGAAGATTAAAGTGTTTTTTCACGCGCGCTCGGTTGATGGGATAAGGAATGTGGCGGGGATGAAGATTGGTGGTGGTGGGGTGGGTGAGGGGGCGACGGATGGGGATACGGCGAAGGATAGGGGCAAAGTAGCGTCGCTGGGGACGGCGGAGTGGGAGTGGTTGCAGCCGTACGAGAAGAAGAGGGAAGGAGGTGGGCTGGGAGAGGAGAGGCTGGGGGAAGAGCGGCCCAGGTTTGAAGCGGGGGCGGGTGGGGCGTTGGAGGGGTTTTTGCTTGTTCGGAAGCCGGGAGGTGGGGAGGGCTGAGGTGGTGATGAGGGAGCGAGAGGGAGTGAGGTTTAAGGGGGGGTTCGGATCATGGGGGTGAGAGTATTCGGGGGATGCGTACGTCCCGCGACTTAGGAGGAGAAAGGCTTGGCGATTCTAGGGTGATATGTTAATAGCTTTTAACATATCAGTCCTCCCTCAATGAAGTCAAATGGTTCTGTAGTCTGATCTGGGGGTTAATGTCGAAAGGGCTGGGGTAGCGGCTCAAAATTGGCACTCCTTTCCACGGCAGGCTAAGATGACTGCAAGTCTGTTGAAGAACGATTCCGCGAAGCACTGGGGATGCTTGGATGGGGTTGGATAAATGCGGGGGACCGAAGATGATTAGGGAGCATGTATATCTCCTAAAATCCTGCGGCTCTTAAGCTGGTGAAATCTCCCTCTAAATTGACATTGTTTCGTAGAAATGAGAAGAAAGCACGAAATTGTACGAAGTATAACTAGAGGTTTATGTATGTATGAGACCGTAGCTTTAGGGCATTCTTCGCTGGTAGAAACGTTATTATTAAGAGCAGCATCTATATATTTGCATTTCGAAATGAATGAGCCTTTGGAATTGCAATCTTCTCTCTTTCTTGGGAGCTGGGGAGGGAGGTGCGGCTTATTCTACCAGTTACGTGCGTATTTCTCAGCCCGCCAAGACTGCGATCAATTTCCTTTCCCGTTCAGGGAACTGACCTGCTCGTGCTCCAGCCTGAGCTGTGGCTGTGCTGGGGTGAGCTCATCATAAACCGAGACTAAGCAGCTCGTTAAAGCCCAGTTTTAGGCCCTGTGTTCAACAGGGAGGGTTGAGACTGGGATCCTTACCCTGTCTCGGAAGGCCTATTTCCGTTACATCGGCTTCCCAATCGAGAGGGAGCGATCCGAGCTAGGGTAGTGGTTTGCTACTTTAGGCTGCAGTTACTAAAAGACTTCGCCTATCATAACATCTCGACGGCCTTATGATTACTGAGGGGCAAGGGACAATACCGTGTAGCTGGAAGGTATAAATAGCTAGCCTCGCTCTTCATTTCAGGTTATCATACGTCTCCCTTGCCAGCAACCAAGCAAATTAAGTCTCAAATCTCTAAAACCCAGTATTACGAAGCCCATCACGCTCTATAGCCTTGCCTCTGGCGTGAACCCCCGGATTGTGGCTATGATACTTAAGGAGCTTGAGATACCCTATAAAACGATGTTTATGTTAAGAAAGGACATTAAGAAAGAGCCGTACAAACTGAAGAATCCGAATGGAAAGATACCAACCATTGAGGACCCGAACACTGGCATTACACTCTTTGAGGTAAGTTTCCAATATTTAATCGCATGTTCCAGGCAGAATACATCCTCGTATATAGCCAATCCGGTGCTATCATCCAATACCTCGTCGACATATATACGAAATAACCAACAAGCTCGCATATACCACTTTCCCAGAGAAGTATCTCACGCTCTCCTGGCTCAGTCTTCAGATGAGCACGCACGGTACTTACTTCGTCTGGTTCCACCCAGAGAAGAACTCTACTGCTGCGATCGATCGTTATGGTAACGAGATGAAGCGTATCGTCGGCGTCATCGATCGCCATCTGAAACGCACGGGGACGCAGTATCTTATTGGCGACAAGTGCACGTACGCGGACCTGGCGTTTGTTATGTGGGACCAGATCATGCCTCTTCTGGTGGGTGATTGGGATTTCAAGACCGAAGCCCCGGATTTTGCGGCATGGAATGAGAGGGTGGTGGCTCAGTCAGCAGTGCAGAGGGATTTGGCGGGTGGGGGGAAGGCTCCATCCACTGATCGTACTGCGCCAGTGTTGAAATTGGGTGCGGGTTTGGTCACCTGATGCGCCGAATTGCGTATGAAGTCATGAAGCAGAGAATACATCTTCTATCAACCTCACTTTATTCTCGCCGACGGTCGGATAGAATAGGGATAAGTGCGTAGATGGCGATCGTGGTGATTGGACTGCAGTGGTTACGAAATATGCGGATGAGGGAACAAGATGCAGGTTTGGGAAAAAGGCTGTAAATGTGCTAATACTAATCGATCTTAGGAAGAGAAGAGAAGGAAAAAAGAGATCCGACCACATCCTATATCTATCCGGGCAACCAGGGTGAGTCCCGCTGCATCAATTGCCCAGATGGCGATAAATATAAACGGTAAATTAATTTAAAAATAATATTATATTATATACTACTTGAGTACCTTTAACCTCTACTAACTATTTATATACTAAGGGCCTGAGACGCATGGAAAGTTCATGAGTGATTGTCTTATCGAGGAACCTAGTGCGCTGGTGAGGAGTGAGGCGGGTAAGAAGGCTCAGAGTAGGGTTTGGGACGAGCTGATGAAAAAGCTGGAGGCTATTAAACCTGGCGTGACGAAAATTTTATAGAGCTTTGTGGATGATGAGAATAGGTTACGATGTTACCATTGTGCAGCCGAAGTGATGTGTCTTTTGATCATAGTCTACGATGTCGTGCTGAAATTTCAAAGCTTAATAGCGACTATTTCCCTTCATCCGGCTCCGAACATATAGAACGCCAACGGAGCAGGTGCTAGGTATAATACACTTGATCACTACTGCACGCAATGCTTCAGCACGTTCTTGAAAACCCGAAGCCAATCATATTGAACAGTTAGCAAACACGTCAGGCCATCTCAGACAGCGCCAGAGAGACGTACGCAGACTGGACAGGCAGCCTATAGCTTCAGGTTTGCATGGGTGTACTGAAGCAGTGTCAGGAAAGTGTACACAGATTTATGATAAGGCACCCCACGCGGCAGTAAGGTGCCCTTCAAGCATACCACGATCCGTAAACTCAATATTCGCCACCCGAAACGCCTCATAAACATCATCAGGAAAATTCCCACGATCTCGAACTGTGACGCTTTTCATATTCGGAAAGTCGCCAGACGCCAGCTCAATAATACGTGCCGGGACCGGCTCGTACCCATTGATTGTCAAACACTCCAAGGATCGAGGCAGACTTTTAGCTAGACTTGGAGGGTCGCTCCCACCAATATGTCGAAAGATAAGAACGGTCGGGGTGACAATTGTGCGCAATTTTGAGAACTCGTGGAAGTTTACCAGAGTCACTTCGTGGTCTATTGTTTCGTTGGGAGAGGAACCCGAGAGGTGGAAGTGTTCTAGAGAGTGCTTCTGCGCTTGAAGGTAGTGCAAGAGGAAGTCTATAAAGTACTTCCCGGGAAACGACCGTATTTTGATGGTGATCGATCGAAGGGCCTTGAATGACGTGATGATATTCTTTTGCTCAGCCACATATGGAAGGAGATGATTATGCCAGTGAGGTAAAAGAATTAAATGTTCGATCGGTGACGACAGTTCCGATAACTCCAAGTTGTCAAGCTTCCATCCTTCAATCTCGAGGGTGCGGAGTGAAGTGGCTTGCAGGATTGAGATAAGGGACTCGCTTGAAACACCTCGATCAGTTGCGAGTGAAAGCTTTCGAAGGCGTGGAAGGCGATTGGGGTGTTCTTGGAAGGCTTTAAATGGCGGATAAGTCGTAAGCAGTCCTGTCTCCATTGTGGATGGTGGTAGTCTCAGTGCCGTAAGTCGTGGAAGTCGAAACAAGATTGCCGTAACCCAAGCATGGGCCGAAAGAACGCGCAACATCCCAATATCCTCTACAGCAGATTTCACCAGCTTCTGATCCTTTGACGACAGAGACAGTTTCACTAGACTCAGCAGACTCTTCTCCTGCGTTGAGTTCCGCTCCTCATGGACAATATCCACACTCCTCACACTAGCAGCCAGCGCCGAGTCCCTGAGGAATACCACTGACTCTTTGAGGCTCGTGAGACTGTGCGGAAGAAGTTTGATATGTCGATAGCGGAAAGTGTCCGTCAAGCGGGATAGTTGCTTCGAGGTCAGCAGTAAGCTGGGGAAGTCGGGCTGCGAGGTTATAGGGTCCCATGATTCATCGGATGACTCGAAGATGTAGGCAAGGATCTTTAAAATTAACTCTTCTGGTAGACTGGTAAGATGGCCGTTTAGTTTGCCTTGAGCTAGATGGGCCATGGTTACTGTGGGCGATTCACGACTCGTGCTGCTGGAAGAATTGATGAAATGAGAAGAAAGCCTTGCTTCAGGAGGGGAGCGCAGTGAGCGGAGGGAGAGAGGTTGATGTAGGAAGGCTGATGGCTGCCTGGCTGTCGATGCCTGGACCAATGAATCGCGAATTCCCGCGGCGGCTCCGGAGCGTACACCCTCTCTTTGCGTCCGGTGGTCACCCTCTAATGTCAAGCCACAGGCTTACCGTATAAGGGAGCAACTCCGGTCGCCTTTAGGGGGGAATAGCAACGTTCTAGCCAATCAATCCTAAAGTTGGTCAAGTACTAGCCCAGAAAAGAGGTATACCAGGATGGACTCAGTTTAGCGCTATGTTCACCGGACGTAAAGAGAGGGTGTACAGTCCCAGCGTACAGTTGGGTCTCGTACAGTCACGTGAATAGATTATGAACTCATGCCAGGCGTATATATTATCACAATCCCTTTCCTCCTCGATAATAAGGTACAACCATAATTAGGTAGTATTTTAAGAATTTATTACCTAGCTGCTATAGACTAGGAGAGGCAAAGGGAAAGTCTCTAGCTTCTTATAATCTAATAATAACTGTAGAAAGCTAAGGAAAGCAGGAGTCTCTATCGGTGTTGCTAGCGAGGGCCACGCCTATTGTTGTACCTCCCCCGGCACCTCTAACGCTCTATTTCTTGATCTATACTTGATATTTTTATAGATTATAGATGCGCTTTAGGATGTTAGGGCTATAGAGATAGAGAGGGTATAGTAGCGTAGGTGACTGCCAGAAAGTAAATTAAGCAAGCAACGTGATTGAAAATACGTTCTGTGTGATGAGATGAACGCCTACTGCACGAGACCCACTGTGCCACTGTACGCTGGGACTGAACGCTCCGGAGCCGCCGCGGCGAATTCTGGAACGGGGAAAAACCTTCCACCGATTTTCGACGCTGACAACCCCCTACGATTCGGCAAAAGGCCGTGTAATCAATCAAATCGGTTCTAAGCTGCCAAACATGAAACTTTTTAAGTTAGGCGCAAGCCCTTTCACCTCCGCTCTTAGACGAACGAAGGATAAAGAACGCAAACAAAATCACTGTTCACAAACCGCTTGACAATTTAAATATAGCAATCCCATTTCGATGGTATTTACACATATGCTCGCTGATCCGCTTGCTAGCGGGCAAAAATCAAATTTATGTCGTGCCTATGCCGCCAAAGTTGCCAAACACCAACGCTATGCTAATACAATATATATGAAGGGGCGGCCGACCTAGCCAACCCATGCCTTCGCCTTGACTTGTCCGGGCTCCTGGCTTGGTCCACGCGGCCCAGCCTGTGCGGCAAAGCCATGAACCTATATCGCCGATTACAAGACGAGTACTATCATCAGTTGATTTGTTCATTACCCCCACGACGCCCTATGTCGCGAATCAGCGTGCCACGCCGGGAAGTGGTCCGGCTGAGCAGATGGACAAGAGTCGCGGGGTGGCAGTAAACACTGTTGCGTTCAATGCCAGCGGCCACCCTGCGATGAACATACCAATCGAATTCCTTCCACCGAAAGATGACGAATCTAACGTAGGCAGTATCAGGCTTCCGGTCGGAATGCAGGTCGTGGGTGGCATGTTCCAAGAAGAAATGATGTATCGAGTTGCTGCTGCATGGGGAAAGGCCTATGATTGGAACAAGGACTGATATTGTTAGATAGAACGTTCTACAGTGTTGTTAAAATAGACGTACCAAATCTCTATTTTGCTCTCAAGTGTTGGCGCGTCCTAAATGCGTGACAAATATCAGAATGCATGTTAACATATATATGCTCAGGTCGATGAGCTTGCTCCCTCGTCCTCCAAGTGCGGATAAAGTTCTCCATATTTTCGAAGCGTTCCAATTGAAAGATCATAATAAAGTTGCGTGACGCCTTCTGTAGAAGTCCATTTGCCGGCCATGGCGGTCAACACCATGCTTGTACTTTGTATATCTTTGAGAACTACAGACCAATCGACGGAGTCTCGGATGTCTTCTTGCGTCTATATGCAGAAAAGATGGACGATTCCGGCCAAGAAGGGCCAATGAATAGCCATCCAGATGCAATCAACCGCGTCTGATCGGTACATCTTCCAGTGAAGTCGGAGCACGGCCGTAGTGGAGTTGAAACATCGTTCTATATCAGAGGATGAAGGGTGAGGGTTCACGACGTAAGGGCGATGTAGAAAAAAGGACAGATTATGGTATGTATGATGGTACCAGTCGATTCTGCTAAATGTGCAGACATCGGTCGGCGCTTTTTCTAACCACTGGTCGACACGATATAATTTTTAATGGGTACATTCAAGACTGTGCCGCAGCGGATGAGCAAGGGTAAGCAGACCGGAGCAGACCTGAGCCGAAACTGAGCCGGGCCTGAGCCGAACACAGCCAAAGCGGTGCAAGGTCACGTGAACGGCGTGTGTCGGAGGGTGTGCACATTAGGGTGGTATAACATACCTTAAAACGTCTCCGGTAGCAACTGGCATCTGCGGTCCCATCTAATTACTGAGGATGGAGGTGAAACAATGCATTGAACGAGGTAAGTGATGTATTGGATGAGCATCTATCTAGGCTACGTATGCCGTATATATACTCTGTGTGTGTGGAGGCTTACGTAGCCGTACCGTAGAACTGTGAGGGCTAAGTATAGGAACCGTGTTCTATATCAAGGTAGCCGAGCTAACCGTACCACACTCCGTAGGCTAGCTGGCTAAGAATACGTCCTCCGTCAATTACCCTATCCTGCCTGAATATCTCACCACTTTTATCTCGCGAAATAATTAACTCTACTCTGTCGTCGCTCTCTACCTTGCCCTAACCCTTCTAAAGCTAGACCTATCTATTACCGCTTTACATTTCTACTATGTATTATAGTTTAGTCGCTTAAGGTTACTATACTCTAGACCTTATATTAAGGCTAGCATCTAAGGGTATTTATCATAGTAGGTAGTAATGAGCCTCCGGGAAGGGGCTACAATCTATAAATATAGAATATTAAGGTGATATTTTATATAGAAGGTACGTGCACTAGGTTTTGCTAAGATATTTGAACTTTGTAACGTTGTTCAGCAAACAAGACGGCGTTCCTATTTCATTTAAGCAATTTATAACAATCTATTTGTGGAAAAACAGCCGTAAAGCAAACGGGATTGAATTTCCATTCTATTCGTAGAATTCGCGCTCGAAATAGCCCCTCCAATCGGCCGAACCAAACAGGCTCTAAATGATGCGGATATTGCCTCCTTCCTTCAGTTGTACCAAGTTATTATCAAGAACCCCCACTCCGATCCTGCGGTAGTAGCCTTCATCCTCTTTGAATTCATCCGCACGCTCGACTAGCAAGACAATATTCAGCTGTCGAACGTCGGCTCCCCCATCTGGGCTTGCATCCTGACCTAAAGGGCTATGGCCCGACCAAACAACCATACCTTCCAGGGACTTAGGTTGGGAAGTGGAAGTCGTAGTATCCTCGTCGAAGCTGACTAGGCCCACAAAGCGGCCACCCAGAGAGGCACAGGCCCAGGCGCCGCCTGTATCAGTTGTTTGAAGCGAGATCTCCTGCTGCGTCGTGTGGAGTCTGCCCAGCAGTTGATAATGGCGTGTAGTATTATTAGCTCCCGTCTCCAATTTCGGAGATGGCACAGCCTCGTAACGGAAGTCGATGTAGGCGGCGCTGAGTCCTTGGTGCAGCTGGACGTATTCGATTTTTCCATGCGGCTCATCCACGACCAAGAGGGGACGACCCGGCCGGTATTGTGGAAATCAATTCGCAGCGACATTGCTGCATTGCTGCGCTTCCACACCAGAGTTTGCTGAAGATGTTTCCCACCCAGTATGCCATATAGACTGACACATTGCCACGCAAAGCCAGTCTATATTCGAGCGCCAAAATGGCCGTGGGTCTATCTTTGGCAACCGAGAGACCGAGGCTTGAATATTGGCGGAACACGTCTTTCACTGCCTTAATAAATCCTGCGTCGTCAGGCGGAAAGTCGGAACTTCCAAGCGAGTCCCGATTAGTTCTAATATAGTAGATCAGTCAGCTAGAGTATGCCACGACGAGAGTGTAGGTCCTTACACGAAGTCGTCCCTTCCGCTTTCGCCGATAATAGAACCCTCACACTCCCAGTACGTTTGGGATGTAGCGAAATGGATCGTATGGCGTGCTAGAGCTCGCTCCTGGAAGACCCATCCCCTGGTATGCAAGTTCTCCTCCAGCACATCGCGAGAAAAGTTTGCATCCGTTGCCTGGACTCGGAGGTAGGTCACTTCCTCGTCGTTAGGTAGCAAGAAGGGTCTGCCGTCCATGCCATGCCTAGAAAGAAACCCATAGTGTCCGCTGTGGCCGGACGTAGCCGCAATGACGGAGTAAGCCTGGCTGAATATCAGCTCCATTCGGTTACACTCCATCGTTACCTCGTTGTTGTTGTCCTGGACTATGCAGAGGCTGTCAATCCAGAGGTATTGTATCCCGAGTTTTCGAGTGGCAGTGACGGCGTCTTGGAATGTTTGGGAGAGCGAATTGAGATCGATTTCCTCCTTGCGTCTCCCCACATTCGCTCCAGTGGTACTTTGGAGCGCCGTATTAGAGTTCCAGCGGTGAGAAAGAGCGATATATATCTTATCATTGCTTTCCCCTTCGATGAGTCGCACTTGTTCCATTGTGCCGACGTAAATTAGCCTTATTGGAGCTTGAGGCATGCGAGCAGTTCGATCCTGGCCCCCAGCCAACCTAGGAGACGGTCGAGATCTACCAGGCTTCGTATGCTGATGGAATTTGTGGCACTGATCCAGCCATCTATTAAGCAGCCGAAAGTAAATCCAGCTATTAATTGCAGGGAGAACTATTACAAGTCAGTGTTTATCGAATGACATCTTCTGGCAGCCAGTTAGAATGCTCCTACGCACGTCTGTCTACGCGTCTCAGCTGTACAGGGTTCACTTCTCAGCTGGACAAGGTTCACCTGTTGTTTTGTCACCGTTGCCGCCTGCAACCCCTGGTCTCTCTTCACTATATAGCCACTCGTTAGCACCTCAATACAACTCATGCTTTCCTCACTGATCCTTTGCCCTTCCTACGCCAGCTGCCAGCTCTTCCCAACCGAACCAGAGGTCCTTGGTGCACAGAAAACAATCAATGACTTTTTGATCACATCCGAGAAAGGTCTGACCAACTTCACCGATGTTGCGGAGGTAACGCCAATAAAAGAGATTGTCAACAACTTCATAACGTTTGCTCGCACTAACGGTGTCCCAGGCCCTGAACTCAGCTTCAGCCCCCGTGGTGACCCTGACGATGGCACGAAGGCGGCCTTTGCGCCTGTGGATGGCGTCTGGATCCGAGGTGGACCGATCACATTACTGGAGCTGAAGCCTCCCCACAAGGCCTACTGCAGTGTATAGTTATTGGTCGCTATGGAGTTAAATATAATCTCCGCCGAGGAACGTGAATATACCCCTACCTCCACTAATTCCGACAGCTACGCCTAGTGCTCAGCACCAACGCCTAGTAGCCGGAGTTAGGACCGGAAATAGTGACCTAAGTTCCAATTGCTCAGCTTTTATATATCGGAGCTATGGAGCAACAAGTCAGTATAGGACAAACACAGCTACCAAACATACCCAACATTCTCACCTTATCCACTTACCCGGCTCTACATCTTCACGCTCTTCTTGAGAATCACTATGTCGGCCCAGGATCCTTCCCTGCGCGAGACCAACTGGCCTGCTGTGGCTAGCTATGTCTCCGTGCGTAAGGATACTTACCCCTTTATTGATCCCGCCAAAGCCGACCTGACGGGCAAGTCGGTCTTAATCACGGGCGCCTCCAGGGGCATCGGCAAGGCGACCGCAATCAGCTTCGCTATCGCGGGCTGCTCGAAAATCCTGCTCGTCGCTCGTTCTGACATGGCCGATGTCGAGACAGCCGTCAAGGATGCCGCCAAGAAGGCAAACCGGTCCCAGCCGCTGGTGCATTCCATGAAGGTCGATATAACGTCGGAGGACTCGGTGCGAGTGGCCACCGAGACCGCTGTAGACATGCTCGGCGGCAGCCTCGACATCTTGATCAACAATGCCGGCTATCTGGAGGAGTGGAAACCCATCACCGAGTCCAAGCCAAGTGAGTGGTGGTGGACTTGGGAGGTCAATATCAAAGGCACCTATCTCGTCGCCCGTTATTTCGTGCCGTTGCTGCTCAAGTCACCAACCAAGACAATCATCAATATCAGCAGTGGTGGTGCCCACGTCATGTACCCCGGCGCATCGGGCTACCAGACGACCAAGTTTGCTCTCTGTCGTCTCACCGAGTTCATAGACAAGGAATATTATCAGCAGGGTCTAATCGCCATCTCACTCCATCCGGGTGGCATCAAGACTGAGCTAGCCATGAACATACCTCCAGAGAGGCAAGATGTCCTGACCGATACGCTGGAGCTGGCTGCCGACACGCTGGTCTGGCTCTCTCGTGAGCGACGGGACTGGCTCTCCGGCAGATTCGTCTCTGTGAGCTGGGACATGGAGGAACTGGAGCAGAAGAAGCAGGACATCCTTCAAGGGAACTTGCTCAAGTTTCGTGTGGTGATTTGAGTCTGACGGTACACCCTTCAAGACTCTTGCAGCGGTTTCTTTTCGATTCTAGACAGAATGAGTGGGCTCAATCAGAGTGCTACGGCGCAAGGCGATGCACTGGGAGGATCGAACGTAAGTATAGTGTAGTAAAAGATAGACACACTTATATAGATGTTAAAAAAAGGCTCCTCAGCCTATTTGCTGAAGGATTCTCTATGTATTCTGTCTTGCTAAAATCCTATGCCCGGTAATCGAGTACTCCAGCCTTTCCTGGTTTGACAACTCGGCCTGCGACAATGATATTCCGGATTCGAGGGCGCGATTCCGGTTCGATAGTCCCAACAGACCCAATCATACCCACGAGGACAGTTTGTACAGTAGTTGTGCGGCCTGCTGATGTCCCATGTGATCTGATTGGAGCGTTTTGGGAAGAAACGCCTCCTATTAGGTGAGTATAGCAGATGTAGCAACTGGTGGACTATCTCGCCGAGTTCACAAAAGCTTCTATAGACAGAACGGACATTAGACATCTGCTCAACCGGGGTCTGTTGTGGTGTTCCTAGACCGCTTTAATACTCAGTAGCCCTGCAGGCTTCGGAAGAACTTGCCGTCATCCGTGTATGGAACCTATGGAGATACTTCCATCCCAGGTCTTACGTGAGGCTTCGAGGGGACCCAAGGCATGCGGGAACACTGTGGCAATGAGCTAGTGGTCAAAGACCACACACTTTGGTGAGATGCAAGATTAGTGGCACGGTACTGCCAATGACTCGGGTTGTAACAGCTACAACCTAGGATCAACAACTCATACGGTTCACGGTCACCTACGTACAGGCACCCCCCCCCCCCTTTTCTCTCTCCTTGATTCTCGTTCTTTGATTGGTTGCTACTAGCGCGCACTCAGCGTGGCGAGGCCCTCTGTTCAGCTACACCAGGGTCCTCTCAGCTGTGTCCATTCCTTTCAAATGGCCTCTATTCAGCTGAGCTGATAAGACCTAGGGGGTGGGCCATTTCCTATTAGTATATATTCGGCCCGTACGGCCACTACAATACAAGCAGAGTTCACATCAATTTAACCTAAGTCAATGCCACTGGAACGAGGAACAATCTCACTGGTTCAATGCAAACGCCCCCCAAAAGGTGGTTGTGCGGACAAGTATGTCGTCCTTGTCGCCCTCATCTCCCACTAGATTTAGTCCCATTTCATGGGCCAACCTTGTGCTCTGGCCTGCATGATAACATTTTGCCAAGTCGCGACCGCAGCTTGCCTCCCTACTTGACATGATGCCAAGAGCTTGAACTGTAGTGACGGAGTAGTCGCCCAACTCTTGGTCGAGGAGCCGCTCGGCCTCTTCGAAAAAAAGGTCCCCTAGGCGTGAGCTCGCGAGACCGACCCCCGTTACGGGCTTGGTTGAAAATTGACAGCCCGTGGCCAGCAGAGCATTGACCAACAGGGGCGAGCAGTATCGGTGCCGTATCCAGCGAGTCGCAGCCCCAACCCTGCAGAATTTGATCAAATTCTGTGTTGCCAAAGACGCGCCGGTGGCCTTCGAGCACCGCGAGCATGGAAACGCTTCTGCACTCCAGTGTCAGGGGATGAACTTCGTTGACCAGCTTTTCAAGAGGTACGATAACAGACGCTGTTTCATCGCCGATGTGCTGGATGCGAAGGTATGTACGGTGACTTAATTCAAAGCCGCAGGACCGCATATGATCCTGTACTGTGGGAAAGCCTTCGGGTATTGGCAGATCCCATGCGTAACAGATTTGGCTGTCTTCGTACATCTCCCGCAGGACAGTTAGGATCGTAGCTAATCAGCATCCGCATTGTGGAGGAGAAAGTGGGACAGGCATAGGTGTAGTTGTGCCGCTTTTACTCCGGAAAATCAGAACTTGTCATACAGGTCTTTACAAAAATCCTGTGGTTGATCATTCGCCGGCTGAAGCTTGGCTTCTTAACTTGATGTGGTATGGCTTATGCCACAAGTGGTTTGGCGTCGAATCGATAAAAGATGCCACACTTCGCTGAGGGGGAGGCCGCATTTGAGATTCAGTGTAACCGCTTTAAATAAGTCACTGTTATGGGAAGGAAGTGAGATTCTGCAACACGCAGCAAGAGGGGTTATGCATGCACGCTATCTCAGAAGCATCCTGTGCTTCTGAACTCTGACGTGGCAGTCTTTGGCACGACCAATTGAGTCCAAGAGCTACGACTTTATGGCTGCAAGAGCGACCACGTGCATACACTCCCTATTTTGCTGGACGTGGCTTTTGTCTAAGCGACCTAGCGGAGGTCTTCTATAAACCTGGGAAGTCCCTCTTACGTATTCGTTGTCTCTGCAGAAGCAGTGCTCACACTTTACCACTCAGGATCGTGTGAAAAAAACCGCAAGCTAAAGCGTCCTAAGAGAAGACAATGGCGCACAGTGATTTGAAAAATGCGATGAGCACGTTGAGTCTCCGTGAACCGAACTGCCTCTTGTTTAACCCTTCTGGTGACATGGCTTGGATTCGAGAGAAGTTCCAGAACATATCTCGGTATCTAATGCGCATATCCACTCCGTGGTCTGATGGCTTAAACGATGAAGTGTGGGTGAAGTCTAAGGCTGCAACATATCGCCGCGAGGACAGAAATTTAGATATATTCGCCATCGAGGACAAGGAGCAAGCGGCAGCCGCCCTTAACAGATACCTCCGGTGGGAAGGTACTACTGTCGACGCGGACAATATGATCTCTTGGACGAGTTCACCACTGCTTGCGCTTCAGTATATCATCTACCGACATAAACATTGAAAGGACGGATCAAGTCTTGCAAACATTAAGTTGTGCATTGTCGACACCGCCGCTCTACCAGAGGGGGTGTTTCTACCAGACATGGATCTAATCGATGCCTATCGAGGATTTAATGCACGCTTACAAGACTTGAAGGAGCTTCGTACCCGGAAGCATAAAAGCTTAACAGGGTCGTATTACTTTGGAGAGTATCTGTCACAGGGTGCACTCAAGATCGGCGGAAACTGTCAGATTGTGTCAGCACAAGCGCTTGTTGATAAAGGACTATTCTTGTTACAGCCTGAGTTTTGCAGATCGATGGAGGATACAAAGCCACAATGGGCAAACGAAGTAATTCGTCTTTGTGAGGCATTTTGAGACAATGCCGACAAACAGCAGATGACTAATGAAGAACTTCAAGCCGTAACGGACATCGCCCAGCTTTTCGGCCCACGATGGAGACTGCCGATGGCAACTAACTTGATGGCTTTGCAGCCTCGTCGAGAAGGAGACAGCGCCATTCTACGCACTCTCAGAGCTACACCCTTTACAGGTTTGATGCTTCCATCTTTTAGCTCCAACAACGCTAATGATTGCAGACGAGGAAAGAGAGGAGTGCTCACCGTCAAAGACGAATGTGGTAGCTAATGATACCTTGCCGGAGGTTATGCAATTTAGCGAAATAATCCAAAGCGTTTACACAGACGTTCTTAACACTAAGCTAAAAAGTCAGTCTTGCTTTCTCAATTTCTCGAATAAAACACTAATGATCTGTTCGTGTACAGCTTCTATCAAGTCTGCTACAGCTCATATTGAGTCTGCAGAGATCAAATTGCGTAATGCTATAATTAATGCGCATGATTCGGATTCGGGAACGAATCGCTCAAATCGAGTGTCAGATCGTGCTTCTCACATCCTAGATACTGGCATCGAAACCCTTCTGCGCCGGCTAGACATGATATCACATCTACACAATACCATACAAGAAGAAATACGACCAGTACATGTCCTCGCCACAAAACGGAGCGCTCTATAAGTGTGCCATGAATGTTGTAATCACTTGCGGCGCACCATTGACCCAATTTTGCACAATCCTGTATCAAGGACAAAAAATGCAAACAAGTACATGAGAAGGTGCACTTATGGCTTTCCAGCGGGCAATTCTTCGAAAGCCACAACCGAACAGAGGTTCTGAATAGAGGCAAGAGTGCTCTGGGAAGTTCTGAAGAAATTGTGGTAGTACTGCTGTCAAAAAAGTTCCTGATCTTTGTCATGCGCCTCCCCCTTAAATCCTCACTGCTGCTGAATGTTTTTACATTCTTACACTAGCTGTTGCCGCTTTTCATGCTATCACGAGATTCAAACAGCTACAACCAATAAGATGCTGGCGGAATCAAGGAAAACCTTTATTCGGCTGCGAGGGCGTCAAAGTGGTAGTGTACATGCCATTGCGAGATCATGCCATACACTTTTTAAAATCGCTGAACGACCTGACATTGACTTGTTCAAAATCACGACACAAGTGAACACAGGAGGAAGAGAGAATGCGATGGAAATGGGGTGGACCAGAACCCACGCCAAAGCAACGTATTGAGTATCCTTAATCATTGATCTCGGGACCGGCTTGACGAACAACGCATGATCGTCGCTGCCGTTCAAGATATGCAAAATCATTCGGTCGGACTTTCTACTACTGTAACAGCAATTAATCTCTGACATTTGTCTGCCGACAAACACCCCTCTTACAACCTTCGCAGAGGTCTCTCTCGTGAGGTGAGCCTTCTTCAGGGTCGTAGCATTGCTGTTCCATTGCAACGCCTGCCCATTTCTTACGTCTATATGCGACTCGATCAACATATGAATTGATGTCCAGTATGTGGGTGCCTGGTTGCTTAGAGTCCACGCAGCGCTGATCAAACACCACAGCATTGTAACCATTCCTGTAGTATCTCCTTGCGATATTGCCACCATCTTGCTATTCCAGCCACCCTTAGTACAGGCCTTGTTGTTACATTTAAACTTGCCCATAACATGAGTTAGGTATATTTCGTGGGAGCCTTCGTTGCTATCGTCTTTGTGAAACCATGTCGAGATGTTCTCGTTTGAGACCGCCTTCACAACCTTCTGGTGGAGCGACGGAAAAATGAAGCTCGTTCCTCTTACCGCCTTGCTGAACTTCTTATTTTCTATTTCCAACGTCCTAATATCGTGTGTCGAGTAGAAGTGGTAGGACTGCCGATGAGGTGGGCAACAACGTCTACCAGCTTCAAACGGCTTTCGTTATTGCTGAAGGGTGGCCATTATGAAGGAGCATCGGCGAGGAGCGGTGAGGTGGTGAAGAGAGTGTATTCGTCCTATGTGACGTGTCAATTGATAGAACTCCAATTCGACGATACTGTACATGCATGGGAGGGTTGCGCAGTTCTCCTTCCACCAATTGCTCCACCTATCATCCACGAGCCTGCGCACCTCACATTGATCGTTGGCAAGTCAGTATGCCATCTCAACTATCCCGGTCAATCACATCGCGCTACATCGCTCTTTGAAGCAGCTAGATACTCCGATCTGGATGAGTAGAAGCTGTAATTGGTTCACATGGTTGCGGACAGCGACAATGAGAGCAGCGCCAAACAGAGCAGCCCAAATTGCAGCTTTTGGATCATACTGCACTGTTGCGATTAACGTCAACATCGGACATGAACTCATCCATTGCTTAGAGCGAGCTGCAGTGAAAAATGAAAGTGTTGAAACCTTTCGAGAGGCGTCGACGGAGGACAGCCCGTAATTGCTTAGCGCCGCATTCGTGCAGCAGATGAGACCTGAAGACAGACCGCTGTGGGGTATTCGTGGGGAACGATCTTGCCTACAGCTTTTTTGGCTAATTCCGATCAATGAACCTTTTTCACGACATCGTAACAATGCCGTCAAACCATGATATTACAATCTTCGACAGCTCCGGAGACATTTTCTTATTGCTCGAGATGAGTGATGATCAATCCGACCCGGAGAATTTGCTCTCTTCAGGGTATGGCAACATCTATCCTCCTCCAGACGGAACCTCTACCGATGAAGCTCGCGCTGAGGAAGCTCAACCAGACTCTATCGTACTGCACCACGATTCAGGCAACGAGTTCTTAGACAGCAAAGTCGCACAATCTTCAGAGACATCTACACGAGAAATTGTAATGCAGGTGTCGTCTAAGCACCTGTCACTTGCTTCTAAGGTTTTCGACAACATGTTTCAAGGGCAACCTCGGGACAACATTATCTCACACGATCAAGAAGCAGTAACTATTCCTCTCCTGCATGATAACGTTGAATCAATGCAGATTCTACTCTGCATTGTACATGGGCTGACGAGACGAGTTCCGCGACGAGTGGAGAAGTCAACTTCTACAAATTGTCAAAGTGATCGACGAATACGAATTCCATGAAATAGCTGAGGTCTTTACGGAAATGTGGTTCGAGTCTCTGCGACCTTCAATTCCTCGCAGTCTTCACCAAGATCTGGCTTCCTGGATCTACATTTGTTGGCAGCTGGAGAAATCAGAAGAGTTCAAAACACTGACCGAAATTGCGATCCGAGATACTGGCGATCGCTTAGAAGACTTGGACGGGGCTGTGCCGTTCTGGATAATTGGTAAGAGATCGCTGCTGCGAAACGATTAGAGCATGGACTTAAGTTGCACAGATGAAATTCAGACCTCCCGACAAGATGTATTGGCCAAGTTCGTTCTGACACTTTCTAACACTCCTTGATCCTTACCAAAATGCTCAACGTCCATGTCCCCAACGTTCCGACTGCGATGCTACAGCTCTAGGAAAGTTCATACAAGGCTTGACAAGTGCTGGACTCTTTCCAGTTCCAGATCCCTCGTCCTTGGATAGGTCAATAGAAAAGCTTTTCTCGACTGTCCGAGCGACCAAACTCTCCCCACTGTGCGGAGTGTCCACTCGGAAACTTAGGATGTATCCCTTTGCAGGATACGAAGGCTCGTCGCAAGCTTGCCACCTAGATGAGTTGTTGCAGGGCTCTCTTTTAAGTATTGAAGATAGTCTACAGGGGATGAACATTAACGGAGGAAGTAGGAAGGAAAATATCTAAACTTTGGGGACTAGGATTCGTTTGGTGCGCTGGCTCAAAAAAGATTTGCAGACGCGCAACCCAAGGTGCTAGTACCGGACGAGAATCTTCTGAACGGACCTCCTGTTTCCATGTGGCCAGCCTAAAGATGAGGCAATAGAACAGTGCCAAAAAGTGTGGACAGCAGAAAAGCGATAGATTACAGTACCACTACAATATGTTGCAGACCAAGGCATCAGCCGTGGAGGCCTGAGGCAAGAACTGCATTAATAAGCTTGCCATCAAAGCTAACGTAATCCACAAGTTAGTGGCCCGCACAAGCTAGTGGCCCACCCAACCACGCTACCGAGGCCAAATATTCCGAATTACTCCACCACGAACAAATATATTTGATGCAGCTACATACTAGCTAGCTGCCTGCCGCCTAGGGCACGTACGTGCATTGTGTTCTGTTGATTCGCACATGCTGCACCTAGGTTTTGCTCGCTGTGGCCGCTCGGCCGGTGGCTCTGCTGCCTCCTCTGCTGCCCCTTCCTGTACAGGTTGTGCACGATCGGCTGCTTCTTCACCTGATAGAATACCCTTTCTAGCTATATACGTGCGCTTCCTTGCCTTCTTTTGTTTCTGGCGCTGATTCTCTATGCGCAGCTTCTCATTTTCGCTTGCAAGCAGCACGGCGTTTGACATTGCTGTTTCGCACACCTTGATAATTTGGCCAAGGGCCTGTTCTGCTGGACTTTGTGGGCTATGCATACGCCGCTGGCGATAGCGCTTTAGCAGGGCTGTCTGCTTTTGTAGCTCGGCGATATTATGGGGTGTTTTGGCTGTCCAGTATCCATTTGATTGTGGCCGTAGAGAGGGGGGTGGCGGCGTGTGATATCCGGCATGCAGCAATGATAGCACACGATCGGGGTTGTATGGAACTAGGCCAGTAGCTGCAAATCCCGCCCGTATATTGCCTGCATGTAGTGCCTCCTGCCTGGCCTGCCTATATATAGGTAGGAATT